GGTATTCGCGCGTGGCCAATTGCCGTGTGGAGATCAGATCTTGATGGGCTGACGATAGGGTCGCTGTGACCTTCCCATTTCTATCAAGATATCTCTTAACCACGACTCTTGCGAGAAGCGAGGTCGTTTGGTTTCCATTCCCGAGGGCAACTCAATGGAAAAGGTAACCTAATTTCTTCTACCCGAACTCCACCACAACCCTATCAACGTGTAATCCTACGCTCTTTCTCCTCCATAATTCCTGCTCATGCTTTGTGGCTTCCGTGACGATCTCGATCTGGGGCAACTGTAACTAGCGATCGTGATTTCCAATCCTTCTACCGCTTATTTCACCCCATCCAATCATTCGGAGGTTAATCTATCTCCGTCGCATGAACTTGCGCCGCGGAGAGTCCAAACTGGTAACCAGCTTGTTTCCATCCCTGTAGCGCGAGCCTCTTTCCCTGTGTTCTGGATCACAAACCTCTCTCTGTCCGAAGCCGACAAGTGCCCCCGAATCACCCCCGATCTATCATGAATGTTGATCCGGTCCGGGGACTCAAACCGCTGTTCCCGACCGCTATCTCCGCAGAACTCCACCATCAAGAGATGATCGCAGGTCTGCGGCTCTCGCCATTCGTTTCTAACAATGCCTAACGCCCCTTCCCCGCCATCCCCGGTCTCTTCGGGGAAGAAGAGACCTCATCCTTCTGAAACACCGCCCACCCAACGCGACCCCGCTTCGAATTCCTCGCGTGACGCTCAAAACCCCTCCGCCCCAACCACAGCCGTTCCGTCCACATCACCTGCGCATTCGACAACTACCGTCGCTTCGTCCTCGTCCTCATCCTTCCGCAACGTCTCCGCCTGTAATCGATGTCGTCTACGAAAGAATCGCTGCGACCAGCGCCTGCCGAGGTGTCAGTCCTGCGAAAAAGCCGGCGTCCGCTGCGTCGGATACGACCCCATCACTAAGCGCGAGATCCCGCGCAGCTACGTATATTTTCTTGAGACCCGGGTCGCCTATCTAGAAAAGCAACTGCTAGATCATAATATCAATTTCAAGAAGGCTGTCGCCTTCGACGAAGACGAAGCAGTCAAAACCGAGAATGAGGGCGATGCGCCGCAATCCACTTCCGCCCATAATGGACAACCGGGCGACAGCGCGGATAAGGCACATTGGAAGAATACAAGGGCCAAGGAAGAGAGCGATCGGTCCGAGCAGAGAGTAGAGGGAGATCTTGCAGATAGAGACCAAGACACTGCAAATCAAGAGAACTGGAGGATACATAATTTGGTATCGAATATTGGCATGGTATCCGTGCAAGGAACGTCCGATCCACGGTATCTTGGTTCAACCTCTGGAATCTCTTTCGCTAGAGTTGTCTTTGCTGCAGTGCGAAGCTCGCTCCCTGGGAACATGCCCGAGCGGGCTCCAATTCGCACCAGCGAGCGACTACCTCAAACGGCCGCGGCTGGTCCTGGGGCCGGCACGATGCGGGATTCGTTCTTTGGATTGCAAACGCGTCCGATGATGAAGCGGGCGGCTTTTCCGGACCGTGAGCTTGCAGAACGACTGGTCGATTTGTACTTTGAGCATGCCAACCCGCAAATGCCAATCATGCATCGTGGAGACTTTATGGAGCTTTTGGATCGCACATACCAACTTGAAGAGAAGAATCGGTCTCCACGAGCTCTTTATATCCTCAATATTGTGTTTGCCATTGGTGCTGGAATTATCTTCGAAGACAAGCCGCAAAACTCAGAAGAAGAAAATAGTGCGGGTCGGGATCGAGCATCCTCCACGACTAAAAGACCGAGACTTTCGAGCCATCAGTATCAACCCGAAGAATATCATGCGTCTGCCATTGTACACTTGGAATCGTTCCTAGGGTCATCGTCAAGCGAGGGCTTTGGCGGACTAGAGGAGCTACAAGCAGTTCTTCTGCTGGCTAGCTTTGCGCTATTGCGCCCAGTTGCACCGGGTCTCTGGTACATCGTCGGTGTCGCGATGCGCTTAGCAGTTGACCTAGGTCTACACTACGAGGACGGCGTAGGTCTCGAGACCACAAAAGATGGGAACCAGATCCAATCACGCATTGACGCTCGTGAACGGGGACGACGAGAATGGGTACGCGATTTGCGACGCCGTCTATGGTGGTGTGTTTACAGTTTCGACCGTCTGGTAGCAACATGTGTCGGACGGCCATTCGGTATCAGCGACCAGGCCATTAGCACGGAATTTCCGTCCATGATGGACGACCAATACATCACCAAGTCTGGTCTTTTGACTCCCCCCGACGGTGCTCCAACATATAAGCACGTCGCATTCCACTACTTCAAACTCCGCCTCCTTCAATCCGAGATCCACGACGTTCTACAATACCAGCAAGCGCGTGCTGTTCGAAGGCGTGCAACAGATAGCGCGATCATTCTCCCTCATGCTGAACTGACCTCTCCATTCCTTCAAGGGTTTGATTCTTTCCGCTCGTGGCGCCATGATGTGCACCGCCGTCTTGTCGAATGGCATGAGAGTGCCCCGACACGTCCTGATACGGGTGTTCGATTTTCTATTGAACTTCTGGAGCTGAACTACTGGCAAGCTATCATCTTGTTATACCAGCAGAGCTTGACCGTGCCTGCCGAGTTAGCTGGGGAACTGACCCCAGCTGATGATGTGTCTAGCCCGTCTTTCTCGAATCCAGATGATGGCGATGAAGAGGATCACGTTTATCTGAATGTAGCCGAGGCAGGCCAGAAGGTCATTCGCATATATCGACAGTTGCACCGAGTGAGGCTTGTGAATTACACCTATCTGGCTACTCATCACATTTTCATGGCTGGTATGTGTTACTTGTTTGATTCCAATTCGGTGCATAATTAATTTAATCCAGGAATCTCCTTCTTATATGCTATATGGTATTCGCCGCTGGTTCGCAGCCGACTGGTATGTCGCTCTTCAAGCCCCCACGTAATGTTTGATGCTAGATGCTAACAGGTCTTGCTTCTAGTCTCTCGATGAGGTAGACTTCACTGTCCTCGCCGCGACATCCGTCCTCGGTGATCTGATGCACAAGTGTCCCCCAGCGGAAGCTTGTCGTGATGCATTCGAGCGTATGAGCAAAGCCACCGTTCAGATGTGCTTGTCCACCACCGGATTCGGCTCCCAGGTTGATATGACCCGCGTACACACAGCCTCACATGCTCCTGGATCTCTTCACCAGGGCCGGCGCCAAGTATTTGATCCCAGACGACTAAATCAAAACCAAGCCCGCCGACCACCCCAAACCCGCTCAGCGCGACCCGTGCCAAAATTCGACATGAACCTGGCCGATCTTTTCAACGACAACACACCTCTCTCCGATCGCTCGCGTGCAGACAATCTGGCAGGTCACCCCTACCCTATCCGTTCGGAACATGGGGAATCAATGATGCCCGGACTAGCCGCCGAGGGTCCCTCCCGACCGTTTGTGCAGCGCACCCCATCCATGGAGTACTATCTCAAGTATGAGAACCCCGGATCTCCACAACCCCCTCAGCAATTCTACTACCCCACCTCTCCACAACCAAGTGGTTCCCCTGGCAGTGTGGCACCAAATACTGCAAATGGATCTCATGCTGTTTCGTCCGCAGATCAAGAAGGTCAAACCGGCATCAGTCTTGATTTCTTAGACTTTAGATCTGGAGATCCAGATAGCCAAGCTCATGAGGCGGATCCCAATGGCGATTATAATATGGCTAATGTGCCTCCACTTGGGCCTAATCTCGGCCAGAACGTGGGTATTGACCTCGGTTTTGGCATGGCAATGGATTTCCAGCATGATTGGAGCGAGAATCCGAACTATGATCTTTTGGAGGGTTATTTCTTTGGTGGCTCTGGGCCCGGCGCATCTGGCGGTGATGTTTGAGGGTTGACTCTAGCTCTTTTCCTTCCCTTCTATACCTCGGCTGAGTTTTCTTGGTGTTTTTCACTTCTCGATCTATATTTCCCTCTCTTCACTCATTGGGTGAACATTCCCTTTTGACTGATTCACTCTGTTAACCTCCTCCCCTACCTCATCCACCAATAGCTACTCTTATTTGGGAATTGGAAAGTCACAAGGTAATGGGAACAAGGATTGGTTTGCGGGAACAAGGGTGCGTTGACAATTCGGCCGTTTTGCTGCGTGTTTGAGTTTGGGATACCATATATTATACATTATATATTATTTTTCCATATACCATATACTTGAATCTACATAACTGACTCGGATATACCTATTGTTAATTCAAGTCTTCCACCTGGTGAAAAGTGGTGGTTCACTGTACTGGAAGTATAGGTATAGTATGTCGGTGGCCTAGATCGAATGCCTTGGGCAGCAACAAAACATCCCGCGGCAAAAACAAACACAAGCCCGCTTTTTTTTTTCTTCCCCAGCGCCAACTCAGCTCAACGCAGCCCCATTTGCTGACGGCAGTGCACCGACGGGCTTGGTTCGCATTGGCTGCTTCACCCACTCGGCGCGATCTGACGCTTGGACCTTAACTGCCTGACCTTAACTGCCTCATCAGGTGCCCACTGGATTTCAAGGGTCCCTCAGCCCCCTCGGATTCAACTGTCCCTTTCTTCGGTCTCACCTCACAGCCTCCATATCCTACGATCGAGGAACACTGTTGTGCCTGTTGGCCACGACCGCGAATTTACCACCCCTACTTGTCTCAGCCAGATCAAGATCTGATCAGCCCTATCGTAGCGGATCCTGCAGGCAACCGACTCCGCCGACAACCACCTTCGTTCTTTCAGGTCACTGCCTAGCCTCTCATAAACGTTGTACCTGCGAAGCCTTCAATCTCCCTTTCGGCATTCGTTCTGTCTCAACGACAACTTTCCGTCATCACCGGTATATTCCATAAGCTGTACCAGCACACTTGAAACAACGCCCTAGACTGGTCATGCATGGGATCCTCCGAGTGTTAAACGAAACCCCGATTATGTACCTTTGGTTCTGCTCAGCCCATTTACTCGCAACAACGAGATCAACATGGTGAAGGCAGACGTACGGAGGGATTACTATGCGGACTTGGGTCTAGCTCCCAGCGCGGAGTCTGAAGATATTAAGAAGCAGTTCCGGAAGCTAGGTAATTTTGGAAGCTGAGGAAATGTTATAAAGAAAGAATATGACACTGACCCAAGGTTTACAGCACTGAAGTACCATCCCGACAGGAATCCAGGAAGGGAGCAAGAGTTTATCGCAAAGTTCCAATCTATTCAAGCCGCCCACGAAATTCTTAGTGATCCACAACAACGACTCAAATATGATACAGACCGATTGCGTGCAGGATATGGTAAGGTATACGGTCCTCCGAGGACGAATACCCAGCGACGATCCCAGACCACACAAGCCCCCACAGCCCCTCCTCCGAAGGCTTCAAGGGCCCAGAATCAACGACCGGCTTACGATCCGTGGCCCAATGCCAGCACGACAACACCGAATGCGTCTGCCGGTGCCCAGAGATACTCTGCACATGCTCGTGCGGGCCCGCAAAAATGGACTCGGGGCCAGGATGATGCGCAAACGAGGGCCGACGCGTACAAGGGCTTTTCGGGGATGAGAGGAGGTTCTACTGCAGGAGCATCTTGGCGAGGCTTTGATCCTCAGACTGGACGTACGAGTGCTGGAAGTACAACCGCTGGCGCGTCAAGGCAGCAGAACACGCCCTTCGGGACACCGCGACCAAAATCCGCCTACGAATATTTCAAAGAAACTCACAAGGCGCAGAATACCACAAGTCCTAACTCAGGTAGGAAGAAGCAAGGATTTGCACCGGGAACCGCCGGTGGAGGAGATGAGCCTCCAGCAAGAAATACTTCAGCTTATACTCACAACCGAAGTGAGCGGCCGAGCAGCATGTATTTTGATTCTGTACCGCCACCAACCGCAAAGAAACCTCCGCCCGCACCTGAACCTCCACAATTTACTGAAGAATTTGAAAGAAACAGGAGAGGTTATGCGTCAACAGGAGGGGAGAAGACTTTCTTCTCCAGTACACCTTTTGCAAAACCTGCGAGTACGCGCCCACCTTCAGGAAGCTTCCGATCACCCAACACACGCACCAACCCACCCAGCCCGGTTTACCCCCAGGCAGACGGAAGACACCACAGTGCCAGCCCAAAGCCCAGACGGAGAGACAGCTACTCACCTTCCCCTTCCACCAGCTCAAGTGGCGAATCGCTGGAGTCGCAGGATGAATGGGAGGAAGTAGTGTCCAAACGCAACGGAAAACCCAAGGCCGTCCCCAAGAGTCGCCTTCCACCCCATCAAAAATTCTCGGATTTTTATCGGCAGGCAGACTCCAGCCCCGGAACTGGTGAGGAACCTTCTACCCGGTCAGGCGGCCATCGCTATAAGGACCAGCGCACGCCAACCAATGAACCCCGGAGACCTCGAAGGGTCGCTGGATTTGGAGATCTTACGGCTGACAGCGACGACAATAAAGGACATAATTCAGATAGCGCCGCGTTCACTCGAGGCTCCAATCGTGCCCAACAGCCTTCTCAGTCCACAGGCTCCACTGCTCGGTACGTGCGCCGCTGGTTTCGTTTCTGATTTAAGTGTATCCCCGACTCATTCACAAATAGGACCGACTCGGCACAGAATACGTATAATCCTCCGTCTGCAGCCTTTGGACGTCGGAGCACCAGTGATGTGAACAGTCTTCACAAGAAATTTTCTGCTGAAGACTGGAGAGATCACATTGAAGGCTTCGATTTCCTTGGCGCTTCAGCTTCGAAGCTGAATGCCGCGCGCAAGTCTCCCAACTCAAAGTTCCGTGGCCGTACCAAGCCCCAGTATGATTCTACAGATTCAGTGCCCTCGACAGGGTCCGCTGGCTTAAATGCATTTGGTAGTGTGCCTGAAGAAGAGTCCCAACAACCCGCGCAGAAGCCCCCCACGCCATTTGCACAGGCCAAGTTTTCGGCCGACCAATGGTCTGAGCAGCTACGTAATCTTTCTTGGGACGTTCCGGAGTCGGATAAGCAACGACAGTCGGCACACACTCCACCCCGGAGCCCTAGGAAACAGTCCAGGGCCGGCACCAAGGTGCGGAGTGCTCCGCAGGCTGCAAGTGTAGCTTCCGAAGCCGATGAGGCGAAGGAAACGATCAATGGCACCTCTGTCCCTGGTGAGGTTCCCAATATTGAAGAGGTTGATGGAAAGTCTTGGGCGGCCCCAGATGTGGAAGCTATGGATATCGATGTGGAATCACCATCCGCGGCAAAGAAGACACCTGTCGGGGGAGCCAAGAACGCAGGCTATCCGGATCTGAACCATGTCCCTCAAGCGGCCACTGCTACAAATGCAAAGGCCCAACCACCAAGGACTGATGGCAGCGCGTCAGAAAAAGAGACACGCACTCCACTGTTTGACCTTGATAACCTTCGCAACACTGCACCATTCACCAGCACTAATAGCGGTGGTATTGAGAATCTAGATGATGTCCACGCCACATTACCGTTCGAGTCTCGCGCAAAGCAACAGACTACAACCAAACGTGATATCCGGCCTCGCGAACTCATACTGCCCAATCCCCCGAAACGACCATGGGCACCACAAACTGTCGCCCTTTCCCCGGGAACAATGGTTCTCCCGCTTGAGAAATGGCAATACTACGTCTCACAAATGGGTACCTACATGCACGATTGGAACATTTTCAACCGCAAAATTATGTCTCATTTCAACGCCCGACAAGAGGCCGTCGAGACAGGTCTCTCATCCAATTGGATCAGCGCCGTCGGAGACTCAAGTCGCCTCAAGCTCAATGAAGACGACGAAGCAGACGAGAAGAGTGAGACCCGCACGGCGGACACATTCGATGTAGATGATACCCTTATCCCTGGAAGTGGCAAGGGAGGCTTCAGCGCTTACCTGCGCGGTATCGAGGAGGATGTCCAGGTGCGGAAGCATTGGGAGGTTGCATGTGAGATGCATCGGGAATGCATTCTTGATCTTGGACGACTCCGAGAGTGGATTCGAAATGGTGGGAAAGTGGTATCTTTCTCTACTATATGATGAAGATTAATGATGAGACTTGGATATCTACCTACAGTGGCTTCAATGGCGTTGGGTTAGAGGACTCTGCATGGCATGTTGGCATGGTGTTTTTTGTTTAAGTTCGATGAACAATACCCTAGATACCTATTTACATGAATTATAGTTCTGGTTCCTTGCATTCCTGTTCTAGTCAACTGCATGTCATGCTAGATCTGTGACTTCGATGTCTCGGTAATTACCACCACCTGGCCAGAAACTCTCATAGCGTGTAGTAGACTTAGATAAAGAGGGAGAGATGGGGTCTGTACTGTACACATTCAAGTTAGGTGACCGGTATTGAGCAGCCCGGGAACGGAGAAACTAACCACATCAGGTAATTTACAGATTCGAAATTACGAGAAAATAAAATAAAATACCAATGGGAGTGAGTCACTCTACAGTATTGTGAAAAAGTCAATTCCAGCAAGACTAGCGTGTCGCATCGGAAAATATTCAAGACAAAAGTGCACGGTGAGTCACTAACTAATTCTCCACAATCTCTTACACAGGTCTGCCCCAGCATTGTTGCAAAAAACACACACCGGAACTGACCGAACACCCAGATTGCCTGCCCCGCCAGCCGAAGCCGGACCTACTTCTCTTCCTCTCTAATTCTCCGCCACTAGCACCACCCTTCGTTCGCCAATTGCCAATCGAAGCGCAGCAATTGTTTTTTTATTGATAACACACCCCGCGTTTAGCAAATATGGTGTCCATCGTTCTTGGAAGTCAATGGGGAGATGAAGGTGTGTCAACCCCGCCTGTGCCCCGCGCTGTCAAGTGCCGCCGAAGACATCTTGAACGAGTGGATTACGAATGTTGAAACGCCTACTAACCAGAACTTCTTGTGATGAATAGGAAAGGGAAAGATCACAGACATGCTGTCGCAGCAGGCAACATTGTGCTGTCGTGCAGCCGGTGGTCATAGTACGTGTGACCTATGCGGGTTTAATTTTCAATTGCCCTTTGGACGAGAAAAAGTCCGGAGGTCATTAAAGGTCCAACCCTGAACCAACTGACTTTGTTATTCTTCAAACTATAGACGCCGGTCACACTATCGTTCACGAGAACGTAACCTACGACTTCCACATCTTGCCCTCTGGCCTCGTTTCGCCCAAATGTATTAACCTCATCGGCGCCGGGACTGTTTTCCACGTCCCCAGCTTCTTCAAGGAGCTCAGTCACTTGGAATCTAAGGGTCTTACTTCCGCTGGCAAGCGCATCTTTGTCTCCGACCGTGCGCACGTCTGCTTCGATCTGCACTCCGTCGTTGACGGTCTCGAGGAGAAGGGTCTCGGTGGCCGCAAGGTCGGCACTACTGGTAAAGGTATCGGTCCCTGCTACAGTGACAAGGCGGCGCGCCGCGGTGTGCGTGTTGGTGAGATTCTCGACGAGGCAACCTTCGAGCGCAAGCTGCGCACTCTTGACACTTCCTACCGTGCACGTTTCGGCGACCTGGCTTATGATGTTGAGGAGGAGATTGCGCGGTTCAAGGTATGGGAAAAACAGTGAAGCCCGATCATGTCTTGCTATTGTATATACATATGTGGGGCTTGGTTATTGTGTCGATATATGCTCACCTGCGCCAGGAATACCGCACCAAGCTTGCGCCCTACATCGTCGACCAACTTGAATTCCTGCAGGAGCACAAGAACTCCCCCAACACCCTAGTCGAGGGTGCCAACGCCCTGATGCTGGACCTTGACCACGGTACCTACCCCTTCGTTACCTCGTCCTCTACCGGCCTCGGCGGTGCCGTGCAAGCCCTGGCCCTGAACCCCCAGAGCATCAAGAACGTTATCGGTGTCCTGAAGGCCTACACCACCCGTGTCGGCTCGGGTCCTTTCCCCTCCGAGCAGCTCAATGCCGACGGCGAGAAGCTGCAGTCTGTCGGCCGCGAGTTCGGCGTAACCACTGGCCGCAAGCGCCGCTGTGGTTGGTTGGATCTTGTGCTCGCACGCTACTCGCACGCGATCAACCACTACACCGCTCTTAACCTTACCAAGCTTGATGTGCTGGACGACTTTGATGAGATCAAGGTTGGTGTTGCGTACAAGTTGCCTTGTGGTAAGCGGACGACTGGATCGTTCCCCGCCGATCCTAATGTTGTGGAGAAGATCGAGGTCGAGTATGTTACTTTGCCCGGTTGGAAGTCCAACACTATGGGTGTTACGAAGTATGAGGACTTGCCGGCCAATGCTCGTGCTTACATTGAGTTCATTGAGCGGGAGATTGGCGGTGTTCCCATTAAGTGGATTGGAACTGGTCCTGCGCGGGAACACATGATTGCTCGCGAGTAAGAACAAAACGGGGGACTTGACTTGTGATGATTTTTATGTTTCTTTTCATTGTAAGTATCTGCCTGCCTTAGAAATTTTCCCTTTTATGTTATTTTACTTGAGTTGGGTAGTATAAAGGTTAGGGTACGTGATCGAATTATATATACCTTTCATCCCACTTGAGTTTCCAAAGCTACCTCTACAGTGCACATACTTGCTAGCCTTCCAAATCAACTGATATAATCAAAATAAATCTATCGGAGGCTTAAGATCTATTAATCGTGGCTCTGTAAATTTATTATGCTTGAAAGGTTGGAGCAGGTCATCCTAAGGTTGACAATTGAGATAGTTTTTGACATAGATCCGTAATAGTACATTGTGAATTGATTATAATCTTTAATACAGAGGCCCATCATCAAAATTGCGGTATAAGACAAGAGGTGAGAAGTCAGAAAATGGGGAATCGACATATGATACATAGATGCCAAACGAGGAGACAGAACGCCGCCCAAATGCGAGGATGGGAAAACTCTATCAGGTTTCTTTTGCCACCAGGAAGGAAAAGCGACAAGAATCCAGAGATAAGCAAAGCTTCAATCACAACGGTATATCATCACTTTTACAGACCGTTCCCGATTCCTGATCGAATCGGGAAGACCTATTCAAAAAAACGGGAGGGGAAGCCACGCTCCTCACGGTCACCGCGAGATTCGCGATCACGTCCGAAAGAGCGCGAATCACGGTCACGTCCGAAAGAACGAGAGCCACGGTCGCCGCCGAAAGAGCGCTCACGATCACGTCCGAAAGAGCGCGAGCCGCGATCACCGCCAAAAGAGCGAGAGCCACGGTCGCTTCCGTAAGAGCGGGATCCACGATCACCGAAACCACCGGACCTCCTCTCAAACGAATCTCCACGTGGGGCGCCGAAAGAACGAGAGTCATCGACTCTAACCTCGGAAATTCTTCGGAGTCCAAGGTTTTTCACGAGGGCAGAGCTCAAAGCCGGAGGCTCTTCCATACGATATCCGTGGACGGCAAGTCGGTTGAGGGTGATAATAGCAGTGCGTTTGCTGTTAAAAGTATTGAGGGTGGAGCCCAGCTGGGCGCGGAAAGTGACAAACTTCAGGTCTGCGGGGACCTTGGTCATGGCTGTGTTGATAAGCTCAATGGCGTTGCGCGCGGCCGGAGGGGCAGACTCTAGATCCTTGGTCATATCCACAAGGGAAGTTTGCAGAGTCTCTTTATCCTGGTTGACAGGCATACCGTGACACTTGTCACTCAAGCTGTCGATCTGGTTGGGGTGAATGAAGACCCAGCCCTCACCGGTCTTGCCAGCACGAGCAGTACGGCCAGTTCGGTGGATGTAAGTTTCCCGGTCGTTGGGAACGCCAATCTGGATGACATGGGTGACATCCGGGAAGTCCATACCACGAGCAGTCACGTCAGAGGAGAAGAGAATAGCCTCACTGGCACGTCGGAAAGCCTCGGCAGCATAGGTTCGCTGATTCTGGCTAAGGCGCGAGTGAATCTCCAGGAATCGCATGCGACCTAGAGGGGCCGCCGAGGTATCCTCACGGCTGCCGCGGGGCAAATTCTGGAAAGCCTGAGCAGAGAGTTGAACCTCACTAGTGGAGTTAAAGTAGACGATCGCCTTGAATGGCCGCAACTCCGGGTCCTGCTGCTGACGCGCCTGATATTGTTGGGCAAGCTCGAGGACACCAGGAAGAGCGTTTTCATAGCCCGGCTGGAGAACAAACTTCTGTGGCACCTTCAAGTGGACCGGGGTCTCGTCATCACGAACTGTCTTGACATACTTGTAATCCGGTCTCATGGTTCGGTTAACCATCTTCAAAACTTCCTTGGGAACAGTGGCGGAGAACATCAGTGTCTGGCGGGGCACCTGAAGCGGATCCGGAAGCAGAGTCTGAATCTCATTGATTTCTTCAGCAAAGCCTTGGTCAAGAAGACGATCGGCTTCATCCAAGATGAGGGTGTTCAGCATGGGAGTCGATACGCCACTGCGAGGGTCGGAAAGGATATCCTTGATGCGACCAGGAGTACCGACCAGCAGGTGGCAACCCTCACGCTGGATCTTTTGAAGTCCGGCTCTCTTCTGTGTGCCGCCGACTGCGGTCTGGACCAAGAGACCAGTGCCAGGAATCATCTTCCGGGCTTCCGCAGCGATCTGCTCGGCAAGCTCACGAGTGGGTGAGATAATAAGGGCCCTGATATCATCAGAGTTGGCCCTTGGGCCACGTCTGTGTGCCTGGCTCTGGCCTTTTAATTTGAGAGTAGGATCATTCAGGATGTTCTGCATGGTCGGGAGAAGGAAGGCGAGAGTCTTTCCGGTACCGGTCTTGGCCTGTGCCAGACTGAAGAAATTGTCAGTAAATGAATCAATGTCATCTCAAATGGACCACCAAGCTTACATATCGTCACCCTTCAGCATTTGGTGGATGGTCTCGCTTTGGACAGGAGTCATGGTCTCCAGTCCCATGCGAGCAGGGTGTGTGAGGTTTCGGACGATCATTGGGTCAATGATATCATTTTCCTTGAGATCCGCGAACTTGGTGATCAATTCTTCTTCCTCGATCTCAGTGGGCACCGGTCCTGCGGCAGCCTTGAGGGCAGGGAATGAGGTCTGGAACGACCGGCTCAGACCAGGAGTCCGGATGGCCAAAGGCTGCAACTTGGACAGCTGAGGAGCCCATCGTACGGAAGGGGTGCGAAGCACAGATGTGCGGAGCGCCTGGGAGACGCCAAATTGGCGGAAAACACCAAGCATAATGGATGAAATTAATGTGATGAAAGGATGGCTATCGCAGGTCTCGTCGCGCAGAAAAAAAGGGAAAATTAAAACATGGATCACATGATGCTTATCGATAAGGGAGAGGCGACAAGTACCTGGATGCCTGAGGCTACAAGCGAAAAAAAAGAAGACAAGACCACTATCTACCTTGTACTAGTAGTTTCTCTCAATTTGGGGCATAATTCTTCGATTATTTTCAAATGGATATGTTGGTTGGATCATGGAAAAGCGACGACCACCATCTTACTTCACTTTACATGCTGAACAGCTTGAGATAAGGTCTGGACTCGATGGCCATGCTGAGTAAGCGATTTCCCCTTGAACCGCCACGGCGCACTGCTTATGTGCTTGACAAACTTCCTCGTCGCCCTAACCAGTGATGAAAGTCAAAATATATGAATGAAAGCTAATTTACTTTACCTCCCACATGACGGTGTGGGGTGGGGACTGGAATCCGCAGGAATCCCGCTATAAGAAGACTAGCCTCCCAACCACGGCATATTAGTATATTTTTTTTTCCTAACCCCTAGCTTGAGTTTCAACTCAACCTCTTCTCGCTGTTCAAGATGGTTCCCACCAATATTGTGATCATTGGAGCTTCCACCGTGGGCCTTACTGCAGCTCACGAGTTGCTGCGCGATGCCCGTAACTTGAACGCTAAGGTCACCCTTATCAATCCTTCGGCGACCTTTTATTGGAACATTGCTGCTCCCCGTATCGTTGCCAAGCCAAACGCTTTCCGAGCCGACGAGTACCTCCTTCCCATCAAGGAAGCTTTTGCCCAATATGCGGCGGATTCATTTGAATTCATCCTTGGGACTGCGACTGACATTGATACATCCTCTAACACCGTATCCGTAACCCCCAATGAGGGGGAAGACATGTCGCTGCCATACGACCACCTCCTGATCGGCTCGGGTGCCACCACTCCTGCCACCACTGGTCAAGTCACCGGTTCCTCTATTCCGTTCAAACACTCTGGACGTGACGATTTGAAGGAGGTTATCGAGGCAGCTCAGAAGCTTACCACAAGTGCCAAGAGCATTGTCATCGGTGGAGCAGGCCCAGTCGGAGTGGAGTTGGCTGGTGAACTTGCCGAGGCCGCCGCAGAGAACTCCAGTGACGTTTCCATCACGCTAGTCTCTGCGACAGACCGTGTTCTGCATACGCTCAAGTCATCTGCTAGCTCAGCCGCAGAGGGTCAGCTCAAGAAGAAAAATGTCAACGTGATTACTTCCACGCGTGTTCTTGGAGTTGAGGCTTCAGGTGACTCCTGGATTGTCTCCTTAGATAGCGGTGAGAAGCTCACCACCGATCTTTACATCCCGACCACCGGCTTCATCCCGAACAACAGCTTCATTCCGGAGCGCTTCCTCGCCACTGAGGGGTGGGTTAGAGTCGATAAGGAATTGCGCGTGCTGTCTTCGGAGAGCTCAGGCACCTTGCCGATTTATGCGGCGGGCGATATCACCACCAACTGGATGCGACTTAGTTTCAAGGCGGCTGAACAGGCTCGAGTTGCGGCCCACAACATCAAGGTGGATATTCTAGAGAAGGGCGAACGCAAGTCTTATGATCAGGGCGATAGTGTCATGATGGTCGTGCCGATTGGCGAAGCTGGTGGCACTGGGCAGATCTTTGGTTTCGTTCCGTGGGGCTTCATGGTCAAGATGATCAAGGGCAAGGACTACTTCATGTCCAAGGCACCAGATTACCTAGCAGGCAAGGCTTAAGTGAACCTTTGCGCATTGGACAGGCTTATGAGTTGTTGATGTTTGATACCTTTTAGCATTGCTTTTGTCTATAATAGAATTGAATGATGATCACGAGACAAGATTATAAAGACTTGCGCTATGAAGGGATATTAGGTATATTACAAGTACTTATGCACCCCAGACCAGATTTATAGTAAGCATGCAATCTGAGATAGGCACTGCAGAGTCTCTAGGCTAAATGGTGAGAGCCAATAAAAGAAAATCATGTCTGAGATTGATCCACTTCGCCTCCCCGCTATCATGCCGGAATCGGTAGTCAGCTCCGTGATGAGAAATCAAAAACGCGACTTTTCGATTTTCTCTTGCCAACGGTCAGACTCCTAAAGTGACCCTGTAGAACGGTCCTCCTGCCTGGAATGGCCGTGTCCGTCGGCCAGATTGTTTTCAGTTCCTCCGGGTCCCACTACGGGCGACCCAAGGGTCTCCGCTCAGAAGGTTGCCCAGGGTACTGAGAGCTTTTCTAGAGCTTGCATGGTGGCGAGCATGGATTCCTTCGCTTTTATTACAATTATGAACAGCATCTATGCCGATATGTGAAAATGCACACCTACAATGTCACTTTGACCTGATCTAGAAGTGGATCCAGGACTTTGCTGTTCAAAAAAACCCTATAACCTTCTCGAGAAGCTTCTCCGGGACCCATCGGTAGCTGTACCATTGCTTTATAATGGTAATGACGAATCTTGATTTTTGCCTCGGTCCCTCTCTTGCCCCGCCAGAAGGTCGTACATGGTCCCATTTATAAACCCAAGCATTGCTCGATTTTCCTCAACAATCAACCAACACATCTACATACCACCCCACCCACCACACCTGACATCTCTCTCTCACATATCAATTTAATTTACATCATGTCGAACAAGGCACTCTTCTTCAGCAAGATCCCCCAGCCCCAGCAATACCCCAAGGCTGGCGAGGATCTCACCATTGGTGAGGTTGGTTACGGCTCCGACGTTGCTGCTCCCGAGAATGGTATCGTCCTCAAGTCCCTCTACAGCAGCTTTGACCCCTACATGCGAGGCCGCATGCGTGCTCCCGAAATCAAATCCTACTCTCCTCCCTTCGCCCTTGGCCAGCCAGTGGACACCGCCACCATTGGCAAGATCCTGCGTTCCAACAATGACAACTTCAAGGAAGGCGATCTGGTGATCGGCCACTTGCCCTTGCAGGAGTACGTCGCGGTGGATAGCCCCAACATGGCGCGTGTCCGCAAGATCGAGAACCCTCTGGGTCTTGAGGATATCCGTGTTTTCTTGGGTCCCCTTGGCATGCCGGGACTGACCGCTTACTCCTCGCTTTACGACATCGGCAAGCCTAAGAAGGGCGAGACCATCTTCGTCTCTGCTGCCAGTGGTGCCGTCGGCCAGCTGGTCGGTCAGCTAGCCAAGCACGAGGGTCTGCGTGTGATCGGATCCGTTGGCTCCGATGACAAGCTCGACTACATTCTTAACGAGCTTGGTTTTGATGGCGGTTTCAATTACAAGAATGAGAAGCCTGCTGATGCGCTCAAGCGTCTTGCCCCCGAGGGTATCGATATCTACTACGAGAACGTTGGCGGAGAGCACTTGGAGGCTGCCCTGGATGCCTTGAACAACTTCGGTCGTGCCGTTGTCTGCGGCATGATCTCGCAGTACAACTCTGCCCCCTACCCGATCTCCAACCTCATCAACATTGTTGCCAAGCGCCTGACATTGCGTGGTTTCATTGTCGGTGATGCTAACATGGGTCCTGTTTACACCAAGGAGCACCAGGAGAACGTGCAGAAGTGGATCAAGGACGGATCTTTCAAGGTTCTGATCCACGAGACTGAGGGCATTGATAATGCCGCTCAAGGTCTGATTGATATTTACCACGGCAAGAACATGGGCAAGGCTGTGCTGAAGTTCTAGACGGTGAAAATGGTGGTGGAAATAATCGAATAATGAAATGCCTGCAACGATACTTATTTTTTTATTTTCTTTTGTTATCTTAAATTAGAACATGGATTAGGAAGAGCCGGTTATATGATCAAATCTTGTATGTCGAGATTAGACATGGGTAGACCCCAGGAAAATATGAGATGACATCCTAAAATCATTCAAGAACATTCGGCTATAAGAATCAAGCCTCCAATATTGGTAGCTTCTCTAACAAGTACCTCTGAATAGCACATAGTTCCATCCCCAGATCCGGCAAAGAGTTTAATCCCGCCCGCATCGGCCAATTTCGGCTGCGCGGGAACCTCTCGACCAATCACCTGACCCGTAAATGGATGACATACCGAGTCGGACTCCCGAGGTTGTCCCTACTTCATCCTTGTGCACGAAGTTGACCAAAGATCACTCCATCTCCCCTCCAACTCGTCACAATGGCTTCATTCGCGCGTTCGTCGCTGCTCCGGCAGTCCCTTGCGACCCGGTCGCCCTTCATGCGCCAGAACATTGGCGTGTCGCAGGCCGTGGCTTTCCACGCCTCCGCCCGCAAGCAGATCCTGCCTCCTCTGCCCCGTAAGTTCAGAGCATGACTATGGTGTTTGGTGGTCGAAAAACTGCCGGCACCGTATCTGGTGGTTTGAATGTGCTCGCTAATTGCTTTTTTCTTTGCTTTGCACAGAGTCCATTGAGGGAACCAGTATGTTCTTATCCTGTACCGAATCTACATTTCCGACGATTGTCCCGCCACGATCTTGAGTGATGTCTATCCTCCGCCGCTATCGGAAAATGAATATCGTCAACATCTGGCGGAGCATGAACCGGATTCAACTGAGGTTATGATGGGTACTAATCATCTATGACAGTGAACGACCCCGTCCCGGTCCCCTCCCCCAGCCCTATGCACGGCAGCTACCACTGGACTTTCGAGCGGTTCGTTACGCCTTGAAATCACCACGGAACCGGGTGATATAACTGGAACCAGGACTGGGTTACTGACATGCAATTTTAGCGCCGTCTGCGTTGGTCTGATCCCCCTCAGCATCGCTCCCTTCGCCGCCGGTTCCCTCAACCCCGTCATGGACGCCGTTCTCTGCACCCTCTTGGTCGCCCACTCCCACATCGGATTCGAGTAAGCACCCGTTCGCATCCGCAGCCGCAATCTGTGATTCAAATTTATGAACGGATTCTGACATCATAACAGGGCCGCCATTGTCGACTACTTCCGTCCCCAGCGTGTGCCTAAGTTCTACTCTCTCTGCCAGTGGCTTCTGCGCGCCTTCACCCTGACCACCGCGGTCGGTTTGTACGAGTTTGAGACCAACGATGTTGGTGTTACTGAGGCTCTGCGTCGCATCTGGAACGCATAGAGTGGAGTCGTGGATTTGAAAAGGGTTGTTTTGGGTTCGTTTTTAATCTGGTTCCAGGCGTTTCGCCTATGTATATGTCCTTGAAACACAATCTCATTTGTCTCGCCCGAATACTTCGGTGCTGAATACTTCAATATTTGCTTCAATGTTGGCGGATTAGGACGTGCAGTTCTTGTCGTAGGGCTTCTTCATATGCCTTTCTAGTCCTATCCACCGAAAGTTCATCAGTAGAGGATAGTAGCATGTTTTCCGACGATCTATTAAAACATTTACCAAAACGACCATGATATTGATCCTTCAAATTGATGCAGATCCAGGTAGATCCTACACAGGCGATGTTATCGTCCTGATACAAAAGTGATGAGTGATTGAACGCTAGGGGCCCTCAAATCACCTTGAAACTTGCTATGATGAACATTTGAAACAAGGCCCACACGTATGTAGTATAGCAAAACCGAAGAGGTATGTTCCATTTTATCTATCCAAAATAAGTGCAAAAAGCCGCCCCGCAGACAGGACCATATCTAAATGCTCAAATGTTCACCATAAAGCCATAATATAACCAAACCTACCTACAAGGCACCTTTCATGCATCCTCCTCGTCCTCCTCAGCCATCTCCAAAAGCGGATCGCCCTCCAAACGATCCTCGTCATCAGCCTTCTGCATAACAGTCTCAATAAGCTTCAAAGTAGCCTTAAGCGGCAACCCAATCACATTATCATAACTCCCCTCAATCTTCTCGATAAGGATTGACCCGAGCCCCCTGCAATCCATACCCACCCGCCTTATCCGCACCCTCGCGCGTCCGCACATAAGCCATAATCAAATCATCCGTCACATCCCCATCAAACCGCACATTCGTCTCCTCAACCACGATCTCCATCGCATAACCCGGTTGCCGCGCACTAGCAAGAGGAGCCATAGCAACAATAGCAGTGTAGACCTTGTGATCGCGCGCGTCGCGCAGAGCACGGAGCATAGAGAAATGGTGTGCCTCTGAGCGAGGTTTCTCCAAAATGGACTCTGTAGTCACGTCGACGACGATAGTGTCCGCAGCGATGATAAGAGCAGGCTCGCCTTTGACTTCGTTGTCGATCTCCTGGCTGTACACTGCCTGTGCTTTCTTCGTTGCTGTTGCTAGGACATACTCGACTGGACCGAGGGATTTGGGGAGATCCTCCTCAGCGTTTGAGGGGAGGATTTCGATGTTGGGGAGACCGAGATAGGAGATTATTTGGCGTCTGCGTGGTGATTGGGAGGCGAGGATCACTCGTTTGCTGCGCAGGTCGTTGAGCGCGGGGAGGGAGAGTGGTGGTGGGCGTGGGAGTGCCCCGCGGCCTGGGGCCAGGGTAGATTTTGTGGATGGGTCGTAGGCGGGTGGGGAGTCGATTGGGACCTCGTCATCGAGGAGGTTTGTCTTAGAGGTTGACATGGTCTTTTCTTGGGTTTTTGTTGGGTTGGGGGTTGTTGGAGCCAGGTTTTCGAGCTTTGCGGAGGACGATGCTTGTCGTGCCTAAGCGGTTTTCCCCACAGTGATCATCCCCTGATTGGCGGCTGACCTTCTTGGTCTATAAACGGCGGATTTCCACTTAGTGATCTGCATTTCTGATTTGCATCTAAATTGGATCGCTGACTTGAAATTACAATGGAATGAGAGTGACCGATCCATGAGGTCAATGATCACGAACTTTAGAACCCTGGAAGGCATGCATTAGACCCAGCCCAATACTAATAAAGTCAAAAATGCCCAGTCTAAGATTCCGCAGCATTGAGAAATCGGCTGTGCAATACTCTTATTACGCATTTTGCTGGTTACACTATCATCACCAAAACTTCCACTATTCTCTCCGCTGCAATGGCTGCTCTTGCGAATGATGGAAACAGCAACTGGAAGGCCAATGCCAATGATCTCAACTTCTGTGACTGGAGCTTGAGAAGGGATTTAAGCTACACATCAAAATTCCCAAGATTGCAGTGTAGTACAGAGCTTTGACACGGATAATAAATGTAAGGTATTGAATTCAAAGCAAACCGGTACAAGACGCCCTCATGCCCAGGTGGCTCCAGAGCTACACCCATAAATAAAGTAACATACATTCTGCCTATCCCAAATTGTACAGAGAACGCATATGGAGACAAATATTAAAAAGCAATTGACACCGGAAGAAATCCGCCACATGACGGAGAAAGGGGACCACAATTTGACTGGAGCTATTGAACGGAAGCGACTGTCAGGGTGATCGTCAAAGCAGGCCATGAAGTGCGATCATGATCTGACCGGTCCGAAGAACCGAGCGACAGCAAAAGAGATTCGTTTGATTCATTTTCATTTTCGTGTGGGTGAAGAGGCCCGCCTCCCGAACCTCGGCACATCCATGAAGCGCCAAGGTCATCAACCACAATGGCAAAAGGATTGCAAAACACCACAAACAACGATTCGAAACGACCGAGCCCGCCGAATTGAAAGAAAAATAGAAATTCGAGTGCCTATGAAGGCCGCAGGGAGTCGTCCACATGGCCGCCTTTGCTTTCAACCTCGGCAATGAGGTTGTGTCGCTCTTGCAGCTTCTGATGCATGTAGTCAACTGTCTTTTGTAAAACAACACTCTCGCTGCGACCCTGTCCTTCCAAACCAGGGACCAATTCTGTTAGGCGATCGAAGCCCTCTCGGATCGCGGCACGGCGCTTCTGTTCCGAGGCGATGTGATTGTTCTTCTTCTCTTGGTCGGTCAAACGAGGCTTCTCCTTCTCCTGACCAGACACAGACTTGGATGCTGCTGTGGGGGTCGAGGAGGACCGGTCATTCTCGTCGTCAGGGTTCATTGTGGAGCGTAGTGAATCGGCCGAATGGAAGGAGCGACAGGTATGAGGGGGAGGGAGTTTAGATGAAGATGCGCAAGATTGACGTTAGGGTAAAGTTATCACGTGCTCTGTGTTTCCTTTCGCCCAAACGCCTTAAAACGTGCCAGAGTCGGGGAGAGGGTGAACAGGGGACCGAGCCGAGTGGGAGAGGACAAAATGCGATAGCGATAAGAGTTGAATGCGGAGAAACCCAAGTCGGAACTCGAGTCTTGGCACTCTTCAACGTCATAGAGAGGGTCCACCTCACACCCTGTTTGCTATTTTTTTTCTTCTGCTTCTATCTCACCACTTCTTCTCAGAATTTTACAAAACTATACTCACAACAAAGCTACAGATCTGCGGGTCAATTGCCCGAACAGTCATTAATTCCCTCCCAAACCGCTTTCATCTCACCCACCTCACCGTTCCTTTGTACTACCCTACAAGATGGGCTACGAGCCACTCCATGGATCATGCTCCTGTGGTCGCAATGAGTACCAAATTACGATCCCTGATGACGTGACAGAGCATGCACAGGTTTACTTTGACAGCAGCAGAGATAATCGTAAGAATTCCAAGCTCCAAGCTCTAGTTACTCCGCATCCCGCTTATACATCATAAGGCCGATTCCACGGCACGCCATTATCGGCCTGGCTTCGTGTTCCACTGGACTGGTATCAGTCCCACACTACTTCTTTTTACCCCGACGAGACTCACGACTCAATTCGCCGCATCTTCACCCCACACCATGCTCCACAAACTCGGCGCATCTTCTGCGGTTTTTGTGGTACGCCGTTGACCTTCTGGACTGAAGAGCCTGCCGAAGAAGCGGAATTCATGTCGATTGCAATTGGGAGTCTGCTCGGGGAGGATCAGCATGCCTTGGAGGACCTTGACCTGCTACCGGATGACTTTGATGAGGATGCACAGCACGCCGATATCTCGACTTCGTCTGCTCTTACACCTTCCCAAGGAGAAACATCTGTTATTGTACCCTCTTTCTCAGATGAGCCGGTCCTATCCCGAAGCTTCCGACGTGGTAAGATTGACGGCATTCCCTGGTTTGAAGAGATGGTAGAAGGAAGTCGACTTGGTCGATTGATGCGGGCGAAACGTGGAAAGGGAGTTAGCGATGATAACTCTACTTCATTCGAATGGGAGATTAGTGAATGGCATGACGATGGCACCCGTGGCATTTCACAAGAAGAATCTGACTCCAGTGATAAAGCCACCGGGAAAAGAAAAAGGGGGAACCAAGGGGATGCCCAACCTCGATCAAAACGAGCATTAGACTAAAAGTCTTGATGTATTGTTCAATTAGCTCGGCGTAATGTGATCAAGTTCAAGTACGATATTTTGATATCTGGGAGTTGCGTTTTCAAAATTCGTTATTTATGGATGTCAATGCCAGACGAACTAAAAATTGAAGTTAAGCACTGTTCAGAAGTGACTAGGACAATGTTCTCCTTCAAAGGATAAAAGGCCCAGCGCATACTGGATATACTCCAGTATGTATTGGGTCTGAAAGAAGGAGTATAGTAGCCACTTCCCTCGATGCATTGGAGACGACTTCCCACTGTTCCTTCTCCGCATACTCATCCTAGGCTTCAATTTCCGCTGCCACCGTTGTCAGGAGTAGATGATCATTCTGATATTGGATCAAGATAGGGAAAAACAGATATGATGCGTTTTTGGTCATTTGATTGCCAAAGGCCCAACGATTTTCTCAGTGACAAGAATACTGCGTCGTCATAAAAAATAGTACTGTTCTGGTGGCGTTGTCTTTCACTGAGCTTTTGATGTTAGCTCAGCCCAGATGGAGAGAAATTTGGAGCAAAAAAAATAAGGAAAAAGGTACGTACTCAATTCACTTTCCGTTCCCAAATACATTTGTTGACATCGCTCAAGATCTGTCGCGTCCTCCAACCCTCCACAACCCTCGATGAGTCCACAACCAGTCCACGCTGTACGGTTTAAAAAATAAAAACTCTTCACAATGGCGAAAAAGATGTTTCAGCTTGCCAGTGTTCGTGGTATGTTATTTCAGTATTCATAGAAACATTTTCACGCATACTGACTTGAGACTGGAAGCTGAACCCTCCTATCGTTTACCCAACTCTCCTTTCTCTCCTCGCCGCCGTGATTCTGGCTCTCGGATCCCTCGACCTAAACCGACTGTGGCTGTTCGTCTGGATGAATCTGCTCTGGATGCTCTAGAGAATTCTGATATCTCGGATATCAGTGATACCTCAATTCTGGAATTACCGAACAGTGATGAGCGTCCTCTATTTATTACTGCAATCCCTATGCATGCTCGACGAGATAGAAAGACGAAACGGCTCCCTCTTGACAATCAAGCCTCTGTACAAGCCGCAAGTGTCAGGCTTGTTAATATCAGCCGAGGTAATTCACAGGCCAGCACTGTAGATTCCACCAGAAACACTTCCCACGGCAGTCATACATCACCCACAGAACTTTCGACCATCAGCGAAAAATCAAAATGCAGCACAACAACAAGCTCAGACTACCATAGCTTCATACAGACTGATGGGCCTCTTCTTCGCTTATCCTTGAGTGCCGACAGGATTATTATGGGTGATGAATCTCGTTCCATGTCTCTTCCAAACATTACTGATGAACGCCGATCACGAGGCATCTTCCGTCCACAAATAATCCAGCATATCGACTCGTTGAATGACACCCCGAGCGATATCACCAGCAAGCCTAGCGAGGGAAAAATGGAACCACAACATGGCCCTTACCACAATCCGTTCTTTCCAGAAGGAACAGTTGACGCATCACCCAATCCATCTATGGAATGTCTCAATGGCGATCCCATCAAGCATGGTTCAATCTCAAAAAAGATCAATGATAGGACTGAATGCGGGACTGCATACTCGATCCCGGCTTTCCCCCCACGCACTTCATCCTTAAATGCTTTGTCAAGTTTGAACAGCAGCCCCGAGAAGAAGGAAGCCTGGAGCAAGATCTCTACCGTCAATTCGGGTGGTAAGGTTGAGGCTAGTGACAATGTCACTTTCTTGGATATCTGCCAGAGTCATCCTGAGATAGAAGGTAAAATCATTCATACAGGCGTTGAAATAACTTCTAATGGCAGGGCCATCCGGTCAGAAAAAAGACATACAGAGCTCCTGCGCCACGGATCTCCCGAGTTATTGGTGGTATTCGGAGTGCCTTTACCCGAACACGCTCGGAAAAGCACTCCAAGTCCCCATCGACATTCGACATCGTTAATAATCCGATCCCAGCCTCTCGTCAAGCACTTCATACTCCTACTACCAGTCAGAATTGCAGCCCCAAGAAAGGCTCTACAAAGAGACCCTTTGGTACTCAACTTCTACCATCCCACAATTCTGAACAGTTCAGAGAGCTTGGATCCACCGGGTTGGACAGTATTCGCCAAACCCTGAATGGCCTTGGACGATTGTTAGTGGAGGACGATGATATTGAGCGGCGGAGAGTATGGTACCGAGTAATTTTGCATCCATATTACCTTTTTCTTGAAAACATGAAATGGGCGACAGCTAACATATTACCTTTGATAGGAGCTCATTGGCCTTTACGGTCTTCTTGCCGACTTTGACAGCCGAGATCTTCGCATCGGAGAAGCGGCCTCCCTCGTTGCACAAATGCGCGCAGAAGCATCACTGCGTCGGTACGCGATGATGCAACAAGTTCACCAGATTTCCCAGGACCATGATGCTTTTTCTGCTGCCGAACTCCCAAGTGATCGGATTGTCGAGGATTGGGCGCACACAAGCCGATAGATTTTGCCCTTGGTTTGACTTGTGTTGGAAACCGAAGCTCGGACGTGTGAGTGGTTTCTGATATCTTACCATCTGTCTATGTGGAGATATGTTTTCTTACTTCTTATGGTTTTATGAGTACGATTGATGTGCTGATACGAATGATATGTGAGGAATTTGTGTGGATATGTTAGGTTCCGAATCCTGATCAATGATCAAATTTTCATATTGCAGTAACCAATTCTAACATTCTGATCCACCCGTAGCCCCTGGCCTCAGATATGCGATGCATTATCACAGCTTATGTGCAGTAGCCTAAACTTGCAAGGCCAATTACTTCCAGATAATAAAACCATGCAAGGCTGATATTTTGTATGTTTTATGACCAGTCATTACAAATGACAGACAGTAGAAAGTAGAAGAAAGTGCACAATTATTGTTTTCATATTGTCGCTAATCCAAAAACCAACCTACCGGCAAGGAAAATTAAGGCCTAAATAACCCTTTTCAGGCGTGCGCCATACGCCGATAAATCATGCAAAAAGCCGAACCCAGAAGCCCATTTGTACAGGTCCATCATCTTTTGTAGCCATCTAACCATCTATATTTGAGACCCTCTAAGCCCGAGAAGATTGAATAGGCCACTGAGGCTGAAGGGCACGCTCCTTATCAAGAGCCTGGTGCTCACTCCCACGCACGCGCAGGGTAACACCAATACCAAGAAGGGTAATGACAACAGCGAATTCCATTAGAACACTCATAATCAGAGTAACGGTCTCGTTTCCACCGACCATGCTGAAGGTGCCGTTGTCCAGGAACCAAACCAGGGTACCGTAGATCACACGGACAAGAATGAAAGGCGAGGAGATAGCGACAGCGAGCAAGGTACGGCTCTCACCGGGCTCAAGACCGCCACGACGGGCGTTGAGAATTCCGAGCAGGAGCACCATGAATACCCAAGCGACAATGTAGAGGACCATGCCGATTTTGGCTTCAATAGATGGCTTGATATCGCCGCCGTCTCCCATGTTCAGGGTGATACCCGTGATACAGAGAACTAGGGCGACTATGTTGAGGAGGCGAAATGCGCGGAAAGTTGGGAGCTCTGGGAGACCGTGACCGGTAACCTTCTTTATGGAACCGTCGCTGTTTTGGAATTAGTGTTTGTTGACAGATCAAACCGGGGCCTTAACTTACGCTCGAGAGAGAAGACCAGAACAAGCCATCAGCATTGGAGTCAGACCGATTGAGCTTGTAACGGCATAGGTAGTGTATAATGACGTTGAGTTGTTGTCGATTGTGGCGAGGTCACAGCAGGCGCCGATGATGCGAAGGAGAGTGAAGACAGTAAGGAAAATGAAGCCGCTGTTTGTGCGGATGCCATGGCGAAAGACGAGGAAGATGGAGACAAAGATGGAAGGGAAGTAGATGATTAGTTGAAGGATTGAGATCCCATTGCTGTAGTCGACCTTGCCCATTGTGGTTGTGATTCGGGGGATGTGTAGTTAAAAGCTTGATAGAAGCAACTATTCCAGATCCAACAATGAATCTCGATAAAAGAAGTCGAGGAAAGCTTGAGAGGTCTGATCTAATGATGGTAACGACCATGGGAAACATGGAGTTCTTATATAGAGTCTGACTAACTACCTGCATTCCCATTTTCGACTAGCTCTTGTGGCTGTGGCCAACGCTCTCAAAATGACCCCGATTGGGAAGACAACCCATTCAAGCAAGTGTCACTAGCGCTGACGAGGCACCACTTTTTTTCTCTTCCATGTTCCTTGTCGTAAGGCGCAGTTAAGCTTTAACCACAACCTCTTTACCCGTTTTGGTGGAATTCGCGACGCTATTCCCAATCGGGGATGCACAGCGAGAACTCTAAACCAATCAAGCCACGTTGCTGAGGCTTCTCATCCCTGCACGGAAGCAAGGGGTTGCGATTGGCTGCGGTGAGCTAAGTGGGTCATTATCATCGCGAAATCGTGCCTATCCACACACCTAACACAATTGAGCCTCGATGCTACGTTCGAGCAAGAAATGAACTAACGTCACTGTAATTATAATTGGAAAATGGAGATCCCGGGGCTTGTTGGTCTCTGCTGAAAATTACACATCTATACATCTAGACCTTTCCTAAACGAGTAACGCTCATTATCGCCCCCAAAATAAGGATTCGTGAGAAATTCCCCGCCTTCCACATGGGCAGTATGATGAGCGGGCAATTGCACTTTTCAAACATTAGTCGACGTCACAGGGGGACAAAGTGTGTTTGAGAAGCTCGGAAACCGTATTCATTGACCAATCATAGGGACTGCGTACTATCTAATACGGCCTGCATTGCAAGGATGGCATTAGATATTAGAAAGACTATTGGCAAAAGATGAACTGTGGGTATTTTAATCCCTGTCCAAGACCTATACATAAATTTCCCTAGTACCATGTCGCAGATCGTATATAGATAAAGCAAGCGGATCCCGGAGGCTTCCGTGCCATCTTCGCGGTAAACCCGACCTGGTTGATTGTCTAATATCGGGAATCATCTTCATTTCGAATTGTTGCCACTGACCCGTGGCCAGGAACATTCTGACTTCTCAAAAAAAAAAAAAAAATCAACATAGAGCTTCTGCGTATCGATTACGTATGTTCGATTTAAAGTCTGTAACTAGAGGTCAAATGCTATATCAAAAGTGGCTATAAGTTGCTTAAACTCAGGTATTATAGTCCCATAGTCCATATGTGCCTAACGGTACCCGCTTAGTGGTCCAAGACGATTGATTTACTAGGTTAAATAGAGATTTACCATGTATTCCCTGACCCACTCGACTCTCTCAAAGATTTATGTTGCAAGTCCAAGGAATGCAAATGTTGAACAAAAAGAAAAAGTTTCATTACTTATGCATGTCTATAAAGTCAGATCGCTCAAAACGCTCAAATGAATCGCTGCAACTCTTCTTCGAAAATTCCACTCGTGTCACACATTCCCCTAAACACACCTCCCAAATCCCAGAGCTCACATGGCGTCCCAAGCTCCACGATAGTCCCCTTGTCCATAACACACACACGGTCATAATTGATAATTGTTCGAATACGGTGTGCCACCGTAATCACAGTTTTTCCCTTGAACGCTTCGACCATGGTTTTCTGGATCTTGTCATCTGTCTCCAGATCCACACTTGAGGTTGCCTCATCACACACAACGACCTTGCTGTTTCGGACGAGGAGACGTGCTAGCCCGAGTTGTTGACGTTGGCCGTGAGAAAAGTTGGTTCCTTCTTCTTCAACAATATCATCCAGCTGGACCGTGTCAGCTAGCCATGCCCCGCGCAGAGCGAGCCAGAGTTCTTCGTCGGTGTGGGTTTTCAATGGGTCGAGGTTGCTGCGGACCGTACCACGGAATAGAATTGAGTCTTGAGGCTGAATAGATAGACGAGAGCGGAGGTCCTTAAGTGGAAGTGTTGAGATGTCAACGCCGTCAATAGTGATGCAGCCTCCAGAGAGCTCACATGTCCGGAAGAGTGCTCCAATGAGGGAAGACTTTCCGGCACCAGTACGCCCCACGATGGCGACGTGTTCACCGGGCTTGATAGAAAGGGTCAATCCACGGAGGACATTGGGAAGTCCTTCACGGTAACGCATATGCACATCTCCGAAAGTAATGCCTCCTTGCTCAGGCCAGGATTCTGGAGCAGGTACAGGTGGAGTACCGTTGTTACCCTCGATGGGAAGACTGTCACCGGGTCCATAGGCATGAATCCGTTCGGTAGCATTCATAGCATTCTCCACGTTGGCCCATTGACGGATGATGAATTGCAGAACCTGTGCAGCACCTAGGGAGTAGCTCAACACGACGCCGGAAATTGCAGGGTTCTGAGTAGATCGCTGCAGTACAACCAAAACCCCAGCTGCAACGATCAATAGGACACCAACAAAATCCAACCTGATTCCCAGCCATCGCTGATTAGCAGAGGTGAGGAAGTTTGCACTGTTCATATCGTCGATTGCACGCTGCAATGATTTGGAGAATTGCTTTTGCATAGAGTAGGTGCGGATAGTAGTCACACCGGAAAGTGTTTCAGAGAAGCGGGCTAAAACAACACCACGCAAGATGGACTCATGACGCTTGAGTTCACGTGCAGAGGCACGGTAGTAGAAAGCAGAGAAAAAGAATATAGCAGTACATGGGACAAGGGCAATCCCGAACCAATGGAACTCGGACACAATAAGCGAAAGAATTCCCAAGACCATGGCTGTTCCGACCATGAACAATCTCAGAGATTCTGGCAGCGCATCATCCATCACATAGACGTCCTTTGAGAATCTGTTGACGATGCGTCCTAGTGGCGTGGTATCGAAGAACCAGACTGGCGCGCGCATAATCTTTGCGGTCGCTTTATCAAGCATGACGTTGCTAGCGCTAGTGCAGAGAACTGAAATGCAGAGACCGAACAGGTAGAGACAGATGGCTTGACATACACCCAAGGCGACGTAGATAGCGATGTACGTGTTGTTTTCGAAGCCAAATCTGTCGGATGCCCACCAGGCGAGCCACATACCACAGAGCAGAGCGCTGCCTTGGGCGAGACACAGAAGTGGGATGGCTAGAATGATAGCGATGGGACTCCGGGAACAGGCAAGATAAGATGTGTAGACTGCCCAAGGAATGCCGCCATCAACTTCGTCCTCACTTTGCATGAGCTCGGGCATGGTGTCGTCTCCAGCCAACTTGCTCACCGTAGTAGTCACTTCTTCAGGCTTGTCGGAATTTTTCTCAGCATCTTCCTTCGTTGCCTTCTCTCGATTTCCCTCCGCTTCCTTGACTAAAGCAGCAAAGTCGGGGTACTTCTTCTTCAGCTTCGCAAAACTACCCAGGGCCTTGACCTTTCCGTCATCCAGCCAGAGGATCCGGTCACAGCGACTGAGAACGTGGGCCTGGTGAGTTGCGAGAATTCTTGTCTTATTTCCAAGAGCCCCGAGGATCGCCTCGTCGAAGATAGCTTGTCCGACGTATGGATCCACAGCACTTAACGGATCATCCAAGAGTAATATATCGGCATTGGAGTACATGGCTCGCGCCAAGCTGATTCTCTGTTTCTGTCCACCACTGACGTTGATACCTCGCTCTCCGATCTCCGTGGCGTCACCATTGGAAAGAATTTGGAGATCGCGGCGGAGCTGACATGCGGTGATTACTTTATCGTACCACGCAGCATCATAGGGCGCACCGAAGAGGATATTCTCGCGGACGGTAGCGTTCTGAATCCATGCTGTCTGAGGGCAGAAAGCCCGGTCTGAATGAAACTTGAGGTTTCCTTTTACCTTGCGCATATCACCAGCTAGAGCGGACAGGAGAGAGGATTTTCCACTTCCAATACCGCCAATGACTGCAAGAAGCTCACCACGACGGATGTTGAGGGATATAGAAGGGATTGAAAATGGCGCAAGAGCAGGTGGATATTCTGCCAAGGTGACTGACGACGAGGACTCCTCATAAGAAGGTGGGCTCGATAACGTAGCACCAGATGCGGGTCGCTCCCTTAATACCTTTTCAGAGGGACGCGCGCCATCTTCCCACCGGAAGGATGGCATTTGGTCAGATCCCTCACGCTCCAGTGGATGTTTCAGTGTTGAAGAGGGCCGCGTAAACCATGTAGACATAGGTCTGATATTTGATTTAGGTCGAACGGTCGACTCAGGACGGAACCAAGTGGACAGGGGCCTTATAGTCGATCTTGGTCTAATCATAGAAACACCCCTTTCTTGTGAATTATTCGTATTAGATCTTTCTCGTGAGAAAGAAGGCATCATGAATGAAGTAGGTCTTTCAAATCCGTATGAAGGAGGCATGAAGGTTGTTGGCCTGTCCCATCTAGATGAAGGTCCTGCAATTGAACCTCCTTCCCAATCGAAGCTAGGCAATGCAAACCCTTCAGTGTCGTAGTCAACGTCGTGGAACATCCTGCTTGCTCTCAAAGCAGACAGCGAATCACGATTGTTGTAGGGGTTAATTTCTCCATCGTGGAACATCCTGCTTGCTCTCAACGCCGCGAGAGAGTTCCGGCCGCCTTGCGGGTTTCCTTCCTCCTCGGCCTCATCATTTACGTCCGTGGCTCGGATAGCCTGTCCCTTCTCCCAGGTGAATCCCGCGTTTTCAATTCTCACGGCATCTCTCATGTTCTCGTCGACATTCAACTCCTCAACTTCTTCGGCGAGCAGGTACTCTTCAATCCTTGTCATACTGGCCCATGCGTCAGATGCATGGCCAAGACATGCCGGTAGGAAAGCGGTAGGCGTGAGAAGAGAGCTGAACAGGGCGACACTAGAGAACACGATAGCGACATCAAGGCCTCCAGCGTGGATACAGGCATACGTCACGAAGCTGACCATGCAAGCTAAAACAGGCAGACTCTGTCCAAGAGAGGTGACAAAGTTGAGGATCAGGTTAAACCCTTGTAGCTGGCGTGTCTCGTCGGCTCTCAGTTCAATTAGGCGCTCGACAAAGCTATCCTCCCAGCTGAAATATTTGACGAGACGAATAGCCTGGAGAACTTCTTGCGTCAGGCCAACACGAACGTCGGTGGACATGTTCATTACCTGGCGACGTGCAAAAAGTGCTTTCACGGCAACTACAAGGAAAAACATGGAGAAAATCAGGACCCCAAACCCGGCAAGAGCGGACTGGCGAAGGTTGACAATGAGCAAGGCCATGCAGATACAGATGATCAGCGGCGAGGTCCATACGACGTGTATCATGCTGATACCCTGATCAATGCGATGAGCATCCATAGACACGAGGTTAACGACTCTGCCATTCGACCAGCCGGCCTCAGGATCAGCTGCTTTACCCTTTCCAGAAGATTGGGGGGACTTTGCGTTGTCAGGCTTTTCGTTCAAGTCGACTTCCTGGAGGGTTGTTTCGGAGTCATTGATCGCAAGATCAGCTGACCCACCAGCTCTAGCTCGCTCAGATATCCTCAAGCTCTTCTCTTGGATCTTGTTCGTCAAGACAGCTCGGACCTGGCCACCAACCATCGTTCCGCGGTATAGAAAGTGGTTTTGGCATGAGCTGAGCAGGATCTGCATGCAGATAATGCCGACCAACAGCCCTACTCCTCTTGTGAGATCTGGATTCTTCACAGTACTTCCTGGTTGATGGGCATAGTAGCTGTTCTGAACCCATTCGATCAGATACCGAAGTGTGTATGGGTTTCCGACTGTGAATAGATCGGCTAATAGACGACATAAACCACCGATCCAGAATTCGCGGGCGAAGGTCTTGTGTAGAGAGGTAAAAAGAGGGTGTTTAACATCGCTGGAGGCCTTGGCCGCCTTGAAGTGGGCGTCGAAGGTAACACTGTGCCTTTGCACACTTCTTGTAGGATTGAGGAGTGGAATGTCATTGATTTTTAGGGGCCGACGAAAACCAGTCTAGTAACGGTTGATTAGTATACAATAGCACACTGGTGAACATCCAGGTTGAAGATATTCCACTTACCGACATCAAGTCCCCCATCCAACTAAACGTCCACCTGCTGATAAATCCTGCAGCATATTCAGGAGATATTTGTCGCTCCGCAGGCACAGGCGTAACCTTGCGGTGATGTGAAGAATGATGCCCTCCCACGGGCTTAATCTCTGGGTTGGCCAGCTCGGCATCGGCACTGGGCAATGACATGTCGAGAATAACCCAGAAATCAGGTCAGGAATTCTGTGTGGGTAGGAAAATCAGAGGCGATCGTCCACTCTTCAAGAACCTTACATACATGTAGGTTCGTAACCCTTTGTGTGAAGTGGCGATATTAAGCAATGAATCCGTTCGAAAGCACCACTGTTTCAAGATTGAAAGATAGTATTCACTGGAAAAGACAGAAGCTGATTTGATTGCCTCCCATCAATGTGCAGCTCTCCTGCCTTTTGTTGGCTGCATGTCCTGCCTTCCGGAATAGGAATTCCAGAGCCCATAATGCCATGGATCGCCATGTCTTTAGAGTGTAGATCCATGTTTGGACAGTATACAGTGGCAATTTCGAAGGTAAGAATAAGGTGGTTTCATCATGAAAGCCGACAATCATCGAAGTCCCAACTGGATGCTATGGCGCCCAGGTAGGTAATATCACGGATGTGTGTTACCTAAAATGGTAAGGCTCGTATTTCTAAATTAAGAAGATACGAGTAATTTTCGATTGATGTCAAGGCGAACTGTCACTGTTTACACGTTGGGGCCATAATGTGGGGGACGGAGAATCCATCCCTTATTTAACGGGAATTGGTAAGATACGCGTATCGTGCCCGTATTATTTACCCCTTTTGGAAAATCCAATACGTCCATTACCTGCAGAAGGATCTATCGTAAATCGGATCTTTGATCTGACATTTGACTTTCATCGGGTCCATCAGTATCCTTGCACGAGCAGCCCCTGTGGCGACTGAAAGAAGAATGTTTCATATTCTTTGCAAACTACAGTTCGAGTTGGCTGACCACTTTGGGAAGCGATCGTGTAGATCATACTGAAGCATCCACGCCGACCCGTGCACTCTGACCACATGGACATATGGTGATTTACCGCTTTAGGAAAGAAGATAGAAACTTACTTCGCCTGCTTGCAAATGGCAGGGGAGGAAGTCTTAGCGTCTTTGGGAGTATGAAAATAATTGATAAGCCTATAATTAACTGGCATCATGTCATAGTAGATGATATAAATGCAACGGGATAACTAGGATTCAATCAACCAGCCAAGCATCAAGCAAGAAACAAGCATCAAAATGTCCGCTCCCGCACACATCACACTCAAGAACCTCGATGGCCAGTGGGTCATGGTAAGTCTCCGATGGGCTTCATTCAGCCTGCGCCTGTTCAAACCTACCAGAAACTAACGGTCGTGCTAGAACCGGACCCGATCCACCGAATACGACCCCCTGCTCAAGCTCCAAGGTATCAACTGGCTGATGCGCAAAGTGCTGAACATGACCAACGTTGTCTTGGAGGTCAAGGAGTGGGAAGATCCATCCGATGGCTTCACCCACATGGATATCGACCTTAAGCCAACTTCGGGTCTACCAGCCAGTCAGGAGAGTAAAGTCTTCGACTTCAAGGGCATCGACTCCACTCACGCGCTGTTCGGGAAAATTCGCGTAAGCCAGGGCTGGGCGACTGCCAAAGAACTGAACCAGGAGGATCACTTCCTGGTCGAAGGAATGGAAGAGACCATGGATACCTTCATCCATTTGAAGACAGAGCACTTGGACCACAATGCCGTGACGCACCAGGCTTGGGGATTTGAGGAGATTGAGGGCACAAGGTACCACAGCAGACACATTGTTGGAAAGAAAGGAGACCAAGTCGTTCGGGTCAAATTGGTCTATGACTACCTTGGACCTCGTCCTGATGTAAATTGAGCTGGTCTTGATTGATGTTCATGAATTTCTTTTCCGTCAATTTATAATCGCTACTATTTCCAGGGTTGCGATCTTGGTTCGATACTTGATTAGATACCAATTATATTCCCACCTATTTGAATTATATCGGTCACTGCAATAGTTTCCTGGGCTATTGAATTTGGAGCAGCATCACGGAATTTGAAAACTAAAACTATTTCCTGATCTCTTTACCAGACAAGTTGATCTCAAAAGCACCGCTCTGGCGCGGAATTCGTCAACCCAAATGGACCCACTTGAGCACAAAGCAAGTGGAGCCCAACAGCCGCTACCGAACTTTCCTTTCCACAAGGAATATTTAGCAAAGTGGGAGCACATATCTTCATCCATGGCAAGATGGCCGAGTTGGTCTAAGGCGTCAGGTTAAGGTCCACCTTGACATCATTTCCTGATCTACGTTTGTAGGCGTGGGTTCAAATCCCACTCTTGTCATTTCTTTTTGTTTTTGTTGGATGCATCCCGCCAGAAGATTAATAAGAGAATCACTGGTTGATTGATTGGTTTGACCTTTGGCGATTAAATTTTTTTTTTTTCCCATCCAATTGAAGCCTGTTTGGGTGAACAATCTGGAGCTCTGCCCAAATTTACATGGTTGTGGGAAGTAGGAATACCGGCCTCGAAGGTATTAAAAATAATGTATTGCCCGGTTGTTTTAAGTGGGCGTGGATATATATCGGGGTCTCGAAGTTTGTGAACTCGTTACCGCACCTCTGTATATTAATCCTCTCACATTCCAGAATTCGACAAACAGAAAAGCTTGAAACTATTAGATGACTGACAAAGGTATATTTGAAAATTCCCAACGACCGAATACCGGTGGCCTACAAGCACTCTTGCTCTATGTTGATAGGATTCTCGCCTTCCTGCCCCCACTTTCAGGCAATAAGCGCAAAAATGCATGCTAATAGTGGTCGCAAACATTAATAATAGATAGATTTAGTGAGAAATATCGGCGAGACAAGGAGAAAGAAAGAGCTCAAGAGACCGTAAATAGATCAGGATGTAGATCTAGTGGAGGTCAGATTTGCGGGCACTGGTCATCTGTTCCCAACGTTGGAAGAAATCGCAAAGTAGGATTGGGCAACTATTGTCTCCAAGAAACGGCTAGTCCAAGTGATCTCATGGAGAAATTCCAAGGTCAACACGTAATAAAGCCTTTAGCTTATTTGAGGCAAAGGATTGGAGAGCTTCTACTGGAAAAAAAGTTGTTTATGGATATAATGGTAGAAATCAAAAGAAAGACGTTCGCTTAAAGACTAGAAAAAATGCACAAAAGTAACCGCTTAGTTTGATGCACTGATGAATCATAAACCAACGTAGTACTCAGCCTCCGGGTCCTTCAGAAGCCTCACCAGCGAATCCTCAAAAGCACCCACAATACTAGCAACCCACTTTTCATTCAGAAACTCATAGCCAGGTTTCCGCACATTATAAACACACTTCAGTGTCATCTTTTCACTCCAGTCTGGACCTTCCGGTCCAAATGCCGGCCACACCTCCATCATGATTGGGAATCCAATGTCAACCTCTTTATATGGAGATAGGAGGTTCTGCTCGGTGCTCCAGCCAGGGAGGTCTCGTGGAGTTCTGGAACCGGCAATGTCAGAAGAGGGAACCGTCTCACTCCGATATGCCTGGAGGTTCAGAGCAGTGTCAAATCGGTCGGCCCCCATCTCGAAAGTGTCTTCTGTCGGACAAGGGACGTCGATGAAGGGCGCGACCTCAGCATGTTGAACAGCGAGCAGATGGCAAATCTCGCGGTTGGTCGGGTTCTTGTTCTGTCCGTTCTTTTGGAGAGGCACATGCATTGGAACTGTTGTCAGTAGCGGGGCCATGCAGCGCCACATATCAGGCGTGTTTCGGCCATGCAAGATACTACCGAACTGCACGTCCAGCTTGCCCTCGTTGGCATTGCGAGTTTGAGCCAGCACGCTAGCCCATGCGGCCTGTACAACTGCGGCCATGCTTGTGCCGAGCTGCGATAGCGCTTTGTTGGAGAGATCGTCCATAGAGAGACTGCTGCGGAGGGTGGCGGTGCGCATATGCGTCTCGACCAGTCCGACTTCTGTGGGTGGCACCACAGCTTGTGAAACGGGCTGACTAGATCCGAAACGGAAAGAAGAAACACCGGCAAAACGCTTCATCCAATAAAACATGCTCTCCACCCAGTCAGTGCCTTCGAACAGAAGCTTGACAGTATCTCGCATGGGCAAGAGTGGGAGCTTTCTGCCCTTATCTGTCAAGTTCCTGATACCAGCTGGTCTGGTGAGATAGGCGTATTCTGCGGCGATCTCTTCGCGAAGATGAGCCAGGCTGACGCCGTCAAAGATGGGGTGGTAAAGCGAGAGAATCATGACGTGGCGAGAACCTGTGGGGGTGCTGACCCAAGTCACGGTAACACCTGGTCGGTCTGGAGTCATGGCACCTTCAGCAGCACGCTGGGCTGAGACAAGCGTGTGCTGCCAGAGGCTGGTATTACTAGGGTCAGATTTGCAGACAATCTCGACCGTGGGAATAGCTGCACGCTCCGAATCTTTGTTAAGAATGCAGATGGCAAAGGGAGATAGTGGATGCTTGATGGCGCAGAAGATCGAACGGAAGCAATCATGCCTCCTGAGAACAACGTCGACAGCATGCTTCATGCGAGTTGGGTCAAGCTTGTCGAGCGGCAAGTCGTAAAGGAAGTGCTCAAGCTGCGGTCGACCAGAGTAGCGGAGGGGATCAACAAATTCATGACGCGTAGAGTAATAGAGAATGCGCGTCTGTGTATTCGTAGCGGGCAAAACCTGCTCGATGTCGACGGGAGCGACATTGAGAGTAGAGGTGCACTGAGGTAGGCAATGGTAGGAGAAATGACGAAGTTTGTCGGGCACAGAGAGTTCGAAAATGCCCTCCTCATCATCAGCGGGGATGGAAGAAACGTCAACTCCATTTCCCCCCTATCCTTCTCTGACAGAATGGCCTGATCAGTAGTTACCACATGGACATCGCTTTCATGCGTGCCCATTTCCACCCTTTGATCTAAAGACAATTTGGAGGCCGGGTTTTTAGACTCTACCAGAGTGATCAAATCGTCAATTGTCACGGAGGAAAGAACCCGATGTAACGCCAAACCCTCAATACCGTCATCCCGCATGCTCTGGAGGAATAACATAGTCCGTAGGCTGTCTAGACCGAGGCCGATAAGAGGCGTTGTGGAGTCTGCGCCTGCAGCTTTATCACCGATAGCAGCAAATAGACCGCGGTAGACGATTGAAGCTGAATCCATTTCGCTTGAATCGACTTCTTGTGTCCTCTCTACTGCTTTCTCGGGGCTAGCAGAGGCTGCATTCGTAACAACGGAGTCGCTCAGAGCCTCACCAACGGCGAGCTTAAGCAGCACCTTTCGATCCACTTTGCCGCTCGGTGTGTACGGCAGCTGATCCAGAACAGTATAGTTTCCTGGGCACATCCATTCCGGTAGGAGCCTTTCTGCTTCAGCGCGGCATTTTTCGGCGACAGATTGACGATCTTCATCGGCCCAAACTGTCAGAAATGCTACCAGCTGAGCACGCACACCTTCCTTAGGGTTGGCCACCACGACGGCGACAGATGCCACGCCTTGCGCGCTGGTAAGAACGTTCTCGATTTCAGTCAGCTCGACTCGACGTCCATTTAGCTTAACCTGATCTGTACCAAAGCGACCGAGGAAGTCGATCTTCCGCTTGCCATCAGGAGACCAGACAACACGAGTCTTGTCACCGGTACGATAGAGCGTCGTGCCAGAGGGAAGGCCCATGGCATTGACTGGAATGAATGCTTTCGCTGTCGCGTCAGGGCGATTAAGATACCCGAGAGCAACCTGCGGCCCCCCGACTATAAGCTCGCCCGCGAGCCCGAGGGGAGTTTCTCGCAGCTCTCCCGCATCAAGGGCATCCGGGTCTGCCATGAGAAAAAATGCGGAAGTCAACGCATCACCAATGACGGAGCTACGCGTGCCCTGAACACAAGCCTCCGCTGTGCAAAATATGGTGGTCTCCGTGGGACCGTAGGCGTTGATGAGGTATCTATCGTCATCCGGATCACCTTCCACGCGTGCGAATTTCTCTATCACTCGACCGTTCACAGACTCTCCACCTACAATCAGTGTCTTCAGCGAGGGCATCCGCTCCGGTCGCATGAGAAGTGCCAGACTGGCGACAGCGTAAGAAGCAGTGGCACGAAGTTCGCGTGCACATGATTCGACATCGGTGAGAAGAAGGTCACGATCAGCGGTACAAAGAACCCCGCCAAGAGATAGTGGTACAAAAGTATCAATGATGACGGGGTCAAAGGATGGTGCGCTCAGGTTCAACCAGCGCACCCGCGGACCAGCAGGAAGATGTGAGAGTGGCCCTTCGATCGTTGCTTCCACGCAGGCCAAGGCTGAGCGATGACTTCCGAGCACACCCTTAGGCTTCCCGGTTGACCCACTTGTGTAGAAGAGGTAGCAAAGATCGTCTTCGGAAGGAATTCGAAGGCCAATAGACGATGATTTTCCTGTGTCCGGAATGATGCAATCCATTCGCCAGCTCGAGGGGTTGGTAATATCGATCCACATGATCCCCTCTGCAAGCTGCTCACGCTCAGACTGAGATCCAGCAATACCATTCCAGGGCACTGGGCCGACTCCCAGGACAATTGGGGAGCCAAGGTCTTCGACGATGGCCCGTAGTCGCTCTGGTGGCGCATCGGCTGGTAGGGAACAGAATGCATGGCCAGACTTGAGAACGGCTAACATTGAGAGAAATAGCTCCGGGCTAGGTGAAATGAAGAGGGGGAATGCGTATTGGTCACCTAAGGCTGGACACCACTGCCTCCCTAGAACCTGTAGCAGAAGTCCGAGCTCAGAGGCGAGGTCCTCAGCTCGATTATCAACCTCAGCATATGTGAGGTCGCGTCGATCGTATGCATGCTGTCTTGATCGCGAGGATGTAGCCCGACACAGATACTCGATAGCAACATTGTGGGGGTGTCGTCGAACATTTTCCTCAAACGCAGAATGAAGCAGGCGGGAGTTGATGTGTCCGTTGGTCTTGAAGCCATTGATAACTGGCTTTTTGTGTTGAATCTGCGGTGTGACTTGCAGGAAAGACTCAAAATTGACTCGGGATGGGTCCAGCCCTGCCCCAGTTGCGATGATATCTGATAATCCGGAAGTCAAGTAGGCTACAGCCAATTTGACCAGGTGCTTTGCAGCAATCCAGCCGCCGTAGTCGCCCCGTAGTTGAAGAGTAACATCGGCTCTGTCCTCTTGGGTGTAAACTACCGAAAGAACAAAGGGGCCCTTTTGTGCAGAGGCGGCGATTCCATTGGTTGTACGTGACCCGCTGTATGCCGTAATGAGAAGTTTGAAGTCAATATCATCGATGTGGGTTACGCCTTCAAAAAAATCCAGCTTCGGTTCGGGTGTCACACCCGTAGCTGCGCGGACTGGAATAACAGCCTGAACCAATGTATGCCCGGTATCTGGTGCATCTGCAAAGAATGCGATACGGTCTGAGCCGACAACATCACCGACGAACCGTGCGAAGCGGCAAAGGATAGCTCGAGATTCACAATTGGATTGCAGTGGAATACCATGGACGGTGAAAGAATGAGCCCGGACCAAGGTTGTGTCGAGGCTTGGTCCAGTGATGTGGTAAGGTGGAAGCTTAGAGGAGGGCAGGTCCCGAATTGAAGTGGCCTGCACTTTTTCGCACAAATGAATTAATCCCATGATGGGGTCAATCGTCGTGTAAAACGAGTTATGTTTCGATGCAGATAATTATAATAAAGACCCTTAAAAACCGCCCCCAATTAAAATAAAGCTGGGCTGTGTAGTGGTATCGTGATGCCCAATGGAGAAGCTTTGTAGAAGAATTTTGGAAAGAGAAGGTACACGACGCATTTGTGGAATAGAACTTGTATATTAAAGGTTCTCGACCACCAGTGCTTCTATTCATAGCCTAATGACACGGTAGATATGAGGAGCCCTAAACCGGCAATTAAGTCATGGATCAAGCGTCATCGGCTGCCCAAGACTGGCAAAAGCCAAACAGGGGCGGTTGTCAGCATTCTGTAGAACTACAGTCGAACTCCGGTGATCTTCATACACTTCCTCTGCCTTAGTAGGTAAGCTACTCTTTTAGGGTAAGGAGCGCGACACTCAGTACCCAATGAGGGGAGTTGTTTACCGGCAAGATTGCCCTACCAGATGATGTGTCATTCGAACCAACGGTCGCGCCAGATTTTCAGCCCCCAAAAGATGCCTGCCACCGAAATAGGAAATCGATCGGAGGGTATACGTATTTTGGGTGGTGAATTGACCTGAGCTTTGAACTTAAATACTACAATGTCCGTATCTACCCTCAAGCCTTTGGGTACCAGTGATTAGTGACTAGTGCGGCTCATAGACGAGTACCAATAGGCATTCAAATCAAGTCATAACATATCCGACCTGAAACTTCTCGGAAGACGTATTATCTTGACTTATTTTTCACTGGAATAGACTGGAATAGCATTTTGAATTCATATCACTTGGTCATTTGAACAGAATCTCCGTTATAAGGCCAAGTTGCAACCAAAACGAGGACACAGGTAAATAAACGTCCACGGCAGACAACATCGGAAACCGCCTCCAATCTAACTGTATGAAACATTTAACGTAATTTACAGGGAATATTACATAAAAAAAACAAAGAGATATCCCGACCGTGTAGTGTATGTTCATAGTCAGGGTGATCTGTAGAAGTCTTACTCTGTATACTTATCACCTAGACATGATTACATAAGCTTGAGGTCTAACGTATTTCACAAGCGAGCGAGACACCCGGTCGGCCGAGACACCCCAACCAAAACGCGTCAATTAATTAGACCTTCCTTCTTCAACCACCTACCATGCCACCAATTCGCTCTCAAAATCGTCAAAATTTGACGCAACAAGAAGGACGTATCTTGCTTACTATCCAAGCTTTTGAAAAGCAGGAAAAACTATCAATTCGCGAGGCAGCACGTATATACGATATACCCAATTCGACGCTCCACCACTGTCTTAAAGGACGTAAAAACCGCGTTGAATTACGCGCAAATTCGTTCAAACTAACTGAAGTTGAGGAGAATTCGCTTAAAAAATGGGTGATCTCTATGGATATATATAGAGCAGCACCACGACCTTCTATGGTGTAAGAAATGGCTAATCTCTTACTCGCGACACGTGGAATAACCCCGATCTAGACCGTTGGCAAGAACTAGGTTACGAACTATATTAAACGATACCTAGAGCTCGATATAAGGTTCTTAAGACGCTATAATTATAAGCGTGCTAAGTGTGAGGACCTAAAAATCATTAAAGAATGGTTTAACCTAGTTTAAAAAATAATATCTAAGCACGGGATCCTCGAAGATAATATATATAACTTTGATAAGATAGGCTTCGCGATGGGCTTAACCGCGACCGTAAAAGTTATTACGAGAGCAGAATATTATAGTCGACGCTCGGTTTTATAACCTAGAAATCGTGAGTGGGTGACCTCGATTGAGTGTATAGGCGCGTCTAGATATAGCCTTCCTCCGATGGTGATCTTTAAAGCTAAACTCTTTAACGAAGCTTAGACTACGGGGCTTCTAGATCACTAGCAATTCGAGGTTAGCGATAATAGATAGACCTTAGACGAGATTAGACTTCGTTAGCTTTAAAAGATCTTTCTTCTATTAACTTTCTCGAGGATAAAGGGGAAATATCGACTTCTAGTTCTCGATAGTTATGGAAGCCATTTAACTCTAAAATTCGACGAAATTTGCTATTAAAACGATGTGATTCTAATTTATATGCCAGCGCACTCTTCATATCTTTTATAACCTCTTGATGTAGGTTGTTTTGCTATCTTAAAGCGTGCGTATAGGAAATGCATTGAAAACGTTATGCGGACGGGTTAAAATCATATCGATAGATTAGACTTTCTTGACGCTTTTCCGACCGCTTAAATCGAGGCTTTCAAAGCAGAAATAATCAGAGATAGCTTCTTAGTAACTAGCTTAGTCCTATATGATCTAAATCGGGTTATTTCAAAGCTTAATATTTAGCTCTAGACGCCTACACCACCACTATCTCGAGGAAGCTAAAGCAGCGCGTGGGAGCCTCAGACACCATTGAATTATAAGTAGCTCCAGAAGCAAGCTTCTTCGATTAAAAAGCTCTTAAAACAGCGCTCTAAGAGCCCTCTAAGCCCGCTTAATTCTACCATAGATCAAGTGCTAAAAGCGTGCTAAATCACGATGCAATCGACTACTTTTCTTGCCCGAGAAAACGAGCTTTTACGTGCTAGAAACGAGAAAATTAAGCGAAAAAAAGCAAGGTCTAAGCTCTAGATAGCTCATCTAGAGGGCGTATCCGTCGCTGAGCTTAAAGAGCTAGCTAAAATTGCTAGAAAAGCTCGATTTAAACCTCAAAATAGTAAGCCGACCGGTCAACCAGGAGCACAAGGACGACGATCTAGGGCGCCACCAAAATGCTCTAAATGCGGTATTCAGGGGCATAAGATAACACATTATCCAAATTTAGCTAAATAGCTTATATATTCAATATTATGTGGTTATGGTTAAATTATACTAATTTAAATTATCAAAAGTTAATAGGGTGTCTCGGCCGACCGGGTGTCTCGCTCGCTTATGAAATACGTTATCCTGAGTTGCATCTTATTTGGAAAGCCATAACCCCATAATCACGCATTAGAATCTCATCAGAGATCAGTGAATAGAATTGATTGATAAAGGCCCACATGGGGTAGCTATGTAAAAGTGTGATGGGCGATCCTTATTGGTGCACAACATTTTTGGGTTAGCAACACGAGGTGTGCTCACCCCATGCATCAACACGGCACAGAACCCTGTATCGCAACGTGGGAATGGCCAATGAAGTCAGATCAACTCCTGAGAGCGCGCGGTTATCGACAATATCTGCCATGTGCATCCACTAGCCCGCGTGGATACTAACCTCGCAGATAAAACTCAATTTGGCAATGGAGATGCTACATTATTAGCAATTACTTAATTAGAGGAGGCTGCGCTTACTTAAATCAACCTACAGCGCCCAATCCTTGGCTATTCTTTATTTTAGAGTCTATTCTTCCTTTAAATTCATTGTTTAGAGATTAACCCGTCAAGTTTTTTGTTTAGCAGAGAATTTGCATCGCCTCTCTATACGACATCGAGAACTCTTTCCATCTCCTCAACTCTCTAAGAGACTTCGACAAACAACTTGAAAATGGATTTAGACCAGCCTGGTGTCTTCAGCTACCGTGATGGTGTTGCTGTTATCCAACTTTTCTTTCTTCGCCATCTACCTGGCTCTGGGTGTCGTGCTATGCTGGCGCCACGGATTCCGTCGATCAGATGGTTGGATCCTTGTGGTCACCCTGTCAATCCTACGTGTACTCGCTGCAAGCTTCCAGCTCGCCACCATCAACACCCCCAACACAACAACGTATGGAGGCGCGCTCATTTGCCAGGGAATTGGTCTGGGCCCACTGATTCTATTGAACCTTGGACTTTTCATCAGAATGTAACTTCATCTTCGTGGAAACAGATCATGCTAGACAACAATTAACGTGCAATCAAATAGGAACATGTACTTCAAAAAGATCCACCGACTTGTGTTCACCGCTATCTCCGTTGTCTCCATCGCCGCTATTGCCATTGCTGTCTACGGCGGTACTGAGTCCGCAGAATCAGCCAGTCTGGGAACAAATGCTATGTTGAAAGTCTCCGTTATTCTTTTTACAGCATGCTACATTGCATTTTGGGGTCTTTTCATCTATTTCATTGGAGACCGAAAATTACTTCCCGAGGCCGAGCAAAAGATGTTCCTCTGTCTCCCTATCTGCGCCCCTTTCATGATCGTCCGACTGCTGTATAGCATTTGGGAGACTATGTCCCGAGTCTTCGGGCACATTTCAGTGTACTTACTGGAGACGTCACCACCTTTCTGTGTATGGACGTCCTTGAGGAGATCGTTGTGGTTGCGGTATACGTGTTTTTCGGCATGGGACTGGAGCAACTATCGCCGGAAATGAAGGGTACCAAGCGCAGAAATGATTCAGAAGTCACTGTAGTATTGAATATTATAGATGATCAATGAGTCCATCGTTAGCTCTTGTTGAAATAGGGATCGCTCAGATATGAGATACTTGGGGAGAAACCACTAGAAGCTCCAAGTGGAAGAACATTCAAGGCCATGATAACTATTGATATGATACTTTGATCAATGGACCGTCCATTTTAGTTCACTAATGAAATATGCTATCACACTATATATTAATCGAGCAAGTGACCTATTCTTCTGGATCATGCGCTTTTTGAAAATGAATGCAAACCCATCTAGACAGTTGTCAGAAGATAGTGTTTATAATAACAGGTTTGAAAAATATGGTTTTCTCCTCGTTAAAACCCACCACGCCAGATAAGAAATAAGGTGCAACCAAATAGAAACATTTTTAATTCTACATTGGTGCCCAGGTATCGATTTGGAAGCATGACTTACCCTCACTCAACGTTCAAGGCAGACGAATCGTGATGGCCACGTGTGTTGTGGATCTTCGTACAGCGTTTCAGATCTCCACACTCTATGGTGGCGAATGCAGCACGATTGAACGTTATTTGGATTGAAGATTTAGCTTCATGAACATCCAGGCCGAACACGAAGATGTAAACAGAGTGGAGTAAATGGGCTGACTCTTTAAAAAAATACCGTATGTTGAAAATTGATTGTTCCACTTAGCCACGTGGAACAAAGCCCGAACGAATCCCCGATCTCGTTTATCGGCCTTTCGATGACGACAGCTCACGTTAGCATAGAATGTATGGTCCTCAACGTTCCCAGACTACCACTAGTGCATCACAGGTGTTCAGAGCTGACTGTCCGCACAGATACTATCGTTGACCCGCTCAATTTCCTTCACGTCGGCAATAAGCGGTGTACACCTAGGCCAAGGAGCGAAAATGTCGATCAATTCACTGCATATTCCAAGGAGAGTTCGTTTCAGGTCTACGATATCCCCACCCGCAAGTATACCTTGGCCAATCAAATGAATCTGCGCTTATCCGGGCGGAAGCGTATTTGAAGATGACGCCACGTTATACGGTGATCGACACAGCCCACCACCGCCCGTAAAAGTCTAATGGTGAAAAGGAATGGTCCATTGCCTGATCATCATTGTGGCCAAGGTGCAATCTTGGAATGCACGATCTGAAACTGTTGTCTGAAACGTACCAAGGAACACCCACGAGTTAAGTACCCACTCAATAAGCTCACCGGAGCGAAATAAGTCCGTGTCCTGCAAAGTCACAGAAGATGAACTTTACGAACCGTGTCACGGGATTTGTCCCGGTTGGCCCCTATCTCATGAGGGCACTGGGGGCCACCAGTGCCATCTGGGGGCTGCTTCTTCTATGCTTCCATGTTTATCCATTCCCCTTACTTATCACTGTGGAGTCCGCTTTCCCAAACAAGCTTCCTTCTGGAAGTCATTTGCTAAGCCAGACGTGATACATCTCCCGAAGAAGTAATGGTATGATACACAGTCCATTGCAGGATTCGGCAATAGTGAGGATGGATTCGTCAGAGAGTCGCACATCGGGCTTCCCGACTGGATCAAGGCGTAACCACTGTATAGTCCGATGGAACATATCGGCCTTCTTGACAAGAATAGCACGCGACACTACATGGGTGTTAATCTATGGCAGATGCAGTTTGTTATTGATTCTTCTTTCAACGACCGTCTATTCAGTTGATAGGCCAGAGAGCAAAAACAATGGTGTTAAGGAATAAAATTTCTCACAATGAGATTGATGCTGTGATGGTGATGATAGTGATTACAGCAAGGAGGTTATGACGATCATACCCATAACCTTGAAATCTGACAGTAGATACTCCGCACGCTATTCGAAACCACTTCTGAGCTAAATTGGTGGATTTCAGGTGTATATTTAGGTGTTCGGCCTACTGGCAGCCAATGGGAAGCTCGAATCACAACTGTATTGGGGGCCATGTGGGTCCAAGTCCGGGGCCGAAAAGCGAAGAGAAGTCTGAAACGCCAAACTACGTTCTTTGGGTTTTCCACCATGCACATATCAGTGGGGCAGCACCTAGCTACAGGTAGGGCTAAAAACATATTTCCACAACGGAACTAGTCTGGGGATTACATCTGCCAATAGGGTGCCTTCATCTTGGACCCTCAAAACGCTTAGAGGTATGGCGACCCATTCTCTATAGTGAAGATCGATCTATTTTTACAGGGGTATGATTTCCCAATCGGCTTCATGGAGTTCTAATAAAGCTCGTGCGTTTGTACGCTTCAAGTGTCTCAATTCTTTATTCTAATCAAGATTCGCCACCGTCATTGCTTTGATTGTATCACCATTATTATATACCGGCTACATTCCTCCACTTTCGAAGCGTATTCCCATTTCCACCCACCTGTCAAAACACAACAACACGAAATGGCAAGCAGATCACAAAGCAGAGTTCGAACTCCAGAGAACAACGGTTCGTCATCTATCTTTTCAGATGTCTTCCCACTCTGAAGAAAAGGAGATGAACTAACAGGGTCGCAGTTTCTCAATCGTCTGCACCATACCCGGAGACTCAGAAGCGCCGGCGCCGTTCTCCCAACGAGTTAGTATGGACACAACCACGAACGATCCCAGCATCTCTGCACAAGAACGCGAGAAAGGTGTCAAAATCACCCGAGATGCCCAAGAAGGAAAGCCATTCACGAAGGGATTCGGGACACCAAGAACATCAAAAGGCAATGTCAAGCCTGCTGACGCCACCCACTCAGCCAAAAGACCTTCCAGGATTCAAAATGGATATTGATTTGTTTGATCTTGGAAGCGCCCCTGAGATGACCGATGACATGGTGGTCCAAAATCTCTTTAATTTCTCCGACAATCCTGCTTTAATCACACCATCTTCTATGGATCAACACTCAATGCCTTTCCACATGGACCCAGCATTCATGGACAACCAAATGCCTCTTCTCGGCAGTGACGGTTCTGACTCGAGTGACGGTTCTTTGAATGGACTAGCAGACCCCCGTCTGAACCTGGCTGGTCTTAACGGTTTCAGCGCCATCCACCTCGCCGCATATTTTGGCAAATTCTCCATCATTCGCCTTTTACTTTCTACTTGCCCCGAGGATGTAGATCTTCTCAATCACGAGGCTCAAACTCCTTTACACATCGCCGCAGCCGAGGGCCACTTCGAAGTTATCCCAGAGCTGCTGCGTGCCGGAGCCAACACTCTTAGTCAAGACGTCAATGGGCGCACTGCATTACACTTGGCTGTGTCAAAGGGGCATTTCGACGTTGCACGTCTCCTGCTAGACAGTACTCAAGGTCAAAACATTATTCACATGGCAGACAGTGCAGGGCGAAGCTCGTTGCACCACGCGGTTCTGCAGGAGAATGGCGAAATTGTCCGACTACTGTTAGAGCGGGGTGCCGATCCCCGTGTTCCCGTTGGTTAAAGAAGCCACATCGTATTACTATGCGTTTGGTGTACCTCCCATATACGAGATGGTGGCTTGGCAAACAGGGCTGGCCCTGACTGGGTACGAGTAGCCCCCCGGCGGAGTTACAATTGTCACATTGCATGGCCCCCTTGGCGCTCAAATCGGATGGGTCACCTGTCGAAATTGCTAGAAGACTTAGACCACTGTGCATGTGGGCTTTTTGATGTTGGATTCTCAATTATAGAAGTGAGAGAATCACGGCCAAAATTCCCACGCCTATACCCCTATTATTATATCTTTTTTTTGTTCTCAATTAGCGAGCTTTGGAATATGAACACAATTTTGAAGAAAAATACCAGACCGTTCTTATTTATATCATAATCACATAACAATGATTTTAAGGATCTTGGAGTTAGTAGAGATTTTGTAATTGATAAGTTATGGCCAGGTTTCTTCTTCACCAGCTTATCTTGCCGTTGTATCAATCCAACCCATTGTGTGTTTTTCAATTATGTCATGAAAGCAGGCGTTCATGTAAGTTTTCATGCAAATGCGTTTTGACAAATTGATAGGATGGCTCATCATCATGTTTGGGTGCAAGGGTGACTTCAACTTAGCTGTGAACAGTATGACCTCTTCTCTTCCTTTGACTGTGTCTTGGCCTAAGGAAACTTTGTCCGATCGGCTTTCTCTGTTCGGAACGTCATCATGCGGTTGATTGCTTCGACCTTTTAGCGGTATCACCTAGTGCTGACATTGAGAAGCCATCCGTTATTGAAGATGGCGCTAGACAGGAAATGTTGTTCGGAAATAATGAAGGAATGTTGCATCGGTCTGCCGGATCGAAGGATCTGGGGAGATAAGACTTCCGGTGGAAAGTGGAGGATGCGAGCAAGGATGTAAGCAAGAATGCAGGGGACCTTGTTATATAGCTTAAAGGCAAGAAGCGCAAAATGTTCGGTTCTGGAAACCGAACAACGTAGTTCAAATTGAGGCGATTATCGGCCTACAACTTCGATGTTTACTTCCACATGTAGATACAGAATGATCAATATATCGAAACATCGTAGAAGAGGGCTCCCTTTCCTCATGAGGAACGCGCTTTGCCTCATCCGTCATCGACCTTTCCTCATTCAGAATGTTTTTACCGACCTGATTGGTCTCACACACTCGCTCTGCATGCTTAATGCGGTATAGCGCTGTCGAACCCTACCGAACCAGGGAGGCTTTACTGACGGCTTGGGTGGATACCAGTGGCTAACAAATATGACAACCCTTTTCTCGCTTTACGTTAAACGCAAACCACTCCTTGATCAACATGATTGGATACTCCTCTAGTTCAGTATCCTTATTTTGGAGGATCATCTGGCAATCCACCCAATACAGTGCTCTCTCCACCTACGAATCATGGCTAAAACAAAGGTGTGGGCCCCACTTTCGCCTCCAAGGCGTGGCTTCGTCTATTTGATTGGACCACATCACTTAGTCGTTTCAAATGTCCCCCAATCAGGTAAAGCTGGTGAGCCTTTTGCCATCGCGTGCCTTGAAACCTTTCCGGGTTTGGTTATCCGAACTACTTCACCCCAAAAGAGTAATGTATACAGGAATACCTCGTAGCAAGAATAGACACCACGCGGTGTAAGCGCACTAAAGGCCGACCGATCTGTCAAGAGTGAATATATAAAGGTTCCACGATGGCGACTTTCTAAGAACAATCCATCCCAGCAAGCAGTTTCTCTTCAACAATTCTCCCGCCACCCGTGTTTCGTTTCGAAAGCCGTATTTGACATATCTCAAAATGCGTACTCTCATGCTCCACGGTCACGCTACTAGCGCTTTCATCTTTAAGGCGCAGACAAGTGAGTTGCTACTGCCATGAATCTCATCTTGCCTCAAATCTGACAGTAATTCTAGTCCCATTCCGATCAAAGCTCGACAAGTCTTTCACTTTCGACTTCATCGATGGCCCCTACCCATGCCCACCACCTCGCGGTCTATCGACCGTTGTGTCGACTGCCTACGGCTGGATCAAGAACCACGACATCGACAGCCTCCGTGAAGCCGTTCAGTGGCTGACTAATTACATCGAGGTCAACGGACCATATGACTGCATCTGCTGTTTCTCCAAAGCATCAGCAGTCGTCATGGCTATGCTAATGGACGAAACCCTTGTGGACATTGAGTTGCGCGAGCGAATCATGCCCCGATCAATTATTTTCATCAACGGAAGCATCGAGTACCCTTTCCTCGAGGAGCTAGGTATGCCTATTTCTGCCAAGGCCCGCCAAATCAAATATAAGACCGAGCAATTGGTCAAGCAAAGAACTGATGGCGTGGCGAAACTTGCCCGAACCCTCGTGAAACCAGGTGTTGGCAATGGCCTCTGGGATGACACTAGCAAGTTGATGCACAACCCCAAACGTCTGCCTCCAGTGTTTGACTGTTTCGGCTTGGATTTCACTTTTCTGCCTCAGAATGCTTTGCTCAATATACCCAGTGTCCATATCGTTGGTGCTAAAGACCCTATTTGGCCCTCTGGTGTCCAGCTGGCGTACCTCTGTGACCCGGCCAAGCGCCAGTTCTACGATCATCAGGGTGGTCATGATTTGCCCAGAACGCCCCAGGTGGGCGCTGATATTGCGGCAATTTTTAAGGAGTTGTCTTTGAAGATGAAATGCTAGATATTTCCTTGGAGCTACTGGGGTGCACAAGAATCATATGAATGACATTGTCGCCCTTCCGAGGAGCGGGTCAAATACTATGCGGGACATATTGACGACAATGATTCATGACACATATGCACGTCCACCAGCGGTAACACCACTTTAAACAAATTGCTTGACGGGTCCGGGGAGTTTGGTTGTTCTCTTTTACTTTTCCCTTATCCTCAACCTTCCTTATCATCTCTATATTATCTGAACTGTTTCATATCTATATATAAAGCATTAAATACACAATGGCGTTATTTTTTTTTTTTTTCAATTTCCTTTTCTTTTCATCTTTAATAACATACCCCTAGCCATGATGAGTTTACATGCCCAGGAGTGATAGAGATGATGTCCAAAGTGCATTCGACAATTTGCCCCGCCCCCAAAGATACGGATAGTTGATTGGACCGTTAGAAATATTTCCCAAATCAGCAAGTCTGACGAGGCCTTAAGCTTATAATAGATTTGTGCATCAAGAAAGCGTACAGAATTCAGCAATGCTGGCGTTCACTTACTGTAATCAGTCAAGAGCTGGGATTGATATCCAGAAAGCCTCAAATGTCAGGAAACATCATTCATCACATGCTTCATCTCATTTGAATGTTATTTGGTTGTTCTCCAGTGGCAAGTTGAATTAATTAATCAAATTTGGAAGCCAAAGCTTATCTCATAATAACACCCGGGTTTTAGGTTTCTAACAATCCCAACCTAATTAGGAAATGAGCCATCCTCACTGTGCATCCCTGAATTCTCCGATCATGCCATGTCAGCCAGGCGCTCTAGGCCCACTTCAAACCCTGGGATTGTTATGTAGATCACTTTACGCCTTTCCAGGCCTGCCTTACCGCCGAAAATTCTGAGTAATGTGTAGCTCGCGCTTACTTACCAGCTAAATAGTATGAGTGGGGGCGGAACAGAGAGGCTGACAGGGCAAAAGTGGGTCTCAGCGTATGCTAAATTTGGCCCTTTAGGGTCGAAAATCATGTGGCTCGCTTTGCCTAAACTAATGCAAGATGGTTGTGTGACGTAACTATGGAGATAATTAACTAGTTTTGCATTGATTAATAAAGTTTTGGCAGGATGTGAACTTTTGAAGAAACCAGTGTTCTGAGATACGTGTAGAGTGGAGTCACGTATATTTGGGGTAACGAGAAGGGTCTTAGTCTGTTCTTTTTTTATTTTTTTTATGATGACTATGGAACTGTGGTGAAAGCATTTGAAAGAGAGAAATGGCTTGTTGGACTTACATGACAGCTAGTGGATATTGCCTAAGGCGCATAAATACAAGTAGACTCCAGCTGTTGGGATGCTTATTTTCTGTCGCTTGTAGCCTGATCTTACAGAACTCATCGGAACAGATATGAAAACGCTAAGATATGAATACTGTACAACTTCATTGTTCAGTTGTCTAAATGGGCGGAATTGAGAAAAATCGCCACTGAAACAAAAAATACCTGACTTGAAATGGAAAGAAATCAATATGAAAGAATGTATAGACATGGAGAAAGAGATGTAATTTGGGACAAATAGAAAGAAAAAATAATGCTGAGAAGGGAAGAGCACTGTAAAGTAATGGAATACAAGACAAACAATGAAACATCATCTCTATATACGCTTTGATGAGCGCAACCTAATCTCTCCATCCTTCCACAATGGAACACTTCACATCAAGGCCGTTAAGCGGCTTCGATGACAGGCTACCAATAGTAATAGGCATCTTGTCCTCATCAAGAAGTGTAGGATCGACCAGCTCAAACTGGAAGCGGCCGATCCAAGCACCGAGAAGGCACGCCATCTCAGCTTTAGAGAAACCCTGCGCAATGCAGCTACGTTGGCCCTGCATGAAGGACAGGTTGACAAACTTGCTGACACATCCTCCGTTTGGGCTAAGCGTGCCATCGGCATTGATCCATCGTTGGGGGTTGAACTTGTTTGCATCTGGGCCCCAGAAGTTAGAATCCCGGTGGAGACCCTTGAAGGGGATCACAATCAATGTGCCCTTGGGAACGATCTGGCCGTCAATGACTGTGTCTTCTAAAGCCTCGCGCATGGTCTGCGGGATAGGTGGGTACCATCGCAGAACCTCATTAACAAACGCTTGCATCATGGGCATCTGTTCGACATCGGCGCTGGTAGCATTAGGAGTTTGCTTCTCCTCATCGGGGGCATAGTTGGCATTAGGATCGGGCAAGTGAGCACGAGCCTCTTTGCGGAGAATGGTCTGCCATTCTGGGTGCAGGCAAAGCATGTAAAGTGTCCAGGTAATGCCAACAGAAATGGTTTCATGGCCAGCAGCCAGAAAAGTCGTCATTTGATCAATAACACCTTCCTCATCTGCGGCTGCGACATCTTCGTATTTGAAGCACAAGCTGAGTAGATCCTTGCCTCCGTTCGTCTTCTCGGCGGCCATTTGGCGTCTCTCGCGGAGAAGGTCCCGGCACAGGTTACGGAATACGGGTACGGACTCGTCGAGGGTGCGGTTGACTTGACTGGGTAGCATGTTCACGAGCCACTCGGGGAACCAGAGCTTGAGCATCGCGAGAGCGACGTGGCCGCGGGTTGGCTCGATGGTCTTTCTGTATGCTGTTGCCAGGGATGCATCTTCTTTTTCGACAGAGCCGAAATCCTGGCCAAGGGTGGCCATACCAATAATGTCAAGAGCGGCGCGAGATGACCAGTGTCCCACTTCGAAAACTGCGTAGTTGGTCTGAGATTGCTGTGACTGCTCGGTAACAAGCTGTGTGAGTTTTCGCGTCACTTCACAGGTCTTGCCCCAGAAGATGGGGTACATTTCGCGAATGTGCTTTGGCGCAAAGATAGGCATGAAAACTCGTCGCTGTTGTCGGTGCTTGTCGAGCTCGGACAAAACTAGACCTTCACCGAGAATCTTTCCAGCAACGGCTCTGGCCAACACCGGCTTCTTAAAATCGTCAACGCGTGTGACAACCTCTTGGATTGTCTTTGGCGCGGTCACGATAATCCGCATTGTGTTCAAAATGCTACGATAATAGATGAGGCCATCGTTGGGTATCTCATGAATCCTAAGGCATAGATTCGTTAGCTTTGTAAACCTCCAGCGGCATTAGTAAGGCCTATCTAGAAGCATTATTCTTACCATTTTCTCTCAACCTCGCCGGTCCCCGCGTAGAAGATTTTCACAAAGTGGCCATTCCACCAGCTTCCGCCCTGCATGATATTAGCTTATGCGCATATTGATTATCATTCCAAGGTTCCAATAGGTCTTACTTTTGGCTGGGGTAGCTTGGTGAGAGGGCTAAGCCAAAGAGGCCTCATTATCCTTGTATAAATCACCAGTGCAAACAGAAAAGCGGAGTATAGAATGGAAAAGCATCCGAGGTAGCCAGCTCGAGCAAAGAAGCCCTCTTTTGGTCCATGATGAACAAGACCGTATGTAGCTACAACAACAGCAATCTGAGCGAGCTGCCAGATACTTACGCCCATTTTGACGTCGATAAAAGAAAATGCGAAATTGTATGAAATGCGGAAGTTAAGAAATAAGCTTAATAAAGTGGTTGAAATCCGTGTTCAACTGTGGGCCAGCCACGGTAATGGATTGGAAGTAGACAATGAACAGGGGGAGATGATGAATGACTGAGACCTCAGTGGTGTGTGCCGCAAACACGCATGTAAGTACTTTTAGAAGTCAGTTAGCTGATCGACTTGAGGTAATCACTGGCTTCCTTTTTGGGAAATATGGGGCTAGTTTCCTAAAATGGATTTCCTCAACAGGCAAAGTCCGTGTCGTAAATCTCCGCTAATGAGGCCAAAACTAACAATAGAAGTAGGTAAAGTATATTTGGTAAAAGGGCCCGGTGCTCATCATGCCATAAAACAAGCCTTCGTTGCCACCACATGTTCAGCTCTTTCTGATAGGCCTTCAAACTTGAGCTTGCCGGCTTAGAGATCCCATGTGCTGACAATGCTAATAACTTTGGCATTTTGTGATACCACTACAGATTTTTCTTCCTGTGTCTATCGCATGATTGCTCCCTTCATAGATTATTAGTACTGAGATTCGTATTAGTCCGGGACTTGGTTCTAGCTAGCCATTTTATTGGTCCAACTTGATTTCGGTCTCTGAATGTCAAAATGACTCTATTCAAGCGTCCAATAGACGATCCTCTGAATGGACCTGTCATCTAGAGAAGACTGGGAGCAGGCAGGGATGAAAATTAGCAAATTTAGCGAAATGGGCAGCATTATGCAAATAGGTATAATAAGTTATATAATGCGAGAAATAGGAAATTCTAACTAGTACTAGGTAAGGTGACCATCACGAGTAGGCGCGCGGCAAAGGTCTTCTAATGAGATAACATTGTTTCCAGGGTGTGGGGTAGTTCATGCGTCATGCAGGGGCCAATGACCAAAAGCTCAAGCCAAAGGGTAGACCAGCTTCACACCACTGACTTCGCCACTACGGATCTTCTTCACTCCATCAGGAATTCCAGCAAGGCCACCAGCCTCCAACCTCACAGTGTGGGGACGGATCTTGCGCTCATCCAGCAGTGATTGGAAGATGGAGTACAAGGGAAGGGAGATCTCCAAAATCTTGGGCTCGGGGGGGCAGAAGAATGGGGCAGGCCAGTTGGAGCCGTCACCAGAGATACGGGTAGCTAGGATCCAGTCCGGCTCGATGACCTTGCGGTTGTGTAGATGCTCGCTGAATGGGTTCAACGCCACATACTTTCCACCAGCGCGTCCCATGGCGGCATAGCAGAATCGCATGGAGGAGTCCTCGGCAAAACAGTCAATAATAAATTCAAGCTCATCGTTGGTATCGGCACGGATTTTGGCCGCACAGTCGGCGGCCTTGTAGTCGTACACCTGATCGGCACCATATGACTTGACAAAATCAAAGTTGTGAGGAGAGCAGGTGGTGATTGTGGGGAAGCCGCACCTGAGAGGCATCGTTAGCGTCTTGTCATACATTGAAATGGATGTTGGGAATTTCACAATTTCAGCAACTGCAAGACCATGGTACCGGTTGAGGTACTTCCACCGTAGACCATGACAGGAGGCTTAGGCTCGTCGCCCTCCTTGGGGCCCTCCATCCAGCTTCCGGGCCACTTGAGCGACACGAACAGGCACATAGCAGCCGAAGCGATCGCAGTACCCATTGACGCCGCATCAGAGATAGACATATAATCAGGCACGTGCAAGCACATATCGCCTTGAAGCTTCACATATTCGGCAAAAGAGCCGCCTAGCGGCTTCAGCTTGTTCACTAAGGGTAATCGATGTCAACTTCGGGTCTATCAAATCAAAGCTAAGTCTGATCTTACTTCCACTGGCAGACCCGCAAACTCGGTCTCCGACCTTGACGTTGCTGGTCACACCACTTCCAACGGCAACGACTGTGCCGGCACAGTCGAAGCCAAACATGACACCAGGAGTCACGAAGTCACCAATAAGCTTAGTATCGACCGGATTCAAAGCCACAGCACCAGTCTTGATCAAAATCTCCTGGGGCTCCAAACTGGGAACCTTGACATCTGAGGAGACCTGGAATTCGCCCGCTGGGCCGGCAATGATGGCCGTCTGGTGTTCAGGAATGATAGGAGCAGACATTTTTCACGCTATGCTTGATTGAAAATTGTTAAGTGTGTCAAGAAGGAAAGAAACGAAAGGTAGAGTGTCGTATGATGTGTGGATTATCGGGATTTATGGGTTATTTGCACCTAAGTTAGATCGCGTGTTGTAGTTGCTTAACTTATATGCAACTCAATAATCGGTACCTGGTCAATTGCCAAAATAAACGTAGCCGGGGATGCGGTAAGTTCGCTGGGATTGGTTAAACGGGTAGCCCCCACTTGGGGGCGAGAGCTTGTTCGGCCCCCGGAGTTGGCAACGATTGGCATTCTACTTGCTCGATTAGGAACCCACTGAATCGCAGCCTCAGCGGGGCTTTTTAGACATTTTTCGCGTAACTATTTTGGGTCCTTTTGGGGCCCTTGCCTGATCTGGTAATGACGAAAGGTTTATTTTTGAGAACATGTGGATTTATAACGTGTAGCAGCATAAGCTTTCAGACAATGTGGATGGAACCCATAGGTTAGGATGAAACATGGATATTTTTGACCCCAATCAGACCATTGTCCATTCCAGCCTCATTAGGCTCTTTTGAAGGTGGCATGATTTTCTAAGGCCCTGTTTAAGGAAACTTTTTGTTCGAGAAAACCAAGCGGCTCACTGTAGACCTCGCCCGGATCCATTGCACTTTTGCATCTTGTACACCTAACAACAAGTTTGCAGAAATACCAACAAAAGATCCAAGCATACCACAAGATCATCAACCTTCTAATCCGATCGGCCGAAGCAGCTTCTCGCTTTGCAATCTATTCAACCATGCTTTCTACTATTATGACCCAGAGCCCTTGGCACATCTTCGCCGTCGGCGTCGTGATCGTGCTAGTTTGCATGCGCATCCGTCGACACTTGGAGATTCGCGCCTTCAAGAAAGCTCACGCATGTGAACCTCCTATCCGTGCTCCGCAAAAAGAACGCATCATCGGTTGGTCTGCCTATCAACATCTGCAGAAGACCAGGCGGGAGCATGTCAGCTTGCAGCAGACATTCCGTAGAGCCATGGACATCGGTCGAACCAACACGGCTGTAGTAATGGGTCAAGAAATTATATCTACCTGCGATCCTGAGAATATCAAGAGGGTTCTGGCAACAAATTTCAAAGACTATGGCATTGGTCCCAGGATGCATGCCATGGGACCTCTATTGGGAAAGGGCATCTTCACCACGGACGACGAGCAGTGGCAGCATTCGAGGGTCAGACCTACCTTCTCCAAATTTATTTTCTATTATCAAGGGGCATTTATAGCTGATTTGGAATAGGCTTTGATACGTCCTAGTTTCACACGTACCCAGGTCGCGGATCTCAGCAGTCTTGAAACCCATGTTCAAGCTCTCATTTCGTGTGTTCCTGCCCAAGATGGAGCGGTGGTTGATCTGCAGCCTCTGTTCTTCAACTTGACCATCGACAGTGCTACAGACTTCTTGCTTGGGCAATCAGTGAGTTGCCAGGGAAGCCCTGTTGGCTCCCCCGCATGGGAATTTTCTGAGGCTTTCGACCACGCCGAGCAAGTACTCCACAAGCGTGGTGAATTGGGTGCCTTGGCCTGGCTTATCCGCGACGCCAAATTCGAGCCGGCCTGTAAAGTCGTCCACGAGTTCACTGATAAATACATTCGCGAGGCACTGAAGGGCGACACCAAGGCAGGCCGGTACAACCTTCTGGCAGAGTTAGCAGGTGCCTGTGATGATCCGATCCAAATTCGAAATGAACTCCTGAACGTTCTCCTTGCTGCCAGAGATACCACTGCTGGCTTACTTAGCAGTGTATTCTATCTTCTGGCGCGTAACCCTGATGCATGGAACAAGTTGAGTCAAGAGGTGGGACAATTGGACGGCAAAGTCCCCGATTACAAATTTCTCAAGGAGATGCCCTATCTAAAAAGCGTCTTGAATGAAAGTAAGAGAGCCCCCTGTCAGCCCACATCCCTGCTCTAGAGCGTAAAACAGTTGCTGATATGTCAAACAGCCCTCCGCGTTCTCCCCCCAGTCCCAATTAATATGCGTTTTGCCCGCAAAGATACTGTTCTCCCTCACGGTGGAGGTGCTAATGGACTGTCTCCAATGTTCGTCGGCAAAGGAAGCCGGGTATTCTACTCAATTTGGGCCATGCATCGACTCCCCGAGATCTGGGGTGATGATGCTGAATTGTTCCGCCCAGAGCGGTGGATGGATGAGAAGGCACCTCTGCGTCCTGGATGGGGTTTCCTGGTAAGTCCACCTAGCCCATTCTTTCCGGCCTACCCACTACAAGGCGAAGAGGCGGGAGAAAAAAGGTCTACTCTAACATTCCCTATATAGCCATTTAATGGAGGACCTAGACTCTGCCTTGGACAGCAAAATGCCCTGATAGAAGCCAGTTACACCGTCGTTCGACTACTGCAGGCCTTTGGTCATATAGAGCCCAGAGATCCTATGCCTTGGCAGGAGAAATTGGCTGTTACTATGAGCAGCTTGAATGGTACCAAGGTTGCTCTCTGGAAGAGACAATGATCCGAAGAGTATATAGCTTATTATGAGGTCACTGGGAGACCTTTATGAAGGTCTTGCTTTTATTTTTTTATTGTTATTATGACAGATTGGTGCACTTTATTTATTTCCTCTTGCATTTTCCCAATAGTGACACCACCGCATTAGCCTCCAAAAAAGAAACTCTAGAGCCTCAAAAAAGCCCCAAGTAATTAAAAAATCTCGAATTTTATTGCAGAACAAAAAGAGAGGTCAGTTCATGTATAGCGAGGCTAAATCCTATGTACTTGACTGAGATGTTTGGGGTTCAACTCTACCCCCCATATGTGCCATTTCTACCTCTGCACTTGACAACACCATTGATCCATTATCAGTTTTGTCATAATTTGTCAAAGCTGTTCGGTTTTCGATGTGCGGTGTGCGAGCTCAATCTGAGAGATCGATCATCTTTGGCTTCCTTGTCAGTAAAAGGCTTTCCATGGGCCTCCTTCAGATGCGACAAGTTGTTTCCACTTTAGTAGGCCGCCGGAATTGGTGGATTTGAGCTTTGTCGAGGCATCCCTTTCCGAAGAAGCAGACATGTACAAAATAGCACCATTCCCAGGATGGTATGCCTCTCGCTGTGGACAGAAGCGCATGGTCGCGCTTCTGGCAAAGGCGTGGGGAAAAAAAAGAGTGCATCAATGAAGCGAATTCGGAATTTTTCAGAGAAGACTCGACACCATCCGTGCCGACCCGTGGTGAATTTCGTATTGGGAACCCGTAATTGTTTGATCTTGCAGGCTGTATCAATTTAAGACCAACAACCGCTTTCGGATTCAACCCTTCGGCCCATTGGGTCCATTTATACATGCTAAACTACCTTCTAGAACAAAATCTTTGTCATCCACCGCATGAACTGACTGCTCTTTTGATATATTCCATACCTAATGCATGCTAGTGAGATGAAGTTTCACTAATGATGTAAACTTAGGTTGGAAGCTTCCAAAGCTTTAGATCTACTCCCCACCTACAGGTGCTTAATTTAGATACGGATGCCCTCGGGAATATATATTTGTCGACTGCGCACCACATCCACAAGCTTTTGAGATCTAGGTAGCTCTTACCACTGCTCAGCTCCCGTTCGGCAAAGGTTAGCCACCTGAGCATCCCCCGGGGCCTTGAAGCTGCTGTGGGATTATGAACCCTGGATAGAGGACTATAGGGATCTCAGAGCATTGAGTAATTGACCAACCTTAGGGACCAATTTATCTTTTTAATTGTGCACTATCATCCCAGAATGCTCTGACTTTAGCCACATTCGGTTCTTAGTCAATCTCGAATAACTTTAGTTTGGCCAACCCAGTAAATTTCTAAATAAACAGCCTTGATATATATGTAAGCGCCCGTCGAATGTCATTTTATCTAGGTCAGTGTCATTGATTATTGCCTATGTCGAGCTTTTCACTTTGAAATTATGAGCCACAAATAATTGCTTGAAAATGCTACTTTGAACAAATCATTTATAAAATCCCCAGAATAATAGGTAGGTGAATTATGAGTTGAGTATACATAACAGTGTGATCGCATTCTAGCTTTCAATGGGTCCAGCCCAGTCGTAGACCAACTGTACTACCTTCTCTTCCCCGCCTTTTCTCGCAATAGATCGTCGAATGTATCTCCTAGTCCCATCAATAGTCGTGAAGCCCCAAATGGTGATGCTCTTCCAGCCTGCGGTCTCGACTTCAATCTCAATAACCTCTTCCTCCCAGTCGCACTCGCCAGACCCAGAACGATTTCGCAAAACAGTCTCTACATCATTTGGCGCGCTAAATCGCGACCGAACCGTCATATTACCAAAAATCAGATGAGGCTGGTCCCGGCGCTCCCAATCCAAAATCCTCGCCTCCTCAACAACCTGACCCATCGAGGTTTGAACCGAATCAACTTTGGTCACGCCGGACTCATCTATAGACTGTCTGAGAGTGACGGAGATCGAAGCGTTGGCTAGCATGGCTCGAACGATCCAAGGCACGCCTTGAAGCTCCATGATGGGGGTGGCATCGTCGGAAAGCTCCGAGTTCTAGATTCATGTTAGTGGGGTGCACGCAAAGTCTCACACCAGGGGCCAATAGCCATACCGAGTCCCATTTCCCACTGAGGTTGCGGACGGTAATCTCTGATGGCGCAGCCATGATGTAAGTTTGCGACGGAAGGATTGTCGGGAATAGTCAAGAGGGAGGCTGGGATGATGAATAAAGGCGAAAGGATAAAGATTTGAAGCAACTAGGAGCTTACATCCACGCATGTGAATGCGGACTAATGAAGCAAAGCGTGGCATCGGCTGTCATGAAAACGGTAAAGAGCTACCCAGCCCCCAAAGTATGTTTGAAATGGTTGAAACATTAAGTTAGTGTGCGTAGAATGCCAAAAATAGTGACTCTGCCCCCGGAGTTTCAAAATTAAGCCTTGTTGGCGCATGACTAAGATTAAGATCAAGATGAATTCCAGTGGATGACGATTAATGCTTTGGGAAAGCCAGTCTGCAGAGTCCAAAGACACCAATTCGCACTAAAAGACACTAGCTCGAGCGCTAACCCGAAGGCGGTAAGGTGTGTGGTTTATAATTAAGTCCGGAGTAAAACTGCTGAGGATTATCAGCTCGCCCCCACTATCTTCCATTAACATCCCCCTAATGGGGTAATCTTGAGCATGAACTTGCAAGCTTCGAGATCCCACTGGGGTAAGTGGGGGCTATCCCTGCGACCTATCCTTTCAGGTTCCTGCGGATACACGATCCAAAGGCCCCCACGCTGCAACCATGTGCAAAGTCTCCACGTGCAGGCGCGCTTGTTCGAGGCTTATGAAGGTTGAGTTGCTTTAAGTACCTGCAGTCCACCACTTCATCAATCTTCATACTCACTCTCTACTCTTCGCATTCAATACAATACCCCCGGCTCTCTTAATAGAAAGTTCACCAGCCACGCATCTCAAAGCGATTTTGCTATTTATATACATTTACTCTTTTATCTATTCAACTTAACCTTCTTACTCAACAACATCCAAAATGGCTTACGTGAACGAGCCCATCGCTGTGATTGGTAGTGGCTGCCGCTTCCCCGGTGGTTCTTCCTCGCCATCGAAACTCTGGGACTTGATGAAATCGCCGCGGGACGTCGCTAGCAAGATCGACCGGTTCAGTGCCGAGGGTTTCTACCACAAGGACGGCAGCCACCATGGCACTAGCAACGTGCTGCACTCTTACCAAATTGAGGAGGACACCCGCGAGTTCGATGCCCAGTTCTTCTCCATCCCCGGCTCTGAGGCCGAGGGAATCGACCCGCAGCAGCGAATCCTGATGGAAGTGGTTTATGAGGCTCTGGAGGCTTCAGGCCACAAGATCGAGGAGCTGTCTGGCTCCTCAACCGGCATGTACGTCGGTGTGATGTGTAACGACTATGCGCATATTACCTACCACGATCTCGAATCTATCCCCAAATACGCCGCGACGGGAACTGCCTCGTCTATTCTTTCTAACCGAATCTCTTATTTCTTCAACTGGTAAGCATTTTTCGATAATCTTGATCGGATTGGTAGAGAAACTAACACAATTTGTAGGACCGGTCCCTCCATGACCATCGACACCGCTTGCTCCTCCAGTCTTATCGCGACACACCAAGCAGTTGAGCTGCTTAGAAAGGGTGAATCCAACCTGGCCGTTGCTGCTGGAGCTAATTTAATTTTTGGACCCACCAACTTTGTGGCTGAGAGCAATGTCAACATGCTTTCCCCCACCGGCCGCAGCCGCATGTGGGATAACAAGGCGGACGGATACGCACGCGGTGAGGGTGTCGCTGCGGTTATTCTCAAGCGCCTGAGTGATGCCATTAGGGACGGTGACACTATTGACTGTGTTATTCGCGAGACCGGTGTGAACCAGGATGGCCGGACCACTGGTATCACTATGCCAAGTAGCGTCGCCCAGGCCGAGTTGATCCGCCAGACATACGCTCGGGCTGGTCTCAACCCCCACACTGACCGCTGCCAGTACTTCGAGGCCCATGGTACAGGTACCAAGGCTGGTGATCCTCAGGAGGCTGGTGCGATCTACCGCGCTTTCTTTGAAGGTAATGACAACACCGACCCCAACGACAAGCTGTACGTTGGATCCATTAAAACTATTATTGGACATACCGAGGGAACTGCTGGTATTGCTGGTCTGCTTCGAGCCTCGCTCGCCATGAAGCATGGCTTCATTCCTCCTAACATGCTTTTCGAGGAACTCAACCCTGATATTGAGCCCTACTACGGTCGTCTCGAGATTCTGAAGACTGCTCAACCTTGGCCCAAACTTCCCGCTGGTGTTCCCCGTCGAGCCAGTGTCAACAGCTTTGGATTTGGCGGCGCTAATGCCCACGCCATTATTGAGTCTTACGAACCCGAGACTCACATCCAAGCTGTCACTCGAAGCTCTACCGTGGCAGTGCCCTTCCTATTCTCTGCCAACTCGGAGAAGTCTTTGGTCAGCCAGATTGAGACCTTCCTGTCTTACTCCGAGGGTCTTGATGAGAAGAGCACTAACCTTCGCGATCTGGCCTGGACTCTTTCGCGCCGATCGACGTTCCCCATGCGTGCGCCCTTTTCGGCTCTCACTCTGGAGACTCTTCGCAGCAAGCTGACTGCCGCCCTCGAGACCAAGAAGACCGACGGAACCGCCCTTGGTGTGCGTCCTGCCCACAAGACGAATACCATCCTAGGTGTCTTCACCGGTCAGGGTGCCCAGTGGCCCCGTATGGGCTACCACCTTGTCGAGGCTTCTCCATTTGCTGCCTCCCTGATGAAATCCCTGGATGCTTCTCTCCAATCCCTACCTGAGCAGGACCGTCCCAGCTGGTCTCTCCAGGATGAGCTTGCCAAGTCCGCCGACGGCTCCCGTGTCATGGAAGGGACCTACTCTCAGCCCCTGTGTGCTGCCGTGCAGATCATTCTCGTTGAGTTGCTTAAACAGGCTGGCATCACATTCGATGTTGTTGTCGGCCACTCGAGTGGAGAAATCGGTGCTGCCTTTGCCGCCGGCTTCCTGAGTGCCCAAGATGCCATCCGCATTGCCTACTACCGTGGTCTCTTTGGTAAGCTTGCTGCTGCTCCCAATGGATCGGCTGGTACGATGTTGGCTGTTGGTACCTCGATGGAGGATGCCAACGAGCTTTGCAAGCTCTCGACGATGAAGCGATTCGGGCAGTTCAATGTGGCAGCTAGCAACTCCTCATCCAGTGTTACCATGTCTGGTGATTTGACCGCCATTGAGCGTGCAAAGTTCATCTTTGAGGATGAGAGCAAGTTTGTTCGCTCGCTCAAGGTCGACACCGCATACCACTCTCACCACATGCAACCCTGCTCTGAGCCATACATGGAAGCCATGGCACGCGTCAAGGTTGCCATCCAGGAGCCCAACCCTAACTGCAAGTGGTACTCCTCGGTTCTTGGTGGTGACCTGGTCACCAGTGACATGAACGAGCAGCTTGCCGGCTCTTATTGGAAGGACAACCTGTTGCAGCCTGTTCTGTTCTCCCAGGCTCTTGAGAGCGCCCTCGAGAAGAATGGTGCCCCCGCCCTGGCTCTCGAGGTTGGCCCTCACCCTGCCCTGAAGGGCCCGGCTAGTATGGTGATTGAAGAGGCCCTGGGTACTACTGTACCCTACTCTGGTGTTCTTGGTCGCAAGTCGAATGATGTCGAAGCCTTCACCGACGCTATCGGAGCTGTTTGGGCTAATGTCGGCGGCTCTAAGGTGTCCTTCGGCTCCCTCGACGCCGCATTTGCAGCCAAGGACTCTGCCGACAAGCCCGAGTTCTTGCGCACTCTGCCAGGCTACACCTGGGACCACAGCCAGACTTTCTGGGCTGAGTCCCGTATCTCGAAGGCGATGCGCATGCGCCAGCATGGCCACCACGAACTGCTAGGTGTTCGTATGGATAGTGGAGAGAATGAGATGCGCTGGCGGAATTTCCTTAAGCCAACCGAGATCACTTGGACCCGTGGTCACTCCATTCAAGGACAGACCATCTTTCCCGGTGCTGGATTTGCTTCTATGGCTATTGAGGCAGCCAAGGAATACGTGGATGATCTGGGTGAGACCATGGACCTTGTGGAGCTTGAAAACCTGCGGATTCACTGGGCCCTGGGCTTCTTAGATGAGACCATTGGCTCTGAGGTCACTGTGGCCATTTGCAACATTCAGCGGGATGAGTCTGCTGACATGATTGAGTGCGATTTCGTTTGCAGTGCTTGCCCTACCAAGGACGCAGCTTTGACGACCATCTCTACTGCTCACCTTAAGCTCACTCTTGGATACGGCTCTACAGAGACCCTCCCCTCTCGCCCTGCACCAAATGAGGCTGACAAACTGACCGAACTTGACGCTGATGTCTTCTACGACTCCCTGGCCAAGCTGGGCTACAACTATGCCGATATGTTTAAGACTATTACTAGCTTGAGCCGCAGGAAGCTGGCCTCGACCGGTGTCATCCATAGCGCCACTGAAGCAGATTACAAGACCAACCTGATCGTCCACCCTGCTCCTCTCGATGTCGCCTTCCAGGGCTTGTTCGCCGCTATTGGCTCTCCCGGTGATGGCCAGCTCTGGACTCTGATGGTTCCCACCATCATCCGCTCAATCAAGGTCAACCCCTTCACTTGTAATCAGACCGGCTGCCTCGACAAGGACTTGTCCTTCGAAGCCAATGTGCAGGTTGAGCGTTCCTCTCAGCAGGTCGGTGGTGACATTGATGTGTATGACGATGCCGGCAACGCAATGATCCAGATTGAAGGCTTGCAGGTTACTCCTGTCACCCAGATCACTGCTCGCGATGACGCTCAGAAGTTCTCTGACACTACCTGGGGCAATGACAAGGCTGATGCAGGCCGCGCTTACACCGAATTCTGGAACTCGGAGTCTGAGAAGACCCGCTGGGAGGAGTCTTACTTCGTCGAGCGCACCTGCTTCTACTATATGAAGCATTTACATGATGCCATCAAGCCCGAGGAAATCGAGGGTCTTGAGGAGCAAGCCAAGAAGTACCTCAACTGGGTCGCTTCAGTTGTTGGGAAGGTGGAGGCCGGGTCGCACCCTACCATCAAGAAGGAGTGGCTGAACGATACTTTCGAAAAGCTCGAGGGTCCCATGTCTGAGTAAGTTCTTTTATATGATTGCTCCACTGGTGGTATTCACTAATAGTTTTCATAGGTTCGCCCAGGAGCACGAGGAGCTGCACCACCTGATGACCCTTGGAGACCAGCTTATTCCCTTCATTCGAGGAGATGTTTCTCTTGTAGAGCTTTTCGATGATTTCGAGGTGATTGACCGCATCTATCAGGACGGATACGGAATGCCCCAGTTCCACAGCTTCTTTGGTGACTTGATTGAGCAGCTTACCTTCAAAGCCCGTCAAATGGATATCCTTGAGGTCGGTGCCGGCTCTGGATCCGCGACTGAAGCCATCATGAGCCGCATTGACTACCACTATGGCTCATACACCTACACTGATGTCTCCGCCTCATTCTTCCCCGAAGCCCAAGAGCTCTTCAAGGATCAGGAAGGAAAGATGGTCTTCCGCACCTTTGATATGGAGGAGGATGCTATTGAGCAGGGATTCCACGAGCGCAGCTACGATCTTATTGTCGCCTCCAACGTTCTCCACGTTTCTAAGAACATTGAGGAAACCTTGAAGAACCTGCGCAAGCTTCTCAAGCCAGCTGGCTACCTCGCCCTCCTTGAGGTCACTGATCTCGATCACGTCCGCTCATCATTCTATGCAGGCTCCAAGCCTGGCTGGTGGGCCGCTGAGGATGGCCGTGAGCCCCAGCCTTTGCTCCCTCAGAGCGGTTGGAATGCTGCCCTGAGAAACACTGGCTTCTCTGGTATTGAGACTGCGACTCCCGAGACCCACATGTTCACTGTGCCATACAGTGTCATGTTGAGTCAGGCCGTTGACTCTCAGATCTCACTCCTGCGAGAGCCACTCAGCCCCGAGAATACCGATTCCATCAAGCTGCCGAAGCTCCTCGTTATTGCTGGTCAAACCGAGGCCACTGCTAAGCTGCAGAGTGAGATTCTTGCACTTCTCGAGCCCTTCAACTCCGAGATTCAAATTGTTTCCCGCATTGAGGATTTGGAGGAGAGCCACTTCGAGCCCAAGCAGCTTGTTCTGAATTTGATGGAACTTGATACAAACTTGTTCGGACCTCTCACTCCTGAGCGCTGGAGCGCCCTTCAGACTTTGACTGAGAACTCTCAAAACATCCTCTGGCTGACTCACGGTGTTGGTGCTAAGAACCCTTACGCTAATATGATTGTTGGTGTATCCCGTGCTTTAGTTCACGAGAAGCCCGACTTGAAGATCCAGGTGATTGACTTTGCTGACGGCGAGCCCATTGACACAAAGCTCGTTGCCAGCGAACTTGTGAAGCTGCACATTGCTGGTGTCTGGAGAACCTGGGCTCAACCCTACGTCACTACCTGGGTTCTGGAGCGCGAGATTCGCGTCGTGAATGGAAAGGCCAGAGTTCCCCGTGTTGGGCCCTGCAAGGCTCTGGATGCTCGCTACAACGCATCTCGTCGCAAGATCTACGAAGAAGTTGACCTCAAGAACTCTGTTGTCGCCATTACCTCTAAGCAGGGTGTCTGCGATGTACAGGAGGTGCGCAAGCCATTCTGGGCCGTTGCTGAGCCTGAATACATCGAAGTTGAGACTATTCGTTCGACCTTGGCACCCCTCGCAATCCCCTCTCTTGGGTCTCTCCACCTGATTGTCGGCAAGATTGTTGGTACTGAGCAGACTGTTCTTGCCTTCTCTGAGACTCTGCAATCCAAGGTCTCGCTGCCCAAAGACCTGACTCTCTCCGTGGATGTCTCACTTGACCATGCCCAAGAGCTGCTAGTCTCTGTTGCCAGCTATCTACTCGGTGACTACCTCCTGTCCCACTCAGCTAAGGGCAAGTCTCTTATGGTCCATGAGCCTACCCCCGCCCTTGCCGCCGCTCTGAAGGATCTGGCCAGTGAACGCAATACTCCCCTCAGCCTGACCACATCTTCCCCATCCGATGAGCTGCAGTACATTCACCCTCGTGCCCATCGACGCACTATCATGGGTGCATTCCCCGCCAAGCTGTCCGCTTATGCCAACTTCCCCAGTGCCCACGACTCTTCCAAGTCGGGCGAGCACATCGAAAAGTACCTTCCTTCTTATGTCAAGCGAGTTTCTGCCAACTCCTTCCTGGGTGAGCTGGCTTACCTGCAGCCACAGGCTAAGCCCGAGGCCGCCATCGAGCTGCTGCAGAAGGGACAGGCTTTCTTCGAGGCTCACCCTGATCTCGACACCAACGAGCGTGTGCAACAGGTCAGCTTGGATGAGGCTCCCGGCTTTGAGCGCGATATGGCAAACGCCACTCTAGAGGTGGTCAACTTCACTGGTCAGTCGGTCGCATTCGGGGCCCTTTGCCCTCCTGAGGATGATGTTCAGTTCCGCTCTGACAAGACCTACTGGCTTGCGGGTCTCACTGGAGAGCTTGGTCTTTCCCTTACCCGCTGGATGGTTGAGCGTGGTGCTCGCTACATTGTTTTAACTTCTCGCAAGCCTAAGGTTAGCGAAAAGTGGATCGATTCGGTGCAATCCACTGGTGCTGTTGTTAAGTGTCTGCCCATGTAAGTCAATACACTCCATCATTGACCACCTTCATACTAATAATATTTCCCAGGGACATCACCAACGCTGAGTCGGTCATGAAGACCTACGCACACATCACCTCGGAGTTCCCTCCCATCGCTGGTGTCTGCAATGGCGCTATGGTGCTCAATGATGGTGTTCTTGCCAACCAGTCCTTCGAGGACTTCAATGCCACCTTGACTCCCAAGGTCACGGGTACTCAGTACCTCGACTCCCTCTTCCAGAAGCCCGACCTTGACTTTTTCATCATTTTCTCTTCGCTCTCTTTCATGACCGGTAACATCGGCCAGTCCAGCTACGCCGCTGCCAACTCCTTCATGGTCAGTGTCGCCGAGGCTCGTCGCAAGAAGGGTCTCGCCGGTTCCGTCATGAACTTGGCCGGTATCTTCGGTATTGGATACATCACCCGCCGCGATGTCAAGCTTCTGGATCACCTTGCCAAGATGGGTTACGAGAACATCTCCGAGTGGGACTACCTCCAGTTCTTCGCTGAGGCTGTGAAGGCCGGTCGGCCCGAGACCGCCGCCCAATACCCGACCTGGGAGATCCACTCCGCCATCAAGCCCGTTGACTCTGACGCCAAGAACCCCCTCCCTGGCTGGAGGTTCCCCGGTTCTCTTGGTACCGCCGTGTTCGCGCCAGTGCCTCTCAGGAAGGTGAGGGTGGTGCAGTCTCCGTCCGCGATCAGCTCAAGGACCAGACTACCATGGAGGGTGTCAACAAGGCTCTCCTCGCTGGCTTCGTGGCTGTTCTCTACAAGCTTCTGGGTATGCGCCCCGAGGATGGTGCCATCTCCCCCAGCACTCCTCTGATCGAGCTGGGTATTGATTCCCTGGTTGCTGTTGACATGCGAGTCTGGTTCTCGCGCGAGCTGGATCTCGACCTGCCAGTCTTAAAGTTGCTTGGTGGTGCTACTGTTGAGGATATGGTTGAGGATGCTGTCTCAAGATTGTCTCCAGAGTTGATCCCTAATGTTCAAGAGGCTCAGACATCGACTGAAAGTGCGGAGGGTGAGAGCAAGGAAGAGGATGTTGCGGATTCGGATTCCCAGAGCAGTGGTGAAGTTGCCACTTCTACAGAGACCACGCCTCCAGCAAGTGAGGCTGGCTATGACGATTCTAAGAACCAATAGATATAGATCGCGTTGATTTTATGCATATGTGTTTGAAGTCATGTTATAATTAAATACAAATTGCTTTTGCTGTCTCAATCCTTCCTCTTAACAATGGTTTCATAGGTTTCTAAATCAATAATTCTGCAGCATTTTCACTTGATTCCCTTTCTCAGTTAGGTGGCTTCCTTCAAGCTTTCACAATCGACTTCTCCCAGTCGATTTTCAAGGATTACACCTACTATTACCTTCAATTTATAAGTGACGCTAAACTACCAAGTCATCCAAAATGCTTGCTTGAAGCCCTTCAAAACATCTTTCTTTACCTGTAATTGTAAGTTGTCATTAATCACGGGCCATATTTAAGATAGGCTGAATAAATGGAAAAAGATGTAAGCAACGTTTGCAGTTCAAAATTTAACCTTCAGGCTGGAAATCATTCATTAAAATATACAAGTAAAAGTCAAATTCGAAGACCTTGTCTCTCGGATTTTTTTCGTCCTCACAGTATTTTTTGAAGTAGCTCTTCACGTCGAAAATGCCTCAAGGATATGTATCTTGCTATTCCTCACAAGTCTCTAAACCCCGCGTCATAACATCGGACTTGATCTCACGACTTACTCTTTCTAAGTGTTATATTTGAACAGATCCGCGAGATCAAAATATTAATGTAGAAGAAGGTTGCTATACTTGGCTAAATCCCCCTGGCCTGATTTGAAGGGGTATAGGGTACAAATGACAAAAAGGCAAGCTGAAATTCCATCATAATCGTCACAACAATGATGACCTTCTACATCTAAGCAGTAATAGCCTCGTTCTCAGAGATTGGCTTCTGAGCAGCTGCGCCAGTCGCAGCGGCAATTGCCGCAGCCTTCTTCGCAGAAATGTATCCCTTGATAAAGTCCGACATGAGATCCTCTTTCGATTCCTCCTTCTGTGGGTTCAAGCCCCAGGCAGTGGATGACGAGTCGAGAAGGGTTGCGCGTCTCATATCACGGACATATTTGCCTGCGAACGAGCCTCCAGCCGCTTTGTGCATGACGCAGGTGTTGTCCTGTTTCATATTAGCATTGTTGCCCCAAATTGAGGGTACCGCTGACTTACCCAAATCACAATATCGCCATCATTCTCCCAATCAATTGTGAAGGTGTACTTATCCTGGGTGGCATGGTCAAGCAAAGCCTTGATGATAGGCTGGCTATCTTCCTTCGTCCACCCGTCAAAGTGGTGTCCATGAGCAGCAATGTACAAGTTCATTCTCCCACTAGGCTCGTGCAGCTGCACAAGCTTGTGGCGTGCCATGGAGTTCTTCTCCGCGGGCATATACTTGAGGAAATCGCAGTCCGGCGCAGCGAGACGACGGCTATGCCAGATAGAATGCCAAAGAACATAATCCTTAATCTTCTCTTTCGTCTCCTCATCCAAGTCATCATATGCAGTCCTGGTATCGGCAAACGCGGTACCACCGCCAGTGCCCTTAGGGGGCAGTTGGTGAGCGCGGAGAATGGAGAGTCCCACTCGGCGGTTGTTGTAGGAGCAATCAACGTGGAAAAGATTGTTTCCTTGGCCAAGTTGATATTTCAAACTGTCTTTCTGAAGGATGGAGCCGTCGTCCTCGATGTTGGATACATCTGTGAGCTCGGTGAAGGGGTCGAGTCGGTATTTCTTGCCTGGAGCGATGAAGACAGTTGATGAGTCGAGTTCGCCAAGTTGGCGGGCGAATGCGACGTGGCGTTCGTCGTCAAGCTGGGCTCCACGGAACACGAGGACACCGTACTTGGCCATGCCATCCCGGATGATCTGGATCTCTTCTTCGGGTAAAGGCCTAGAAAAATCGATTCCATGGCACTCTGCCCCAACAGTGGGGTGAAGCGCCTTGAAGGAAACTTGGCAAGTGTTGGATATCATTGGTGCGACAACTGGCTCGTGACGTAGAATGGATTTGTGTGGGTACTGTTTGTGAAGACAAACTTTGCGTGAATTGCTTAGGGTCACTTGGCAGACTTGGCGGACGGTTGATTTATATTCTGACGATCTCACGTTATGCCTAATAGACTTTATACTCTGTGAGCGAACTAAAAAAAGCCACGAAACTAAACCGGAGTCTTCCGCAAGGGCTTGGATGAAACGGTAGGGATAGAGATCCTGTCGACGGCGCTATCAAATCAATGGCTTGCATAGTGAAAAGGGGTATGCTATTGTGCAGAAGCCCCCCGGAGATGCAATCTTTTGGCCAATTACAGAGATGGACTCGGATGTGGCTTGGGCTAGATAGCATAACGGACGAAGACCCCAATTCTACAACGATAATCTGATCTTACAATGGGGTGCTGTTTGATCGGACTACCGCATGTGGTTGGCACTGTTCTCGTATTTCAACGTATTATTGCCAAAGTCCCATGTTGTATGCAGGCCCCACACTCGTACTGTAACCCCTCAAGGGCTGCATTACATGTGGAGGCCACTACACTCATGGCGTGCAGAATTCGGGGGCATAATTTACGGCCCCTATGCATGATGATCGGAGACTCCGTCTTGAAAAGGAAACTTGTGGACAGAATGGCCCCCAATCGGTTGTTGGGGGCTTTTAGTAGGGGCGATCAGGCGCACTTCCGTCAAGCGATTACTTAAATGGGTATTAGTATGATAATGCTTACAAGTCGCATCTTGATCCATTCAGCTTTGAATTTTGAATTGTCCGGAGCATCACGTCCTCTTTATCCACAGATAAGAATGGGGCATTTATGGGTTGCGCGCATTTCTAGACTGACCTTTGTGAACAGCTCTCGAAATCTCACTAACTTGGCAATTTCATTGATAAAAAAGCCGATATCCCCTTAATTGCAAGGCATGTTCAGGGTCCATAAAGTCCGAACCTAAGTAATCAACTCCTAAGCGTATTTATAGATTACCTGTTGAGGAAGTACATCGACGAAGTTGAAGTTTCCCATTGCGATGGCCCCCATACGTTCGCGCCGCACAGTAAAAAGGAACTGGGTACTAACGGTTCTCTAATGAATCTGTCTGCACATAGACAACTGTTACGCGACAAGTGAGGACATAGAGCTCACAGAGCAACTTGAAAGTCCTCGATCCGGTTCTTCGCTATCACCACTCAAAGCACTCTTAGTTAGCAGGGCTACAGACACGACGCAAGATGTCGGAGCGTCTTGGGCAAAAGTCTGTCCTCATTACAGGGTAAGTTAGCATGAGATCATTTGGGAAGACTCTTGGTAACATCGAATTTCAGCTGCACGCCTGGGGGCATCGGTCATGGCCTTTGCCACGAATTTCACAAGCGAGGTATTTGAGCATGACATAAGGAAATAATTCATTTACTAAAAAATTACCCAGGCTTGCATGTTATCGCCACCGCTCGCGATCTATCAGTCTTGCAAGAATTAGCGACCTTGGGCATGAGCACCGTTCAGTTAGATGTGACAGACCCTATCAGCATCAAGAACTGCCACAAAATTGTCACCGGACTGACTGGGGGCCGTCTGGATATCCTGGTGAATAATGCGTAAGATCATATTCCGACTATGTCTGAAATCGACTCCACGGTGCTAACAATTCCAATTCACAGCGGTCGCACACACACGCATCCTGCGCTGGATCTCGATATCCAAGACGTGCGGACAACATTTGAGACCAATGTCTTCGGGGTAATGGCAATGGTGGCTGGGTTTGCCGACCTTCTGATTGAAGCGCAAGGCTTAATCATCAATGTCGCGTCTTTGGCGGCGTTGGTGCCGTATGCCTTTGGAAGTGCATACTGTGCTAGTAAGGGGGCTATCGTTAGTTATAGTCGGACTCTGCGTCAGGAGCTGCGTCCGCTTGGTGTGAGGGTTATGGTTTGCATGGTCGGCACTGTGAAGTCGAACATTCACAATCGGGCGCATAGGTCATTGCCCGAGAACTCAGTGTATCAACCCATCAAGGAGGTTTTCCAGAAACGCCTGACATTTGTCAACAACAACAGTCCATATGATACCGAATCATTCTCCAAAGAGCTTGTTGCGAATTCTTTGAGGAGTGAGTGGCCATGGCTCGTCAGGAGTTGGGTGGGAAGACCTGACTGGTTCTACTATGGTGGGTTAGCATGGCTGTTGTGGTGGGGTTCGACTTTGTTTGGCGAATGGGTGGTGGATTATGTGTGTTGGAGAATGTTTGAATTGTGGAAATTGGAAAACTTGACATCACGGGTTGAGGAGATTCGCGAGACGCCTTCCAAGGTTGAATAGACTAGTTTGTTCTAGTCGACTGGTACTAATGAGCGGGCTTGTTCATCGTCTGCTACTTGATGTTTGATTATAATGATTCCCACTGTTATCAGATGCATAATGCTGTCACGTGCTCTATACGTAACTGCTGCAAAATATGATAAGATTGGCATCATAATAAAGTCTACGTCATGGATGGCGCTAGGGAAAAGAGATAAGAGGGTATGTCGTAGTCCATGCATCCTGGACTGATCATTGCCATCTTGAATGTCGTGGCTGTGTGTGTTAAGGCAGCAAGAAAAGCGGTCCAGCCGAAAGCCATTTCAACAAATCAAAGCTGCGGCTTGACCCGCAGCTTCACAGGCATCAAGATTCAAGGCTCTTTCTCATTTAAAGTCTTCTCCCTGGGGCCAACAAGCTTCACACTCTCGTCGATCGCGACTCGCAGTGTATACCCAATTCGGTGCCGTTGGCGTTTTTGCGGAAGATCATTGGGTGGTGAGTGTGGAGGTGGGGTCAGCCCAACGACAGGCCAAATCACGCTAAGTGGCGGTGCAGCCTTCATGGGCCCCAAACAGATCATTAATAATACGTTCTTCCCTGCCAGGAGAGGCAGTCGATCTTCCCGTGAATATACATTAATTGCAAAGGAATTCCCCCGGTCATGGTCTATTGCGGAAAGCCTAGCAGAGGCTGTGGTCAGTGCCGGGCCCGCAAGGTCCGATGTGATCAGGCCCAACCCGCCTGTTCGCAGTGCTTGCGGGCCAAGCGGGAGTGCCCCGGCTATCGAGACCAGTTATCGTTAATGTTCCGCGATGAGAGCAAATCAGTGGTGAGGAAGGCAAAAGCGGAGGCAACCTCGAGTTCTCCTGCTTCGGCCAAGACCACGAGATCGAAGCAGACGCGATCGACTCGCATTGATTCCCCGGAGGGGCAACGTACAGCATCCCTAAATGGGAATTCTTCGCCCCCAGTCAACCTTTCGGGGCCGGATTTCCCTCTGAACTTCAACTCGGCTCCACAGTATATTATGCCCGATGCATGGGATATTCCTATGGAGGTTCAACCTGCAGCCCCGACCAAGGATGATGCGATTTGTTATTTCATGCGCTCCCATGCCTTCCCGGGCGCATTTTGGAATACCGAGATGATGTCCAAATTCCTAATGCAGTCGGGTGGACCCACGAGTCAGAGTGCCATGCAGGCAAGTATGGGCGCCGTGGCTTCCGCCATGTTGTGCCGTGTTAAAAAAGTCACGTCACTTATGGAGGTTGCTCGAAAGGAGTATGTCTCCGCACTAACGCTGTTAAATGGTGCACTGGCCAATCCTGAAGAGGCCAAGTCCAATCAAGCGCTCGGAGCAGTCGTATTGCTCGCTATATACGAAGTAAGCGCATTGAAGGATTCAATGGATGTATGCTGATCCACCTCGCACAGGTTGTCACTTCGAGAGCCCCGCAGGATATTGATCTCTGGACTAACCATATAAACGGAGCCATGGCCCTCCTGGAGATGCGTGGTCCCGATCAACTGAAAACAGAAACTGGCCTTCGTCTTTTTATGCATTTGCGGTATCAGATTGTCTGTAGTTCCCCTCAACTCGTCATCTCGGTTCGTCCACTAACCTCCGCCCCACTCAGATCATCAGCTGCATGCAACGAGACGTTCGAGTCCCCGAGTCCCTCTTGGAGAGCTCGCGGTATATCTTAGACCTCCGTCCGAGCGAGGCCTATGGCAATCGATTAATCATTATCATCGGTCGGCTGTCTAACCTACGGGCCGACGTCATCGCACGCAAAATAACTGATGACCAACAAATTATCGCGGGCGCCTCGGCCATTGAAGCCGATCTAATCGCTTGGCTCGCCGGTCTACCACCAATATTCTCATACGAAATCCACATGAAGGATCGCTTCGACTTCCAGTTCCAGCAGCGATGTCGGGGATTGGCTCTCTACGACGACCAGTATCATGTATACCCCAATCTATGGTCTTGCAACTCATGGAATCAATACCGCTGTGCCCGCATTATTGTTAGTGAAATGATTCTCACTCATATCCGACAAATGTCGGATTCCGCCTCGATGAGGTCCCTCTCGGAGGAGTTCCGAGAACAATGCCATTCCCTCCGGGCCACCATTCGTCGCCTGGCGGTTGACATTTGCCGGAGTGTGCCTTACTGCCTGGGTGTGCACCATAGTAAACTAGACCCAACCCTACCACCGCCGGATAGCTATCTTGGTGGTCTAGTCCTCCTGTGGCCAATGTACTTGGCCGGCACCGCTGAGAACCCAACCCATCCGCTTCGTCGGTGGGTAGTGCAGTGTCTACGCATGATCGGTCACACCTTTGGCTTGGACCAAGCCCTAGCACTAATGGACATTGTCGCTGCAGACCCGGGAATTCTTCACGGTGTGACTGAAGAAGAGCAAAGTCGCATCACCGAGGAGCCTAACCCGGGAATGTCAGCCTCACAATCCCCTTTGAAAACGGACAATGTTTCTATCCATCACTCACCCGGCTTAATGGAAACTTTCTGATGGTTCATTCCTGTCAAGCGAGGCTTGTTTCTATTTTATTTTATTTTTTTGTTCATTTATATCCACATTGGTTATGCATCCTTGCGTTTTATTTAATTGGTGGGCGGAGTACTCGGAAGGCGGAATTGCACAGGCGCTCGGATATCATGATTACGACCCATGTCTTTCCAGAACGCGACTATTGCTTCTTAGAAAGTCTATGAAAACTTTATCTCAGACCACTGATAAATTCTCCACGTGTTTATTATCCGATTGGCTTAATCCTGCAAAGCTCTTTCCCATAGTAGTCTGCCTTGCGGAGTCATTTATTGGTGGGGCTGTGCTCACCAACTCCGCCTTCGCACAAACACCAGTGCCCTATGCATGGATGATGACTGAAACTCTCCCCACTTCACCCCGGGCTACTTCCCTGTCTTCCCCCGCGCTAGGACGGTATCTGTGCTTAGCCTTACAGCCTGAATATGTCAAAGTAGCGCAGTGCATCCCTGCTAACCTCATGTGGTCATTGAGGCATATCTGCCTTGCCATGCAACACATGGATCTAAGCTCTTATGCTCCACTCAAGACCCTGACCACGAGGCAGTACGTATGTCCTATCTCACCTCGTAAACTTAGTTTATCGTGAGGCTCTCTTCCAACCCTCAGGACTCAGCCGACTTAAGGCGTTGGTGAGAGTTTCCAAAGAGACAGCCTTGTTTCACTTCGCCTTGATTCTCACGTATAAAGAATGGAGTGTGTTTCTTTATTACATAGTTCTTTCATTATGGCATTCGAAAATATATCTACTGGATCCAATCGACTCTCTATCTCAGCCACTCCAATTGCATTAATATTTGCATCATAAGTTGGGCCACCAACCTGAACGGATACATGTCCCTATTTGAAAGAACCATTCCCCCTCCTCTCTGGTCCTCTTTTCCATCCAGCAACAGAGTCAGAGATCAAGTACAAGCCGTCAGAGACCAGGTACAAACAGCCTCTAAAGCACCCACACCTACAAACAGCACCAAGTCGACCATGATTAGCCGCCTCTTTAAGGGCCGTGGCCACTCCACCGAAAAGTCCACCGACAAAACCCCAAGTCGACTCCGCGATATCCTCAGCTCCAACCCCAGCACCAGCAAAGCAGCACCATGGGATCCCCCACCCTACGAAGAACACCAAACCGCGCCCCAAATCTCAACCGGAGAATCAGAGTTCGACTCCCTGAAAGACTTTGACACCATCTTGCTCGTAGACGACAGTAGCAGCATGGACGGACCCCGTTGGCGCGAAGCCGAAGCCGCAATAGCAGCCATAGCCCCAATTTGCACTGAATACGACAGCGACGGGGTAGACCTCTACTTTCTAAACCACCGAAAGGAACGAAACGCCCCTTTCGACCACTCCTCTGGCCATAACAGCGCCCCACACAACATCTACCGAAATATCAAAAGTGCAGAGCAAGTCCGCGAAATCTTCAGCAGCGTTACTCCGCGTGGAGCCACGCCTGTGGGGAGACGGTTAGACGATATCCTCACGCCGTACATGCGGCGTGTAGAGCGGATGCAGCAGGCACCGCGGAATGAAGACGGGACTCTGAGTGATCCGTCCTTGGATGTGAAGCCCATCAACCTTATTACGATTACTGATGGCGCGTTTACGGATGACGCGGAGAGTATTATATTACAGGTTGCGGAGAGGTTGGATCGGTGTGTGGCACGGCCGTCGCAGGTTGGAATTCAGTTTTTTCAGATTGGGAATGATGAGGATGCTAGGCAGTATTTGCAGGATTTGGATGATAATCTTGGGAAGCGCTGTCAGGACAAGCAATTTCCCTTGAGGGATATTGTGGATACGGTTCCGTGGAGAGGGTCTAGAGGGTCGACGTTGGATGCGAAGGGAATTTTAAAGTGTGTTCTAGGGGCCGTGAATAAGAAGTTGGATCGGAAGCAGGTGTAAACTAAGTTAATGTTTATTGTTTATTTTTGGGTTTCGTTTCAGGATTTCATGTCTTGCCACTCTCTGTTCTTGTGGTGTGATTACGTCGTCGACATGCAGTCTTCGTCAGGTCGGATATGATGTATAGATCCATGTGGCGAGGCAGCCATTGTTTCTACTCAGAATAGAATCAAAAGCAAATTCTAGTAAATTGACCAGTCATCTACGCGCGCCGTACAATTTCAGGAACCGCCCAAGTGGATCCTACAGGGTCGATCCCCAAATCACGGCATTTGGCGTCAGGGGAACATAACCCTTACTCATTCTCTAATTCTCTAAGGACGCCGTATGGTGGATATGATTTAGACTAGGCAGAGCTGACGTGTTATGGAGCAAAATAGATTAAAAATCATTACGGTAGATGTACCTTGCAGTAGTGGAGGCGCGAACCATGGTTGAAGCGGCGTTCGCCAGCCACAATGTAGATGATAATCTCCCCCTCAACCACTTGATTCCCGATTCAACGCGTTATTGGATCCTGTTTCCACCAAATTATCCGGAATACCAAGCCCGCTCTAAATCAACATTGTCACCAAGAAGATCTACTAATCTCTTGCCATTTGATCCACGTCTTTCGTTTTTGAATTGGCATCGATCGCCATCACGGTTCAATATTCCCCGCAGTGCCGATCGCGCGTCACCGCAAGAAAAAAAAACCTCTTCTCCTCTTCTCCTGTCTCCTACCAGAACGCTGTCAACTATTCACAATATCTCTTATAAACACTGGAATCACAAATTGGTGGTGTTCTCGATCCCGATAGTCCAGCCAATCCCACCCGTTTGAAGCGCCGGGAACCCTGGCCTTCCTGCAGGTACATCCGGGCGCTTCGCGTTCGTCCCCGCCCATTGGTCTACCTTGTCGCCCTGCAAAGTGCTTGGGAAATTACACTTCCAACATTAGCTGCATACGCTCTCTCGCGGTTCCTGAAGCATCCGCGTCCTGTGCCCCCGTGTCAGGTCAGGCTGCGTTGTTCTACTCCACTGAAACGCTTCTCCAACGCCGCCATTAATAGACCTGTCATTGTCTGAAACAGGTACCGTTGACCTCCAGGGGAGGTAATTATAGAAACTATTTGTTTACTGTCCGGGCTGGACCGGCCTCCTTGTCACCTTTATATTCCTTGCATTGGGCTCGGGGTTCTTTCCTTTCTACATATCTTTCATTCATTCTTTTGCATTTGCATTGCATTGCCTTGCTGTATACTAGTGTTGTCCTGCCCTTTCTTTCTTTTTGACTCACTCTTTTCTTATCACATTCGCTTGCATTTTCATTGTGTCTCTGGCATTTTATTTTTGGGTGCATCTGCTGGCCCATTGATTCTTTCTTTTCAGCGAGTGTTGCATTGCGATGAGATCGACTACCCTGATGACTTTTCTATTGTGAGTTTTTAGTTCCTTTTTTTCCTCCATTCTGGACATTTGGGACACAATACTGACCTGGTTTAGGACTACCAATTCTGAAGTGCGGTCAGTGAAGTTGCTCGGATCATGGGACAATTTCTCGAAATCGTATGCGATGGAAAGGGACAGGCGTGCGGGACCCGGTCATTGGAAAGGATGTCATACCTTCACTGATATCATGGGGGACGGGCCTGACAAGAACCAATGGCGCACGGGCGGACTGAAGATGGGAGCCACATATTGGTACTACGTGAGTTGTAAGCCCTGCACATTTAAGATAAGAAACTAACATATGATAGTATTTGTTGAATGAAGATGTGGAGTCATATAGCCAGGCTGAGCCCGTCACTACTAAATGTCCTCTCCTGCCGGGTCAGCCTCTCAACGTTCTGAACGTGCCTATTATCCTGCCGGACAGTCACTCCCATAGTCGCTCTGCCAGTAGCAGCTCGCAGAAGGAAGACTACCGCACAATGAACCCCGAAGACAAGTATATGAACCCGCGCAAGCCACCAAAGCCAAATCTGGCCCGTCTTCAAACTTCTATCCCAAATCCCAATCAATCTTCAAATCCCCCCAGCCTCTCACCTAGCGGGAGCTTCCTTCATCGGAGTGCATCTCAGCCGAACAGTGCCACCAGGAGGAATGAGAAGTCGAAAGAGGGACGTTCCGCGTCTCCCCCGCGAGGTCTTGGTCTTCGCCATGCTTTGACTCAAAAGCGACCAGGGCCTTCCCCGAGAGCGCAGGCGTTCAACGAAAGTCTGCGACAAAAGGCCCCTATTAATGAACGTCGCAATATCCCTGGTATTTGTGTCGACTCTGGCGCAGTGTCTCCGTCGACCAGCCATTCCGATAATTCTGCTCAGTCGAGCATTCAGACCCGCCGTGCACTCAAGGCAAAGGCAGGAAACGCGTCCCAAGCTCGGAATCTTCTCACCGTGGAGACTCGTCCTCAGCATCGCAAGCCTGGCACTTACAAGGCTGCTGCATCTGACTCTGGCTCTGGGTCAGCTGATGGTGCGCGAACGATGCATGTCAGGAGCGGCTCTGACGACATGACCCCCACCGGACCGGATGTCAGTGAGAAGAGACTGCCTTCGCTCCCAAATACGCCTTCTTCCGTAATGGATGAAGCCGTGCGTGCGATCGACGAACGCGACAAGGCATTAGATGCAGCAGTGTTGCATAGCCATTTCTCCAGTATGACTGCGGATGACTTCACAAACTCCCGCTTCGTGGCCGAGCACAGCCGATTCTCGGAATGGAGCACCGACACGGAGGACGCCGAGGACACCTCCCCCGAGACGACGATCTCGACTTCCTCGACATTCCCCATCGAGACCCACGAGTCCCAAGCCCCTGAGGAGTGGAAAACTCCCGATCTCACATCAAATGACGCTGCAACCAATACCGATCCAAACACGCCCCACCTTACTGTACATTCCAAGCCCTCATCCCCCAACTCCGCATCGGGCGACATCCCCCCATGGCTGCCCCAGCTCACTATATCATCACCCCACCTCTCCGGCTCTGGTCTCGGAATCGACCAAATGGACGAAGTGGAAAGCAATCCCAAGCGCCATGCTGCGCTATTCAGTGCACTGGAATCCATGCAAGCGCTTTCCCTTGCGCAGAGTCGCGAAGGATCTCCAATTCTTTTGTCAGAAAGCGACCGACGCGACTCTGGGACGTTTTCCCGGCGTAGTGATGCCTCCTCGTTCCGTGGCAAAGCGACCATGCAGGAGATGATGGATGAACTCAGTTACCTGAAGAACATGATCCAGGCTGAGATGGATGGCGAACCTTTTTGAGTTATGTTAATCAACCTGCAATCCCCGGTGCTGGTCACCAGGGACATATACATAACAAAATCGATATATAGAAATAGTAGCACAAAATCGTGCGGTGAATAAACTCAATGAACAAGAAATCTATGAACAAAATAAAATTCTCCCATTATGCAGTGGATTTAATTGAAGAATCGTGTATTCATTGACCTACTCGTAAACCAGGCAGTTCTGCGTTCCAGCAACAACACCCGCCCACAAACATTGATCCAACGCGCCAAGAAACGCTCCACCGCGATCAACAACTTCAGCAAATCCCCAGTCCCAAATCCTCAGGAACTCCAGCAACCTCCTCAACGCTAGAAACAGAATGGGCTGAGCGAGTTCCATCGCACTCATATTTCATATCACAATTATGGCAGAAGAAGGCCCCCAGCTCACGCCGGTGGGGGAGAAATCCCTCCCGGCGAAATGTAAACCCAACACCCTGGCCTACTGTCCAACAATGGACCTGATCGCACTAGCGACCGAGGACGAAGAACTGCGCGTTTTCCGACTGAACGGGCAACGGGTTTTTGGGGGCTCATTCGGTGGTGATCCGTACCTGGGCGAGGATGAGGAAGACGGGGAAGTGAGAGCGGTAGCGTGGAAGGGGAATGGTGAGTATCGTAATCCATTCGACGGAACAAATATCAATATTCTAAACTATGTTCCCTAGGTCGCTTGCTCGCTGTCGCATGTGGGGATGGATCCCTACGTATCATCAGCGCATATAGCGGGAAAACAGTGCATCATTACAGCGTGTACAAGGATGCAAACGAGGAAGCTTCAAATCCAGAGGCAAAACCAGTTTCTCCCAAAGTGACATGTCTAGGCTGGGGAGTTAATTTTACCGATAGCAAAGCTGCGCAGAAATATCTGCTTGACTCGGCGGGTCAGGTTGGTGTTGAGGATTTGCTAGCTCCGGGTGTACACCCCTCTAAGGCGGCTGCAATGCTTAAAGCTGATTTACCGCGGGAACTCGCTTTACTGGATATTGAGAGCTCGCTGCCGAAGTTGAGTACGCTGCCTGCGACTGGGGCTGAGGATGATCTGTTCAGTTCAAGGGCGTCGATTGATGCCATGTTTCACTCGGCGGCGAAGGATGCTAGCGACTCGGTTGATGTGCTATTCATCGGGTTCGATGATGGGAGTGTTCATTTAAGAATTTTTGACTGTTTTGAGATTGGCTCGCTTCCTGTTGGTGAGACCGTGGGTGTGGCCGAGTCGCGGAGGATTCTCCGTCATGCGTCGCATCCCTTGAGCTCGACACATGCCTTGTTGGCGTCCGGATCGTCTGGTGCACCTCTTGATCTTGTCACTCTGGATCTCCGGTTCATTACCAAGTCTGGTCGGTACCTGTCTCTGCTTGCGTCTAAGACAACTCAGCTTCACAATCTGCTTCGGTATATTGGTTCTGTGCAGCGGCAGATTGAGCTGGAGTGGAAGAATGCACAGGAGCTTCCGGCGCGCTTCTTGCGCAGTGTCAATGAAGATCTGCAAGAGAAGTGCCAATGCGATTTCGTCACTGCCATCTATCATCTTGTGGTTACCGGTCACTGCTTCGAGCCGATGAGGGAGTTTTTGGTGGATATCGTCGGAGAGCGGGTATGCACCCCCTTTAATCTTTCGATAACAGACTTTCTGACGGTTTGCTACAGGGACACAAGAGATGGGAAAAGGCTGTTTCGGGTGGATACGAGAGTATTCGTCGACTAATCCATGAATGCCTTCTTCCGGCGTTGGATCGGAGTCAGGTTCTCCTGAGTCGACTCATGGGATTATCAAAATTCCCCAAGCTCAGCGATGTACTCGGTTTAGATACCCCTAAACTCAACGCGATTGTCGAGACCTTGGATTGTCTACACCTCTTAGCGCATTGTATTCTCAACAACGCCAATGCAGAGCTGGATCAGTTCAACGCATTTTCACGGTGGCTTCGACACGAAATTCTTATTTTAAATGCTGAACCCTTGTCCCAGACATCAGAAGAGCTCCTTGAAAAAAGAGACTTGTTTGACGTTCCACCAACAGTGAAATACATCACGGGTGCGCTCCGCAAGAGTGTTCTTCGAAATTTCATCCGTCAACTCCCTATGATCGGTGTTCCTCAACTACCTACCCCTGCCACCGATAAATGGCTTCCTGGCGACCACGATCGGTCGTTCTATGATACTTTCAAATCCCTACTCGCGCAACAGCGCCAAGTTCAAGCCGAAGGTGGCGATGGCTCGGCCGTCGATGCACCCAAATTGAATGACTTGACAAAACGACTGGGCATTCAGTTTGACAAAGTCTTCGCAGAGATCGCATTAACCCAGCGGAGGGGCATTTTACACCGGTCACCCCTCACCCTCCATGCAGATTGTGATCGAGGCATTCTAGACGTAAAGATCTGCCACGAGGACGGCGAAGAGGGACGACCCTGTTCCATTTATCTCACGGCCCGGTCTACAACATCCAAGTCTCTAGGTATGTTATTCACTCTTATCTCTATGATGCTATGTACTGACATACCATGCCACAGTCTACTTCTACCGTGTCATCTTAGACTCAAGCAACGGCGTCAGTTACACTCGGAGCACCTCCATCGCCGCCCTTGACCTCCAAGAAGGAGAAATAAAACAACTCCAATTCGTCGCCGATGACACTTTAATGATCCTGTGGGCTAGCGACCAAGGCCACTCCTACCTCCTAAACCTCCCCTTTCAACCACGCTCCGCGCAATCCTCATCCGCCAAACCTAACCAACCATCAAGTGTGGTTGAATATGTGGAGTGTGATCCACATCCCTCTGATGCGAAGCCTAGCGTGTCGGCTACATTGCTCAGCATATCTGCGTTGTCCGAGGCTGGGATGGTGAGACATGTATTTGCGACGTCGGGTTTGAAGGCGAAGCCTATTAGGATTGATGTTAATGGACGGAAGGGGAGGAGGGCGGTTTGTGTTTTGTATGGGGATGCTATGCGATATGATGTTTTAGATTTGGATGCTGCTATGGATGATGAGGAAGATGAAGAGGAGTTAGAAGGGGAGGATGAAGTTGAGGAGTGATCTTATATTCAAAGGATTCAAGTCGCATGGGCTGGGCATCATTATACTTCGGTAGGCGTTCAAAATTATTATCAATTGCATGCCCAGGTCGTCTGGTTTCCCGATTCTACTCAAATGTCCATTGGTCCATGTGATCTTGGAGCAACCTTGGTTCCAGGGCTGGAAGTGTTACTACATGGGCAGTGCCGGGATAAAGCACCTAGCTAATCTCGATTCTCCAGAGCTGGCATGTGCAAGTACTGTATTGCGGGGCTAGCCCTTGTTTCTCTTCAAAGGTTGGGGTAGCACCTGCTAATCTTACTGTGGTTGGATGTTGGTACCCGGGCTCGGATATATATTTGGATTAGCTGGTCTCCGATTGGTGCAGGGCACATCCTAGGCGTCATAAGTGCACATATATATCATAGTACATAGTCTGATTCCTAATGCATATATATATGACGACATACTGCCCATAGCTCTAGAGGTACCGCATAGTGCTCCCTAGTATGGTGATCTGCTTCGACTATCTTTACCCCTTACCTTTTCTGTAGACCATTCTAGAAACGTTGTCCACAATTTTTCCTGACACATCCACTAGTCAGGCACCAAGTGAGGATTTTCCCCACTAGAAAAAATAGTTCGCGCCTTGTGTGTGTGCCAGGGCTAAACGGGTCGGTCGCTGGGGCCACACGATGGACTGTGGGTGCTTCTTCAAGAAGGAAAACCAAAACAAGCAGAATTCCCATGGAGGGGCAAAGGCTCCATAACAAAAAAAAAAAAAGGAGAATAACCCACCACGACAGTCACATCGAATAATGGTTTAGATAAGAAGAAAAGGGCATTTCAAGTGATCTTACTCTGGACAAGATTAAAATAGCTTAGAACCAGGAGATTAAGATAGATATGCTTATTTGTCCAACAAATGAATGGAAAAAAGTACCAAAAAAAAAGACAAACTTGACTGCCTCAGGCACACACCACGTGATTGGAACCGTCTCCGCTGACTGACCAATCAGCGGTCGTCTCCCCCGATGGACCTCATCCCTCATTCTGCCTTTCTCGTCGTCCAGATTATTCTATCTCTCGAGAAAATACTGCTTCAAACTCCGACCTTTTAATTCCCGGAGTTTTTGCCTAATCCCCCCACATTTTCCTGTACTATCGGTGTGTGTTGAAGGCGCCATTCCTCTCTGTGTCTCATCGCGGAAAGACCTGGTGCATGCCTCGTCATATCCACAAAAACACCCCGTCCCTTCCCAACACCTACCAACCCTCTTCCTCTCCTTCCATCACGCACCCACGCTTTTTGGTGGACTGTGACTTGTGTGCTGGTGATCCTCTTTGACTTTTGCGCATCAAAAGTCTCTTAATTCTTGCCTTTCAGCTTTTTCCCTTTTTTTCTCTTTCTCTCTTCCCCCCCACATCTCCCTCCTCTAAACTACCATCCACCATGGATGCTCGCCAGGTGTTAGAAAGCACCTTGTCGCCTGGTATGTGGGCTACTTCCCTCATCTCCCATTCCATAACCCGGGAATTTTCGAAAATTTATGGCCTTTAAGAGCCTCTCGCTAACCTGACCGTCTTTCACCAGATGCGGCGGCACGTTCCAACGCTGAGCAGCAGCTCGCTCATGCCGCGGAGGTCGACTTCGTATGTGATCCCTATTTCTCCTTATAGCCCCAACAACTGGGAGGATAGTGATGAGATCCTGCCAACTCCGAGAACCACCTGCCCGCTAACATTTGCTGTTCTCCTTGTTTCTAGGCTGCCTACCTTGTCACCCTGGGTCAGGAACTCGCCAACGACAACACCCCTTCCCACATCCGTGTTTCTGCCGGTATCGCCCTGAAGAACGCTTTCACCTACAGAGATGCAGCCAAGCTGCGTGAGGTGCAACAGCGATGGATCCAGCAAATTCCCACCGAGACCAAGGCACAGGTTAAGGAGCTCGCAATTAAGACATTGGCATCCGACACCCGAGTGGGAAATGCCGCCGCCCAGCTGATCGTTTCTATTGCCGCCATCGAGTTGCCCCGCAATGAGTGGCCCGATCTTATGAATATCCTCGTCCAAAACGTCGCAAGCGGATCCGACAGCCTGAAGCAGTCCTCCCTGGCCACCATTGGTTTCATTTGCGAGTCTCAAGACTCCGATCTTCGTCAGAGCCTGACTTCACACTCTAATGCCATTCTGACCGCCGTTGTTCAGGGTGCTCGGCGCGAGGAGCCGAACATGGACGTTCGTTATGCTGCTATCGCCGCTCTTAGTGACGCCGTCGATTTCGTGCGCTCTAACATGGACAATGAGGGTGAGCGGAACTACATTATGCAGGTGGTCTGCGAGGCCACCCAGGCCGAGGAGGTCCGTGTTCAGGCTGCTGCATTTGGCTGCTTGAACCGCATTATGGGTGCATACTACGAGAAGATGCGCTTCTACATGGAGAAGGCTCTATTTGGCCTCAGCATCATGGGTATGAAGAGTGAGGAGGAAGAGGTGTCTAAGCTCGCCATTGAGTTCTGGTGCACTGTTTGTGAGGAGGAGCTGTCCATTGAGGACGATAATGCCGAGGTATGTAGAGCGATCCGATGTCAGTCAATTTTCGAACGTCCCGACTAATGCGTATGTTCAGGCTCAGCAGGAAGGTACCGAGACCCGTCCCTTCTTTGGCTTCGCCCGTGTGGCCACCCGCGAGGTTGTTCCCGTCTTATTGCAGACCATGTGCCGTCAGGATGAGGATGCTACTGATGATGAGTACAACGTTTCGCGTGCTGCTTATCAGGCTTTGCAGCTTTACGCTCAGTGCATCCAGGGCGAAATCATTCAGCCCGTTGTGGCCTTCGTTGAGGAGAATATCCGCAACGAGGACTGGCACCGCCGGGATGCTGCTGTGGCTGCCTTTGGTGGTATCATGGATGGCCCTGAGCCCACTGTGCTGGAGCCTTTGATCAAGCAGGCTCTTCCCGTTCTTCTGGGCATGATGGAGGACAGCTCTGTTGTGGTTCGCGATTCTACTGCCTATGCCCTGGGCCGCGTTTGCGAGTGCTGCCCCGAGGTTCTGGACCCGGATGTCCACTTGCAGCCCCTGATCTCTTGCCTCTTCAATGGCCTTGCCAGTAGCCCTAAGATTGCCAGCTCCTGCTGCTGGGCTCTTATGAACGTCGCCGATCGCTTTGCCGGCGATGGTGGTTCCCAGACCAACCCTCTTTCCAAGCACTTCGAGGATAGCATCAAGTCTCTGTTGACAGTGACTGAGCGCCAGGATGCCGATAACCAGCTCCGTACCGCTGGTTACGAGGTTTTGAACTCGTTCGTTATGAACTCTGCTCACGACAGCCTCGGCATGGTTGCTACTCTCTCGGGCGTGATCATTCAGCGTCTCGAGCAGACCATTCCTATGCAGCAGCAGGTTGTTAGCCCCGAGGACCGTATGCTCTTGGAGGAGATGCAGACTAGCTTGATCAGTGTTATTCTGGCCATCGTTCAACGATTCGAGGTTGACATCAAGCCCCAGGCTGACCGTATCATGCAAGTCCTGCTGCAGGTTCTGTCTACCGTTGGTCCTAAGTCAAGTGTCCCCGACGTTATCTTCGCCACAGTGGGCTCCATGGCCAGCGCTCTGGAGGACGACTTCATCAAGTACATGGAGTCCTTCTCTCCCTTCCTGTACAATGCTCTGAGCAATCAGGAAGAGCCTGGTCTGTGCGCCATGGCCATCGGTCTTGTTAGTGACATTGCGCGTGCCCTGAACGAGAAGGTCCAGCCTTACTGTGACACCTTCATGAACCTCCTGCTTAACATCCTCCGCACTTCCACCAACCAGCTTAAGCCGGCTATCTTGGAAACCTTTGGTGACATTGCTCAGGCCATCGGCACTGCCTTTGACACCTACCTGAGCGTTGTTGCTGGTGTTCTTCAGCAGGCCTCTTCGGTCACTACTAGTTCTGACCTCCCATATGATATGGTGGAGTACATTGTCTCCCTGCGCGAGGGTATCATGGATGCCTGGGGTGGTATTCTTCTCTCCTACAAGGGCAGCCCCCAGATCACCCAGCTCCAGCAGTACGTCGACTCTATCTTTGGGTTGCTCCACATTATCTCCCAGGAGGGTGACCGCAGTGAGGGCTTGATGCGCTCTTCCATGGGTGTTCTTGGTGACCTTGCTGATGCATTCCCCAACGGCGAACTCGCTGCCTACTACCGCAACGACTGGGTCACTGCCCTTGTTCGTGAGACACGTGCTACCCGTCAATACAGCCCGCGTACCATTGAGACTGCTCGCTGGACCCGTGAGCAGGTCAAGCGCCAAATCAACCTAGGCACTGGTATGGCTTAAATCCGTTTTACGCTTTGATCCCATTGGTGAATGAGCGAACCACGTCGCTGCTTCGTTCCAAAAAGACTCAAGTCACAGGAACGAATGCCTGGCGGAATGGTTATGGGCTATGCCGTAGGTTCGGTTTTAGTCCAGACCACCCAAGTCCAGCGCAACCTGGACTGCCAATGGGACGGTGAGGTTTTGTCTATTTGCTTGCAGGCGACACAAATTCCTGTTATTTGTGTTCAATTCCCCATCTTCCCTTTTGCCAGATTCCATGCCCCGAGATTTTCCTCTCAGTACATCTCCCACAACACCCGGCAATGCTTTGTCGACGCCCAGTGCCCTTGATGACGCCTTCGAACGATCCCCTCTATCCTTCCCCCTCATGCCCGTGTTTGCCTCTTTGTGATACAAACCCCCTTATTCATTTCTTGTCCTGCCCCTCCTATGTTGCTTTTTAATTAGACAAGACCCCTTTGCATTTTATAGCATTGCCCCTCATGTAGCCCAAGACCTCATGTATCCTCCCCTCACCCCCATTCATGTATCCCCAATTGATGTACCCCCTTGACACATGTCTACCCCTCTGAGAAAAAGAGTTGTTTCATGAAAAAGCTGTTCTTTTTGACAACTGTCTCCGTATATTCCGGCCTTTCTCCCAAACGCCCATGCCCAGCTGTTGCACCAACCTTCCACACCTTGTATGAACATTTAACTTTGGTGCCATTGATAAGTCTCGCGGCTTTCACCTGTGCTTTACAAACAGCATGGAACTTTGGATTTGGTAAACTTGCATTGTTCTCTATAGAGAATCAGGAAACCTAAAATGAACATACACAACTGGTTGCCTGAGGCACAAACACCCCTTATGCTTATCATCACGTGATTCCCAGAACAAATTTTCCGCAGATAAGGGCACAAGTGGGCCTAACCCTACCGACCCACACAGTCAGTAACCCAACCTTCCAATCTTCGAACTTTTCAGTCTTTGACACGCCAACACCCGACGGACCAGTCACTCGAGGTATGTACGCTCTTCACGCCCTCGTTTCTCACCAGCCTTACAGCTAGTCTGGGGGAGCAATCATTCTGCCTTTCTCTTCCTTCTCATGACCGAAATTTCATGAGTCTGAAATATAGGGGTGCAAGATGATACGCATCCCCCATCCGGCACAGGCTGAAGAACTCCTTTTTCACAAGGAAGGGGCACTCTTTACGCTTGACGACTAGTTGATGGCTGACTTGACCGTCTCTTCGGTTGAACTAGATACCTCTTATCTTATCCCCTCGATCGATTTGAGAATCTCGATTCCAATACCGCCAAAATGGTCAAGACTTCCGTCCTCAACGATGCGCTTAACGCCATGAACAACGCCGAGAAGGCTGGCAAGCGCCAGGTCCTCATCCGTCCTTCCTCCAAGGTCATCGTCAAGTTCCTCACTGTCATGCAGAAGCACGGTACGTTGGCATAATGTCGCTATTACTGAAAAACACTCTGGAAACTTGTTATCTTTTGAAAGAATTTTTCTCCTATCTCGTCTTCATGTACTACGGTGTTGGCGGAGGATAGTCGGACTGATAACTAGGCGGATTGTTTCAATCATCCCACGACGTTTGCCTTTTAAGTGTCCGATAGATTGACGCGTTGATCTTACACGTTTCCAAAGTGTTTTTCAGTATTTGGTTACTTTTAAATCATCGCAACATGCTGACATTTGTTTTCAGGCTACATTGGCGAGTTCGAGGAGGTCGATGACCACCGCTCCGGCAAGATTGTCATCCAGCTGAACGGCCGGTAAGTTTTCACAACACTTTTTCCGTTTTTTGCTTCATCATTCTAATGTTCTGCTTAGTCTCAACAAGTGTGGTGTCATCAACCCCCGCTACCCCGTCCAGCTCCGTGACATGGAGAAGTGGGCTACCCAGCTCCTTCCCTCCCGTCAGTTCGGTTACGTCGTCCTGACCACCTCCGCTGGTATCATGGACCACGAGGAGGCTCGCCGCAAGCACGTTGCTGGCAAGCTCCTCGGTTTCTTCTACTAGATGGAGTCGTTTTAGAAACGAATCTCAAAAAACAAAAGTTATTTTGACTGGAATCACTGCCACTTGGGCTGGACCCTGGAAATGTAATATTAAGTAGCGGAGAATACCCGTGATTGTTTCAGATTACATGGCTTCCCAATGCTAGACGCTTCCGGTCAACCTTATTATAATTCGTGCGCCCTTAAAGAATCTGAAGTAATTTCACGTAGAGTTTGCCGGACCGAGGCTCATTCCCACCGCCCGCTTTCTGCCCCTGATATACTTCCCCGCAACAAAGTGAGAGATACCATCCACCTGAATGTTTCACTTGATCTGTGCCCATTATGCCGCTTGAAACGATATATCTTACTCGCCATGGGGTATGTATTGTCACAAAAACCTTCCCTCACTCTTTGAGCCAACAATCACCAAGCTAATGCAATACTAGCATCGTCTCAACTGGACAATCGATCTCCGCACCGGAACCTACAAGTCCCAATTTCCCACGCCAACAGGGAATCCTGCAGACCCAGCGTTGACATCGTACGGTATACAACAATCTCATGAACTGGCTGCGCACATCGGCAACCCAGAGTTTCACCCGAAGCCCTTTCGAGTCTATTCTAGCCCGTTTTATCGTTGTTTGCAGACCATCCGACCTTCCGTCGAAGAACTGAAGAAGCAAAACAAGCCAGATGCAGGCCGTGAGACAGGCGTAACAAGTATTGACCCCGACTCAAACTTTGATGTCCGAATTGAGAATGGAATTGGGTATGTTAAGCCCCTCATACCAATCTAAAAAATCCCATTTCACACCTCGTGCTGGAGCATTGGATAAAGCTGCGAGCCCCAGATAAGACTACCCAAGACAATAGCTAACACTATACGACAGAGAATGGTTCGGCCCGACAACCTTCTTCGAACATCCACCCCATCCTACCCCCGAAACAATGCAGCAGCACTTCCCATCCATCGTTGCGTCAAACCCTTTAAACAACTACACACCTACCCTCCACCCTTCTCGACGTGGAGAGACAATCCTCCAGCTCCACAACCGTCTCGCAACGGCTTTGGAAGGTATAATCGCGGGTCTGGACGCCGAGATCACTGCCCTAGAAGCAGATACGCCACCCGAGCAACGGACCAGTAAATCAGTGCTGATCTGCTCGCATGCTGCACCGCTTATCGCGATGGGCCGTGTATTGACAGGTCGAATGCCAGAAGACCCATCAGAGGAGGACTTTTTTGTGTTCACGTCGGGACTGAGTACGTTCCGGAGGCGTGGTACTTACGCACCTGGGAGCAGCGCAGAATACAGGAATTCTCCGGATGATCTAGCTGAAGGGACGGAGCTTTTGCGTGCTCAAGGTGTTCCCGAGTGGATGGGTTGTGGCGTTGGCGGTGGATGGGATTGTTTGAAGAATGGAGATTGTAGCTTTTTGAGTGGTGGTGCTGAGCGTGGATGGTGAGTACCTCTTTTTTTCCTTTTGTGTGTTTTTATGCTGATCTTTGAAACAGGCACTTTAATGGTGAGGAGTCTTTTGATACTGGTCCTATGGCACCAGTTTCGGAGCCGCCCGCGACGAAGCTTTGAACATTACTTTCAGCATAGATATAATTGTTCTTCGTCTTGAATTCATAGACACTTCAGCTTGGGGTCGCCTGAACAGTATACCATACACTTTATATCTGAGCATCATTTCTAAAAAATCTCACAGCTTAACCACTACTTGTGACTTTGAGGCGGTCTGCGTAAAGAGTGACCCACTATGTCAATGTGCTGAAACTCCATCAAGTCGACTTAGTGTGCGCCCTTCAATGACATGTCCGAGGGTAACCGCTAAGTGGGGCTGAAATAGACTTTGGAGGCTACTTATGCTCTAGATGCGGAAAACGAGGCAAATCGGAATTGAAATCTGATTTCAAAGCTGATAAGCCGTTTAAATTCTGCAGCTATCGGCACAGAGCACTGCAATTGGTCCTTTACACGAACGAAAAGTCCAAGTGCACGCCAAAACCAATTGACTACATCCTTCAGCTTATCGGCCCCAGACCTCAGGTTCTGGCACCCTTCACCACCAGTGAAAGCGCAAAACAGAGAAGCTCCAAAATGGCAACATCAACACACACCCTCCCGAGTACAGCAATTGAGCTCCCAAACCTCGGACCTAGCCCCGAAGAACGCCAACGAAATGTCCACGTCCAAGACCCCGTCCTCGAACCCGATGAGGTAATGCAGCAATCCCTCTTAGCAGATTCCCAAGTCCCCGACGGTGGCTACGGCTGGGTCCTCATTTCCGCCTGCGCAGTCGTTACATGGTGGTTTGTCGGCGTATCTTATACATGGGGTGTGATGCAAGCAGCGTTAGTAGATGAAATGGGATATTCATCTTCGACGCTTGCGTTCGTGGGCTCATTGTGTCCTGCTTGTATCTCTTTGCTAGCTGTGCCTAATGCGACACTCATAAGCAAGATTGGGGCGCGAATTACGGCGCTTACGGGCATCTTCCTGTTGGGTCTTGGGAGTATTTTGTCCGGCTTTGCCACGCATAGTGTTGTCGGATTATTTATGACTTGGGGTTTCGTTGGTGGTCTTGGGACTAGTCTGTGTTTTATGGTGAGATTTTTTTCTTTTTTATGTCTAAAGGGCGAATGTTTGCTAATTGTACAGGTCGTATCTGTCACACCGGCGCAATACTTCAAAGCCAAACGTGGTATCGCCAATGGAATCGTTTATGCTGGCGGTGGTCTTGGTGGTACAGTCATCAGCTTTATTCTGAATGCGCTACTAGACAATGTCGGGATTGCATGGACTTTCAGGATTCTGGGAATCATGATTCTTGCTACGGGATTGCCAGCTGCGTACTTGATTCAGGAGCGGGCTCCGATCCGGCCTGCAAAGATGGTGGAATGGTAAGTCCTGCTCTTATACCTTTTTTTTTGAAGCCAATGCGAACTAGAGCCTATACTGATGCCTGTACTAGGAGTCTGTTCCGTGATATTCGTTTCACAACCCTTTGGCTCACAGGCGCAATCGGCACATTTCCGCTCTTCGTCCCGGCTTTTTTCCTTCCCCTCTACACAAATTCCCTCGGCCTCCCCTCCAGCGCCGGCGCAGGTCTTGTTGCAGCCTTCAATTTCTCTTCTGCAATCGGGCGTCTATCCTGTGGCTTCGCGTGCGACAAGTTGGGTGCTATGAACACTCTCTTCATCTCATTGCTGCTCAGTGCCCTGAGCCTGTTCGTGTTATGGCCCGTTTCCAACTCCATTGGACCATTGGTCGCCTTCGTGGTCATTAATGGTTCTGCAAATGGCGGGTTCTTCTCAACCATGCCGACTGTTGTTGGCAATGTGTTTGGGTCGGCCAGAGTGTCTGTTGCGGTTGGAATGATTGTTAGCGGGTGGCTTGGCGGGTATCTGATGGTAAGTTATTAAATCAATTGAATGGGACCTTTGTCTAATATCTGTGTTCCAGGGTGCTCCTATTGCTGGTTATATTCTGAATGCTTCGGGGGGAGAATCCGGTGGTGTGGGCGCTTATCGACCGGCTATTTTCTATGCTGGTTCGATGGCCACGGCTGCAACTGTTTTAGCAGGTATAGCGCGCATCAAGGTTGATCACAGGTTGAAAAAGACGGTGTGAGTAGGAAGTTGGTAGCGCTGCTGTTGTTATTGAATACTGACGATTGAAATGCATCCAAACACTTCAATTAAGTGGTAGGAACTGGCTGAGATTCATAGACTATCTCAATTTCGCTTTCAAAATTACAAATTCATAGGAGAATGTATGTTTTTTCGCCAAGAACACATTAGCACGCTCAGTATAGCCCGCAAATATCGCTAAAAAGAAAAATCTGATTGTCACAGGGGCAACTTTTGGTCCCAGTCCCGTGCACACAACGCTAGTAAAGTACTTGAGTCTTACCCGGCTGTGCTCTTCCAATGGCATCGTAATAACCCTGAACAATTACTCGCAGAGCCACCGTCACAGAAATGGGCGAAGTATAGCAAGGAAGTAACATTTGAGACGTGACCAGTCTTCAGAGCTTCTTGTTAGTGTTTCCCGTCTTTCGATCGAGGAGGTTCACAGCGCGTGAGCTAATATGGTATGGCACCAGATGGACCATAAAAATAACAGTAACAAACACTCATGAAGTGAGAACAAAGATACCGGATCAAGTCAGACCATCTTGAGAGAAAGCCATAGGGAAAGGGCTAAAGAGGTGAAGCAGTATGGGGATTGAATGAAGGGCCCAGTATCTTATCTACAATGGTGCAGATAGTCGAGCTCTAACAGAATTATAGACATTTGTTATATTCACTTCCCAACGGACTACCGAGGTAAATCTAATCACATTAGAGCTTACGGAAGCTCACGTTCATTCTCATGCCTAACCTGACCTGTTTCCTCGCTTATATGCTCACCACGCTCTCTCGCTCTCTCCCCCTCCTCATTTACCCGCGCCATTTCAGCCTCAGCTGCTGCTGCATTTAGCCGCAATCTTTCAGCCTCGGCTTCAGCTGCGTTCCGGGCCCGGACTTGTCTTTCTCCAATTCCTGGAATAAGGCTAGCTAGCAGCAGAACAACCGCCCGCTCAGCACGCCAAAAGTATTCCCAGAAACCATCGACCGCAGCCCGTGCAGGTTGTTCAGCAGGGCCCCCCATATGGGCAAGTGCCTCTAGGTGACGTAGCATTGGGGCGACAATCGCCCCATAGAGGAGCTGTGGAAGCTGCGAGTCCGAGAACACAGCTACCAATACAGCCAAGGTCACAAAGAGAATGCGGGTCCAGGTGCCAGACTCACTAATCATATAAATGAAAAAGTAGAGTCTAACAAAGAGCCAAACACGACGAAAGTAACTTCCAAATGCACCAACGTTGGCTGGTCCATTCTGCTGTCGCTGTTGGTTCATTATAGCGTGACGTCCGTTGTTAGGCTGATGGGGCTGAGGCTGAGGCTGCGCCCCTATAGGAGGACGATGTTCAGAAGGCGGCGGTATTCTTCCTTCTCTTGGTTGCATGACTAGAGCCTGATAGCCATTTGGGGAGGTGGCAAGATAGACATGGGGCTCAGTTGATGGGATCACTGTGGTATCACGGGTTTCACGCCTCACACCAGGGCCTTGAAGCAAGTGGTCCATGCGACGATAGATTTCCATTACACGGGCCAGCAGCTGTTGCACATCCCTTTCTTCAGGATACACGAAGCGAGATAACCCCGCAGACGAGTTGGACTCAAGAGGGCGGCCTTCAGTGATTTGCATGATGCGAGTGCGTACATGGAACAATAATTCCATTGAGGGTGTGATGCCTTCTGCCATCTCCCTTTCAAGTAATTCCACCTGTCCTTGAAGACCCCTAAAAAAGATATCGGCTTGCATTGGATCCAATTCCCGTTGGTTTGCAGTTGCCCGAGCTGGTCTAGTCTGATTAGGCGAGGGAGTCGTGGGCAGGGCCCTGTGACGGATGCCCTCCACCTGTGGTTGAGCTGCGCCGCCAGGAGCTTGGAAGGATGTTGTATTTTGACTTGTCGAAAGAACCGGCATGGATGTGGGCGGAAGAATAAGGTGGATTGTGTACACGTCTCGCTAAAATCGAATCTAGTCAGGTTCTATACGTGGTATAAATGGAACCAAAAGGCCAAACTTACCCCTCTTGGCACCAAAATATCCCGAAGTGTCAAAAGATCAGGTGCTTGGGGAATAATTCGTCCACTATAAATCAACCTCTGTTCCGTGGGCGATAGGTGTGGAGGGATTGTCTGCATGATTTTCAAGCGCAGACGCGCAACCGTGGTGTTGAGAGTCAGGTTGAACGTGAATCTCTCTGGGAACGAAGGGCTCAAGATATATACTTTGACTTCTTCTTCACCACGATTGGCTTTTCCTTCACCAGTGGCATGGCTGGCTTCAGAATGATCTACAGAATGCTCTGCAGATTGCTCTGCAGACTGTCCGGAAACATCCATGCTAGATAATGCGACCAGGATAGACGTGTGGTCAAACGTTCATAGTTTGGAATGGGATGAATAGTGACGCAAGGAGGCAGTAGCGAGGATACTTGAAGTGAGGGAAATAGGGTACGACGTGTCGAACGTGAGAAGACCCCGCAATTGGAGTATTGATATTGCTGAGCTTCCGGAGATCTGGCGATAACGGGAGAGCACAAGCCCCGTATCGAAGGATTAATATCTCGAGGGCCCCGAGTACGGTTATTGACTTGACTTGAAAGAATAATGTGCAGTGAGAGCAGTCCGGAGAGCGAGGCGATACCCCGAGTTTGAGAAGGTGTGGAATTACTAGAATACAGAACAGCATCAACATCAACATCACGAGTGACCACATCGATGTGCCGGACTTTACTGGGCGGTGAGAATATATGGCGGTGATGCTGGGCGGTGAATGAAATTAGCGTGGAAAGAAAACATTCAGCTGCTTCCCCCCAATCAGCCTCGGGACAACCAACACGGCCATACATAGGCGTGATCTTCATGGATTAACTTTCAGCATGGCCCAGCGCCTTCTGCACCACCCTATTTTCCTCCACTTCCCTTCTACCCCGGTGATTGGGGGTGCTGCGTCGATGGAGGTCCTTTCGTTTAGGGCCGTTGCCCGCAAAAAAGCCGCTGTTAGGCAGTTCTCATCCAAATCATGGCGACAATACAAAGATAATAATAATTCAGAAAACCCCAAATCTGGGTCCTGGTCCCGTCTACGGTTTGCACTGCGAAACACCAAGGTTGAATGGTACCCGATTCCTGTTGGTCTCGGGATTGGTTTGCTCGGATTGCTACATTTCTACAAGTCCCAGCGGGGTGACCGCGATCGTGCTGTACGAGATGATGACTGGGAAAATGGGAGCAAGCCTCCTCGTCGGCCACGGGTCGTTCCAACAGGTTCTTGGCAGGTACAGATTATGTCGACGCTACCCCTGAAGGCCATGTCGCGACTATGGGGCCGGTTTAATGAGATTGAACTGCCTTATTACTTCCGAGTACCAGGCTTCAAGCTGTATTCTTGGGTTTTTGGTGTTAATCTAAGCGAAGTTGCAGAGCCAGACCTGCACGTTTACCCAAACCTGGCAGCCTTCTTTTATCGCAAGTTGAAACCAGGGGTGCGCCCGCTCGACCCCGACCCACACGCCCTTCTCTCCCCGTCAGATGGCCGGATTTTGCAGTTTGGTATGATTGAGCGGGGTGAGGTGGAACAGGTGAAGGGCATGACATATAGCTTGGATGCTTTGCTAGGTTCAGCTACACCTTCTCACGCCGACCACAGCAAACGACTTACCGACGACCACCCTGAGCAAGCCCAAAAAGATGAGGCGAACATGAAGTCAGATGAGGAGTTTGCCTTGGTAAACGGGATCTCTTACACGGTGCCAACCTTGCTCTCGGGTAATGCCGATGCACCGGCGAAGCGACGGGCATCAATCGACGCATCTACTACATCCAAAACCACATCTGAGGCACAAGTACAAGAGGAACTAGCTCTTGGCGATGGTAAGCCATGGTATTCGCCTAAGACGGCTGCAAACCATGCGCTTTTCTATTGCGTGATCTACTTGGCACCTGGAGACTACCATCGCTTCCACTCCCCCACTGCGTGGGTTGTGGAAAGCCGTCGCCACTTTGCTGGCGAGCTGTACTCAGTCTCTCCCTATCTACAGCGTCATCTCCCCGGTTTGTTTACCCTCAATGAACGTGTGGCACTGCTTGGCCGCTGGCGCTGGGGTTTCTTCAGTTACACACCGGTGGGTGCAACCAACGTGGGCTCAATTAAAATCAACTTCGACTCGGAACTGCGCACCAATAGTCTTCTGACTGATACCGCCGCGGACTTGGCAGCAGCATTGGCTGCCAAGCGTGGCGAGCAAGATCCTGGCTTCGTTGAGGCAACCTATCGTCATGCCAGTCGCACCCTGGGGGGACATCCCCTGCAGCGTGGAGAGGAAATGGGTGGCTTCCAATTAGGCAGCACCGTTGTTCTTGTTTTTGAGGCACCACTGGGCTCTTCTCCCTCGGTAGATGCAGGATCTGATCAGAAGGGTGATGGATGGACCTGGAGTGTTGAAAAAGGCCAGCGGATTAAAGTTGGCGAAAAGCTGGGGTTTGTGGGTGAGGCATGATGCTAGGCACCCCTGCGTTTTCAGTGTGGCACGACCGCAATCTGTGTTTCTAGGAGTTCTTCCGATGTACTATATCCAATTTTGTTTTTGTAGCTTTTTCATAGATTTGAATAATTCCCCTATGATCGGTAACGCACGGACCAGATAAACGTGCGGACTTGATCCACCTTGATTTGTTACTGATAGCGCAAACTGCTGCATCATTGCGCCCCACTGGCATTGACGCCACCGGTTTCTGCGTCAAGCCCCAAGGCTGGAACTTGCTCGGAATAAGCAAAACCAAAAGTAAAAGTAAAAGCAAAAGCAAATTAACAGAGATTAAATAGACCAGATTCGTGTCACTGTATGTACGTACTTTGTACCACGAGAATAACAGGTCAGCTCGGCCAGGCCCCAAGGCGGAGCTCCTGACGCAAGGACAAAGGAATCTTGGTTGACACAGCTCCCGTCCCAGGTTTTTCCCTTGTCCCTTCTTCGCTTCTTCCCATCCCCCTCAATCCTTGGGTGATAAGGAATCTCCTTCATCATCTCGATGGCCATCTTTACAGCTCCTCGCTCATTTCAGAATGCTCTGATGCAGAACTCAATAGGCGCCAGCCTTATCGGAGTCAACGTACAATCCAAGCACCCCTCTTTCTTTCACTTGGTTCTGCTTGTCTTTGAGGCGGTGCTGGAAGTAGTATGCGTCTCTCTACCAGGCTACATCGTCGCCAGGCAGGGCATGTTCGATGCCGAAGCCCAGAAATTCGTGGCCAATCTCAATGTGATGCTTTTCACTCCTTGTTTGAGTATGCGACACCTGTCTTTCCTTATCAACGTCTTTCGCCACATCTCCACCGATCTTGGAACAGCTCAATTGCTAACCTCAATCAAGTCTTCATTAAACTAGGCTCACAATTGACCGCCGAAAAAATCACCGACCTCGCCATCATACCCGTTATCTTTATCGTCCAGACTGCTGTCTCTTACTTCTGTGCGTTTGTGGTCACGCGATGCTGTCGGTTTAAGAAACGTCAGTCCAATTTTGTGACGGCGATGGCGGTATGTGATGATCGTCCTATCTGGCTAGCTCCCTTGCTGATCGTGTGACCAATAGGTGTTCGGAAACTCCAATTCCCTCCCAATTTCCCTTGTGATATCTCTCTCCGCAACACTCCAAGGTCTCCACTGGGACCGCGTACCCGGCGACAACGACGATGAGGTTGCGGCGCGGGGCATCTTGTATCTTCTTATCTTCCAACAACTAGGTCAACTAGTCCGCTGGAGCTGGGGTTACCATGTGCTATTGGCGCCCAAGGACCGATACCTCGAAGAGGAGGAACGAGAGGAAACAGGCGAGACGGCGATTGAACAAGGTCAGGCACGATACACCGATAACCCAGCTCAGACAGATCCAGATGAGCCGTTGGTCCGTACGCGCAGCTCGCAAGACCTCCAACATGCCCATAGCCATACGAACGGCGGTCGATTCGAGTCCGGTGATCAAACTCCAGTGTCAACTCGCGCGTATTCCTACAGCAAGGTCTCCTCGATACACTCGCACGCTTCAAATACTGACGAGGAGCCTGATTCTGACGACACGCCCTCTGTGATTGGTCCTCCACCTACTGGACCATTCCTACCACGCCGCAGCACCGATGGCGACATTCTCCATTTCCCAGACGTGGAGGCCACTGCCCGGGAAACCCATATCACAAAGCAAACCTACCTGCAACGATGCAAAGGTTCTCTCCGTCGACGCGGACATCACACCCGCCGCTTCTTTGCTCAGAAAACCGACGCAGTATGGGCCTGGCTTCCTACCAAACTCCAAAAAACCCTCTCATCGACAAGCAGCGGGGCCAAGCGCTTCGCCCGCGGACTGTGGTCATTTATGAACCCTCCTCTCTGGGCCATGCTAGTCTCTATAATAATCGCATCCGTACCAGCACTCCAGCACCTCTTCTTTGACGAAGGAACCTTCGTCCGCAACTCGGTTACTCGCGCCATCGAGCAGAACGCCCAAGTGGCGGTCCCGCTTATCTTGGTAGTACTAGGAGCAAACTTGGCCCGGAACACGCTCCCAGAAGAAGCGCTTGAAGATATCGAACATCCCAAAGCAGAGCGGAAATTGATTATCGCCTCTTTAGTGGCGCGCATGCTCCTTCCAACTCTCATAATGGCACCATTTTTGGCCCTGCTCGCTAAGTTCGTGCCGATCAGTATCCTTGATGATCCTATTTTCATCATCGTTTGTTTCCTGCTCACGGGTGCACCTTCGGCACTGCAGCTGGCGCAGATTTGCCAGATCAATAATGTTTACGTGGGTGCTATGTCGAAGATTTTATTCCAGAGCTATGTTGTCTGGTATGTTTTATCCCCTTTCTAACATATGGGAAATTAAACTAACCTGTGTAGGATTCTTCCCTCTACACTCTTTCTGGTTATCTGTGGACTGGAAGTCCTCGAATGGTCTACCGCTGCATAGATGCCTTTGCCACGTTGTATATGTACGAACTGAAGCGAAGCGGGTCTCATTGCTTTCTAATGATGCTTGCATGATACATACTCTCTTTTCGTGGTTGCATTTTGGGCTTGGCGTTGCATACATTTCTAAGTAAATTTCCATGACTGTGCCTCTACCAGTCTCTGTCTTATTCTTTCGTTTCGTGTTTCAATATCCCTCTGTTATCATACCGTCCTATGGCAGTACGATTCTTTAACCTCATCTATAATTATCCATATTTCACTGAGTCCAATTCTCTGGCTGTATGCCTCCTCACTTTGACTTGCTCCGTTAATGCGTAATGTGGGTGGAATTGTCGATTCCATGAACCTTAGCACCTGCCCAGGATGCTCAAACTTCAGGTTCGATAGAGCTCACGGCCTATGAAGGGAAGGGTACGAAAAGTATCGATTCAGTAGCCAAGCTAAACGTTCATATCATTGTCACAAGTCCTAGAGTAACGGACAACTGAGACCCGGTACCTATCATAAGAAAAGAGCTGTTCCATACCATGTAGAATAAATCGAAATAGGCATCTTCTAAACAACGCCCAGCCTTAAGCCTAGATATCTAGTCCGGGACACGCTCCCACCCCCTCGAACAGAGAAGCATCATGCGCAACTTCACCCCTCGAGTCTCCCTGAACATCAATCAACATCGCTGTCCCCGTCGCAAAGTGCCAAGGCATGTGACAATGAAAAAGCCATACGCCTGGGTTATCTGCCCGGAGACGCAAAACTGCATATCCGCGCCTGGGGATATAAACCGTATCACGCAGAGCAACGCTAGATAATTTGTAGGGATGAAAATCACTCATGTCCGGAATGGCTTTCTCCGCTCCCTCTTTTCTCCCCAACTCCGGCTCAGGCTCCAGACCAGGAGGATACGGATCCTCGAATGGGTTATATGAGCCCCACCCATAGGCACTCTTTTGCACAGTCATGATATAGAAACTATGTCCATGCATATGGAACGGATGACCGCCATCGTCGAGATTATTCACGACAATTTCGACCCAAACGGGATCTGGTCCCGTCGTGATTGTAAATTGATTCTTGTCCCACTCCGTGCGCGGGAGACCGATTAGTTGGATGGGAGGGTCTTGCTGGGGACTCCAGGTAGTTTTGTTGAAAATGCCGAAAGGAATGTTGTGATTGAAAGATAGCTTTTGGATTTTCGTGTATACGACGTATGTCTGGTCGACCTTTGGTGCAAGGAATTGAATGGCTGATGGAGCAGACGGTATGCTGTTTATGTCGACCTGGTTTCGGATTTCGGGTGGGCGGATTGGGGGAGAATCTGCTTGCGGTATGAAGTTGAGGGGAAATATTTGATCTGGATCGAGAGATGGGTTCATGAATCTGAAGTATCTGGAAAGTTATCAGTAGTCATATAGGTTACTAGTGTAGGGTGGAGGTGTGTTTACTCTTGGTCTAGTTGAACCATCATGGATGATCTAGTGGATTGCGCAGATGGACTCAGAATGAAGTCAATTCGTTGGCCTGGATATAGAGTGCCAACCGAGTTTACATTGTGCTGTCGCAGGGGGTCCACGTCAACACTGTCCACTTGGATGAGGTTCAGCTGTTCTTTGTCGAACACAAGACTCAATCCTGCCAGAGATCTGTCTGCCGTCAGTTATGGCATCTCGAAGCTCTATTTGATTTCGAAAATTTTACTGGGCATACCCTGTATTCACCACGCGAATTCGATAGGCAGTGTCAGATTCTATTTTCAGGAACGAAGTGTCGATTGGCTGCTCTATGCAATCCACCGGGCGTGCAATGGTTGCACCTGAACAATTGAAACTTCCAACTCCATTGATAAGGAATGAGTCTGGTACTGGCTGTTGAACATTAGAGCATGAACAATCCGAAAATCTGGAATTTCGAACATACATCCAAGCCGATGTTGGCTGGAGTCATGTACCATGCTAGGATGTCCTTGGCGGGCCAATGGTACCAGTCACCAACGAGAAGAAGGATTTCTTTGTCATAGCCATAACGATGGGCATCGCTTTTAAACCGAGGCAGGAGACCCCTCACACTCGAATGAAAGGCGGGGGCATGGACCACAAGACCACCATACAGACCATCTGCACGCGAAACACCGGCATGTGAATGGTACCAGAATGTACCACTCTGATCTGCGGGGATCGTGAAATTGTAGATGAACTGACCATGAGGTGGGATGCCACACTGTGAAATTCCTGTTGCTCCATCCATGGCATCTAGAGCGGGATTAGATGGGACTTTGTCAATATTCAAGCAGGTAAACATCCAAACCTACTGGCAACATGGAGACCGTGCCAATGGAATGAAATTGACTTCTCATCCAAGGCATTGGTGACTGTGATGACCAAGGCATCACCAGAGCGCGCTTCAATAGTAGGACCTGGAAACAAGTCTGCAGTATGCAGGTAACAGAAGCTAGTCAGTAAATCGAATTCGATTCATCCAAGGATTAAAATTTTGTATGCGAGCATAGACTGCCATACCATTGATCAGGTAAATCTGCTTGAGAACACCGTCCAGTCTGCGGACATCCGTCGTGACATGCCAATTCAGATACTGCGTAGTGGGTTGGCGATACACGTGGTCCTCGGGGTGAAGCGTGATTAGAGGGCGGATATCGGCCTTCCCCAGAGCACTGTGATGAGATTGAAGAGGCACAATCGATCCCCACACATAGATATCAGGTCTTGAGATGTATGTCAAGACAATCAATAATGCTACCACTGATGACCAGGCGACCCATAAGCGAGGTTGACTTTGTGACACCATCGGTGCCGATGCCGATTTCTGTGTACACTGACGCCTGTGACAACGGCTCTGTGGGTTCTCCATTAAGGGTGGATCAAAAATTCCATTGAAATTGTGCTGCATTATTGATTTCTGATTGGCAGACACAGGCTTCGTATACTAAAAGGCCATCAATTGAGTGTGGCGTATGCGACCTTAGATGGGTAAAGAAGTAGAACTGAACTGAGAAGAGATTTGCAACTACAAGTAAGATACACGAGATCATTGTTTCAGTAACACGTGCTCGCCTGTGAGCTTGGAATGAAAGATGCAACCCTACCTCTGTCATATTAAGCGACCAAAGTCTAGATCGTATCTTCTCTCATGACTTCTTCCATTCTATCGATACCTTTCCTCATTCACCACCTCATCCCTTCTTTTCTTCTACCAACATCTTCCACTTTTCGAATTTGAACTACCCTTCTATTCCTCACAATCGTCATGATGCTCCTTTTTTGGGCTACCATGGCTCTCATATTGGGTAGTTCAATTGTCATCGCCGACTCCCTGAAAGACATTGAGCATGTCGTGATCTTCATGCAAGAGAACCGTTCTTGGGACTGTGTATGTTCTAAAGTTATACATACCCCAGGAGAAAGACTAACAGTGCCCTGACAGTACTTTGGCACCATGCCTGGTGTTCGTGGATTCAATGACCCCAATGTCCAGGTGAACAGTGATGGCCAGTCTGTCTGGCATCAGTATGTTGGGATATGAAAGCCTTGCATCAGATTCCCTTACTAACTCATAAAACTAGGCGGGTTGAACCGGAGATGTCGCAAGATGCGAAGACCCTGCTGCCGTGGTACCTGGGCTACCAGGGTGGAGACAGTCTTGACGCTATCCAGTGTCTTTCAGCTGGTGACAATAGCTACTTTGCCAACCAGGCAGCCTATAATCACGGCTTGAACAACAATTGGGCTCGCAACAACACTCCTTGGAGCTGGGGCTACTACAAGCGTCAGGATATCCCCGTTCAATTTGCCATCGCTGAGGGCTGGACCTCGGGTGACATGTATCAGGTAGGTAGCATAGACTAATCCCTCATAGATATTGTGACTTAGTCTTGATTAGGAAGCTCAAATTACTGCTACTAATCCCAATCGTGTGACCCTGGTCAGTGGTTCCATCAATGTCCCTGGTGGTCCCCAAGATAAGAGCCAAGGCGGTGTTTATATTGATAACAGGGAAGCCCCTGGTAAGCTTGCTCTGGGTTTATAAAAGAGATTACAAGAATCTGACATGGCTCAGGTTGTGACGAGCATGGTTCCAGCTGCTATCCTCTTCGCTGGAAGACCATCTTTGAGTTCTACGAGGAGGCGGGAGTCTCGTGGCAGCTGTACCAGGACACCGATAATTTTGATGACAATCCGCTAGCATAGTTTCATCAATTTCAAAATGCTCACCCGGATTCCGCCCTGCACAAAAAGGGGATGGGATTTGTGGGACTGGAGGCATTCTACTTGGCTGCCGCAGCCGGTACCCTGCCATCCGTCAGCTTTATCGTTGGCCCTCAAGAGCTTTCAGAGCACCCCCCATGGATGCCCAAAGATGGTGCTTGGCTGCAAAAACAAATTGTCGACGCCGTCACCAGCAGCCCCAAATATGCAAAGACTCTGCTGATGATCAGCTTCGATGGTAAGATGGATTGTTGCATTTCGGATGCCTAAGAGAAAATAGAATACTGAGATCATACACAGAAACCGGTGGCTTTGGTGACCATGTCACTCCGTTCCATTCCCCCAATGGTACCCCTGGTGAATGGATGACAGACCCTCTCGGAGTCTTTGGTGACGTATTTTCTGGGCCCGGTGTGTAGACGCCTACGTTTAATTCTTGATTCAGCGCTAAATAAACTTGCTAGGATTCCGCGTGCCGTTCGTCATGGTTTCACCTTGGACTCGAGGCAACCGTGTCTTCACCGAGCGCGCAGATCACAACTCTCAGATCCTGTTCCTTGAAAAATGGCTCGCAGCCCGAGGTCACAAGAACGTCCAGACCGATCAGATGGTGCACTGGCGTCGAGAGCACATGTCCGATCTGGTCAATGCTCTAGACTTTGAAAATGTAATTTTTTGATATTGAAAGTCAAATAAACAATTCACTAACCTAAAGCAGCCCAATTACTCTCTTCCAAATATTCCAGAGGCCGAGACTCCCCACATTAACAGCAGAGGCACTTATGTTGGAACCGGGGAGTGCCTAAGCCGTCACAGGGAGCCCCGGCCCCCTGTCTCATATGGCAAACAGGACAATGTGACCAATGCCTTGTTCTTTGAAGATGGCTTCAAGGAAGTTGTGGGGTACCTGACCGAAGGTCGTTACTTGACTTTCGAGAAGGGTGGCCAAGCCCTGACCATGCCCAAGCCAAGAGATTACATTAAGAAGCTCAAGGCCGGCCGTGCAAAACGTGACCACAATGAGATAACCCAGCGTTGGGTCATTCACTACATCAATGGTGAAGAGAGTGGGATCTTCACTATGTCTAGCGCCTTTGATGGCCGGTGGGTTGGTCATCGCGGTGAGCTACTCGGTAGTGACTACCGTGATGCGGCGGCGCCCTTGCGAATCTCCTTTTTGGGTAATGGCAAAGGATATACCATCCAGTTCGTCAGAGGTGGGGAGTACCTCACCATTGATCGGGATGGTAACCTTAAGCTGATGAACGCTTACCCAGCCTCGAAGCAGGGGTTCAAGGTTTTCAGCGTTACCTATCACCAGTAAACGCCTGATGCCCAGATCTGTGGGATACGTTTCTTTTCATCTTGTTTTACGACGCGACGATCATGCCTGCCCAGGTACAAGCGATGTGCAGATGGGCTTACCATGTAGCATATGAATATGGGCTTTTCGCATTATTATGCTTTGCCCCCGACAGATAATCAGCATTCCGGAGATTATGCTAAGTGGGTTTTATTACTTAGAAAATCCCTTATTTAGAAATATCAAATAAAGAGATGCTGAATGAGTTACTTGTTATGAAGTATGTAGACTAACAGATAGCCCTCACCAGAATGTTTGACTCAGGCTTTTAAGCCGTGATACTAAACGGCCCAGCAGCGTTGTACACAGTCGGCATCTAAATGAAACCAACGTCAGGCTCCTTGAAAAAAAAAAATTGAAAAAAGAAAACTTACCTGTGGCGCCGTGTCCAAGGAAGTATCCAACCGCAAATACCAAAGATCCCCATGCTGAACGGACGGCAATTTCGCAGGAATTTTGACATAAATGTGACCGCACGTAGTATTAATCCCTTGCTCAATCTTGATAGATTGCGCAAAAGAGATCGTATCGCGGTCTCGTACAGGGTTGTTGTACAACCACACTCCGTATGTGCCAGTCGGATACTTCGCCAGCGGGTCAGGGCAGTGCGTTGTGGGCGCACGGTTGAAATGCAGAGACACTGTTTGGCCAGGGGAGAGGGTAGAGTTATCGGGAATGCCTTGGTAGATGTTCAAGCAGGAGTAATCACGTTTTCCCCATGCTATCTTGGTTTATTAGTTTCTGTTTTTAATGAATGTGTCGAAAGTATAGGGACATACGCTGCCATTTGTCAAAGGCAGTGGCACTAGCCACAAGGGCAGAGGTAATGATTGCGGCGGAGATCTTCATGTCGGTGTAGAGTAGATACAAAAAATGTAGAGTTGTAGGAGAGACTGAAATAAGAGGACAGGAACAACAGGTTTTTAAACCATTCGGCTGATTCATCCATGCCGATCGCCTTAGACTCCTCTTCCCACGCTCGGGTCACAGTCCCTATTCTGCAGACACTTGGGTTGAGATGTCTCAGTCCGTGACTCCACATGGTTGGAGGGTTGCTTGGCGTTAAGGTTGGTGTGGCGGTGGGGGATCGGCAGGGTTATCGTGGATCAATGGTTTTGTGTTGAGTGCGTAGCTAATATCGAGGAAATTACATCAGCTGATGGTTTTCTTCTTTCACGAATTTGTTTCTGGGCTGGGTCAAAATGAGACCCATCAGGTGTGCCATCGCGGCTGGCTGAGATAATTCGTCTGGGCTTCAGGTGTCCGCTTGGCTGCATGATATACGATGCCTCCAGGGCTGATTTTACCATTCGGGCTAAGACATTTATGCATGCATGTTCGGCATAGCCGTCTAGATTCCCTCAGATGTCATTCTTAGCTAATTGGCACAAAAAGCATATTTGAAAAATGAGGCATTCAAGCGACGGGATGCTATTTCTATGCCGTGCAAAATCAAGTAATGCGGCCGTTCGCATAGTAACTTGAGCTTACTCATACCAAGTTAGGTAAAGTAGTGTTGAGCTTTTATAGACAGCGTGCGAGTAATGCCTATATACACGCACTTGATTATATCCCCACGGAAATATGCACACCACGCATCTAGGCACTCATCTTACTAGAGCTAAAGCAACGACAAGCTGTCTCGTGAGATATTATGTAATTTTTGTGTCTATTTAATAAGCTTCTTAGTACAAAGCAGGTTCCAAACGCTTCTCGCTGTGAAAGAGGTCTTAGAATGGAGCTGTAATTATATCATGTCAGAAAACCGCATGTTACCTTTCAATGATCCCCCTGTGGATGCCGTCGTATAGATCCAGTCAGTAGATAATTACTCAATTGCAGCGCTTTTACCTCAACACTCTTGTATACCATTTAAAATGAAGAATCTCTTTCTATTCAAATGCCAATCGGTCTAGAAATCTAGTTTGACGGTCGTAGCAAAGACATACTCAAAATGGCCGGGGGTGGCGGTATTGAAAGCAAATGCTAATTCTCATGAGTGAGATAATACCTTAGCAACGCAAAATTCAAGAAGCCTGCAAGCTGAATATCTTCTTGACTGGAAAACCTTCATATGACATGTTTTGACGTAGGATAAAAGAGATGCATACATCTTCTCTCTGTTTCTCTTTGAAACCAATACCCCCTGTCTGGAAATTCATCCTACTTTTAACTTGAAACCCTTCAAAGATATCTGAGCCTTCTCCATAAATTTTATCCAAATCCTGTGAATCCTTTCCAAGAAACCATCTGCCAGACTTCTTGTTTAGCCCGTGGACCCGTTGGCTATTTTCATTTCTTGCGAGATCAGGTTTGGAGTCCTTGTCCCTACATCTTAGAACCTTACAAGGCTCATGACAGACAGCAAAGCAATCAGAACTTCAACTTCCCACTACTCAAAATGACTGATGTCAAAGTCGCTGTCTACAAGCCCACCGAGAAGGGAAAACTATGTCACTGGGCCATTTGGTTGACGACATCCCAGCCGGACGAATCCATAATCTTCCAAATTACTGACAACATGTATGGCTATGGCTATCGTCTTGCCGACCCCATTTACACAAATCCTTTCCACACAGAAAAGTTCTCGAGTTATTTCCATTGTGGTTCCATTCGTCAAGAGAATCTTGATTGCGCAGTGGATGCGATCATGAATTACCCAGTGCACAATCGAATGGCGACGTGGAATTGCCAGTCGTGGGTCTTGGAGTGTTTGGATATGTTGGCTCGGATTGGAGCCATGGATTGTCTTTCTCAGGGAAGACATCTTTTGGAGACACTGCGGGAGTAGGTCTCATGAAGACAGGAGTTAGAACCATCATGGGGCTCTCAAAGTGTCCAAATTGTTATTGGGTTATACATCTCTTGAATGGAGGAATGTTGGAAGGATTCATTGGTATACACTTTCTAGCTTATACCACAAGACTCTTAGCTCACTAGCATGATGAAATTTCTTTATGCAGTGTTTCAATAAAACACCTTCCTGACATTAAAGTCTTGAAATTTCCAAACAACAATTTTAATATGGCTTTGTCAAAAGATTATCACTATTGTTCCGAATTGCTTTCGAAATCATACGACTTATCTGCCTATTGATGCCTGTTCTGGGTTCGAGATGTCGGTAAATCTAGAGGCAATCTCTACTATGTAAGTGACCGGCCCTAGATACCCTTCAGATACTTAATGTCAGCTGTGATCTCTAAGGAATTGCAGGTTCAGATCGGTGGTAAGGTTCTTTTCCGGCTATGAAGTTGATCAATCCGAAGCAGACTATAGGGCAGCCCTGAATGCATGTAACCTTTTCTCTCTCTGACCCTGATCCTATCCTTATGTCTCTCTCGCCGGTAGACAATCCATCTTCTGTGCTTCCACCTCTTGTCTTCATGTTTCACGTCTCTTTGTTGATGACGGAAAATTCCTATTCGGATATGACACCCATATTCATGTATGAGATACATTGAAAATTTGTCTTGAAAGATTGCATGGACTTCGGAGGAGATTCTATTCCTTGAATGAAATGTCACCTGGAAGGACTGGGCCTGACAATCGTGGACCATAAGTCCACCCATAACTCGTGCCAAAGGTATCCATTATGGTCGGAAATCTCCAGGTGCAATTCGCCGTCTTCAGTCAGATGCCACGCGACCAGTTTATCTTCATAAGGATCACCGGGGGCTTTCTTGTAAAGGTCTCTTAGCGTGTAAGTCGGGTAGTCGCGAAGGAAAATATCCATCGCTCTGATGTTGGCCACGCTGACTGGGCTATAACCCACGTCTACCGATCTGGAGATGATTTGTGGTGGATCACCATCTAGTTCATGATGGAAAATGGCATAGGAATGCATTTTCCCAACTGGTGCGCAGAGACCGCGTGCGTTGTAGGCTTCTTGGATCAACTCCTCTGGGAAGACATCTGTGTGGCGGGTCATTTCATGCTCTGTAGGTAGTGATGAAAAGGGTTATGAGTAGAACTTGAATATCTGTCGTAGAGCCAACAATCAAGCCATGTCTAAAGTAGGTAGAGAGCAAAGATGCCCAAAGTAAAAGAGTAGCCACTATGTGGTGATCGCACCACGCTTCACTTGCCGACTACAAGTCCACTTCGCCGCTTCACTGATCTACTGCTTCATCATACCACCATATTCACTGGCTTGTAAGTGGTTGAGTGCCTACGGAGTAGAAGTGGTTGACTTTACCGCTGCCAACTACTAGGCGGTGGAGTTAGTCGGCGTTAGCCCTGGAAGTCTCCGTCTGACAAGCCCCACACAATGCTGCCCCTTGCAGCCTCTGCAAATCCCACAGTCTACGTGGGAATGATCACCGGTTGATGATGGAACCAGTGGTTATCAGATTCCTCCATGAAGGTATCACAAACCATTCAATCCGGCCGAGTCGGTCGACCCAAGTCTAAGACCGGGTGCGACACTTGCAAGTCAGGACCCACCTTTCAATTCCTCTGTTTTATGGAGAGTATTGACATTTCAATTCAGGGCCCGCCGCGTTCGATGTGGAGAAGAGAAACCTCATTGCTTGAGATGCACCAGTACTGGTCGCAAATGCTCTTACATATCGACGCTTGCGCCACAAAGGATTGACTCGCCGCCGCGTCAACTTACTCTCTTTTCCCATCAAGGATGGCGAGAACGGCGCGCATTTGAATACTACTTCCATCAAGCTGGCCCGGCACTTTCTGGTGTTCTTGATGTTGCGTTTTGGCGAGGCTCTGTCCTGCAAATCTGTCGCATGGAGCCGGCAATCTGGGATGCTATAATCTCGCTTAGCTCGCTCTATGAACGACCTCCAATTCATGATGCTTCGCCCTTTCGACTTATCAATAACCCTGCCGAGGTACAGTATACTCATCATCGAGAAGCTCTGATTTGGTATTCTCGGTCATTGGCTGCTGTGCAGCAGCGTATCGACCATGGTGTGGCGGACTTGATGGTATCACTGATCAGCTGCATCCTGTTTATTGCCATCGAACTCTTACAAGGCAATCGAAAGGCGGCGATGAATTTGACCAGCCAAGGCACGCAGATGGTGGTCAGCGCAATGACACCGCTAGGGCATAGTTCCAGAAGCAGAGCCTCGATAGATCGCGCTATCCTCATTTCGGTCATCAAGCCAATCTTCCAGCGGTTAGACACCTGGGCTCTAATAACAGGCGGCGTGCCCAGCAACGTCGATTGGTCTTTCGATAATCTTACCTTGGATGTCCATCTGACGTCGCTCAATGAAGCACGAAACGTTCTCAATGGGATTGTCGCAGAGATGAAAATTTTCAATATTGATACCAAGCAGCATTGGAAGTACCCAGCGGACAGGCGTCTACGCGACGCCCGAAACCTTATTACCAGACAGATACAGTTAAACGAGTGCCTGGACCAGTGGCATCGATCTTTTCTTGCTCTGGCCACCTCCGACAAGGATGCAAGCGGGAGCGGTGGAACTGCACTCTTGCTGATGACCTACTTTAGTGTTCGGATTGAGATTCAAACTTGCCTTGATCCCGATCAATCCGCATACGATAAATTCGAAGCTGAATTTACACAGATTATCAATCATGCATCTATAGCGATTGCTGCCACAAGAAACCCCGAAGGCTACCAACCCCCTTTCATCTTCGAGATGGGAGTTTTCCTGCCACTCTTCATCACCGCTCTTAAGTGCCGATTCCCACAACTGCGTCGTCAAGCATTGTGCCTCTTGAACCAGGCACCGCCGGCACAGGGACTTTTCATGTGCAGGCCCGCCGCTCACGCCGTGGCGGTTCTCGTGGCACTAGAGGAAGATCCCAGCACGGCTCTTAATGTTTCGGGGGTGAGCGAGGTACTCGCCAAGCCAGGATGTATTCCACCATTGCAGAATCGGATTTGGGAATTCAATGTCTCATCTGACCTGGACTCGCAAGGGAGAGCTCGAAATTGGCTTCATTTTAGTCTACGTGACTTTGGCCAGGATGAGATTCGATTTACTCAAAATGTCATGCTCTTTCCTGGAGCTCAGCCTTGAGAATTTGCAACGGCATATATTCTTTTTCTTTCAATTTCGTTCGGCACAGCAAGGGATATTATTGAACTTTGTTCCACTGCATAATCTCGTATAGAAACGCCATTTACCCCAGTCATTTGTTGCGTGTCATTCCGTTTCCCCGTGTTACGGTAATTTATTCCCCCTCAATTCTTTAGCCTCTTCCCCTCCACCGATCATTCTTCCTTCTTCCATCTCTCTTCAGACAGACTCGCTTCAGATATTCACCGTGATTGTTGTCAAGACACTCAGACAATGATAGTCTCGTTGACACCGTTTGTTTCCCATATTTTAGACTCCGGCTCCACATTTCAATCCCGCGCAGCATGTCCTGGGCCGATCCGCTATCTCCCCAAATAGACTGCCGAACTCAAAGCCTCCTTCCCAGCGCGCCACCCAGAACAATATCTCCGCATGCAACATGAAATGAATTCGAAACAATGAAGCCATTTGCGCCACGTATCGGTATATCTGGTCTTATGACCATGTCGCACACGCGACCTGAAATATCGGTGTGAAGGATCCCCTGGATCTAGCACTTATCTCCCCTGCGACTGGCTAAGATTGCGCCGATTGCGACACCGGCCGGCACCTTCACATGGGTCACAATTGGCTTATCTTGGGTCCGATTGCCCGCGTGACAACCTTCCAGTTACTGATAGTAGACCGCAATTACGAGGCCCATTGACAATTTGCTGCCAGATTCGCCAGGCATCCGAGAGTCACCTGAGCCCCGATAAGAGCAATTTTCGCCACTTTTTTTCCCGTATTGTTTGTGCTTTCTTTTGCGATCGCACGTTCTCTGGTTTTAATTTTGTGTTCTCTAGTGCAAACTATTCATCTTGGAGTATAGTTCCGCCTTTCTGGCAAAGTTTTCCTGCATACCAAGGATCCTGTCCCTGACCATTGGGACGTTTCCGTTTCGCTTGGCCGCCCGCGGATCTGCTGAGAGGGTCCAAAATTACCTTCCCCCCACCTCCACGTTTGGCATTTGGTATCTCAGCCTCCTGTCTGACACCGTCTGAGCTCCTACTTCCCGAAGCCGACGCTCTGATATCCCGGACAGCTGGTCTCGTGACTATCAACCGCATTCGGCTGCACTCTTTCTGAGCCGTTCGAACCATCTCCCCTGAGAGCACATGCCTTCCTTCACAGAGGAGCATGTCACGGATCCTGAAGTAGCAGGTAGGCCTACCCCCTGTACAATTTAGAACGCCCATTGCACTGCACTGCCCACGCAACTTTCAATTTTGTCGCCAAGTATCCATGTACCTTCGCCTTGTACTACCGCCTCCCCTTTTGGCGATGGCCCCCGCGGGGGCAATGTGTGACGTCGGACCTGCCCCATGCACTTTATTTCCATCGCGACCAAAAAAAAAAATTCATTTTTTGACTGATCTCCAGTAGACTCTGCAGCTATTTCAGGAACCGGCTTGGATGCTGCTTCTTTGCACAGGGCTTTGACAAGTGGAACTGGCTCTACCTCCTCGCTGGATGGACCGACACTGAAACAATACCGAGCCCCTGTCGCGAAAGCGACTGCGCGCCCACCCATCAATCCCACATCGATGCCTTCTACTATGACCCCTCAGTCCTCTTCGTCAAACTTCAAAGTGGAGACGAAGACACTCGAGGATAGTGAGCAGTCAATTAAATCGGACGAGGATCCTCAGTTGGGCCTTTTTCACCAGGTGTATGACTGGTTACAGCATGAGAAGAACCGAAGAATGGCCCGGAAGGCCCGACGCGCCGAGGCGGTCTCTGGCAACACGAATGCTGTCTCTGAGAGTGAGGAACATCCGGCAGAAGAGCCACGTTGCTCAGAAAGCTCATTCTCACTTGGCGAGTTGGAGAAGATCTTGGCCCAATTCGCAGGTCCCCAAAATGTACATGGCCTAGCATCGCACCTCCCTTTTAAACGCCCAGCTCGCCGTCGCCCCAGGGGTCTTCGCCGCGGCTCAGCTTCTGACTCCGATGTTACGGACGTCGAGGCGCCAGTGCCAAATGTAGAAGCTCACCTGGATAATTCCAAGACTCTCGCCTACACAACTAGCGCAGCAGATGATGAAACCACTGAATCTATCAAACGATCCAAAGACCGAGAGGCATGGATCATTTTTAAGACTGAAATCGTGCGCCTTGCGCATACTCTCCAGCTTCGAGGTTGGCGGAAGATGTCAATGGACAAGGCAGAGGAGGTTGAGGTCCATCGTCTCAGCGGTGCTCTGACTAACGCCGTTTATGTTGTCGTGCCACCCAAGCCTGTTTACAAGACGGAAAATGGTTCTGCTCCCGTGCACGCAAGAAGGCCCCCACCGTAAGTCTCTATCATTATCCTCGTGTGGACTGGAAATTAATCTTTTACTGCAGGAAGCTTTTGCTGCGTATCTATGGTCCCCAGGTAGATCATCTAATTGATCGAGAGAAAGAACTGCAGATTCTTCGTCGTCTGGGCCGCAAGAATATCGGCCCTCGTGTACTCGGAACATTCTTGAATGGACGTTTCGAAGAATACTTCGAAGCCCGCCCTCTCACGCCGAAGGAGTTGCGAATTCCCGCCACGGCTCGACAGATTGCTAAGCGCATGCGAGAACTGCACGATGGTATCGAACTTCTAGACGAAGAACGAGATGGTGGACCGATGATCTTTAAGAATTGGGATAAGTGGGTGGACCGTTGTGAACAAGTGACTACTTGGTTGGACAAAGAGGTTGAATCCCCACAAAACGAACTCAAGGCTGAAGCAGAACCTTGGCGCAACCGAGGCTATGTTTGTGGTGTGCCATGGGCAGCGTTCCGCAAGGCCGTGGATCACTATCGATCCTGGCTTATCGCTAGCTGCGGTGGGCTTGACGAGATCAAGCGACAGCTCGTCTTTGCCCATAACGATGTAAGCTCATTTTCGTCTGATTCCTGAAGGATTGAATACTAATAACTGTTTAGACTCAATACGGAAACCTTCTTCGCATGGAACCAGCCTCCCAGTCTCCGCTTCTCCTGCCTGCGAACTCTCACAAGCAGCTCGTGGTTATTGACTTTGAATACTCATCTGCGAACGTTGCTGGTCTGGAATTCGCAAACCACTTTGTAAGTCTATTTTCGAGATTTTCATTTAGTTCGTTTTTCTAACTAGAGTAGACGGAATGGTGCTACAACTACCACGATGAGGAGCTATCTTGGGCTTGCAACAATCGTCTATACCCTACACCCGAAGAACAGCGTCGCTTCGTGATGACCTATCTCACCCATCGCCCTGCCGTGACTGGCGGTGTCACCTCGCCTTTGGCCACTCCCGCTATGCGGGGTGGCACTGGCAGCGCCGTCACACCCTTTAATCTCGATGATGGCCCCGATTCATCCAGTTGGTCGCAGGATCAGAAGTCCCTCGAGGAAGACCTGGAAGCTGAGGTGCGACGGCTTATGCAACAGACCCGGCTGTGGCGTGCCATGAACTCTGCGCAGTGGGTTGCTTGGGGTATTGTGCAAGCCAAGACACCAGGAATGGAAGAAGGGGTTTCTGAGATGTTGGCTACTTCCAACAACGGGAATGGTCATAAAACCCCTGCCGAGACCAAGTTGGTCCCCGTCGATGCCGACATCGATGAGGAAGATGGCTTCGATTACTTGGCATACGCGCAGGACAGAGCCATGTTCTTCTGGTCTGATCTGTTGACTCTTGGTCTGATTAACCCAGACGACCTTCCAGCTCCTATGGTTGAACATATTCGGGCCCGGGCCGTTGATTATTGAACAGAACGCTTGGATTCATGACGTATATCATGAAGTAATGATTTGGATGCCAGTACATATCTAGTTCAATCTAGTATTGTATCTAGTGAATGCAGATAATATTTCGGATTGCTCCCGCATCTATTACTAGGGTATCTGAAAGATTCACGTAATTCGATGCGCACGCATCGAATATCACTCATTGCAAGCATCCATAGGCATAAAAGTAGATAAATTACCGTCTCATCTCCAACCTCTTCCTCGTTTCCTTCTTCGCCCCCTCAACCCACTCATTGTACGCCTTTCCCTCCCCATCCTGTGCCTCCTTCGCCGCAACAACCCCCTTCATCATCTCTCCAATAAATCCCACAAAGTTCCACCTCCGCAATGTATTCTCCCATTGCCAAGCTGCCCTCTTCCTCTCCTCCCTCTCAAGCGTCTCCGCATCCCCAATCTCCCTCGCCGCAATTCGCGGATCCCGCGTAACAGCCATAAGATTAAAATGCGTCTCTCCGGCCGGATACCTCGCAATTCGCTTCTGCAGAACCTCACTCACGGCCTCAGGGAACGATCCATTATCACAAGGCCCATGGCTGATAGGGTACGGCTGCAATCCATCAAGCTCATAAAGCGTCCCATTAACAGACGTATACGCAATAAAATGGTAAACGTCCGCTGCATTCTCCTCATCCTGTGGCCGAGCCGTCTCATCGGCGAAGGGACTAGCCCGCGCAAACGTGTTGTGAGCTGTGCGAATCGCTTCAGAGTTCGAGAGTGCTTCGCCGCGCAGTTCGGCCGGGAAGCCTGTTGTGAACTCTTTGAAGGAGCTAAGTTCGTCACCGAGGACTATAGGTTTTAGGGGTGCGGGTGGGTTATCGTTGTTGAGGATGACGGAGAGAATGGCTTGGGTTCCGCAGGCGTTTTGGATTGTTTGGGCTGCGAAGAAGACGTTGTTTTCTGTTGCTGTTGTGTCGTATGTTCCATCTAGTGGGGCTTCGGCGCGAGCACCGGCTGCTTCACGGGTCCATTTGAAGAGGAAGATTACGCCGTAGACGGGGCTGGATGGATCGGTTAGCTTAGCTTTTTTTTTTTTTTTTTTTCGACGTTGTGAAGGTTGCTTCGGAGGGTTGATTGATTTACCCGAGTGAGCGTATTGTGTCCGCATCTAGCGAGATTATTTCTTCGAATTGAACATCTTGCACGCCGAGATTTTCGATGAGAGATGTGAATACGCCCTGGCTTTGCTGTTAGATGATTGTTTTCTTGAGCTTGAGCAAGAGCTATATGGACATACCTCGTCGGACTCGATAGTGCTCCAGCCGCCTGCATCGGCCATTGTGTCTGATATGGACTGAAGTAGTTGTTTTCACGTGTGATTTCAGGTCAAGGTGGACAGGTTACAAGGACCTGAGTGCGTGTCAAGGTCAAGTGTTGATACCGACATGCGGGACGTATGTCATAGATCACGTGAAGTGCTACATCACGTGCGATAAACCCTTATCGCGAACTGCAGCCTTATATGCAAGGTGTCCACGTGGCATTCGCAACCATAACTGGATTCGGTCTGTTTAATCACGCCTCATACCTCGGTTGTTAGCTGTTTTGTGAGATATTGGAAGTTCCGCTCATTTGAACTACTTCAAGTGGACCAAGACATAGTTTCATTCTCAAAATATTCTCAATCAGAGTACAGAAATCACTACAAACTCAGGGCAGCGCATTGTCATCCAGATCCATCCAAAGAGACTCAACGCCTTCAAAACAAAGCCATTATAGACACCAAAGAACCCAGGTTGGTACCCACCCTCGCATAGACGCAAACTAATCCCCAAAACCCGCGCCACCCACCCCCTCAACCGGGGTGAAAAAAAACCATACCAATACGAGCAAGTGGGCCCGAGGGTGATATCACCCTCTACGCACCTGGGCAAACCGTTCCGACGACAAAACCTGAAACATAGCCCTGCAGAATAATCACGCCCTAATGCATGAGCGAGTGATACCAAAAAAAAAAAACGTGGCAAATCTACCTTCGTCAGCAAAAACAAACCATACATCAACCTAAGCGGGGATCATCAAGGTTAAACAAGGCAAAAAGCCAGCCGAATACGAGGGTCCACGGGATCTCACGTAGGACCTGAGGTTCTTGCCCAATGAGAAGTGCAGATCTTAGATTTCCATACTTAATCTGGTTCCTATTCTTAGATCCACATGTTCTTCTGGCAGGATTAAGTTGCGGAGTTCCTGGCGATCTATCCCGAGTACGGGTGTACGGGTGCGCATGTCGGGGTGTGAGGGAAGGTTTCTTGGCTTTGATTACCAGTATGCGTGGTGATGTTTTCGAAACTTGGAAGGATGGTTGATGGGGGCCAAAGAATGGATCCGAGCTGGGCTGGTCTACACGGGCGTTGAATTACTCGGAAAGGAAGGCTGGGTTTGTGCCAATCAGGAATACTCTGGTAAAGATTGTCTTGTATTCGAGGTTATCTCGGCAAAATCATCCACAAGTATTAATCATATGTAACTGTAATGTTCAAGGAGTTGCATCTCAGCACGCCCAGTTATGGTAGCCATGTCTCGTGAACTCGAACTGGGTATATCACTTATTAACATTTTCTCGTTTTTCGAGAGAACACACCAACGCTCATGCGTAATTCAAATCACATGGACATAGAAAGAACAAAGATACAGAACAAAGAATGAGGCGGGAAAAGTCAGTATACTCCAAGCTCTGGGCTTGGAATCAATGTCCAAGTATGTCAAGTAGAAACCCATAATCAATCCGTAAATCCCAGACCAAACTCCAAACCACAAATTGAAGGGGGGTATTATTATATCCTGCGCCTTTCCACAAAGTCCAATCAATGAAAGCAAAGTAACGAGCTCTATGTCCAGATAGTCCCAGGTGTGACCATATTTGGCATCTCAAAGTGGTGTGATTGTTGGTACAGATCCACATTGAGACCGAGAGAGCCGTTCTGATGGGGCATATCAGCGCAGAGACCATCAGCGCCGTATGGAGGAGTAAATGCCGATGGGTTCTGTAGACTGTGTGTGTGACGAATTTCCGACAATCCCAAATGCGGGTCGTGCGTATCGAGAAGTTGAGGAGAAGGGGGGTAAAGGGTATGCGAAGGTGCAGCTGTAATATAGCCATCCGTCAGATGGAACGGAGAGCCCGCAACTGTAACGGCGGGAGGAGATTGAAGAGGAGGGGTATATGCGACGTAGGAGGGAGAGGCGGATGCAGGCGAGGAGGATGAGGCGACGGGGTATTCCTGCATACCGTGGTATGGACTCGACGGGCCAGGTGAGTAATGCTCGACAGAAGGACGAGGGGACCAGGCCAAGCGGGTGCGGTATCTTGCGACAACTCGCCGTGGAAGATCCATCAAGGCCATTCCAAGACATAGGTCTGCATTGTAAGGATCTGTGGCGCTGTTCGCGGCTAGAATGCGGTATGTTTCTTCGATCGGTCCGATGGACAGCCCGCCTAGATATGCGCCGCCCATTTCGGGGTAGAATCTGTCCAACGCGACGCCGACGGCAAAGAACTGAGAGAGAACAGCCAGAGCACTGAAATCAGAGTCGCCGCCTCGAAGCATCGAGGCAGGAAGCCAGAATAGCCAGCGCCGGAGAATCTGAATGCGCTCAAATGCTTGCTCGGAGGTTTGGGTTGGGTAGTCGTTTCGAAACTGTTGCACGAAGTCGACGAGCTCGGCTAGGCGCTGGGTATGCTCGGGGTTGTGGGATACACGCTTCTGAGAGACCTGGAGGGCGCGAACGGTTTGATCGAGTTGGTTTAGGTCTTCCTCGAGAGATAATGGGAAATCGGATGCGCTTAAAGCGCGCTGGTTTTCGACGAATTGCGCTAGTTCGGATTCTTGTTTCCAGAATGGATGCATCGATTCGAGGACCGTTGAGATGCCTTGTTGTAATGACATCCACATTTGGCTAAGATGGTATTAGAAGGTTGAATATTTGTATGAGCAGAGAAACAAACCGTTCAGTTGCTTGCCACGAAAGCAAAATCGAAGCCGCAAGAACGGCCTCACAGTTATCCTTGGAGAAGGCGCCGATGGCTGTCTGCAAGCCCCGGAGGGCGGTCACTTTATGGTGATAAGCCAACTGCTTAGTTTCCTGATCTCGAGTCAAGAAAGCCAGATGGAATGCCGATAAGCCCAGAATAGCGCTCATGACAAATTCATTGGATAGCGCAATCGCAAGAAAGCTAGATAAACCGTTAGCCCTCATATCCCCCTTCAGTCCATACTTCAGATGACGACATACTTGGGCATCTTCTGCGCCCACACGGTGCAGCTACTCAGACCCCGGCGATGTAAATCGATCGAAAGGCCGATAATATGGTGCACTAAGCGCAAATCCGCCCGCGATAGATGAGACCATCCAGCACGCGGACACTGAACCAGCTCTGGATATGGAGGGACACCAGTTCGGTGCCAGTTCTCAATCTCCATTTCTATTTCAGGCGACATGAGCAGATCGGGACCCCGCCGTGGAGGGGGGGCTGCTTTGCGTTGCGGCCATGTCCTGGTAATCACAGCGACAGTTGTGCTTGGTGCAATTGCGACTAGAATCTCGATTAGATCTGTTCTGGGACGATTAGACTATAGGTGGGAAGTACCATTGTGGGAAGGTCTCGTCGCAGCGGATGTGTCTCCGCTTACAGGTCTTACATCCGTTGCGGGACTTGGTGTGGCTTTTGCGCGGGGGACCACCACCTGGACCGGCCATGTTGAAGAATCAAGAGTAGAGTTGAGAGATTATCGTAAGTTGAGGGGCATAGAATAGAAGCCGGTGAAGATGGAATGGAAGGATGGCAAGAAGATTCCCTGGTGTTTATAGAAAGTAGATTTTCCTTAAATCAGCTGAAACGTAGAATGTAAAATACGAGCAGCTGGCAGGTTTAAGTCAACGCCCTAAGGCGAGAACATTCGAGGAAAAAGAAATATGGCGAGGTTAAAAGGGGGGGGAAAAAGAAAAGAAAAAAAGTGATGATGAGATGATTGGGATTGTAGAAGGCCCAGGTCAGGTGTAATACGGTAAATATAGGACCAGAGTAATAATAGCCCAGTGACGATCTCGCATTTGAGCCTCTCTGCAGGGGAACCCAGGATAACCCCTTCAGCTCGAGGGCTACCCAAGGCCACCACATGGCGGACCACGAACAGACTCTAATTTGACCGGCGCCTTACACAGCTTCCTGGATGGGTTTAGTCGTATCCAGCGTTTGGCTGGGGGATCCACTCTGCGGCATGTGAGCTCTCCCACGGGGAATATCGTTCAACCATGTCCCTGTACTCCTTGGTACATCCGGGGACAGCGAACCGGTCCGGAGCTTTCTTCCTCCAACAAACTTCCATTCAGAGCTCCCGACATTCAGGCCGGCAAGTGGCTCAAAAAATACAGGTCGGGGCCAGGCCAAGCTAAAGATGACTTTTGCCAAGCGCCCCCCCACGGGCACCGCATCTGGGTAGTTCAAGCGGGATCGGGCCTGGTGCTTTTGTTGAGCTTGAACCAAATGACAAGGAAATGATGGTCCACTCCGTAGATCCTTGAGAACGCTCTGATTGAGAGCTCCCCCAACCCTTCTGTTAGCATTTAGAATCGTTGAGGGATAAAGGGGGGTGGCTGATGTCGTCTTTGCTTTTTCAGTTTCATATGAGGTGGACGTCTGCAGGCCACGAGGGGGCCAAAAACGGAGTTTGGCAAAAGAAAACAAGTAGCTTGTACTTAGTGTGATTGGGGGAAGATATCGATCGACCAGGCTCCGCGATCTGAGGACCCTTGAAAGTGGATCGAAAACGTCAGGCTTGCCAAGCCGAACCATATGCCCAGAGAAGTAAAGGGGAAGGCAATCACTTGCGCCATCCTAGACTGGCCTTGTTAATTTTATTTTGATTTTGATTTTTATGAATATTATGTTTATCAATATTATGGATTGTCTGATTATTTTCCCAAGACTAATTTTAATTTTAATCGGAAAATCCAATCGTCATAATAAAATGCAGCTAGTCTCGAAAGCGCCGTTGCCATCCGTGCACTGAGTCAGACGCGGGATGAGACGGACTCAACTCGGTAATGGCAACCGAACGTGCAGATGCTCCACAGTGCTCGCCTTCTGATTGGTCGCGTCATTTGTTCTTTTTTCTTTTTTCAGGCAATGTAAGACCAGGATTAACCATGGACCATTCCCTAGGCAATCCGGGGAGTCGGGAAGGTATGGGGGGTTACCACTGGGCTGGAACGTTAAGAACCCTGTTCAGCGCAAAAGAAAATCCAGCCAAGAAACAAGGATTACCTGAGCTTCAGGGCTTGGGACTGATCCCGCGACAATGGCTCACGGTGTTCTTGACGAAGTCGCCCGTCACGTTACACCGCCAGTTTCCCATCACCACGTTTTTCTGGGGGATCGGTGAAGCTCCTAGACATGCAGACCTGCAGGTATGCAGGTATGGAGCCAGGATCTAGAATCGATTTCAGCCAGTTAGATGACTGGAGGGGGGCGTACTTATCACACGTGGCTCCACCCTCTTCCCTCCACACTGCTTCTGGTCACTCAAAGATTCTCAGTTGGTTTCATGCGTTTCACCTTGGACGCATTTAGGGATTCAAAGCGAGGAAGCCGGGGGACCATGGACGGTGAGAATCGGGCATGTGGATCCGCCCAGTCATAGCTCACCAATGCGGTTAGCGCTGCTCACTCGCGACATCGCGCCAGACAGGGTTAGTCTAGGCTTGGAAGTGGGTATTCGCTCGACACTTGGGGGCCATGTTCTTCTCCTTTTTTAAAGGAGTTACAAAGAGGACCGAAAGGATTTTCTTCATGAGGAAGACCCAGGATTCCTCCAGGAGGGGACTGTTTCTCCTCGGCAGCCACCAATCGTCGGGTAGCTAAATCGCTACGTTAGGCCCCCAGATCTGGACCCTGCGGGCTTGGCCAGGCTTGCTCTGCACAGGATAAGACCAGCACCAGGACCCGACAGTCCGGTCCTCCCGCCCTGCCAGATGACATCGTCGAGCGTAGAAGCACGGTCCATGGGAGGCAACGCCCGCTAACCAACTTAAACGCCCCCGAAGAGGTCATCCTGGACGCGTGGGGCGGGATAGACTATTCGGTGCCCCCGTCGATCATGGCGAGATTAACAATGGCTGTGCGCTTTACCAGCGTGTCGGTTTAGCTCGAACGTCCATGGAGGGGCAAATCATCCCGTCGATCTATATCTCCATGGTTTCAGATACCCGCTAAGCTGGAAGCAGCCTAGATTTTGCAGGCAAAAAGCAACGTACCCTCTAAAGTACATAATGGCTGGTAGTCATGGGAATCATAGGCCGACTCGGGTCCGAGAACAAGACAACAAAGGAGGGGAAATCAAAAGAAAGGAAAACAGAGTATGATACCGACAGGTCTGTACCCGCATCTTCCCGTCGAGCCAGATCATTCCAGGGAGCTCCCCCATTTCCTCCCGTCCGCGCCGCAATTTAATTAAAGTCGCTAGCGTTAACTTTACTTTTTCCTGCTAAGCCTCTCTGCGTCCCAGTTCGCTTGGAATGCCTACTATGAAGAGGCAATCCTGAGGCTGAAAAGAAAACATCGCTCCATGAAGTCATGATGACCATGGGGCGGACAACAGTAAGGAACATTGCAACAGAGCAAAGTAGACACCGGGTGTATAGGTCACCATGAGAGGAATATGATGCAGGGACAATGCCTCCCGCTGTAGAGCTAGAATCTGCTCATCGGAACAATACACCGATCCGTTGTCCGGGAGGCAACATCACCGCTTCATGTATATCACCGGAATCAATTTTCTCTTTCCCCTTCTCCGAATAATACAGTGCTATACCACCAGGTGATACCTCGTCACAAACCAACCCCCCTGATCCCTTACAAACTCCTTCCATTTGATTCGATATTCTAGGGACGGCACAGCGAGCCCACCCACTCCACATCGAAGATCTACATTCAAAATGGGTTTCCACAAATCATCCATGGACATCGAGCTCAAGAACGGGCATGTCCTCACCGCATACTGCCGTCGTCCTTCGGGAGAAGCCTCATATTCTGAGCTGAATCTCGATGATTTCTTGGGTGCAAAGAGAGGTAAGCACAGCGAGCAGAGGAGAGAGAGACAACGACAGCCTTGTTAGAACAAAACATCGCCCCCACTCAAGAAGGTTTGGCTCATTGACGGACTCCTCCACAGGTAAATTTGCCTGGAGCGCTGAGGGCTTCTCTGACCATGCGTCTGGTGTCAAGCTCAAACTCGAGGGTCCAACCCATGAGCCCATGCTTCATGCCGCGCTGGATGACGATGAAGGTGGTAAGCACATGGACGTTGTGAACCTGGCGGACTGTATCAAGAATGAGAATGGACGACTCCGTTATATGGATTGTTTCTAGATTCTCAATATGATTGGATTCGAGAAGTCTCATCTCCACTCTCTACTCAGTTGCCTTCCCAGGTTGGAATGTGTATTCCGCACAAGATACCCTGTACGTGGCGAGGTCAGGTCGTCCCAACGGAGTGGGTTACTGTAGGACAAAGTCAGACTGTCAGACACACCGCATGGTTGACCACCGCCCCCCAGGCATGCCCGTGAATAAGGCCCCTGGTGAGAACTAATTTTACTATCTCAACCTGTCACGCCGACCCATATTCCATCTCAGCTCATGTCATTTAAATTCAATATGAGTGAAACGAGTAAAGTATACCATCTGCACTTCCTTGCAGGGCTGGAGAACCCAATCTTACCTATCAAGCTTACACCGAAAGCCCCCAGTAGCCTCCAAACCTAGGAGAAATGCAACTCCTCATTGCCACCCTCACTGCTACAGGGATCAGGGAATCAGAAGGTCGTCAGAGATCGGGCCACAACGCATCGCCTGTCCCCTCTTTCCGAACATTTCATCTCTTTTCTTCCTTAGTAAATGAGGCGAGGGAACAAAAAACAAATTCAAATTAAAATTAAAAAGTAAAAATAAAAAAGACTAGTGGCTTAGTACCTCATCCCCGTCCCCCCTTAACCAATACTCCTCGACCGGAAGTTAAGCTCAGACTCCCGGCGGCGTCAAATAAGCGAGGTGTAGCGAAGATCCACCCCGTCCGTGATTGACTGGTAGAGTGGAGGTCGAGAGGGAAATTCTAGCCTACTCAGTACATTTAGTGGAAGCCTAGTAGAAAAGTTAAATTGAGAGTAATCAAACGCCTGGGAATCGGCGGAACGGAAATGAAAACAATGAATTCTGATTAGTTCATGGGAGACCGTAGTCTTGGCAAGGGACCTGCATTCTGCAAAATGAGGCAAGACAACGAGCGCACGGGACTCAAGTCCATGGGGGTTATAAGAAGCGAGGTCCGACATTCTGCGTTGGCGACGGTTGGATCATTTCGCTTGGCATTATTTGCCGATATGGTCGACAGAGGACCCTTAATGCAGGTGAGTTTTGAGGGGAACGCCACGTAGCCGATCACGGGCAAGTTTGCGACTATAATCTAGCTTGATGATGAGTGTATCTCCTGCTAACCGTGGACCCAAGCTCTGTGCTTGGATGGACAAGAGACTACCTAAATTTTTGGGTTTTCATAGAATCTATCTAATCTATCTATCTAAGAAAAATGGTGGGAAAGCCAGCGCTAAACGACGCACTACTAGGGAACCGGTCCTCATATCAACATGCAGAGAGAAGTCAAGTAAAAAAGAAAACAAGGGCTGGAATGATCAGATAGCCATGCCTAGATAGTCAAATGACATCCCTGGAAATTCCCATGTTTGCGCTTCCCGACTCTCACAAGTAAGAAAAAGAGAATATGCAGGAAGTGGACTGAATTGAAACGCCCAGTCAAGAGCTCAGCTCGCCTTGATTATTGACCTAATGATTTTTCATAATTGATTCCTTCCGTTCGTTCCTCCTATTTCTAGGTCATAATGACAATGGGCTATAATAAGCCCGTGGCGCTCAAACAAAAGTGAAAACAGTGCATTGCATTGGACTTCAATCAGTCATGTAGATGTGTAGCCTATTTAAGGCACATGAAGGAGCATTTGCGGCATTTCATAAAGCCATCATCGTGCATGTTGATATCAATCGTAAGGGTTGAAGCCGATTTGATGGAGGGGATCACGGAATTCCGGCATTAAACCTGGTAATGCGTGCGCAGCTTCTGGGCCACGGGACCGGGAAGCTGTGAGAGGAATGAATCGAAGTTGGGTATCATATTTTTATATCCTTGCAGAACCTATTTGATAGTTAGAATAGCAATTTCTACGATCAGGAGAGATGCACATACCTGCTGGAATGAGCTGTGAATGTCCCGGTAGTCCTCCTGTGACGAGAGCGACTTGCTTGCGCAGCCGGCAATGGCCCCGAAGTAGACTGCAAGACATGATTCCATGGCTTGAGGGTTCTTCATGACCACTTGGTTGAATCCGAGGAATGCAGAGGCCTTTTCGCGGCTGAAATCGATCTTGCTCATGGACGTTAAGAAGGGAGTGGCATATTCGCTCAATCGGGGTGCCAGTTGCTCAGGGCAGCAGAGACCAAGACGGCCCAGTGCCATAGCGGCATTCTCGTTGACCGAATCAATAATCTCTTCGTTATTGATGATGTTCAGGAGGCCGTAGTAGAGCTTCTCGGCGTGAGGGGCAAGGTCGCTCTTTTTCTGGTTCACGGCAATCTCTCCGCAGGACCAGCAGGCATTGTTGAGAACGCTAAAGCTAGTGACGCGATCATCGTCGGGCAGGGTATCCAGGTCAAGCTGTTTGATCAGAGTCGGCATCATGGTAGGGATGAATGGCTCCAAATGGGGGAAAATGCTGATGGCACAGTCACCGAGGAGAGCGTAGGAGGACTGGCGGACCTCATAGTTAGAGTCCTGCATGCAGTAGCAAAGAAGGTCGAAGAATCGCGGCTGGGAGGCGGCCACCAACTCTCCGCTCTTTTGTGGGTCAATAGCTTGGATGATGCAACTGAGAAGGTCGAGGCTGGTGACCAAGAAATCTTTGTCGGTCTCATCAACGGTTTGGTTGTTTACTGAGGCCATGGATTCTTGGAGGTTCTGGTAGATAATCTTCACGCAGCGTTGGAAGATAACGGGGGCAAATGGCGAAAAAGCATCTTCGTACGACGCAGCGATGTATCCCAGACATTCAAGCAGTGGGAATACTTCTCGCGACTGGTCGTGGATCATATTGTACCGCTCGATCAGAGCAGGCATCAGGATCTCAACGAGATGGGGCTTGGCCAACTCGTTTCCGACACACTCGGCCAGAGTTTGCACACAGTCATAAAGAATGTACATGTTTCGATCCTTGTACTTTCCAAAGCATTGAACAAATTGACGGAGAATAGGCTCACAGTATGGGACCAGGTTCTCGTCCGACTTCTCTTCCAAGCTGGCAAATGCAGATGCAGCGGCTTCCTGCACCTTCTTGTTGTTGTCAAGCATGCGATGAAGAATGCCCTCCATCATAGGCTCAAAGAACTGGTGCTTGTCTGATGGCTCACGGAGGTGCGAAGCCCACTCCGAATACCGGCCCAGACACCAACAGGTGATTTGTCGCACAACGGGCTGTGAATCGTTCAACAGAGAAATCAGGTATGGAACGAGTTCAGGAAGATGGGGCTTGACAGCTTCCATGCACCCATCAGCGACAGCTCCCAAGGTGAGCACAGCAGCCTCACGGTTGGGCCACTGTTCGTGTCGCAGGGTCTCTTTCAGGTATGGCAGAATGATCTCGAAAATGGGGTCGTGGTACACGTTCGAAAACACGTCCAGCGCAGCAGCAGAGCATTTTCGCAGGGACCACTCATCCTCGGGGTCGTCCCCATATTCCGAGTCTTCGATTTCGCCCTCGCTGAGCTCTTCCTCCTCTTCCTCCTGGGATGGTTGTTGCTGCGAGCCATTCGCGTCACCCTGCTTTGACATATCCAGACGGCCCGCCTTCGACTTGGCAAATTGCGGCTTCAGATCCTCCGCACGATCCTCGGTGTCGGCATCGTCCTCGTCGCCCATCAAGCGGATCACGTCGTCTTCCTCATACACCATGTTTTGAAGCAACACTGGGATCACCTTAGGCATGAACGGTGCCAGAGGTGCTTGCAGGCGCTCTTGTTCACCAGAGACGATCCAAAATTCCGCTGCATCTAGAGCAAGCTCGGGATCCTCTCCGTTCTGCTGCTGGATGAGAATGTAGCTGACCAGACCCTCCAAATGCGGAATAAGCTTCTCGGGGGCGAACTCGACGAGCTGCGAGAATGACTGGCACACATACTTCCTCACTTCGGTATCCTGGTCCCCTGCGAGGTTGAAGAGCTGCGACAAGAACAGATCCAACGAGCCCATCAAGGCCTGGGGTTGGTGAGGGAGGAAAACGTGAATGCTGCTCAGCGCAAGCGCGCGAACCCGTGCGCTCTCGCGTCCGGTAAATTCCAGCAACTTGGGGATAATCACGTTCAGCGGGCGTTGGCCTTGGTAGTCGCGGTCCAGAATCTTGCGGTTATCCTCGCACACCTTGTACAGTGCAGCCATCGCGGCCTCTTGAGCAGGGATCGACACATCACCTGCGGTGTTGCCAACCAAGGATAGAAGCTCCTGAAGAACCTCCGGCCAGGCGAGCAATCCACCCCGCTGTACCAGCTCCGTGATAATAGTACCAGCACCTCGCTGCACTTGTGTGTTGCTGTCTCGCAGGGAGACCAAAGCGGCGGATCGAATAAAGTTCAAACTCTGCTGAGGGATCGTCTGATAGGCCATATAAAGCTTCGTCTTGATGTTCATGGCGGCAGCAAAGCGCACAACGCTATAGGTGTTATCGTCCATACCGACAGCAGGAGGAACCTGGGACGTCGAGAAAAGGTAGGTGATGTAATTGACATAATCCGGAGATGAGGTCGCCGAAGCAAGCATCTATAACAGCGCGCGATTGTATCAGTCTCCATTCTCAAGTGCAGTGTGCGCTTTCTTTTGCGTTGGTTCCTGGCAAAGAGGGGGGAGGGGAAGTGCAGAGCAAAAAAAATTATTATAGGCGTACCTCTTCGGCCTGTTTCCGGAGCGTAGGGTCCTGACCATTGAGAGAGTCTCTGAGGCAGCAGGCTAGCTGCCTCAATGGCTCATCCTGAGGTTGCCAATCCATGTTGAAGCGGTGCTAAAGTCGACTGGCTTGCGACCGTAGGTGCAAAAGTGCGTGTGGCACAGAGAGCCCCGCCAAGAAAGTGGGAACCGGTCCCCCTACTTCGTTCCCCAGATCAAGTACAACGCGTCCGATCTGCACCAAATAAATTCAGCAACGAACAGAGACGTTTGAGGCAATAGCAAATATTCCCAGGTGACAGTGTCGAAGTTTTATATGAAAAAAGAGAAAAAATAAATAAGGAGGAAACGACTCGGACTTGGCCTGAGAAAGCGAGGGCGAAAATCTGGGGCGAACGAACGAAAGAGAAAGGCGGTAGCCAGTCGTCGGTCTTTTAGCAAGTCAACCTACACTATTTCGTTTCGATCTTATGTCAGGTCTTTTGTCTGGGGTCACCAGTTCATGCAATAATCCGTAGATTTGGAAGACACCTGCCCAATCTCTCAAATAGAACTTTTCTACCTCTCATCGTATTTGGATTTCTCTATATTTGTCCGAATCTGCATGTCCAAGGGGTGAGGTCACTCGGAAATATATACTTTGGCTTATACCACGGGGTATGACCTCATCTGCAGATGCAAAATCAACGTTCATAACTTCATGCCAATTATATTTGCCATACGATAATGCAGCCTGCAGAAGGTATGATTGCACAGAATCCCAAGCCAAATTAAAATACCCAAAAAGGACCGCTTGGTCCATAGATGCTCATGCCCAAACCATCTTCTTAATATCATAAACAAGATACTCCAAAATCCCAGTCCGTTTCTTCGCATCAGCCAAAGAAATGATATCAGACTCTTCCACCACAGATGCCGAATCCTTATTCTGCCCATCACCCGCTAGCATCGCCCGTTCAATCTCCAAGCAGATGGAGCGAACCCGATCAAGCTCGCGAACAGTACCCGTCGTGGGCCCGAGGCGAGGGCTAGTTCCCGCATTGGTTAGTGGAAGAGACTTGAAAGCGACAAATCGAGTAGTGGCACGCTTGGTGCCGCGCAACCAGGAAACCAGGTCCCATTCGCCAGTGGAGCCGGTGGAAGCCTCGAGGGCGGCGGGCCGGACATTGCTTTGCAAGGAGCGGGTGTTGACACGTAAGAGATTCTCGTCACCGTCGCGGTAGACGATGACAAGACCGACGTTGGTGCGCTCATTCGATTGACTCTCAGTCAGGATGGAGGTGACGTATGTCCCGTAATGAATGCGGGATACAGAGCGCAAGTCAATCCGTTCAAAAGAAAGGACTTTGTCGGTCTCCCAGTCAAAGCGGCAGCTATACACCGCTGCGTCTGTCAGAAGGAGCACAGATTCTTCGAAGGGGAGAGTTCGTAGCGTGTTGGGCTGCCGGGGGGTCAACATGGTCCAGCCACCCAGGAACTCTTCAGATGGACTGCTGATAACGATCTTGCAGCTGGTGTCGATTGCGTTCTGACGGATCTTTTGAACTGAGATGCCTGGATCCGGGGTCTGCAGTTCAATGGAGAATTCGTCGAAGACATGCGGCGTGACATTACCCAGCAGGTAGTCGATACAAGCCTGTGAGAAGTAATCGTTCACGATGTTGTTGTAGTATCGTGAGAGAGTGAGTCCGAAGTCGTTGATCGCGCCTCGGTAGTCTCGCTTTCGTGTGCGGGTATAGTCGCCCTTCAGAGCGGCAGTGGACGAGTACTGCTTGGAGATCGCGTCGCCGTTATCTGCCCAGAGAGTGTTAAACCACTGAGTAGACGAGTCACCACCCAAGTCAATCGCGATGCCCTCATTTTGAAGTTGGCGTTCCAAAGCCCACTGGCCAAAGGCGCACTGGGCCACACCAGTCCGGTCAAGACAATCCATGCAGTTGGTGCGTACAATACCACTCTGTCTGAGCGATGATGCGCCATCCTTAACGCAAGTATAACCGAATTCATCCAGAGTCTCCTTCACCCGGTCGACGAGACGGGACACATTCTCAAACTTCATCCCACGGCATTCATTGTGGAAATCAAACCACTCCAACCGCAGTGGTGTGCCATCGACACCCCCGGCCTTGTTAAAGACGTCGACGTATCTCTCATATTGATCGCCCAGTTTCAGTTCCCCCGCATGCTTGTCAATCAATGACACGGCCTGAATCTTGCCATATCTCCGGCTCATCTCTCTAATGTGTCTTCCAAATGCAAGCTGATTGGTCTCAGCGGAGTGATGTAGCACTGGAATGGGCTTGAAGGCGTACGGGGACTGTGAAAAGTAAAGCGGGATCGATCCTCGCACTTGCAAATATGAGTAGACATTACTGGAAGGGTTCCAGTCGGGGCCGGAGAGAATCTGCTCTGTTTCGACGGTATTGGCTGTGTTTCCTTCATCGTCCACACCACGACGAAGATAACGAAGACCAGGTCGTTTGACAGACCGTCGCGAAATGAGGGTCAACAAAAAGTTGCGTTTAGGAACTTCCGTATCCACCGAGGCTGCCTCTTGGCTGTCGCCGAGTATCTTCGCTTCAACTGGCTTCTCGTCTGCAGACTCAGACGTTGAGTTTTGCTCAGGACTGGCGACTGTAAATTCTCGCTGGCCAACGAATCCCTGCAAGAGAGGCATCACAAAACCATGAGCACCATTTTCAATGAATGTAAACATGAGATGTTTATTCCAGAAGTACTAGCGTCGTGTTAGCAAACGATACCAAGCATTTAGCACAAATAGTACCCACCAAAGGATCTACAGCCTTATGAAGAGGAAGTTGCTCCGTGCGTGCCCCCTGAGCATTGAATGGCCTCGTCAGATCATAATTATATGCAAAAAAGAAATTATGCGACGCAAAAAGAAGCTTCGTATATTTCAGCAGCTTGGGCAGTAGCTCAGCCGCTTGATCAGACTGAGGCCGATCATCCCTTTCACCAAGCTTCACGTCATCTTTCTGATCTTCAGGCAAAGCCGCCTCTACAGCCTCATCCTCTTTTGACTCAGCATCCGGAGTTGCTGTCCCGGGTGAAGATGTCTCATCAAAGGGTGACTCAGGCACATCCTGCCCGATTGCTCCAGGCCGCGGCAACCCTAGATTCCTCCGCGAGAGCCAATTAGCCGCAAAACGGCCAAATGGCACCCGTTTCCCAATGACATCCTCCGCTATACTGCCAACGCTAGCACCGCGGGTATGGAAGGTCGCCTGCCGACCAGGTGAAGTTGGCGCACTGCCAATTTCCGTTTCCGCGTGATCTGTGACATGGTCCGGAATATCATCTTCGGAGTCAGAGTTTAGATCAGGATCGCCTTGCGAGACCTCCTTTCGTGCCTGTGCGATTGCGCGGTTGGCATCTGCCTGCGAGGAGATTGGGATGATGGCAACATTGGTCACAGCATAGACAGGGCGGCCTTGGATCTGTGCGACTTGTTGCCGCTGGGTAATAGAGACTAAGAACGAGTATGACGCGACAGACAGAAGACCTAAGCATGTCAATATCAAGGGATAATAAATTTTAGAGCTATAGCCCCGCGGCTTCCGGGGAAGCGCCCCCAAACTTACCGACAAGTCCGTAGGCCTCCAAGTGCTCGCGACCTTCTAGCGACTCCTCTGTTGAGGCGGGCAGAGCAGTGATCTTATTGGTTTTGTAGTCGATACGGATGGACGAGGCCTCATTATTGCTGCCATTGTTGTGGCGGCGTCCATGTACGCCGTGCCCGTGCAGAATCAACCCGTCAACTGCGGCGATGATGACGAGTTTCCGCAACAAACCCGGCATCGAGCAGGGGAACCGCCTCGGGAGTCGAGAAAGATCGGTCTAGGGGAAAGAGTATAGGAGAATCCTAGCCAAGGAGAAACTAAATCGAACCGGCCAAGCTTTTGACCTTCGGAAGTGAAACTCCCTTAACAGCTGACTTGCAAGCTACATCATCGGAGTGGAGCCCCACATCCTGTGTATGCCAATCTATTTGTGAAATGAAATTCCTTGTCAAACACTCCGTATATACATGATAACCCTCTCGCCCATCAAATCACATAAGAAAAAAAAAAAAAAAAAGGGAATAACGAAACAGCGATCCAGAGAAACCAGAGTCATATCCAATCATTCATAGCATGTCCAATGCCTGAGATTTCCGAGCGTTAATCTCTGCACTCGGGCATTTTGGAGGAAACAGTAAAAATACAAGGGTTTCGGTGAGGAAACAAATGCAAAAGCCAAACGGCTTGAAGATGGTAGGAAATGGGGGAAGAGATTGTGGAAGAGCGTGGCGGCAGTAACTTCGTGAAAGAAGTGGAGGCGCTGGCTTGAAGCCACTCCAGAGGCGATCAGATCTGGCTATTTCGCTTGGTGTGCTTCGCTGTGCGCTCATCGGCCGCGAAGGTCGGCCCTGGTTCTCCATCATCTTCTGCCAAATCGTCCAGACCAATGCCAGAGCCGTTCTCAAGATCATACGAGTGGATCAGCCCCTCGCGGTCTCCATGGCCATTGAGGAACGCGATGCTCGAGGAGCTGCGACGATGGGGATCGGTGCTTCGGCGGGCCTGCATGGACCGTCGGGTCTGGAAGCTTGCGATGCCATCGGTCGGCACTCCTTCTTCATCAAGCTTGGAGTTGACCAGGGCATGTCCGTCGGGATCGTGTCGCGACAAATTGAGGAGGTATACACCGGTAAAAATGACCAGGAATCCACAGAGTAATGAAATAGTGTTAACGGCATCGGTAGTGTTGAATCCTTGGAAAAGGATAAATGAGGCGCAGAGCGTGAAGGTCGTAAAGGTAACGTAGTAGAGAGGGTTCACACTAGAGCACAAGAACTGTTAGCGCTTGAGGTCATTCCCATTGGGACAGTGTTCCCTTACATCGAGGTCGAGAATGAGTTCAATGCCTTGTTAAAGTAGTTCAACTGGGTAAGAATGCAGAAGCCGGTAACAATGGCGAAGACATAGGTGGAAGCATTTCCGAATTGATTGTTACCACCGAACGTCAATTTCACCGCAATACCAAAGGCCTTCATCGACATCACGGAGACCGAGCCGACTGTGGAACAGATCGAAATGTAGATGAGGGGGTTTTGCTTTCCATATACCGGGGCAATTCGATAAATCATAACCGTCGCGAAGACTGCCACAAACAAGCAGTAAAGGAGGAAAGCTAGATTTCCGGGTTAGCAAGGACTCCCGAAGCAGATAGCCAAAGGCGCGAACGTACGTGCTTTGACGGCATATGCAAGCATCTCATCAATGCGTTCAACCGGCTTGTCAGGAGGCGCATGAAGAACAATGACAACGGAACCGAGGAGGCACATGGCACAGCCCAATTTTCCCAGCTTCCCTAACCGCTCGTCGAGAAAATATGAGCCCAAAACCGCACTGTGATGATTGTCAGCAGGATCCCAGCCACCCAAGGACGCGAAGTGCCTACCCGATCAGCACACTCAGCGCTCCAAGCGGAGTCACTAGAATCGCGGGCGCAAACGCATAGGCGGCGAAATTGGCAATTTCTCCGAGGGCGACTATCGTGTACAAGTATGTTAGCGATTCCAGCTCAGTGGTCCAATTTGCATGTTGGTGATTCCCGTACGTGTGACGACACCTCCCCACCAGATGGGACTCTTCAAGTATGAAAATCCTTCGCCTTCAAAGCCATGTTGTTCGGAAGCTTGCATCAAGCCCTGCATCGAGCGCATTAGCATCTGTCTCCTCGAAAGCCGTGTCTGTCTTTGTCGCCACAACCCACGCGGGTCCGGGGCCATCGGTCGGCGATTTCGGAGGCTAGACGAACCCTTTTGGTGATAACGAAACTGGTGCCTGAATGCGAATTGCATGAGTTAGATGCTCCAAAACGCTTGAAGTAGGAAAATATCGTACCAATGGCCATTGTTGATAGGATAGCTAATATTAGCCCGACATATCTGTTTCACGCGCATTGTTAGCATTTGGCCACCCTGGCCAGAAGGACTGAAGGAGAGAGTCTGGGGAAGCGCATTGCGCACATACTTGTCTGGAAGCATGTTGACGGTAATTCTCTCTTAGGAGCCGATGCTCCTACTGTCGAATGGCCTCCAGTGCCAGCTATAGGTATCCGGGGGGGGGAGAGAAGGCAACGGAAAGGAGCGACTAAACGAAGGGAAGTGGATGGCGTAGGAAGCGACTGAGAAACAGAAACAACGAGCCCGCCCGAGAGTTCTGCAGGAGTGATGGATGAGTAAGGGGAGATTGCGGTGCCAGGTGGTGTAAAGGCAAGATTGGGTGCCTGCGTGCGGTGGGGTTCCGTTTCGAGACTGGGCCGATCGGGACGCGTAAGAGAAACGGCTGAGCAGTAACTCTAGCCTGGTTTTAATGCTAGCAATGGATCTACTTTGGCTTCCTTTTTAGCGTCTACGGAAGTAGATGACGAGTTATCATGATACTAGTGGGTTGTTTATGAAACGTGGACAGAAGGCCAATGCCCCTATGGTAGGGGCTATTGTGCATAGCATAAATGCTTGGACCCTGAAGTTTGGTCTTGGTCATAAGTGGCGGCGATCGTCGTTTCACGATCTCACCACCACCGCTTTCAGCTTTGTCTATACTTAGAGCCACGGATCCACTTAATTGCTTCGGCAAAACGCGAGCTAGGCGGAATTCCACAAGTATCGAATGCTGCTGTGGGGATATTGGGAAATGAGATGTGCCGTTCCTCTCCGCATGGGGAATTTACTCTCGTATTTGGTTATACCTACTTGGTCTCTGGCGCTTGCCATGGTACTATGTCCATGGTGTCTATTGCATTATGACCATCATAAGAACGAGTCATTTCAAGGAGGGCTATCTGAAAGGACTGAATAAAAATATTTTCAATTTCAGCATCAGAGCTGAAGATAGGTGGAGCCTAATGCACGCGTACGCCGGATACTATGTGATATGCAAATTGCAAACACGCCCCAACCGAAACTCCCATCAACGCCGAGTTCAACTTTTGGATCGAAGTGGTATCACGCAGGGAGAGAAAATAAGAAAGCCGATAGCAGTACAGGAGAAGAAGAGATAACATGGGAAGGCGAGGCGTTGCAAACTACCTCAAACACCTCTGGAATGGGGCGGGAAAGATAGGAGACCCGAAGGCCAAGGGGAATGGATAAAAGTGTTGAACATACCTGGTTGTTATCTGTAATGTGAAAAGTCAAATCCACGGGTCGTGACCGTTGCTGAAAGATTATCAGAATTAGTAAATCATGGCGGAACTGTTGGAACCCATAGGGCAACGGCATCCAGAGAATTCGGGACTAGGTTTGCCAACCAAGAGAAAATCTTGGAAGGCAACGATGTCAAGCAAAAAAAAAGGGAAAGACTGGTTTACGAAGGTCGCCGACGCTTGATTTCGGGTGTTGTGGTTTCCGTGATGTCCCACTCATCATCCTCATCACGGGACCGTTTGACGGAGAGATTGTCAGGAGCATGAGAGTCAGTAGAAGAGGGATCCATTTCACCCAACTCAGGTTCCTCCGGGGCGTCCAATTCAGGATCATAGTTGTAGTCATTTTCGGAGTTTTGCTGCCCATCGCCGCCGTCTTCGAAAGAGGAAGCGGTGAAGTCGTCTTCGAAGTATTCCTCATTTGCACCATTGCTGGCGTCGGCTTGATCGTGTTGGTTATTTTTGGCAGGAGTTTGCATTACATCCTCAGCAATCCCAAGTAGGTAATTTTCAGGCTCTTGGGGTTGTTCAGGGAAGGAATCTTCCTGGGGCAAGTTCTCCAACGTGGATTCCGACTCCTCATAGGCATTCGGATCGGTATTATCTTCCAGAGCGTCCTCGGACTCGTGGCCATATTGGCCCGTAGCTTCAAATTCATTCGTGGCCTCCTCACTATGCTGAGATGCCGAATCGACGCCTTGAGCACCATCCTCGTGATGATCCTCGGTCTCAGAATTTTGAACGGGAACGCCAAGATCAGCCACTTCCAGATCATCAGCACCAGAGAACTCATTATCTTCATCATCATCCAAGTTTTGATTATCAAGGGCTTGATTGTCCTTGTTGGTATCGTGGTGCTCCGAAAGTTCATGATTCTCCCAATCATCATGGGTAGCTTCCACAGATGCATCCTCAGGGGCCACGGTGCCGGTTGATTCCGTTCTTGGATCTTCGGCATAATCGTGTTCTTCATTGTAGCTTTCGATACCATATGAGTTGTCATGGTGACCATCCTCTCCTTGGTGAGTCTCCTGTTTATCTTGAGCCTCAGTAGAATGTGACCCAGGGTTTGTTTTGACATCAGCATCACTGTGGTGAGGCTCTTGATGAGCTTCGTCCGCCAAATCTTCCACGCCGCTGGGTTCATCATGTTCATCCGTTGCCTCATGACCAGGCACAGCGGCTTCATGGGATGCAGCAGCTCCATCATCTGTGTTGGGCTGATCATCCTGAGGTTCCTGCGGCAACTCAGGCCCAGGTTGTTCATGACTACCGGCAGCCTCTCCCACGACAGGGTCTTCTTCGTCATAATCAGCCCACAGGTGAATCTGAGATAGACCCTTGCCTTCTTTAGCAGCGGAATCGAGGCTGGCCAGTTCGTGATGAATGGCTGCTTTACTGGAAAGGCTCAGATACAGAGCGTCTGGGTCATGGATTCCATCGTTATGACAGAGGCGAAGATAAATATCCAAGATCTGATGCAAAGTGATTTTGGATGTATACGACGAGTCCTAGATGTGAATTAGCATGTTATGAACTATGTTGCGGGCAAGGGTGTATCCTACCTCTGTTATTTGAATACCAAGAGAATCGATATCAATAACAAGAGTGTCATGCTCGGCAATATTATCCAAAAGCACCTCACGAAGAGAGCTGAATAATCTGCCAACGTTGTCATAGGCCACATCTTCATCGTGAAGGAAGAAGGTTTCGGCTGAATCACCTTCCAAAGGCGGGAAGAGGGAGATCTCATTATCCTGATAGATGACCTTCACTGTATGGAGAGACTCGTCCTCATGAGTATTCTCATGTTCTATTTCATTAGGAACATAGGTCTCAGCTTGCTCAGCAGTGACAGGCTCTGTTTTCGGGGAAGAGGCCTTTGGATCTTCCAAATTCTCGGCCGAGTGATCGGGAGTGTGGTGGTCCTGAGAGCCTGGAATCATACTCTCCACGGGTTCATTAGTCTGCTCACCGACTTTTTCCTTGTCGTTGTCGTTATCGGTAATATGTTCAGCACTCTCAAGTGGCTGAATTTGCTCATTCTCAACATTTTCAGCCGGGATTGTTTCTTGCACGATTTCTTGTGCCTGGATGATAGACTCCTGCTGTTGCTGTTCACTCTCTACAGGATTGGCCACTGGGGGTAAAAATTGAGCCTCTTGGCCGCCTGTGGCCGCTTCCGGACCAACGTGGGTGGGATCGTTGGTCTCAATAGCTGGGGTCACAATACTTGGGGTAGCTTCAATATTGATGGCGGGCACAGCAACATCGGCGGTTTCATCCTGATCACCCTCCAGCATGTCTGTCTCGTAGGTTACGTCGTCGTACTGGACCTCAATATCGTGATCTTCCTCGGCTAGATTGTCCGCATCGACCATAGATCCTTCCGAGGCTTCATCGACCATGTCGGCATCGTCTGTCAGGTCATTCTGGAAAAGAGACGGCTGCGAAGTGTTGGGGAAATCGTCCGCGCCCATCATGTCACTGTCCATGTTGGATACATGATCCTCCATTAGGTCGATATCGATATCGAAATCATCGGCTTGACCTTGGTAGGGCGAAGCCATCTCAAGGTCCTCACCAGCAGGGATTTCCATGCCGGAAGGAAGTAGAGAGGAAGTTGCTGTCATTACAAAACGCGTCGAAAAGTGAAGTAACGGTTCGTGTCGCGATAATCGGGGGGGTGAGCCGTTTAGAGTGTAAGGGTCATGGGGGTGGGGAAATGCAAAATAAATCGAAGGGGTCGAAAATTATCGCCTAGGTTTCATAAATCACGAGGTGAAACATGAAAATGAAAAGCAAAAGATGATCAGTCGAGGGGGTTGGAGGGAATACAAAGAGAAAAAAAAAAAGACTCACTGCCTGACGACTAAGCGAAGGGGGAAGCGGTGAGCACGGACCAGGCGTGAAAGAGAACAGAGTAGCTGGCACTTGATGATCTAACTAAACACCAAACAGGGGCATCGTGAACTTGGATTTACCTCGAACACCACCACTTCAAGGTCACATATCGCAGTTCCTGCTCCTTACGAGTGCTGCCTCTACATTTACACAATGGTAAATTACAAATTCACCCCTTTCTGCCCGATCAACTCTCTCCCCGCAATGACTTGAACTGATCACTTCTACTCTCTCAACAGGTCGTTCTCGCAGCGTCGATATGCACTCGCGGAGGTAAGGCTGTCCTCTCGCGTCAATTCCGCGAAATTCCCCGGTCACGGATTGAGGCTCTTCTTGCCTCATTCCCGAAGCTGGCGGACTCGGGAACCCAACACACCACTGTCGAGCAAGACAACGTGCGCTTCGTCTACCAGCCATTGGATGAGCTGTACATCATCTTGATCACCAACCGTCAATCCAATATCCTCCAGGATATTGACAGCTTGCACCTCTTTGCTCAGGTTACGACCAGCATTTGCAAGAGCCTAGACGAGCGCGAGATCTTGCGCAATGCTTTTGAGTTGCTAAGCGCATTCGATGAGCTGGTGACACTGGGTTACCGGGAGAACCTGTCCTTGTCCCAGATCAAGACCTTCCTGGAGATGGAGAGTCACGAAGAGAGAATCCAGGAGATTATTGAGCGGGTATGTTTAGATTGTGAACATGCGGATGATTGCAGACTGACACCGGGAAATAGAACAAGGAATTGGAGGCCAGCGAGGAGCGGAAGCGCAAGGCGAAGCAATTGGAGATGCAGCGCAAGGAAGCTGCTCGTTCAGGCCGTGGCGCAGCCCCGCGGACTCCTTCTTATCCCGTCTACACACCCCCCTCTCGCCCATCAGTGCCGGATACATATGATTCTTATGAGGCGGAGAAAAAGAAGACTTTCGCCAAGTATGTATCACCTTGATGCAGGAGATCTGCTTTGGATATATCTCTAACAGTACGAATCTTTAGGCCCCTCCCAACCCGTGGCAAAGGCATGCAACTCGGCAAGAAGTCCAAGGCCACCGATATCTACGAGAAGGTCCGAGGTGACATGGGTCCCGAGCCCGAGGAGGAGAGCCCCCTGGTTACACCGCAAGTGTCTACCCCAGTGCAAGAATCCGCTTCTGCTCGCGAATCTCTCACAGCAGACCGCGAGCCTATTCATATGACCATTGCCGAGACAATTTCCGCAACTCTTACCCGCGATGGTGCCTTGAAGGAATTTGAAGTCAAGGGTGACCTTCAGCTTCGCATCTCGGACCCGGCTTTCACAAAACTGCGCCTCGATCTACAGGCCAATCCTACCCATGGCGCCCAATTCAGAACTCATCCCAATGTGGATAAGGCTCTCTTCACTAGCTCCTCCATAATTCAACTCAAGGACACTTCGAAGCGGTTCCCCACAAACAACGCGATTGGCGTTCTCCGGTGGCGTGTGGCTAGCTCGGCTGATAATACCGATGTTTTGCCCATTACATTCACCGTGTGGGTCAACAAGGGCTCTGACTCGACCACTGTGACTGTTGAGTACGAGCTTACCGGCAGCGATAGTCTGCGCGACGTTGTTGTCACCATCCCATACGGTGACTCCGAGCCCGCAGTCGCCAGCTTTGATGCTGTATATGAGGTCTCAGGTGACAGCCTTGACTGGAACCTTGGCGCTGTTGACGAGTCGAACCCTACTGGGAGCTTCGAGTTCGAGACTACCGACGGTGATGAGGATCAGTTCTTCCCCATGAGCGTTCGCTTCACAAAGTCCAAGCCATTCGTGGATGTTGATGTCACTGATGTGTCTTTGTTGGAGATGGAGGGTGAGAGTGCCGGATTCTCCAAGGATGTCCGCAGCGTCGCGGAGAAATTCGTGATTGTGTGAACTCAGGAATTGTATAGAGTCGGATACTAATGACGTTCGGATTGTGGTTTCCTGCCATTTTTGCTTCTAAGATCGTGTTCCAAGCCCCTTTTTTATTGTTCTCGAGACCTTTGGCCAAGGCCGTGTCCTATTTCCACACAAAATTGACACTTTAACTAGACTTTCACTTTGCTGGGGCTCCAATATTGATCTCATGGTCCATAAAATCTCCGTAACTCAATCGCTATCCGCAGTGATGCCTAGCTCGATCATTCCCGCGTAATCCACGACGTCAATATTATGAACACTCGGATCCTCTGCGGGGGTTCAAGTACACAAAACATTTCTCCATTGGGATACCCCTTCCTAACACTGAGTCAAAAAGCTTCCAGTACCTCGCCCTCTACCCACGGTTTGCTTTAGTCACCACCGAATCAGGCAGGACAAAGCCAAACACTCAAGCTTCAACGCCACCTAGTAACGTCAGATTGACTTTCCTCCATGGTCTAGGCCATCGCAGCTACTTTGAGGGTAGCGCGAGCACTTTCCCTAACCGGAAGGACTTCTTGATTCAAATCGAGACAACCACGTCCGAAACAAAGGCACGTCGCAACATTCCGTCCTTCGGTTTTTGTGCAATGATCCTAAGAGCTGCTGATGGATCTGTTTTTCCCAATAGCGGCCGGTTCCTATAGCCTGTCGGTTTCAAAAACCGATAAATAGGCACCGCAACCGGTGGATACATACAGCAGGACCGATTCCATGGCCTGACCAATATACGGGCACAATCAGATCGAAAGCCTTGGGTTGCAACTACCCCATTCCTTTGCTGTCGATGGCAAATAGCGTAATAAACCTGCCACGAAAAGACCTCAAATTCGCCTCATTGTTTATTGGTTCCTGGGGCGAATCGATACCATAAACGCTGATTTACACTGCTCGGTGGCTAAATTGCCCGACTCCTTGAGACACTCCCGAGCTGTCCGTGTCATCGCGAGAAGATCAATCGCGCACAAAGTTTGGGTCATCTGTAGCCAGACCCAGAGAAGCTCATTCCCAGCAAGTAGTGTACCATATCTTTTAGGACGGATCTTCCAATGTCTTTATAATCCCAGATTCTCCCGCCATCTTGCCTCATTGCCATTTTGATGCTGGCATTGTCGAACTTTGGCATTGCAGACTCAAGGTGAGCAGAATAATCCAAAGAAGCTATTCACCCCACAACGAACTATGCTAACGTAGGGCCCTAAATTAATCTAGAGCAGAAGCCGGCGCAGAATAAACTCTGTTCTTCATGATGAGTAGTGTTTATCTTCCATCATGGACGGAACAGCAGAGCCTATTCAAGTTATCATGTGACGAGGCGGAAACATGCAATCAGTTTTCTAGTATGGTATGGAATGCATGTTACAGGAACGTGGTTGAAAATATATCTAATTCAATGATGGTCCAGGACACCCCCATTCCTTCTCTGCAAAGGGCAGACTCCGAACTGGGTACAAAGAAGATGGCCATTCCACGGCTTGCTGAAGGAGCAGAGTCGGCATTTACGTCTCCCGGTAGATTTCACCGTCGACATGTCCGCCGAGCCTGCGAGTCATGTCGACAGCGAAAGACTAAATGCACTGGAGACAAATCTGGGTGCCGCAATTGCCGCGAGGCTGGCATTATCTGCTGCTATACAGATGGCAAACGAGAGAAATCCAAACGGTCAGTAGATACCTGCAGCGTTTTCAACAGATATAGTTGACTAATTTCCTTAATTCTGCAGACAACTCGCTAGCTTATCAGCAAAGGTACACGCCTATGAGGACGTTATCAAAAGACTCAGTAGTCGATTTGGTGTCTCCGATGAACAGCTTGTCAACATTGCCTTGACAGCGGTAAGTGCCCTAATCTTTCAAAAGATGCCTTACATCCTGTCTGATAAATGATAGGGTGCTGCTCCTGACCTTGTCCTCAAGGGTGATGGAGATGGAGCTGGAGAGCAAAATGTCGCCTGGGACTCAGAGCCTCCGCCATCTCGACCTCCGTCTACTATCCCTCTAGATCTGGTCGAACATACAGAGGAAGATTTTAATAGAGATGAAACCGCCCGTGCAACCGGATTCATTGGAAAGAGCTCTGAAATAAATTGGCTTCAGAGGCTAAGCAAAGAGGTCAACAGCGAATGCGAAGCTTGGTCAGCAAGCATGTCGAATTCAGGCGACGACAATGGTTTACCATCGCCCACATTGACGCCTCGGCCTGATAATCCTGTTGATGCTTTGATGGCATCCGCAAACTTCTACCTCGATGACATGGATATTCCCGGCAAAGACCAAGTCAATGCCCATGCTGTCCCGTCAAGGGAGACAGCAACAAAGCTTCTTAACGCTTATCTTAGCTCAGTGCATCCATCATTCCCAATCATTGGCGTTTCTACTTTCGTTTCCCAATTTCAAGTATTTTTCAGTCAACCAACATTGAAGCCTGGGGACAAGTGGCTGGCTATACTTAATCTGATTTTTGCGGCGGCGGCGAAATATGGACAGTTGTCATATGCAGACTGGAAAGAAGGAGAAGATGACCATGAACTTTTCTTTGCTCGAGCAAGATCTTTGAGCTTGGAAGATCAGCTCTTACACCATCCCGATTTGCAACAGCTACAAGTCGAAGGCCTTGCTTGCTTTTACATGATTTCTTCTGGGCATATCAACCGGTTTGTCACTCCCTCATAACCACAATCCAAAGCACCACACTGACAGCCGTCTTAGAGCCTGGAAATTGTCTGGAAGTGCTGTTCGAGGGGCATTGGCACTTGGTCTACATCTACGAAATGTGGGGTCCTGCACCTCTGATACCTCTAAGGAGATCCGGTATCGCGTCTGGTGGTCCCTGTACAATGTTGATCATCTCCTTTCCGTCATGACTGGACGTCCGTCTTGTATTATTGATAATTGCTGCACCACTCCTCTTCCAGTGCCCTTCGATGAAAGTGATTTCCAGAGAGAAGGGATCGCACAACTGATCAGCACCGCGGGCCGGACAGCACTCAGCCCTCTAGACCGCATGTCTCTCAGTAATAGCGCGGCCAGCCTGGAGTCTGCTGCCGATTCGGACACCAACGATACGCCGATGGAGACTGTCACAAAGATGAGTCGAGCAGAGTATCTGAAAAGTCTACCACCGTGTGTATCGTTGCATTTCTTACAGTTGACATCTCTCAACACCATAGCCAAGCGGATGACGGTCAAATTGTACAGCCCGGAGGCACTACAATCACCATGGGCCAGCACGCAATTCACAATCCAAAGTTTGATGCTCGAGACTGATTCCTGGTTCATGAACCTCCCGTCAGCGTACGACTTCACCTCAACGCAGACATCACAGTGCCCGCTGGGTCAGCGAATGGGTCTCGCCTTTTTATTCTACAGTACTAAGATTGGCATCACCCGTCCTTGCCTGTGTCGACTCGACCTATCGCCAGCGGAGGGTGATAAAACACACGATTTCTGCAGCAAAACAGCGGCAGAGTGTGTCGAGTCTGCATGCCACATGCTAACTCTATTCCCCGATACACCTGACGCGGCACTGCTGCACCGCATTTCTCCATGGTGGTGCACACTTCACTACTTAATGCAAGCAGCTACGGTGCTACTATTGGAGCTTGCCTATAGGGCACAACATGTCCCCGAGAAAGCGATCATGGTATCAAAGGCAGCCAAAAAAGCACTGGATTGGTTGTCAACGCTCTCCAAATCAAACATGGCCTCGGAAAGAGCTTGGAAGCTCTGCAACGGCTTTCTACGCCGATTGGTGCCCCATGTTGGAATTGACGTTGACGACTTCTCAGGCAGCGACAACGAAGAATCATCCGCCACCTCTCTCCTTGACGCAACAGATCTCGCAGATGCCGCCGCTCTCGAGCTTGATCAAACGGTACAAGACATCTCATTCGACCCATCTGTGTCTCTACCAGCCGCTCCTGCTTCAACCGCTGCGGAAATCGCTGCGGAAATGGACTCCCTTGCATGCTCACCAATGGACCAGGCTAGCACTCCAATTGCCATGCCCGTATCATGTAATCTCGAGCCGGATCTGCTCGAGTTCATCAAGCCAGAAAAATCTATCTCTGGTAGAAGTCCCTATGATAATTACTTCCCCTATGATCCTGCGACAGGCCAGATGACGGGCTCTTTCTTCCCAACGGGATCGAATTTGGATTTCGATCTGGGATATTCCTGGCCTGATCCTGTTTGTTAAATTACTGGTTGCCCCGTTGATGATTTATTTCCATACTGAGAGTGATTGACAAGGAAGTCAATTTTATCAATGTGGTCAAATTGCCATACTCTAGAATTATGCTGATTTTCTGTTTCCCCGCGATTCATATTGACATTGCATCAAATCATAAAATTATACATTTCTATGGTTGAGACGGAAGGGAAAAGCTCGTCTTTCATGCGAAGATTACTTAGAATGACAAGAATGTACTGCTTCCCCTACACACTTTTATCATCGATGCTTCATAAATCTTTTTTTTTTCTTTTTCGTAAAATTCGAATATGTACAATAAGCAGTCAGTACATGATCAAACCACGAGACTTTTTGATTTCCAAGGTAATAATACCCCAGGAACCTTTCCGCGCGCCATGCAAATCACCTGTAACGAAATTCTGGGCAGAATTTTGAGAATCTAGACTGGTCTAATGTTAAAGAGCGCCATCATTATGTCATAGCATAATCTCAAGGCCAAATGGCGTAAAATTGAAGCGAAGAGCCGCAAATGACGCCGCGCCACGTAGTGGACGAGACACGGAAATGAATTCCCCAAGCTTGGCACAAACCGGTTTTATGCCTCCCAATTACGTTTATGCGCGGTAAACAAAAGTCTGGCATCCCTGCTCGCAGGAGGGAGAATACGGTGAGGCCCCTTTCCCGATTCATGAACGGCATATAATATAGACTGCCGAATATCAACGCAGTAGGCTTTTGGCGTGGTTTTCCATTCGGTTGCTCGCCGAGTGTTTTCATCGAACCATCTGCCATAGTCGAGCCCGATGAGACTTTTGGGGTTCAGGAGGAAATTCTCAATGCAAGGAATGATGGGGATAATTCGGCGTTTGATGCCACAGCTTCCATGATTGGCATCGACCTGGTAGTCAGGGAACTCTTTTAGAGTTGTAAGTATGGTAATGATGTCCGATAAATCAAAGAGGTCTGATTTATTTTTTTGTCCGTCTTCACCTTGACTTCCGGGATCAATAGTGAACTCAGGATCAATCAGATTAGACCCAAGGAAGACGGTTTTGCTGCGCATGACGAAGAAACGTATGAGCTGACCGACTTGGAATATATCGCATTCGCTTCCGTTTGAAAGTCCTGCTCTACATTGAAAATGACGTTTGTGGGGTGTAGCAAACGCCATAGCCATTGATCTTTGAGCCGGTACAGAGGGTTGGGGGTGGACATCCTCTAATACGCCATAGGCACGGAGGAAATGTGACTGTAAATCTGCGATTGTCGCCATGATACACCGCCGGCGGTAATACAACTCCTCTGTAGAGAACCACCAAGGTCAGTAATTTTTATGCATTATAACGCAAGGAAGTTTTTGGTACCTTCGATTTGATCAGGTAGATACTGCCATAGAAGAAAATCATGCTTTGGAAGATGTGGTCCGTTATGCCAGTATTTAGAGCCAAGCAGGATGAGTGTATGGGTCATGACTCGGGTGACATCGTAGTCTTTCAGAACCTTGGAGATCAAGGCGATTTGTCGCAGACGATCTTCATTTATCTTCAAGAGTGCAGTGCTAAAGGAACAGAGCGAGGATCTTCCTTTTTTGCCGTATTGGTAACCAACCGAACGAAGGACCGATTCCAGAACATCTGGAGCATTGAACGAATCAGCGACTTGAACAAGCCCTGCAACAACTGACGGCGGTTCAAGTTTCAACGCATTAATGAAAATATTTCTGACCGATTCATCCATCGACTCCAGGCAGATAATCTTCAAGAAAAGGCCAAGGACATCTGCACCGTAAAGACTAGTCGTAGAATTTGCAGTGATTCCTATCACGGGCAAAATAACTTGACCTGGGCTATCCCTGAGGATGAGTACTGGTTTTGACCGAGTACTGGCTTCGATAGCTTTCAGTTGCTGTGCAAGGTTCGCTCCTTCGGAGAACTTATTCAAATCTAGCAAAGCTCTGAAGTAACTGCACTTCCGAACGAGCATATCAAGTGAGACTTGCCAGAATGCACTGCCCTTTCTTGAAGATGGATCGACATACTCAAGAATCAAATCACCCTTAGGCGAGATAATAATTGGGGAGATTGCACTGCTCTCGAGATCCTCTGAGCCTGCGGGGATCACCCCCGACGCATTCAATCCATGATCAATCAATAACGAAGACTTCCAAGGGCCAGTAGCTTTGGGTGGAATTTCTGAGAATGAACCGGGGGGTTCTGATGGCATTGCTATCCAGATCCTAGCCAGGATATTTAGTGAAGAATAACGTAATATGACGATGTTCACGTATCAAGGAATTTTGACATTAGACATCGGGCAACGCTATGTGAGTATGACAACGCAAACACATCAGTGGACTCGCTGAGGAAGGTCGTTAAAAGAGGGGTCGTGAAAAAGACCCCCAAGCCTGATACACATGGTTCTAGCTATTCAGCACAGTAGGTGCACGCACTCACGGATGTGGTGCACGTGATGACTGGGGATGGCTTCGGTGTAAAGTTTATCCGTACCGATCTCCCAAAACAGGAATCGGGGCTTGGGGTTTGTGAACACCAAGACTCTCAGGTGTCAATAATATCCCTATAAACAACCTTGTACATGTCCATGCCAACGAGCTTTGCATGAATGGGTCAAATGCTCTTTTGATATGGATCAAGAAGCTGGTTGAGCCCTTTTGAGAGCCTAGGGGCGCGTTTAGAGCTGCGAACTTAAGGAACAGGCTTATGATAACCACCCGATATTTAGCAGTAGAACATTGATCAACTTTTTGAACTCGCAAGGATTTTACCCTTATAGCTTTTGTCTTGGGTGGGAGCATTTCTATCCCTTCGATGATATGGTAGTCAAACACCAGTAAGTTTTTCATACATATGTATGCGGCCGCAGACCCCTTCATGCCAAGAGCATACGAGTGGCTGCGGTCACGGCGGCCGCTCTGCTATCTCCGAAATCGAACAATCGACTCCACCTATCGAGAGGTACGGCCGTTTGATTACCAAAGTTTTCGCCGCATAAAACCTATATAAACTCGATAGTTCCTGCTGCAATTCATTTTCCTAGAGCATTTGTTTCCTCCCATATTCTTTTTCAAACCCCCGAGACTCACGATGCATATTATCCTTACAGGGGCAACAGGTCTCGTCGGATCCGCTGTTCTCCATGCCCTAATCAAGAACCCGGGGATCAGCAAGATCTCAATCATTAGTCGCCGACCTGTCCCTATGGTTCAAGAGGCTACCGACGATCGAATCAATGTGGTCCTCGCCGAAGATTTTTCAAAATTCGATAGCAAAGTGCTTGGCCAATTGAGTGGAGCAACTGGATGCGTGTGGGCTATGGGAGTTAGCCAGAATGATGTGAATAAGGAGTAAGGTCTTCAAGTTTGAAAAGTTGTGTCAATAATCTAATATTAAAACAGAGATTACATTCGCATCACGAAGACCATGACTCTTTCCGCGGCTCGAGCCTTTGAAAGTCTGGCTCCTCCATCTGAGAAATTCAACTTTGTTTATGTCTCGGGGGAGGGTGCAACCCATGATCCAGGATTCATCACACCAATTTTTGGCCGAGTGAAAGGCGAAACCGAACTTGCCCTCGCCAAAATGCAAAAGGAATCACCTCGCTTCCATGCTATCTCTATGCGTCCTGCATTCATTGACTACGCCGCACATGATGAAATCAAACCCTGGATTCCACCGCAAATTGGTCTAAGGCAAGTCGTGTACGCCGGGCTAGGGCCATTTATTCGGTGTATTTGGTCAGGAATGCAAAGTCCGACAAAACCACTGGGAACCTTTTTGGCTGGACTAGCTACTGGCGAATTTGATGGGAGATTGACTGGTCCAGGGGTCGAACTTGTTGGAAATTCACCCATAATTAGTAACGTCGGCTTTCGACGATTGATGGGCTTGGGTAAAACACTAGAATAGGACATAACTTCATGAATCTGCTTTCAATGTTTCCAAAACCTCTCTCTATGTAATTCCCCAGAAATCTGACAGCTTATCCATTAGTCTAGCTCAAGTGCTTGCCTTTTGATCACCGATAAACACTCGAGACTGAAAATTCCCTCAGAGCGGCTGCAACAAGGGGCAGGTCCAAAAGTCAGTACCGGAGTTAGGGGATTAACTGTCAGCGCCGCATAAAACCTAAATGCGCTGACAAAAGTGGAGAAGCGGCCGCTCCGGCCGCTAATCTTGAACCATCCATCATTCGCTTATGATTGTCCATTTCATCTTTTTTTCTTTGAGAAGAAAAAAAACTAAGCATTATGGACGAAAAATGACCTACAGAAACGGCCGCTCGAGCGTGCGCTTGGTGCAAGAAGAAGAAGCGCCGTTTGCGATAAGAGCCTCCCCAGCTGCGCGCTATGTAAGAGGTAAGCACCGACTAGCTGTTAGCTGAAAAATATATTGATACATACATGACTAAAATGAACACTGGAATACCTGCCTGAGAGTGTGACTATTCCGATCACTCGCCCAAAGATTCTCTGGCCAGAATCCAGGAATTGGAAGAGCTCGTTGCTCGACTCAGGGCCCAGAGCCAGACACCGTCATCCACTACAAGCTACCAGTCAGCGTTGACCACTCTCACGAGTGATGTCCCTTCACACAAGTTCTTCCTGCAATCTATGTTTCTGGATGCAGGTATCTCGGAGTTTCTCACGACGCCTATCATCGCTTCCGACGCCCCCTTCCCCAGGGAGGTACCTAATGTTCAGAGTCCCGATCTGATACTGAAACGATGATATCCCAGTATTTTAACAATTTAAATGCCTCAGGAAATGCTCTCGTTCTGGGATGAAAAGCTTTAGGTCTTCATTGGTGAAGTTGGAGCTCACCAGAGGAGGTTACGTATCACAAATAAATAGCTAACTTCCATATAAGCTTCCAAAAGCTTTCTAAAATAAAGCCCAAAGCGGTATCATCTCACCGATAAAACGCCGCAGCTATACTAAGAGTGAAATCTTCATTCGATATTTCTCTCTCCTCATTTGTGTGATAAGAATAAGAAGATGGTTTGTCCCTTTCGAGAGTCTGGGAGCGCGGGTGGATGATATTGTCATCGTCGAAGTAGAGATCCTAGAAGTACGAGAGTTGGTCTCGAATAGCGCGATCCAGCACATACACGTACACGCTCCCCAAAATCGCAAATCCGCGTCGGAAAGACGCGATTGGCGCGCCGTGCCATTGTTTCTCTGTCCCGTAATTCTCGATCAACGACTCATCGCATAAGCCTCCAAGGAGAAATGGACGCAGGAAAACCCGTCGATATAGCCAACCGCAGCCGTCGTCCGGGATTAGTCTCGCTTGTCACTGGTTCTCCTGGCACTCAAGATTGGTTGGAGCACGCCGTTTAAACACAATGCCCTCCTCCAAGGCTTGAGCACGTCGCTGCCGATCTGATAACTCGAAATAAACGAGATACTGGATGTCGAGTAGGAAGAAGAAAACATATCCAGGGTCATTCGCGTCGTCAAATTTCCCATGGTAAGACTTGCATAGCGGTACAGCATTGTCAGACCTCGTAAATCGAAGTTGCTCAGACCTGCCGTCCCCCAAGCTTTAGTCTGAACCCATTCATCAGTTGACAGCTGTCAAACAGAACAAAAGATAAGAAATAAGAGATAGTAAGTGGTAAGTAGGAGGTAAGTAGGAGATAAATAAGAGGTAAATAAGAGATAAATAAGAGATAAATAAGAGATAAATAAGAGATAAATAAGAGATAAATAAGGTATAAATAAGAGATAAATAAGAGATAAATGAATGTCGTGTTCCTGTCGAACTGATACGTTATAGGGATTAGATATAGGGAATAGCGTTACGTCCTAGGTCAAGGATCTCTAGACGAAGAACTTCCGCAGTATAACCACAGTACTACCACGAGCTCCTATGAGAATAACTGCCACTATATCCATGGATAAATGACCAAACCTTAGCTTGTCTGTGCGAGAGTCCAATGAATCCAAACAAGCGCATTGGCAACATGTAAATCAGTACAAATAATTCACCGCTGCAATGTTCCATTTGACGCCAAATTATGGGGAATAGGTACATTGATGAAAGTTTGCCACAAGCCCACCTATCAACCCCACTCTCCAGTGACGAATTGTTGAAGTGCGCCCAAAGGTTGACATTAGCCTATGAAGGCTTTTGTACCAAACGCCCCATCTATATTTGAAAATAAAAGTAAAAATACAATGCGCATGATGATGTTTGACGTGATTCATTATTGGCAGGACGTTAAGGGCATTGAAGATTGAGAATGTAACGGGCGCACTCAAGGGAGAATGACAACGGGCACCTGGAAAATTCCAGGACTGGACCGATCGATGTTTTCATCATGAGGTTCACTCTCTCTCTCTTTGCGACTGGCTTCTCGCATCTTCATGGCGCGATCCATCATGAAGAACAACTTGGCGAGGTGCTCAGACTTCGATTCTTTATCGAGAGTCTCTTCATAGTTATCATAATAATCACGAAGGATCTCTGGGGGTATGAGAGAAAACAGTGCGAGAGTGAAATCCTGATCCATGTAGGGGGAGTTGTTGAGGAGGTTGTCACCGCTCTCCTCGTTCCGAATGCCACGACCATCTTCGTAGGCAAGTTCCAAAAGATTGTTACCACGGTAATTGAGGAAGAACGGTTCGCTGGAGGTAAACCCAGCCACGAAATCTGAGTTGGCGCATGCGGCGGCTATTGTGCTTTGACGAAATTCGTGTGTGAAGGCGGTGTCGACGGAACATGGAAGGAAGAGGGTCATGCCGCGGGCGAGGAGAGGTGGAGGAGGGATGCCCTCATCTGTTTCAACATGAGGCTGCATTGTAACAGATTCGGTAACGGAAATGGTTGATTGCTTGCGCAATGCGTAGCCCACATTATCCCCCGAAAACTCAGCCCAGCCATTTTGCGACGGTGGAGACAACGGAGCTTCTTCGTCCTCAGGGATCGTCTCATTGTCCTGGGCGGAGATCTCGGTTTGGATTGTTTTGCTTGTCGCTGCAACGGCCGCGCGGGCCGCCTTGCGAAGGGATGGAATTAGAAGATCCTTCTCTTGCTGGTCGTAAGGCACTCCAGGTGCCCATGAAATAGCCAGACCCGACCATTGAGCGGTTCTCAATAACCCACCAGTGTATTTATGATGGATGAAGTCAGTTAGAGCCTTGCGGGTCTCTATATTGGCTAGTTCTCGTCCCATGAAATTGACTGTCGAATTGAGAACCTGGCTTCCCTCCCATAAAATAAAGCCATGTTTTTTGGCATAATGTGAGAGTTGGTCAATGGTGTGTTGACCCCAATCTTCGATGTTTTCGGCTTGAACTTGGAGAAAGGCGATGTGGGGGCCGAGCTCCGAGGCCAGCTGTGCAAGCTGAACCGTGGTTGAGATGGCGTGGGAAGGGAGGACGCAAACCGGTTGACCAAACGGAAGGCCCTTCTTGACGGTTGTCAACAGCTGAACATAATCCAGGATTGGATTGCCCGTGGAGCCCATATTTTCATGAAGCATGGGATGCGGGGTGAGAGAGGAGAAAGGAGCGAGGTAAGGGAAGGGGAAAAGAAAACATGGGCAGGTTCAGGTTTAATTATAAGGCAAGCTTGGGAAAACCCACAGCGGGGCTACACTGGGCTCCACACGAACGAGTCAGGGCCATGTCAAACTGGAAATTACCCAAGAGACAATGGCCTTGTGGTCTTGGGGGATTGGCCCCCTTCTAGAAGAGAATCGCGCGATCGGGGCCATTGTATTTCCACGGGGAGTTCATTGTTCTGTATGGTGGAGCTCGGGTAAGCGACCGGACAGACCGACAGGATGTGTCTCTGAGCGCTTGCTTGTGTTCCCCTCTTCCGGGCCCCAATGCACGAATAAGCGTTGGGTACGAGGCTCAGTGACTTTTGGAAGGAATCACGCTACGCCATAGGCGTCGATCCAGCCGTGGAAACAAGGTCGTTGACCCTCACGATTGGATCGCGGATGATGTATCCACCAGATTCGGCTTCCTGCGCGGATCGTCCCGTAGACGAAAGAGAAGACATTCTGTGTGATGAGTTGGGTCTACTGCATGTAGAAACCAGGTACGAGGTACGCCGTGACATCTGAACTTTGAAACCCTTGAGCCCTCCCAATTACGAGGACTGTGATACCGACCAGTTCCTTTGCTTTTCTGACATTTGCGTAACTCGTACAAGCCACTCTATCGGGGGCCGGTTTGCGCTCGAATACGCGCGCTCCCATCTTCACTCTTGCCAGCATTTGGCATCATCCATATTGAGGCTACATTCAACATATTATCCTCTTTAATCCTAACCTTGGACGCTAACAATACGCAAGCCGAAGTCTGCACATAGGAGGGGTAGCGTGACCGGGTTTACACATCAGAAAGTTGTGGCTTCATGGCTGACATAGCCTACATAGGTGCGTGGACCTATACCTCTTAGGGACGGCCCTGCGGCGTCTTGGTTTCGTGTGTGCCAAGCTATGTCCTTCAAAGCCGCGCCCTGGATGATCTGCAGTACGCTTAATATTACTTTCCCATCATTGTAGTCACTGCAAGCTGTCATAGGGTTCGATGTGTGAACTGATAAATCTTTCCCATTTATGCACTACTCAAAGCAATGCAACGTGATAGGTATTATGCAGCCCCCTAATCTTCGGGTATAATTTCTATCGGGTCCCATGTAGATAGATGGATGGTGATCTGTAAGAATGCCCAAGTGATCAACTGTCGAATATTGACATCCTTCGGTACCTGAGAGAAAGCCATAGCCGTGTTCAAGCTAGTGACACACCGACTTTCATCCACCCATGAAAGATCCGAGTAAACCAACCGAGATGCTTGATCTGATGCGGGCTAGGTAGGATTGCGGCCAGCCTGCCACAAAAAATGCAGGCATAGATATTGAAACGTACTACTACTCAAACCATTAAAGGGAACCTTGGAAGTGATTGCAGCTTACACAGTGAATCTCACGCTTCTCGAGACTGGTACCAGAGAATCTTGGTGCATATCCCATACTCAAGACGTATCACTACTTACCTAGTTAGGTAAATTTGTACGGATAACATCCAAGGCAGGTTTGCAAGTCTAAATGTCTCTCCCTACAACCCAACATGACCCATCGTGAAAACCAAAAAGACAAAAAGAAAAAAAAAATGGCGAGACCAACATGATTCGAATTTGTAACTCAAATTTCCCGCAGATACAATGTACCTCACATAGGTGGACTGAAAATCTAAAAAGAGTCAACAAGATCGATTGGGTGACCCAGGTACTGATTCTGGGGTCCCTAGACGCATGCGGTAAGGTAAGCATTTCAGGGGTCTTAGGTGAAGTCGCATTCATGGTACCCTAGCATCACGCCAAGCAACCAAGACTATTTGCGCATTGCTCTGATATTGACAGAGTTGACTGCATTGCCTGATCCTCAACCTCGCCGGGAAATACGGAATCTGCCGGAGATTGTCTGATGTAAAAAGTCTGGGGTTGTCTTGGTTTGGGCAAAATTCTGCCGAGGCGGTCCGATTGTCACGCCACGCCTCCCCTGAATAAAAGATCCCGCAGCCTCCGAGAAAAGATCAACTCTTAACCTAACGACTTTCACACCGTCGTTCAACCTACCCAAGCCACCCAAGTCACCTCGTTCAATTATTCGCATCTTCCTACAATCAGTGCCGTTGAATTTCCAGCCTTCAAAATGCCGGGACGGGTTCTACCGACGTTTACGGCCGCCGAGGTTGAGGCGCATAACAACGTCAAATCTTGTTTTATCACCATCGGGCGCAAGGTTTACGATGTCACGGATTTCGTGCAGGACCATCCCGGAGGCGGTGATCTAATCCTAGACTACGCAGGGAAGGATGTTCTGGAGATTATGAAGGACGAAATCTCTCATGAGCATAGTGAGGCAGCTTACGAAATCCTGGATGACTACCACGTCGGTTTCCTCGCCCCGAGCGGCTCTACTTCCACCAAGGCCAAAGCGTCAGGAGTGGATGCTAGTGAAGCCGATTCTTCGCCTGTTTACCAAACAACTGGAATGTCGCGAGAGGAGGATCTGTCGGTCGAAACGGACTATTCGCAAGATTTCAAGACACACAAATTCTTGGATCTCAATAAGCCTCTCTTTCCCCAGTTGTGGTACAGCACTTTTTCGAAGGAGTTTTATCTGGAGCAGATCCACCGACCTCGCCACTACAAGGGCGGCGAATCGGCCCCACTCTTTGGTAACTTCTTGGAGCCTCTCAGCAAGACATCATGGTATGTGGTGCCTATGATCTGGCTGCCGCTCGTCGCCTATGGCACTAAGGTTGGAACAGCCGGCCTGGGTGATCCTCTCGCTGCTGCTGCATACTGGATTGGTGGTGTTTGCCTGTGGTCATTGATTGAATATCTCATGCACCGTTTCCTCTTCCATGTTGACAATTGGCTTCCCGATAACCGAGTTGGTCTGACCGCACACTTTTTGCTTCATGGCATTCATCACTACCTTCCTATGGACAAATATCGGCTAGTCATGCCGCCAACCCTGTTCGTGGCCTTGGCGGCTCCGTTTTGGAAATTGGCCCATACCGTTTTCTTTTACAACTGGTTTGCGGCCGTGCAAGTGTTCTGTGGCGGCGTCTTCGGGTACATCTGCTATGACTTGACCCACTATTTCCTTCACCACCGCAAGTAAGTTCTCAAACTTCAAATATTTTTTGTAATGGATTGTGCTGACATTATTTAGTCTTCCTATGTACTACAAGGAACTCAAGAAGTACCACCTCCAGCACCACTACGCAGATTTCGAGAATGGCTTTGGCGTTACCAGCCGATTCTGGGATCGAGTCTTTGGCACCGAGCTGGAGACCCCGCCTCCCAAGGGCTCCAAGGCTCAGTAAAAAGCTTGTCTTAGACCCTAAGCCTTGCAACAAGTAGCCAGGCTTTCGCATTCACGAATTCACGTCGAGTCAATTGCTCTGCGCGACCATAAGGTCGGGAGCGTGTATATGTTTGTCATGAACCCTGTCCTTGAACGGGTGACTTTTCTGGGTACAGAATACGATCCAGAGAATGTCGATTGAGTTATACTTTGGGTAACACTTATTAGTGCGCCTCGTTAATAATCATAATGGAAACCCCTTACATACCATCATGTCTTTATCTCAAAAAGTTCTGAAGTACTTTGCTTTCACTTGCCTGTAATTTTTGTAGGCTATTTCATGTAAACATTTCCATCTGAGATTAGTATCCGGAGGGGTGGCAAAGTTACCGCCTGAGGCAACAATAAAACTTTAAACCCCCACGTGACTCCGCCTCCCCGTTCCTTAATATCCCATCCAGTTACTATCTGCCCTCCGCCCTTTCACTGCTCGGAGATCAATTGCAAGCAAAAGCTTCACTTCTCGAAATAAGGTTAAGGCTGCTCCCATTCAAATCAAACTCCTTTCGACCCAGTCCTAAAGTGACTGAACGCCCTTGACGCCAGCCCACCACACCGCAATCAACGACAGGCAGTTCCCACGATGTCGGGACTCGACGTGGAGGCTCTTCTCGAGTCAACCGCTGCCCCCACTGAGGCACCAATCAAGCAGGAAGATAATGACAACCGCTCCCATGCTGACACTTCTGACCGCCGTGATCGCGATCGTTCTCGTGATAGACGCAGACGCCGAGACCGTAGTCGCGACCGTCGCCGTGACCGAGATGTGGACGGCGATGAGGAGATGAAAAGCCCACACAGCGAACACGGCAGTGCTAACGGAAGCCATAGAAGCCGGAAGAGGAGCCGGAGTCGTGAGAGTGACCGACGTCGCCCTCGCCGTGATCGTTACGATGAGCGTCGCTCTAGCGGCGACTTCTACCGTGGAGGGCGCGCTCGTTCACGCTCACCCCATGATGATCGGCACTACCGCCCTTCCCGACGAGAACGTGAGGATGAACGGCGCCCTCGCCGTGATCGCGACGCTCGTCGCAACACTCCTCGCCGGAGTCCCAGCAAGTCACCCGAACCCAATGAGGATGAGCGGGACAAGCGGACTATCTTTGTGCAGCAGCTTGCCGCGCGCCTACGGACTAAAGAGCTGATGGCCTTCTTTGAAAAGGTTGGCCCTGTTAAGGAGGCTCAAATCGTTAAGGACCGCGTCAGCGGACGATCCAAAGGGTACGTGTTTCTGTTGTCCTCTCCAATAATCAGAACCTCTGCTAATGTGTTTTCAGTGTCGGCTATGTGGAATTCAAAAGCGAAGATTCCGTCCCCGGCGCAATTCAACTCACAGGCCAGAAACTCCTAGGCATTCCTATTATCGCGCAGTTGACCGAGGCCGAGAAGAATCGCCAAGCCCGTAATCCGGAGGCCAGTTCAGGCCCTCAGCACTCAGCACCATTTCACAGACTCTATGTGGGTAACGTTCATTTCAGCATCACTGAGAATGATCTCCAGAATGTCTTCGAACCGTTTGGCGAACTCGAGTTTGTGCAGTTGCAGAAGGATGAGACCAGTCGAAGCAAAGGTTATGCGTTTGTCCAGTAAGATTCCCCGATCTTTTCTTATGACGTTTGTCCACGACTAATAATCATCTAGGTTCCGTGATCCCAACCAAGCCCGTGACGCTCTAGAGAAAATGAACGGATTTGATCTTGCTGGTCGAGCCATTCGTGTTGGCCTTGGCAATGATAAGTTCACCCCGGATTCGAGCTCAACTCGCCCACAGGGCCCTTCTGCCAGTCAAACAAATTTCCAGGGTTCTTCCTTCTCCGGTCATGGAGGCCGCGGCGTCCAAGCCGGCGGCTCGAACAACTTCGATCGTGCGGGTGGCCGTGAATCCGAAAAAGGCACCGGTGCCAGTGCCCTTGACGACACAGACGTTGCGGGAGTAAACTTCAACAACTACAGTAGGGACGCGTTGATGAGGAAACTTGCACGAACAGATGAACCCGAGCCTTCCGCCGACGAACAGCAGAAGGTGCTTCGACCCAAGACCGAGACTAGGCCATTGCCCGTCAACGTGAACATGGCGAGTCGGTGCGTGATGCTTCGGAACATGTTTGATGCCGCTGAGTAAGTTGATTTTTCCCCACGTGAAGTGCTTATCCAGCCCAGCTACTAACAATATTTACAGAGAAGAAGGAGAGGCCTGGATCAAAGAATTGGAGGATGACGTCCGCTCCGAATGCGAAGAAAAATATGGTCACGTTGTTCACATCTCGCTAGATCCGAGCTCTCAAGGCGACATCTATCTGAAGTTCGACCGCGTTCAAGGCGGCGAGAACGCCATCAAAGGCCTAAATGGTCGTTTCTTCGGTGGCAGGACGATCACTGCCCAACCGGTCGTGGACGCCGTTTACAGCAGTTTGTTTTCGCGCACCAAGGCGATCTAATCGCCCCAATCGCCCTTCCACCCACGCCCCAAGGGCTCTACTTTGTATTCTCTAACATGGCACGTTTTTTCAGGCAGATTCCCTTTGGCGTCTTGTTTTTAGGCTTTCCGAATGATTCTGCTCTTGGTAGGTGCCAATCTTCACGTTGTGTACACTTGTCTTTTGGCCCATCGCGATGGGCCATGCTACTTGAAATGATCTGTCTTTAGGAAGCGCGATTTTCAGAAAATCGTGAGGTCCTGCTGGACGCCGCAATATGCATTGATTCTCTTTGACTGTTTGTTCTAGTTTCTTTTTTTTTTAGTCCCTTTTCCTTTTTTACTAGTGGCATTGTTCCACGGCATCATATCTATTTGTTTTTATGCCACGTAACTCTAAATTCACAATTACTAGAATCTTCGGCATTCCAGGCTCATTGAACAGCACGGTTAAAAAAATTGTTGGAGCCCAATCTTTAGAACTGAAACTGCAGCATTACCTTGGGTGGGTCTTCACCAAAGGTGATTAGGTGGTCTTATCACATTCCCAATCGTGACCAAAACGATAAGCCCTGCAAATGCACTAGAGGAGCTAGCTTAAACTCCCGATCTGCCAAGGGTTGAAGAGGGGCTCATGGCCATCGGAAATGGTCTGACACGCAACACAGCACCAGGCTTGGCAATTTAACCTTGAGCGCGCGTACCGGAGCCCCGGAGATAGCAAAGCTTAGATAAGCACAACTTTTATTTGGATGATCACCCCTTATCCTAGTTGTGTATTTCTCCTCGATTTCCTAACTCCCTTGATTCCGACTTCCTACATATCACAATGAGCGCCAGAACTCGACGGCAAAAAGCTGCCCTAGCTGTCAACGGGGAGGAGAGTGAAGAGGGCAATGGTGTTGCGCCCACGCCATCCAAGCGCACGCCCTCGAAGAAAAGGACTCGGTCTGCGGCGCGTGAAGGCCCGCGGGAGAACGTGTTTTTGTTCTGGCCCAATCTCATCGGTATGTATTTGATGTTCAAATGGTGATCTAGATAAAAGTATCTTTTGCTGAAATGGCTATTCTCTCCCAGGGTACTCCCGAATCATCCTCGCCTTCGCATCGCTCTACTACATGCCCCTCCACCCCCGGACATGTTCCATCTTGTATAGCGTTTCCTGTCTACTAGATGCACTGGACGGATATGCGGCGCGGTACTTCGACCAGTCCACCACTTTTGGTGCGGTATTGGACATGGTGACAGATCGCTGTACTACATCCTGCTTGCTGGTCTTCCTGGGCTCCGCCTGGCCCCGGTGGGCTATTGTGTTCCAGGGTCTGATCTGCTTGGATCTGGCCAGTCATTACATGCACATGTACGCCACTCTGAGCATGGGTGGATCTAACCAGAGCCACAAGAAGATTGATTCCAGCCGGAGCTGGGTGCTATACCAATACTACAACAGCAAGGTAAGATGATCTGGTATCTCCACGTCAGCAGTTATCTATTTTCTTCCGATTCTGACATTTTTCATCTCTTAAGATCGTTCTGTTTATCTGCTGCTGCTTGAACGAGGTTTTCTTCATCGGCCTCTACTTGCTGTCCTTTTCTTCGCCCACCCTCTCTCCCTCCCTTCTGCAGCCGGTCCCCGATGCTCAGCCGTCTTCCGCCCAGCCCGGAAACCCCGCGCACCCCCAGCCCGGCAGTCTTTTCGCGAGCCCGTGGAGTGCCGGTGCTCTCGAGTTGGCTCGTGCGAACAAAATCGATAGTTTCTGGCCTTGGGTCATCACTGGCGTCGCGGCCCCTGTCATGGCATTCAAGCAGTTTGTCAACGTCGTCCAAATGGTCAATGCCAGCAAGTGGATGGCTGAAGGTGATCTCGAGGCTCGCCGTAACCGCAAGAGAAAATAAGCTTGTCTCAGCGGTGTCATCGAGCTGCAGCTCGTTCCATTCCTATCGGCGTATAGCTAGTGGACTAGCTCCCTCTTTGACTTATCTATCCTTACACCCACTCTCGGGTCATGCATATCTTGGGAGCTTTGGTCTGCGATTCATGGGGCCTCGGCAACGGCAACACTAATAGCTGTCGCCTTGGCTTCCACATGAGGTTTTGTTTGGTGGTTCAAATCCTTTTTGTAGGCGTCTTGGGCAGGATCAACGTGATCCTCAGGAATAGTCTGGATTCTGGATTCTGGAACCTTGTACAGTACATCCAGGGTTGTGTTCTTTCTTTTTTTGCTTGCCTACGCAACCCTCGTCTCTTCAAACGTGTCTTTTCCCATTTTTGCATTTTTTTGTTTTTTTTTTACCTTGATATTCTTAATGCAATTTTCATACATCATTTAATGCATGTGCGTGAATACCTAAAGTATCAATTAACGAGTTACCGCGGTTGACCGGATAAAGTAAACAAGCAGCCCGCAAACCGAGAGGTCCCCCGTAGTGGATATGGGATGTAGCGTTGAAGAAAGTGTGGGCTGCATGTCGCCGATCTCGGAGTTGGCGGGGTCGACTTCACCCGCATCCCACCTTTTTTAAAGCTCCCCTTCGAACCAATTGAGTGCTCTCCTATTAACAATTCTTTATCTATCAAAATGCCTGCCTTCAACGTCGTTGTCTTCGGTGGTGACCACTGTGGTCCCGATGTGAGTTACCCACTGTACTGGTTCCGATATAGATGCTCTATCGGACGAAGCTGAGACCAAATGACTAACGGAGTTGAAAACAAAAGGTTACCGCTGAGGCTGTCAAGGTAAAAGGAGCCCGCATTATCTTGACGTTACAAGTCAATTCAATTTCTGACCCTCCGTCCAGATCCTCCGCGTGATCGAGAAGAGCCGTGATGTCACCTTCAACTTGCAGGACCACCTGCTCGGCGGCGTGAGTATACGTATACCCAGAAAGATTGAGTGAGAACCTCCACCATTAACTGAAGAAGGCTTCCATTGACGCCACTGGTACTCCCCTGACCGACGAGGCTCTCAACGCCGCTAAGAACGCCGACGCCGTCCTCCTCGGTGCCATTGGTGGACCCGTACGTTCTGAACCCTCCGAACAGACACACTAGACGAATACTAACAAGCTCCGCAACACAGAAATGGGGCACTGGCGCTGTCCGCCCCGAACAGGGTATCCTCCGTCTCCGCAAGGAGATGGGCACATTCGGCAACCTGCGCCCCTGCAACTTCGCCGCTCCCTCCCTCGTCGAGAGCTCCCCCCTCAAGTCCGATGTTTGCCGCGGCGTCGACTTCAACATTATCCGCGAGTTGACCGGTGGTATCTACTTCGGTGACCGCAAGGAAGATGACGGCTCCGGATACGCCATGGACACTGAGCCCTACTCCCGCGCTGAGATCGAGCGCATCACCCGTCTCGCTGCCAACCTTGCCTTGCAGCACAACCCCCCTCTCCCCGTTACCAGTCTGGATAAGGCCAATGTGCTCGCTACCAGCCGTCTGTGGCGCAAGGTTGTCACTGAGGTCATGGCCAATGAGTTCCCCCAGGTGCCCATTAGCCACCAGCTTATTGACTCTGCTGCTATGATTATGATCAAGAACCCCCGTCAGTTGAACGGTATTGTTGTTACTAGCAACCTGTTCGGTGATATTATTAGTGATGAGGCGAGTGTTATTCCTGGTTCGCTGGGTTTGCTGCCTAGTGCTTCTTTGACTGCTGTGCCTGATGGCAAGACCAAGGTTAACGGTATCTACGAGCCTATCCACGGTATGTGTCCCTTCTCTCTGGTGACCTATAGTGTATGTTCGAAGTACTGATTTGTATTGCAGGTTCCGCCCCCGATATTGCCGGCAAGGGCATTGTTAACCCCGTTGCTGCTATCCTTTCCGTTGCCATGATGCTGCAGTACTCCTTCGGCATGTTCGATGATGCTAAGATCATCGAGAAGGCTGTTAGCAACGTCATCGAGGCCGGTGTTCGCACCGGTGACATTGGTGGCAAGGCTACCACCACTGAGGTTGGTGATGCCGTCGCTGCTGAGCTTGCTAAGCTGCTTCAGTAAATATAGGCGAACTTGGCTTTGCTTTGAAAATTCTCGGTATATGATATAATAAGTCTAGAAAAAATTGAATACCCTTTGGAGCTTCTAGATTAAGTATTGCTTGTACCTGGCGCTTGAATCATTTCATTGGCTCGGTAATAAGTTCCTGTGGTCTGTGGCCCGTGTTGCTATAGAAGCGAGGGTGCGGGATATTGAAGACAGCAATACGATTCTAGGATTGTTTGGTTTTTCGTGATTCATGTCCTAGGATAGTAATTCACATTTATCTGACCTTAAAAAAAACCTGGACTAGGGTATCTCGAAGCCAGAAAAACTCCTCATGTCAAAACATAACGCCACCAGGATGCCTTAACTTCAGTGATCATCGAATAATAGGCTCACCCATCCAATCCGGCTCATCCAACCCAGAAGCCGCCCCAAGTCGAGAAGTATCAAGATCCTCACTAGCCATACTCGCAATACGCGCATGATGCGCCTCGCCAGTGAATCCTCCACGTAAAGATTGCCTTGCACTAAATCGGCGATGGTTGCGATGCCCAGCATCAGCAGATGCAGACGGAGCAGCAGCAACACGCCTCCGACTTTCGTCACAGGCGAAAACCTGGAACCCACGAACATGTGTATCTTTTCCGTTCTGATGGTTTTCCATCACGCGCACCTGTAACACCATGGCCTTCAGCACATTTCCGCAGTAGGGATCCAGTTCGTCACCGATAGGATCCACGCCGTCCAGCGCTTCCGTGTCAGATGGTTCGCTGTCGTCGTTTTTCTGGGACTTGCGACGGGCGTTCTTGGCTGCGCGGTCTTTTTGGAATAGATTCTCTCGGACCCAGCCTCCGTTTCGTCCGCCTACGCCTTCTAGACGCACATCGACCCAGCCGCAGGGTCCATCACCTTCCCATGTTGCGAACTCGACGAGGTCGTTTCCGCCCATGCCGGCCAGGAACACCATCTTTGTGGGTGTGTAGCTCTCGTCGAGCTCGAAGTCGAGGTAAACGCGAATGCGAACAATAGCGACCAGCTTGAAAAAGTGTAGTGTCAATGTGTGCGGCTGGGGGCCGTCTGATTGCCAGTATTGCTGAGGAGAGGGGTTTCGGAGGGCCGCAACGCCGCAGCCAGGTTTGGAGGTCGAGACGGTCCAGGAAGCGAGGGATGAGATCTCGCGGAGGTTAGGTGGAACGGGCGATGGGGATCGTTCTATCACGGTTAGTACATGTGAAGGACTTAGTAGAGCCAAGACGACTCGTACCTTGATCGTGCATTTCCTCATCCCCTTCAAGTTGGGATTCCATGATCTCCTCATCGATCTCCTCACCGTCCATATCGCCGGTATCGTCAACATCATCCTCAAGGTCTAGTTCCTCGCCCGCCATTCCATCGTCGTATTCGCCCAGTTCCATGCCTTCCGCATTGACATCGTAGTCCTCGTCGGCATCCTCAAACTCGTCCTCGACGTCGACCGGCTCGGGAGGTGGAGGGTGTTGAGCTCTTCCCCGCCCAAAAATATTGAAAGGATTTGGGTATCCCGATGGAGGCGCCATCACAGGCAACGGGTCCGGAGTTATCTCATGGGGACCAGAGGACGGGTAGAGTCGATGGGTTGGGTTTGTTGGGGTATGTCGCGAAGGAGGGGTTTGGAATTGGGTGCGGAGACTCGGGGCCCCTTGCGGCAAATCATAGTTAGGTTGTCGCCTTAGGTGTGGCATGGTGAGAGGTCACATACAGGAAACTTTGCGGCGAAAGCATGTTTACCTTGCCCGCCCCGTTGTGGGTTAGCGTCTATGGAGGCTCCACTCGATAACACGCAGCCCAGATTTCATGGACACAGACTATGTGATTCAAAAGATATACGAATGAAGTAAGCTATTCTTCCTTATGGGGTTGAGCTCGATCTACTAAACAATATACCGAAAGTACATTCGTTTACCGCTTTTGAGGTTTCATCACGTCATGAACTGCAGAACCATAAGCTGAGAGCTAAACCATCCCCCACAAGGATGAACTTACAGATGCTGCCGCTTGAAGAAAAGCCTTCATGAATGCATCCACTTCACTCTCGCCTATACCGATGCCCCACGCAGTATGCGACGTGACGTCTGAGCATTTCACATACGTAACAACCACTTCACCCGATATATACTCATCTTCATCCAGCTCGATGGCGGCATCGCATTCTGTGACGGCAGTTTCATATTCAAGTACCTTGACTACTAGACCGATAGAATGGAGAACTTCATTCAGACAACCCGTCACTCCCTCGCCAACTCCCTGGGTCCAGAAGACCTGGCCGTGGACCTCAAGCTGGCCAGTCAACGCAGTGATAAGTTCCCCTTCACCTATGGACGAGGCGTTTTCATGATCCATAATCTCGTAGCCAGAAAGAGACAATTTCCGTGTTTGCGGTGTGGAGCCAGTGGCTGTCTTTGGTCCACAGTCCTCCTTATCTGGATCTATGTATGCTTCACGAAACATGTCTGCAGCCTTCTTGGGAGAGACAAGTCGCTCCACATGGGTGCAGCCACCGTAGAAGCTATCGGTAAATTCGGCTAGTAGGCCCTGCGGTGGGTCGAGACTAAGCTCTTGCTTGATAATGTGTCGCATATGTTGGTATTTATCGGGTGGGTGTATCTTGAGAATCGACATTGTGAGTTGGTAAATGTACGGCAACGAGCGTGTCTAATTGTATGTGTGAACAGGGAAGTTAGTCCCCTTCCAGCATTTAATTGTACGCGATCTCGATCCGTTTTTATCTACCACATCGTAGTCTTGGTGACACCTCGGATGAACAGTTTGCCATCACTGACACTGGTGATCATCCTCACGTATACCCTTTCCATAGGGGTTGTCCTACCCTCCCAATGTCAGAAAATGCAGCCTTTGATGAATGCGAACGTGAATGCGAAAGCTCTGATTACCGAGCCAAAATATGCATCGGTTTTGGAAGGTTTTCTGGCAATCGATTAGGTATGAAAAACTAGATCGTCCGCAAGTATGTTCGATTTCGTGCTTGATCGTGCCGATCTATGCGCACCACTCCGAAACGGGTAACACACTCGCTTGCACTCGGGTACAAATCATGTTTGGACGATGGCTTCCCAAAGATCATGCTGAGTGAGATGTAGATGGAGTGATTGCTGACTGAATTGTGCCAAATGGCAAAAATTGAAATCCATGACACAAACTATATGGTAATGCTGGAGGTAAAGTATAAAAGACCGAGACCAGGCATCCTCTCCAGCTCATCGTTCACAAGTAACTTCTTCCCAGAATCATCAATGATTTGAAACAGTCCATTGACTAGAGCCTTTCTCTACCAAATTTCAACATGCACCTTGCAGAGGTATTGTCTACCCATGGACCAGATCTCTTTTCGGTGATGACTGACTGATGGGTCTTTCTGCAGTATCTTTTCCGTCGTATCTACGAGATCAACATAAGATCTGTATTCGGAGTACCCGGAGATTTTAATCTCACTGCCCTGGACTACATCGAAGAGTGCGGCCTGCACTGGGTTGGCAACGTTAACGAACTCAATGCTGGTACGTTAATAAAGACAATGAATGTGAGCTGAAAGAAGACCTAACACCACTCAAGGATATGCTGCCGATGGATATGCACGCATCAGAGGCATGTCAGTCATCGTCACCACCCTTGGAGTTGGCGAGCTCTCTGCCTTAAATGCGATTGCAGGAGCCTCTGCCGAGCTCGTTCCCATCATCCATATTGTGGGATTCCCGTCAACCACCATCCAGGAAAAGGAGCTACCTTTCCATCACACCCTGGCAGATGGAGATTTTGAGTCATTCATGAAAATGAGTGAACGGATTTCCGCTGCTGCTATTCAGTTGAAAGACCCTCTAGAAGCGACCAAGATGATCGATGATACAATCGTTGAATGCTACCGCTCCAGCAAGCCTGTATACATTGGACTCCCCATGGATTTGGTGAAGGCTGAAATCGATTCATCCCCACTGGAAAAGCCTTTGCTGCTGCGCCCTCCGTCAACCAGCACAACGGCGACGGAAGAGCATGTCGTGAAGACTATACGTGAGCGCTTGTTCAAGGCCCAGAACCCAGTCGTCATTGTCGACAGCCTTGCTGGTAGATATGAGGGTCTACACGTTACCAGAAGCTTTGTCGAGAAGTCTAATCTACCGTGCTTTGCTTTCCCGATGGCAAAGGGCATAATCAACGAGAGCCTGCCCAATTTCCGTGGAATCTACGCAGGTGACGTCTCCAACCCAGGTGTGCGAGAGGCAATACAGTCAAGCGATTTGATTCTTCTCATCGGGCCCCGTCCATCAGACCTGAATACCGGGGCCTTCAAGAGTGACATACCCGATGTTGACACGATTGTATTTCATCGGGATACCGTGAAAATGGTAGAAGAGACTTACTCTGGCCTTTCAATGAAAAATGTTTTTGGAAAACTCTCCGATGCGATTTGTGCCTCTACATCAAACACCGCATCGAACTCCTATTCTAGCAGTCCATTATCATCTCCAGCAAGCTCAGTAGGCACCAAAGCCCCCAAAATCTCCCTGGATGAGGCCGACCAAGCCATTCCCAGCAAGAAAATCGACACGAGCGCAGGCAGCATTGAACTATCCCAAGAATGGATGTGGCAGCGCATCAGCTCCTGGCTTGAAGAAGACGATATTGTTGCGATGGACATCGGAACATCAGCCCTCGGTGGAGTATGGTGCCATCACCCGCGAGGAGCACAATCACTGTTCCAGCTTCTATGGTGCTCAATCGGATTTGCGCTCGGAGCAACAGTCGGAGCGGCAATTGCAGCGCGCGAACAGCTCGAGGAGTCCGAGACAAAGAAGAAGCGACGCACGATCCTCTTCACCGGCGACGGCAGCCTGCAAATGACAGCACAGGAGATCAGCACTTTAGTTCGCCAAGAACTGGGTGTGATTATCTTTGTCATTTGCAACGATGGTTACACTATTGAGCGCTTTATCAATGGTTGGGAGAAGAGCTACAATGACGTCCAGCCTTGGGACTACAAACTTCTTCCTCAGGTGTTTACTCCTAAGCCTGATTCCGTCAGGACGTACAGTGTTCGCACGAGGGATGAGTTGGAAGCACTTCTCACGGATGACCAGTTTGGGCCGGCTGGGAACTTTGACGAGGCGCAGCCTGAGCCCTTGCGTCTTGTGGAGATTTACATAGATAAACACGATGCTCCGCAGACAATCCCTGACATGATTTCGGCGATTCATGGAAAGACTGCCACTTAAGGAGTGATACTTAGTTGGTTTACGCTGGATCTCATCTTAGCGGTTCTCCAGGTCTGTCAGAATCTGTGATTCCATGATAATTGTAAGGTTAGGGATTCGTTGCTAGTTGATCTTGTGTTTGGTCTGTCTCTTTGCTATTTTGGATGCGATATAGCTGCTTTTTGGTAAATAGTGAATAGCTGAGCTTTGAGAGTCGAAGAACCGTGTTGTTTTCGTTGGATTTTAAGATGTTCGGATAAACTCGCTTTGACATGGACCAATTAGATATTGTTGTCTGCGTTGCTTTTTGTGTGACCCTCCTACAGGTTCAAATCGCTTCAATCTACCAATGAAACCTTTTAGTTCGTCATTTATTCCAAAAGTAGCACAGCTTGCATGATAGGTTACATCGCTAGCTTTAGCCCGATTTGGGCTATCTCGATATGGAAATGTATAACCTCGGTATCATGCACCTCGAGCACAAATTTTGGGATAAGCGTGAAGTCCTATGCAGTATTTCGACACTAGAAACCGAGATCAACATTCAAAGCCTCTATGCCTTTCTTCCGAAGTGTCATCAACCTAGACTTCGTTACTCAGGAAGTAAGTTGCAGCAACAGGCTCCCCAACCGCTTCCAAAATCGGAGTCAAACTAAAGTTAAAACGCGCACTGGTGGTCTCAGAGTAATAAGTACCATCCAACGCAGCCTGAGAAGGGATATACCCAGCAGGCTGATCAAACAAATACAAAGTATAAGTGTGGTTGGTACTATCCCTGGGACGAGGTGCGGTGTATGGCGCAAGACTATCACTCGAGTTGACGAATTTGCCATCGTCAATTGTATAGTTGCCACCCCACCAGTGTACACGTGTAGTAGTGTTCACAGCGACACCGGGAACCAATGTGTCATAGTAAGCAGCGGTGGTGACGTCGGAGTCAGGGATGTTCAGATCCAGCATGATGAGCATGTACTTGGTATCCTTGCGCATTTTCATGCTAGAAGGCCAGATGGCAGGTTGGTCGCTTACGTCTATTTGCCACATTATTACTTGGCCATTGTGTGACTTGGGTGTAGTATGCCTTTACCATCAGGGCTGATCCAAGCTCCAGGGGTGATTGTCGCATTCTGATAGGCTGCCCCGAGGTTATGCTTAGTGTGGGCGTAGCTTCCTGCTGGTGTTTGTGCCAACGCGGTCGCGGCGAAGAGGAGAGAAATGATTGAGGACAGCATGTTGTTCAATGTTTGAACTGACTTGAATTGCAAATAAGAATGAAACTATGAGCCCCTAAATTTCAGGTAATTGAGGTAACTACTCGGCAATATTAAAGCATGACGAATCCCTCGGGATATGTGGCTCCCGAGATCCACTGTCAAGAATAGTAATCTTGTCCGATCAAACCCCGAGATTAAGGATGTTTACTAGAATGCGATACATCAATCTACTTGAAGGCACTTTCTTTCCAAGATTATGATAATTATTGACCAAATAACCATGAAGACATAGTCCTTCACGGCAAGTCATCAATGCTCCTCTATGTGCTGTTGAAAACTTGCCACATCAAGCTATCGAAATCTGGAACACCCGTAAAATCCATAAACCCACCAGACGTCGAATCATCCAACCAACTCGTTGAGTCAAGGTTGAGATTGAAGTCATCTATTGAGTTCATAGTTGGAGCAAGATCAATAGCCGAATCCACCGTGTCCAAGGCATCTACTGTGTCGTTCGTGTTTTGACTCCGAGTATTCCTACCACTCGTAGGTATGGAACTATCGTCTGTTTTCCTTGCATTCGTGGTACTCTCCAATTCACGATTCTTGATCAAGCGCTGGATCGTAGCATTTGATAATTCCTGAATGCAATCCCTTGCCCGCTTGGCTTCCGTCCAGTATTCCCCAATGCTGCTGAGTATATTCATGCTGGTGCATGTATCCGCGACCACATCATCAATCTGCACCTGAGAAGATATCCGTGGGAGCCTACAGAGGCAATGAAGCATTATAATGGTACCCAAGAAGATTGAGTGGACAATGAGTCGACTGTACAAGAGCGCCTCTTGCCGGTAGAGCTCACCGAAGCCACGGAGGAGATCTACGGCGTGTTGGAAACAAAGGGAAAGTAGCTCTTCCGAGGGCTCAGGTATTCCGGGACTGGGCCGTAGGAGAAGGATCATCATTTCGTGATACTTTGTCTCACAGATTCTCGCGATTGACTCCATGCCCGCGACCCGAGGAATGTCAGATAGCCATGCTTGAAGACGATTAATCATTTCTCTCTGCCACTCATGAATGTTGGTGACAGGAGGGTAGGCGTAGGTAGGAGCGTCCCTGCAGATACTATGCATGACATATTTGATTTCGGAATTGATGCGTGATAATTGGAATAGATGAATAGAGTATGTCATATGAGATGGCGTCCCCAGAGCGGTTTCCTCGGCTGCGGACTGGGCAAGGTCTTTATCGGAGATATCTGATGGGAGCTGTATAATTATTAGTATAAGTATTTATGACCATAGTCCACAAGTTCACCCACTCGCAACTCGCATGCCTCGTCACGAACTCCAATCGGTCGGCCCATCATGGTACCCAACGTGCGATCAAAAATGTAAACTACCCAGAAGATCCGGGTTCTCATTTCTTGCTGTAAAAATGAAATTTGAAACGCGGACGATGTACGTACATCGCGCTGTAGGCCTAAATCAATAAGCGCGCCCAGGCACTGGTAATTCAGACTCCAGATGTTCACTCCGCACGAAGGATTATGCAGTGCATAAACCATGAGAAGAAGTAAACTCTGAAGACCATCGAGAGACCCTTCTGCACAGGCCTTTTCGAAGTACTGTGTAGCTGCAGTGTAGTAACCCTCGGCAGGCAGTCGAATACGAAAACGTCGGGAAAGGTCCGAGGCCGCGATAGCCAGTACCATATTGACATGAAAGGCGGCTATCGGGTCGAAAGTCCCTTCTGTGGAATACATCTTCTCTACCCGCTGCATGTGAGAAGGTTCGTGGAGGAATGGGTACATGACGTGTATAAAAGAGAAGTATTTGGCGGACAATTCGATCGCATCTTCTTTGCGAGTCGGTAGTGACGTGGGGCTGTCAAAGAGCTCACTTGATAGTGATAATGGCTCATTGCCAGTACTGTGGCCCTTTGAAGGCTTGTTTCGCCGTCCCGTACTTGAGAAAACGAGATTTGCTAGAAAATATCCACTCGAAGGACCGATGTATCTCGGCTCACCACCAGCGGAAAGGGATACCAACCCGATTTCATGCGCTTGTCTTGACTGCTCAGGTGGGTGAGAGTCCGCAGATATCCTGGCAGAATGCTCCTGTTGCAATGAAAGAGCCGATTCAATGTAGTTCCCTTGGGAGTGTGTTTGGTGCATTTCATCTTGGACCAGGGGAGGTCCATCTTCTAGGCATACATCGGTCTGCTCTTTGACCAATGACTCAAGCCATTCCACTCGCCTTTGCAGGTTTGCAATATAACTAGGGAGGTCAGTATAGTACAAGCTGTTGTGATTCAATATAAGCTTACGTGCGGTTCACCTGTTGTTTCTCGTCATTAACACAGGCCACATTTGCCTTCTTGCATGCTGAGCACTGGGGTCGATCACCGTTGCACCGAATCTTTCGTCTTTGACAACGCCGACATGCCGCACGGTTTCGACTTCGGCGCGGAGAATTCATGACAAATAGCACTATTGACTGGTATTTTTGAAGTATTTTCAGTCATAATTCAGACAATTTCCAAGAAGCGAGAAGTGCGATGGATGTTCGGATCGCTTCCGCCACGGCAGTCATCCGTCAGATGACTAACCTACACTGCCAAGCCCTCTCATAGATCTCATAGATTGGACGTTTTGTATAATTATACTACAAATGGAATACCTAGTACCATGATTAGTGTTGCGTGTATGATTTTTCCCGTAGTGGCTACTTACTCATTAGGTCAATTGCTGCGGTCCATGGGCTCATGCTACTACACATTCTCAAACATCGGCCAGAAGCGCAGCGGCGCTCAGCGCGTCCTCATGACTGAAAGTCCTTCACATCTATATCGCCAATGCAAGTGATGATCTCAACCATTGCAAGATGTCCGCTTGTGAATACGTTGTTTGATGATACAGAAATATGCCACATGAGAACCCAGGCCTTCTATAGTGATATGCAGGTATCGTAAGGTATAGATATGAGGAGCGAGGAGACAGGTAAAAGAGTGAAGTGGAGAAGTGGAAAATTTTGCTTGCTTAGTTACAGATAGTGTCCACGCCTTTGCGCCGGGCTATTTCGCATCTCCTTTTCATCGCTCAAATTTCGAGAATAGATCCCAAACACTAATATCCGGCATGGGTTAGTTCCATTCCGGGATACTCCCGCTCATAGACGGATGGCTTCCGTTAAACGATCGACTATTTAAGAACACTGATCCATAACCTCTCTTGATCTACAATCTCAAATTACTACGAGAAAATGACCATTACTCATATTGGTAAGAGCTTGGCCTACCGAGTTCCATGAGTCAAACTAATCAAGCATAGTACTGTTCAAGTTTCGGGCGGAAGTGCCAAAGGAGATTAGAGATGAATTCCTTTCAGAGATTAAAACCCTCAGATCATTATCCTGCGTCAAAAGTCAACGGCTCATTGTTGGAGGGCCCTCAATCACCGAACCGGCCGACAAAAGCAAAGGCTTCCAGTACGCTCTCGTGAGCTACCATGAAGACCGCGCTGCGCTGGATGCATATCAAGCGAGCAGTGAACATGAAAGGTAAGAAACCGAAATTTGTACCGCAGACAGCATTACTAACACTGGCTTGTAGAGTAACAAGAAAATTTTTCATCCCATACAAAGAAGATCTCGTTCGATTTGACTTTGAGGTAGACCAAGCGGATGAGCCACTGCTCGGGTTTGGAGGGATTTGATTAGAACCTTCGTGTCAAAAACCATTATTTCCAAAATGAAAGAGACGTCACATAAATACCTGACCATGAAGCCACGAGGAAACAGTATTGACCGCCATCAGTCCACTGCCTCGAACCTAACGGAAACTTGAGAGCTTATCAGTCGAATGTCTCGTGGTGTCGGATCAATGCCACCGACGCCCGCCTTAAGGGTCCATCCCGGGTATAGTTCTCGTTCTCGATCATAGTATTCCATGTGCACCGGTCGCAAATATCTGTTGTGGTCCAGCTGGGACTGGACCGTATCGTCAATTTCTACAGCGACTACCTTCCGCCCGATCACTTCGGCGTATTCCTCGGCCTTGAGGATAGCGTTCTGCATTGCCTGCTTTCGAGCATCGTATTCCAACGCCTTCTCAGTACTTTCCGTCAAGCGCCATTCGATCGACTCGACCTCGATGCTGGGATATGCGTCCAGCTTCTTGGCAATCTCACCCAGTTTGGCAAAATCGCGGAATGTCGCATGGGATATAGAGGTTGCATAAAATGCACGAGTAGCATGTTTGCCCCCATGTATAGCATCGTCATGGGCCCAGATATGGAGTATCGTAGATGAGAATTCCGTTACCGGTGCATCGGTGGTGGCCGTGCCATACCTGGTCTTAGGCGACAGTTCCTGGAAAAGCGCGTCCACTTCATTGAATAGACGGGTTCCCTCGGTGGAGACGCTGTCTTTATCATCACCACTTGCGTTGATCGTGACTCTGAGGACGGCTCGTTCTGGGCGGCGAGTGATGGTCGCCTGGCCTGAAACGCGAATTGAAAGCGGAGGCATATTGTTCTGTAGTATTGGTTGTGTAGATATTGGAATGGGGATAACGTTTATTACTGTAACTTAGGATGAACGATTGCAATCCTCAAACTGATGCGAGACTTGGAAAGCCTTACATGGGGTTTGAAGTCACGTTCAGCTCAGTCTATTTCCGGCACATCCCCGCACATCTCGTATTCTCAGAACTCTCGTATATCGGCATTTCAATCCAACAACTTATGTTATCTAGCTTTAGTCATGAATCCCTTATCACTACGTTATAGATTGATGGGATATGCATAATGTCTTTTGCTGGGGGTATTTTGTGGACTATCAATGCCTAACTTGATGATACTTAATAATGTACCTAGTCAAAAGTATTTCCCCAAATCAGTCTTCGGGCCTACCCCATCAACAATATGTACAGTATTCACTAAACAGTTCAGCACACCATCATATCTTACTGGAATTCTATATAATTACGCATATTATTAATACCCATTTAGCGCACAAAACTGTCTCTTAATTTTGAAAAAAAAATCCACCTTAAGCTTTCTAACCACTAGTAATTTCTCGTCACCTTTTATACAATCACATCAATTTTCACGTATAGTATTACTCACCAAAATTCTGCTACATACCCCTGAAGGTTCTATTAAATAATATAATGCCATCTTCTATAGATAAGCCTTAGACAAAATCTAAGAAGCTCTTGAATAATAACATGCAAAATGTTGAAGGGTTTAAGCTCAGTGAATACCTCGGCGGGTCCTCCATATTTACACAAACTTTCAAACCGCTCTATCGTCACCAAAGCTACATGAACCTTCGAATCATCTTCTCAAAATACTCCTCTATAACCATGGACTACAATCAGTCTTTTTAGAAGCGAGCCCTCTCAATACTGAGTGGTATGTGCCTTCCCAAAAATTGGTTATTGGGTTGACCCTACCGGACCCGCACTTGGGGAAATACTTACGGTCCCCATTGTATTCCGGACGAAAATGATTCTTACCCTATACACAATGGAATATTGCATCAAGGTTTGCTCACAAACTACCAAGTCATGAGGCCCTCACCATAAACTATCTATGATGATGACTTTATCAAGAACCTGAATCGCGTCGGGGCGACTTTTGTCTCCCATCCAAGCCTATTCAGATGTGCTACAGTCAATTTGGTTGAAGCTTGGAGGGGATTTTTCGATCAAGCTGCCAGTTTGACATTGAATTTTTCTTACTCTCTTCAAATGAAGGTATATGTGACTTGAGGAGTCTGACAGAGATGGTGCTACATGATAGGGCAGGAGATGTTCATTTTGCGAGAAGCGGCTGAATCCAGTCAAACCCGTTGATAATATACATGTATATATGTATTTATATATACATGTGGGTGTAGGAGAGGTTTGGTCATGAGGATAAGCCTCGGAAGAAGCCTCGGGAAACCGAGAAAGGCAAAAAAGAGAAGAAAGAAAGAGAAGAGGGAAGAGGAAACAAGACTCACTGGATGATAGGTCATAAAAGTTCGCGCTCTCGACCTCCGAATGCCATTTCAAAATAAAAAAGTCAAAAATACTAGAAAGTGGCAAGAGCAGCAGTTGGAAATCATATCAAGTCGCTCGCAACAGGAACAAAAGCTGGACTAAACCTTGCTTGAACGGCCCTGGAATTTCCGTGATCTGCTTCTCAAGGTCGTTCAAATCCAAGAAATAAAAAGCGACATCTTGTGCAAAGATCCTCATCTCTGGGGTCCATTTGAAAAGCTCATTTTCATGTTGCTTGACGGCGTGAAGGAAGCTGAAGAGTTCATGTTCCTTGTACCTCATCCTTGCTATATGCACGAAGAGAGAATGGTATTGCGCTCGGAGATCGCGCCAAGACTGGTTGATAATGGATTCCATCTTACTCAAAACTATCATAGCCGTTTCGGAGGGTTGCCTTCCCTTGAAGGCCTGGGCATGTTTGGAAAAGTTGTCCCGGGGACCGGACATGATTCAGATGAACAATGAGAGCAACGCTGGATATTTCTGAGCGATTCTTTAGTAGATTTGTCTCAGAATAAGCGAAGATGTCAGCTGTTAGGAGGAGAAAGCTTGGAAGAAGCTTCTAGCCAAGTACCAAGCAGCTGTCACCTCATGTGAGACTAAAGTTAGATCATGTGAAGCAAGACTATTTTTTACAATTTGAGTTTAAATTTTGTCACTCTTATTGGTAAAGCTCAGGCTCAAGTGACCTTCTGCAACGAAGATCGAGTCTCCTTGGTGACTGAGCTCAGGCACAAACCTCCCAAATACGTTCATCAGTCCGTCATTTAGACTGATTTTCGGCATTTCCCCAAGGTTGCAATCAAAAAAAAAGTGAAGTTTGAATGTTTTTAAGATATACGTGAAGCGTCCACTTGTTAAATCTTTATGTTCAGCCCCTCGGTTCTTTGAACGCAAGCTCATCAGGATGGTACAAACATCGACCACCCACTTCATAACACTCAACACAAACATCGAAGTCAACACAAGCCGCACATATGTAGCCAAGCTCTCGTCGGAAATATCCTGAGTACACACGTCGCACCACGCCGTTCCCCCCCCTGGGAACCAAATCACATTCAAGATCGAGATCTGCCTTGGATATTAAGATGCCATTTTTCTGCGAATATTCCAATAAGAGCCGAACAATGTTGATGCTACCACTCTTCTTCTTCGCCCACCAAAAAAGACTTCGACCGAAAAGGTCTTCAAAATCAATGGCATCTTGAAATCCTAGTAAGCACTGTACCACGTCCTCGTGTCCGTTTGCAACAGCAGCGAATATTGCAGTTGACCCATAGTGATCTTTGGCACCCGGCGAGGCACCATGAGTGAGAAGTAGCTCAACAATTTGAGACTGCCCGCTAACTGCGGCGAGGTGAAGTGGCGTGCGGCCCATGGGCTCTGGGGGGTTGGAAGCAACCCTTATGGTCTGAAGAGAGACGCCGACCAAATGATTGTCTCCATTAAAGGCAAAATTTCCAATGGGCAATGGTCTCTCGTCATCTCCAATGCTAACATGAAACCTCTTCTGAAGGAGGATCTTGACCACATCTATATGGCCTTTAGGCAACGGCAAGAGCGCTCCAGTGGTTCCCATTCGACAATTAAAGGTTTGGATCAGCACCTTTCTCGACAAGGAACTCAACAACCCCTGTAATATCCTCCGGAAGAGGCAACAGCAAGAGCGCTTCCATAGTTGCCGTTCGGCAATCTGAAATTCGGCTTCGCCCCCTTCTCGACGAGGAATTGAACGACTTCTACATGCCCTTCAGATGCGGCCGCAGCAAGAGCGCTCTCGTAGTTCCAAATCGACAATTCAAGATTTGGCTCCGCCCCTTTCTCGACGAGGAACTGAACAATCTCTATACGTCCCAAGAAAGAAGCAGCAGCGAGGGCACTGCCAAAAACCCCAACAGACAATAAAATTCTCGACGAGGAACTGAACGACTTCTACATGCCCTCTAGATGCGGCCGCAGCAAGAGCGCTCCCGTAGATCCCAGTCGGCAACTCAAGGTTTGGCTCCGCCCCTTTCTCGACGAGGAACTGAACGATCTCTATACGTCCCAAAACAGAAGCAGCAACGAGGGCACTGCCTAAAACCCCACCAGACAATATAAGATTCGGCTCGGCCCCTTTCCCAACGAGAAACTTAACAATCTCCGTTCGTCCCAAAAAAGCGGCAGCAGCGAGGGCGCTCCCATATCTTCCACATGGTGATAATAGGTTTATCTTTACTCCATGCTTCGTAAGTATCTCACAGATAGACTTGGAGCCTGCCGCAGCGGCCATAGTCAAGAGACTGTCACCCCACCCGTTAGTTTGTGTGACTGTGGTTCCTATATTGTTCCACCAGTCACGCAGGAGAATGAAAAGAGAAAATCTGCACATCACGCAAATGGTAACCTCTTCTGGAGATATTTCTTCCTTGTCAATACCTCTCAACAGACTCGAGTCTATGCTTTCGCGGGCGTCAAGGCGACGGTACCAAGCGCGGTATTGAACACTACTCTCAAAGGGGGAGCCAAAAAAACATTTCAAAAGGTCTATTAATGAAACGTCCCCTTCTTGTTCTTCTTTGGCTATCTGTTCCTCGTAGGTCCTGACATTGATCACCCAGTGTTGTACCACATATTTCTGGAACGGACCGATCTGTTCAGTCGCGTTTTGTGCTTCTGCTTTGGGCCTGTCGCCTAAGCCCTTCATAGACATTTCGTAGACCGGGCTGTCATACATATCAATCAGAAGCCTAAAACAAACTTTGGCAGCATTCGAGTGAGCCTCCCGGAGGCCCCAATGGTTGACTTCAAAATATTCAACCACTGACAGATGCGTGAATCTCCAAACCCTTCTTTCAGAGTCTAAGACAAGCAGATTGCTGAATAGAGCCTGTAATCCTAACTCGTCGGTTTTGTTTTCAAAATCGGTGATGACATGGGCAGAATCAACGCTAATTGCAGACAAAAGCTCAGAGCTGGTGAAAGGTTTGAAGGAACTCATCACCCACTTACACGCGCGATCGACGAGAATCTTTGCGTGAGGGGACTTAGTAGCTTTTTCGTAAATCTCATCGTACGCATCTTTAAGTCCAAGCGGAAGTTTGCCGAGCTTATTTCGGATGTCTGCTTCAGTTGGCAATTCGAGTATCTGCTCTATCTGTAGATAAGCCTACTGGAACCTGTCTTATGTTAGCACATCCTATGAGTCTTTCTAACCCAGATAAGACGTACATTCCCTTACTGCCATCCAGGAGAGCTTTGACGATTTGCCTCCGTAAGGGCAGAGATATCAACTCCCCTTGCCTAGGCCTGTCTATTTCCTCACTCACAAATCTTTCGATGTCACGTTCATTATCCATCGCAAGGACCTCAATGTAAGGCCAACTTCTGAGTGCATGCTTGATATCGCTGTCAGGCCGACTTGAGATGAAGACCTTGATTGGCCGATCAGATTTAGATACCAAGTCACATATCGCTTCAATGAGCTTGCAACGAGATATGGGGTCGCATTCATCGAGGGCATCAAGAATGAGAATCGTCTGGGAATACCCGCTTATCGACTCTAGCAGCTGGGTCTTACATTCTTCAACGCCAAAGTGTGATGCTCGACGTCTCGCTTCTTCGCTAGCGACTTGAAGGCTTTTCCGCATATATCCCGGAGCTCCAACAGCAGTTGAGAGTTGACGAACGTAGCTCTGAAGCACGCAGAGTGGATCTTTTCGAGAATCCTCGTTCCGATTGCAGTAGAAATATGCGAAGCCCACATGGTCCCATTGGCTTTTAAGTCCATTCAAAGTATGGTCAATGGCCTTGGAGGTGATAAATGTTTTCCCAGTTCCAACTGAACAGGTCAGCGTCGTAGAGAATGGTAATGACAATATTAAAGCACTTACTCGAGCCTTGGAGCCACAAAACTGCCGATGAATTGGCATTCCACCATTCATAAAATTTCTCGCTTTGTAGCAGCCACTAACAAGTGCCAGGAGTTCGAGCCTCCTTCACTGAGATGTGATGCTTCCCGTATGGTATTGGCGAGATCCAGTCTAAAATCTCGCGCTCATCTCTAGCGTTCATTCGTTCCAGGATTAATTCTCTTTGGCAAGCATTAGCGATTAGCTTTCTTACGAGAGTTTGCGCCACTTACACCTTTTGCTGGATGACTGGGAACTCTGCCACAAGTTCGCAAAGGTCTCTGAGACCAGATCGACTGGAAAGATCACAGTATCTTTCACAGTCAAATGCAGCCCGCTCTAGTTGCTTTCCAATTGCTACCAACCTTTCAACATGGTTTCGCGTTGGTTCAAGCTTGAATGCAGCATCTATCATGATTTTGCTCTGCGGACGCCTTATCATGAATGCAAGAAATGACTGTGATTCTGCATAAACTTGAACTATGAATGATCTCAAATCTCTCAACACGGTTTCGGGTGGGCGAAGAGTAGGATCTGGAGACATGTACAATTGCTGATATGTGTCACACCGGACGAGGAGCCAAGTGACCTCGGCCATTCCAGCGAGGATAATTCCATTCAACTCGTGTTTTGCGGTCAAAATCTGAAGACGTTAGCTGTATTACCAAAACAAATGGGTTATTTGGTTCTTGTTATCCTAGGTAAAACACAATCGCACGGATGGGCTCCTTACCACAAGAACAGATCGAAGGGCAGCCCATGGCAGGGCAGCATGAACAGGGTCAAAGCTAACAGCGACATCTCCAACAGAAACAAACCTGTTTAATACCAACAAAAGCTTTTCAATGGATGACGTTCTGTCTCGATGTGGGTATGCCTCATCTAATTTCTTTTGGATGTCCGCTGCTAAGCCTTTCCTATTAGCATTGTCGAGATGCAGGTCACCCACGACCGTTGCCACAATGTGCTTTTCTTCATCCTTCAAGGACCTTAAAGCTTCAGCCCACAGATCGTGATTTTCGGCATACGGACTCAACAGGCTCGATGGTTCACGGCATTTCTCGATTTGGCATTCGTGCGGGAGTTGGGCCTGAGGAGCAACATGGGAAGCTTGTCAGCCGGGGAGTGCCACAGACGTCTTATTATCGCCTGCAGGTGCGACCAATATTCTGATTGGAGGTGTAACTTCGTTGTCGACTAGCAAATATCAAATTTAGTGACAGACCGACAGAATAGAGGGTCCACAGTGTGAAACTTGGTACCGATGGAGCGGCCCGCACCGGACACTTGGGTTGCTAAGGCCGGCTTGGATTGCCCAGGACTCTTCGTACGACGATCTCGGTGCCATATACCACAGCATGAAACTCCAGACATCGCTTCGATTTATGGCACGATTGCTATTGCGAGGGCAAACCACGGTTATAATATTGAGGTTCAAGGCACACGTTTTGGAGAGGCTGAAGTACTCAGCCGCCCCCGCCTAAGCGCGCCCAATAACATTGCGCATAAAACCCAGCCTCCTCCAGCAAGAACTGGTTTCCTTTCCTCTGCAACTCCCCCATGGTCTTTTGTTAGTGGTCCAGCATTATGTCACGCAACATTTGTAACACTGAGATGTATGGTGCGATGTGGATTGCATTGTTGATGCTGCGGATACATGAACGCGGGGCCCGTTTTTGATGCATATTTTGTCCATCAATATGAGAGCGGCTCCACTTTGAGGTCACATAGCCTTGAGAATTCAGCTCACTAAAGACGCTGTACCCCGATGGAAAAAGTCGTTATTGATTGGCTTGGGTGGTGCACTTAAGGAAGTAGAATGGCGAGGGAGAAGCCCCTTTTTGACTTGACATTACGATCTTGTAAGACAGAAAGGCGATTCTTAAAAACACACTATGTTTGAGGGAAATATCGTTCCTGGAATGTGAAATTTACTGAGTATTGAACATTAATCTAATGAAACAATGGTTCCTCAAAACAGATAGCACTGACACAGAGAGTCCTCCATGGGAAGAGATAGTGGTGAATTTAGCCCCGTGCAGATGATACCACATGAGTCGGATCTATTTTCGGCCCGACTGTTTGGTCCATTAGTAAATTGACCAGGACCGACGGTCCGTAGTTCGATTGACAATAAAGAGCTCCTAAACCCTGATTATTTATACATGTGTTTCGTGCACATAGTTCGGGCTCGCAAACCGCCGACTGGGCTTCCATATTATGTCATTATCAGTTTACACAGCCAAAATGTACATGCGGAGGCCCCCATAGATTTGAGCCGCAGGGAAGAGCACAAGGTCATTTAACTCGTGGTCCCTTCCCCGAAATTTGATTGTCTTCATGTGGAAATGCTCCCCAACTGCTCTCAGCGTTGATATCCTTATCTGGTCGATGCTATCATGACTTTGTAACCCACGGATGGTAACTGTATATCTGATCCTCATGTGAATTATGAGCCAAAGAATCCTGAAATGGTGGTACTGAATGGTAAGATTGAGTAGGCTGAACAGAAGGAGTCTGGGCAGAGCTGGGTATTGATATGGACATGGATCGCTGATACGATACATGGGAATAAGGAGGCTCCGGTTGTTGGGGATTGGGTGCACTGTTCGGACCGCCAAAGCTGATCTGAGGAACGACAACAGAGAGAGATGGTGGTGCTAGGCGTGAACCTTGATGTAGCTGCCCGTCAATCCCGTAAGGCTCCATGCGAGTTGAAGATTCTTGATCAGAACAGTCGAGAGAACGTGATCGTGTGCTGGTAGACGCTGGCCATTCGCTCGGATGAAGCGAATAAACTTGGTCGGTATTGGGTATCAGGGGCACACCTGATGCATGAGGCAGGTCGGAGAACTGAGAGTGTACTGTATTTGTTGATGGGACGCTGGATGCCGCATTTCCACGTGCTCCTGTTACCTCTTGTATTGCACAATGATCTGGAAAGGCATTGAAATGTTGACTAATGACTGGGATGCTACGTCGAGGTCCCCCCGTGAACGCTGCCAATTGTCGTTTCAGCCCGCGTATTTCCTCTTCTAGAGCCATGTTGTGCTGCAGTACTTCATCGTACCGCGGCTGCATATCAGCCACTTGGCTCCGCAAGCTCGTGACTTCATTTTCGAGTTGTTCCATAGTCTCTTTTGTCCGTTGGCGAATAGATCGTTGTGCCTCCCGGTCGTGCGCGCGTTTCCGCTCAAGTTTTTCGGCAGACATAGAAGAGACATTTCTAGGTCCTGGGTGGGACTCCCGCTTTTTGCCCGATCCACCTTTCTTGCTACTGCTGCTCATGACCTTTCGTGGATGCGAGGCTGCCAGAATAAGACCGGAGTTATGCAGAAAAGGTCTGTCTTTTGCCCAAATAATCCGCTTGAAGGAGGGTTGTCAGTGACCATGAATGCTTTGCACTGGTCACGGGGGCAGCGAACCTTGCATCAAGTGGTCCACGCTTTTTGAGGCTCTTGGAATTCTGGGCTCTTTTCGTTGGCTTCGCACTTCGGTGGGGCAGACCTTATCGTCGGGGGTAGAGTAGGGGGTAGGGCACCAGCAAAACGAAGGACGTTCGGACAAAACTGGATAATTTGTTTGGAATTCAAGGGTCACGACTTCGATAGCAAAGATATATCTGGGAAGGAATTAAATTACTTAAATAAATCGTCATGGATTCACCTAGTGGGCAATCATTACGTGCCTTTCTCCGGATCGTCGCTAGCATCAAAATCACACCCGAAAGAGGGACTCTCCCGGTGATAGGATGCACTAGTTGATGGGCTCAGGCCGGGCTACGGGTGGGCCAATAAAAGAACCGCTTACTGGAAGAACTGTGTGGATACTCAGAATGATTGAAGCTATCAAAAAAGCGTCTCAACATTTTGTCCTTTTTTATTTTTTTTTTTCTTTCTTTCTTTCGCTGATTTGGTCCGTCGAAGCGCCGTTGGTTCCAAGGCCCGCATGTCACTTGCTTGGATAAAAAAATTAAGCATGCTTTACACTATCTATCACCAACACTACACTCCCCATTTAATTGTTGGTGATAGAGCAGCGTAGATGCAGATTTCCAGGCTATCGGCGCTTGCATTGGCGCTTCGATCTCTTAAAGTCAGATTGATAGATACCTATGAGAAGGAGAAAAACGTATTTGATGAGACAGTGCAAAACCTACCTACGAGCATGAGATCAGTGTCAGCTCTGAGTTGAATTACTAATATTAATCTCCTCCCGAACTTAGACCCGGTCGCACTTCATTTCTGGGATCATCACTGACTGTTTCCGTCCTTGCCTTCCGATACCTCACCAAATAGGCGATATCATTTGGTCTTCCAAAGGGATACCCATTCAAAGTGTCTCAGGTTCGGTGTCATGGTTTTGGCTTCATTTTAGGGAACAGCATCGTATTAAACAAACAGCATCTGAGAGAGTTGGGTACATTATTGCTCGAAATAGGATTGTATCTCGGAATGACAATGACCTCAAGGTTAGAGTAGACAAAGATCTACATTTATATTTGACATGACAGAATTTGAGACAGCCGTTCGTTTATGATGATTCAATTGTATTCAAGATCCACACCGATCGATCGATCGATGATGGAGCTACTACATATGACGAGTGTAACCTTCAATGCTCAGTAGCAGCCTCACAACGGACATTGAACTTAGTAAAGTACGTAGCAGGGATCCTAATTCTTTAGAGGAGACATGTCAATCTACCAATATCTGGCCGCTAGAAAAAGCGTGCTCTTCAATAACAAGGCTTTCCTGCTCTCTGTGCTGAAAGATGGCGTTTTCTTGGGCAAAGTGCCGGTCTAGATCCCCACTAGGCTGCGTAGGATTGAGCCACCGGTTCTTAGGCGATCATGAACGGCCCACCACTCGAGGGAAACTGGTGGTCAATTGAAATTCGAATCCAGTAGAAAGCGTCCTTTGACCAGTTCCTGAGGGTGGGGCAACCGTCTGTGGCGGCATTGTTTAGGCCAATTGCACGATCAGTGCTTTTCTGATTACGAATCAATAAATCCCAGTGCGGTAAGCTGCCAGATTCCCCCTGTCAACCCTCCGGGGACCCCAATTTGGGGAGATGGGGATCGAAGGTCGTTGAGCAACATCAACTTTGTGGTCAAACGGGGCAGATTGAACATCAACCTGAGTCGTATTGCCGAGCCTTCTGCAAATTTCGGGGGGAAAAAAGCTCGGGATTTCTAATCATTTCTAATAAAAAGGGTGGGTAGCGACAGCCTTGTGCTCCAACTAAAGATCAATGCCCCCAGATCAACGGATCGAATCCACAGAGTTTCCGAACCAATCATGTCGCGCTTGAAGATCGTCCGTGCGTCCTCGAATCGAAATCTCCCAAGCTGGCTTGGCCGACAGGTTGGCAACGTATTGACCAAAGAGTGTTAATTTCGACTTTCATAGTATAATTATTTGGAATCGCGTGAAGTCACAGTCGAAGAACCTTCAGCATTGAAACACCTGATAATGGCCTTCAATAGCCAACTTGAGCCTGCGACCTCCAGGGTTTGATGATTAGCGCGACTAAGTTTATTAGACTATGCACCTCGTTCGGGGTCCATTAATTGTATCTCAATAGCAACCTAATAGCAACTCCGTGGTTGAAATTACTTGCTGGATGAAACGGGTCATCCAGTTCAAGCATTTTAAGGATCTGAAGTATAGATGTCATTGTACAGGTGGTCTTGCATCAGGTGATTGAATGCCACGTTGATTGTTCCGAGTCAACAGGGGCCGACAGCCTGACTCCCGCTACCAACTTCTCCACCACCGCGACCCATGTTCAAAACTCGACATAGCAGATTGATCCTCCATTGAAATAGGGTACCTGAGCGAGTCTCATAATCAGACTTCACAAATATTCTGAAGCCATTCCCCAAATGGATCCTGATTACAAAGCTCGGAAAGAGGCGTTCGTCTCAAATCTTGCGGGAAGCGATATTCAGGATATCAATCTGGTCACACTTGTCGCACCGGTACGGCCTCCCTTGTAACCTTAGTTTTGGTCCATCCTAATCGAACTTTACTTCACAGGCCTCCGTCCTTCTCTGGTCCGCTCTCCAATCGCGCTTGTCCTACTTTTCGCCATACGGCCCTGCCGCATTCCTGACCGATTTCCTGCTCAATGTACTAGCCATTTTGTTCGCTACCACTGCCTACTCCTCTGCACCGCTTCTATTAAACATCTTTCTTATTACACCGGCTGTCTTCCTGTTCCTCACCCAACCACCCGTGCGCTCCCCGCAAAAGGCCAAACCGCCCCGCAAAGAAAATGACAAAAATGACCGCGCCCAGGATGAGGCGGAGTCGTTGCCGGTACACCCTTTCTTGACAACATACCGAGCGTCCATGATGATCGTGACATGTGTCGCAATTCTCGCAGTCGATTTCCGAGCTTTCCCCCGCCGGTTCGCGAAGGTCGAGAACTGGGGTACCTCTCTGATGGACCTGGGCGTGGGCTCGTTTGTCTTCTCCGCCGGTGTGGTGTCTGCGCGCACAGTGCTGAAGAACCGAGCTTCCAAATCACCCAAGGCGGCTTTTCTTGGAAGACTTGCTGGGTCTGTACGGCATTCCGTCCCGCTACTGGTCTTGGGTTTGATCCGGCTGTGGAGTGTCAAAGGGCTGGACTATGCCGAGCACGTCACTGAGTACGGCGTGCATTGGAATTTTTTCTTCACTCTGGGTCTATTGCCGCCCTTTGTGGAGATCTTTGACACCTTGACTGTCTTGATCCCTTCTTATGAAGCACTGGCTCTCGGCATCATGGTACTGTACCAAATCGTTCTTGAGTCAACAGAGCTCAAGAGCTACATTCTGATCTCTCCCCGTGGGGCTGATCTCCTATCTAAGAACCGTGAAGGCATCTTCTCATTCTTGGGGTATCTGGCCATCTTTCTTGCAGGCCGTGGTTCGGGAACCCGGATCATTCCTCGGGGCACGTCGTCCAAATCCTCCCAGCAGGCAAGAAAGTCAGTCTTGGTTAGCCTTGGTCTCCAGTTGATGTTTTGGTCAACCCTCTTCTACTTCAACTCATACTACGCATTCGGTTACGGTGCCAATATCATGGTGTCGCGTCGTCTCGCCAATATGCCATATGTGCTGTGGGTTGCAGCTTTCAACTGTGGACAACTTCTCTTGTTTTGCTTCATTGAAACTGTCTTTTTCCCGGCCGTTCACCGGTCATCTGGCAAAGCAGATGAAGAGGAACGAACATCATTCGCGACCAGTCGCATCCTCCATGCGTTCAATCGTGGAGGTTTAGCCGTTTTCTTGATTGCCAATCTGTTGACTGGAGTCGTCAATCTGACTATCCCTACCTTGGACATCAACACGCCGCAAGCGATGGTCATTCTGGTCATTTACGCGGCGATTCTCACCGCTGTGGCGCTGGGAATGGACAAGGCAAACATCAAGTTGCGGCTGTAAATTTATGTTGACGTGTATATAATTAGAGTATTCAAGCTTAAAAGTATTGTAGATCATCGAGTGCATCAGCTGACGCCCCACGTGCAAAGAGCCTCGGCATGTGAGATCATCGCGCCAGAAAAAACAGCTCTAACTCCGCATCCAACTTTCACGGACCTTCATTTTCCAGCTACGCAAACATGAGTTCTGAAAATCGTTCGTACCTGAAATACCCACCAGCTATTGAGGGGCCACCTGTTCCCTACAAATATGAGGATCAGTCTATTCCGGTGTTCCGTGGGACTCCTCTGGTGATTGGTGCAACCTTGTGAGTTCGCAATGAAGCTTCTTCCACTTCCTTTATAGCTCGTCGCATTCTCATGATTTCTCTTCTGCTTAGAATTCATAATATCGGTTTCATCCAAAGTCATTTTTGGCGAACTGCAGGCTTTGGTGTCATTCGTGAGATCCCTCACCTCCACCAGTACGCTGGACGCTCCGACCCAAGCGTGATTCCGGTTGAGAAGGATACTCCAACCGATGTACCGACCCCCACGATCGCGAAAAGAAAAGGAAATAAAGGATACTATACATCGGCCGATTATCATGAGTTGTATGTGTCAGGCGCGCTGACTCCTACCACGGTCGTGGAGACGCTGCTGCCTTTGATCCGTCGCGATGTTACACCCGCGGGCAAGCATTCGACTGCATTCCTCGAGTCCCAAGTTGATATAATTCGTGCTGCCGCAGAGGAGTCCACAAAGCGATACAAGCAGGGCAAGCCACTGGGACCGCTCGACGGTGTGCCTGTTGCTATCAAAGATGAGGTTCATATTACAGGCTACAAGCGTACCCTGGGCACCAAGTTAGACTTCAAGGCTGGCAATGATGGAACATCTTGGTGTGTTCAAAAATGGCAGGAAGCAGGTGCAATCGTGATTGGAAAGACCACCATGCACGAGCTGGGCCTAGGTGAGTACAGCATCAGCCGATGCATTGTCTCGATTGAATAAAGCTTACCAGGACAGATACGACCAATAACAACCCCAATTATGGCACTCCCAAGAACCCTCACAACCAGAATTACTACTGCGGCGGCTCTTCTGGTGGCTCCGGATATGCTGTCGGGGCAGGCCTCGTGCCCATTGCGCTTGGCGCAGATGGTGGAGGCTCCATTCGCATTCCATCATCATTCTGCGGCATCTGGGGTCTAAAGACCACACATGGCCGCGTCTCTGGAGCTCCGTCCCTAAGTCTCGCACCAACTGTTGGTGTCCTCGGGCCCATGGCATCTAGCATTGATGATCTGGCCGTTGCCTACCGAATCATGGCAGCACCTGCTCCGGACACAGAGGATTCCACCTCGGCACTATTCTCTCAACCAGTTCCATTGCCCGCGGACCGGAAGCGAAATAAGGTTATTGGTATTTACCGTGACTGGATTGACCGCGCAGAACCAGCAGTCCGTGAAGTTTTTGACAGGTCGCTCAACTACTACCGCGAGAACGGCTACAGTGTCGTTGATATTTCAATTCCGTATCTCCCAGAGGGTCAAAAAGCCCATGTCTTGACGATCATGGCTGATATTGCGTCTGGTGTCACCACCAGCCAGATCCGACATCTCACCGCCCCTAACAAGGTTCTTGTATCAATGGGCATGTACCAGATCACTGCACAGGATCTCCTCGCCTCTCAGCGCCTTCGTAACCTTCTAATGACTCACCTTTCATATCTCTTCCAGAAGCACCCTGGTCTGCTAATCCTTTCCCCAACAACCCCCATCCCAGGATGGAACATCCAAGGCGGAGAGGCGGACCTGGCCCGCGGTGTATCAGATGGCGGAATGTCCGTACGGAACATGGAGTATGTATGGTTAGCAAACTTCACCGGGTGTCCTTCCATCAACTGCCCTGCTGGTTACGACCCTGAGACCGGAGTGCCAATTGGCATCATGGCGATGAGTGACTGGGGCACCGAAGAGGATTTGATTGACTTCGCGCGCGATGGAGAGGCCATTTTGGATATTCCTGCCAACAGACCACCAGCTGCTAGCGAGACAGATGCATCCATGGACGGACTGCACATTCCAGCGGCCACTGGCTCGATTTGGGAGGATATTATTGGCAAAGCTACGGGGGCCCAGTCTGCCTAAAGTGCTATCAGGCTCTACCTTTCTTCTTGTTGTTGATACCTTCCCCTGGCAAAGATTTCACAGTTAGTCGAATCAAACCTGCCGTGACTCTGAACATAAATTGTGATTAAAACAATTTCGCCCATGCGTCCATATAATGACTTTGGATTGCGTAGTTTCACACGTAGAAGCCCTTTCACGGAAGATGATATTCCCATAATCTGTATACGATGGATTTGATAATTGATGCCCAGGAGTTTGAATCACAAGATAGTGAGTGGCTAAGCACGCCTTCAACAACGTGTTATCATCAACTACCGGGCGCTGGCTCCATCGAACCTAGTCCAAAGCACCCGTTGCATATCTGTGTTGAGTGGTCGAACTCTGATGAACGCCTCGGATCCATACGGAGAGGTTCTGTAAACAGGGAAAATGTTAGGATTACCTGACAGTCATCTCGTGAAAGCGCATCCGAAGACGACTACTATGTTTCTAATCCATATGAAAGACACGCGTGGGCAATACCGCGGGGCCGCGTGGGGCAGCGTGGGGAACCGATATGGGAGAGCATACATATTTTGGCATTTACAGTATTCAAGATCTCATGAGTTCCTAAAGCTCCCGAGAGAACTGAGCAACAATCATTATCTCAGCGTTGACTCGGCGTCCCACATACGTCGGGGGTCCACCCTTCTAGCCATGGATTCTATTCATGAATATGCAGGGCGAATTATGCAGGTCTCTTACTGAAGGAAAAATTCTTGAAGCTTACGCGCCCTCTCTTCAACTTGAGATCCATCGCCTACACCACCTCGAACCGAAACACGGTGTATCAATATGCCTTGTTCATTTCGAGACTTCGTTCCTCCGCCCGGGCAGCACCCGAGGTTGGGCGACATCAATTTCAACGACTTCGATCCGGATTCCTGGGCACAGTGGGGTATGAATCAGTCTTTCGTCAAGGAACTGTGGGAAGGCTGGCAAAGACTATACCAGGAGCCATTCCGCGGAGTGACCACCGACGGAGAGGTGAAACTGAACCTCTTCCATCTACGACGTGACGATGCACCCATCGAAGCGATGCAAGAAGCGGCGCAAGCACTGATCTCGGTAGCCGAGAAGCATTCAGTTGCAAATAAGCTGCGGTATCCAGTCTTCACTCTCTGTCCGTGGATATCAGAAAGCTCTTGATTGTATGAGGATCAATGGTTTTCTCGGCGATATCATCGGTACCTCTAATCTCATGAACGAGGGGAGTTACAACTTTATCCTGTTTGGAGAGCCCTCTATGACTGACTCCTGGGGCTGGTCTTTATGGGGGTACCACCTATCACTGTGTTGCTTTGCATTGGAGGATCAAATAGTCATTTCACCTGTGATTTTGGGTGCGAGCCAAATCAAATCGACGAAGGAGAACATGCAGGAACGGAGGTGTTTGCACTCGAGATGCAGCTAGCCGTGCAATTGATGCAGAGTCTCTCTGATGAGAACAGACAGAAGGCGATAGTCTATGACCAATTGGAACATCCAGATATGCCCGATGGATTCCCACACCCTGCAGATGGACGCACCTTGGCCGGTGCCTATGAAGATAATCGAGTGATTCCTTCCAGCGGCGTGAGGGTTTCTGAGTTTTCCGAGGCTTCTAAAGACATAATGATGCAACTTATTGAAGCGTTCATTGATTTCATTTCAAATGGGTCTTTGGATGCTAGAATGAACGATATCAAAGCTCATCTGGATGATACTTGGCTCATGTGGATGGGCAATTATACAGACTAGGACCCGTTCCACTTTCAAATCAACAGTCCGGTTCTCATTTGCGATTTCGACCATGAGTGCGGGATGTATTTATCTAACTCAGCGCCAGGGAGGTTCCATGTGCATAGCGTTGTGAGGACTCCGAACGGGAATGATTATGGGGAAGAGATATTGCGCCTCTGGAAGGAAAAGAACAGGCCCCGTTGAGCTTTCCGCTGTCTCATTACATACATATATCTGTGATCTTCAAATTAATGGATTCCAAGGCTTTCATAAAGACTCTTCCCTGTTTATGCGTTTCCCACGAGTTTCCAGTTATCTTGATCGTGTTTAATTCCAGATCAGCTTCCCGCAATGTAAGATTAGCTGTCATTACACCCATATAGGTGGACTGGGCCGGGAACTCTCAAAGCGTCACGGAACTGGTAAGACCGCTCTCAGGCTAGATAGCAACCACCGTGGACAAAAGGAACTTATCACACACGTACCACCTCGTGCAATATATTGATTGACCAGGTGAGCGTGCCCCACTCAGGTTACACAACTGAAAGCAAGGCACGGAACAGGAAGAGGCAGTTAGGGATAGAAGATCAAGCAACTACCAGGAGATAACGGGAGGAACAAGGGGAAAGACACCGGGAAAGGAGATGAAAGAAGAGACCGAAAGTGGGATATGCTGTGTGTGTTGTAGATATGGATCTGGTTTAGAGGACACAGAAGATTCCATCAATCTGCCCGGAGAGTAACAAGTGTGCTCTCTTTTGCTCGGTAAGAGGTATATCCCATAGGATCCACTCTAATCAACCCTGTGCGGAAGATGAGCATGAAATTCTGGACTGTGGCATATGATATCGGTGACTTACAGGCCAAGGTCTTCAAAGTGGAATTGCATATCTATGAAACCACCTTCGGAGATAACCGCCTCCAGGTGGTGATCATTTGTCTGGCGAATGATTCTACCAGACTCTTTGTGAGTAATGTGGTAAATACCGCGACCCACGAGCTTCATGCCGAAGTACTGAATTAATACCCCTTCCTGGCAAATGAAATTCAGACGACTGTGCAAATACATAAATACAAGTCAGCACAAAAATCACTCGTAAGTAACATGGATACCTCCTCCGCAATAAAAAAACAGGCATGGCTTTATCCACATTTAGATCTACAGATCTATAGAATATTGATCGTCACATGACATCATGACCGTACGGCTTCATGCAAGTTATATTGGGTGGACCCCCACTCAGGTTGCACAAGTGAAAGCCTAGAGCAAGGCCCGATTTTGAACGAAGGCTTCCTGCATAGGAATCTTACTACCTTTTGTGAAACTAGTCCTAATAAACAAGTGCCAAGGAGTCGGACTCTAGACTAAGCTTCCCAAGGTGGTGGACAGTGTATGCGATGCTGGGCTTCAAAGGGTTCAAAATGAGCGACCCTAGCTAGAACAAAACTCAGCTAGATCCCTGTCGATATACAATACTTCCCCACTATCCCCTCATCTCCGCCTCGAAGTAGGTATTCTTCCAGAGCTGATTGGTGATTAATCATACCTGAGGCCGATAGTGAAGGAGCCGAGGGGAAGGATAAGGTGAGCGGCGAGGGAAATAGAGGACCATAAGTGCCTACTACATGCATAGCAGTATGGGGCATTCAAATAACGAAATAACTATTTGTTAGGTCTGCTGACCACAGCACTCATGTCCTCTCCCTCTAGATAGACTTAGACTCTCTCTTTTCTCCATACCACACAATTCATATCATTCTGATACGCACGTTCCCTGTCACACATTTGTAGACGATTGTATCAGTTGCTCACTGTATGCTCCTGACAAACTCAGCGTGAATCATGCGTAAAATAATATGCTCTTGAGAGCGTATTGCTTATGTAACACATATTTGGCATGACCATAAAGCGGCAAGCGATATGCCCTAAACGGAATGGGAAAAGCCATCTCGCGAGGCCTAAAACCCGTGTGTATACGTATGCATCATTCTTAATTTCCCTACGGAGTACACGAACACATCCAAACTCCTCAAGCCCCATGAAATGGAAAAATTGGCAAACAACACCCTTGTTCTCCCCCGCCCAGGGACACAGAGGGCCAATGACACACAAGTAATCAAGGCCCCATCCGAAATGGCCTTCACCACAACATTCGGCAGTCTACTACCCAAGGCCTCATACCTAAAGACCCCAAACGGAGTCGCCGCATACTACTCTCTAAATCCAAGCTCAATCTCGAACTCGAGCAAAGTTTCCCATGTGTTGTTCATACACGGAGTTCAAACACCTGCAATCGGTCTCCAGCCACTAGCCACAACATTATCAGCGCGCTTCCCCTCCGCGCACTGCGTGCTAGTAGACCTATGGGGACATGGATTGACAGATACGCCCATTCTCCCCCACACGCCAGAACTATTCCACGATCTGTTATTAGCATTGATGCAGAGACTGGAATGGAACGATGCGCATTTTGTGGGGTACTCGTTCGGCGGGTCGACAACAGCATCCTTTGTCGCGAAGCATGCGGAGCGCGTGAGTTCAATGGTGCTAGTTGCACCTGCTGGATTGGTGCGCTCGGCGCAGTTTGATGAGGTGCAACAGGGGTATTTGCGGGGTGGTGAGGGGGTGGAGGAGCTGGCGCGGGAGTGGATTACGGAGTGGTTGGAAGGTGGGGAGTTGGTTGTTCCTCAGGATTGGAAAGAGAGGGTTGCGAGGGGGGAGATCGTCGCTGAAGCTGTGCGAGATTGGGAGGTTAGAGTGCATGAGGGGCATATGGCTAGTGTTGTGGGGATTGTTCGAGATGGAGGTGTTTTGGATAAACATGCTGCTTTTATTGAGGCAGCGGGAACTGATACACCGGGTTTGTGTATCTTGGGAGAGTTGGATGATTTGTGTAGTGTGCAGGATTTGACTGATGTCGGGATGAACAACGTTGCTGTTGTTCCGCAGGTTGGGCATGGCGTTGTTAGACAGAAGGTGTCCGAGGTGGCTGGTCTCATTGAGAAGTTCTGGTGTCAGCTTTAGGAGCTCCCCCGAGGATTTATGCATATAGATGCCCTAGGCTATTAGATGTAAATGAGGAATCGTTGAATGAATATGATTATTGTAAAGTCTATGAGCAGTACTGTCATGCTTTTGGTAGCGGGGATCTATCATTTATTCCCCTTGAACAGATGATCTGTAACAACTTCAAGCACACAAACCGGTGACAGGTGAGATAAAAATACCAATTGATACCACCAATCCACAGACATCAAGTACGGAAATGAAAGTAAAACCGCCGTGTTCGCAAAACTCCAGAATTCAACCTCGGACCGACAAGCCAAACCCGAACCCAAGACCCAGTTCATTCAACAGGAGATGGCCTCCGATGGATTCGGGAGAAAGAAACTACACCCCAGTTTGACTGCACTACTATGCTCGTTAAGCTCCTGTAAAATGCGCGGGCCGGGACTCCCGTCATCCCGGAGTGTCTCCTTGATATGAATGATATAAACAGACAATCCAGCCAAGGGTGGATTCTCGACATTAGCCCAGCGGGTAGGATCCGGGGAATCAAACTCTTCAAAAGAATAGAGATCGCTAAGTCCATCAAGAGGCTCGTTGTATGGGCCCCTCGACGAGGATGAACGTGCTTTGCCGCTGGAGCCACTCTGAGTACGCTTGTAGCGAGGACTGCCATCATCCAAGAAGTTTTCACCCAGTAGGGGACGCTTTCGCTTCCGATCAATTCCGTACTGGTTATCGCGCGAATACATGACCAAGTCCGCTAGAACAGTGAGCTCTGCAACGAGGTGACGTGGGCATAGATGACCGTAAAGATATGCGTCATCAGTATTATCATCGTAAGAGCACTCAATGAAGATGGCACGAAGTTTTCCATTGGCGATTTTGGGGGCTGCGGTTTCCCACACACGTCGGTTTCGTGGCTCAAGCGAAATTGAATCCGGTTCGACGTCACCAAAGACGATAATCTCATTTCCAGTTTCGTGGTCGCGGAGAAAGAAAGCAGAGCTTTCAACAGACGCTAGCATGGGCTCACCGGGAACAAGACGAGGCGAGCGAGCTGGGGAATAGTATCTAGGGAATAGTTAGCGTGATTGACAGATATGTGTGCCTTTAAAGCGTACCCCTCGCCAGACTGGTCCACAGATATCGCTCTTTGACGCAGGAGCCTTGTCTCTCCGTGGTTAAATACCGTACTTCCAGTACGATGATGAATTCCACTTTCTGGATGAAACTTCTGCTTGCACCGGCCATGGCTGACACTCAAGCATTTAGTCACAATTCCCTGGCACGCGCGAACATAGCCTCTGCTTTCTCCATTACCGAATCGGGGATTTCCACCTTCAACCAAGCGCTGATATGTTAATAGACCGGCACCGCCATCTTCATCCGACAAATTGGGCCAGATCACATCATTGAAAACGTGGTTTTTGATAGCGGCCAGCACAGACGGCAGAGCCGCAACGGGTTTTGGCCCACTTCCCGCTTCGATGATCGGCGTGTTGATTGCCAGGCCGGAAACATGGTCCAGGTGGGGATGAGTGATCAGGAACGCGCCAATAACTTCCCGGAAGATGTGCGCCGCATTAGCCTCGGCGGTCGCAAAGGGTAATTTCAGACCCTTGAAAGGTCCTTCTTTCAGGACTGATTTGGCGCGGCTATTCTTCGAACTTGAGATATGTGGCCTCAGTATGTTGATGATACCCGCCAGCATAGTCCCCGCATCGACAGCTACGACCGATCCGTGGGACCAGTCTGTGGACTTTGATCGGACAAGAAGGCCGGTAATTCGGTCTTCACATGGTCCACCAGTGGGTCCCTAAACGGGTTTGGTCAGCATTATGTTCAGGAGTGGGAGGATTTCATATGCCAGAAGCCGAGATGATCTGCGAAGGCAACCCTTAAGGAAATTAATGCGAAACATGCTGGATGTAGTCGAAACACCCCGTGTCTACAGCACGTGATTCTTGTGAAGTTCTAGACGAGGAATCGACCTACCAAAACGATGACCTCAAACGACGGACTGTCTGCCATTGTGGTCCCGGAGTGGATCCTCCCAAGTCACTACCAGCCAAGGGCCAATCTTCCGAGAAGTGGGAAAGGATCGTGTAGACAATTGCGCTGTTTCAAAATTCAACTGTTTCACCGGAAAGCTCAGGCAGATTAGTCGACCACGGCAGAAACTGAAACCGTAGCGCGGCTAACAGAAAGATTGCACGCCCTGAGTGAATCGAGCCGAGCGACAAATATTGCAATCCAGTCCACCGCAAGGTGCGCAGGCACAATGTGCAACTTGTATGCACGCAGGGATTCGGAATTTGCGGTCAAGCACCGAACAAAGCCACAGCACGCGACGGGCAGGCTAAGCCGGAAAAGTCCGTATCACACAGTGTCCACAACAGGTCAAAGTCGAGAAAAGCACTTGCGGAAAGAACCAGAGCCTGTTGTCGCCAGGGAAACTCTCGTCGGGAGTGGACTTCTTGCTTTACGCAACCGCGACAGGGCGGCGCGTGCAGGGGCGGGCACACGCTACTGCACACGAAATCTGCAAATACGGAGAGACTGGCTGGCAATGGAAGACTATTGGCTCTGGCTTCCGGCACCTGCAGCACCAGTCTCGTGTAATGTATCGCGTCGCAAAGCTGGCGGAGAGTAATTGAGAGCGATGCGTGCACGGGCTTGTGGGGCGAACTGATGAATCGCAACGAGACTGCGGGACGACGCAGATCTCGACCTTGGGAAGCGTGCTTAGATATAAGAGGATTGAGATCACGTATCTTCAGTTTAGAACCTACCTGAGGCAATTGTTCAGGGGGTGGAGAAGAGGATTTACACGCGGAGAAGATTGTGGGGGGCGGCAACGCATTAAATCCACTTTCGCGCTCTGAACTCAATATCGATTGCAGAGAACTGCGTCTGGCCGTGGTAGCGCTTCGCTTTCCCCTACATCTCATGACTCTCTGGTCTCTTTTGACCTGTTCTATGCGCGAACGAACTTCGTTATCTTGGTTTTCTTTGTAACGGCAATGCATTTTATCATAGAACCCATAAAAGTGGAGCTGATAAAGCTCTGGATGATATCGATTTATCGATAACTGCCCGCAAAATGACGTTGACACTTCGGAGTAGCTACTATACGTAATGGAATTGGACTTTTGTAGAGCATGAAATAGCCAAACTTGATATTCGCTATCGGAAGATGCATCGACAGCAGGATTCTTGAGCGGATGCTAGATGACGAAATGTACAGACCTGCTGCCAAAGGATATCAAAACAAAAAGCAGTGGAGCGAGCGAAAGAGAGGTGAGAGATGACTGAGCTCCCCTATACATGACTTCGTTGGGGATCATGATCCCAGTAATAAAAAACACATTGGCGAAATCCCCAAACATAGACCGAGAAGGAATAATCGGTGCACTAGCCCTCCCAAGAGTTGAAACGCCGCCTGAGTAATCGCTAAATGAAACAAAGAGAATGAAGGGTCGATAGTGCTCGAAGCACCGTGGACCGTGAAAACGAAAGGAAAACACCGGGGGTATGCTTGCTGACGAGAGACGTATAATGAAACTTTGGCGTAGTAATTTGTCGGTGAACACCCATTTACTCGTGTTCATTGCTGGGGTCCCGATCTATTGCGGCTTGGTAGCTCGGTAAGTTTTGATATTCATGCTCGGCATTCACCTGAGGATTCAATGCATCGGGGCCTTGAGGTGGGAATTCCAGGGAGGCGTCGCTACCTCTGCGGCTGCTGCCAGGACTCGAGTATTCAGGAGGAAGAATTCCGTCTTCATCAGGAACTCCAGGCAATGGATGGTCGACAGTGACACTGTCTTCGCCATCAGCAATCCGACTGGATCCCTCGCCAGCATCTTCATTGGAAGGGATGTGGGTCAGCTGGGCAAGAGAAATATCAGTCGGAGAGCGGATCGGGCCAGGACTGACCGCCTGGGGAAATCCGATGCTGGAACGTCTTGCCGTATGGGCTTGGTAAACGCGCTGAGAGATTGTGGCAGCGCTCTCTCGCCCGGACTCAAGCAAGATGCTACCGTGTTCGCTACCATAAGGTGGAGGCGGCGCGAGGCTGCCAGTCATGGGGGCCAAGCCCCATTTCTTGACATTAGCTTCGATGAATACGAACCCCATTTGGCCAAAATTAACATGCACGCTGCAGGGGCCATTCGCCCCAACGGTTGGGAACAGGTTCTGGTTGCGATAGTTGTGGGCAACGTCCTCTAATTTCTTGCCATTTCGGGTAAAGAATATCGTGCCAGACCTGGGACGGTAACCAACACCGATTACGTCGCCTTGGAGGAGCGGAGGGCCGTATGGAGATGGTGCGAAAGGCTGATTGTGTCGACGATGGCCGGTGGATTGGTAGGCAACAGAGGTTTTATGGAAGCCTGGAGAGTCAGTAAGTGGCAATCACATGAAGCAGGTACGACATATCCATACCAGGCATTCGGAACAGAGGATAAGGCTTGGTGGTGAAGCCGACACCAATCATTGTCGACTCTGGTTTGTCGTAGATTTTGGCTTCCCAGTAGTAAACCTCATTCTGCTTAGGGACAGGCAGGTTGGTCTGCACACTGCACTCTGAGTCAAAGAACTCGATCTCTGTGCGACCTTCCACAAAACAGTTGGCAATCTCCAGCTCAGCCTGGAATTCCCATGCTGAGACACCTTTTTCTTGAATGGCCAAGAATTGTGACAGGGAAATGTCGGTCTGCATCGATTCGGGTGGGTTGGCTTGAACGAAAGCTATACGATTCAGTCAGCAAGACACTTCACTAGATTGATAGTCTGGAATTCTCTTCCGCCGTACCTTTCGCTCGTAGATATTCCGACCGTGATAGGTCATCCATGCCCTCCAGGGCTGTTTCTTCCTCCCGCGCAAATGCTTGTTCATCATCATACTCACCCGGGCGGCCCATCCGGTCGAGCATAATCCGGCCCCGATTGGTATATTTAAAGAAAAAAAAGATCGCCAGAATCGTCAAGGCGATCGCAGCTGAGCCAAAGGCCGAAAATAGCCCAATGAGGACGCCTTTGGTGGTTGAACCGGTTGAGCCGGACGAGTTGCCACCCGATGCAACCACGCGCCCACTGGCGATTTCCGACGAGAGCGATTTGAGCACATATTGCAGATTCGCTTCGATTTGTTGTCGCGACAGGGACGACGGGGTCTGTGTAGATGGAACGGTCGAAGAAAGGAACCCGAGCGGTGACGTCGTCGGGCTGCCTATCACCGTTCTCAGCGTAGACGGCAGGCCTGCGAGCGCACCGGGGCCCGATGCCTCATGGCCCTGCATGGTGCATTGACTAGTGGAGAAGACCGAGTGGAATCAAAGAAACGAAAAAATAGAAAGCGCTAGATGGTCCTATGTGTGGGGGGGGATCGATGAAAGCGAAGAGGGAGGAATTAGGCGGAGTTGGAGGAAAGTGGAATGATAAGTGGGCGAAAGCGGATCCAATTGCTTGGTTTATCTAACAGGCTTTCGGGCGCAAGTGACAGTCACGGCGAAGACTGTTTTCAATATATAATCTATCATAAAGACTAATTCTACTGTTTTATACTTTGAGCCTCCTTTCCTTAATCCCTATCCGCCTTGGAATCTCCTTTACTTTCGCTGTGTCAGGAATGGCAGTATCGCTGATAGGGTCGGACTGCGTACAGCACGCCAAAAGGCGGAGCCATCCCTACTCAGGATAAGCCTCCCTCTTCTCCTCTTCCCCTCTCGCGTGGCTCCTTACTTGCAGAAGAAAGTAAAGGAGAAGTGATCCCTCTCAATCTTTTCCCGCACAGACATCACAATCACACGATGGGCGCCACTACTCGAGGTACTCCCTTGGCGGGCCCAGATGTCATCATTAACTCAGTCGACGCTTACCAGATCCGCCTTGCCGTGACAGGCACCTCCTGCGATAAATACCCAGGTGAGCCTCGCTTCCTTCGTATGGAACCAGGAGTCATTCCGAAGGGCTCCAACATGCCTTCAGATGACCTTCCGACCTTCCTTCGACCTACTACTGGATCCCGACCGATGATCATGCCGACGCCGAGCTAACACAGATCCCAGCCAAGCAGCATGCGCGCAACGTTGCCCGCAAACTCGGCGCCTCCCACGGCTTGATTTTCATCGCCGGCGAACCCACAGCTTTATTGCGCGACTCCGATCAAGAGCGCCCCTTCCGACAGCGACGATATTTCTACTATCTGAGTGGTGTGGTTGAGCCGGAATGCGCTCTAACCTACGATATCAGCTTAGACCTCCTGACGCTCTATGTGCCGGATTTTGACCTTCATCGGGCCATATGGATGGGTCCCACTCTGACTCGGGAGGAAGCAATGGATAATTATGATATCGATCGCGTCCTTTACCAATCGTCGCTCCAACAGGAAATAGGATCATGGCTGAGCGAACGAGTGCAGAGCAGCTTGTTGTATATGGTGCATGCGTCGGAGCTCCCGAAGGGGCTACCAGCAGAATTGCCACTGGACTCGTCGCAGCTCCTGCCGGCCATGAATGCAGCCCGAGGGATCAAGGACGAATATGAGATCCGAATGATTCGTAAGGCAAACCAGATATCTGCGCTGGCGCACCGAAAGGTTCTGGAAGGCATCCAGAAGATGACGAATGAATCACAGATTGAGGGGCTCTTTCTTGACACGTGCGTTTCTCATGGTGCTCGGAATCAGGCATACCAGATTATCGCAGGTTCAGGACCGAACGCAGCCGTTCTTCACTATTCTCGGAACAACGAGACTCTTGCTGGGAAACCTCTTGTATGTCTTGACGCTGGTGCTGAGTGGGAGTGCTATGCTAGTGATGTGACCCGGACATTCCCCCTCAAGGGTGAATGGCCCAGCAAATATGTATCAGACATTTATAAGCTGGTCGAGCGGATGCAGGAAGAGTGCATCAAGGGAATCCGACGAGGCACCCGCTTTCTCAATTTACATGACTTGGCCCATGATATCGCGATAGATGGCCTGTTGGCTCTTGGCGTCTTGAAGGGTGGCTCACATGCGGAGATTCGTGCATCAGGTGCATCAAAGGTTTTCCTCCCTCATGGACTGGGTCACCATGTTGGGCTCGAGGTCCATGATGTTTCCGAGTCGGAGATCATGGCCATGTACCCCGGACTCGACCAATCTCATTATGGCCCGGTCATGAATTATGCAGTTTGTCGGTCCCCTTGTACAGTGTCTGCCCCCTTGTTAGAAGAGGGCATGGTGGTCACTGTTGAGCCGGGACTCTACTTTTCACCCTTGGCTCTTGCCAATGCCCGTAAGCAGCCTCTTGCTAAGTATATTGATTTCGAGGTTGCGAACAAATATGTTCATATCGGTGGTGTGCGTATTGAAGATGATATCCTCGTTACGGCGAATGGTTACGAGAACCTTACTACTGCACCGAAGGGAGAAGAAATGCTCGCAATTATTCGGGGCTCTTCGCAGGATTGTTAGGATAATTCATATATGTACAAATGCAGCTCTGCGGGGACGTAATTGTTGTTCTTTGAAGAGGTAATCTAAACCTTATTTCTAGTAGACTCTATACAGCTAGAAAAGGACCCTGGCGAATTGAGTCTTCTTCAAAGTTACTTGCAGTACTGATGTGTTTCAGTCCCTTTAGCCGTACCTCGTATTTTCACCTCTCCCTTGGAAAGACCATTCGAATCACAAAAAGCCCACCTGTCTGCTCTTGTCTAATCAAAGGATGCGCCTGTAATCCACCGGGTCATCATGTCCACCGCAATATCAGGACGATCTTGAGGAAGCTGTTGAGTAAATCAAATTAGCATATCCATCAATTCTGACTGGATAGGGAGTATTTACGAAGTGACCAGCATTATCAACCGTGACAATAGCAAAGCGCGACTCGATCTTTGCGTCATCGCTCGTGCGAACCCGGACTTCCTTCATCGTTCCAACTACCTCTTCCTTACCAGTTGCAGCAACAACCGACTTCCACGGCTTGAGCGACTTAGACGCAAATTCGGCCTGCCCTTTCCATACTAATGAATTTGCCCAGCGGAGGTTCCCAGCAGTGTTGCAAGCAAGGTCAAGGTTACCTTGGTAAGCTAAGTAATGAACCTGGTTCTGGAGCAAATAGGTGACTTGGTCGTCGGTAGATATCTCTAAATCCGCGGTCTTTGCAAATGAGCGGGAAATGTTGTCGGAGGTTGTGTTATAATGTTTAATCTGTTTCGGTGGCGAGAGTGCATTCCAGATAGTCGGGGTGTTGAGGTATTCCTGAATCCATGCAGCTTCAATATAGCAGAGGTCGGCATATTCGCATTTATGAGTGACTATGGTTTGTAAGCAAAACTCTGAGCCCATCCACGATTCTGAAATGGTTTCTGTCTGTTCTGTGATGGACTGGGCTTACTATCAAACCTATTGCGGCCACCCTCGAATCCTGACTCGTTGTCATACCAACTCACAACATTGTCCCAGCAGACTTGATTTGCGGCATTGCAGATCGCAGGGTCAGGATTTCGAATGCAAGTATCCATGACTTCCATACAGCGGGGCATATTCGCCGCCATGATATCGCATCTTGTCTTGTTGAATACAGGCTCTGCTACTCCCGGATTCGTAGTACATAGCGTCTCCCAGTATCCGAACGCCGAGTCTTTCGGAGACATGTACCCATCTCCTACTAGACACGATCGAAGCTGAACTTGAGGTTCATTCGGGTAAAGCTTGTTTTGTTTGACAATTTGGGCGCCGAGGGCTGGAATATATTTCCCCTAGGTTCATGTTGTTAGCACAAGCGTCTTGTGGCGGTGGAACCTGGATATGTTGGGAAGAGGGCCAAATCTTACGGCATAAGACTCGCCAGACAAATGAAAAGAACTATTGAGATGCTGAGGGAAGACTTCTGAGACGAAAAGCTGCAGGAATCGATGCATATCCACAGCAGCAGTCGCAGAATCGCCGGGTAGCTCATACCCTTCATCGAGATAGGAGAAGCCGACATCCACAGGCTGGTCAACAAACAGCATGGATGAGTTCCGAGACCATCCAAACGGGTTGTACCTGGTCCCATTCCCATCTTTATTGATAAGACAGGGCCCAACCTCTTCGAAAAGGCCAATCATACTTGACCCGCCAGGTCCACCAGTCATCCATAGAGTTAAAGGATCATTGATAGGGTCGTTCTGACTTTCAAAGTACCAGAAGAAAAGATGTACGGGTCCAATATCCAGCCAACCGGTATATTGAGCCGAGCCAGCTGCACAGATGGTTTCATCTTGCTGGCGAATACGGATAGCGTGATCACTGTGTTGACTCTGGAACACGCGAAAGCCATCAGCGCTCTCAGGCTGGAGGACCTGCTGAGAGGCTGCAAAGCCTAAGCTGAAAAGACTAGCAAATGAGAGGAGCCGCATTGGAAAGAGATTATATTTGATAATCCAGTTACAAGAAGGGATGAGAAGACATTAAGAGAGCGGCTGCTGCCTTTTCCCCCCATATATACAAGGCTAGACCGTCGGACCTCCGAACTAAGCGGGGTCGATGCAGGGATCTAGATAAGAGGCAGCAGCTTTCTGTAGGCTTCTTATCTGGATCTATAACAGTAATTTTGAAGCAATTCAAACAACAATCATATACTCGAATTGATGCACAAGGCACGATGGATGGACATGACATAAGTTGGAGATTATTTACCCGCTTTAATCTCCAGATCGTCGCATTCATTGCCGACTTTTCTCGGCATCGGCTTCGTACTCGTATTGTGGGCCTGGTTTAGGAAATTGAAGTGCATTATTGCGCGTATCGGATTTGGATGAATTCTAATACGACCCCCTATCCATAAAATGTCCTGGGAAACCCAAATTTATGCACCGAACCGGCTCCTCAAGATGCCGACTCGCTTTTTCGATGTCGATCAACCCCAGAATAGACGTTTAGCCCCGCAACATGGTCTTTCATAACCTTGAGACCTCGCCCCGGCATGGTGAGAATCCAGCTATTACCATTCACAATGGAAGCAACCATGCAGAAAGATGTTGTATCGGAATTGGTTTTCTGGGCACGCCCCGACACCCAGCCCTTCGTTTCGGACTTCACTAAGGAGAGGCCAGAGGAGTGTATGGCTGCCATGAAGAAGCCGGAGGAGAAGCATATGGTCACAGTGCATGATATGCGTGGACAGGAATCGCAGTTAACCCTTGATGAACATGGGTTTCAGTATGTGCAGCATGAAATTCCAGGGCTGGATAGAGCCGAGGACCCTACACACGTGGAAACTGTCATCATTCCTCAGACAGAGGAGTTAGTTAAAAATGTGTGAGTGAACATCAGGGGTTATGTTGTGTGAGGGCTGGAACAGCTAACCCCACTAGAACTGGCGCGACAAGAACCATCACTATTGCTCATCGTGTACGATGCCTTGCAGTGGATGAAAATCTCCTTGCCAATAACCGCGCACCAGCCCATAGTGTGCATTCGGACTTCAGTGTTCCAGGCGCATTCCGCATGCTTGAGACAACCATCCCAGACGAAGAGGAAAGGAAACAGCTGCTCAATGGCCGTGTGGAGATCATTAATGTCTGGCGACCATTAAAGACAGTGGAAAGAGACCCTCTAGCGGTGTGTGACTGGACCACACTCGACCGGAACGACATTATCCGTCATCGGCTCGTCTTGCCAACTGGTTGGAATGAGCTCGGGAAATATGTCTTCAATCCAGCGCAAAAATGGTGCTATCTCAGCGCGCAGCAGCCACACGAAGCATTGATTTTCAGGCAATTCCTCAGCCATAAGGCAGATCAAGGGGGCATGAGTCTGCCTCACACGGCATTTGTGGATCCGGATTCGGTCGACGGGCCTGCAAGGGAGAGCATCGAAATCAAGATGTTTGCCTTTTCTGACGTTACCCACGTGCGCCAATGAGACAGGTTTCCAATGCGTGGTCGGCGTGGTTGCTGGAATGCGGCATTTATGGCAGCGCGCAGAATGTTCTACGATCCGCTGCGGTGAACTGTAGCGAAGAAGCCTTAGCTACATGTTGAGAATCTAAAGGATTGCTTGGTCATGATTTTTCCCGCAACACAATTTGGGGGCTTTAAAAGGATTTTATTGAGTAATCCAGTCCATGAAATACGGAGTCTTCGCAAAGTCCGAAACAAGTTTCTGTTGTGTAAAATGCTACTATTAGTAGCATGGAAAAAATTTTCATGTTGGTCTGAGCTGTTCATAGCGCAGCTCTAGTTTCGGAGGGCCAATTTCCCTCCGAAAGAAATGGTCTATGCTTTTTTTTTTCTTCCATGTTTTTTTCTCCTGCAGTAACAAAGGGGGTGAAAAGGGTGAAAAGTCGGGTGTAACAGGCTTGAATTTCCGTTGCCTGATGTGATCTCCGTTCGGACCGTACGGCACTTGCGCCTAAGGTACGCTGCAGCCTATGACTGGAATGGTCTGGATCCGCCCGGCATCGGAGTCAAGGATTTTAGCTGTCAGGGACCCGAGTGGCCGATCTATTTCGCTCTTTCGTCATTCTTGAGGCCCGACGCTGTTTCACACATTCCAGGCCATTTGTAAAACTCAGCCGAAACATCCTGTTTGTCAAAGGGAAAATGCCGCAAAGCTGCTCGAAATTGACAACATCGGTGATTCCTGGATCAATTCCCTGTAGAAATCACGCGATGAAAATGTCGTCAACTGACTGACGCATCGGAGCACGCCTTTTGCGTAAGCTAGTGTCAGGGTTTGGCGCCATTTTTTAGAGCAATAAGGTGATCTGCCGGGTTGTGGTGGTTCCACCATCGAAGGAGTGGGGCCCTTTTGCCTTTTTCTCCCCTGCGTGACTCACCTAGCGACTCATATGGGGAATGCAGCTGCAGCTATTAAAAGCGCCTCAACCCCTGTAGTAGATCTTTTTCTTTTCTCCTGCACCTCATCTCATCCTTTCCCAAAGGGGGTGATGGTCACTCCTCTCTGTCTATAAAAGTTCTTTGCATCCCCCATTCATCTATCCCGGCTGGGGAAGTCCTCCCCCGAATTTCTTCTACATCCCGTCGAGGATGGGCCAGAGGCACAATCGACGCCGCACTCGTCGTTCCTCATACCGAACAATCCAGAAAGATACCACTGCCATCAATCACACCTCGAGTTCTCCATTGGTCTCAACTTCCATTTGGAGTCCATCAACCAGCTATTCGACTGCATGCAATCCACGTGGATCTCCGGTCCCAGTACCCGCCCCAACCTGGCACTATGGGTATTCAGCATGGCAGATCCGTGAAACCGAACCGCAGGAAACTGGTGGAATCGAGGCCGAGCAGTATCGTCTATTCGGTGGTGAACCAGGCGACGATGTGAATCTCTGTTATCGTATGCTGGAGTACTTCGGTGGTCTCGACTACATCGACTCGTGAGTCAAAGCTGATATCGAAACCTTTTAACGACACTATATCTGACTCATCCCGATATAGAGCACGACACAGGTCCATCGGAGACTGAAGATCAGGACTTTCCAATTTCTTCTTTTTTGTTTCAGCCGGAATTCCCCAGAAAAAGCAAAATGAAATTAACGACCACGACTTTTTGATTGCGATGATTTATTGCTTTTTCATCCATCAACCCTCAAAAAAACACCGCCGATCATGGCCATAGGACAACCGTCCTCCGCATCCAGCGCGCCCACTTCTACTAAGAACACCAGACCACATGGGATCATCTGGGTCCCCGACTCGCAGCAATGATGGTACCTCGTGAGGTACCGGATTGGTCCTTTTTGACCCGGCCATGTGGATCCTGGATCACGATTTTGCACCGACTTGGATGAGTCACGAGCAAGATTCCGCTTGACCCATTGGTTGAGTTCGCGACCGACCCTCACGGGTTGTTGACGCTTGAGTTCCCACTGAGTCATGCAGGAACTAGTCTTGACTTTTGCATCTCCAGAGTGCATATCTGTTCTATCTCACCTCCATATTTTGCATATTGGAGGCAGTTGCTTGGGCAGCCGCACAGTGAAAAAATGTCGACGAAAAATCTTCGATTCTCATGACGATACTTGTACATGTTAGCACCTTGGCCTTTTGCCTAAGGATTTATGCACAAAATCGAATTTATTCAAATAAAAATTAAAATTCATCTTCGGAGTATCTTTCAGTAGTCCTTATGTGAGACGTAAAATTACTAGATGTAGTTAGTAGAGTCGATCCTTAGGTGCAATGTTGTCCTTTGCTCACCGCCCGCGCCACACAAAGGCACAAAGACAAGCGCACTCGTTATTAGGTAGGCGGTGAGATGCTTGAGGACACGGTCATCACCAGATCAGGAAGGGCCAATAACTCTCCCTTCATCGCTCCTTTGTTTCGCTACGGGCCATGATAGAGGTTCCGCTGATTACTGCTTCTTTTTAATATTCTCGAGCTTCTCCTTCATCTGCCTATCCTGAGTGGCCCGCCAGATTTGCATAAACACGATCTTTAAATTCCGCGGCGGCGCTATCGCCCTGAACTCGCCGCAGGATGTCGTCAGACTACACATACGATGAGCAGGTAGGCAAATGCCAGGCACTATAGAAAAGAAGATCTTCAAATTGACTCAATCTGACTTGGTGCTCTTACAGGGACAATTCTTCCCTTTCTTCATCTTGACCTTGAGCGGCCTGGTCACGCTCCCTCTTACCTATAACCTTCTTCGACCAAGCAAAGGTGTGTGTGTCGGCCAATTTCAAAGATTTTAGTGTATGATATTGACTGGTCGCTTGGCAGATCTTGAGAACACCGCACCCCGCATTAAATCCGATTTCAAACCTGAACATGCGGACCTCGTCGAGGCACAGAAGCGCAAGCGGCTGCGCAAAGAGCGCCGTATCAAGCGCATCATCACAGTTATTCTAGGATATATTGTTATGGCGTGGATGGTTTATCTCATTCTCGTCACGGCCCGCACAGTCACAAAGTCCTACGACCCATATGACATTTTGGGTGTCTCAAGGGTGGGTGTTATACGCTAGAGTAGCTGACCAGACTTCCAAAAACCTCATACTGACAGAATGCTTTGATATAGAGTGCCGACGAAAAGGCCATCTCCCGTCACTACAAGCGTCTCTCCCTCGTTTACCACCCGGATAAAATCCGCCCCGACCCCGCCAAGAATGAAACTATTGAGATGCTGAATGAGCGCTTCGTCGAACTGACCAAGGCTTACAAGGCGCTGACTGACGAAGAGGTCCGGAACAACTATCTCCAGTATGGCCATCCCGACGGCAAGCAGAGCTTCAGCATCGGCATTGCGCTTCCCAAGCTTATTGTCATGGATGGCAATGGCAAATACGTATTGCTGGTGTATGGTGCCCTGTTGGGCGTTCTCCTGCCATACATCGTCGGAAAGTGGTGGTACGGTTCTCAACGCTATACCAAAGAGCGTGTTCTTGTGGCTAGTGCTGGAAACATCTTCCGGGAGTACAAGGATGATATCTCTGATAACGGCATCGTTGGCGCCTTGGCTTCGGGCGAGGAGTTCAAGGACATCCTTAAGGGCGACAGGGCCGAATCCGGGCTTGCTAAATTGGAAAACAAGGTCTTGGCCGAAGAAAATCTCTTCTTGTCCACACAGGATCGTGAATATTTAAAGAAACTGGATAGCGTGACCCAACGGAAGGCCCTAGCTTTGCTTTGGGCTTACATTGGCCGGGTTGATTTGGGAGATACGGCTCTGAATGCAGAGAAATACGAGGCTGCACCCGTGGCGCTTTCTCTCAGTGAGGCGTTCACGGCCATTGCTCTTGCGTTTGGTAACCTCCGGCCGATCATTGGTGCTTTCAAGGCTTCTCAGAGCTTGATCCAGGCTGTGCCTGCGAACTCTTCTCCCCTCTTGCAATTGCCTAACTTCACCGATGACGTTGTCAAGGCCATTGAAGGAGCGGATTCCAAGGACCATTTCACAGTTCAGAAGTTCATGAAACTCTCAGAAAGCGAGCGACGCAGCCGTGCTGTTGGACCTGGCCTTCTCACCGAGAAGCAATACATCGACGCCATCTCAGTTGCACAGCAATTACCTGCCCTCGAAGTCTCTAAGGCATTTTTCAAGGTTATGGGAGAGAAGTCCGTTACGCCTAGTAGTCTGGTACAGCTGGTTGTGAAGGCTCGGTTCATTCCCCCGGGCTGCAAGGATATTCCCGAAGTCAACGCGCTGGATCTTGAGGACATCGACCCCGATGAGGATGATCTGGATGCTCTGATGGGTCGTAAGCCGGCTAAGAACCGCGCTACCAAGATGGTCGATGGCAAAAAGGTTGATGTCAAAATCGAAAAGGTCCAACCGCCACTCGCCCACGCACCCTACCTCGCCCGCGACCACTCCCCTCGCTGGCACATTTTCCTCGCCGATGCTAAGCAGGGCAAAATGGCCGTTCCACCATTCACATTCACCACATTCGACAAGCCAATCCTCAACGAGGCCGGCCAGCCCACCTTCAACGTTCAGACCCTCAAGATGCAGTTCCAAGCTCCTCCGCAAGTTGGCGCCTTCACATTCATCCTGAACATGATCTGCGACAGCTATCTGGGTCTAGACACCCAGCTGGGAATTACTCTACACGTCGAGGATCCCGCCAAGGCGGCAGCCGTGGAAGAGGAGGACGACATCAGTGAACCGGACGAGGGTAAGTTCTTTTCTTGCGGTCTGTGTCCTTTGCCACTGAGATACTAACCATTTTTACAGACTCTATCGCGGGCCAGATGCAAGCGCTCAAGACAGGCCAACCCCCGAAAAAGAAGACCCGGAAGGCTTCCGATTCCTCCAGCGAGGAGGAGAGTGACACCGACGGCGATGCAGGCGATACCAGCGACACCAACACAGAAACGGAAGATGAGGATTGATCGCATATGATTTGCATTCATTGAATGATTGTACCCAGGACTGGTGTGACATTACGCTTTCCATTTCGATTGATTAAGTTCGATCTGGGCCTTTACACTTTTTTTTTCGACCACCATTTGTACCGTTTTTATTTCATGTCTCCCTTCGGGTATAGTCGGGGTAGTTTTTTCTCATTGCAACTTGGCTTCGAGGCTGGTATTTTGCCTGGGCCTTTCCCCCCTCATGTCATCTACCTCATGATCCGTCAACGCCGGAAATAGACGGGGGAAATACAAAAATACAGAATCATTTACAACTAATCCCGAAATCTGGACACTTGAGCATATCCATTTATCGAAGCTGTATTGTCTAAGATCGAGCTTGTCCTCTTGCGTGGTCCACGGGCGTCCTTGCGTGCGTCTGTGCTACATTCTTCCCTTGCACAGATACCTGAGAGAGCTCATAATTGCTAAGCAGGGGAGTGGAGGTGAGCTATGGCGTGTAGCACATAGACGAACAGTATCAATCTTCCGGGGTTGTCTGTGCGTCTGTACCTGTACGCCATGATCGGGGTTGTCAGGTTCCTGGGTTCATGCCGGCGGCTTTCTAAACATCTTGCGTGGTGCTCAGATCTACTTTCTTCACCGCAACTTATTCTGAAGATGCTATTTAGGTGCTGCTTGCGTTTAGACCTCTGAAATGATTGCTATTGAATCGAACTCGGGATCTACTTGTTTCTCGTAGGACGAGTAGATGGGTTACTGTCACTTACATAGCTAGATAAATTCCTAGGTACCCAAATTGATTATTGCCTCTCGAACCTTGAAAGTATTTCAAAATCTATGTCATTTGTCTCCCTTGCGTGGCACGCTCCCTGCACTGCTTTTGCTCACCGAGTAGAACCAAGTGAGCGCAGTAAGACATCGACTAATGCTTACCGTTGGGAACTGCATCCCAGCCCTCAGTACTCATTTGTACTTCATTTGAGATCCAAGAACCTAGTACCTGGTACCTAGAGCCCACTTAAGGAGATATCCTAGGTTTTAGGTGGCAACAGGCTCTATAGATCCTCGCGTTGTGAACCCAGTGGCAAAGGTTAGCAAGGCCAACCACGAAACTGCCATTGAAGTTAAGATATCGGATCTGACGTGTTCGTCTCTACCGGCTTGCCTATATAGTCTAGATCATTGAGTTGCCTGCTTCTTCATTATGCAGGTTACGTGCTTTGATCGGTTTGCGAAACAAGGGGATGGTGACATGAACGATGCGCGGCAGAAAAATCAACGTCGACGTTGCGTAAAAGAACCCCAATAGTAACCGGGGTTTAAATTACACAGTCAGAAGGTCACTAATATCCAGCAAGATACCCAGCTTTCTTTTCCTTTCTTGGTACATGATTTGAAAACAAGTGCACGGTCACCCCCAAGAAGCGATAGCTAGGATAGGGAATTCCGATCGCCATAGATCTATGTAACAGACTAAAGTAAAATATCAAGTTCTATTGAAGTAGCACCCTAAATGTGTAGCCTAAATGTCTAACCGTATGTCCATGTCCAAGTCAAGTATCACAATGTACATGCCACATGTATCCCACTCCATCGGAGTCCTGTATTCATCGTACACACAATCTACCGGTCATTGGTAAACAGGGGAGGTTGAAGCACCTGCATTGATGGTCAAGTTTCGTATCTCAATCTAGATACCAGAAAGACAAAACAAGAGAAGAAACCTCGTAAGTCGAGGAAAACCATAAGTTGAATATAAGAGAGAACAAAAAGAAAGAAAACTTAGAACGAAAACGGTGGTAAACTCCTAATGTGAAGAAATGTTCCAGACATCTTCCAATGCACGAAATCCTCCAGAAACACCGAACAATTTGCGGGCTTACTCAAGTGCTGATGCATGTCGTTGATAAATATTGGCAAAGGGGGTATGAAAAGTGTTCTCTCAAGACTCGTCTCCAAGCTTCACTTGCACAGTGATGAGCGAATGGAGTGTAAGAAACGATCAAGAGAAAAGAGAAGAGAAGAGAAGAGAATGAGAATGAGAATGAGAAAAGAGAAAACGAGGCAGATAGAAAGTATAGATAAAAATAGAAAGGAAATTCGAATGTGATCACGCTGCCCAGCAGCCCAGCCCAAGCATTAGATAGGAGGAAAAGAAAAATCGAAAAGACAGAGAGTAAATAAAGACCCCTCAACATACTCGCTCGATCTATGTTGACGGAAAAGACCAACCAGGCGTGAAACCCGGGAAATAAGGCGAATCCTGCGCATGGAACGGGAAATCATTCAACAGATCCCCCGGAAGCCCCATCTGGTGCTGCATGGGCCTCATAATCCCCGTATGCATCCTAGCTGCCGGTTTCACATCAGCCTGCGCATCAGCACAGCCATCAAGGTAATATGTATACCCCTGCTCATGACGATTCCCATGCGGAAGCGAAGAAGACCCAGTGGCAATATCAACATGAGGCGAGATCTCACTCGGTCCCAGATCTAAAGAGCCCATGCCTGATGAACGTGGGAGACCCATTAGATTCTGGTACGCAGCGTCTGGGAAGCTGTTATAGCCTCCACCACTTTGCGGCATGGATTGCATATCCCAGCCCCAACTGGGTGCGTTGCGGGTCATTGAGGGTGTGGGGGTGGGATTTGTGCAGAGGGATGGGCGGGATCTTCTTGTTGGGGATGGTTCCGGGGGTGTAGCTGGTTCTGGGGAGGGTTCTGCTGTAGCGCTGCATTCTGTTGATGTTGAGAGGAGACGGAGGTAACGGAGATCTTCTGAGTCCTCGTCTGGCTCGTCGGCATTTTCTTCGGCTTGTTTGATTAGACCTAGGCGGTCGAGGATGGCGTGAGTCAGAGGATGGCCGTCCGGTGCTTCTTCGAGGGGATCGCCTGGGAAACCCTCATTTGTGATGCAGAATTTGTATAGTTTCTGGAGAGCTTTGACGACCAATGAGTGGTGGGATTCGAGCATCTCGACGAACCTAGATGTGAAATGATCAGTTGGTTTTCTGGTATACTTGGCTTGAATCATCCTTACCCTCGAGAGTACACCTTGGTCTGAGTAGCTTTTCGCTCCCGGAATAGACATGGGTGATTGTATACGGAGCAGCGATTGCAAGGCTGTTTCCCATCGCACTGCAGACTCCGTTTAGTGCTCTATTCCACTTTCACTCCTGGGACAGCTTGAATGGGAAGCATACACACCTTCGTCTTCTTAACACGACACCGATCACACGCTTTCAGAACATGCTTCCGCTTCACCCGGAAAACTCGTTGATCCCGCTTCTCATCTCCTCGTGAGCGATGTTCTAGTTCGGATAATGAAGCGACGGCAAAGTCGTCAATGCTATGTGGGAAGCCTTTAGGGCGTAACTTCGGTTGCCACGACATCTCGCCGATTCGCAGGTCAGATGGAGGAACGAAGCAGGAGATGGATAGAGATATAGAAGTCAGAGCCCAGGATGTAGATCAGGAAACTATAGCCGGGTGAAAGATATTGCAAAAAAGCAAAAAAAGAAAATCCAATCGAGCAGGTGGGGTGGATGATATGGACTTCAGCCGCCTGCATAGACCTTAATGTCATGCAAGAAAACCGGGGCCAAACACTCCCCGCATGCCCCGCGGTGAAGGTGACGTGGAGCGGTCAGAAAGTCAACTATTTCGAGGCTTCAAGGATTCGACCCGTACCCGTTACCATACCGAGGTTTCCAATGTTACGGGTATTTACCCACACGGTCCGAGCCGCGAAGTTCCACTTCTGCATGATTTTGGGCAGCAGAGAGTAACGGCGTCGTTGATACACGATCACGATCGACACGTGTGGGCAATACCAACAGGTCACACCATTTACAGAGAGCAGGTCAATGCGTGTACATATCAGGTGATATCCTGGTAGTCCATGCACCGAAACGTGGTACGGCGTGATATGCCCTTGATCATGGGTGATCCCGGAGGTTGTTATCTGGTCTGCAGGGGCCACATTACCTGTGGTGACCTGTGGCTTACACAAGGAGAACAAGGCTGACGAGAACTTGGAACACTCTTGGGCCGATGGGGCACTGCTGGTGAAGATGCCGGTCTATATGTGTTGCCTGTTACATGGTCCTTCATCCTTCAATCCCCCTCCCCCTTTTTCCTCCAAGCTTGGACTCCTTGTTTCTCTCCCCATCCTGCGAAAGTTGGTGACTGGGCAACACAAACGCGACGAGGTGTACGATCAGATCCCGCGCTGACATTGGAGGGCAGAGGCTGTGGCCCTAATCAGAACGGATTCTGAGATTGATGGTGGAAATTGCAATCCCTTTCGAATAATTCCCTCCCTTGGCATAGGGCAAACGGTGTGACGGTGAACTGAATGCCATTCTGTTAAATGCACATGCAATACATTCTGAACCCCGACAGGGATCTGATTTGGTGTGGCCAACATATTGATCTAGGATCTGAGCCCTGAGCCTTGAGCCCCCTCTCTTTGATTCAGGATTCACCAGAAAAAAAGAAAACAAAAGGGAAAGTTGAGCCCGGTTACTTTGCGAAACTACCCGATTATTGATTCGGCCAAAGCTGTCTCCGTCCTCCGCTCCTTATGTCCGTGACGGACGCCCTATTGTCCCATGGAAGTGGTAGTGATCAACTGTGGGTAGCTGTGGATCTATCTGCACGTCTACAACTAGTGCGGGAGGTTTCAATGGATTTCAATCCTACAGGCCACGAGGCACCCAACCAAAAATGAGAAAATTTTGATTAATGAAACCCCCATATCTGCATCTATCTAACCAGATCTATACAATGCATTTCCGTTGGGGAGGGGCACAGCCCGAATGGCGCCCCGGTCAAATGGTGTCTTTTCCGTTTCTACCCCTTTCGTCGCCCGAAATCTGTCAGATTGGAGCTAGCGGGGACCCCTACTGTTGGTAAAAGGTGATTCACCATGCATAGCTCATCACCCCAATTACCTCGGGAAAATGCGAGTCAGATCAGCAGGACAATGTAGTTTCTTTCGGTTCTTTTCTGCGCCCAGGTACAGCGGACCGTCCATCCACCAAAACAGAAGACACTGTCAGCTTGCTGAGGGGTGTTTGCCCATTGGAGCCTAACGCTCTTCCCTTCTCATCATTCTCCGAGTTTCACATTGGGGAAAATGATACTAGCTTCTCCCTTTGCAAGCAAATCAAAACTCTCCTCGCTCGTCGGCGAAGTAGACGCCGGCTGGTCAGGCGGGAAGTCGTATACTTTTCCCTCCGTTTCTGACTTGTTCTGATCCTGCCATCGGCGATCCCCTATCCATTCAATCCCGTCCCCCGCACCACGGGTGCCAACCGGGCGACTCTCACCCTCACCCTCGAGGAGAGACAACTCGCTTCGGGCAGCAGTCTCCCCCCAGGTAGAGAGAGGCAGGTTACGACGGTGCCACTCGCCTAAGAACATTCCTTCGGGGTCAACCTCCTGCCGTACCTTCATCCACTCGTCCATATCCTGCCCGTATAACCCGTGCAGCTCCGTGGACCCGAGGACCGCGAAGTTCTTAGCCCAGTGAGGTTTGGCATCCATGTCCCGCATGAGCCATTCAAAGGCCTCGTAGTAGCGTCTTCGGCACGGCGGATCCCGAAGATAAGGCCGATAGAGCGTCGCGTTCAAGTAGAGCGTCGGACCATCGCGACATGTCGGGTCCAGGTAGGGACGAGGGCGAGGGTTCTTGGAAGAATCCGAGACGCGCACCTCGATCGGACAATGCACATAGAGTCCCTTACTAGAGAATGGGATGCCGGCTGTCTTGCTGTCGCCGTGCAGCCAGGCAGAGAGACGGATGATCGCTTCAGGCCCCTTTTCTAATGGGAGTGCCCACTCGTTAACAAATTGCGAGTACAGACAGTTCATCAGCAGACCGGTTCGCGCCGGATCAACTGATTCCGTGACCGTGCTGCCTGGTCGGAAACCGTACTGCATACCGAAGATGAACCATTCCACCCACGGCAGAATGCGGGGGAAATACTCGGACAGAGCTAACAGGTTGTGGTAGACGTGGTACCCGAACCACTCGCCGTAGAAGTTTTTGGGTGGTGCGCGCAGTGGGAGATCGGTCGGATCGGCTCGCCACACGATTGCGCCCTTCTCGTAAGGCATCCACCAGACACGAATAAACTCATGAGACGTCCATAGTCCGGTCGTCCACTCGCTGATCACTTGCGATAACGAGTATCGCTCCTGGCGCCAGGCGATGTTGAACGCCGGCCGCGCCTTGAAGGTCACCTCCACGACGATTCCGAGCGCACCCAGGGAAACAAGGGCAGCGCGGAAGAGGGATTCGTTGTTAGTGGCGCTGCAACGCACTAACTGGCCATTGGGTAGAACCAAACTCAGCGCTTCAATGCATTCCGAAAGAAGGCCGTGGCGCAAAGAACTTCCATGTGTGCCTGTGGCAATCACTCCCGCGATGGACTGACTGTCAATGCTTCCCAGGTTCTCCATCGATAACCCTTGTTCTTCCAGCTTAGGACCGAGGTCGTGCAATCGGATACCAGCCTCAACGGTGACCATCCGGGTTTCGGGGTCGATGTGTAAAATGCGATTGAAATCATCGAGGTTGACGAGCCAGGACGAGGTGCAGGTGAGATCGGAGGGAGAATGACCGCTGCCGACGGTCACTATGCGGCGGCGACATCGACGGGCGAGGGTGACCATCTGCTGAATTTCCGGGATGGTCTGTGGGCGGATATAAAGCTCCGGGCGAGAGAAGAACGTCTTGGCCCAGGTGTAGTGGAGGTGATCGGTAGACGCGCGGAATGGAACCGCGTTGTCGAGCCTCGACAGCTCACGAATGATAGAAGGGTCCATGATATAAGCGATATGAGATGATCACCGCATACTGTAGGGCACTATCACATTGTCTGTGCAAGGGAATTTCGGGAGTTGGTGGGGGAAGAAAAGGGAGAAAACGGCGCTAGGAAAAATATAACTGATGGCGACATGGATATCGGCCCACTTTACTTTGATATCTCCGTTCCCCCACTTCGCCTTTTCTGTGATTTTTTAGGTTCATTTCGACGTTTCACGGTGCTCGGCGATTACTACCCTGTGCATCACGCCTTTCAAGATCAATTCCTCCTGTCATCTAATTAATTATCATTTATCATTTACATGCAACCTTGCAATCTCGCGATAAGCCACGGCTCGGAACGCGGATCAATGTCTCCACCCAGGCAGACATCCACTGCACCGCTAGACACACCAATGACAAGGTATTTGAGGCTGAAAATTAAATCCGAGTAGGCATATATTTGATATTTCGTTGTAAGGAAAAAGTGTTTTTTACATGATTTTGGCATATACCGATGAAATGCTCGCAAATGTGACACATACAACCCAGATGCTCCCGATGCTCCTCTAGGGACACAGTAATGGTAAAGACTCCAGCCACCCATAAATGCTCTCTTTACAGGGCCGAAATATGCACAGAGAAAACGAATAACGAAACAAAAATATGTGGAAAAAGACACAGATAGTGGAAGAGAATAAAAAAAAGAAATGCAAGTAGATAGGCAGTACAGACACAGAACGTTCTTATTCAGCCGGAGAGCGAATGGCTTCGATCGCCACATCAAGAGGGAACACGCAAGGAGCGTGGAGAGAAGCCACGTCCCATTTTCGGAAGGCACTCTGGCATCGGTCTGGGATACCGCCAAGAGCAACGAAACTCTTCGGAATAAATGGTCGATCCTGGAGCGAGGCGGCGAGAATACCGTACTCGTGTGCGAACACCACAGCAGATGCGAAGTCAGCGGACTTTTGTGATGCTTGTTCGCCGACAATAACGTAGATCTCGAAGAAGGTATCCAGGACGTAGACATCTTTATCTGTCAAGTCTCTGTAACAGAAGGGTTCGATCTCCTGGACGGTATCGTTGGGCCGGACAGTCGGGGATCCAGAGCCAGGACGGCGCATCCAGAAACGGGGTGGTTGGCCCAGCTCGTGGTCGATCCGGAGAAGGCGGGTCCGGTAATGATCAAACTTGGGCTTCAATTTCCAGTAGTCGGAAGTCAGAAGCGCGTTTGCTTCATTGGAGCCTGCGAAGTCATCAAAGAAGTTCTCGGGCTCTTCACCCTCAGACACTTCTTCAAATTCACCGGTCAGCCCGAGATCCATGCTGATCAGTCGGGCGGCACCGGTTTCCTCGGGCCCGCTGCCCTTACCCTTCCATAGATAAAGCTTGCCGAAGGGCGCCGAAATCACGAATGGGAAACCAGAGCACAGGTTGCGGAGTGAATAGTCGACTTCATCAAAGGCCATCTGCCCCAGATGCTTGCGTCCACAAAGCATGTACAGGGAAGAGGAAGTAGAGCGGGAGCTAGATCCACGGCGAGTGATGATGATCCCACCAAGGGCCTGGATGAACCGCAGGCGCTCTTTACCCTGACGAATCACTTGCAACTTGCAGCTATGCTCGCGAGAGACTTTACGGGCAAACAATTGTGCGTCGTCCAGAGCTGCTTCTGACACGTCGTCACCACACCAAAGGTAGACTTCGGCATGGTTGTTACCATCTACCTCAAACAAATGTACGCACACATACATGCTCCCCTCGTACAGGACGTACTCTTGATTGACAGGCAGCTCCTGCTTCTTTCCATCGCCTGTCATTTCCCAGATCTGACGTTTCACAGTGCGGATCTTGGTGTCATCAAGTTTGCCCGCCAGCACCAACTGAGGATCAATATCCATTCGGTCACGCGGGTTGGGGAAAGTTTTGAAGAAACCACCGATCACATCTCGGGCATCCGCGGCCTGGGCAACCAGAGACGGCGCTGACATCTTGCGTGAAAGTCTATTGCGAGGATCAATGGGCCGTGCGAGCGAAACGTCGGGTCTTTTGCGTGGCACTGGTGGCGAAGCACTGCTCTTGCTCTGTGGTGAAGAGTCTGCGACTGTCACTCCTGGGGGTTTTTTGGGGAAGGCGTTGAGGGCAATTCTTTCTGGAATTCTCGGGAGCTCATTCTGAGGGGTGAGGGTGATGATGAGATGAATCGTGCTTGGCCCCACTGAAATCGCGACGACGAGGGACTGGATGGTGATGGGGAAGGCGAAGGAGATGAAGGCTTTGGCGGGACAGGGGGTCTACTTGATGGGCTAAGGTCTCTCGATGATTCAGACTCTCGAGGGGCGTGCTCGATCGGGCTAAGGACGGTAGATTCTCGGGGAGACGTGGGCGAAAAGCTTCTCAGTCGTTGCAGTCCACCGTTGAGAACATCCTGGAAGGTTGTCTTTACTCCCGGAAATTGCTTGATGTAGGGGCTCCCTATTTGTGCGGTTTCAGTATCGACAACCACATTTTCTGCTGACGTATTGTCCGAGATGGCTTCCGGAGAAACTGCAGGCTCGGGAATAGTCTGAGATGTTTCGACTTCAGGAGATGAGATGGCACCAACCTCCTTGATATCTTCCGCAGGTGAGACAGCGGGAGCAGAAGCCTCCTTAGGCGCCCGTCGCTTAGGGCCCCTTGCACGACCCTTTGTCGCGTGGGTAAGAGGCGCAGAGGGCAAAGCAGCAGAGGCATTCATGGAGGCTGGCACAGACAGCTCCTTCTTAGTGGCCTCTGGACTTGGCGGGCCCCGAGAGAGAAGACCTGCTAATGCTGGGTTGATTCGGCCTGCAAGTTTTCCTTTAGCGGCCGAAACTTGTGTGGTAGTGGACATGCTTGCGGTTTCAGAGCCCACTGGCGACGGCAAGCTACGGACTGAGCGGGTCTCCTCGTTCGAGAGCTCTTTTCCGGTCTCCACCACATCCTTGGGGTCCATGTCCAGGCTTGGGCTATTCTTGGGTTCCATTTCTGCAAAATCCTGCTCGCGAGCGACCGGGGAAGCTGCCTCCTCCAAAGTCAGAGGAGATAAAGGTGCTTCTTGCGCCCGGAAAGATCGTGCAGGGCTAAGCTCCGGAGCGGGCGTGGGACTCTGAATCTCGGGGTTTGATATCCGGTCATTAGTCGTCTTTGTCATGAGGTTTCGTTTCGCAAGAGCCTCCGGGATAGGCTCGGCTGGCTTCGCCGGTGCATCTTCTTCCCCCACAGTATTCCGTCGAATTGAGCCTCCCCCAGCCTTCATTGCCTCTTTCGTAATCACCAGACTTTGCCTGAATTCATCGACTCGTGGGGTCTTCTTAGGGCCACCGGTAGCATTCAGCGCAGATTTACCGCGAAGAATGTTATCCTTGAGTTCATCTGGAGCCACATAGTTGCGAGTTTCCGTTTTCTTGAGTTTTCCGAATATGTTTTTGAATTCCGGCTCTGCTTGCTTCTCCTTGTCTTGGGCAACATCCCGCTTGCGCAGGTTGGCGCGGAAGTCAACCACTGGAGACTGAGGCTTGGGCTTCGGCGAGAGTGGTTCTCGGTTAGGAAGTGAGAAATTCGGCTTGGTGCTCAGCGCAGGGGGTTTACGAATGGACTCAGGCTTTGGACTGTTTTTCAGCTCCTCCACTGGCGGCTTCTCTGGGGAGTCTTCTGGTTCAGTATCTAGTACATTTGAAGATTTGGGTTCTTCTTTTTCTTCTTTTTCTTCTTCCGTAACCTCGGGCTCTTCCATAACCTCGGCTTTGGGAGGTTCTGGTTCTGGAATGGACTGGGCAGGCTGTGGTTCAGATTTCAAGACCGATGATGGGGAGTCTGGCACTGTCGCCTTTTTGGTGAAAGTTGGACTGCTGAGCACTGACGGAGTTCCCGAAAGACTAGGTTTCTTGAAATGGCCCCCTGGCGGGGGTGTTCGCATCAAGCCCACAGGTGTTACTTCTTTGAATGTACTCGCTCGACCCATGTCCACACTACCTCTAGATTGTCGTGCTTGTTGCCACGAGGGCTGTGGTGGAGGCGGCTTTGATTGTCGAGAATCGGGGCGGTTAAGCGCACTTTCCAGCCAGGTCGATTTGGTCGGGCTCCAGCGCCTGGGGTCCATAGTTCTTGATGTAAAAGGGCTCGAAGGACCATCGCCACCGAAACTATCTGCAGTCACAGAGCTGGTTGACCTAGCATGGCCATACAGAGCGGGTCTACTGGGGCTGCCTTCAGAGCGCATGGTTTCGTGGTTGCCCGAGAAGGAAGGAGTGGTCGGTCTGTCAGTCGTTTCGAATGGTTGCACGGAGGCTTCGGTATGGCTCGAGCTAGGCCGCTCTGTAGGCACCGGCCCTGTCTCTCGATTGATCCGAGAAGCTGTTGTAGGGGTCATGTCACTGAAACTGCCCGTGAGGCTAGGAGCCGCAACACTGTTTCGATTGCTAATAATAGAGTTGCTTCGGCTCAGGCCCTGGGGCAGCTGCGCGCTCCATCGTTTTGAGACACTGTCAGATCGCCTCATCATGGCACTCTGTACAAACCCACCGAGACCTTTGGTGGGCGATGTCGAACGAGCTCGCTCTGGTAACATTCGCCGCTGAGTGGGAGACGGTGGCAGGGCTGGTTCGTCTGCGAGAGTCTCGGTTTGTGCAGAAGGATCCAACTTTGGAGTCTCTGTAATGGCCACTGGCGAACCTAGCCCAGTGTTTGGTGAAACTGACGAGACACTCGAATAACGATTGCTCATGTTGCTCTCGCCAACGGTCGACGCCGTCTGTGGCCGGGATGGTGACTTTTCCTCTACCCTCTCCACCTTCTCTGGTTCGACTGTTGACTCCTGGTTCATGCCTGGCAGCTGACGGCTTGGCCCCAAGTCCGCCTGGCTCTCCGACCGTTCTTCCGACTTGAGAAATGCCGGTGACCCCAGCCCTCGATCCGCTGTTTGCCGAAACCATGACGGATCTTTCGATGAGAGGGATGGGGCGATAGAAGCACGTGACATTCGGTTCTCATTAGACGCCATGGATGCATTCCTTAGGTGGCTGGATCGAGTCGGCGATGATGAGCCGGGCGATCGGTTCGCAAAGTCACGCGAGGAAGGGCGTTGCTGCCATGACAGTGTCCCCGCCCGACTCCGCGACAGGGCAGGCACCGTTCGTGGAGATTCAGGTTCCGTCTCTTGAACCGACCCCCGTCGGGAATGTGTGGTGTAAAGAGGCTCTGATTCTTGACTCAATTTTCCTCCACTGAGCGGCTCGGGGTCTGGTGTCTGGACCGTCGGTTCGAGATGTTCCGGAGGATCGATGGCAGACTGGCCAATGGATGAAACGCTCAGTCTTGCGGGATTCAGGGTAGGAGAACCGGCAATCGATCGTGCTCGCTCTGGTTTCATCGCGTCAGCATCTCATGAGAAAGGTGGGTCATCACGCCAAAATAGCGCGGGGTTCTGGCTACGCCCGCAAGCATGACGAGGCCAACGGCTCAAGGGAGGGGCGTGAGAATGTACCAGCTCGACGGGCCTGTCTTTCCTTCCGGCCTTGCAAGATCTCATCCTCCAGTCGTTTGGTGCGCTCATCGTCTTCTTTATCACGGCGTTCACCGAGTTCCCGAATGCGCAACAGGAAATCGTTCACGTCTTCTGGACCATCGGGACTCTTGGTGGTCGTCATGGTCCCCGTTGCGCGTCTCCGCCGAACGGGAATCTCTCCTACTAAAATTGAGGGAGAGTAGGGAAAGGGGGAATTGAATAAGGAGGAGGAGAGAGTGGAAGAGGAAGAAGGGCTGAGGTGTGACTCCGCTCTGCTTAAATTAAATGGGGATGCGCGCGATCCATCGCAAGTCATTGGCTCGTCCGATCTTCACTGCCCATCCCTTGGCTCGAGAACAAATTCTCATAGAGTCCAGAGTCTTTGAGCACTAATTTAAGAGACAGCTACTATCTTCACTAGATGGCTCTCTATATGTCTAGAATATTTGGGAGTTCAGGTTTGTTTGTTTACTAGGGTTTCCAAGGTTGTGGAGCGGATCCCAAGTTCGCGCCCCGCTGGTTGTTCTTCGATTTTAGTCTGGAATCAATTGCCGCAATGACGAAATGACGAAATTTTCTTGCCAGGGGGACGCTAGTTTACTATCATTGCGGTACCTTGCATCTATTTTGGCTCTCTAATGCATATTTTGCACCTATGCAGTCTATGCTTTCAATATTGAAATGTTTTCCAAGGCTTAGGTCGGAGAATTTGTCGCATTGGAGGAACATATATTTCGGGCATATGCGGTTGGCCGTTGGGCAGGACCGCTAGAAGATGTTGAAAATTAAGTTAAACCACATGCATTAGATTGAGAATACAACTTGAATTCCAATGTTTAACGCTACACCGCATAGAACTCTCTAGCTACAGGCTCAAACATCCGACTAGGCCAATAATGCTGGTAGATATTCCCGACACAAGTTCTAGATCACTAATAAAGGAACAATCGGTCTTGTGCATCATGTACCACCCAATCCAATCCCTCATTCAAGTTCTTTCCCGTCATAGCACTGCATGGGAGAATCGTCCAAGTATGGGTTTTGATTAAATCCAGCCCAAGACGCTGTCCACGGAGATTCATGAGCCTGGAATCATAGGAAACAGGAGACTTCGGGAATATGAGAAGATAACGTACCTGTCGAACCTCTTCTTCACTCATACAGTGTTCCACATCTGTCTTGTTCAAAAACACCAACAGGCTGGCGCCCATCAATCGCTGTCAGAGGTTAGCTCGGGCTCCCGAGAATCCTGAGTGGGGACCGAACCTCTTCCAGCAACAGCCCAGCTAGCTCTTCACGACAATCCTCCATCCGGGGACGATCAGTTGCATCTACAACCCAGACTAACGTGTCTGTTTTTTCAAAATAATTCTTCCAATAGGACCGCAGCGTTTTTTGTCCTCCCACATCCCCTGCTTCACGTTAGTCCTGCAGGTGCCACCGGGAGAGCGACTCACAGATGTTCAATTTGTATCTTGCTTCAGTCAGTAAAATTCCTTGTTCAACGTGCTGATCGATTTCACGTACCCCATGAAATCAATAGTCTTAATAATGAACCCTAGTGTTGGGCTAACCGTTGTGACGTCCTCTCCCATGATTCTTTTCACAATAGTGGTCTTGCCTGCATTGTCAAGTCCTCTATGTTTCAGTGTTAGTCCCCCTCCTAAGGGAAAATAGGAGATCAAGATAAATACAGCATGAGAACCCGCATTTCTTTGTCCTTTAGACGAGCTTTGCGTAAGATCGACAGCATGGTGAGTTTTCTGATGTTTAGAAGGCGGGTAAATTGAAGTTGCGGAGGTGTGGAATCTGTGGGTGGCTTCCGCTCCCGCTCTACGGAGTCCACGTCGATAGAATAACATCCTCACGTAAAGGTATATTTAATAGCACCATGTATTCCACAGGACATTTTGGTATGATAATAACCTACAGAGCTTAGTATAAGTGATATCTACTACGTTGCATTGGGCGTGAGCTGAGTGATTCGTAGGTTACGCGGGGAGGCTACGCTTAACGTTGAAGACTTCATTGCTCAACTTCAACCTTTGCTTTCTTTCTTCTCTCACCATACCATCTTCTCACATATTCCTCTCACACTCTCATTCCAGAATACTCAAAACCGTCGCTATCGAAAACCGTTTTTCCAAAGTGATTTGGCCATTAATTGCGTTATTCCGGCGAGAAAGAAAATCTACAACAAGAACGGATCGAATCTACGACAAACTCAGGCAAGGATACGTCAAAGTAAGACCACCCTAACCACCCGAACCACCCTAGAGTCTCGCCTACAGCTTCACTCTGATTAGCTCTAGACTCTGTATATACTAATATCTGATGCTCGACAGGTCGATCCTCGAGTCGACAGGTCCATATCTCGCAATCTGAGCTTCCTTTCTCGACATTCAGTGTGTTTCACGTCCGAAAACCTTGTAACGCCCAAGCCAGTACTGATAATGACTCCAAGACCAAACAGCATTCCAAAGCAAAATGTCTCATCCATCCTTTCCAACTCACGGGGCTCAAAACCCCGTCCGGATTTCCTACCGAGACCTCTTGGAAGCCATAATATTCAATCTTCAGACTGCCCATCCGCGAGGTTTTTCACCCCCGAACGAGCGCGATTATCTACATCATATCACGCAGACAAGCTTTTATCAGAAGTTTCCTTGGGTCGACTGCACAGATAACTATGTTGCCATGCGGGACCACACAGGTGGTTCAATGGGCGATCTTTTCAGTATTTGCTCTGATCCGGAGCCACCCATCGATGATCAAAGATTGTACTATCGGATACCCGATTCTTATACACCTCCAGTGTTCAGGTTTGAAGAGCATTCGTTGGTCGACACTCTGTACAAGATGGCCAAAGCACACCAGCGAACAAAGTGCCGCCCGGACGATATGGTTTCATCATACCCTGAACTCATCGATATCGACATAGTTCCAGACGACAAGATGGCCAAAGCACACCACCGAACAAAGTCCCTCCCGAATGATATGGTTTCATACCCTGAACTCATCGATATCCACATAGTTCCGGACGACAAGATCGCCATTGCTGAAGATCTATCGCGTCTCACCGTGAATGATCCAATGGACATAAAGAAGCTGAAAGCCAAGAGTCTGGATGAGCCAGAAGCAGAATTTTTAACCGTACAAGCAGGCCTAGATTATCTGCATGCCATCAGAAACGGCCCAACCAACAAGATTGGGACTGATGGGTACAATCGTATTACCAAGTTTCGCACTGCCGAGGGTGTCGAGCAGCCGGAGACAGGCTCTATCGATCCGCCCTGCTTTATTCCCTACAATGAGCTTGCGGACCTTAGAACGCAGCCACAAGGAAGTCCCGGATACTTGAGCCAGTGGGAACAATACAACAGATCCCCTGAGACCCGTCCTGTCGTTATATGCGGCAACATCGAGCTTCTCAACCCTTCACATCACCGCAACCTAAAGTTTGACCCCGAAGAAAAATTGCCATTCCCTGCAACCGTTCGCAACCCAATGGGATGCTACCAGTTTGTTTTCCATCCAAATTGGGAATTTCAAACTCCCGAGGTGATCGAGGGACAAGACAAGGAATGGCTATTCCACCGCTGGCTGTCACGCCTTCCGGAAACAGCCCAGCCGCAGGACATTTTCCATCATGCGTTCTTCGACGGAACGGCCAGTGCCGATGGTGGCTGTGGGTTCATGATCCAGGGGATTCATCACATCGAAACGCCACGAGACATGTCTGATAATGAGACTCGCCGTCACTGGCACGAAACTGCAGCTGGGTATGCTGCCGATATTATTATTTTGAAAAAGCTCTGGTCTATCCAGAGAGATTCCAAAAGGTACGACAAGATTATGGATGAGTTTGTCAAGGCCTACGACATAATTGTGGAGGAGTTCGCCCAGGACTAGTGGATCTGCAGAGGGACTGAAGGGTTTCCGGGAGGAGCTGGGTTGGAATAAGAGCCCTTCAATCTGAACCCATGGGGCCAAACAACCCTTGAAAAAAGAGAAAATCGTGAACAAAACAGAACGAACCGGTCAGATTGAAAACATCAAAAAAGAAAAAAAAAGGCGAAAAGGTAAATCACATCCGGAGGAAATACAGAGTAGAATCGTTATCCTTAACCTGGTGGCAATCAGATAGTGGTATCTAATTTATTTTATTTTCTTATTTTTATCTACAAAATGCCGTCTTCTTTCGATGGAAATTCGCTCAAACTTCCAAGATCTGGTTAGACGCGCTACGAAAGCATGTTTCAGATGAAAAGAGAGAATTTATGATCTAGGATATCGCTCACCAATCTACTCTTGCTCCTTCGATGAAGGCCACAAAACTGTGAGACTACCTGTGGGCTCAACTTCGAAGCACTTATTACAACCTTGCTAGTATGGAAACATCTACAAAGTAGAATCGAAATTACTTTCCAAACTCTTTTTTTTTTTAAGTATTTAGTTGCTTGAAATCAGACAATTAGATAGATGGACTCACCCTGAGAATATCCATATATGGCACAGCTACCTAGGAAAGCAGAGAACAATCCATCAAAAGGTACTCTTTGATTTCCCTCTCTACCTCATTGCCCAGCTCTGTTATTTGATAAGTTAGTAAACGAATGTTGAGAGAAGAAACTAATAATAATGGATATGAGTACTTGTACATAGTTCCAATCCATCCATAGCAACTAAGTATCATTGAAACTTCGAGGGCTGTGTATGTATAATAGATTAATGGGCTTCCACTTTTATTTTAATCGAGCTCTAGGGGACAGATGAGGACCGTTGTAAGAAGTCCAGTGCTGCAGTGCATGCATGATGAAAATTCCAAAGACGTAGATCTAATAGCAACTACATGAATAGAACGACAGTACGGAGTACATGTTACGTGATCCTCTCACCGCCCACTTTTTTTTCTGCAGCGAACCAATTTTTTTCTCCGCTCACCGCCTGTTGATTTCTTCTCGAGAGATTGCGGGTTGAGCATCTGGGGATTCAATCGTTTCATTCATTTTATTTATTGAAAAATACCCCTTTGAGGCAAGTGATACTTCCGAGTATCTACCCGAGTGACTACGTTCCTCGCCAACTGCCTCCACCATGGCTCCCGCCAAAGACGACGACTTCGTCTTTACGCTGTCCGACGAGGAGGATGTCCCCCGTTTCGACGACGATGAGGAGGAGGGAGACGACATGAACAGCACGGCCGATGTGAGCGACAACAAGAAGCGCAAGCGCGAGGCTGAGGCGTCAAAGGGAAAGAACAAGAAGCTGAAGCAGCAGAACAAGGACAAGAAGAAGGGCAAGGGCAAGGCTGCACCTGTTGAGGAGGACGAAGAAGAGGAGGAGGAAGAGGAGGAGGAGGAGGGCCCCGTTGGTAACGATGACGGTGCCTTGAACCCCGATTTTGAGTTCGACGTTGCCGGTTTGGCGAATCAAGGCGTTACCGAAGGCTTTGACGGATGGGGTCTCGAGGATTCCAAGCAGACTGCTCCTGGTGGAGACAAGAAGGCCGTTGACATTGACGATATTATCTCGCGGAGACAAGCAAAGAAGGATGCTGCTGCTGCGAAGAAGCAGAAGAAGAAGGACGCTGCTGAACCTGAATTTGAAGGCGTGGAAAGCGACAACGAAGATGGTGGTGTGGAAGTCGATTTCGAAGATGATGAATTGATGGCCGCGGACGGCTTCGGTATGGGTGCTGATGGTGAAGAGGAGAGCGAAGCCGAGGGCCCCGAGCCTGGATCTGGTGCCGGAGACGACGACGAGGAAGAGGGAAGCGATAATGACGATGAAGACGACGATGCTGCATCAGACAACGACTCTGTCGCTACCCCGGTCAATCATCCTGACGATGTCTCTGATCGGGAGGAGGATTCCGATGCCGAGAGCGAGGTTGATGACGAGGAGGCAGCGAAGCGCAAAGCGTTCTTCGCCCCCGAAGAGAAGACCGACAACAAAGCTGGAGACAAGAGCACATTCCAAGACTTCAACCTTTCTCGTCCTATTCTCCGAGGTCTCGCCTCTGTTGGTTTCACAGACCCGACTCCCATTCAGCGCAAGGCCATTCCCGTCGCGCTTCTGGGCAAGGATATTGTCGGTAGTGCTGTGACTGGTTCCGGAAAGACTGGTGCCTTCATTGTCCCCATCCTCGAACGTCTACTCTTCCGTCCTCGCAAAACTCCCACCTCCCGTGTCGTTATTCTCATGCCCACTCGTGAGCTGGCGGTGCAATGTTACAATGTCGCCGTCAAGTTGGCTACCTTTACCGACGTCACCTTCTGTCAACTTATCGGTGGTTTCAGTCTTCGTGAACAGGAAAACATCCTCAAGAAGCGCCCCGATGTCATCATCGCCACCCCCGGTCGTTTTATTGATCACATGCGCAACTCCCCCAGCTTTACTGTCGACACCCTTGAGATTCTCGTGCTTGATGAAGCTGATCGTATGCTTGAAGATGGATTCGCTGATGAGTTGAACGAAATTTTGACCACCATCCCCAAGTCTCGCCAAACCATGCTGTTCTCCGCTACTATGACCGAAACCATTGACAAACTCATCCGTGTTGGCATGAACCGTCCTATGCGATTAATGGTGGATGCCAAGAAGCAGACTGTTGTGACTTTGACCCAGGAATTCGTCCGATTACGTCCTGGTCGCGAGGATAAGCGTCTTGGATACCTTTTGCATTTGTGCAAGGAGATCTACACTGGGCGCGTGATTGTATTCTTCCGACAAAAGAAAGAGGCGCATCGGGTGCGCATTATCTTTGCCCTTTTGGGTTTGAAGGCGGCCGAATTGCACGGTAGTCTAAGCCAAGAACAGGTATGTCTTAGATGACATTCTCTTACGTCCCGCGTTTCATCGGACCCTAAGCTAATCATTCCCTACTCTAGCGTATCAAAAGTGTTGAGAACTTCCGAGATGGCAAGGTGGCTTATTTGCTCGCGACCGATGTCGCTTCCCGTGGTCTAGATATTAAGGGTGTGGAGACCGTTATCAACTACGAAGCCCCACAGAGCCACGAAATCTACCTGCATCGTGTCGGTCGTACCGCTCGTGCCGGTCGCACCGGTCGGTCCTGCACGATCGCCGCCGAACCCGACCGTAAGGTTGTCAAGGCCGCCGTGAAGGCTGGTAAGGCCCAGGGTGCCAAGATTGTCAGCCGAGTGGTCGAGATCGCGGTCGCCGATGCGTGGGCTCAGAAGGCGGCGGATCTTGAGAGCGAGATTGAGGAGGTTCTCCAAGAGGAGAAGCTTGAGAAGCAGTTGTCGCAGGCCGAGATGCAAGTGAACAAGGGTGATAACATGATGAAGCACGGCGCGGAAATCATGTCCCGACCCAAGCGTACCTGGTTCGAGTCCGAGCAACAAAAACGGACGGCCAAGCAGGCCGGTGCCGAGGCTTTGAATGGGCCCAATGCTCAATCTAAGAAGGTCAAGCTCAGCAACAAGGATAAGAAGCGATTGGACGATGCTCAGATGCGCCACGATGGCAACATTGGGTGGAAAAAGGGCAAGGCGGACCGAGATGCGCCCCAGGGCAAGGGCAAAGGCAAGCCCCAGGGTAAGCCCAAGGGCAAGGGAAGGAAATAATTCATTGGATACCAGGCGCATGTAAAAAATCAATTGTATAGATTTTCAAAATCGCACAGAGATTACCCCATTTTGATTTGAAATTATGTTTACGATGACGAGGGGTATGCTAGGGTCGGCGCCTTGTTGCGGATTTCAGACGGTGGGTTCCAGTGGGGACACGACCTATACCTCAATAGTACGATCGACCTCGATTTCCGTAGTCTAACACACTAGTTCTTGGGGACAGGTACTCACGCTCCAAATCAAAAGGTTCCAGTAAATTCGATGAAGATTTCTCCGAGTTAAAGCCAGAGTTGCCCGAAAAGTTAGTTCTTAACGCCCTGCATGCAAACCAACGATAATCGGGAAGGTGAACGCCCCCAACGCATGCGGAACCGGTACATCATCACCATCCATTGGCTCATCCAAACTGGACTAAAAGCCTTATTCCGAGCTAAGTCGGGTCTTGGCCTCTCTAAAATATACCGCATATGCCCAATCTATCCACCAGGAGTCAAAAAGAGTTTTCTATACCAAACCCAGCCCAAAACCCCCCGCGATATCGTTCCCAAAGGGTTAAAGCCCCACGCCATTCAAATCTTGGGGCCAAAATTTCGCCGATTCCCCTCCGTACCTCCATTTCGACCTCCCTTTCCTTTTTGACACACATTGGTTATTATCTAGCAAGTCTTATATCTGCAACGGCGTTCTTTCCTTTCCCCTTGTTGAATGCCAATGGAGGTCGCGTGCCGCGAAACCTCGTGAAGGTTGCGTCATGGGGGTCGAGGGCTCATCAAGTCTGAGCGATGTGCCTCTGAAGACAAGTCTTCCGCGAAAGAGCGCCTTCTCATGCGAAGCGTGTCGCAAGCGCAAGGTGGGTGCATTATCTGATGATCGGATAGGTTCCGAAGGATTCTCATAGGCTGATCAATGGAGCTACAGGTCAAGTGTAACGGATCTTCTCCGTCGTGTTCACGATGCGCCGCCCGTGGGGAGGTCTGCGTCTACAGCCTGTGAGTGCCCGCGACCGGTCAAGTTCCGCTTGGCTGATCCCCCGCTTTTTTTCTTGACTTTATTTTCACCTCCTTTTTCTTTTTCTAATATCGTACAGGGCGCCGACCTTGTCTTATACCAAACAGCTTGAAACAAGGGTCACGCAGTTGGAGGAAGCGTTGGCGAAGCTCCGGAGTCAGAATGTCGAGGCGGAAGCGAAGAAGGTGAGCTCGCCAGCTTCGGTGGCCGAGTCGAGCTCCAGCGCTAGCCGCAGGGTTAAGATGGAGCATGATGAGACGGGTGATCTTGCGAGGGAATTCGATGGGCTCAATGTCGAGAATGACGGTCGCATCTCTTTTCATGGCCCGACCAGTCTGTTTCAGCTGCCCAGCGGGGCTGTGAATGAGACGGCGTCGACTTTGCATTTCGCTCAGGAGATAGAAGCTCGCAAGGAGCGATTGATCAATAATGCGTGGCGCGAGCGAGCGTTCGAGCAGATGGCCACGATGCCGGTAGGTTTCTTCTGCTTAGAGGACCTGTGATTTGGCCTAACCGGGCTTGGATAGGAACCATTCCAATACCTCATCGACTCGCATTGGTGCTGGATCCAACCGTTGTTCAACTTTGTCTATCGCCCAGCATTTACCCGTTCGTCTACCCCGCCATGCGACTGTCAACAGTGGCTGACTATCTAGCAGGTGATATGAAACTGAATGGCCCTTACTATTCGGACGTCCTTCTTAACGCGATCCTGTCCCATTCCGTACGATGGTGCAAGGAAGAGCCTCAGATTGGTCCCCTTCTCGACTCTTTTGACGGCGGAGCACAATTTTATCAACGTGCACGATCCGGGCTTTTCGAGACACTCCAAAGTGGCTACGCAGAAATTCCAACCATTCAGACACTCCTCCTTCTCAGTGCCCAGGAATGTGGGCGTGGAAACCGAACACAAGCTTGGTTATACAGTGGAATGGCATTCCGATTGTTAGACGACTTAGGGATCTCCATCGACAGTCGCAAATATCCCGGAACAGCCCAATTATCCGACGAGGATATCGAAATCCGGAATCGACTCTTTTGGAGCTGTTACTTCTGGGACAAGATCGTATCGCTGTATTTCGGTCGGGCTCCAGTGATGCAACATTCTCGTGTCAGCCCGCCACGAATGATATGTGAGTTTCCCGTTCTATAGAAATACCTACTGGAAAACTAATCTTTGAAGTGGACGACACGTCGGAAATTGAAATTTGGACACCTCACGGCGTGACCTTCCCCGATGGAGCGCACTATCCGCCGACACAAGCACATTCCACCTCGTGCTTTATGCGAATGTGCGGACTGGCAGAAATTTTGAATCAGATCCTCGTCCACATCTATGATCCGATGCGGCAAAGCACCGAGGCAGAATTTTTTGAATGTGTCCAAGAGCAGGCTAAAAACCTCGGCGAATGGTGGGACGAACTTCCAGACTACCTGAAGCTGGTGGCCACTGATCTGCCACCGTATTGCCCACCGAGCCATATTATGACACTGAAGTATGTTGCCCTGCTTTTGTCTCTACGATACCATGCTAACCCCGTTTAGTTGCTTATACCACACGATCAACATCCTGCTACACCGTCCAATACTATGTTCCCGCGCCCTGCTTCAGACGCGACAAGAACCATATGACACGAGCCATCTAGTTCAATGCATGGCTTCCGCAACGTCGATTTTGTCTCTATTCGATCTATACCGCCGAACATACGGAGACAGCCACGTCGTCCTCTCTCTCGCCTACAGCATCTACACAGCCGCTTCGATTTTCCTCCTCGAAATTCAGGCCTTGAAGTACGCTGCGCCAGGCACCCTCGACAAGCTCAAGTTCTGCATTTTCGCTCTTGAGCGCGTCAAAGTCACCAACCCAGTCATGGCAACCGCGCTGAGCCTCGTCTACCAAGAACTTCAAAAGTTGCAGATCGACATCCACGCCCCACCGAATCCCGAAAAGCCACACCATCCACCACCCCAACCACGACCCCACTCAACCACCCACAGCCAATCTCCATCCGTCAGCAGTAACCCCTCCCGTCACGTCTCCCCGAGCCACCCACCGCATCAGCACCAGCGCCAACAAAGTCGAGCAATGGGCACACCCAGTACCCCAGCTCCTAACACCACGGCGCCAATCATGTCAAGCTACAATTTCCAGCAACCCGTCTCGGGCTTCGATATCTCGCAGATGGACATGCCGCAAATGCCCTCGACACATCTACTCGGCGGCATGCCGAACGCAGTCATGACCGTTGATGATCCGCGATCATACGAGATCACACCGGAAGTGTTCGAGGCGTTTTCGTATGCGCAGCCTATCACGACGAATATGACTTCTCCTTTTGAAACAAATTGGCATGACCAAAGTCAGTAATTGGGTGATGTGACGTGTGATGAATTGAAAAAAAAATGATTCCCAATTGGTTTAGGTAGCGATTTTTGTCAAAAAGTTAGCGAATTTCTTTTTCTTGTGGATCAGATTGGTGTATATACCTACTCTACTCTATTCCCGCCAAGTTTCTATATGAATATACTTTATTTATCTAGGAAGTCATTCGCGCGAGATTCAAACTGTATATCTGTGTATGCTCAGGTGTTCCGGGTACCAATCCCGGTATTGAATATCTCACTACCTGTGGTTAGTCATACCTGGAGATTTTTTAAGTAAGATCTAGGATGCATTGTATCCATTTCCTACGCATGGGGATGTCACTACTGAGGCTTCTGGAGATGAATGAGTATGAATTTCACGGCTTTTTGGCCGTGAACCGGTTTATTTGGGACACCGAATCTATGAAAATGAACAAACTTCAACAGACACCAGTTCCTCTTTTATGGAACAAACAATGCCAACCAATGGGTATGTAAGTAACGGGACCGATAAGAGAAGGATTAAATACAAGAGTAGGGTAGAAGAAATTATACACCTCACGGACACGCAAGCAGAAACGAAAAAAAGGGTATGCGAGCCACTGGGATACAGCGAATGAAAGCTGGGGGTATATGAAGGAGACACCAGACATAGGAAGTAGACATAAGCAATACATCTATCCCGTTCCAGATGTAATATTGGAGCACCGCAATTACAGAGTAGATTTAGGCTGCTGATCACGAGATTCAACATCCTCAAAAGAGGAAATAGAATGATCTGCATCCCTGACACGCGCATTCCAGCGCATATACCACGGACCATCAAAGAGCTCACCCATCTGCTCCATAGGCACGCCCTTAGTCTCAGGCATCCAGACACCGAGAATAACAAGACCACAGAAACAGATCAGCGCCCAGAACAGGTAAGCGCCCCAGACGTCCAGCGCGAACATGTTAGGCGTAACGCGGACAACGGCGAACTGGAAGAACCAGTGCAAACCCATGGAGGTACCGTAGCAAACGTTCCGGATGCGGGTGGGGAAGATCTCCGAACCGTATAAGTAGGGAATCGTGCAAAGACCGATGGACCAGCCAACAGCGTAGATAAAAACAGAAGCGATGGCGGCGTTCGAAGCATTAGTGTTGTCCGCCGAACCGGGCTGAAGACCCATATAAGCGCCCATATAGATATGAGCCAAAAGTTGGAGGGAGAGGCCGGTAAGTGCGCAGCGACGACGACCAAAGAGATCGATAAGACCCCAAGTAAAAGCCATAGTGAACACCAACTTGACAATTCCATAGGCACCAGACGAAATGAGTGACTCGTTGCTCCCGGTGATACCCGCGTACTGGAAGATGGTCGAGATATAGTAAGTAATACCGTTACCACCGGACCACTGGGCGATGGTCTGCAAGGCCATGAGGAGCCAGAAGCGTTGACGGTAGTTCGGGTTTAGTTGAGATTCCTTGAGGGCTTCCCAATTCGAGATCGAAGCCAGTTCGGCGCGCTGCTTGTTGGTAGCATCGATTTCCTCGAATTCGGCCAGGATGCTCTCGTCGTCTGGTGTTGTGCCGCGGAGGCGGGCGAGGACTTGCTTTGCTTCATCGTGGCGCTGCTTGGAGGCGAGGTATCGGGGTGTCTCGGGGCACCAGAATGAGAGGATGAAGACGATGCCGACAGGGATTAGAGGGATGGCTTGGACTAGTCGGTATTGGGTACGGGTGGCGGCCATGTGGAGATTCGCGCCATAATTAATGAAGAAGCCTAGCGTGGAAAAATGGGGTTAGCAGAGACCCTAGCGATAAGGTGGTGATAAGGTCTTGAGGGTAAGACCAAGAAAACAAGGAAAACGACAAATACTCACCGATTGTAAGAATAGTGAGTAGAGTCACCATTGCCAGGCCTACTGCCAGACCGCGTGTTGCCTTAGGTGCCACTTCCGACAGATACATGGGCGATGTAACTGTGAGAAGACCGGCGCCCAAGCCAGCGAAGATGCGTGAAAACAGCAGCAAGCCATAAATGCCAGAAGAAAAGACTTGAATGAAGGTACCGATACCCCAAACAATAATCGCAAGACGGAATGACAAGATCCGACCTAGCTTGTCGTTCAAGTACAGAGAACTCAAAGCACCGAATGCCGCACCCAGAGTCAAGAACGAAGAAATGTTCGCCTTCCTGTTCGTTAACCCCGTGGAATTGCCCTCCCAGTTCTGCGGGAGTAGATTATAATCCTCCTTAAAGGATGGCAAGGACATGCTAGAACTGAAACCTCCCTCATCGTAACCTAGAATGAAAGATCATTAGTCAAATTCATCCTTTGCGAACCCAAGTCCATTAAGGATAAGTTTGGCCCGCGCCAAAAACCACGCCACATACCTTTCGGCATGCACCCGCATGCAATAACGAGAACAACAAAAGCATAGTAGGGGGCGGTCGTCCATCGGGACCGATCCAGCCATTGCATGGTGGCGTTTATGGAGTGTATGAGTGTATTGCCAGCAAAAAAAGGGATCGGATGTGGAGTGAGATATAAAATCTGGGGAAGATCAAGCTGTACGGAAGGGACGGCAAGGAGTGGGACGTGAAGGAATATTAGGGAGAGTGGATAGAGGAGAGGAAGCGCTCAGTTGTCCATCGGGAACCCGCGTTGGGGTTCGGTCAACGTCCGTTCTGTTTAAGTTTTTCGATGCTCGAACCCCCCGACGGCCCTCGATGAAATCTCGGACAGACCCACCGATCCACTTGCGTACCATGGACCCACTATCCACCACGGCGAAACCACGGAGGCTGAGATCATTGAAGGCGTCCATGCGTTGATATCTGATGTATATCGTTGCACGGTCAGGTCGCGGTCGTATCGCGGTAGTTCATTTAGTGTTTTTCTTTATAAACTCATAGAACGGGTTAATGTAAATCTCTGTAGATTGATAGGACGAAAGTGCGGGAGAGCTATAGTGGGCCTGGCAGGGATCTAGTCCGGCTTTTGCTTTCCCCGCCCCTCATATCTGCAAGCGCTGCGTACTCGGTTTTAGCTGCATGGACGGCACGTCCTAGTTGGCCGTTCTGGTGTTAGTGCTCGATCCTCCCGCTTTTTGCCCGAGTAGATCGCGATCCTACTTGATATTGCTGGGTATATTTCCCTGGTGGACTGGTCAAACAAACCAAGACAACAGATACCTACGAGAATCGCGGGAGGGCCGCTAGTGGAGAAACTCATACTAGTCACCATAAACAACGCAATAACTAGGAATCATGATTTGATGATGCATCTCGGTGGAGCTGTGCGGTCAGTGCTCGACCACCACCCGTACCTGGGCTACCCGAGGTAATGATAGAATGGATTATGGATGCTAAACTTCCAAGACTACAGTAGTCAGTTTATTGGGACGGCATCTATTATCAGGGTGTTGAAACATCATGCGAGACAGTCACCACGGTCCATGGATATCACTAGCGGGGAATCGACTAGCGCGACCAGAGCAACCTTGGAAAAGGACAGCAATTCCCGCAGTCGCTTTTCTCAAAAATGAGTTACATGACTGGTTAGAGCCTCTTCGGACAAATGCTCAACGATGCGCTCTCATCAAACTAGAGGGGTATTGACGGGGAAATGCACAGGAAGCTGGTGTTTTGAAAGCCAATTTAATTAGACTTCTCTGAGGTCTAGTGTCTTCTGACATCCAAGGCCTCTTTTTGAGCGATATTCATTCTCCTCTCCACCCGTGGACCCTTGGCAGCTCTTCGTGACAGTTTTCCGACCCACTGCTCGGGGGGAACTTTCTCCCTCAGCTACCCGCCGCACTACCTTTTCCTGCCCAGCAGTCAAGGTGGCCAGATGATCGATGTGAAAAAAGTCGGCATTCACAACACCATGAAGATCCAACGGGAGACCGACATTGTGAGAAACTTATAAATAAACGCGGTAATAAGGTTGACTTCAGTCGGGACAAGCGGAACCTTGGAACCCACCACGTGAATTTGTATCTATAGTCGCCGATCCATGAATATCTTGCTAAGAATTTCTACCAAGTCACATATTGTCATCAAAAATCATTTCAAAAGAATCTTTTTGCCCTCTAATGACTCTGGTCAAAAGTACTATATTGAGCCGCCAAGGCGTCAGCGTTTTAGGCCTAGCACCGCCTTACCGCCACGACGTTCTACCAGCCACGTTAGCCCCTATCTTACGACATCTCACAACCACATCATCCCCATCTCCGTTACTCCAGCAAATTTCCTCTAATTTTGAAAAAGAAACCATGCCTGCCGCATATAACAACCTGCGAGATGCATACGTCAAGATGCAAGAGGCATACAAAGACCTGGAAAGTGCGGACCAGAAATCGATTAGACTGAGATATGCAGCATTCTTCGGATGCCTAATAGGCTCTCTCATGTGCATGCGAATACCATCGCTTGGATTCTCAGTAAGCTGGATAGTGCTATATTTTGACTCTGTAACAGTGACTCACTACCCCTAGCTCCTCCTACCGTGTATTTGGTGTGCGATAGCTATAATACTTGGCCTCGGAAAATCCTCTGTCGGCCCGATAACCAGTATCATATTTGATATCCTTTCTGCTGGTTTTATCGGGTACTATGGTTCCCTGCTCACGATTGCTGCGGCAATGGGCGACAGCTGGTCATTATTGGCTGCCGATATCCCGCTTCTCATTTCCATGTAAGCTTGTGGTCTCTGGGTGTTGTCTTCATACTAATTAGGCAAATCCAGGGCTTCCTATTTAATTTTAGCTATTTACACAGCTTTCCGGTTGTGGAGCGAGAACCGGAGTTCGAGAGGTGAATTGGGTACAGTGAAACTCCCGCTCTAGATGTCTAATTTGAGTTCTCGCTATATATCACACGCTCTATTAATTCGATTACATTATCGTCTTCCAATAAATGAAACTTATACATCACCCATCAGACCCTTCTCAAGCTGCTTGGCCAGTTTTCTCGTGTGTCAACGATGAGACTTCAAGCGAGTCAGCGTCAGCCCCAGTCGGAGTATTCTTCCCAAGATGCGTATAATCTCCCGGCTTAGTTGAACCATTGGGAATCCAGAATCGCTTGTCAATTCGACTGAAAGTCAGGATGCTGAGCGTAATGATCTCCAATGTGAAGTTAAAAACATAGAAACAAGCCTTGGAATCATACCAGGCTGGGTTGGTGTCAAGTCGTACAGGGCTCCAGTTGACCCCAGTTTTGAACCCAGCAATCGTCATACATAGACAAGCAGACGCAGTCACAATAAGCACTTGGCTCCGTGAGCTTCCTTGTCCGAACCTTTCCTCATGTTGTGACTTCGGAAGCAACACTGCTGCGGCAACATGTACAGCAGGGAGGCAGGTGAACACGAGAAGGTAGGTGAGAGCCGCAAGCTCAACATCCCGACATTTATTTTGGACGCTAGGATTCAAGGTGTAAACAATCACCACCACAGCAGTGATCACCATGATCAAGGCGCCTCCAATCAGCGCATAGATGACCTTGAAACCATGGCGCAAGATCGGATTCCACCCGATGTGTGGCTGCTTCGCTCGGAGGATGCGTTGGGCGAGAAGGAGATTGACGATGTAAAGGATCAACACGCCGGCATTAACGAAAATCTGAGCGGCTAGCGCAAGTCGTACGTTCGTTGGCTTTTGGGACCAGACGATGCGCAGGACGAGGGTGACGAGTCTTGACATGCAGAAACCAAACATCAAACCCGATAGGATAAATTTGTGTCCTCTCCGACGGTTGAGCTGGAAGATGGTCATGTTTGTTGCTGCGAAACAAATGTATAGAACGAGGAAAACAGCGCAGACTGGGACATCGGGGATAGTTGTTGGAAGACCGCCCATTGAGGCGGTATGTGAGGCATAAGGCCCCCCTCGGGCCTGTAGGAGATTTTTCATGTTCGAAATATTGTGGATGCGTATTTGTGAGTCGCTTTTGGTGATAGGAATTGGGTGAGATACGAAACGAGCGTGGGGTAATTTCTGTGCGGAGTAAGGAGTGCAATCGTGTATACAGAGGAGATACAGAGCAGGTGGTCAGAGGCAAAGGTTGATATACTAAATTTGAAGAGCGGCCGAAGTCCTTTATACCTAAATTGATTTTCGGTCTAGTTGCGAAATTTAAAGCAGGTTTCTAACCAACAGGGGCTTCGTAAAGTATAGATGTTTTTCGGCCTCGGCCAACAAAGTGCTCCGCGGACCAGATTTGGTGCGCATGCCGAGCCCCACACCCATATAAAGCCTTCGCCACAGATTTACGAGTAGCTATGTCCAGGTGGCGCTCATCTCATTTGTAAAACGGTGATTGGCGTTCGGCTTCCTAAGTTCCTCATTCTTGATTGGTCCATTGCAGGTCTATTCAAGATTAAGAACAGGGCTACAGCCGCAACATGGATACCTTTTTCGTGCCCCGGAACTTTTGAAATGTAAGTACAGTCGAGCTTACTATACCCCGAAGCTAGTTAAAATCTCAACGTCATTTTCTGAAACAAATATGCAGAACATATACAATAAGTTTGAGAGTTAGTGCACTCTATTACGTGAGCAAGATATTACACATAAGAGGATTCCGACCTGCACCAATTTCTGCTACACTGGCAACGCTAGAATCTCTGGGCTTACCTCAATAAGTGACCCGAGGCGAGTTGGCATTTCTGCTAAGCTTTGCATTATTCATTACATTTGATTTTCAATTAATTGTATGATGAAAATTCGCCAAATCCGTTACTTAAGAGGAAATTTTGACCAAAGGTGTCTGACATTAGGGCATCTTGAAGGAAGTAGGCAGGGTCTTCTTCAATGAACCACGAGAGGTCATCCCATTGCTGAACATCCTGCACGCTCGACGAAGGTGGATTCATACCGAGAGGCGGGAGGAGTTGTTGACTTGACGTCCTCGAGTTCGATCTCAAAGAAGTCTGCGGTGGCTCGATATTTTCCATTGTGGGTAGCCGAGGTGCTCGGACATTGCGCTGGATGTGTACTTTCCCCAAGAGAGGGACGTCTATCATTAATTTGCGCCCTTGAGTGGTGTTCTCCTCTTCTTTGAGAAGACTGGTCAAAGAAGATAAGGTATCAACCGCACTCTCGGCAATGCGTGAAGTGGGACTATTGCTGATTCTTCTGCGCATGAGATTAATGACTTTTTCCACTTCTTTTTCAGTTTTTGCCTTATCCACAAACAGACTGAATTGGTGATTGGTTTTAGGTGTATGGGAAAGTAGGATAAGAACTACCGTGGCGGTGAAAGTATGCAGCTCCATCATCGTGTAGAGGAAGATTCCAGGAGGCAGCGCCTCGAGAAGGACCAAATACCGCAGGATCACTGATTCGCATGCCTTAAAACAAGCGAACTGAGTATCGAAAGGCCCTTCGCTTGAATCTTGGCGCAAGGTCAGTGGCATATAAGCCCTCAAAATCAAATAGTGGTGTATAGCCTGAACTATGTCATCGGGTTCGATACGGTCCACGTCCACCTGCTTGGTCCACCAGGATTCTGGAGCCTGAGAGGCAAGCAATCTGAGCTCTTCGATCAATTCAAAGGTGGACTTCGAAAGCTCAGCTGTACTTCCGCGTGCTGTGTTTAACTCATCCAAAGATTGAATCTTGCCAGCAAGTGTCACGATCTTCGTGAAATATAACCCAGGCTGAACAACACCGTTGATCGTTATTGATTCGTCCTTGATATGCCTCTGCCAGCGCATGTCTGGAGGAAGGTTTAGAATCATTCCTAAAAGTCTGTCTGCAGAACATATCATTTCCCATAATTGAGCTTTTCCAATTTGGTTATTATCGTCATTTGTTGCGGATGACCCGTTGCGCTGGGCAGCTTGGGATGCTCTCGGTAGTCCCATCAGCTCGGCGATCGCGCCAACATGTCGAAGCCGAACCCATGCTTTTTGGAAATTACCTTGGGGCAATTGGCTAGTTTGAATGACGACTTAGTAGCCGTGGGAGCTGGAAAGGATAAAAAAAGGCCATTACTTACAGTCGAGTCCAGTGCAAGCATAGCATAACCCCAGATGTCGTGCCTAGCAGCCGATCATGAGAGACAATGGTCCTCTCCACAGTATCTGATATGATTCGGGAAAGTTCAAACCGCTTCATAATTTCTCCAGATCGGCCAGGTGTGTGTGCGCGAACTTGGGGTGTTTGCTGAGCAGTGATTGCTAGTGTGAGCATCCACGAGGCGAGGGTCATAGTGTCGACATTTGGTTCTTTCATCTTCTCATAATTATCCAGTGCTTCCTTTTCAGATCGAGCGATGAGTGGTTGAGGTAGCAAAGCGTGAAGAATCCTCAGCCAATCAAATGCAGATTTATAAATCTGAACTACTTCATCCTTTGGCGGAATCAAACGTTGAAGAGCTTCTCTCGCGGCATCCAGCAAATTCGCAGATGCTCTCTCTCGGCGTTCCTGTGGTTGCCCATTTTTCTGGCGGCTATCTAAGCTAAGCCAATCATTCTGGAAGAGTGACTGTAGATGCGACGGTCTTTCGGTTGTAAGAATATCCGACATATTGGATTCGTCATCCGAAGTGTCCATCTCAGCGCTGAGATGGCTAACAGCCAGCTCTGAAGCTGAATCAGGTTGAACACCGAGCTTGGACTCGATTCGTTGCACCACTTTGATCAAGTTGGATACTTGCGATTCAAGTTGGAATATCCGTTGTCGGGAAGACACCCTCCTTGACACGGTGGTTCTAGTTTCCTGGGGCGTACATTCTGAGCCCCGCTCTTCACATCTTCGGCAAGCCAAGGCATCTTCAGAAGCTCGAATACAGCGAACTTTGCGGCGTCTACCTGTTTTAGGGGTTGTAGAAGATGAGGTGGCTGCTCATTATTATTCGGGCGGGGGTCACCACTCACATTCTGTGCAACTTTTCGTACCACTTCGGATTCTCTGAGGTTCGTTTCCCTGCATGGCCGTGGTGATACCTTTTAGACTGTAGCGCTAAGTGGGAGAAGGGGGAGTGACTACTGCAGCTCGGATGGTCTCGGTCCGCGGACCAGTTAAGGATCCGAGGCCGAAGTATCCGCGGTTTCGTGTCAAGGCTCATGCCAGCTTTTGATCAGCAGTCACAGGCTTTCATTCATGGAAATGGGTGCCCAGGTGGTGGTGAGTCTCACTGTCAAATAGAAATCATTGCAAGCAAAACAGAGGATAATTGATGGCCAGGCGGGCTCTACGGTTGTGGAATTAAGCACAGCAAAATGTATTCAGTGGGTCTGCGTTTGACTGCCCGGGTGTAAGAACTCCAGCAGATTATTTTTTTTAATTTTGGTTTATGAGACACACCTTATATATCCTTTCAACAAGCCCAGCCGGGCTAGCTCAATCGGTAGAGCGTGAGACTCTTAATCTCAAGGTTGCGGGTTCGACCCCCGCGTTCGGTTCTCTTTTTGCTTCACGAAAAAAACGATCCGCGATTTCTTTTGGGTCGTAAAATATCTACAGTAGGGCTTGGAACGCTTATTCGCTAGTTATGATTATCTAACGGGCATTGTTGATCCACTGTAGCGTTGGAGCAAATGGGCATATTAGTTAAGTTAGGGCTTCAGAGATTCAGGTCTCTTCAGGCGTTTATTGATGTGCGTGAAGGTCGTACCTAGTCGCTGGAGTGAGTTTCATCAACTAGGAATTCTGCTCGTTAATCGTGCTACCTCAATATTACCCTGGAGGTTGAAGGTTCGGGGATTTGCGCAAATTTCGGGAAGGGATGGGTAGAAAGAAATATATCGTGACTCGGATGAACGATCTGCCCAGGCTAGCTGGACGAACATCTCGAATCTGATCCTCACGTTCAAGGGCTAGTCAAAAGATAAATAACATAAAACAAACAAATAAAAAAAGAAAGGAAGAATACTCGAACTCGACGATGAGTTAGGGAGCAAAGTACAAAAATACGAGAAGAATATCTTCATGACCTTTTCGAATTTGACTTACACCGTCTAGATTGCCCGAAGGACCTAATACAGTAAATCCTTGAAAGATGACCACATGATTTCAGCCCGCTCAAGTCTCATTTTAGAGATGCTTGCGAAGGAAATCCAGGATGATGCTATAGCCCCTCTGGTATTTCTGGCGTACTTTTTCATTCTGAAGGTCCGACCTAGCAGCCATCCATCCGTGGATCTGATCCGGGAATGTCTCGACCCCGTGAGGCACGGCCAAGGCCGACTCAAACTCTTTCACATCGCTCACAGGCTCGTCTATAGAAGCCAACAGCGCCATGGGGATGCAAACCTTGGGTGCATCTGAAGGGTCCAACATTGCAGGGTGAGCCTGCACAGCAGCCTTGAAAAAAAGTTGCCTCATCACCGGCTAGCAAGGTAGCCAACTTGCCGCCCCAGCAAAATCCGACAACGGACCACTTATCAAATTCCTTACCACCCGGCACGAATGTATTCGCCTGAGCGACCAGGGTCGGAACTTTAGCCAAAGACTTGGCTGGTGCTGCCTTGGTTTCAAAGAATTCACCAAGCTTTTTCTGGTGCTCCTCTGTCTGAGGGGGGTACCAGGAGATCTGTGCTGGGCTGCCTTCAAAGAAGTCAGGCATGAACACGCGATACTTGCGGTTGGGATCCGAGTGGGCCAAATTATCGGCACCCTGGATGGTTTGATCGAAGAATCCGAAGCTATCTGTTGCCTAAGTCAGTTTCAGAGGCGTAATATGTCGCAGTATGGCACTGCGAATGCCCATGAGAGAAGCTCCCTATCGTAGATGATGAGAATGGCTTCCATCGCGGTCTCGGGGCCGGTGATGTCTGCAGAACCCAATTAGCGAAATTGCAATGGATGATGTCTGGGACACGAATTGGACATGGGTTAAACTAACAGTTCTTGATGCCATTGATGGTTACGTATTCTCCCTTAGGCTGATACCCGCTGGTAACAACAGGAGGAATGCTACATCATGAGATTTAGCAACTTCGGTTTCTGGAGAGAAAAGAAAGTATCACAAGGTGCCACTTAGGAGCAACATGCTTTGCTGACGTTGGCCATATTTGTGTTTTAGTTTTGGGAGATCAACTTGGAAGTACTTGAAACGTCGAGCGAATTATCCTTTGAAAGATGATGTATCAAAGCCGGTCGGTACAAAGCAGTTATTTAACTCTTTTGAATTCATCTTCAAAACATATGTGGAGGCTGTTCTGTCTCCGATATCGCGTGTGTCAGTAAACTTGATCTTCACCGAAAAAAAGACAACAGGGAGTGATGGAAACCTTAGACCCCGAGTGTAGCCGAAGCGAAAAGGGAAGGAAAAAAGACTAAAGCGTATCAAAATGATCGTGGATAAAACTTTTTACGGACCAAAATATTTATTCTGGTATGATGGTTTAAGGCCCGAAGCCTAAAATGGACTCACCCCAGCTAGCAGACAATTACTCCCCTTGAAAGTTGATGGCACTGCGCGATGACTTCATGAAAAGCGCTGTGTGCAATGGGTCTGATGTACTTTGCGAAGAAAAGGTTATCGGTTAGGCTTGCGTTTGCCATCGGCGCCGATATCGATGTGCCGAAGCTAGAGAATCATTGTTGCGCATTTAGTCTAGTTCTTCGATTATACTTGGCAATAATTGAAGTGGCGGTGGGTCTGACGTGCTTTGGGGTGGATACATTTTCCATAAGGCTTGTGTTTGCCATCGGCGCCAATCGTAGTTCGCCGAAGCTACGTAGAGGAAAAGAGTGGAGTATTGATTCTAGATCTCCGATCCTCCATTTCGGCACAACAGATCATGGTGGGGTCTGGTGTCATCTGGGTAAATTAGATTATCGTAATTGGTTAAGAGTGAGTTTGCCTTCGGCGGGGATAATCGGATACTGTCGGTTCAACTCAGATCGGACGGGAATCATACTGCACCGTATGCTGCATACGATTTTGGACATCTTGTGGTTCAAGGAAAGCTCTGTGACGGACTTGAGATGGATGCGTTCCGATATCGGTAGTGGAATTGATATATGAAAATGTATATCTAGCAGGCATATCGAGAAAGATCTCTAGGCTTTTGGTTAATTCTATATTCACAACCAATTCATCATTGGCCTTTGCCTAGAATATTCATCTTCCTCTCGATATGGAGTCTGGCAACTCTGCTTCGAAATTCCGAGAATGTCTCCAGCAAGAGGATTCGTTCTCCCCTAGAAGTTGGATTTGATTGTCTTTACATGGTATCAAACCATAGAATTCAATTTGCAAACCATGAACGTGACACTAACTCTCTCGATTGATTTTAGACTGGAGCAGGCTCTACCGCCTCTATGCATGGCCAGGCAGACTTAGCCATTTCGACGCTCAACGATATGCGTTCTCATGCAGAGATGATCGCGCAGTTGGACCCGTCTATTCCCATTATTGCGGATGCGGATACCGGATTTGGAGGGCCTATTATGGTTGCCCGCACGGTGTCCCAATATGCACGATCCGGAGTGGCCGCTTTGCACATAGAAGATCAAATCCAGATGAAAAGATGTGGCCATCTCGGAGGGAAGATTCTGGACGATACCGAGTCCTTCCTGTCGTGTATTCGAGCCGCAGTCCAGGCCAGAAAACGGATAGGGAGTGATATTGTTATCAGTGCGCGGACAGATGCCTCGCAAATGTACGGTTACGAGGAGAGTCTCGCTCGACTGAAGGCCGCCCGTGATGCGGGAGCCGATATGGGATTCTTGGAGGGTGTCTCATCGAAGGAAATGGCCCGCCAGGTGGTTCAAGACTTGGCCCCTTGGCCAATACTTCTGAACATGGTCGAACACGGAGCAACTCCAATAATCTCGGCCGAGGAGGCGAAGAATTTTGGATTCAAAGCCATTATCGTTCCATTCGCCGCACTGGCCCCTGCTTATGTGGCGATCAAAGAGACCTATGAGAAGCTGAAGCGAGAAGGGATCACAGGCTCTGATTCTAGTTTTACTCCACAGAAGCTGTTTCAGATTTGTGGCCTGAAGGAAAGCCTTCAGATAGACACTGAAGCAGGCAGCTCCAACTTCAAGGTCGGCGTAGACTTGAAGAAGGCTTAATGTTTGTGAGATTGCATTCAGAATTTCTCAGCGCTAAGATAGGTAGCTTCGAACTGTATTTACGGATAGTGAAGAATGACGAATGTATATCTAGTTGAAACCGACTTTCCTAGGTAGGTTATTTACTATGGAGTAAAAGATTTACCCATATCGGAAGCTGCTTTTCAATGGCGGTCTGGGATATATCGGTATCTTCAAACCGTTTAGTCAGTTTTTCGCTTGGGGCGTTCGGTTGTCAACACGACTCTGATAGTGTTACCTATTCTAACCTAGCGAGCTGGAGTCCGTCGTAGAGCCATTTCTAGCCTTTTCTTCCTAAGGACAGCTGCTAGAAGGCGCTAAATGCTAAAACAACATCTTCCTCTGTCTTTCGACAACTCTACACAGTAGTGGATAGACGGCGGTGGGCTCTCGCTGTAGACTTTCCTATTTTCTCACTCACATACCTAGAGAAATCTAAGAGCGTGTAGAGAGTTTACTCGTAGACTTGAAGCTATTCTTAAATACAATGGATAGCGGGGGATTCCGGGTAGAAGGTGGAGGGTCTGGTATTTGGCACACGGAAGTGTGTTAAAAAAAAGTGAGATACGACATTTTCGTTGTTGAAAAGCGAAAAAAATAAGGCGAGAATCACAAATCCACGAGTAGCCGCATGGTTGCCGTAATATTGCCAATTTGATCCTCGAAGCATCATGGAGAAAATTCTAGGTCATCATTGACTCAGAACTCTGGGTACCGAATAAAGACTTTTGATCGGCCGACTACCAATATGCGTGCAACCAATCGTGCCATTTTGATTAGCGCCGGACTTGAATCATGTATGAGAGTCTTATGTGCGTCTCTTCTAATTGCTAGCCTTTGGGTTAAGAGTACCCTGTAAAGAGTGTTCATTCCAAATCAATCAACAACGGTGAACTCGACAGAATTGGATGAGGGGACATATATAAGCGGCCTCCCATCATTGTCAGCAGGATCAACGACATGATGATGCATCCAACATGGTAGTTTCACCACTGTATTCGCATGTTCTTCGCGATCGCCCCAATTCCACCAGTCAATGCAGCCACCCCAGTATTTGTATCGATATGTGTCACCGACCACTGTATCGGGGTGCATATCCTCAAAGGAAATCCAAAACTTGTCAATAAAAGTTTCCCCTGGTTGGAGGCTGCGAAACCACTCAGGATCTGTGACGTTGACCTCAACGTCTGGGTCATCTACCATTATCCAGCCCCTGTTACTATCTCGTTCTTCGTCATAATAACTCTCCCACAGTGGGCGATCTTCGTCAGTATCCTGCGACTTATCGTGATCATGGCAGCGGCGTTGTAGTCGGAAGTGATCGTGTTCGAAACCATATTTGTGTATGATGATTGGCTTTGAGTTAGCGTGAACAGCGTCGTAGTTCTCGTTTGTCAGGCCATCGTAGCTGATCTTTGCTGTGACATAAATTCCTTCTTTCTTAGAGATTGTCGTTGGGGCTTCCAGAAACACGCTTACACAAGGGGTTCCAGGGCTATAAAGAGAGCAAATTAGTCACAATGAAGACAGGAAGCCACCTTAAAGCCTTTCTCACATTCGTTGGGATTTTTCCACACGAGGGCCATCGCGTTCAGAGGGCGTAAGTTCTTTCATCTTTTCGAAGGTGACAGAGCAACGGGCTCCTCCGGGGATGACGGCATGGGGTAGCTCCAGGTTAACCCCAATTTCCTGATCCCAGTGCTGCCGCAAAGTGCCCCAAGCCCACAAGTAATACTCAGCCCCAGGCCAAAATAGCTCATACTTCTCACCAGCAATCAAATGGTTCTTGAAGGATTCCGGGAAATCCATTCTTCGTTGGAAACATTGGCCAGGAAGAAGCTCTTCAGTCTCAACTATATAATTTGGCCCTGTAAGTTTAAAGATCTGGGGAGGTGGCGACTTCTGCTTTGCTATAACCTCCTTTAGACCTTCCGACGTGTGTTGAAACAGCATGAAGCCAGAAGGACCCCATCCATCAGGTTCAACGCTCCAGCGGAAAATACAAGGATCATTGCAGTCTTCTTCCGCCCGACGGATAGTGATGAGAGGACCTATCGTGTTCTCTACAAATACGACCATGCTAGACTCTATCTCCATCGAGAGCTTAGGCGTCTTTGGACTTTGGCATTGGTTAGCTTGATTCATATAAAGATAGGGAGAATCTCACGGTCTGTCATGTTCAAAGAATTTGACATTCGATGCAAGTTGGGGATCCATGGCAGGCTTTTCTTCGTCTTCCTTTTCAGACGGGATGAGGGGAGAACAGGGGAGGAGGGAAATATGACGGAGAGGAGAGGGAGAGACGAGTTGAACTAATATGTAAGTGGGGTTGGGTACGGCAAAAAAGCCTTCCTAGTTATCCCAGACTTGGCACACTTAAGATAGCAGATGACATGTATTAAGGGCTAATAGAAAAAAGGAAGCTAAAACGAGGGCCATAGATCCTGATAATAAAATACAAATCACTTATAGTGTTCACGTTCCCCTTACTTCAAAGTAGTGTGGTGTATCACCCCAAAAGCGGCTGTCTTTCTCCCTCCCCAGCACGCCTTTTCTGTCGCAAAGTCAACCACAGCAAGGTCCCTTGGCCCAGAGCAAAGACTAAATCATCGACAGTCACAAACCCAACATTGGAGTACCATGAAATCACAAGCATACTGATCGGGTGCCCGCCATCTAGATATAAATGCCATGGAAGAGAGACCCTAGGGACCCAAAAAACGCCCGAGAGTATGAAAGCCGCAGTTTGAAGCTTAAGACCGACCACACTTTGACTTTTTAAGGGGCTGCTGAGCTGTTTGTATATTCCTATGACAAGAGGTATAGTCGTAAAGAATGGTAGGAGAATGTTGCCATGGAGGCCCCCATAAAGAATGATAGGGTCGCGCTCATACCAAGGGCAATTCGGATGATCCAAAGGACAGAAGACGTCAGAGACTGCATCTGCTATGAAAGGTACTAGGGATATGATAAGAAAGCCGGTGTAAATGACTAGTATGAAGGTCTTGCAAAGCAGACTGGTCGGTCTGTGGTAGAGGTTTAGCCCCAGCCTATAAAAATTAATTAATTCCGGTCGCTTTTGATTCTCAAGAAGTGGAACGCTTTGAACTCACATGATATTGAACAATGCCCATACACCTATCACTTGGGAAAAGTTAATCCAGTCAAGTGCGCCGCGTGGATAGTGAGTCCAATAGAGCTCGAAAGGAAAATCATCAGGGAAATCGGAAGGAAGATCGGTGGGGTAGATATTGATGGTATAAAAGATAACGAAAAGTAAATGCTCCGTGGAACAAATAACATTGAATAGTAAGTAGTACAATGAGAGCTCTTTAGTGCCCTTGCCTACCCAAGCATCGCGTACGTGGGGGATGAAGGAGAGGAAGACCAAAACGAGAACGATACTATTTGCCCGTTAGTCTTTTTATTTTTGTTTTTCTTTTTTCCTGTCGTAGGTTCACTGTTCTGGGCTCATCGAGGAATACGCACAAGCTGATAATGCTCAGCAGCATGCTGCGCGATCACTGCTGGGAGTGATAAGGACCGAGCAATAAGTTGTGACAAAGAAGAAGAAATATGCGTGGGAGATGGAGGGGGGCATCTTAGTACGAGGTGGAAAAATTGTATATTAACATGCCGCTCCGATAAAGAGCCGACTAAAAATAGGACTATCAGTGGAGCCAGAACTCTCATTATTACAGTAAGTGCTCCTACAATAAAAGATAATATGGGATCGGGATATTTTTTAGGCCGTCTAATATTGCTTCCCACGTTACATTCGCCTAGCAGGAATCAATGAAACTATCCGGAGATTACACATGAGCTTGAAGGTAGGATTCCACTTGGATCCAATTTATCCAGTGGATGTAGAGCAATCCACGGCAAAAATTACCCTTCGTTTGGGGGCGAGATTGGATGCCAAGATTTGCTATTTAAGCGAAGAAACCAGGCATTGCTATTTTGCTGCATTATGACAGGCTTAAAAAATGAACTAAGAAGGCAGAGACTTTTATCATCCTTAATTAGGGCTAGGGAGCGCCACCAGGGTCGCGCCGGCATGAACCGAGGTGGGCCGCTAAACTCTTCCTGGTAAGACCAAACCGAGCCTCGTTGTCCCTGAATCTAGGGTCTATATACTGACTAGCATCATTTAGTCTTAATATGTCTCACAAATATGTCGCAAAATACCTCTTATTGCTTACCCCTTCATGCTCACATAGTTACTGAGATGCCAATCTTTATCGAATGCATTTAAATTGGAAATGCAACTATCTATTTTCATGCCGTTCTACTGCTTGATACAGACCAAGGCTACCCAAACAAAGCTAATTTATTGACCGCTAGGATAGACAGCGCAAGGTAAATGGAATCTTTTCCATCGTATAATGCCATAGTGATGGGGCTTTCCGAGATTGCTTCACGCTAGACTGGATGTTGCGATCTAGTGACGTGGATCCCAGTTTTAAGGGACATCGCTGGTGTGAACCGGGGGTAACAGAGCCCGGATTCTAGTCACCAAACAATTGCCTTTTCCTCGGCGGTTGATCAGATATTGAAGAGGGAGACATGATTCAGGTCTCCGCTGATAACAACACTGATCTAAGCACCTTAGAAGCAAGACGACGTCTTCCGCTCCCCGATGGAAACACCTGCAACACAAGCCTCGGGATTGACCACAATCCTGTCGACGTTTACTGGTGCGACCTCGCGTCAGAAATTGCATCCGACCCGGATGGAGATATTGCACAGCACGTTGCACTAGCAAATACAGCTTTAGCCAGCGGCGACTTTACCGCTCAGGATATAAGATGGTTCTTGCCGATGAAGCAAATAAAAATATTTCATCCCCGAAGTATCGGTATAGTATTTTACCGAGATGCTATCCTCGCTGTCAAGCAAGAGGTTGAGTACGGTTATTCATATGGGTTGGATTCACACTGTTTACCCGACCTGATGAATTGATGGCCTTCTGGTATTTCAGCATGCCCTAGTCGGTAGAGATTGGTCCGGTGAATATTGAAATGCCAGAGCATGTAAGACATAAACAGAAACAGAAACCTTCCACAAGACTGGCGTCATTTTCTACAGTTTCAGACTTACATACACATACTGATAAAAGGTTGTTTAGCCCATTCATGTATGAATAAACGAGTACTTTTATCTCAATCCACCATCTTCTGACTGTCCAGGACAAATCGTCAGTTAGTATGATATAGGAGCAAGGATAATAAACCTGCCATTTTTCAGACAACTCCAGCATTCTGCTTGTAAATCTCCTCAATAAACTCATGTCGCTTGACAGCACCCTCAAAGTCACAAAGAACGCTCTTATTGCCTGCAGAAATTGCCTCATAGACACGGGCCACGTTCCTATGAGTTGGGGGCATTTCCGCAAAAGTACCCCTTACAGGCTCGATTTTCTCAACCTTGTCGCTCTGGAAGTCGTGAAGTTCAATACTGGTTGCACCGTAAATCTGGATGTGGGCATTGGGGCCTTTAACTCTTATCTCCCCCTTCTCGCCGTAAATGCTCCACTCCATTCCAGGTGCATCCTTGAATGGCATTCCGCCTCGAATTGTAGCAGATAGTACTGCGCCCGAGTTCAGCGTTCCTTGGATCAACACGTGGTCGGGAGTAGTCTTCTTAACGTTTTCTTTGACAGTGGAGCCATCAAAATCCACAAGCTTGACAACTGGAAGCTGGTTTGAGAGGAGGGATTGGAAGCTCGAAAGCTCGCCAAGGACTGCAATCAATTGATTTTAGTTATGACTCAAGAGACTTAGTGGTGTCAGAACAAACCTTCTCGGACAGCATCAAGTAAGTGGGAGGCTGGAATTGAGAACAAATTGCCCCCGACTTGTTGGTCAATTAGGTATTCGTAAGTCGCAATTTCTGTTGGTCCGCCAATCATGCCTTGGGCACTAATTGAAGTACTGAGAACTCTTCCAATCTTTCCATGACCTATAATCTCTTTCAGGGTTTCAATGGTAGAATCAAATCGACCTTGCAGGCCAACTGCAGTGTTTTTGACATTGTTCTGTCTGGCGATGTTGAGAAGGTCCTGCGCTTCCTGTAGGCTTTTTCCCAGTGGCCACTCAACATAGACGTCTTTGCCAGCTTTGAGGGAAGGGATGATGGTTTGGTGATGACGATCAACTCGTGTAGTACAGACAACAAGATCAATCTCTTTGTCATTGGCAAGGTCTGAGTTGAAGATATTAGAAACGTTTCTCCCCCGCTTTGGTCGATGACGTCATTTTGTACTGACCTTGAGGGTTCCCATAGGTCCTGACACCCTCTGCAAGCTTTAGCTCCTTGGCGGCCTTCACAGCACTCTCCGCTGATGAGTTGCAAACAGCAACAATTTCGAATTTCGACTCGGGACTTTGCAGGTATGGCAGGTGCGCCTTGGCTGCCCACTGACCTGGTGAAAGACCGATAAAACCGACACGAATAGGGGCCATGATTGTTTAGTTGGGAAAGAGTTAGTGTCTTGATAATTTGATTGCATATATGTACACAAAATTGAATAGTGGATTATCAATCCAACACTTCAGCCGGAAAAGGCTGGTTTTAGCATCCGGACCGGAGCGCATCAGCTCCGACATCCGTGTATAGTGGATCATACCTCTAATCTTCATGCTTTACAACCCTCGAGTATTTCAACGCCATGGGTCTGTTTTGCCATATATTTGCAGGGTGCCCATTTTCTATCATCAACCTTCTGTACTATCCAGAATTCTTTCTACATGGCTTCGCGTACTCCAAACAACCACAATATTGCCATTCTTTTGATTTGTGACCGTCAGAAGGATAGAAAGGAAAACTGCTTCCAGGACGTGGGAAAAGCCTTTAGTAAACTCACAGAACTTCAAAGTGCCTGATCCAAAACTATATGGCCAGGGAATGCTTGGCGGACAACTAGTGCCGGCTTTTTCATACGAACCTGGCTTGACACTACTTGACCCCGTATTTGATCTGCAAAATAACAAACATTTTAATGCTTTGAAGATCACGTCAGATAGAGTATTTAACAAAAGTTTAACAATACCCTAAATTAACACGGTGCTGTGTACTAGGGTCAACGAATTCAAAACTTTGTATTGGCCCTTGAATTCCAAGCATGCCCCCGACGGAGCGAGATCATTCCGTTTGATCAACAAGCCGCGCCTGATACACTGATCCCTGAAGTAATACATTTCTGGGTAGAATGGGTTTGAAGTTTCCTGATTTTGCAACGAGTCCAGGGTACATCACTGAGGGATGCCTGGGAGACCATGACAACCAATTAGCAAAAGATCTAGAGTGGACGAAGTTTGTGGCCAGTGAAAATGCTTAAGGAGTGTTATCCACTGAGCCATCAGCTTTTCTGATCTTAATCCCGGCTCGAACAGGTGAAGCGTTGTCTTGCATTTGCACTAAAATTGCAGCCGAGGTGGTGAGTTTATTCTTCTATACTCGAGATAGAAATATTTCTTGATGCACAATTTCTACGCTACTTTAATTGTGTTGAGTGAAAGTTTTTAGCTAATAATGTGGCGTTCAATTAGAAGGCTCTCCAACATCTATACGACGACCAAATATCCACCTCGGCCAACTAGACTTTACGTCTTCAATGGCAGTATATTTGTGCTAACATATTATTAGATTCTGGTGTGAGATATAAATTATACAGTCGCCTCTCACCCTTAGCACACCCGCTCTTAGCACACTCCCGCTTTTAGCACACAATTCGCTTGGATGGACCCACTTTTCTTGATTTTACATACAAAATCTCCCGCTTTAGCACACTCACCCTTAGCACACATTTTTTCCAGCTGAGTCATCCGCTTAGTCATTCATATCGACCAATCAGAATGCCTGAAATCTCCGATCTTCCACCTCTTCCGACCGTCAGACCAGCTACACGAGCTGCTCTACCTCCAGCCCTAGCTCCAGCTCCAGCTCCAGCTCCAGCTCCAGCTCTAGCTCTACCTCCAGCAAAGCGTGCTCGAACAGGCATATCAGACACGCAGAAGCAGGCCTTACGTGCCTTTTGGTCTAATTCCAACCCTAAGCCGACCCAATCCGCGTGTGTAGATTGGTTTCAGTCCCAATTTAACCATAGAATCAATCGTGCTTCGGTCTCAAAAATTCTTTCATCCCGTTATGAACATCTTGATACAGGGCCTATAAAGGCAATTGATCCACGAATTTCTTCATCTTTCTGGCCTATTCTAGACCAAAAGCTATCAGATTGGATTGATAAACATATTGATAATGGATATCCAATTACGGGCCCTTTGATCCAAACTAAAGCAAGCGAGCTTTGGTCCCGTATCCCTGAATATCGAAATCAACAAAAACCTGCTTTCTCAGAGGGCTGGCTTACACGCTTTAAAAACCGGCATAATCTTCGATATCATACTTTCCACGGAGAAGCTGCTTCAGTCCCATCTTCTGTACATGATCAGATAGAAGGAATTCGTCTGATATGTGATCAATATGAACCATCTGAGATATATAATATGGATGAAACTGGCCTATTTTGGCGGCAGATGCCAAATGGGGGTCTTTCTCATAGAAAACTCGCTGGAAAGAAGAAAGATAAGACCAGAATATCTCTTATTGTCACAACAAATGCAGATGGTTCAGACCGATTACCTTTATGGTTAATTGGGACTGCAAGAACACCACGTGCGCTCCGGGGAGTCAATTTCCAAGCTCTAGGATGTGTCTGGCGTTGGAATAAGAAGGCGTGGATGCGTCAAGACATCATGAGAGAGTGGTTATATGCTTTTTATAGGCGTATTCCCATACATAAGAAAGCTTTATTGCTTTTGGATAATGCCTCTCCACATATTGCTGGTCTGAAGTCTATCCCACCACCTTCCCATATTAGGGTTCTTTTTTCCCAGCAAACGCAACTTCTATATATCAACCTCTAGATCAAGGGATTATTCAAAATTTGAAGCACCATTATCGGAAGAAATGGATGCGCTGGGTGATTGCTATTCTTGATCGAGGTCTTGATCCACAAGATCGGATGAATATATCTTATACGCTCTTTTGGTTAATCCAGGTTTGGAAGAGCTCAGTTTTAGATCAAACGATTGAGAATTGCTTCAAAAAAAGCACTTTAATACGTTTAAAAGATGAGACCAAAAGAGATCAGACCGAAAGTGAAGATCAGACCGAAACTGATTTTCAACTAATTTCTGAGCCAGGGTTAACCATTGAGGTTCAAGCTCTATATAATGAAGCAGTTGAGAAGCTTGGTCATAATGATATCATACCATTTGATCAATTCTTGAATCCAGCAGGGGAAGATATTATAGTTGAAGATGGGACCGATGGGCAAGATATATATATTGATATAGAGAGCTCTGAAGCACAAGATATCGAAGAAAACGGGCCTCCACCAGAGATTCCGTCCAATTCTGATATAATGGGTCATCTACAGGATATATTACTATGGGTTGGAAGCAAGGAAAAGAGCACATCAGACCATATACGTCAGGTTGAGAGCTTAATCAGCGAGTTTGGCAAGATTCAGGTCGAGGAGAAGCGTCAGGTGACCCTAGAGGATATGGGATGGAAGCCTAAATAGGCAATAGGGCTTAGGCTAACTGACTAATTGATTACGTCATCCTCTCACCCTTAGCACCTCTCACCCTTAGCACATAATTTTCCATGGATAGGTGAGTGTGCTAAGGGTGAGAGGCGACTGTAAAATGTATATGGCCAGACATCGTGGACCTCAAGTCTTGACAATCGCTGAAACGTTGTGCGTAGTTCGGGTTACTATCAGCGGCTAATCGGCACCTGATCCCGAGATGACCAGAATTGCGCACTGATGAGCTACTTTAACCCGCAAGATAAAAAAACTCGTGGAAATAAGAACCTGATATGAGCAGAGGCTGGAACGATACAGGGGAGTTTTAAGTCCGACTCAATAATAATGGTGGTCATAGGATTGTCTTGACGTGATTGAAATCTAGAGAGGCCGTTACAGCTTAAGGACATCGGTAAGTCAAATCGACCTAATGCTCTACATGGTTGCCAAATGAGAGGTTTTTTTATGGCTAAGGTGGGTCGTGCATAAGTATAGCGCAGACCAGGCAGTGTCCAGTGCTTTGCAGCACGTTCGTATACCCGTGTTATCGGGACGCGGCTCGGCTCCATAATATTTCTTCAGGTCGGATCGCACCGCATTGCAATCCACAGACCCCGCTAGAACGTTGTCCCCTGAACGTTTTGATCGAGAAGATTTTTTAAAATCCACAACCGTGGGTGGCTTAGATGACAGGCCGTCAACCGAGAAAAGGGGTGGAAATGTTTCTTACAATTCCTTTTGCCGCTCGCCAAACCTCCGCTATCAAAGTGGGTAGCCTCACTCGGTCGACTTCCGCGACTCCCTAAATGGCCCTTCGACATCCCACGCCCATTATTGTTAAACTGTTAAAGCTGACTGTGGAGTCAGATCTGAAAAGGCCCATATTGTGGATTGATACACGGGACTCGGCAAATTTTTTTATGTGAACGATTTCCTTGCTTTTCCACCAGTTAGTTCAACAGTCACGGAGGTTGACCGACAGACGGCATGTTCCCGGCCAGGGCCGCAGTAAGGGTGACGAGTATCAGATCCTGCTCATCGGTGAGTTGGCACTCTCGTTCCAGCTTTTTTTCTTATACTCCTCCTCTTTTCCCGTGTTTTCCATGCTATGAACCCTATTATCTCGTCGCCAGCATGCTGATTTCCACGCAGCCCCCTCCAATATCTTGACCTCACCGCGTCTATCACTGACGGCGGTTTCTTCGCCGCATGCTGAGCGACGGCTGAGCCATACCACGACAAGGAAACAAAGACTCCCCGCGCAATCATGGGATAGTCACATGCATGTCGTGGAACCCCAGCGGTTCCCAGTCTCGAAGGCAGCAGTATATCAACCACAAGTACACACACTTGCCGACGCTCTCGCCTTCGAGTCATCTGTCGGTGTCGAGAACCTCGTGCTCGTCCAGCCCTCTATTTATGGCACAGACAACTCCTGCCTGCTGGCTGCCCTAACTAAGCTCGGCCCATCTCGAGGTCGGGGAGTGGTTGTAGTTGACCCGATTACTACCAAGCCGGAATCCAAGATTCTGGATGAGTGGCACGCTCTCGGAGTTCGTGGTCTACGCGTGAACCTTCAATCCGTCGGGAAAGTGATGGAGCAAGCCGAGTTGGAGGAGACATTACTTCGACACGCCGACATTGCACGCCCTCGGAACTGGATCATTGAGGTCTACCTCCCTCTGAAGATGATGCCTGTCCTTGAGTCTATCGTGCCTCGCCTTGGCGTTACGGTCTGCATCGACCACTTTGGTAGCCCCGAGCTATCCCTTCCAAAGGCGAAGGACGGCCTTCCCTTCGACCCATACACACTCCCCGGCTTCCGGTCTCTCATCTCTCTTCTCCAACTGGGAAGCACCTATATCAAAATATCCGCTCCCTACCGACTGACCAGTGACCAATCTCAACATCAACTGAAAGCCATGGCCCGCGAGTTCTTAGCGGCGGCCCCGGACCGCACCATTTATGCTACCGACTGGCCTCATACTCGCTTCACCGGCATTGACATCAACCCCTTCACTGAATGGTGCTTGGATCTTTGCTTGGGTGTGCCAGGGCTCGCAGAGAAACTGTTTCGGAGGAACACCGAGCGGATGCTGAGTGTGGAGTCCAGCTGATGGTTCCCCCGAGATAATGTCAATATTTACTCATTGCCTTTGCATTGCAATTTGGCGTTTTTATTTTCCAGCGTTAATATATCCCTGGGTTGATCATGAAGATCCCCATACATCGAATCAACTACATCAGTTTTCCTTCTTATCATGAATGTTCCAATTGTTTAAGCAGACCACCCTCGCCTTTCCATAAGTCTATAGTCCAATATACCGAAGGCAGGAAGAGGTAATAATTATATGTAATCCAATCTTTATTCAACTGATGTTTCAAAGTTTATCGACACCGAAAAAAGTCCGCGAGAAGTATCCCTCCGGCCGTGATCCCTCTGCACATATAGGCATGTACAGGTATGAACATGACCCATCCCATCCCCATCGCCAACTCTAAACATTCGCCGCATCTTGGAAAACAGCGTGCGAGGTACAGATCTTCTCCTTGCCCTATACGACATCATGAATTAGCATCCACTCAACTCAACCAGTCCTTTCAACAGTCACTTACAATCTCGTAGCAGCATGCAGGTCGAGACTTGTCCTCACACAGCTGAGGGGTCTTCAGAAGAACACCTACAAGGAGATGGATTAGCTAACTGAACAATACACCCATGATGTTTCTTCTTAATGCGTGAGATACATACAGTCCGTAGCTGTATTGGCCTTGGGGTTTCCTCTGGCAGATACCAAGTCGCGGCAGCAGTAGGGGCTCTGGACCATGCCGGTCTTGTCTTGAGCGAATTCGCAGCTCATGTTGATCTTTTTAGCTGAGCCAAGAGCTAAGGTCATGGCGACGAAGACGACAGATGAGAGACGCATATTGGCGGTGGGAAAAAGGGTGATCAGAAGATGAACGACTGTTGGTCGGTTGTAAAGGAAGATTTGTTAATGTATAGGCACTGATCGCGTTTTCTGAGAGCTGGAAGGCGGCCACAGGCTACGAAGGAGTTCGCCAGTCAAAATACCTTGCTCTATTGGCTAGCAAGGTAATTTCCTGGTTTCTAGGAGGCATGGAGGTGATTTCTGGGACATTGATTGGAGGGCAGGGTGGTTGGTTCATCCCCTTGCATTCTTGTTTCCTCGTGAATGTGGGTGCGCCGGTAAACAGGGGGAGCCCGTGCCTGGTTTAGCTAAAGACAAGAAGTGCAACAGGATTCTTGGTAGTGGTTTTTGTTTCATGTGAGTCTATCCTCCGAGACCTGGAGGTTTTCGAAGGGGTGAGGACTGGGATGTTGACTTGGGCCCTCTAAGGGCTATGACCACACATCCATGACCCTTTTCTCGTATCACTTCACTCTCTAGTGGACTATTTACACAGATTGTAGGGATCATTATCAGAAAGTGTAAAAGCACTGTGCTTTGACAGTGTTATACGCGGCACCAATTAAAGCCCAAACTTTTGCCAGCTTAGGTGAGAACTGATTGCGTTGCTAAATTTTCTTATATTTACCCGCGCATCCGGTTCTTGCAAAAAACCCAACGAATGTAATGCAAAGAGACTCGTGGCGCGGAAGTTCCTTGGTTAAAGATCTACTGTAGGTACAATGAAAGGAATAACATACCTGACGAATGCCCAAAGAACAGAGTTTCTATATAGTTCGACATGCTTATCCAATTTGATTATTCATCGACAATGATCGCATCATACCGGGCGGTGTGGGGCTGACTGCAGAGCAGAAGCGTGAACTACCAATCCGCTGGTTCTGGGCTCTCAGCAATTATCAATCACCGCCGGAGTGTCGTTACTATTTTATTAGCATTCCCTCTTGTACATACCCCTCCATCCTCTCCATGCTCTCCCGCTCCCTACCCACCCACACCTCCCGGATCAGCTTTCGCTCCTCCCTGACCCGGTTTTCCGCTAAGAATATCCATACTGGTCTCTGTCCGACCGTCAATCGAACCCTGGCGTCCATAAATCGTCCTGTCACCGCAATTGCTCCTGCTTCGCGCCTTTCCTCGATCACCCGACACCTTTCCTCTTCCACTCCCACACTTGAGAGCAAATCTTCCACAATGGCCCCTACCGAGCAACAGTACGACTACATCGTCCTAGGAGGTGGTAGCGGCGGCAGCGGTAGCGCCCGTCGCGCAGCTGGCTGGTATAACGCAAAGACTCTGATCGTGGAGAGCGGTCGGTCTGGCGGTACCTGTGTGAATGTTGGGTATGTTAGAACCATATATAATTAATCATTGGCATGATGGCATGGTGCACAAGCTCAGAGCTGACCGTGAAACTAGCTGTGTCCCCAAGAAGATGACCTGGAACGCCGGAACTGTCAACGAGACAATTCACATCGGCAAGTACTACGGATACGATATTCCCGAGGGTACCAAGTTCAACTACAAGTATTTCAAGGAGGCTCGTGATGCCGAAATCAAGCGCCTGAACGGCATCTACGAGCGCAACTGGGGCAAGGAAGGCATTGACCTTGTCCACGGCCGCGCCCGCTTCGTCGAGCCCAAGGTTATTGAGGTTTCCCTCGAGGATGGTACCACCGCCCGCTACGCCGGAAAGCACATTCTGATCGCCACCGGTGGCCGACCCAACATCCCCGATACCCCGGGTGCCGAGCACGGTATCACCAGCGACGGTTTCTTCGAGATTGAGGAGCTCCCCCCTAAGATTGCTGTCGTCGGAGCTGGCTACATTGCCGTTGAGCTTGCTGGTGTCATGAACGCCATGGATGTTGAGACTCACATGTTCATCCGTGGTGAGCAGTTCCTGCGCAAGTTCGACCCTATGATCCAGAAGACCATGACCGATCGTTATGAGGCGGCTGGTGTCAAGATGCACCGCCACCACTCCGGCTTCAAGGAGATTAAGCTTATCCGTGACGGAAAGGGAGCCGACCGTTTGATCAAGCTTATTAGCAATGATGGTACCGAGATGGAGGTGAACGAGCTCCTGTGGGCCGTTGGTCGTGTTCCAGAGGTTGAGGATCTGCAACTCAACATCCCCGGCGTGAAGCTCAGCTCCAGTGGTCACGTTGTTGTCGACGAGTTCCAGAACACTTCCGTCGAGGGTGTCTACGCCCTTGGTGATGTGACTGGCCAAGCCGAGTTGACTCCAGGTAAGGAAAGCCATATCGGGGTTACAGGATAAATCACTAACCATTTTTTAGTTGCAATTGCCGCTGGTCGCCAGCTTGGTAGCCGTATCTTCGGCCCCTCCGAATTCAAGACCGCCAAGCTCTCCTACGAGAACATCCCCACTGTTGTTTTCTCGCACCCCGAGGTCGGCTCCATCGGTCTCACTGAGCCCGAAGCCCGCCAGCAGTACGGCGACGATAAAATCAAGACTTACCACACCAAGTTCACCGCGATGTACTACAGCCTTATGCCCGCTGAGGAGAAGGCCAAGAACCCCACTGAGATGAAGATTATCTGCGCCGGTCCCCAGGAGAAGGTCGTCGGTCTGCACATCCTTGGTCTTGGCGTCGGCGAGATGCTCCAGGGCTTCGGTGTTGCCGTCAAGATGGGCGCTACCAAGGCCGACTTTGACAGCTGTGTTGCTATCCATCCCACTAGTGCCGAGGAGCTGGTTACTCTGCGGTAAATATGGACTATATAATATGAACAACCAATTTAGAGCAAAATTTAACATGAAAAATTGTCAACCACACGTTTCACCTGGCTCTCCAATTTCAAAATATCACTAAATCAAGGCAATCCCTGTCTAACATCAGTATGCTCATTCAACCCCCAAGCCATGGAACTCGTATCATGAACCGTACACTGTCTCATATCCCTCCTGTACTTATTCACATATGGCCCCCCAACAGCGCGATGCATAACACAAGTGTTATCCCAAATGGCCAAGTCTCCAGGTGAAGTCCACTCAACACCAACGAGATGCTCATCCTTTGTAGCAAGCCCAAACAGTTTCTGGAACAGCTCATCTGATTTCCCCGCCTCAAGCCCCTCAATATGATGGATATGCGCGGCAATATAAAGATTCATCCGGCCTGACGCTTCGTGTCGCTGAACAATCTTATGCCGACCCATCGGATAATCAAGCGGCTCAATATCAGCATACGCCTCAGGCGCAGCTACTTTCTTCGAATGGTGCATCGAGTGACAAGCCACGTAGTCGTTTGCTAGAAGTTCGTCTCTCAGCTTTGCAGAGAGGTTGCCGAATGCAGCTCGTGTATCTGCGAACTCGGTCGAACCGCCATCCCAGGCGGAGGGAGTTCGTGCGCTAGAAGGAGCGAGTACCCGGCTCGGCGGGGATTGAAGCTAGAGTCCACATGGAAGAGACTGTTTCCCTGGCCCTGATTTTAGTGGTTTCTCGAACACGATGATCATAGTATTCGGGCGCTTATTCTACCTTGTTTGCTTGTGCTCGTGGGCTGGAGGGATTCAGGATCGACCCGTCTAGCTCAATATTGCTCACGTCGAAGAGTTCCGCGAACCTCAGCCGGTTTGGTCGGCCTGCTTTCATGTAAGGCGTTACATCGTCTAGCTCTCCTAATCGTTTGGAGAGTGCAATGTGGGATTCGTCGGTGAGGCCTGTTTTGCGGAAGACTAGGACGCCATACTGATGCTTTGTTAATTTTTGTAGGTGGATTACAGTTAAAAGGAGAAGGTTGTTTGCCTTAGTTAACGCAGCCAAAATCTCGCTAAACACATCATCTGAGATTGGAGTTGAGAAATCCACTCCGCTAACCTCCGCAGTGAATGTTGGATGGAGAGGTTTGACCGAGATATTCGAGAAATTGCTACCACTCAGGAGAGACATCTTTCCAGTACCTGAATACCTAAATTGATCCAAGCCGAGTGAGGGGTTCATATAGAGTCCCGGCTACGAAGTTCACTTTATCAATAGCCGACATAGAACCCCCACATCGATCAATGCGCTCTTACCCCACACGTAACCATGTCTACTCCAGTTGAACCATAATAGGCTATTGCGGGGAGAGCTATATGTGTTATTTGAGTTGGATACGGGGCTATTCGATTCCCATGTGTGGCCTTCCCTCTGTATTATCAGTATTAAGTCAGGTGGATCTCCCCGTCTAGCAGTTTTGATATGTCCCATGTCTGTGCCCTCTATGTACTGAGGTCAGCAAAATGTCTACCGATACAAAGCCCAAGCCAATCCAGTGGCACCAACAGCCAAAATAAAAGCCCACCGCGTCAATCCCCTCCGAATATGCAGTTTGGCAATCTTCTCAATCGCATCCCCATCATTGATATGCGGGAATGGCACATCCTTCGGAACCTCCTTCCCAAGCGCCTTACACAAAGGCTCCCACCCATCCTTAACATCATAAAACACAAGCCGATGCTCAGGAACAACCTCCTTCAACCACTCAATATGCCGATCATATGTCTTCCTTGTCGGAATCTCCTCATCATAAAGCGTCTTCCACTGCACGCTCAATAACTTGAGGTAATTTATAAAATGTCTCATGCCAGGCAAGGGAAATAGCACACCGCGCAAGAACCAAAGGAACGTATAATGCATCACATGGTTCATAGATTTCTCCCAGGACACCGGATCCCGGACAGTACAGATTACCTTGGCATCCGGGTACAGGGCCATCAACTCAGGGACGAGCTGGCCACCTGGCGAATCGGTCGTGGCGGCATAACCATCATACTGGCGCGCTAGGAGTTCTAGGAGGGCTTTCTGATGCGTGTCACCTCCTGCGGCCCAGTGCTTGAGTGCTTGAATCCATGTTTTGATTTGAATAGGGGGTCCTAACGTTGCTTGAGTTCCGCAGTGGAAGGTTGGGCCTTCTAGAAGGATATCCAGGGCTGTACTGAATGATGCGGTTCCAGTTCGTGGGAGTCCGGCTCCGATGACTTGGATTGTTGTTCCTGGTTGCGGGACAGATGGTTTCTGTCCCATGTTGATGTCCGCTTACTGTGAAGCTAGCAATTTGTCCACTCAGGCTTGGTTTTGGTGTGGGAATTGGAGTCCAGCTGATAGACGTGGAATTTCCAGTGGACTCGGGTTTGTTTGGGTAATTCACTGGAACTGTGGAAGGCTGAAATAAAGGATGGCTAAATAGCAAGGTTTCTACATGTTACATAATTTGGCCCCTTTTTCCACTTATGCTTATACCGTGCGGGGAAGGTTTTATGCTCCAAAAGATCTTCATATGCCTGGAATCAAGATAATGAGACAGCTTTGCTCAATGATTGGGAGTAATTTGAGTAAATTGGTAAGAACTACTCTCTACTTTGGGTCATCGTCCTGCTCTCCCTTCCCTATTCATATGGAAGCTAGACCGACTCTATGCAACTGCCAACAACCCAAAAATGAGTTATGCGTGTTTCCTAAAATGGGGTGAACCCTTTTAAAGACCTTGAAAAAACCGGGCATGTACAATGTGGAGAGAGCACATCATATTGAAGACTTGATTGAACAGAGAGGTACAGTTGGGTTTAAATTTATCATTTGAATGTATTCGGAACCATCGTAATAACATCATGTATGTCTAATAAAAGACGGCTGGGACGCCGGACGCTGGTGTACCTCAATAAGGCAAATAGGTGCTCCCTAGAAATGAACCCGGAGGCTCACAGATTCACGACCAAGTTGTTTGCAAGTGATCAAGGATATCAAGTCAGAATTTGATAATCTGGCGTGTCTATGGTAAGGCAGCGGGGCGAGAGACAGGGTCAGTAACCAGCGTGTCGACAAAGATCCATGTCGTCAATGAAGACGGCGCCGGCGCCGTTTTAAATGCCCCGAGATAAATATCTGAGGGATGACGGTAGTATTGTAGACAAGAATGCAAAATTTCAAATAGTGAAAGATCCATCATTTCACTCTCCCAGTGAAAAAGGAGCAGCGTCATCAACCAAGGGGCTAGTGGCTACTTTGTCCAAGGCCACGGCGTGCAGAGCAGGCTTATCACTGGTGGGAAGAAGACCTTTGCTCTTCATATCCAATTGCTTTTGGACCCAGTCAGCGACTTCTTTGTCCTCGGTGACAGAAGATGGAAGGCCCTCGCCAGCTGCCGACGCCTCGGCTTGGGCTACAGCCTCATTCTCAGCCTCGGTAGGGGGCTGCATAAGGGGCTTGAGCCAAACGTGGCGAAGCAGCATATTGTAGGTTGGTCGGTTCTTCGGGTTCTTGTCTAAACAGGCCTCAACGAATGCGTGCGCCTCTTCGGAATAACCATCCGCAGGAAGGGTTGGGGGATCTCCATGGACAATAGCCTTGATTAAAATGTTAGCTTAGGATCTCACTTAAAAGTTATTGGAAGAGGTACTCACGTGTAACTGGCTGAAGATGTTGGTGAATGTCTCCGGTGGATACGGGTACCGTCCCATGGCGCATTCAATGATGGACAATCCCAAACTCCAAACGTCGCTCTGCACACTATATGTCCCGCCGCTAGTACTTCCCGACTGTTGCATACCACCGCCTGCAATGCGCTCTGGAGCCATGTAGCTCTGACAGCCGATGTTGGTCTTGGCGATACTGGCCACCAAGTTTCCGCTTACGCCAAAGTCGCAAATCTTGATCTGACCCTTGGTATTGACCAGGATATTGGTCGGCTTCACATCGCGGTGGATGATATTGTGCTCATCCTTGAGCGATTTCAATCCCATGATGGTGGATAAGGTCATCTTTCGCAAAATATTCTCAGGCAAGCCGCCTTCGTAGATTTTGTCAATCGAGCCGCCATCCATATATTCAACACACATGTATACAGCGCCCTCTTGGAAGAATGCGCCGTAGAAATCGATGATAAAGGGGGAAACACATCGGTGCAGGATATCCAATTCCATAATGATCTGGGCGAACTTGGCCTCATCCAGCTCTAGTCGGATTTCCTTCATCGCCATGATAACACCAGACAGATTATCTTGGCGCGCTTGGTCGGCATCCTCAGCTGCCCGACTAACAATGCCACTCAGACCTAGGCCGGGTTTCCGAAGATGAGGCCGGCTGTGTCGAACTTTGTAGACGGTACCATAGTTTCCCTTGCCCAGCTCGTCTAGGCGATCCACTTCGTCTAAGGAAATCTTGAAACTATGACCAGAAGAGAACTCCACACCCCCACCATGTAGTATCGCTTTGTTTTTGAAATTCAGGGTTCCAGATTTGGTGTCGATGAACTCGGAGTATTTGCTAAAAGCTGACTCACTCCCATTCTCCTTTTCGGGTTTGGTGTCGGTTTCATTCGACCCATTTGGCGGTGGCGTTCCACCGGTCACGTCTGACAGCTTGAGACCAGGTTTCATTCGCTTGGCAGCCAGTCCGCTAGGTCTGGGGGATGAGGACGGACTCGTCAGTGACGGAACCACAGGCGAAGAGGACCAGTGATTCTGATTAGGCCGGGAAGGGGGCGGTAACCGCCCAGCCAAAGCACCGCCTGCACCGGCATCGTTGGATGTGGGGATGTGCCCGGTGGATGCGACATGCGGCACACCTTGTCGAGAAAGAGAAAACGCCTTCATTTTGGCCATGATATCCGGATTCAATCCTCCCCCTTTTGGGGTACCAATCGAGGCTGTCGGGTGTGGCGATGCCCCGGGACCCCGCCGTGCGGCGTTGATCTGGGCTATGGAACCTGACGGCGCGGACGTGCCTGCGTTGCCAGCTTGGGATGAAACGGATGGCTTTGATGCGTGATCAGTAGTCGCAATACCTTGCGATATGGGGGATAAGCCTCCGGAGCCTGTGCTGTGGTCGTCATCGGTCGGAGGAGTCTCCACGGCGGGATCGCGGTCGGCCATGATTATCGCGGGGTTTACGGAGAACGAGGAAGCCCGACGACAGGGGCTGGTGTAATTGCTGCTTGGCCGTCTTGAACTTAGGCACCGGGAGTCGGTGCTGTATTCCAAGAAAGGTAGAAGGGAGGTGGGGTGAAGGTTTTAAAAAGGTAAATGGCTGAAGGAACTTTTTTTCTGTGAGGTGAAGTCACCCGTTGAACAGGGAAAGATAATATAAAGTGGGGGGAGACAAGACGACATTGTACTTCCTCAATTCCTTGGATTTCAAAAGCACTTCTCGGTTTTGTTTTGTTTTGTTTTTGTCAGATTCTGTCTTTCAATCTATTATTCAATCTATTCCTCTTCTCGCTAAACCCCCATAGTCAAAAAGTACAGCCAAACGCATCGGCACCAGAGCATCATTGCTCAGATCAGACTCATATCACTAACCGGGCTGAACAACCGACCAATCAGCATCCGCTCTCGGCTGAAAAGCAGGTTTTGACACGACGGAGTTGCACATTGTTCGCCTCTTCCTGCCGTGTTTCATGTGGCTGTAATGAGTTTCAAGAGAACCTTGGAATACCGGCACTTTGTTCAATTGTTGATCATGTTGATCTAAGACTCACTCGACCACTCGGGGAGGCGCTCTTACCATCCCTGCCATGTCAATCAACCGGTTTGCGATCCGCCCAACATGAACTCATTTGCCTCCGTTAGATACAGGATACCCCGGATACCTTGGGCGAAAAGATCCGGATTTCCCCCTTGGTGTATTTGCTATCGGGGACATCCGAGTCGTTGACGCAGCTCTTCATTCTCCACTATTACCCGTCATCTATGGCGCCATTCAGTCCATGCGTTTCCACACGCCAGAAACGTATCTTGGATGGCCTGGCTAATATAGGGCTGATATTCTGGGTGCCTGTTTACCACATTTCTACTGCCCAGCTGAAATAAGTTCATGACCGACCGTTGGGGGGAAGGATTGTACCCAACAGGTTTTCCCCTCGGAGTGGAGATCGTGGTTCTCATCTTCCTCCTATGCTAGGTACACCGCAATGACCTCGGAAACTATCTTTGGGCCCCTTCAATCCATCGGGAGTCCTATATAGTTTTATATGTCCCAAGGAAACCACGTCCCTGATTCCGCTTCTTCGTCCTTGGTCATCTTATGAAAATGGGTAGGGGTCTCAACGCCCCCAGCGAATCAACAAATACGTGTCTCAATATCGAGGAATCCTGTACCCTGACACCTCCATTCTGCTTATCATATCCAGTTTTTATCTCCACTACCCTGCGCCAACCATTTAGCTGGATCTGTGCAAGCCTCAAGCCAGCTCGCCTTGCAATTCGCCAGATCGTTCAAGAGATCGGCGTTGAATCGCGGGACGTGAATGGCCAGGGCGGCATCTCGCTTTACTTGTTCTCCCATGGTGGTGGCGACGTTGCTGCCCTGCTGGCACTTTTTCTAAAAGAAGGGGGGACTAGGGGATTTCAATTCTCTCTAATCTCAAGGCAATAACTCTGGATTGCTGCTCGGGCGATGATGACCTTGAAAGAGCATACGCGGCGGCACAGACGTTGATGCCCGAGACATTAATGACCCGACTACTAGGAAACACATCTATCTACCCCACCGTGGCAGTGATCAACAGTTTACAACATGGTTGCCTATATTGTGCGCTCGATTCAAGACTTGAATAGCCAACCACCTTTGGAGCTAATCCGGAAAGACTTCATGTCTACTCTCAGAAGGATGCCATGGTCAAATGGGAAGTTTCGGAATGCAGCATACAAGATGCACGGTCTCAAGGATACCCAGCTGGTCAGGTATGCTTTGAGAATGGCTCACATTGTGGCCTGATCATAGAACACCCAATCGATATTGGACAGCCGTCCAAAGATTCTGGTAAGGAGAGAATATATCTATGAGGCTTTTGCGGGGGAAATGACAATCCTCGCGGTCGATTGTAATCACCCCAAAACCTGGTAGATTCTGTCAAGGGAAGAGATATAATTGGTTCAAAGCGGAGCACTCTAGCCTTTAAAGCTTGGAGGCTGAAGACTTCATTACTTCGATGGGTCACATGAAGCCTCGGTCACGTGAAACAAAGATACAAAGCTACGGGCTTTGGATGTCAAAGGGGGAAGCATGTGGGCTGCCAATCAAATTCCAATAAATCACTTCAGATTGCCGGAACTTTTCATGGCAACCCACTCCCCTGGGGATGTGCGGATCGACCCAGCGACAGAACACTACCCACGACACATACAGTCCTGCACGAATGAGCAAGAGGTTAATAGTAGGAGTCAGATGGAAAAGACATAGAAGTGTAACTCCCAAGACTATCACCGGCTGCTAGTTATGGTGTGTCAAGACCGACCAGGGGTAACGCCACCCGGTATGGTAAAATAGGATGTAGAGGAGCTGTCCCCGCTACACTAGGTAGTCGTTACTACCTAAAATTAGTTTCTGATTCCCAATATGGCGATACTCCGTGGATGGCCCACTATCTAGATGATTGTTTGTAGCATCCAAAGTCGAAAAAGCAAGAACAATATTGTTGCATTTGAAGACTGCCCCTACGGTATCCGTGGCCCATGGGTATTTGGTGAAGGGCAAGTAAATCCATAAAAACACATGTTATTCTTCTCTTAGGAGTTAGTTTGTTTCGTGTCCGGTGGCTGGCTAGCCTACGTGGCCAGCTCGCTTACGGCTGACCGAATGCGTTGTTGGTTTCAAACCATAGAATTTTAAGCATCACCACGGCACACATCTAGTTCATTTCTTCGTGTCGTCTACCGGACATTAATTCAACAGAAAGTTAGCTGCTGGGCTGTGTCGCTTCAAAGACATAAACAAATATGGATTTTGAAACATGCAACACTTGTAAGAGTGTTTTTCAAGCCGCTTTACAAGAAGACCACAGGGTTCAACTACACCACCAAGCATTCATTGACTTGATAGCAAGTAAAGAGCGAGGTTGCACTTTGTGCACTTGGTTATGGGACAAGCATAGAATGCAGAATGGAGATGCCCAACAGATTGATACAGAGGGATTCCGCGTCACATCTATCAGACATGAGCACGAAGATTCTATATCGTTTCAAGTTGACGTTCCACGGGCTCTTGACTTCACATTGGAAGGTCAGTAAGCCCAGTTGAAAACCGCTGAATCAATATTCCATTGATATAAAGATCTTTGTACTTAACTACCATTAGTATCGATGAAGTCTCAACCTGATGTCTCACAGGCCTTGGATTCACAGCCCTGGGAAAAGATAGATGCATCTACGAGCTCTACTCAGACCTTGAGTCAGATAGAATCTTGGCTATCTCACTGCGATGAGAATCATAAATTTTGTCGCGATTATGACTCAACACCGTTCTTTCCAAATCGCGTGATTGACGTGAAGGAGATTGAAGATGGTAGAATCCACCTCAGAGATCGAAAAGACATTATAGCACAAGAAGGACTAAACAGTATTGCGGGAACAGAGACCTCAGAGGAATTCGAGGGTCACTTCCCTGTGTACTGGACTCTATCTCATCGATGGGGTGATCCGAAAAAGATTCTAAAATTACTCCATGGCAACGAAAAGAAATTCAAGGATGGGCTGTCTTTGACGGCTGAACGTGTGCCAAAGACCTTTCAGGATGCTATGTGGACAATCCACCGTCTGAATTACAGATATCTCTGGATTGACTCCTGCTGCATTTTCCAAGACTCAATTGAAGACTGGCAGAAGGAAGCAGACCAAGTGTCACAGATCTACCGAAACTCTTTTTGCAACATCTCAGCAACCGTCTCCTCATACGAGCCAACCAGTACGCTTTTCGTTGGCGGGCGGAACTCTCGACTCTTGTTTCCCTTTCTAATCAAACTTTCTGTTAACGATGACGAAAGAACAAACATCATCAAAAGAAAGAGATTGTGGGAGGATGAAATTGAAAACTCCCCTCTTAGTACGCGTGGCTGGGTTGTACAAGAGAGATTCCTCGCTCCTAGAATCATTCACTTCACCCGAAATCAAGTGTTCTGGGAATGCTTAGAGAATGCAAGATGCGAAGCCGACCCGGATGGTCACATTAACATACTTGGTGACAAAGATATCAACCATTTAAGCCCCAGAGTGACAGCTTATAAGGATGCCCTCAAGGAGCTGGCAGAACTGTCTTCACTATTTCTCACATCAAGCCTGGATCGTACCAAAATCAACTGGGATCGCGACAGCATCGGCCAACTCCAGTTTTACACTGAGCGAAATCTCTGGAGAAAAATGATCAGTATCTATACCGCTTGTAACCTCAGCAATCAGTCAGACCGTCTCATCGCCATGGCTGGTATTGCCAAAGCCTTCCAAAGGGTTACTTTGTCAACTTACCTAGCTGGGCTGTGGCAACATACGCTACACACAGATCTCCTTTGGGAATCAAATGCCTCTGAAGGCGGGGTGGTGCATCGTAACACCCTGCATGTTCCTTCCTGGAGTTGGGCATCAGTCTTTGGGGGCAATGTCACTTTATATGGGTATACCCGGTTTGGTGGCGATCCCGCTTCTCAGATTGAATTAATCGCCCCGAGGCTAGAGGCATTGAGACCCGGTGGTGACCTGATGGGCTTACTCGGGCGGGCAGAGCTTGAAATCAAATGTGTTCTTCTGTATTACCGGTGGAATGGGGATCCGCAAAGGTTGGACCTCTTCGCCGATATTTCCAGAACCAAAGCCGCGTTTAATGGGGGTCGCATTTGGGGGACGAATCTGAAATTGGACACCCATGAGTTGGCTCAACATTTCAAGGATCAGGCCGTTATCGAGGGAGAATGCATTCCAATAACAATTGGAAGAGAAGCCTATGGTGCTTCGATTAACAGGTTCCTGGTTGTGGAGAAGGGACCTGCAGGGCATTATCGAAGGCTAGGTGTATATCACTTAGGAGAACAAGGTAGCTCCTCTGTGATTGGCAACCAGGAGCGCACAGCCGTGACTCTGGTTTAAGTTCGTCCTACTTTGCAATGCATTCGAGCCCCACCAATCACGCAGGCAATTTCATGGGGCCAAGCGCCTTGCAAGGCACGATTCATTTGTTCTAGAAAGGCGCAAGGCAGCCGAGGATATACTGCCACCCTCTCCTCTTTCGAAGCTGATGAGGGTGGGTACGACGGTTGACTCAAAAATCAGCGCAACGCAAGTTTTCTAGCGGTTCTTCGAGCCCATGTCGACGGAGAATTTCTCCCTGAAAGGCATCTGGCGACTTTCATCAAGTCAACTGCAATACAACGTACTGCAGCTACATTTAGGAGCCTTCTGCTTGGCATTTCACGGACCTTGATAGGCCCATCTGGCCTTGGATATAAGCACTACCGAAGAAAATGCCTTCATTGATAAAAGACTTGGGGACTTTTTAGATTCATACGGGCTATAAGGTAGACACTGTAAAACATAAACCACCCGGGCATGGTATATCACCAGAGGAATATTCCCACTTGGGTGATCCGTGCCCATTCTAGATACAAATGTTCAAAATGCGTAAAAATCTTACAAGGTAAGCACGCGTAAGTATGAGCCGATATCGTAAGCTAAATCTTTCTCCCAACCGCAAACTCCGAAATAGATGCACGTTCAGTTCATTCATGAAATCTCCATTCCTTCGTCATCGCCATCAGCCTCGGACATCTCGTCAGCCACAGACCCTAGCCTCAGGCGAGACCCCTTCCCGTCACCGGAGGTGTCATCTCCAAAGGAGCTAACCATTTCCAATTCTGGGCCTGCAATGATCCGGCCTTCGGTGTCCACGACCTCGCAGAGCTCAATTAAGCTCTGATGACTTAGAGACTTGAAACCATCCGTACGTACTATGCGACCCCAGTGGGTGAGGCAGAATTGAGCTGCCCGCCGCATCAGCCAGTGCTCATTGGTTCTCCCAGCTCGCTCCCAGACAATGGCAGCATTGTCTACATCAAGCTCACGACTGAGTCGGTTCACGCAAAGGAGGCGAAGCTTGGGCATATCGTAAAGATTAGCCATGACCAGCATACCAGCCACATCAACCACACTGGAGCAGAATTCGGGGTGTCCGGCAATACTATCCGTGTACAGGTAATATAGAAATGCACGGACGACCGAGTATGGCTCCGGGATGTGCATGCGCTTTGTATGGTACTCAGCCATTTGTGCTGCGTACAAGCGTTTAAAGTGTGGCCACCGCAGTTGCAGTATGATTTTGTGTACGTGGATCGGTGCTGATGTGGATGGGTTGGGTTCTACAAAGGTTGGCTGGGCCTGAGCTGGAGACCCAGAAGTGGTGGTGTCGTGATAATCATCCGAGTCCATGAAAGCATCATCATCGCGAATAGCAGTAATAGTGAAATCGGCACCACTGCCCGACTGGGGAGACTGGTCGAAGACAGCGGCAATGTCTGCCCCCAGGCCAGAGACTGGAGAGTGGCCAGATCGGTCAGGCCAAGAGGAGTCTTGCTCGGGTGCCTCCGCAGACAGTTCATTCCCCAACAAGCCATACTTTTCCAGGTCAATGGAAAGGATTTCACTCATATGATTCTCATCGCTAGCCCCGGGGGTATTCGACAAGTCGAGACTGCAACCTAACAGCCAGGCCTTTGTGCCCGCTTCGTTGACTGTGCAATAGTGCCACCGATAGCCCGGTCGGAAAAGCTCATGGCCGTCAGCCAGTCGTTGCCAACGTAAAGAATTGAGCTCCAGAGCTGCCAAATTACAGTCATGCGAACGGACGGTCTCAGACGGAGTGATCAAGTCAAGAAGGACGCCCGAGGCAAAGGATTGGAAGTGAGTTCCGGAGAATAACGCGGGAACGTTCGGTCCAGAATGAAATCGAAGACATGATATAGCACCTGGAGCAAGTGGCTTGCGTCGGCCAAAGTTTCGTACCTGAACACTGGCCGAATTTGCAGCATAGCTTCCAGAGCGGGGAGACATCTGGGTAGAAGGACTAGAGATGGAGTCTGGATAATGAGTTATCGGCAGTCGTTGGTCCAGGGAGTCCACGGTACCTTGGGGTGTGGTGATGCCAGCCAGGGAGGGAGAGCCTTTGAGATCGAGCCACCAGATATCAGTCGTTCGTTCCATGTTGGGACCCAATCCTCCAAATATCCATAAACGATTGCTCCAGACCCATGCCGTGTGATCAAATCGAGCGGTGAAGCTCCATGTCCGAGACCAAGTCCAGGTTTGAAGGTCCAAGTAGGTGAGATCATCCAAAATAACGTTATTTTCTCCGGTCACCCCTCCAACAATAAAGAGTTTATCATCATGGATGACAGCGGCATGGCGTGCTCTGCCACGTGGTATCAGGCCGCGAATTTCAGGTAGAGCCCAGGTGAATGTTTGAAGATCGAGAATGACAACGTCGGAAAGATATTCACGATGTTCGTTCTCACCGCCAAAGACAATCAATTTGTTGCCTTGGTAAAGGGTAGCAGTGTGTCCTGGGGAATTTAGGTTAGAGACACAGGTCCAATGAGAGGTGTTCGGCGGCAACGTACCCATACGAACACCCGGAATATCACCATAGTTGTCGACCAATTCCCACCGCAGAGTGTTCAAGTCTAGTCGGAGCACGTGATTGTACACTGGAGCGAGTAAGCATCGTGGTGAAATTTGGGAGATTTGAAAAGGTGAGAGGGCAGACCTTCATCAGTGTATTGGTCAAATCCCCCAAACGCGTAGATTTGATCGTTGCTGCAGTACGTCACTGAGGCGTTGACCAGACATGCGGGGACATGGCCTTGGGCCTTCTTGACACTGGGGCGGTAGTCAGTTGCCGGACGCCCGCCCGCGGGACTGGCCGGCAACAGGTATGCGTCCTGTTGCTGCATCGAAAGTACCGAGCGCGCACTTCTCGGGGTATGCGGATTGGGGAACCTCGAAGATCCGGTCCAGGCTGATGGAAGTCGTGCGGGTGGGTCCAGGTGGAACGGAGGGAGGTGGGGAGTTGAAGCTCCCGCCATCAGGCAGGAAAACGAGGAAATTGAGTGTCAAGTCAACAAAAGCCAACTGTAATCGGCAATAAATAGGCGCATTATGGGTTAACTCAACCACTGCCTACATCTGAGCATGACAATGAGGCTTTTTTTTACAACGAAGTTCCCCGCCAAGGAATACAGTGAAAATCGATCGACGCCGAAACGGGAAACTACCGGCATGTCATGTGCGGCTGCCGCTAGTCTAGATATGGCCTAGTTCAGCCGTACCTGAGGTAACGGTTGCCCCGGCGAACACTGGTCCATACTGAATGTAGAATTCTATTTATTCGGCTCTACTCTATTCCTCCTCCATTCCCTTCCATCTATCTCATATCCTACCTATCCTAAATCACTGTTGCACTGTTAATTCGCATTGAATTATTTGCTCGGTGGCTGGATCCATCCTGTCCTGACCTTTCATAAACAGCTCATTCACATTGTCAGTATGGCAACTGCTTCGGTGACTACTCCGAAGAAGAGCCACCATGGCCTCTTTTCCTCCAAGACTGCAGGAGGTCGAATGCCCTTGACTCCTTCTCCTCACACGCGCCCTGCTGCTGTCACTCCGCAGGCACAGGGTAACGAATCGCCATTCACTCCGGTTCGTGGTTCCGAAGGAAACCGCAGCCAGTCTCAATCAGTTTATGGCGGAAACCTGTCCTCGCTCTTCGCCAAATCCTCTACTTCCAAGTCCACTACCGTCAAATCTTCCACTGCGAAGTCGTCGACTACCAAATCTACCTCTACTGTCAAGTCTTCTGCTACAGCTAAATCATCTCGGTCGACCTACCGTGACTCCCCGAAATCGAATATTGCACGACGGAAGTCACCGAAACACCTGGAACTGGGTGTTTCTGACTGGTCCTTGACCGGTACTGGCCCTTCGTCAGCTCAATCTCCGGCCAAGGAGCGCTCTCGACGGGAAATTCCTACTAGGTCTCGCACCGGCAAGACTACCGTGCGGATTCCTCACAATACCGGCGACCGATTCATTCCCAACCGGACCGCCAGTGAAGGTCTTGTTACCTCTGGTGCCGCCAAGCCTGAAGAAAGCCAGCGTCCCAAGACAAGCAGCGGAGAGGCGTCCGGATCGAACGTTCTTGCCTCGGCTGCTAGTGCTTTTGACATCAACGGCCGCGCGGCGGAAGACGAGTTGACCTCTGCTTTGGAGAACATGGGTCTGGAAGACAATGAGTCCACCAATTACACTCGGCCAGCGCCCGACAAGGTTGCTTACGAGTCATCCCTGGCGAGCGCCTGCGATATCAACTTGAACACTCGTATTCTCGCCTTCAAGCCCCCTCCACCGGAGTCATCGAAGCCTATTGATCTCCGTGCTCAGTACAACCGCCCTCTTCGTCCTGCCAAATCAAACGCTGCTCAATTCCGTCGTCGTGTTCAGACCGCCCCTGAGCGAGTTTTGGATGCCCCTGGTCTTTTGGATGATTACTATCTGAACCTTCTGGACTGGAGCTCTGGCAACCAAGTTGCTATTGGTCTAGAGCGCAACGTCTACGTCTGGTCTGCCGAGTCTGGGACCGTCAACTGTCTCCTGGAGACTTCCCCTGACACTTACGTGAGCAGTGTGAAGTGGAGTGGCGATGGTGCTTACGTTGGTGTTGGTTTGGGCACTGGTGAGGTCCAAATCTGGGATGTTGAGGAGGGTAGCAAACTGCGCAGCATGCACGGTCACGACACCCGCGTCGGAGTCATGGGTTGGTCCAAGCACACTCTATCCACCGGTGCGCGGAGTGGCCTTGTTTTCAACCACGATGTTCGCATCGCCGATCACAAAGTGGCTGAGCTTGTCTCCCACACTTCAGAGGTCTGTGGATTGGAGTGGCGTTCAGATGGGGCTCAACTTGCGACTGGTGGCAACGATAACCTCGTCAACATCTGGGATGCTCGTTCGCTCAGTGCTCCCAAGTTCACCAAAACCAACCATCGCGCTGCTGTCAAGGCACTGAGCTGGTGTCCCTGGCAACTCAACCTGCTGGCCACTGGTGGTGGTTCCTACGATCGTCACATCCACTTCTGGAACACCACAACTGGTGCCCGTACCAACAGCATCGATACTGGTTCACAGGTAACCAGCCTCCGGTGGAGCAACCACTACCGCGAGATTGTTAGCTCCAGTGGTTTCCCTGACAACTCTCTGAGCATCTGGAGCTACCCAACCCTGGTGCGCAATGTGGAAATCCCTGCACACGAGACCCGTGTTCTTCACAGCGCTCTGAGCCCTGATGGCCAGATGCTAGCTACTACGGCTGCGGACGAGAGCTTGAAGTTCTGGAAGGTCTTTGAGCGTAAGGCTGGTAGCAGTGCTGCGGCATCTCGGGAAGGTAGCGTTGGTAGCAAGGCCCAGCTTACCAAGGCTATGACCATCCGCTAATGTGCCTCTATATTTGGATCTCGTTTTGGTCGCATTTCATGTTTTATACCCCCGGTTTCATGGTGATCTGCTGAGCATTGATGGCTGGGATATTCATTTCTTTCGGTGTAATGGTCGTTCTTACAGGGCTTGGATGGGGAGTTTCTTCGGTATTGTATCTAAATTGCCAAAGGCGCATTCTGCACAAATATCATTCTTCCTGCTATTTTTTGAAGAGTTCCTGAAGTATTTCTATTTCGGTGTAGTACCCCGAGGCTCATTCTTTGTGCTCAACTTTCAAGGGCGGCGGGATGACTAAGCGCCGGGAACTGGAGGGATTTCGACCGCAGAAGCCCGACTTTCACCTTCAGTAACTCATCGCCAAACCTCCCCGTCTACTCAAAACCCTTCTCTTGTTTATTCTGGGTTTGCTCTCAGATCTCATTTCCTTCATTGTTTTGCCTCTTGTAAGATTACGGTCTGCCTCATTCCTTCCTCGTTGCGTGATTCCTCGGAGCTGTGACCGACCACCGCTCCAACGGTCCCATCCGTTGCGACGACGGAAGCCTACTTGCTCTGTTCAAATCAGCCAAATTTTACTGTACCGCAGTATTCTTTCGCCTTCCGTTCAATCACCTCCACCTTCCTTCTTCTCAATTACCGCAAACGCAACTCAACAACAACCATGTCGAACCAGCAAGTTGTAAGTCCTGTCACGAGGGCATCTCACCCTATACGGTCGCGGAGGCGAATCCATGGCCCCTCTTGCAGGCTGGTCTGCATAGACCTTCTTGTGTGCAAGAGGTTCATCAACGATGATCTTAGCTAACATAAGCTGTGTCATAGGGCCCGGTGTTTGAGCGCGTCATCCAGGAAGTCTGCGACGCTTCCCAGGTCGATTTTGAGGAGAGCGGTGTGGATCAGAAGACACTGCTAGACTTGCGTGAGGTGAGTGATAAGTTGGATGATCATCTCTTGTTCCTTTGGATAATATCTCGTTGTATTTGATGGAATTTGGTGTCGTGGTTCTGGGGTGGCGGCCAAAAGCGGGGGTCCCGAAATGGTGCGGGAAGCGCTGCTTATGGGGGAATCCGGGCTTTTGAGGCTCTCTTTATATGTGGCCGCCTGTACCCGCTTAGACCGCCAAGCCAATCCCCGTTGTTGACCACCCGATCTATATATATACCTGACCTTGCCAATGTACCCTGCATACTAACTATTTCCTGCAACGATAGACCTGGCAAACCAAGCTTTCATCTCTTAACGTCGCCCATTTCCCCTGGGATCCCACCCCACAGCCTACCCCGCAAGCTCCTGTCCTGCCGCCTCAAGCTACTGTCCCATCCAACGCACCTCGTCCTCCTCCCCAGCCACAACATGTGGCCCCTCCTGTCTCTCTACAGCAAACTGTCCCTCCTCCAGTTTCTGCTCCTCTTCCGGTTCATGCACAAGCCCCAGTCGCTCCCATGAGTGGGCCTCCTCGAATCAAGACCGAACCTGGGACTAACGGCCCGTCTGGTCTGCCTGGCATGAATAATCCGATGCAAGTCCCTACCAATCCTCAGGCAGCTCGCGATCGCGCCATCAGTGCGATGCAGCAGAAATACGGTGCCAACGCGGCAAGCTCCGTTCACCAAATGCATCAAATGCAAGCTCAGGCCCCAGGCCAGCATACGTACCAACAATATGCCGCGAATGGGCAAATGCCCCACATCAAACAAGAGTCTGGCTACCCATCAATGGGCCCTGGTCAAACTGACGGTGGTGGAGATGACCCCATGGCGGACTGGAAAGCCGAGGTCGCGCGTCGCCGAGAGGCCGCTGCGAATGGTCAAGGCGACCATGTGCTCCGTGAGCACCTCAAGTCACAGATGCGTGGACTGGAGGCCGGTGGTCTCCTCCGCCCTCTTAGTGAGCACGAATCTCCGGCTGTGCTGGCACGACGCGCTGCTATTGAGGCACATCTCAACTACAACCCGTCGACATCTGCTGCTCCTCGAATCCCCGGTCAGGTCGATGGAGAGGAGGCCGACGAAGACGCGATCAACTCCGACCTTGATGACCCTGAAGATCAGTATGCAGAGGACGGAGATGCTGATGAATCTGAGGGTCAAGTCATGCTTTGTACGTACGACAAGGTTCAGCGAGTCAAAAATAAGTGGAAGTGCACATTGAAGGACGGCATCCTGACAAGCGGAGGCAGAGAGTAAGTCGACCATTTTGTTCTATGCTATTAAGACCACAACTAATATCCACTAGATACGTTTTTCACAAAGGCCAGGGCGAGTTTGAATGGTAGACTCGCTTCTCCTTTTTTTTCCTCTCTATGCCATTCCTGCTCCGTCTGTAATACATGTTCTCGTTATGTGCTTCATTTCGCACACATGAAAATCAGTGATCAGTGCTTTCGTTCCTCATGCTCTTGAACGGTTGGTGCAAGCGAAATTATTTTTCCCCCTTATGATTTATTTCCCCCTCTTTTGTCCTTTCCGGTTCATGCTCAAGGTCAATCAAAGAGCTGTACTTCATGCGTCATTTTTTTCATTATCCTCTTCACATATGAGTCTTTTACGCTCATGGCGCCTACACTAAGGATGGGTTCTTGCTTTACATGGGTTCTACCAATCATGCCTCTGCTTATGTACTAGAATGAAATGGCAAACCCTATCCAGATAACCAAATACGAAACCAATTTGATGATTTGAACCTGTATCTATACCGAAGGCCCATGGACCAATGTCCTTGATCAAGCTTATCTTACCATCTTACTAGAAACAAGATAAGGAATCATGAAATAGAGAAAATGATAAGAGATAAGAGCGAGAACGATAGAGACAAGAAGCTCAAGTGTATCAAAACGGAAATCCAAATCAAACCAAAACCATATCTACACGATCTGACGCCTGAGAACCGCACTTTTGTTTGTAATTTCCAAGTCCAGTTCCACTCCCGCAGGAAGAAAGAGAACATCAAGTACAGGGTCGTGAGCTGTGCTCGCGTCCTTTAAAAAACGAAAAAAGAAAAGAGAAATCCCCATGCACCCCAACCCGAGCTCCAGTAGGATCATATCCGTAGGTATGTCCTTTACCAGGGTATAGTCAAGACGGAGCCCGCACGTCACCAAGGAGGGGGGTAAATCAGCCGATAAGAAAGCCTGAAAGCCAGAAAGCCACCGTGCAGAACGCAGCAAACATGCATAGACGCACGATGGAACCAAAATCGCAACCCTTGTTACCTTTCCTTTCCTGGCCACGTAAATCCCAGTATGTCGATGCCGAAGTCAATATAAACAGAATGCTCTTCTAAGCAGATCTTGCTGAGTTTGGTCGCTCGGAGGATGGGGGCTCTATCGCCAAGCCCTGGAATCGTACGGGGGTGGCGAGGGATATCGAGCAGAAACAGAAAATGCCAAATAAGGCACTTGGATCAAATGGCAGGGGAAAGCAGAAAACATAGACCCCAAAGAAACAGGTGAAAACCCCAAACACACCAAACATCAAATCAAACTCCTAAGTCACCGGACCAGTCATGACATCATGTGTGGGAGGTTAGATAGCCGTTGAGATCATTGTCAAATGGCAGAAAGCACGGAGGATATTATTTATGAAGCAAAAAAATCACAGGAGGCCTTCTTCGCCGATACCGGGGAGGCCTGCTCCAGCAACGTTGATGTTCTGTCCCTGCATGACACCGCCGCCCAGAGCCAGATTGCGACCTGCAAGCTGGAAATCTGGATTACAGGGCGGCGAATGTGATTTGTGGTATTTGAGCCCGTTGAGGTTCTTGTATCGCTTGCCGCACACTTCACAGCGGTATGGCTTCTCCTTCTCCATCCCGAGGGTGCCAGGGTAAGGTGCTGATGTTTCGGGATTCACTATCGAGAATGTTCCGTCTGCGTTATCATGGAGCTGTTGATTGTTGTGACCATGCTGTTAAAAAGCACCATTAGTTAGATTCAAAAAAAAATGTACTAGGATTCTTAGAAAACTTACAGCTTTGTGGTATTTCAACCCATTCTGATTCTTGTATGCCTTCTCACAACCAATGACGGGACATCGGAATGGCTTCGGTTCCTCATTGGGAAGAATCGAAGTAGTATCCGGAACTCCAGCGAGAAGCTGCTGCTCACGAATCCGTCGAGCAATATCGCTATTGGGTCCGTACTGGGCTCCGCTGAGTTTGAAATGGGCATTTGTTGGACCTCCCATGCCTCCTGTAGGGCTAAACAAACGCTTGGCTGGCTCGTCGATGCATAGATCGACCATGTCGTTATTGCCACCAGAGAAGTGTCCGAACTGACCCTGATTTTGGCCCATGGCGTTATGCTGCATAGTAAGATCGCCGAATCCGCCTACCACACTCTCATCGATTTCGGCTGGTGTTCCGGGTGCTGACGAATCCGGGGTATTTCGGAACTGGGAGGTTTGAAGGGGGTTTGCCATTAAAGTGGGAGTATTGACGGATGAAACGGTGGGATTATTCTGCAGGGAGAGAGGACGTCCGGATCCGATCGGAGTACCTGGTTGGGAGGGTGTGCTGAAGCCCTGATGGCTTGGAAGCATGCCCAGGTTTAATTGCGGGCCCTGGTTGGAGCTTCCAAATCCGCCTTGAACTCCGTCGCGTAACTGTGGGGAGAACAGCTGAGAAGTGGTATCGTCGTCATCTCCCATTGGCTCGTCCAACTCCATATCATCGATGGTGTCTAGATCCACGTGCTGGGATGTGGAGGTGGTCTGACCCAATTTCCGCTGCATATCCAGGGTGCGGTCGGGCTGCAGGCCACGCCCTTGGTTGCCATGCTGCTGGCTTTGTTGCTGTGCGATCGCGGCTGCTGCCATGGCAGCTCGATTCTCACCCTGACTCGGTCGATGTCCTTGATTGGGGGACTTGGTAGCGTGAGCTTCTTCGTAGTGTTGTAATAGGTCATGAAGGGTCGGTAACGTCACACCGCAGCACGAGAAGTCCCGCATGAAGTTGGCCTCCAGTTTCGGGAGATATGATGAAGAGTGGAAAGAAGGCGACTGGAAGGTGAAGGGGGACGTGCCAGTCATAATGATGCTGTGTAGAAAAAAGATGGTCAGTTTCGATGCTGTGCGACAATGCCGCAGCGCACAGGATTTCTCCTCGCGCGCTGCGCGCCTTGATGCTTTGCAGAATATCCACTACTCACTCATCACGTATCCAGCTTCCGACTGAAATACCACCCCAGCTCATGCCGCCTACCAAGCTACCAGCCAAAGACTCTCGGCGGCCTTTGTCGCGGGCGGACCCTGACATGGAAATGGGCTTCGTGCCATTTCCCCATTGTGCATTTGCGGCGCCGATCGAATCCTTACGAGGCGGCGGGGCCTTGAACACCCCGAGACCTCCGCTCGGGTGATGCGATACACTCCCGGTGCGTTCGCCAGTACCAGCTCTCTGCAAGGCCGACGTGAGATTGGAAGCCTGCTGCCCCGGCGGTGAGACCGACGTCGACTGTCGCGTGGCGATGTCTATCGGAGCGGCGCCAGTCATGGTGAGGGGTCGATATGCAGGCGATTAGGTTTGGGGATGGGTGAGCAAGGGAAAAAAAGAAAGGAAACAACCACAGCTAATCAGGGCTGTTTTCAATCTGGTTTCGAAACTTTTTTTTTTCTGGAAATCCTGGTCCCTGTCTGGTCTGCGCGAAGGGCACGCCAAACCCGAGGGGTTGAGGGATGTAACAGGGTATCTTAGAGTTCCCGCGTTGAAGCGTGGATCGAAGGTACTCAAATATTCTAAAAAAAAAGTGCAAGACGAAGGTGAGAAACAGTCGTATGAATGCCCCTCGATGGGTGTGGACTTTTGGGTGGATGGCGGTTTTGGGCGGGTTCGAGGGGAGTCCACCCTCGGATGAAGTCCCGCTCTTGTATCGGGCCCGGAACGCTGAGCCTTGTAGTGGCGATGAATTCGCCTGAGAGGGTAACTTGACTGGAGAAGGACTATACGGGACAGCAGACTCCTTTAAACGAACTTTTAGATAGATCAGGACCCAGGGGGAGGATTAATGAAGCGGGACTGAGTAGTATGATCGGAGATGCCCTTCTACTATGACTGAGGACCCGCTTTGGGCCTAGCGCGGTTATTGTATTACACGACACGTGATGGCTCCATGCAACCGGCATTTGCCATTGTTACCGTCCGAGTCTCCCCAAAATTCCGATCTGCCCAAGACTCACCGACGAACGGGATACGAAGATCGCAGCTTTCCTTCTAGAAGTGGCCGGTTTAGTCGTTAGAGTTCACAGGGACGAATGTCCGCTCTGGGGAAGAGCAGCGGCCTGGCATCGATGACGGGGTCGGATCGCCGATCGCTACCATGATGACACGACACACCGCTTGCAGGGACGTCATGATCTTTACCATCGAGCTGAAACACGAACTGTGACTAGCGTGTTATGACTAACGTATCTTGCCCAATGCATGAATCTATACAGGTTTGGCATTAATCATTATTAGGTCAGTCTGATTTTTAGGTTCGTACAGGTTTGGAGCTATTGTTTACAACCCCTTAAACCCTGAGCCGAGGGCAACAGCTACAATGGGTCTGAAGACATTCATACCAATGTAACTCGTTGCCGAAGGGTGGAGCCTAGTACCAGTAATTTTGCTATACTGAGACAGCCTCCTACATGTACCTACGGACTGACTTCCCATGGTTCCGCCCTGAAGACCCGGGTTTCCACCTGAGTTTGAAGCCGAGAATCTCTCCGTGAGTCTCGTAGATCAGCTGGGAATGCAGAAAGAGATCGCGGCGAGATCTGGGGTCATGCAAGGGGCAAAGGAGATAAAACGGGGTGGCAAACTCTCGGGATCCGCTGGAAGTGATTCGGTCAGTTTTGCGCCCCGGGATATCTCCGGAAGAACAATCTAGTATGTATCTGGACTTGGATGATGGTGATTTCCGAGAGGTGTCCGCTGTGTACCTCCATCCTCTACATGATTCCTCATCTACCTCTCGTTATTGATCGACGGAAAGGCGATTACGATAATTTAGTGCAAATAGTACTTGGGCCAATCCATCAGTAACGGAGCCCAAAGTTTCAGTCGGGAGACAACGGGTCTTGGCTTTGGCGCTAGAAACGCGGCAGAAGCATTCGGTCAACCTTCGATCAATTAGCGTCGTCCGAACTCATTACGCCCTACCCTTAGTACGTCTTAGTGAATTTACGGGCGAATACATGGACACGCTGCCCCGCTTTCTACTGTAAATTGGACCCTCGGGCGGTCCGGCATGTCGTCTCAGATCACCTCACAAATGCGCCCGCGTACTCCGTTGATCTGTTGATCGTTGGATTGCGTGCACCTTCCCCTTTGCCCGTCTCGAATTAGCACCGCACCTTTCCCCCTCACACGTTCTGAACAGTAACTCTGCCGCGCGGTTTCTCCACGGGCACGAGTCGGTCTTGACTCGATTAGGCATGTGGACTTTCCTAATTGGCCAACACGCTTGTGAATCTGCTCCAGAATGCGATCGGTATTGTTTTCCGTCCACTCTGTCCCTTCTTGGCAAAATTACAATCTTCGCTACGCTTGACAGTAGCCGGTTTAATTAAATCACATTAACGTAACATGATTCATAGCTGTTGTTAAGTACGAATACGAGTCGAAACAAGGTTTACTTGTTCCAAGAGTCTCGGGACTCTCTTTGCTCATGCAATTTGAAACAATCACGCTGCCCCGGCATGTTCCTCAGCGTTTTATAGTAGAATATCCCTGTCATATGGCTTGCCTGGTGGGGCAGCTTCCCCGGTGGCGTCGAGCTATTGAACCATTGAGCATTGGAAAGGCTTCAGTATGCAGGTGTACTGTAACAAGTTGCATAGTCACATGAATTGCGTGGTCGGGCGGCAAGGGGCATCGATATGGCGGCGTTGAAAATGAAGGAAATAAGCTACAATACTGAGAGCAAACTCATCACGAGGCAGCCCGATCCAAACATAATGATCGTCATCAAGCGACCCAAAATTCAATTAAAATTGATACCAATAGCAGCGGAACCGCTATTGAAGGACAGGGCGGAAACATACTTAACTAGAATAAATGTAGGGACAAGCTCGAAAAGTATGTTTGCGCGTGTCATTTTCTTCTCTTTTTGTATCTTCATGGGTATGGCTAAGGCCAGTTGAGCAAAACTTACACGCTCTCGAGTAACTGTGCAGTAAATAGAATCTTGGCTTGAAACGATCGATTTCCAAAGTCATAACACTAAACACATCTTGTCCAGAGATGCTATGCATATAATTCGCAACTCACTACACAGAAGCAAGCTTCAGTTCAGACTGGGTCAACGTTCCCCCCCAAATTTAGTACTCAAGCCATCACATTTCCATTCCGAGGTTTCAATACTCATCCTAACACATAGCGAGTCTAGCGGACCTGAAAATCCGATCGCCTCAATAATAGTCACCACCCCCTGAAAACCCAAAGCTCCAGTGAAGATGATTCTCAACTCAGGCCCAGCCAGCCTAGGCAAGTTCTATGAGGTCGCAAAACCCCAAGGCCATTACATATCTCTCCCCGCGTTTCCTTTATGTCTCCAACGTGATGCCGACGCCCCCAGCCGCGGCTTCATCCCTTGCCGATTTCTCCCGATAAACAAACTTCCCCGCATGGGAATGAGGTCAGTCTGTGGGGACACCATGTGCGGAGGCAAGCCTCAGGGATCTAGAACGGCACCTATGAGCGCATTGGGATTTGCTATTATCTAGGTGCATGATTGATGTGAGTTTGTTTTGACGGGCGGGTTTTCCAGGGTCCGCTTCGTTACCCGTGGACCATCAACTGGTCTATTGTTGTGGATAACAACCATTTTCAATGAATGAACCCTCCCCTGTAGAAGCATTTGATTTTTATTTGAAATTTCGCTACTCAGACTCAGGGTCCAAAATATGCCTGCCTTTTTTCCTATGGTCAATTCAACGAGTCCCATTTACCAGAAGTTTATTGGAACGAGCGATTGGCAGAATCTCTTGCGGCTCGACCCCTGATATAATATATGTCTGCGCTCACAATTTGACAGCACATCTGGGAAATTGCAGATACCTTGAATGAGATACCTAATTTATTTCCCCAATACCTTAAACAATCCTCAAAAAAGGTTGGGAATTAAAATCAGTTTGACAAAGCTCACCTCTAGCGCTCGGGAAGTAAACCTAAGAAGGCTTAACTTTTGAACCATGCATCCTAAGGTTTCGCCAGGACTAGGAGTCTCTCAAAATGATGTACCTTTAATTTCAATTACCTATGCATAAAAGACTGTGTGCATCCTTGAAGTCACCTTCTCTAGCCTTCAGCAATAAACTACCTTTTTATAATCTCAATAAGAAAAGCAAGCTACGTCAATCCGTGTCTTTGATCGATAGAACGCGAGACTACCTAGGCAAGATGTGAACTATTCGGTCGCCTATAATAACCTTGAGAGTCCAGAGTAATTGAGAATCTAGGCATGTGAAGGCTTCAGTTGAGTGTGCCAATCATTCAAGGGATCTATTTGAAGTTCTTCACATCACAAGGTCTGAGTTGCCCCGCTGACGAAGATCAGAGCTTATCCTGGAATGTAGGGGGAAACATGGGAATCTCACAGGACGCGATAAGTTTAAGTCTAAGATTGCTAAACTCTGATAAGGCGAACTATTTTTTGTTCAGATGGTGCATTTTTTTCTGACCTTTCCTACAATGATCGGTAAAATTAAACCAAGCCCAAGCGTCCCGACGGGTATATTCTCGATTATGAAATGGATAATATAGGCAATGCAGACCCCTGAACAGCAAATCAACCGATGATTGTAAAAACCAGAGTACTTCAACACTTCATGACAAGAAAGAGTAGCCTAGATTGGTGGATTATCCCTGTTGACGAAATAAGCGACATAAATTGATATCCAAAGACCAAGAATAAACACGGGAGGCCTGGAATACTACCTAAGACACGATTATTCCAGACTCTACAGACATGCATGCATATTCTCTAGGCATGATAAATAGCCTACCTGCAGCATTGCTAAAACCGGGATGACAACTCCGATGCACGCCCATATTGCAGGATCATATCCGCTGCCCCGAAGCACCGGAGATAAGCGTACAGCCTGCAGTAGGGGCCCCAAGCCCCCTCCTCTTATCCACGACAGGGATCGCAGAACATAATTGGGTACAGATATCTGAGAATGCAGTAAGAATTGACCGAAAACGCTCGAACAAGTAAACATCTTTCGCACATCGTCTGCAGCTCTTCACCGGGATGCGGGGGCGGAAAGGGGGGCAAGATCCACGGTGTTTTGTACCCCACTAGGATCTCACCGGGGCACCAACACAGTAGGCGTGGTATAGAAATATTGAATAGCCTCTCGCCAACGGGCCAATGTGATTAGCGGAAAAATGAACGTGGACGACCGTCGGCAGGAATGCAAAGAAATGGGCCAGAAAGGGAGGACGTGTTTTGGGCTGGGCGGTGCACGTAAGGTTGCTAATGAATGACTTGGCGAGGGATTGGCAAGACCAAAAAAAAGGATCTTGAGATCGTCAGCATGTAGGTGTGCCCTTGGCTGTGGAACGTGATCCGCGATAGGCGGGATTCCTAGGCTTAGGGCCAAGACTGGAATATCAAACAGTAGTCTTGGCAGATCACCATCGCATCACCTTGGCGCCACTTGGCAGGTATTTCGGCATCATCCCTAGCATCCGGTGGCTAATATTGTCTAGGCATTGGGAGGGAGGCTGTGCTAGGCATGTGGCCCCGTTTGGGGTAACGGGAAGGGAGAGTTGAGTTGGAAAGATACACGTTGGATTGTTAATTGGCCCGAAAGGCTATGTATTCATTCTGATGATATGGATAAAGAAATAAAGAAAAATAAACATGTTGCCCTATGGCCCAGATCTGATAGCGCCTAAAACACCCCAGTTGCTTTCCCGCCGTTTGTCCAGATGGTCGATGACCTCGAGTTCCTTGATTGAGATGTTCGGGGTTGAGCCAGGAGGAGTCAATGAATAACCGGATCCATTGTTAAATGAAATGCATCTGTCGCTCATAAAAAGATGAAGAGGAGTCAAATGTGACTGAATCACTGAGAGAATCGTCGACCAGTGTGGCCCAGGAATAGAAAGCCGTTTGTGGAATCCTCAGATGATGTAGACGATGTGCTGTCGGAGCGGTGCGACTTGGGAACCCCGTTAGGGCTCTCTTCGGTGGAGGGGGAGTCAGCCACAGCCTGCTCAAAGACGCGAGGGTCTGGCCCCGACTCAGTCGGCGACAACACAAGGAACTTGTTGGCTGGGTTAAAGGGAACCGAGTCGGCAGCAGAGAGGACGAGGAAACGGTGAGTGGGAGTGTAGGTGTACATTTTGAATGTTGTTTTTTGAGAAATGTCTTGTGTGTAGATGACTTTGTTGTGAAGTGGTGGGGGTACTTTGGATAGTAGTGACTTGGAAACTTTTGAGAGAGCAGTTTGGAATAACTAAAAAGAAAGTGAAAGACGGGTGAAATCGGTCAGACTTTATAGCCCGAGTCACCGTGGACCTTGGGGAAGGAGGGGCAGTTTTGCGTATCTGATGTGCTAGACACAGCGTCGATCCTGGACATCTCAGCCGGGGGCAAGTGGATACCCGATGGTCATGCAGACCAAGCCTCCCCGCGACTGTCGCCCATAATGGACAATCTCAAACATACTAGGGAATTCTCACAAGTCTTGGCTCGCAGAAAAAAAAGAAAAGATAGCAAAAAAGGGGGCCGATTAGTCTCACTCAAAGAGCCAAGACGTCACTATTGGGTGACTATCACCCCTTCTGCTTTTCAATTCTTCGAACATCCTCTTGGCTTTGGTATTCGCGTCACACCGGCCCCGGACAGGGCTTGCTAGTCATTCTCAGCAGCCATGGCAAATATGCATATTCTTGGCAAGTGAACTAGGCTCTTGATCGCTAATCGCTGATTGCGCAATTCGACTGGAGTTCTTTTGGTCTCTTCAGGTATCGGGCGGGCCCCGTGGCGAGCCGAAAGTCAAAGAAAAGAAACCTCGGAAGATCTGCCGTCAGGATGAGATGAGGTGCCAAGAACACCCCGGCGTGGGAAAGCCATTGGATTTCACAGGCTAACTCATCCACCACCTTCTAATATTCGTGTCGAGAGCGGAGGCATCCAGGCACAGGCTCCAATGTGTTTCGTCGACTCCGTTGCTCATCTCCGATAATATCCGCGTAGTTCTCGCATTTTACATGCGCTGATAGCTCCGATTCATTTTCATTATCGTGATTCGCGAGTCTTTCCTCTTTGCAAGAAAAAGGAGCGCATATGACATCATCCGCTTATCGTTCATCAGATTTGCTTTAACCGAAGTCCGGAGGACTCGGTTGTTTATTTATCAGTTGTGGGGAAAGTGTTTCCGACATGTGAGAAGGCAGAATCGAGACCGCTCTTCTCAGTGTCATCGATCAGTAACCAGGAGCTTGAATCACGTGGTGGAAATCTCCTGCGAGAATCAGAAACCTAAAAAATGCAATTTAATTTATTTTCTTTGTTTCTTTGGAGTCTATGTCAGGGCAAGATATACCCACAAACCAACAGCGCCAAATTTGGAGTAGATGTGAGTTTTCTCTGCCTTGCCGCCCTGTCGGGCGTATCAGTGTCGCCCGGAGTCGATCTTCCGAGCCGTGGGCGCCTGGGTGAGAGCCTCAGTAACAGCTCCATCAATCAGCGCTACTGCGCCACCATTGAGAACAAACATCCTTCGCCAGTCGTTCGGCCCTAGAAAGACACTAGAAATAATCGATAGGCCCAGAGTGAATCTTAATTTTATTACATCTCATCGAATACTACCACTAACCCCAAAGCACCCACCGCCATCACACTACATCCAACATCTATCTTGCCATAATCCATGATTTTGGCCCTCAAAATGAGTCAATTTTTCAATTGTTGGGCCCAATTACTGGGAAAATCTCGTCACCTTGCAGATTTGCTGAGTTCACCATCACTATCACCAACTGCGCCATTGTAACAAGCTCTATTTGCCTACAAGTTTGCAAATGGGGGCCACGATATGGAGACTGTGAACATTGCCCATGATCTAGACCTACAGTGATTGAACTTACTCGGCGCAATGTGAATGTTGCAAAGGCCGATGCTTTCCATCTCAGCGGGAAATTATTAGCTCTCGTGGCTCTATACTTGCTTGCCTTTGGTGACGGTCCGGACGGGGGCATAACTTCCCGAGGTCCTTCGGACATCACAAATGCCATACTGTTGAAAAAATCATGGAAATTCCTCTTTCCCAACAAATCAGAATAATTGGCAAATCAAAATAATCGCGAACAAAGCCTCATCGCCCCCGATGTGCGAGGCCTTGCATGTTCACTTTCCTGTCTTTGACACCGCCGTGGCCGCCCCAGTCTCCACAATCATAACAGTGGCAGGTGGCATGTGCACTGACGCATAGAAAAGTCAACGCCTTCCAATAAGATGCAGGATTCCTTGCAGATGAGCTCAACGCTGTGCCTGGCGCAAGTCTCCAGCATAGTGTTGGTGTGATGCGCAGCCTCATTTGCGGATGGGGCAACGCACTGGTGCCAGGACGTGGGGATTTACGGAATGATGTCAAGTGCACGCTGCAGCTGCGGAACTCTAATAGAGATTGGGGGTGTGGGAGGGGATCAATAGTTCGCCCGTCTCGATACAATCTCCGTGGTATTCGCTATTCGCCATTGGTGTGCAAAGAACCGAACACCCTCATCAGGCGCAATCCACTAGTATGCCCCTCTCCGATGATCCACATAACCGCCAAACTTGGACTCCGCTGTTGGTGATGCCCGCATAGTGTTATGGCTCATCTTTATTTGTGCCCTCCAGTTGGTCCGGCTTTCCTCGCCGAGCGAGTGACCACCAAGTCATTAGATGCATACGGCGCATCTGTATGTCCTGCGCAGCGGCTGTGAGGCAGATAGCACATTCAGTCTTTGTCCTTGACTCAGATTGTATCATTTGGTCCCGCAAGGCACAGTCGTCCATCTGGGGTAGCTATATGGAATCTTATAAAGGTGGTCGTGAATCCTTCTCAAGAAATTATATCCAAGCTATCAGCCCTCACAAGCCTCCAAAGCTATATTTCTGATACATCCTCTTGACTTATTCTTACAAAGCTCTTTCCTCTCTCCATCTACCTCTGCAACCATGTGTTCCGTCTACATCTTCCTCTATGACTGCGGCTGCTCAGTCCAAGAAGGCGGTGTTGTTGCCTGTGCGAAGAAGGGCACCCCGTCCTGCCATGGTGTGAAGGAGCACTTCCGCAAGCGTCAGGGCTACAACTGCCCAAAGCACGGTGGTAGCTAAGGCACCTACCAATTGTTAGTGGGACTCATTCTACCCACTTACTCGCTTGATAGGGTTTGTTCCGCTAACGCAATCTTTACAGATGATCTGACCACGCCGACCTAGACTGGAGGATCATTCATTGGACAAGTTGATCAGCATCGCGTGTAATCACCAGATCGACCACCAAAAGGAGGGCCAATGTGGGCTTTATCATCCTCTGTCACATTGTGGCTTGGAGGATCATTTTTGTTTTTGTTTTTGTTTTTGTTTGCCATGTATTTGGTATTCCTGTTCTTCAGAACTGTTTTTTGTATGCCTGTATACCTAGCGGGTGAAGTCTTTTGATTGTTTCTCTCGTTTTGCGGCTTTCTGGACAACGCTTCTGTCATCGTCCTGACTACCCATGATTCGGACACACTCCCCGATCCTCAGGGGACGAATTGGAAATGCCACTCGATTTAATTTCTATTCTTCCTCATTTCCTTCATATTTAATTTCCATTGGTTTCTATTATGAGCTGAATATATTTCAAGATGTCGCAATATATCAAGCACACCCCGTTCACTTGAAACAAAAAAACAAGAAACATGATCGGAGACACCGATGATGACGAATCCTACCCTGTAGACCTGTGTAAGAAGCCTTTGTTCTCGAAGTTGCATGATTTGGAATTATGTTCCGGCCGAGGCCCTAGAGTGGGCTTGGATCCTTCCGCGCTTATCATGGCTGCTGCGAGCCACATACAAGAACACTCACGTGCATGGTTAATAAAAACCCGACAAGCATGACTGGACCTTATTTCATGGCGAAAAGGCTGATCAAGACCTGTGGTGGGAGGCTAGCAGGGGGTGTGGGCCGAGAGTGCTAGACGAGGGCATGGCCACGTTGGCACATACAGGGATGGGAAGAAGCAAAGGCTTTTGCAAAGCAGGTTGTAGAGATGATTTGTCACCAAACATATGTTTGATAGATGAGATATGCCGAGTGGTGATCTCGGGAATTACCTTGATAATTTCTGGGCGTGGAGAGAGCAGGATACCCAAGGCTCTCGGGTGGCTCGGGTGCTATCCTGACGCCCCCTCTTGAGGCGAGAAACGGCTATGGGACTGCAGATCAGATCCAGCCACGCACGCATTGACCATATCAGGGCAGGCCACGTTATATGCATGGAAAAGGGAAGGACAATCTCATGCATGTTTCATTTCCGAAAAGGCACGGGGAGGACGAGGGAAGATGAAGAAACCCACTCACAGGGCCCATCACACCCGCAAAAAGCGTCCAGAAAGCGCGTGGCCCTTGGAATCCACACCTGTCTTAGCTGCCCCGGTCCAGCGGAGGACGGTTTCCATTGCTAATCCCTGGCGATAAACGGCTCGAGCGTTCCATGAGAGCTGCCCGAAACTTGATTCTCCGAAGAAGATGCCACAGCCTTGTCACGCCCATGGAGGCAGATTCAAATACATAGAGCCCATCAAGGCACCAGAGAAAAAGAGGAAAGGACGTGCGAGAGATGGCTGCCCAGTTATTGGCGTATCGGTTAATGGCCCAGAGAATCACAAAGCCACCGGAGTTTGCCATCCAGCGAATAAACCAGTGACATTAGACGCGGCAGTGGGCCCCGTGGGTATCGATAGGTTGGCAGCCGCGGGAGACCAGTTGTGGGTTGCATTAGACCCGCATAGTCTTTTTATCAGCTGATTTGGGCGCAAATGGCATATTGATATCTTTTTCGTGGCAAGGAATGTATTTCACGACACCAAAGACCTATGGTGATCTTTCTCCGTCGGGAGAGATGCCCATTATCATTAGTAGATAGCTGAGGAAGAAACCAGGTAGGAAAGTAAACAGGAGGCTGGCGTGGATCTGTTGCCGCATTCACGCTACCAGGGACAAAACCTAGTCCAGGAGAGTGGCAGGCCAGGATTGGGCTGTACCAAAGCCCGGAGACATTACTGTGGATGCTCATGTCCGGTTGATTCGGGACTTTCCCGTAAAGAGTATAGGGGGATCAGAGCAACGAGGGGCCATGGAAATTTCGGGGATCTCGGGCACTGTTGCCAAGGTAGGCGCCGATCTCCAGTCCCACCTCACCAGCTAGCTCTGGGCCATTCGAGGATTGAATGTGCCATTGATGAGGGTTTGCCGGACAAGACATTTCAGTTGCAGTTCTTGTCCTAAACGACTCTCAGATTTCGCAAAAGCTTGGCCTGGAAATGTTTCACTCCTTGCACATCAAGAACCAATCACTGTGGTTCAAAGTACTGGCCGAATACGAAGCCCCGCTAAAATCGATAGCTGAATGATCGAACCAGATTTTGGCCGGTGAATCGGTGCTCTGTGAACAATGCCGAGGTCAGTTGGGTATCGCAAAAAAGGCGTCATCGACAAGCTCAGCGACCTTGAGAGCGACATAATTCAGCTGCAGAATATCAGTCCATCTAAGTATCGCTTTTAGCCCGTAACATCATCCAGGAATGAGAGAACTTGCAGCTTGTCGATCCACAATGTCGTTTGCGGGTCACGTGGCCCCGCGTCAAGAGGCGGTTTTCCTAAGCTTTGCTCAATTCCGCGCTTCTATGAGCTTGTAATCAAAGTCTCATATCGCATATGTAATGTCTATCGAAGTCGACTGGGCAACAGCCACTTCTGGCCCGGACGGGGAAGCCCTCGCTGAACGCATTCGCGCATTTGTCCATGACAAGTTCCAGGAGGTGGCCCTACCACGCTTCATTCGCTCGGTCCAGGTGCATTCCTTTGACTTCGGCAACATTGGACCCGATCTCGAGATCAAGGATTTCTGCGAACCCTTCTCAGACTTCTATGAAGAGGACGATGATGACACCTCAGCGACGTCTGATGAGCTCGTCGAGCAATGGTCGGACTACAATGACGAAATGCCAATGAACCATGCAGCAGCCCACAGTCCTCACAGCTTCAGTCACCACCCATATCCCGGCGAACATTTCCAACCATCCGCGCTTCGCTCTCCGCTACCCCTGGGCGATCATCTCAACCCACACTTCCTGCCCCGCTCTGGAACCCCCGGCATTCCCGGCGGCACTTCGACACTGGGCTACCACCTCATGTCGCTGGGTGGCCTATCTGGATCACAAACCCCTCTTGCAGCTGTTGCAGGCGGCACTCAATTCGCAAGCGGCTGGCCTGACTCCGGCCTGGCAGCTCATGGAGCAAGACAAGCACGCCCATCCCGTCCATCCGTACATCAGCGCCCAGAACCAGACCTCGACACCACACACTCCGCCTCTAGACCCTCCACAGCCTCACACCCATCTATCGGGCACACGGGTAGCAGTGGGTCAAATCGCAACAGCGCCGATAACCCGGCCGATATCCCCGAAGCAATTGCAGACGACCCCTCGATCCCCATCCCACCTCGCATGCGCGAGCGCCGACCAGATGATTTCCAAGTCCTGTGCCATGCGAAATATGCCGGAGATGTGCGTATGTCGCTAACGGCGGAGATTCTGCTCGATTACCCAATGCCTAGCTTCGTTGGGCTTCCGCTGAAACTTAATGTGACTGGTATCACGTTTGACGGTGTGGCGGTTGTCGCGTACATTCGCAAACGCGTACACTTTTGCTTCTTATCTGCCGAGGATGCTGATGCGCTCCTTGGCTCCGAAACAAAAGACCAAGGTAGTCAGAATCCAGGCGAGGATGGACGGCCGAAGTCTGGTGCAGAGCGCGAACAGAAGCGCCAAGGTGGACTGTTGCAGGAGATTCGGGTAGAAAGCGAGATCGGGCGCAAAGAGGATGGAAAGCAGGTGCTGAAGAATGTGGGTAAAGTGGAGAGATTTGTACTTGCGCAGGTTCGTCGCATTTTCGAGGAAGAGTTGGTTTACCCCAGCTTCTGGACTTTCTTGATCTAATCTATGACCCGGAATGCTTCCGTGCTATAACATGTACAATTACGAATTCACGAATTTTCAAGATGATTTGATGACTGAGAGGTATTCCCTATCTACAATAAACCAGACCAGTTAAAAAAATATCGTAAATGACCAAACTTGATAGGTTTCCAGAAGTAAACACTAGGAACTGCCCAGGTATTGACTGTTCCACATAATCTTAGAAATATCTGCTAGCAACAACAAGGAAGGTGACGAATCTGTGCTTCCTCTTCCCGACAGCAAATGTATTCGGGACACAGATTTATGAACATTTGGGGATATGAGTAAGGGTGTCCAGAAGGAAGACTTTCGTGGCGCGTGATATTCGGCAAGAAAACCAAGCATAAGCCCGGGTGCTAGTAGCAGGCGGACTTGCAAGAAGATGATCCACGCTAGAATCACCCAGCTTGAGATTGGTACCCAGAAGAAAGACCCGTTTAAATGTCTTTCTTCACGTTGATATCACCTTTGCCAGAGGCGACCTCATCGCCGAGCTTGTGGTACTCAGCAGTCAGGCCCTCGCACTGCTTCTTAAGGGTCTCGATATCACGGTCCTTAGCGGCAAGCTCCTCCTTCAAGCGGCCAATCTCACCAACGGAGCCAGCCTCGGCGAGACGAGCAGAGTCCTTACCACCAGCCTTCTTGTCGCCCTCGAGCAGCTTGACGCGATCCTCAAGACGAAGAACATCCAAGATCATGGTGTAGGTGCGGTTGAGGATCAGGGAGAGGAAGAGGGTGAAGCCGCAAAGGTACATATTGCGCTGCGAGTAGAACTTGCGGGCCTGTACCTCCATGCGATCAGTGCCCAGGTGTGCAGCTCTGTCATGGACCTCGATTAGACATTGAATCGTTAAATGCGGGAGTTGAAGATCTTACCCGACGCCAGCTCCGTCGCGGGAGAACGCAGCCAGTTCCTGCTGTACCCGGAACACCCGGTTGACGCTGTCAAGGAACAGAATCAGGATGAAAATGAAGGTAATCTAGGAAACGCGTTAATTGGTGTCATATTATAAGTCCTGGACTGGTTGATTTACCTTCAGGCCATACTGTAGTTTGGCGATGATAGGACTCTCCGAGATGAAGGCAAACAGCTTGCGCTTGATGACAAATGGTAGAGGGACGATGAGGGCCAGGAAGACGCCCATCTCAAACACCAGAAGCATGAAAACCTATCCAAGGCATCCATGTTAGTTTCAATGGTTCCAAGTGGCACACCCATTGGTGTTTCAGACGTGGGCATTTCGGGTGAGCTGTTCGCTCAGCCCGCTAGGCTCCAGCCAAGCCTCGACCAAATCGGTCGCGCGAAAGAGCAACTGAATAATGAAGAGTGAGCACGTACAAGACTGTAGTAGAGAGTCATTTTTGCGAATTTGTTCAGTCCAACAGCTTTCGATGTCGATTATTGGAGCTGGTCAAAAGGGGAGTGGGGGGATCGAGAGCTCCGCGTAATCTGGTTGAAGAAACAAAAACCGGGGATGATGTGGGGATGTTGAGGAGAGGTAAACGCAAATGCTGAAAAGCAGAGGTGTTCAAATTGGGCAGCAGGAGAAACTGAGGAGCCGCCGGTGCTGAGGGCAAGATTCCAGGTTGGCAGACGTCTTTTATGGGGGGAGATTTCTCGGGCACAGACGTCATCGCCTATCGTCCACGTGATCCGTGGGCCCTTGCTCGCGCTGATCGTAGGCTACAATACCTTACTGGAAATCTGGCCAGAACCTTGGAATGTGATAAAAAAATTGCAATGAGCGCAAATGGCCAATGGTACTTGAATCTTGATATACGCTGTGTTTTGTTTCTAGGTATTCCAAGACAACGTGTTATGAGCTAGATCTTAGTATCTCAATAGGTATCCCAATATATCACAATGCCACTGTCAATCTCAGGTAAGGGTCGGGGCTAAACCTAACATACTAAGATCGGCACCTGGACTTTCGTTCGACTTGACTTTACTCACGATGTCTATTCCCCCTGTATCTTATTCAAATTCTGCAACCCAGTATGGATCGCCTTTCAGAAGACAGTGACACTCTTGCTCTCCCCTCTGGGCGCACCCTAGCATGGAAACTATATGGTGGTGCTCTCAAAGAAGGTGCCAGCGAGCCCGATGTTTTCTTCTATTTCCACGGATTTCCTGGTTGTTCTGTTGAAGCGACTCTTATTCCAGCGGAACTTCTCCAAAAAAGCAATCTACGCTGCGTCGCCCCTGACCGACCCGGCATGAATTTGTCAACACACTACGACGAGCGCCGTATATTAGATTGGCCCACAGATGTTCTTGCAATTGCAGACTACTTGGGCATATCCCAGTTCTATGTGCTTGGTGTCTCAGGGGGAGGTCCCTACGCCCTGGCTTGCGCCCATTCCATACCCCGGGCTCGCCTCCGAGGTGTGGCAGTAGTCAGCGGGATGTATCCGACTACATTTAGTACTAAGGGAATGCTCCCCGAGCTGAAGGTGCTTCTCACAGCAGGGGCTTGGCTGCCTAGACTTTTGACCGGTGCGATGTTAGATTTGTCCATGGGTCGCGCGGGAAGAAACAAGGACCCTAAAGTTCTGGAGGCGATAGTTGACAAAGCAATGGAGGGGAGGCCAGAGGCAGAAAGCATGGTATGGAAGAATGAGAAAGTGAGATTCGCAACTATCGAATCATTCCGTGGCGCGTTTCGGCAGGGTGGAAGACCCTCGGCCACTGAATTGATGATTCTATGTGACTGGGGGTTCTAAATTGATGAGATAGCTGGGGAGGGTGTGCGACTATGGCATGGCAAGCTTGACAAAAATGTGCCGTCTTGTATGGCTGAGCAAGCTACAGAACTGATTCTTGGAGCGAAAACTCATTTGTTTGAAGATGAGAGCCATCTAAGCTTGTTAGTAAATCGCATCTCCGACATACTTACTGATCTCATTAGTCAGTGAGACACTTGATGACGATGTGGTGGACTACTGCACCTGGATATAGTGTGCTAAATCACAGAGCAAGATACCTCGAACGCCCAGTTATCTCGAACATTGGGAATTCTATCTTGACCGAATACCACCATGCGCACTGTTGGCTCCATATTCTTCGTAACGGAGTCATCCATTGGCTTTTCAAACTCGAGTTCCTACTTTTAATTCCGAGGTCACACATGAAAGGCAATCTTTGTCTCAGCAATTCTAGGGCTTCATACATCCTGATATCTACATAAATTTCTCGTTTCCAATCTGCTCGCAAAGTGTTTTCAGAGTCCAACCAGCCCATTCAAAATCGCTGTCTTCAAGATATATCTGCCCACTCAGGCGGACCCACCAGCTCTCCTTGAAGGGGAAAACAGGCATAAATGTGCTCCAATTTTTGATCATGGCCTGTTGCATCCAGTCTGTAATAGTCTCAGCGCCGCCCTTACCTTTGACCAGGGACCCAGTACCAGTAGTGGGTTTCTGCAAAGGAAGAAGAATGTTGACCATACAGCAGTCAGTGAAGCTGTGGCTAGCGTTGTCAAGGATTTTAGTTCCCAAGATATCTGCCACTCTCTGTCCACCTCTCCGCGCCAAAGCAATGCAGTAGTCTCGTATTTGGCTCTCTCCACCACATACTTTCTGACGCCATTTGATGACCTCTCCAACTACCAAGAATGCAGTGTGGTCGGCAGTACCCGTAAATTCAAAGTTGGAGACAAATAGAGAATTTGCTGGAATTTCTAGACTGTTGCTTGACCCATCAACAGTGGAGCGTGGAACAAAACCATGACTTGTGGGTAGTGTACTCCGAAGAATGCCCTGATTTCGCTCGGGGACATAGAAAATGGCACATGCGCGTGGAGTGAACAACCATTTATGGCAGTTGGTAACCAAGAAATCCGGGTCCCAAGATGGAATATTGAGATCGATCTGGCCAATTCCATGTGCCGCATCAACCAGACTCAGTATGCCCTCCAAGCGACAAGTAGCTGCAAATGCCTCGAAAGGTAGTCGAAGCCCAGGATTAGATGAAATGGTGTCGAAGATTGCAACCCGAGGGCGATATCCCTCAGCTCTGGAGGCCGAAATTGCCTCTTGGAAAATTGAAACCATCTCAGAGGGCTCCAGCGGGTATGTGAAGCCAACTTCGCGTGTCCGAACCTTATCCTGATTGGATTCACAGACATAGCTGGCAATTTTCGCACATGCACCATATATCAAATCAATTTGAAGAATCTCATCTTTGCCATCGTCGTTCCATCTGATATTATTCAGTACCGTGTTGATTCCCGTTGTGGCGTTGGGAACGAGAACGATGGTGGATTCCGGAACGGATAGAAATTCGCTTATAACAGCGCGGGATTCGTTCAGCAATTGTGGAAATCGGTATTTGATGAAAGGACATGGGTTTTCCTCGCACTCATCCCTAAGTTGATTTGCTTTGTCACGAATGGCGCGAGGGGATGTTCCGAAAGAGCCTAGTATTTGTGAATAAAGACACGACCTGATGATAATTGAAATCAACGATACCATGATTCATATTCCGGTATCCAGGCCCGAAGGAGAAGTACTGTCGCATCTCATGGCCAAAAGGTGTTGGCTCCCACGATAGAGACCCCATGACGCACAATTTAGACATGAGGCGGAAGCAGGAAAGACGGTGCGATACAAGCACAACTTATCACTTCGGTTTCAGCTTTATCTTTCCCTATCCGCCTTCCTACTTTGCTCACCCCACCTTCCAGTCTTTGACTATCATGATACGACTATATGGTACAACTCTGGTGAACTTTATGGGGGCTTGGACCCTGGAGTGGGCCTCGGACATGTTGCGACGTTGCCGATCAACAGGTGAGATAGGTATGGAATGTTAAGTGACCGAGCCAGAAATTTGCCGACCAAGACCATTTGAGAGCCCGGACTAGAGGTAGCAGCTCCGGCTATCGGCAAAGGAGGGGACTTGGGTTGTCCAAGCTACCCCACGCTTTCCCCGTATCAGTTAAAGGGTCCTGCGAGTCCGTGCGCCGCCTATACAAGAAGGTACGTAGTACTTGTACCTACCAACCCCACGTTACTGAGCAATGTTCCAAGGTTGACTTCAGGGAATCTCGATTCATTCTTTCACAGGAAAGATTTGGTTTCCTCGAAAACATGCAGTCTCATCCAGAAACCGACCACCCAGATGAGGTTCTGGAGAGTGGTGCCAAAAGGCTCGATTCGCAACCAGATGTACTGTCTATTTTGAACAAGGAGGAAATGACAGTAAAGAACGTTGGAAATCTGCAAAGAAGACTCAAATCACGACACGTTCAATTTCTTGCATTATCCGGCGCTATTGGGACCGGCCTCTTCGTGGGTACCGGTCAGGTTATCTCGCTGGCAGGACCATTATCCGCGGTGCTCGCCTACTTCATTACCGGCTTCAACCTATACTCGGTGATCAACAGCATGGGTGAAATGGCGACCTGGCTTCCGCTACCTGGAGCCGTTCCTGTATATGCTTCCCGGTTTGTCGACGAAGCTCTAGGCTTCACACTTGGCTGGAACTATTGGTACCAATTCGCCATTGGTGTTCCGATTGAGATAAGCGCTGCAGCCTTGGTGATTGACTACTGGCCGAATGCTATCTCTTCTGCCGTCTGGATTACAATCCTATTTGTCGCCATCCTCGCGGTCAACTGTCTTCCCGTTCGGGTTTATGGCGAGCTGGAATTCCTTCTTGGATCTATCAAACTCACTACCATCATTGGCCTCATGCTCCTCATGTTTATCATTACGCTGGGTGGCACGCCAACACATGATCGCATTGGATTCCGGTATTGGCAGAACCCAGGACCCATGAACGAATACCTGGAGACGGGCTCACTGGGCAGGTTCCTGGCGTTTTGGAAAGTATTTATCCAGGCGACTTTCAGTTACGGAGGAAGCGAGATGGTAGTCGTTGCGGCCGGTGAGACTGAAAACCCAAGGAGAAACATACCCAAGGCCGTGCGCCGTGTCTTCTGGCGAATTGCCATATTCTACGTTGGCAGTATCTTCCTGGTCACTCTATGTGTTTCATCTCGGGACCATAGACTACTCAATGCTATTGATTCTGGAGCATCAGGTGTAGGAGCCAGTCCCTTTGTTATCGCAATTGAAAATGGAGGGATAACAGTGCTACCATCAATCATCAATGCGGTCGTCCTTACCTCGGCATTGTCTGCGGGGAACTCTTTCTTCTACGCATCGACTCGAATTCTATACTCTACGGCCTTGGACGGAAAGGCACCTCGGATCCTTCGCTACGAGAAATTTGGCGTTCCATATGCCTGCGTAGGCGTCACGGCTGCCTTGAGCCTCCTCGTCTATTTGAACGTTTCAGCTAGCTCTGCTGATGTCTTTTTCTGGATTAGCAACCTGAGCTCTGTCAGCACGCTAATTGTGTGGACGTCTATTTCAATCACTTATATTCGCTTCAACCAAGGTTTGAAGCACCATGGCATCCCGAGGTCATCACTTCCTTTCAAAACACCATTTCAACCATACCTGGCATACTTTGCAGCGATCTTCTCATCTACCGTGGCATTCTTCAATGGGTTCGATGCCTTTTTCCCTGGTCATTTCAGTGCCAAAAGCTTCATCCCTCCTTACATCGATATTCCCATTTTTGCCGGGCTTTTCCTCGGGTACAAAATCTTATACAAAACCAAATTTGTGAAGGTGGAGGATATGGATCTATGGTCTGGTAAAGAGGAAGCTGACGAGCTTGAATCTACATGGGAAGAGCCAAGGCCACGAAACTTACTTGGTCAGTTGACCATGATCGCCCTTTTGAGCTGTACTGACTTGAACAGAGCGAATCTGGTTTTGGATTGCCTAGATTGAGCGAAATTTTCCTTTACAATTCTAGGATGGCTACAGACAAATGAATTTCTCCCAAGCAAGCTCTTCATCCGGAAATGCCTGGAAACCAACGCAAATGGCAGGTTTTCGACCAAAGGAATATTTGTGGGCAGGTTCATTCAAAATTCATCATGAAAATCAATTTGACATAAGTAGTTCAACATATCTAATGGATACCGCCCTGAAGTTAAGCAGAGATGCGATACAGTAGAAGTCTACTACAGAGGTGGGTACACAGCCAAAACATCATAACATTGCGCGAATTGACTGCTTCATTGGCCTGATACCAGTACTTGAAATAACCACAAGCATCCTTCATCATCTTTTGAAGAATCTCTTCTCAGCAGTCCTCAAGACGGCATAGGAAACCGCAGCAAATGCAAAGCCCAATTCAAACCCAACATCGCCTCCAATAGAAGGCACGCCCGCGCTCTTCGAAATCGGTCCAATATACCACGATTGACTCATCCCAGTCACCATCCCAACAACACCACAGCAGAATGACAAGAGCGCCGCAATACCAGGAGGAAGGTTTTCACGAGTATCATAATCTTCCGGCCGATACCCGGAAAAGCCACGGCGGAACACGAAGTGCTCTGTCAAGGCAATCCCCTCGTAGATCGCCAGCCAGTACCCAATAAAGTGCATAAAATTCTCCAAGACAGCCTCAAAGTGACTATATCCCGGAATCGCGATAGCGATATACACCGCAGTCGCGACAATGGTCCACACGAAGCGCGGAACATGGCGTGTCCACCGACCCATAACCATGAGCGTGAGGGAGACGGAGTAAATATTCGGACAATTATTTGCAACAATAGATAAAGCCAGGATGATTACGCAGAATTTACCGAAACCTCCGATACGAGGAAAAAGGAGGGCGCCTAGGAGGCCACCTATTCCTGACTCATGGTATCCTTGCTGATACGCATTGTCGCCTCCATTGATTGCCATGGCAGTCGCGAGGGCAGCACCAAGTAACTCCGTGAAAAGAAGCGTTGGAAAGATGCCCAGCCATGTTGCGAGAAATACTTTGCGACGCGGACGATTGCTTGGTTGGTAGACGGTGTAATCGGCTGCAAAGCTGGTGTAGCCGGTGCCGAAGCCGAAAACTGTTGATCCGTAGGATAGAACAGCTCCCAGTTCTGCACGTCCGACTCCCATTGGGATGTTCACGAAATCTCCCGAGTGAGCGAAAACGCCGAGAACGACCAGGAAGACGATGAACGTTGGGATCCAGCTCCAGTATTCGTATGCGTGCACGACTTGGTAGCCGAAGAACACCACGAGCAGGGTACAAAATGCTATGATCAAGATTCCTGCATAGCCGGGGACGTCTGGGTTTACTGCGTTGATCAGCTGGGCTCCGACGATGATATTGGCTGCAGCCCACCCAATACATGCCAACACGTTGAAAAGTGCGACTAGACGTGAGATCGGCGTTAGCTTATAGCCGTTTTGTCAAGAGGCATTCCAACCATACTTAGCTTAACTCCCCACCAACCAAACCAAAAGCGCGAAAGCACCATCTGCCTCAATCCAAACGTCGCACCGAACGTGGAGAAAAAGCAAACGGTCAAGACGGCGATAAAGTTGAAGAAGATAATAACCAGGACTCCATCCACAAACCCCAGAGCAAACAATGGTCTACCAAGGACGCCGATAGTGAAAGAGGGAACAACCATGTTCGCAGCGAGCCACTGGGAGTTTATTACACCAAGACATTAGAGACATCTTGTACGAGATTAGGATGGAAATACCATTGAGCCAATATTCCAGTAAGAATTATCCGTTCTCTCATCCTCGGGAACGCGCTCAATTCCTCGCTGTTCGACTTTAATCTTCCCACCGAGCCTTTGCAGCTTCGCGTAGACCGAGTTTCCATATTCGAAGCTTGTTGCTGGGACGGCACCGGTTTCGTCGACGAGTGGAGGATCTACTGCGCCAGCTCGCTTTTCAACGTCATGGTGTAGGATTGGGTTCATCATTCTCTCAAACGAGTTCACAGACGGTGCTTTGAATTGGGTGTTGTGTGCCTTTTAAATATTTGCTTCTTAGCTTGGTGCAGGGACCCACGGGGGATTCCGATCTTGGTCCACACGGAAGGTAATTGTGTCCGCGTTCTGTAACTGCACAGGGACTATGGAATAGAAGGGTATCCCTCGCCAATCATGTTCCATTCAGAGTAAGAACAGTCCAGAGCATCGTATTCAAGTCCTGATCGGTCCAATAACAGACCGTGCATAACAAACATAAGTGGGCATGTTCATAACTGCTGGACCCTTGCCATGTTCTCGGATTCATATCGGTTGTATAAAGTTCATCACCTTACCTGATCGGTCTGGTCCAGCCGGCGCGGTCTCCACCGTTGCAGTGCCACCGAAACTGTCAAGGCACAAATGCGGGGTTGGGCCAAGTTCGGTAAGTCGAAGCACGATTGGCACGGAGAGCGCCGAGACCCATCTTTGAGTCGATCATGGGGAAATCGTAGAGTGATTTGATGATCTCAGATCCCGAGGATATGGTTTGTGGGGTAGAGGTTATCGCTGAGAAGTGGAACGATGCCAAGATGACAGGGGTCTAGATAGCAGATAAGCGGGGTTCTCACATCTGTCCATAGCTTTCAATCCTTTTTGTTCATTGTTATCTAAGACGCTCGGAACTTCCATAAACCGACTTCATTCCTGAACGTCTTGTTAAGGTCGATTATCTGTGACTGCTCCTTGCCCGCTCCAAATTGCCTTGCGATCGATACTACCCCAACTGCCTCCGACTCGGAAACATGCACAATCAGGATTCCAATATGACAAGCCCGATAAACCTTCCGCTGGTGGATATTTCGAACCCTGACTACAATGCCGCCGGTAAAGCTATGTTAAACGCTGCAGTGAAATATGGCTTCCTATATATCGATAGCAGGACAACCGCTTTCACAAAAGCTGATGTAGAAAATGCCTTTGATCTGGTTAGTCATCCCTGAATAAAAAGCAAGATTGATAAGTTATCTTAGTAACTTCTAATACCGTACAGTCGAAAGAGTTCTTTGATCTGCCAATCTCAGAAAAAGCCCCTCACAAACGAGGACCAAATGTGGGTCATCAAGCTAATTCATCAATGAACACAAGTAGCAAGCTGATGCGATCAATCCTAGAATCTCGGCTGGGTCGGGATGCATGTCGAAACTCTGGATCCTGAACACCATAAGGTAGTAAACATTCTGTAACTCCGATCATTTCAAGCAAGACTAACCCGGGCATAACGTATCCTAGAGAGGCGATTTCAAAGAGTAGGTCATTCTATACGAATTCAAGTGGCATATCCTGATATCTGCAGGGCTCTCAACATTTCAGAAACGAAGAATGGAAAGATCGTTCAACCATTGCCACCATGCATCATGAACCGTGAGGAGGAGATTGCTCGTTTCTCGGATCTTTGCAATAAGACTTGTATCCAAATCTTGAATCTTCTTGCACATGGACTCGAGGTAAGAACCTATATCAATTGCCCGCTTACAGCCATTAACAAACCCACCTCCCAGATGCCGAAGGATTTCTTCACGTCCCGACACGACTCATCAAAGGGCTATACAGGGAACTCAGTCCGACTCCTCTATTATCCATCCAATATCCCAGGATACTGTCCAGGCAAAGATATCCGTGCAGGCGCACATTCTGATTACGGCAGTATCACCCTTCTATTCCAGCGTCCCGGTCAGCCGGGGCTAGAAATACAGACGCCGGAGGGTGAGTGGGCACCTGTGCCCGTATACCCTAATCAGGATGAGTACCCATTTCCTCCGATTTTGGTTAATATCGGGGATGCGTTGAGTTATTGGACCGATGGGCTTCTCAAGTCGACGGTGCATCGTGTTGTTTTTCCTGAAGGGGACGAGGGCGCAGATCGCTATAGTATTGCGTTCTTTTGTTCGCCTGTTGGGACTACGGAGCTTAGTTCTCTGCCCAGTGATGTTGTCACTGCGCATCGCGAGCGGGGAAAGGAGGATGGGAATACTACTGTTGGGTATGGAGGTGGTGCTAGTGAACTTAATGTTGGTGGGCGCAGACTTACTGCGGGTGAACACTTGCAGGCGAGACTAGCTGCGACTTACCTGTAGTGAGTGGACATCTAGGACAGTCAAACTTGGAAGATATGTGCGCAATTATGACATCTGAAAATTTTTATATTCTGTTCATTGACCCCCTTTGGTGTCTAGTATGTCCAACATGTGTATACATTATATTCAAACCGCTCGGATGCAACATTTAATCATCAATATCAAGATCAGTGAGGGTTATCCTCAGCCTGATCGAAGTGTTCACGTGCCCACGGGCTGCGAAGACGAATAGCCTCACCCTTGTAGAAGAAGATGAAAGGGATAGGAACCAACAAAATGGAAATGAATCCCAACAGACTCGAGGCCCACTCATAGTCCAGCTTCTCGTACATCTGCGTAGCGAACAAGGGGAATCCAGCACCGACAACATTGCGACACAGGATCACACCAGCAAGGGCAGAGGCAGAGTATGTCTGGTAGCTGTCGACGACGTAGTTCAGGATACTGAGGATAACAATGTAGATACCAGCACCGAAGAAGCCGGAGGCGATGATAGGGACGATCCAGTGCACGGACGCGTAGCTGGTCCATCCGAACCAGAACAGACTGATTGGAATCAGAATAGCGCCGCCGCGAGCCATCCACATCCGTGCTTCGGGGACGCCCTTGCCACCGTTCTCGGCGACGCGACGAAGGTAATAGCGCTCCTGAAGCGGGTACAGGCAGAATGCCACGACGGGACCGATAGCCATACCGAGGAAACACAGACCCTGCTGACCAACATTGAAGGGGTGGCCCTTCGGAGCACCAAAGACCAAGGGGAAAGCCTCATTGAAGAGGTAGACCAATCCGTACAAAAAGCCGTTGTAGATAGCAGAGAAGGTGGTGATAGGCTCAGAGAACAGGAAACGGATCGGGCGCGTCAGAGTGATAGCAAATAGCTCATGCAGACCCTTGCGCTCATGGGCATGGATATCATCGATAGACTCCGCAGTAGCCAAGTTCTCCTTCTTCATCTGCTTGCGCACCCGAGCGACCTTCTTCTGCAAGATGGCTGTGTGTCGAGTTTCGGGGATAGTGAGAACAAGGATCACCCAGATTCCGCCAGAAATAGCCATGAGCACCCAGAAGATCCATCGCCATCCCAGGTTGAGGCCGATGTAGCCTGACATGACCAGCGCTGTTGGGGGTCCGAAGGTACTGCTAAGACCGTATACGGCCATGGGGGCACCGCTGACATTCCGTTCCCATAGATCACTGATACTACCTCCAGTGTTTGTCAAGGGGGCTCCGCCTGCGCAGCCAGCAATGAAACGACAGACCAGGATTGTGCCAATGTTGGGCGCTAGGGCGAGTGGGAGCTGGAAGAGGAAGAGGAGGAACCATGATACGACGTATACTGGCTGGCGACCGAAGTACTCGGAAAGCGGGGCTAGCATAACGGGACCAATGGCGTAACCCAGAACGTATAGCGACAGCGCTAATGTCGTCACTTCAGCTGAGACTCCAAACTCATCTTGGATGCCTGTCGCACCCGATGAGATTCCACCTGCACACCAGCAACTGTAGAGTGTTAGTTAGGATATAACAGAGCAATGGGCTAGGGTCGAATTAACGTACGTGAACACATTCAGCATGCTAACAAAAATACTGATATACCATTTGCGCCATTTAGGCCAGTTGCGAGGATTATCATGGTCATTAGATGAATAGGTGAGAAGAATGGGCAGGGCCTCGTTGGGATTGGCCCTCGCTTTCGCGAAAGCTTGTTCTTCGTTCATGACAAGGGAGGACCCAGACTCCTGGAAAGCGTCGCTGACTTTCTCAATATCGCGGGTCTCACCGAGGTGAGGTTCTACCTCCGGTGATGCCATGACCAAGGACTATCACGATTATAGGTGGAGGGGAGAGAGGTCCTGTAGAGGTATGCAGGAGCAGAGCAGAAGCACGCGAGAAGAGGCAAGGGCAGGGGTTATAAAAAGTAGTGGCAAAAAACACAACCTTGGACCGAGCGAGCCACTGACGAACACTCCCCCGACCGGAGCCCTTCTCTGCCCCGGAGAACCCGCTTCTCCAAAAGAATTTCCCCGAACCTTTTCTTTTTTTTCACCGGGGCGGGGACTGGGATGGGTTTCGGCGGGTCGGCGGGTCGGCGTGCCGAGAAGCAGCATTAGAGCGCAAATGCTTGGTTAGAAGGTTGGATACGCTCCCCACTTTGTCAATCCCATCCGCTCTCGGTGAAGAGATTACTCATATGGTATGGGGGGATTCGCAAATTTTGTGTGTCATTTGAGAAATTAACGGCAGGTAATATCGGCGTTTGCTATCTCAGTGAGCCTGAAGGGCCGTGATTGTTCTACAGAAGATGTTTCAAGGTACCCTGGGAGCAAAACTTCCAAGCTTTTGAGGCTGGCCAAGCCACACCCTTAAAAAGCTTGGGTGTGTGCCCAGCAAACCCTAATCTGATCCAACAAGAAAATTTTAAACACAGCTTCTTCATATTTTATATATTCCATAATCAATGTTAGAAAATAACAATCACTCACCTTTGGAAGGTGAAACCGTCGGGACATGAAAATGAGAAATGCCGATCGCCCCCAACATTTCCAAGGCAACTCCATGGGGGAAATGTATGAGAACCCTCCCCACTGGGGGACTTCGGGGCTCCTCCGTTTGGGGAACTTGCCGCCTGAGGTGTCTTATTACATAACGGTCGAACCAGACTGTCACTGCACCCGAAAAAGGAAGGTAGCCATGATATCAAAGACTGGATCAGGGCTACGGACCATAAACGTGACTCTCATGATCAAAAACCCCAATACGCGTCGTAGGGGTTGTTGTCTCGTGAATTCTGGGTCTTCTGGGTCCGGGTAAATAGACCTCTCCATTTATCAGGCCCCGCACATGGGGACCCCAGCCAGTCTGATTCCAGATCAGAGCATTCTAGCCAGAATGTGTCACGAATAACTACAGTACCCATTCCAAGGTACAATGGTACAATTTATACATATACACAAGACCTTACAGGTCTGTTATGAACCGAGGGCCCATTACAAAGTAATGGGCTTCTTTAAACGTTCCTAAGCAGGCGTGACATCACCGACCTCGGGATGCCTTTGCGCGGCTGGAGGAGCTGCCCGACTCATCCGATCGGCACGTAGAAAAATAGGCCGATTCACCGATGACTTGAAATTCGTCGCACAGCAAATCGAAGCCATGGGAAAAATGGCTCTCGCTTCAAATTTTGAATAAATGCTAGTAGAATTCCAGGATTATACAGTTAAATTCCGAAATAGTGAAAATGATTAGCTGCCAGGTGCCTAATCAGTTGCCCGAAGCTGCACGTGAACAATATATACAACTCGCCTAACCGCCGAGAAAATTCGCGGTTAGGAATGATCGAAGAGTCCTGACATTGCTTTCTTCCACATTAGCTTCCTCCAAGAACCTGTCTTTTTGACAACACCAATACACAAAGCATCGCCTTCGCGGGCCATTGTTTGAGGCTTGTGGTACTTTAGGTATTTTTTGGTTGCATCCAAACCACCATGTTTCAGAAGCACTGAAGCAAAGCAGAAATTAGTAAAGAGGGCCGATTAGATCACGAGATAAAGAAAGGAAAGACCAGAAAATACGATAGAGGTTAGAGTACGCAAAGTCAAAGTAAGCATACCTTGTTTACCGCCTGGATGAGTGTCCATATATGTTGTCATGTCAAAGACCTTGCCATTAATAATCACCCATAAATCTCCATCTTTGTTGTGGTTTGCAACATCTTCTAATGTGTATAAATGCTGAGAATTGGAGTTGAAGTCCATCGTAGGTGGAAAAAGGGAATAAGCTGGCCAATGTTCCTGGCTAATGGGTTTGTCGGTCTTTATGTCGAAATCTTATTTTGTGTCGTTAAATATCGCTTATGATAATCCAGCGAGAGGTAACAATCTAGAGGGCAAAGGGCTGTTATTTGGCTATCCAAAAGTTGACCATGTGGCTTGGTGGGGTGCGGACCGAGGAGTCGCAGATGAGGGGTCCCTGTTGCTTCAGCCGAACCAAAGCTCTAGACTAGAGAGTAGCGTGAGAAATGGGAACAAAAGGAAAAGAAGAAAGAGTGCGCAAATTTTAGCGAATGTTTGATTGAAATCCCAAAACACATTGGCAAACAAGCAACTAATTGATTACAGGGATGGTCGTGTTCTCGTGTTCCACAAAGTTTGTCACACCTGAGGTGTCAGAAATACGGAAAGGATCTTATACATTTCCGTCCATCACAACACAGAGTTGCTCTTTATACCTCACTTAACACAAGTCAAGGTGACGTTGGTTGAAGTGTCAGCGTCGCTCCCTCCATGTTCCAGCAGCGCGAAAGTATAATCTCCAAGTTCCACTGTCCACTCATATTTCCGATCCAAAATTGGAAGAAATCGGTTTACCTCGAGGTCCATGGTAACTTTTCTTGACTGCCCAGCCGACAGGTACAGCCGAGTGAAAGCGACAAGCTGCTTCACAGGACGTACAATCGACGAGACGCGACCGAGAAGGTAAACCTGCGGCACGTAGCTTCCTGCAACATCACCGGAATTGGTAACCTCGACTGAAAATGTGATGTTTGACTTGCTTTTAAACTCCATCTCAGCATCATTCCTGTTATCAACCATAGAGCGGAAATTTGTCGTGGTGAAGTTCGTGTACGATAGCCCATAGCCAAAGGGGTACTACTCATATTAGTAGTCAATTCGATGTAAACCAAGAAAAAAGCTCACTAAAGCTTGGTACGGGATATCTGTATAATCTCGGGGGAAAGAGGGTTTATAGCTGGGGGAGTCAGCAGCCGATCGAACAAGGATTAAAATTTTTGTCTTACTTGTAAAAAGCAGGCAATGTTCCAGCATTATACGGAACGCTGATTGGAACTCTGCCACCCGGATTAATAGTGCCGAAGAGAATGTCTGAAATAGCCTGGCCACCAGATTGCCCAGGAAAAAACTGAAACTCGTCAGTTAAAGTGTATTAGACTTGACAACCTCGGAAGTGGCCCAACTTACCGTATTCAGCACTGCTGCAGACTTATTGTAATACTCTGGGACTGCAAAGGGACGACCTCCTTGTAAGATGAGGACGACAGGCTTCCCGATTGCATAGATTGCCTCGGCAAGCAAAGCTAGCTCAAAGGTTAACGATTTCCTATATCTGCATGTGGCCTGAAGTCAACATACTTTGATTTGAAGAAAATCCTAAAGTGGCTCGATCCCCAGACTCGCCATCACTGTTCCAATTAGCGCCAAGGGTAAGAACCACCAAATCGGATTTTCGAGCAATTTCGATTGCCTAATTGATGTTAACTTTTATTAATCGGCGAGTTGACCGGGAAGCATTGCTTACCTGATCGACAGCGTGAACAGGATCTACCAGATTCCAAAATAGCGAGACCTGGGCATTGAGTGAGTTGACATTTTCATATTTTTGAACGTAATTCCAGGCTTGGTATTCCAGTCTGATGTGGTGCTTGGCTCCTTTCTTAAAACGAAAAGCTGCGGAGCCTGGTGGTGCGATTGTTGAGTTAACCGAAGTATAGGAAATGCCGGGGATATCTGAGAGAACATTGCCAGCGGTGGTAGGCTCAACATTAACATGGAGCTCTCCATCAATAAAAAGCTTAGCAGAGGTATTAGCATAGACCGCGACTCCAAACCATCCGTCAGTCGCGATGTCTACGGGTATCGCAACATCGCCCTCCCAGATAGCACTAAAATTATTAGAGGGAAGACCATCGGGTGGATAAAGGCCCCAGTCAAGACTTGGAGTCTCCAGTTTCTGTACTCTCGCATCGGTAAAATTTGTATCGGCAAAATAGGTGGCCGTTAGCCCCCCGGAGGTCCCGTTCGCAGAAAGCAAATAGGGCGGTATGTTGTACTGTCCATTGTAGCTCCAAGAATTGGCTCCCCAGCTAGTGAGTAATGTTGTGTCCGGGAAATTGCTTGCGAGGTGTTCTGTAATACCCTGACGGATTGTGCTGGCATTTTTGACCGGATAGCCCCCGAATTGGCCCGAATAATCACCATAATTGAATGTATCACTGAAAGGCCCTATCAATGCAATCGTGCCGATGTTCTGCTTATCGGGTTGCAAAGGAAGCGTGGAGTTATTGTTCTCGAGAAGCACAATACTCTTTTGGGCTGCCTCCAATGTAAGGGGAACATGAGATTCGGTGATTGCTTGTGAATCAACATCATCTGCAATATATGGGTCTTCAAAGAGATTCAAATCGTACTTGACACCTAGGACGCGTTTTGCCAGTGATTGTAAATCCGATAATGCGATTGTGCCATTAGCGACTAGATCTAAAGTTGCCTAGATGTCTCCAGTCAGCTGCATGAGCAAGCAATTCGGGAATGGGGATACAGACATTCACGTAGTCGCTTAATGGAAAATCGTAATATTGGATGATTCCACCCGCGTTGTGCCATTGAGCGATCGTATCCGCGACAGAGCTAGTGACAAGATGTGTGTATAAAAGTTCCGAGATTCCTGATAAACATTCCTCGTCAGGCCTTCTGCAGTGTGAAGATTTGCATAACACATATTCGTGTGGAAAGTTGACTCACCTGTGTCGTCAGCGGTAACGAAGCCTGTGAATTCATTAATTCTGCGATCCGTTGAGAGTAATTACAACTTACGTACCATCATATCCCCAATCTTCCAAAGCCTGGTACAGGAGAGGGTTGACCGAACAAGGGACATCATCAAACTCGCTATATGCCCTTTGGAAACTGTCAGAACTCTGTTACAAATTTTGACTTGGCTAGTGACCTACATCATCACACCTTTGACTCCACCTAAATCCACAGCCGCCTTAAAGGGGACAAGCATCTCTTGGAGGACCTCGCGCGTTCCGTATCCCATGAAGGGCGCCGCATTATGACCCCCTTGAGGGCTCCCATGGGCCGCGAAATGCTGTACACAGCGAATTCAGCTGAGCTCAAAACAAGAGAAGAAGAGAACGGGCAGTGAAAAAGCGATCGCACAAACCTTCATTACAGGAATGACTGCATCTGAATCCGACCAAGTGCTATTCTTCGATAAACCGGAGGCAAATGCAACACCCATATGAGAGGTAAGAACCATATCCTCACCCCAATCCTCTGTTTGATTTAACGTCTAGATTCCATTAATTCGAAGGGGAAAATCATTACTTACCTTGTACTCGACCCCAGCGCGGCTCCTTTGCAAGATCAAGCACTGGCGCGAAGCAAGCATGGATTCCGATTGATCGTGCCTCGGTAGCAATGGCTCGCCCAACTCGATGTACGAGGTTGGTGTCAAATGATGCCGCCATGCCAATCACTTGAGGGAACATCGATTGCTTAAACGACCCCACACCGTGAAGGCATTCTCCCGTTTGCATGAATGGTATATTGATACGCGATTTTTTAGCGTTTAGCTTCTGGAGGTCGTTGTACTGTGATTTGTTGGTGGGATACCAGTCATGCATTATACCGATGGGTGCTCCTGGAGCTGGCTGCATTGCCTGATCTGTAATTCTTGGTGAGCCATGGTATGTTTACCACACTGCCCCAATTCATGGGTAATTTATTACCGTAGAGGGCATTATCCGAGTTGGGTCCAATTATGTTATCGGCGAACATGAGATGCATTTGAAGAACTATTCTGAATGCATTAATAATGATAGTATAAGTGCAAGGGAAAAATGAAAGGTCCATGAAGCATACCCAGTTCTGGAATGGTCATATTCGCCACGAGGTTATCCAGAAATGCCGACTTTTTCGGGTCCCAGGACGGACCGTCCGTCGAGCGATGCTGAAGATCATCGGATTGAATACTCGCGAAGGCTTCGACGTATTGTATACGAAAAGATAAACATTGCAATAAAAGGACAATAACCCGGTGTGCGGACCTAAGCATAACCATGATAGCTGCTTCCTTGACCGTTCCTCGAGTATGGCATACAATCTAGAATGAAAAGGTATCGTTAAAATAGATTGTAGATGAAAAATAAGAATGAAGTTTATTTAAATAATCATAAGTTCTGTATTAGCCTAAATCAGGGCGTTGTTGTCGGTGTGTAGTGGGGTTGATATCACCAAAATGCTAGCTTGGAGTAACCGTGGTATCTGGAATCGGTATTTCTCCGTAGCTAGCTGACTATCATATCATTGACTCAATCTATCGCTGAATTTGGAATTGATCTGCGAGACGAACAGCAAAAGTGACATTGGCTGCGGGGAAGTAAAGCGGGGATTCTCGGTATATGTTCTGCTTCACGTAGACGTAAGAATGCCTGGACGAAAACCCCCGGATTGAAGAAAGAAACGACGAAATCAAAGCCCATTGATCAATATGCTATGTACCACATAAGCCTTTCCTGCCTACTAAGGGTATTATCAAAGCTCTCTGGACAGATGGAGTATCCCCCCTCTTTAGTAGCAATCAGCACTTTGACATCTACTTTGGCCTCTTCCACGAGGCATCAAACGATGTCTGCCTCCCCACCACAAGCAGCAGCAGCTCAGGCAATTATGATACTCGTCATTCTTGAATAAATATTAAACTCTGCTTCAGCCTGCTCAACGAGTATCTCACGATATTGAACTCTCCACCAAGAGCAGCAGCAGAGAACGCACTGACATGTGCATCCAATTTGAGTGCGAGGCCCATATTTGCCTTGGATGTAGGGCATAGTAATACTACGAATAATTTCGGTATGTTCGGTTGCCTTGAAATGAGAGTTGTTTGCACTGTAGTCAAATGATGTCCCAAGCACCAGTACCTTCATGCGCCTATCATCAAATACTTTTCTCTTCCCTTCTTATCACACGAATTAATTTCTCTCTTCCAATTTTTCTCTCTTCCAATTTTTCTCTCTTCCAAAAGGCTTTTTTGCTTTCCAAAATGTTTCTCAGGTTGAAAAAACAGGCACAATATGGCCACTTTTCTTTCGATCACTTCGCTCTCATTTGCCATCCCTCCCGTCCCCTACTGAACTCGCATCGCGGTACTAATTTAAACCCAAGACCTTTGGAGTGATGACACCTCGGAGACATGCCAAGAACAGTGGGAACGTCTAGTCTGGCAATACCAGAAGTTGACACTCATTGAGCGTTGGGTACGTCCTAGATCCTGGTTCCGATTAGCCCCTAGAGGCGATTGACCAAAGTGCTCCATAGCCATATAAATACCGCGCAAAATCTGAATCGTCCCCTTTTGAAGTGAGCGGGGCAGACATTCAGCGTATTTTCGTCAACAACCAAACAAACACCGAGCGCAACATGACCGTAAACAACTTCTACGATCTGCAGACCATATGTCTACGCACATGCTACGATCCACGTTTCGAGGAGAAATACCAAAAACTTCTAGAAGCATCCGGAGCTTCTGTCTTAGACTACATTCGGGTCCTGGATGATTCCACGCGCTATGATATCGAGAATAGAAGCAAGAACTTCTGGCGCCAAGTTTTGATCCGTATGCCTGGGATCACAGACTTTTCTGGGGTTCACGATTTGGATGGAACTGGGCAGAACCTGTACTATAAATCAGGACAACGATGATTATTTGATCGGGAAAGCAGAAGAACAGTGCGACGAAGTCCGAGAGCTTGCCTTGGCGGGATTGAGAGTTCAAGCTGGCATCTACCTCCTGGATAAGGACTCCATCAAGTCCGGGGTCATCACAGTCCTCTGGCTCGACGAGCACGGGGATCTGGCCTGGGAAAGCCGACTGGACCCGTTGATCTGCGATTTGGAAGATTTAGCCGTTGCTATGGAGGCGCAGCCAATTAACTTGGTTGACATCACCGATTGTGACGGAAGACTCGTCCCGTGGGTTATGGATCAAGAAGACGAGGGGTGCTCCTCGGCGGAGAGTTAAATCAAGTAAAATTGTATTGTTCCCCCACTGTCTGGGAATAAAATGAGATAATGACATGTGGGAAACAGGCCATATCGGCGCTTGAAATCAAAGACTCATTAACATTACTTTTGCAACTAAGTTTCAACATTCAGAGATGTCCCCAAATTAAGAATTAGGCGGTGGACCTCGTCTGCTTTTCTTTAACGAGCGCAAAAAGACATCATAGTCGTGAGGGCTGGACTCTCAACCACGCTGGTTGATTACGAGAGCCTCACCATACTCGCTGACGTCGTAACCATTCTCCTCCAAGTAGGCCTTGAAGCGGGCATCCTCGGTTTCAAGCTCGCGAGACATGTCAGGGATCAAGAACCACGAAACAAGTCCTCCAACCATGGTGAAAGCAGCTCCAATAAGGAAGACTGCCTGTTGACCCTTTTCAGTGGAAGAAAAGCAGTTCTGAATGGGAGTGAAAACCTGGGTTCCGATAGAAGCTCCTGCTTTTCCGAACGCAGCTGCGAAGCCGAGGAAGTGGCCGCGCAGGGGTGTGGGGAAGGACTCCGAGGCGCACAGGAATGTAGCAACGCCAGGGCCCATCTCACCGAGGGCTTGGAAAATGCCGTACATGACGACGAACAGGGGGAAGACGGTTTGGATAGGGCCAAGAGCGCCACCCAGAATGAATCCCCAGATACCCCAGAGGAAGAATCCCAACGTCATGGTCTGCTTACGGCCAATGCGGTCCATCAGCAATCCACCGATGATGCATCCTGGCAGGTAGAAACAGTTGATCACGGTCTAGATATGATTTTTTAGTTTTTATTTCAACGGAGTTCATGATTGCGCCATAACGTACGCCATAACCGATGTTCTGAGTGGTTGTGTTGTTGGTCATCAACTGTTCAATGATTGTCGAGGAGAACAGACCGAACGGGTAGGTGACAAAGTCATAGCAGAACCAGGCCAGGGCTAAAAAGGCAAATCAGCTGTAGCACTTCCAGCATGGTGAAGAACAGGACGTACAAGTTCCAAGCATGGGTTTCCAGTAGCGTTTGATGACCAGAAGATACGGGTAGCGGGACTTGATGGCATGCTTCTTGTACTGGGTAGAGTTGATCATTCGAACTCGGAAGAAGCAAATAACAACGGGCAGCTGTTTTAGTTAATAATTATAAGCTCTTGAAGGATAGAAAATTTCACAACTGACCACGAAGCCTAGACCAAAGCAAATTCGCCAGACTCCTTCAGAAGAGCGCTGACCGTAGCAGGCAAGGACAATCACAGCGACCACACCCGCCACAACGAAGCCCTGAATGACAGTTAGAAGTGATTCCAATGATTGAAATCCTCGCACACGTACCAGATCAATGGCGAAATCAGTGGTAGCCGCGACCAGGATTCCTCGTCTTTTGCGAAGCTTATCAGTCTCATCAGCGGCCTCGGTGGCGCTTGTAGCACAGACGGGGTATTCTCCTCCAGCACCAAATCCAGCACAGCCGCGTGCCACGATCATCATCCAGAACATCCTGTAAAATTGATATCAACTTGCCATATTTTCAGACGTTGGACAAGGGGGTTGTACCCCAACTGCGTGGTGCCGTGAGCGGCAGTCGCCAGGATCACACCAAGAACCAGAAACAAGGTGGCCGCGATGATACCGGTGCGGCGACCCAGGCGGTCGATCAGAACACCGAAGAAGAGCATGCCGAAGATCTCTCCAATGAGGTAAGAGTTGGACAGACGCGCCTTGATGGTCGAGGACATTCCAGACTTGTAACTATAATCCACCGTATTAGCTTCTCAATTGCCGTTTGGGGGCATATTGTGATACGAACAGGCTAGAGAAAAGAGGCTCCATGTAGCCGACTGCGGTGGTATTAGCATTTGTGAGCCAATGGGGTTCGCCGATGACATACTGATCTGGGCATTGTAGCCATCGCTGAAAAGAGCCAATCCAGCGACCAAAACATTCAGAACTCCAGAGGACTTCTTTTTGGTCTCGCGCTCCTCTAGGTCCCAGGTGTCATTCTGAATCTCATTCTTGTCCTTGATCTTCATGATCGAGTCAGCGGGAGAGTTCTCCATGATGTTGACAAATGTGATAGATTTGTTGATTCGGCAGTTGGAGAATTCTTGATGGCCGAATCAAGGGCGCGAATACGAAGTGAAGAAAATGGAGAGCTGAAGAACCAAAGAGAGGGGGGAGAAGATAAAATGGAAATGGAAGAAGTCTTAATAGCTGAACTCTGCCTACTCTCATCTCATGTTTCCCACTGGTTCCTGTATCTGTTCCACATGCCATTTACCCATTCTAGTTATCGGTGCAAGTTTGATGTGAGTTTTTTCTGATTGGATACCCAATGACAATCTTCCTTCCAGGCACATGTAGATGTAGTCACTACGGTCGGTACGAAGTGCGGTGTTGAGAAGTGACAGGAAGGTCCGAGCTTGACGGATACTACGTGCCTCTTCGTGCCTTGTGGCAGGGCACCAATCAAACACGTGCGGGTGGGGCCGCGGCCAGCTCCTATCGTCCAATCAACGTGATCAGGCCGTACATGTGCGATAAGTGACCCTATTGTTCCCTGCAACATCGAATCTAGGTCCATGTGGATTAAGCGCCCCGTACAAAGGTGGACCTCAATTTCGGTACGAAGCGCGGTGCTGCACTATGACTATGGGTCTGTTCAACACATGTCTGAGCAACAGCCGCCACTGATGACCCGCGATGTATATAATCGCGTGTAATCCGTCTTCGTTGCCAATACTTTTCGCACGTTTTACTTTCTCTACCTTCGTTCCATCCATTGGAAGATCAATCAGTCACCATGGATAACTTCAATTACCCTCTGACCCCTGAGCAGCTTCAGAGCTTCCAAGAGAATGGATATCTGCTTGTCCGCGGCTTCTTCACCAATTCCGAGGCCAAGACACTCCAGCAGTGGGCGCAGGAAGTGCATGATTTGCCACGCACTGCTGACGTTCCTTGGATGCCTTACGAAGAGGTCAATGGCAAGGGGGATCGTGTGTTGTGTCGCACGGAGAACTTTGCGAACTCCCACGCTGGTTTCGACAGCTTCTTGCGCGGAGAGCGGGCTACTAGCATGTTACAGCAGCTGGCCGGTGAAGAAATGCTTCTTTTCAAGGAGAAGATCAACTACAAGCTTGCCGGAAGTGGTAGGCGTACCATTGAGGACGTGTTGAATCAAGAGAATGATTACCTAACAGTGCCACAGGTGGCTTTGACCCCCACATCGATGCTAACGCGTACACCCACGTGAAAAACATCAAGCATCTCACAATTCTCGCCGCTGTCGATGAAATGACATCCGAGAATGGAGGTCTCGAAGTTGTCAACGGCAGCCACCGCATGCAGATTCCTCTGGGAAGTGATCGCTGCATCGAACCCGAATGGGTGCAAAGCAATCCCTGGGTTTCATGCGACTTATTGCCTGGTAAGTAACAGGGGTTGGAGAGATCGCCACTCACATACTATGAGTCTAACGTTCGAAATAGGCGATATCCTGGTTTTTGGCTCTTACTTGGCTCACCGCAGTGGTGCCAACACTAGTACCAAGGATCGACGGGCTATCTATGCTACTTACAACTGCGCGGCGGAGGGAAACCTCCACGATCAGTACTATGCTGATAGACGGAATCTCTGGCCCGCGACGCACATGCGGAAAGAGGGTGTTGATTACGAGGAGGGCCGCGTGCGTTATGCTTTCGGCTCACCGATGTTGACAGTGGAGCCGAATGGGGCTTTGGCTTGAAGATAGGTGCATTGTAAAAAGAAGAGTAAAAAACCACGTTTTATATGAGGCAGTGATAGGCTCTGAATACCACACTGAACCTTGAAAATGAATGTAGGAATATAATTAATTATTTTTGATATAAATTAGACTGGAAAGGAGGGAGTAATAAGCGGATTGCGGTGGACACGAGACACCACTCGTAGGACTTCAATATCGCTGAATCATGTGAATAAGCCGGGAACCAGCGGTTCAGTGGCGTCTATTATTGATTTAAAGTTTTTTACGCTATGAAAGGGCATGCTGGGCAAGTCGGCGCGAATTCCGTGAAAATATTTAAAGGTTCTCCATCCCCCACCTCGAACTTCGTTTCTCTTCTTACCCCTACTGAATAAGTTACTCCGCCGCGATGGACTCAACTTCCCCATCCGCAAAGGCCGAAGCCCTGATCGCTTCACTCGAGCAATACGGACAAGGAGATTACATTGGCGAATCCATCAGCCAGTTAGAGCACTGTTTGCAGGCAGCGAACCAGGCCCGCGAAGCAGGTGAGATTCCAACACCACGCTTTTCCAAAACCGCCGCTAACCCGTGAAAATAGAAGCGCGAGATGAACTGGTAATTGCAGCCTTACTCCATGACATCGGTCAAATCATTCCCCTGGAATCGACCAAAGAAGTCCGCATGAATCTCCGCGAAAGCAGCGAGAATGTCGGCCGCGTTGGTCACGAGGCCATCGGTGCCGCCTACTTGAAATCCTTGGGATTCAGCGAAACAGTATGCCGGCTAGTTAATAGCCATGTTGCTGCGAAGCGGTAAGTCAATCGCAAGGTCAATCATTACAAATACTTATATGCGAACAGATATCTTACGGCTGTGAATCGTGAGTACTATGATTCTTTGTCCTCTGCATCACAGAAGTCCTTGGCTTTCCAGGGTGGTCCGTTTCAAGGGGGTGAGCTACAAGAGTTTGAGGAGAATCCTTTGAAGGATGAGATGGTTTCAATGCGTTTGTGGGATGATCGGGCTAAGCTGGTCGGAGTTGAGGCCTCTACACCTCGTGCTAGCGCTTATTTGGATATGCTTATTAGCCACCTGTCCTAGTGAAATGCCATTGCAATAGTTATTTCGCGAAGAATATTGGGACCTTGATTTGTATGTATCATATTGATGCTATCAGAGATTGTTTCCCGGCTCGACACGCATTAGTGGAGCATTTGGTATTCTGTAATTTCCTCGAGAAGCTCGGTCTTTGAGGCTATGCGTGTGAAAATATCAAAATATATGAAGAGAGCTTCAAAACAATTGAGTATGTGGTAAATTGGAATTGAATCCGAGTGCTACTAACTCTCTAAGCAGTTAGAAGATACCTTATAAAAAGCCTCACTAGCATTGGCAAATTTCAGCCAAAGGTTCTTTACCATATGACAAATTCTACATTTGGTAAATAAATGAAATAATGACATATTTGGATTCAGCGGAGATCCAACGAGCTTTTCCGCTTTTCGGAAAACCAGATATCAATCCCAAGGGGCCCCAAGATCGCAGTCATAGTGGTGTCTGGGCGGTATGCCATTGGGCGATGATTCCCGGTCTACTCAATACATAGGTTGGAGGTTCTGACGGCTGAACTGGTGCACCCCAATTGATTGTAGGGGGTGGGAGTCAAACAGACCACGCGCAGTAAATTGTCAACCTTGGCACTGTACATAGAAGTAATCCTCAAGGGAATAAGTGCTGATCTACCACTTTTGCATCTTTGGCTTCACCTTGCTTTTGAAATTGTAACAACCCTTGACCACCGTAATACTATTGTCACTTTTTTTTGCCTGTTTGAGCCTGCGGTTCTCCATACTGGCCATTGCTCTGCATGTAATGGCAGGCCCACTCGATGATGGCATTAGCAACGCGCTGACTTAGTTCCCATCGCATACAGAGACGCAAAGATGATTTCTCAGCATTCATCCAAGGTAAATTCCAGCTCGTACTCCTATATACAGTCTTGAGGTCGACCTCCATTTAAAGTGAACGGCTTAAGCGGTCAGCGATCGCGTCTTCAGGCGTATCCTTAAATCCGAAATCAAACCTCAACCTTTAAGTCACGTTCTGAAAGAAGTCCCTGTTGATTGACTTTCTCATTAGCCGCCGCTTCCTCGATTTTTCTACTCGCAAACGCGCGCTCGGCGTGCCAGAAAAATGGACTGTCGTGTGCAAATAGGAAGTCGAGATCCTCTAAATGCCGATTGGCCGTTTCTTCAAGCCGAAGTATGAATTAGCTTTGCAAATTCAGTAATTTGAAGTAGGACCTCACCAATGTAGAATAGATATATAGGGACAAGCATCACCAAGTTCAAAAGGGCAAAGATGATAAAGACCCAATATGACACAGCGTCAATGAGGTATGGAATAATTTCGTTGATTATTCCACCTGCCAACGAAAACGCCACTGTAGCTACCGCAGTTCCTTTTGCTCGACTGACAAGTGGGAAAATCTCAGTAGGGTAGACCCAGCTATCGATTCCTTGATTAGATATACCTCTCGCTGAGTTTCCGGTGAACGTACCATGTGGTAAGCCATGTGCTCCCATATATGAAAGAGTATAGATAAAGCACGGCTGCAACGCCAGCGCCACATCGTGACGACAGAGCTGGATTTGTGTCAACCTTGGAGATGACTTCGTGGGCCAAAATACCGCCTGCAACCAACACTACAAACATGGAAGACGACCCTATCAACATCAACCGACGACGACCCAGCCGATCGCAGAGATAGATCGCTAGCGCCAAACTAGCTGTGTAACCGAAAAAATTACCTCCAGCCAGTAAGGCAGGTTTGTCACCGGTATAACCGGCCAAGGAAAACATCTCAGGCGCATAGGTAGAAATAAAATCGATGCCAGTGAATTTCTGCATAATTTGGACACCGGCACCCAGCATTATCCGGCGTCTTGTGTGCAGTTTATCGCGGGTGGTGAATGTCTTCCACATTGAAGGTGGTGGCTCATTGGCTTCGAGGCGAATTGCCGCCACTATCTCTGCCAATTCGCGCTCGACTTCACTTTCCAGGGTATTTATGCGTGTCCTTGCCATTATCTCCCGTGCTTCGGAGACTCGACCTATTCTGACTAGATGGCGTGGTGACTCGGGATAGAATGGCGTCGCGAAAAGGATGAACAACAGGAAGATCAGCTGCAAAGCAAGAGGGAATCGCCATGCGAACGCGAGACTCTGAGTCTTTGAACATGCGTATTCTGTCCAATATACTCTATAATTTGGTCAGCGCAGCTCCAATATTAAAGGTAGGGTCAAAGAGGTGCTGTATGTGAGGTCAACTCCGGGAGACTGACATAGTACCTCCGGTAAGAGCCAATGTAAATTGTACAGCGACAAAAGCGCCCCGATCGCGAGAATCAGCCAGTTCTGACGTCCAAATAGGCACGATGGTATTCAGATGCCCACAGCCCACACCTCCAATAATACGTGCAAAGGCCATCCAAGTAAAGTTCTGCGCAGATGCCTGAAGCGCACAACCAACAATAGCCCAGATACAACCGAGTTGTATACACTTCAAGCGACCGATTTCATCTGCAAGACAGCCGACAAGGATCGCACCTATATTTGAGACATTTGGTAAGCTCGAAAATCCGGCCTTGTGTCCTTGTTCTCGGTCATTCCGTACCTATTCCAAAACCTCCAAACCAAACACTGACCAGCCCCCCTACCGCTGCGGAATCGCGTGCCGAACCAGAGTCGGTCCCCATGTATCGCAAGTAGTCAGAATTTGTATCAACTTGGCTCATGCACGAGGAGTCGTAACCAAAAAACATTATCGAGGTTCCGGCGAGAAGTAAAATGGCATTGATCATAGGCCGTCCTCGAAGTTTCATGCACCGAGATGGAGAGTATCCGCCAGGGACTAATTTGGCCCATGACGCTTCCTCTGTGAAGAATATCATCAGCAAAGAAAATCATCAAGGGTGATTAAATACATACCACGGCAAAGCTGGGGCTCAAGGCCTTCCACGTGGTCGACTTGAGACTTTTCCATCCTTCATATATGCCCACTGCGTTAACAGTGTTGTGTGCTTGTGAGAAAGCTCGGTTGTTTTGCGATGGTCCAAAATGCGTTCGAAGTTTGTCAGCTGAACCCAGAGGGAATTCCAGTGGGGTTTGTTATGAACACAACGCGGGGAATCGAAGTGAGAAACCCTGGGTACATGTCGATCGTCCTCATCCGGTGTCAAAATATGACGATTGGGTGTTAACACCACTTGATCACAAGCTTCTAAGTGTGGAGCCGGTGAGAAACCCGTAAGCTTATTTTGGTAGGATCTTGGAGAATCCGGGGTTATACCGAGCCTTCGGGGTGAATTTACCCGACAACGTCATCCTGCAAGGAATGAGAAATTAGTTGCATTGCCTCGTGTACATAGTCATATACCAGGGACTTGGTGTACCTATATGCGGTGATGCGTAAGGTCGACCTCTTGTCCTTTTGAAGAAAGAATCATTCCATGTCTTTGACCATAGCATTGAACCCCGATGGGTCTCTCCAGTGATAGGCTGACGTTTCAAGATACGCATATGATCAAGGATGATTCAGTTCCCCTATTTCAACTCAACGCTGGATAAGGTGCGTGGGGTGGAGGATCTCCGTGATATGTACTTCCTCCAAATCGGCAGCTCCACAAGAGATACCCGGCAGTCATGGTAGCATGAGATACTTGCCGTGTCATTCGCTCCCAATCCCCTCATTATAAGCGGAGTTTTGTTCAGGATGTTTATCACAAAGATATCGTACGCGTCACACGTGGTGTATGTCAATCCGTGGCTCCAGTCACGGGCTCATCCCGAGGTCGGACCGAAGATCCCATGATAACACCCCGCACTCTAGCGTCTGCCTTTGACCAACACCATGACACCGATATCGTCAGCTAAGCTTCGAACTCGGACCGGCTGTTTACAGTGTAGGGTTTCGGAAAATACGATGAAAATCGGTATAATGCTAAAAAGCTTATGCAGGTCGGAAGCGTCGCAAGAAGTGCGACGAAGCACGGCCCCAATGTGCGGGGTGCAGCCGCAATCGGCTCCAGTGCGTTTGGCCTTCTGATAAGCAGCGCAAAGATGGGCGAACTCGGCGAATGCAGTCAGAAGATGGGTTGAGCCCTAATGGAAGTGAATATGGGAGCTCGCAGGTCGATTTACCAAGTCTGCATATTGGACTCCGCCCGCCAATCCAGATGCCGTCTCCGTTCCAGCTCGAGGAACATTGTTACCTCTACCGATATTTCGGTTCTGTTGTTCTGCCACAAATGGTGCGACGAAACTCACTTGCTCGATATGCAGATCAGTCATATATGTTGCGGCTTGCTTTGGAATTTCCCCCACTGATGGGTGTGTTGATTTCGATTGCTGGAATGAAATTGGCATCCTTTCATGGTGGATCAATATGCTGCGCACTTCAAATCTACACGCAGACACTGAATGGCTTACGAAGAGCTCTGAGTCAAAATACTGATAGCGTGTCTAATGATGCCATCTTTGCAACTGTGATCACTCTATCTGTGTTTGAGGTAGGGAGGGAAATGTTTACCTGAGCTTCCAACTCCACTTGTGATATAATATGGATTGCTGATTTCCAAACAGAGCTCTCGTTTAGATACAACCCTTAAGGTAGCGCCCCATGTCACAGCTTCAGGGGTTTTGCTTAAGCAACGTCGCCCGCGATGGATAAATTGTCCGCAAGCTAGCGCAGTGTTTGACAGAATTTGTGTCGAATCCTTTGTTTACCATGCATCATTGATGATGCTCTTCGATCCATCCCTAGACTCGCTATCGCAGCCAGATATACGTATGGGATTGTCAAATTACTTTTCAGATCCGGTACATGGTGCACAACAAGACCGGGGTTTCGCGGTTGGCAGCCAGCCCATTCTTCATACCTCATATGAGTTCTTCTTATTGATTGCCGATGCTACGAAGCTCGCTCGCCTCGCTCGACCACTCGCAGACCTCGAAATCGACAACTGGAAGCTCCTGGAAAATCAAATCATGCAATGGACTGAAGTGATGAGAAACAATGACGATATAACTGCTGACTTATATATTCTTGTCCTTTGGGTCTTGCTTTTCAAGTCACATCCATACTTACCACCAGATGAGATTGATTGGGAAATCGGTGACTTTGTTACCAGAAGTATCGCATTACTACCTCTAGTCGACCGAAACCGTTATTTTACGAGCTCTCTGGTTTGGCCGCTCGCTATCCTGGGCTCGGTTGCTATTCTCCCGTGTGAGAGACTAGCTGTGCAAAATTTTATGTCCCTTCTTATTGCAACGTCATTGGGTGGGCAAGCAGTATGGATTCTTAGAAGGTTAGAAGACATCTGGTCTACTCATTCCAAGTTGGATTCTATTCCCTCTTTTCAGTGGAGAACGCTGGGCCTCCAGGCCCTTCTTGATGGTAACAAGGAGATGGCCGGGCATGACTAGAGCCCAAGAGATTTTGATCTCCATGTTTTATTTAAATGTACTATAATAATTCTTGACAAAGTTGAATGGACTATTTCGAGGGGAAAAAACCCCAAATAGAATAGTAATATTCCAGGACATGCTGACTAGCCTAGCAAGTATCCAACATGCTAGCAAGAGCCGATTTCTCATCAGCAGTAATAGTGAGACTATAGACTGACTTGACCTTAACCCACATCTCCGCATAAGTGCAATAATAAGAAGCTAGTAAATCATTAGATCATGTTCCTGCAACAATAGGCAGTAGCTTACCAAGAGGAGGCTTCCATTCCTCCGGCCCCTTATCACCCTTAGCAGAGTTGACATTATCTGTCACCGCCACCAACTGTGGGTGAGTAAGATCATTAGCAAAAGCCTGGCGGTCAGCAGTAGACCACTCAGATGCACCAGACTAAAACCAAGTGTTAGTGAATGTATAGCAGATTCCAGTCAGAATAGTATAGTAACCTTCCACGCATTGGACAGCGGAACAAGGTGATCAATATCTACATCGCTCGCCTGAGTCCAGGTAGCTCCATCGTATGGTGAATACCATGTCCCACTAGTCGCAGCACAGCTGGAACTCTGAACTACACCCGATCCATCTCGCTTCAGGACAACCTCACGGGTATCACAGGTTCTGTGACATGTCAGATCAAATCACTAGGAGCTTGAAAGGAATCTTACCCGCTCTGAGTGATCCAGTGGGGGAATTTATCTCTTGAGTAGCCATCTTGTGAGCCCTGCGCAGCAACTTTCAAAGCGGATAGCTCATTCTGAGCTGTAGAAGCTGTTGGAATATCCGGGGGCGTTGGAGCTGGGAGCGCAGTAATAAGCGCAGGGTTTAAGAGTATAGCTCCAATATAGCCAGCTAGAAGCCAATTGCGTGCCATTATAAGTATCTTGCTGATATGGTCGACCTTGACTAGCACTGGACGTGTGGGTAGGGACGCGATAGCCACGGAAGAGGATGCGACAGGAATTTCGAAATCAATTCCATGGCGCGGATTTTGTAGTCTTATCAAGGGGTATGCTAGCTTACTGTTTACTCGCGGAAGTCCTAACTAGTACTGGTAGATAATATTTGGGTTTACATGCACTGTAACATTGACTCCGCCGATGTCTTGGCTATGCGCTTGGCGTTGCACGTTGAGCATATCTCGTCTCACCATTGGGTAAATGGTCAATTTTTCATCAGTCCGATCGAGCCGCTGGAATTGCAAGGGCTCCGTGAAGAAATTGAGCATTCCCAATGGACGAAAGGGCTGCGCCAAGCGCGCCGAAAAAAGGAAATACAAAGGGTAGAGCGCGTCTTACGAACAATAATTTGGGATTTTGTGATCAAATGACTATATCATGAAGACATTCACCTCTAAATTTATCAATATCTAGATCATTATAAACATAAGAAATGTATCTACAATAGTCCTCGAGCAAATTGGAGCGGGGCTGACACTGGAACACCAAGTTTCTTTGCCGCTGTCAACACCCACTCGGGCTCGCGAAGGAACTGGCGAGCCATGAGGACCGCATCAGCCTTTGGCTCTGGGCCCGACAACATTTCCTCAGTAGCCACCGCTTCGTCAGCGCCTTGCACGATCTGACGAGCTGCCTCGGCCTCCGTGATAAGACCGACTGCTCCGACCAGGGTCTTCTGGCCCGCTTTGTGGATGACTTTGCGGAGCTGACCCGCAAGATCAATTTGATAATTGGTGTGGGGCTGGAGCTTTTGATCCTTGTGGTTACCACCCGAGCTGACATCAAGGAGATCAACGCCAAATTCCGGCAACAGTGTGACCAGTTGGGTGGATGAAGACATGTCCCAGCTGCCATTCTCAGCTGCGACCGGTTGGTCTTCCAACCATTCAGTAGCACTGATGCGAAGGAACAGGGGAGTTCCAGCAGGAATGGCGGCACGAACAGCGGTACACACTTCGCGCACAACTCGAATACGGTTCTCAAAGCTTCCACCATATTTATCGGTGCGGCGGTTAGTGACAGGACTCATGAATTCGTTCAGGAGGTATCCATGAGCACCGTGGATCTCAATCACATCAACGCCTGCTTGAATGGCTAATTTTGCACTGTGGACGAAGGCCTGCACAATCTCTTCAACTTCGTTTGTGCTGAGCTCCCGGGGAGGCCAATACTTGACATCTCCCGGAGCCCAGATGTGCTCTTCGCCTCCCGAAGGACCAACTACATTCGTCGGCCAGCCACCGACAGACTCATCAGCTTTAATACTGCTCCTTTTGCCCTCGGATGACAACCAGGGTGCAACGGTACTGGCCTTCCGACCGGCGTGGGCCAACTGGATACCGATCTTGGCTCCTTGGCTATGAGCGAAATTCACGACACGCTGCAATCCTTTGAATTGCTCGGACTCAGTTCCTTCTTGCCAAAGGCCGAGATCATTCGGAGAGATTCTGCCATTCGGCTGTACAGCGGTTGCTTCGATGATCACAAGGCCGGCACCTTTCGCGGCTAGATGACCGAGATGTGCGATGTGAAAATCGGTAGGGGCGCCCACTGCGGGCGAAGAAGGATCTGAGTTGGCTGAGTACATGCACATAGGTGCAACAATCACTCTGTTCTTGAATGTGACATCGCGAATTTGCAGCGGCCGGAACAAAGTTGGGGTGTTGGGGTCCTCGGGGTTCAGAGCGGCACCGCCATTGTTGGCTGGGGTGAAATAAGGAAGGCCCGGGGCCTTCAAAACCCGGGGCGATTTGAATGCGATAGATCCCATGGTTTCTAAAGCTCAATTGAAAGAAAAATTCGCAGTTAAGGGGTTTACAATGTCAACGAAATATCACGCTAACAACTTATACTTCGGAATCTTTGAAAGAGTTGGGGTATTTCCAGGGGGATTCCCTTCGGCTGACAAATCCAAATCTACACATCCGAGGAGTTCTGATTCGGCATTTGCATAACATCGGATGTGGCGAATGCTTGCGTGAGTGGGGCGTTTGCGGGATCGATTATAAATCAACATGCCAACAGAATATCTACACATGACCACTTTAAACACCCTCAACGAAAGACATTAGCCTCCGAGGTCGACGGTAGTGAGGTGGTGTGGTCAGCGGCCAGCGCTATTCCCAGAGACGCATGAGCTTATTAGCAAGCCGCCTCATTGTGCCATTGTTCGTGGCGACCCAGAAAGCGTGCACCTGGCTCATAAGCAATTTCCGATCGGATTGACGCTCCAAATTCATTCCAATGACCAGCAGTGGCCAGCAGTAATACTCGGCGAAGTAATCCTGCATAGGCTGTAGCTTTCGTACCGCTACAATCCCCTCTTGCAATAGTGCTTCCAAATCGGGCTTCCTGCCAGTACTGGCCGAGGACATGCGGTGGAGTAGAATCTGGCAACCAATTATGTATAGTATGGGCCCCAATGACGGTGCAGGGTGGACCAGGCTCTGAACTGTTGCACAAGTGGAGACAATGGAGTCGTGTGGCACCGCCAACTCAGTTTGGTGGCCTAGTAAATTGTCAAGTCTAGATGTGGTGAGACGATGACTCCACTGGATGAGATCTTCACCTAGGTCCTGGCATATTTGTGAATGCACAGAGCTCCATTGCGATGTTTGGTACAGACGATAGACCGTGTAAATACAGCGGAATAGTTTTGGTGGAAACCCGAGAACTGGGGATTCAGAGTGGGAGGAGTTGTCGGACAGAAAGTGCGGGTAGATGGCCTCCTCGGCCAGCCGGAAGGCCATCTCAATCTCCATTTGGTACATATTGTCATCCTGAAAAGGCAGGCTAGTTGCAACATGAAATATGAAGGACTCTCGAACGAGACGATGCATCGACTGCTGTATGCCAGAGGGTTTTTGATCCTTTGCATAATCCTGAGAACAAACTCTAATCAATCTTGCAGCCCCTGCAAGGTGAACCTCTACACCAGAAGATTTATGCACCTGAGATCGCTACATCTCAAATGTTAGAACTTTATTCGAAATGCAATCCATAAGACATACCTCGTAGATGCAGAGCATCATGACAGTAAGCATAGTGACCATCCACTGGTTTTGAACATTCCCATCATTGAGGTTCATTCGAAGCGCTGCAACTGCGCGAGTGTAGTGGAAGCGCGCTAGCTCACGAACCGTTGGGTCATGGGTGGGGATCTCAGCTCCACAGCAGGCCAGCAACGCATGCATGCAAAATGGTTTTTGCAGCGCTAAAGTCAAGGTTTGTCTACTCAATACATCAATCACCCCACTATCTGCTGCTGGTCGAATCAGCTCGGGAAGAAATTTCCACTGCAAGAAATGAAAGAGATGGCGACTTTTTGGAGTGATAGCCGATGAGAGTGTGCATGGCGAGAGTGATATCCGGCCCAGCCATTGGTTTTGTGAAGGTTTCTCTGTAGCGATCAAGTTCTTGTCATAGTGAAACCCATCGGGATAATGGGGTGACCCAGGGGATTTTGAAGCCTTTTTCGGTGAGCTTGTTGGTGACAAAGGGTGTGAAACTTGGTTTCTCATCACCTTCCTTATTTCACTACCGAAAGCAAAGCTTTGCTTTTTGGGATGGGAAAGCTTCTGCTCCAATTCAGATTCTTGCCAAACACAGTTTATATTTTGCCTTTGGCAATTCAAGCATTGCAAGCGGGCTTCGTCACATTTTTTCTTCCGTCTTCGACCTGTCAAATCGTCAGAAACTGCGAAAAATGATTGGAAGGGGCCATTGGGCTATTTCATTTGGACACTGTGTCAACCGTTAAGGCCTGGCTTACAGGTTAAGCATCCTGTCTTGGTGCGCAAGTGAGCCGGTCGACGTCGAGGTCGACGGTAAGTCTTGGGCGGTGTTGCAACCGATAATGGCGCTTCAGAAGACCCCATAATGATTTAATTATCTCGGCGCTAACATTATACCATGCCTCAGTCCATAGCGGAGGCGGATTGATGCCTTCAAGTGCCAGCTATGGGGGTTTGAAAAGGGAAGAATGGTGGAGCGACGGGATTCCCCGGGACCCACGTTATGGACATGCAAAACGGCCCCGGAGTATAGATAGCAAGGCCTAGAGCCAAAAGCAGGTGGAAACTTCATATCTTGGGCGCCGAAAGTTGGCAGTAGCTTATGTACAGAGCTGACTCTCGTAAAACTTCTTTTTTGCATTCAATTTTCACCCGAAAATGTCATCTTAATTATCCTTCTGCAAATATGCGACCGGTTGTACCCGCCAACGGTGTCCCTCTGCTCTAGGCGCAGCGCCCCCGGACCGAGACAAGGACTACTAGTCTCACCACGTCTCCTACTCAAGCAGCATAGAGTATCCGTACAAAGCCCGAATCCGATTCGTTGACTGGGCTTGATCTGCACAATATGGTTAAACGAAAGAAAAGCTTCCTGGAAGATGGACTTGCCTCTTATGTTAGATTGCGTTATCTTAAACTCGCACTACTTGCTTGAGTGACATAATATTCCGCGAGAAACTAGGCATCACTTTTAAAGACCCTTTATTTCGGAGTTTACGGTCGCATGCGTTCAATGAATCGTGTTTGCCGCCCTCGGTTGAGATGGCATTCAGCTTAGTGGGGTCATTGTTTTAGTGCCCGAGATTGCAATAACGTACGTAACCTTGGAACTAGGTGGCTCCCCTTGTTTACCTACATAAATATTCTTTTGTTGGGTCTCTGCGGATTCTTTACCGGAGAAGATAAGCTCGCAGCGTTTTCTCTGATCCTTCAACGACGAGCAAAACCATGCCGTTCAAAAAACACCTTTCATCAATACTGAAACGCCATAAAGGCGCCACGGAGACGCCCACCAGTCAGCTAGAACAGAACCCCGCAAGCAACAGCAATGCAATTTTGTCGCCAACGTCTTCCAATGGCCATCAAACTACTTCAAGTGGCTCTCAGATCAACCCAAGTCACTCCCATACCCACTCTAGCCCGCCGATATCGGGAACAGGCCAGCGCAACCTGTGGCATGAGGCCTTTGACAAATTACCTCCGAACTTCAAGCATGAACTTGAAATCCGGGGAATGAATCAGCAAATCGATAATCCAGTTAAAGAGTTTCAAAAGGAGGCAGAAAAAGTGCGAGAAAAAGGTCAGGAGAGAGAATGGAAAGTCCAGATAGGAAGCCATGAGCTTCCAGTCAGACAAACGGCTGTTCAGATCTTGAATTGGGCAAATAAGGTCGGGGACATTGCCATCCAGTTTTCGCCGTCCCCTGGTGCCGGGGTGTGGGCTGTCGCAAAATTTGTTCTTAGTGTAAGTGGGGTCGCATATGGGGAAGGGACTTTGCTAAAATGGTGAGGTTCTAGGGGCTCGATACCTTCAATACCGAGAAGGCCGCGCTTCTTTCTGTTATTGAAAAGGTGGCGGAGGCCATATTCTGCGGTGAGCTCTACTGCGGAATATACACGCTCGAACGCACCGGAAGAGCGGACGTCGTAACAAAGCTTCATGATACACTGGTGGACCTATATGTCTGCGTGATGGAACTTTTGGTCAAATCATTGGATCTTTCGTCCAATACCGCAGTGCAATTCTGCCGAGCTATCTTCGATCCCAAGAAACCATCCGAAATGCTGACGAGTTTGGAAGGGAAGGAGAATGCTGTCCAAGCAGCAGCGGAAAGATGTGAGATCACGGCACATGCCTTCTGGGATGAAACTTGGAAAGTATACCTTCAGGAAGCCCAAAGATCATTGGACCAAGTTATCCAGTGGATCAATGAGGAGGAACGACGGGAACTTCTGGAGTGGGTCTCTAATATTCAGCATGGTCTCCATCATGAGCAGATTGAAGAACGTCGAAGTCCTGAGACGGGTAATTGGCTTTTTCAGCATAATGCATTTCGGACGTGGTTTGACTCAACTTCATCTAGTGTGTTGTGGCTTCAGGGATCCCGTGAGCTTCTGTGCTTTCTACTTTTCGAATGGGTCTGAACATCGCTAATTGACTCAAAGCTGGCACAGGAAAGACCTTTTTAACGTCAAGCGTAGTAAAATATGCATTAGAAAATATAGAGTCCCAGATGTATGGGATGGCGTATTTCTTTTGCAACCACGCAGAGAAAAATCGGCGTGAAGCCCTCCCTCTGCTTCAAAGCTTAGTTCGTCAGCTTGCTGCACCAAAAATCACCACCCATGCGGCTAGGAGAGGCCTTCGAGAAGCACGAAAACGGGCTACCGATAAAGGGTCAGGTATCGGTCTATTAGAGTGCCGTCATCAGCTCTTAGACTCTTTAAATTCATATTCGGAGACCGTCATTATTCTTGATGCCTTGGATGAACTAGTTGACGAAGAACTTGTTTTATTAACCAAAGAGCTCAACGATATAATATCCGAAACTCGAGACAGAAGCAGGGTCAAATTTCTTGTCTCCAGCCGGCCTGATGAAGAGATTGGTGTGGCTTTCAGCTTGAGCCCAACTGTCACTATCCAAGCAACCGATAACCGAACTGATATTGAGAGATTTGTGACCATGGAGCTTAACAAATTTGAAAAAAGTCACCCAAGATCAGTCATCAATATAAGAAAGGAAGAGATAATCAAGTCTATCCTTGCCAAATGTGATAATGTGTGAGTGGATCTGGCAGTGGCGAAGAATAGCCATATATTGACATGGAATCAGGTTCTTGTGGGCTGCTCTCCAAGTCAAGCAGATATTGAAATGCAAAATACTTGAATCAGTCGACCATACGCTGAAAAGCCTTCCGAAAGACTTGAGCGAAGCTTATGATCGGATCTATCATAAGATTCAAAGTGGTGTTTCCCCCGAGGCCGAGATGGCTAACCGCACGTTCAGGTGGATCATGTCCGCACCTGACCCACTCACCAGCGAAGAGCTGCTCTCTGCCGTTCGCATAAATATTGATAACGATGAAATCAACTTGGTCAATCCGGTTGAGCAAGATACCTTGTTATCCATTTGCGAAAATTTTCTGATCGTTGATTCCAATGGTCAATGGAGATTTTTCCATCTTTCCGTCCTCGAGTATCTCCAGAGGATGCCCGAGTTCAACCAACAAAAGCACCTTTATTGTGCACAAGTCTATTTTTTTTGTCTCATGAGAACCTTTGCAAATGCGGAATCCACTTTCCTTCTAAACAACATGGACCCGGCACCGTCTTCCGGGGACTTTGTGGATCCACTAAATGCCGCCAATGGCTTCTCTCGGCACATTCAGAGAAATTGGCCATACTACGCTTCTAAATTGACTAAGAATGATTCCCCATTCTTAACCTTGCAAAGTTTCCTTGGATCGACCAATAAAAGCAGCCCCTTTTTTATGCGATGGTCTAGTCACCTCTTCGACAAGGAAAAACTAGTCTCCTTTCGGTCCTTGAAGATTCTGAGATTGTGGGAAGACGACCTTGCACCTTTTGCGACTCCAATCTTTGCCATAGTGCACTTCTCATTGCATGAGATCTTCTATCAGTGTTGCGAAGATAGTGACTTCGACCCTTTACAACCTAATGAGAACGAAGAAGGCCTCTTTGAGATAGCTGCTAGTGCTGACTGCGTACCGATCTTGAGAACCCTCGTTTCAAAATCTGCTTCAATCGACCAGAATTTATTCGACAAAGCTCACGGGGCGGCAATCTGCGTCGCCGCAAGGCTTCAAAGCTCAAATGCACTTAGATATCTCGTGGGTGAAGTCAGCGCACACGTGAAACTGCTGCCCCGGGTTGAGGGCTATGGCAGTGCGCTTGCTGCTGTTTGCTGTAGTTCCGAGAACCTTGACATAGTAAGGTATATTTTGGGGCAAGGGGTAGATGTAAATCTTGCGCTTCAAGTCGGGGACTATGGAAGTGCGCTTGCTGCCGCTTGTTCCAATCCCGACAACCTGAATACAGTAACATACCTGGTAGACCAAGGGGCGGATGTGAATCTTCCGCTTGAAGTGCCCGGGGGTTATGGCAGCGCTCTTGCTGCTGCTTGCTTCAATGCCCACAATCTTGACATAGTAAGATATCTTGTGGAGCAAGGGGCAGATGCGAATATTCCGCTTCAAAGTGGGACCTACGGCAGTGCGCTTGCTGCTGCTTCCTCCATTCCCGATAACTTGGCTATAGTAAGATATCTTGTGGAGCAAGGAGTGGATGTGAATCTTCTGCTTCAAGCTGGGATCTACGGTAGTGCGCTTGCTGCTGCCTGCCGCTGGTTTACCAATTTGGATACAGTATCATATCTTGTCGAGCAGGGAGCGGATGTCAATCTTCCACTTCGTGTTGGAAACTATGGCAGCGCGCTTGCTGCTGCTTCGTCCACTCCCAATAATTTGGATATTGTCAGATATCTTGTGGAGCAAGGGGCAGATGTGAATCTTTCACTTCAAGTTGGGCGCTATGGTAGTGCGCTTGCTGCTGCTTCCCGCTGGTCTACGAGTCTTGACATAGCAAAATACCTTATCGAACAGGGAGCGGATGTGAATCTTCCGCTTCAATTTGGGAACTACAGTAGCGCGCTTGCTGCTGCCTCTTCCAATACCGACAACTTGGGTATGGTAAGATATCTTGTGGAGCAAGGGGCAGATGCGGATTAGCCCCGCCGAAACGAGTGCAGTCACTGCAAAGAAAAAGCTGTTCCTTTTTCTAAGGGCGTCACCGTGGAAGGAGAGGAATACTGGGTGAATTGTCACTGGGAAAAGCTGGATTCGCGGTGCTTTTTCAATACGAACCCATCAACTCCGAAGAAACGGTGAAGTGCCATTCTTGGGTGGTAAGGAAAAGTCAACGATGTGCCGCATAACTTTGGTTCTTGTTGTATATGTCAATAATTCATATTTCGATATACCATCCAGACGATTTGATTATCGTCTACATGTTCTTGAGGCAGACAATTGTCCGCTCAATAATTTCAAATTGATCAACGCATATGCTTGGGTAGACAGGTTTCAGAATCTTCCACATTGGTCCAATCCCAGCATGCCGACCAGAGCGCCTCCGGCTTCTCGGTTTCCGTGACGATCGCTGCGGATGATGTTGCCCTTTGTCCATCGAAGTACCCTCGAACATTTTGATACTTCGGGTCCGTAGCCAGAGCCGTAAGGTCTCGGGCAGATTCTGCATTCGTTCGGAATTGATTGGTGAACAGCGCCAATACAGGGCGCAACAATTTCATCATTGAGAATACAAGTCTGTTGAAGAAGCGGCGGTGAATCTGATGTGCTCGGGAATCGACAACGGCGCCCGGATCCATAGCGACAGCCGTTATTCCACTAAACAATGTGTTCTAATTTTTGTAAACAAAAGTTTCTTCGCCGGAAAAAATGAAAATTTCATACCTGTTGCAATCGTTTATTCAAACTGTGCATGAACATAACATTGGCCAGTTTGCTGTTAGCGTATCGCCGCCAGCCCATATCATGTTCTGTCCCCGGCGAGTCTGGGCCAGGTTTGATCAGCTCTTCAAGGTTTTCATCGGCGGGGAGACAAGCTCCCATTCCTGCAAGGGGATTACGATGCTCTGGATCATGGACCTCTGACCCAAGCATGATGATCCGACCAGACTTCCGGTCCATACTGGGAAGAAGCTTCAGCACGAGTAGGTAATGCGCAAGATGGTTGACCTGGAATGTCGATTCATAGTGATCTGAAGAAAACTGCTGACCGCTTTCTAATGACCAAGTGAATGCGTTGCAGATTATGGCGGAGATTGCAGGGAGCTTCCCAGCGGCCACTTGGTCGGAAATCCTCTCCGCGAAGAATCGTACATCTTTCAACGAGTTGAGGTCAACATTCTCGAGGATGAGCTTCTTGCCCGGGTACTGCTGCACAAGAGATTCCAAACGGAGCAATTGGGGACTTTTGGGAGATCTGCTTGCATTTCGAACGGTGCCGACGATAGTCAAGTGAGCATGGGAGGAGAGAAGTTGCTGCACCGCCTCGAGGGCCACGGAGCCTGAAGCACCGGTGATAATCACGGTTCCTTCCATTTCGCTCTAGATGCGTTGAAGAAATTAAATGAAGAACAGGCGTTCTATTGATTTATATATGAAAAATAATCTATCGGCTTGGCCGAAAATGTTTCTTTCTTCAGAGGAACAAGCCGAAATACAGGGGTCGTTTGCCGAAATTGCCGTAAACGCAATGATAGTCTCTAGCGCTCTGAAATTGTCATCAAGGATCTTCTCCAGCGCACTTATGCTAAGACTCGGCCACAATATAGTCTCTAGTTTACCATGAGGACATAATACTCTCATATCTGGCTGCCGGAAGAGGATTTATAATGTCTCTGTACTCGGGAACGTACCCACATATGTTAGCCGAGTCTTATGGTCGACTGCCGAAACACAGTCGGCAGTCGGGAGGAGTGATTCACCAATGTTGATTGCCTTCGGCGTAAGCCAAAGTACGTGTTCTAATGCTACTTTCGAGAGGACCGTGAATGCCTAGTGTGAACTTTTGACAAGAGGCTGGGCTCAACTTCTCATGAATGAAAAACATGGAGTCTTCAACAACCTTTTCAATTCAGAAGTATATAAATTCCATTGGAAGGAGATAAAAATGCGAAAGTCGCAAGGGGTCTGTTCAATCTAAAAAAACTGCCTAATCTTCACCGAATATATCAGACTTGCGCAGCTTGGCTCTTATTTAGTCCTGAACCCCAGTTCAACTTCCAACCTTGACTTCCAGGGTCTCTTCGGCTCAAATATACGGGCCGCTGTACAGCTTAATATTTTCAATTCGTGGATATGTATAATGCGCAAGTGAAATTTCAATGTTGTTTGTTGATATTTGAGAATCCCACACAGGCTGTCCTTCTAAAGACATCAAATTGATTTCAAATTCGTATACCATTGCCTGCTCTGAACATACAATATTCAACCACCTATCATGCAAGATGCTGCACTAGATCAACATAATCCTAAGTTTTAGCAGCGTCGACCTCGTCGTCCACCTCTTGGAGGCCCAAAGCCACCTCCCGGGCCAAAGCCTGGTCGGCGACCACCGAATCCTGGGCCTGGGGGTCCGCCCCATCCACCTCCCATTCCCATTCCTCCATTGTGATGATGCCGCCGGGGTGGCGGTCCGAATGCCCCCACACCCACTGGCGCGAAGCGACGATGACGTGGGAAAGACATGCAAAGGCCCATGGTGCAGTTAGGCTTGAGGGACTTGGTATAGGAAGGTCTGTAAGTGGATGATAACCTGCAGTCGCGAGATTCGGGGTATGGAATATGCTGTAATGTTTGTTCGAGTGAGGGTAGTTTCTTTTCCTAGGTATTGTGAGGGGTTTGTGAGACTTTGATTGAAGCTGGGTTTTGAACAGGTACATATATATTTGATCGGATCGTCTGCGTCATTGACCGGCCTGGTCCCGCCGGATCCAGAGGTTTAAAAGAAGGGGATGCTTTCTCCGGTTCCCTTACCAGAATTTATTTTTCAGGTTCAGGAATCCAATGATCTGGAATATTGTTCTTGAAATACTTTATTTGCTGACATTTGATCGTTGCACTTTATAAAGTCAATATGCGATGCACGTGATCACGTTGATGCTGGTTGAGGTCATTCGCTTCTTCTCAATGAGATAGCTCAACACAAAAAAAGGCAACATTGCTTGGATAGGTAACTTAGTTGGTTAAGCAACCCACGAAAAGTTCACATCACCCTGCCCTCGTGATGCGGGTGTAATGATTACGCCAATGGAACAGACGCCAATTCTTCAATTTTAACACATCTCCGCTAGGAACCATGAGTCAAAATGACCTTTGCGAACGTGGCTAAGTTGCGGGCCTCCTAATGCTGGGCACTTCACCTATACTTCTCATTGAGCTTGAATGGTGATCTATGGATGGTGAAGTTACCAATATGTCAACCCGGAACTCAAAGGCTTAAATATGTGCCTTCAAGTTGACTATGCATATCCAGAGAGGCATACTCATCGGGAATCGAAAAAAGCTTTTGCTACAACATTTGCACCAGATGAGTGCTAATGGCCATAAATTTAACTTGGTCCAGATGTCTTCAGGATCTCTTCGAAACAATTGGACCCCGTATGGATGGCAAAAAATCGAAATTCATTTTGGGACCCCTGGATTCGGAGGATTAAAAATCCAGAAACATTGGAAAATACTCTTAGCATATTTAATAATGGTATTTAAAGTCCACAGCTCCATCGCCCGTATGAATACGACGAGTATCCTCCTTCTCCCCACTCTCGATCTGCGCCTTCAGCTTGTTCTGGCGTCGAAGATAGAGTCCATGACAAACAACAACTACCTGGGAAACAACTATCGATCCCAAGGAGAAAGAGTTTCCGAGGACGTATGGAGACGTTCGATAGACCTGACCAGCAACAATACCTGCACAGTTGCCTATGGTCTGTTGTAGTCCAATTGCCAGAGCGCGTCTGTACTGAGGTGCGACATTCACATTGAGCCACGCAAGGTTGAGACCGACAGCGGTATATGTCGGAATTCCAATAAGGAAACATGCGAAGTATTTGACAGCAGTGCTACTGACTGTCAATAGTAAGATGTAACCAACTATACCGAAAATGTTCACTGCAAATATAAACTACGTCAAGGTCAGCTTGAGGGATCTCCAGATATGCCATGGCAGAACTTACAGATGCGAACTTGGAGTACCGATCGGCACACACAGCTATGGCGATGAAGATAGCAGCAGCCCAGATATAGACCGGTACGGTCAAGACGTTGCTCATGAGAGAATCATAGCCCATGCTCTTGAGAATGGTTGGCAGGAAAGTACTGAATCCGTAGAGAAGGATGTCCTGACAGAACTGGACCATCGCAGAGAAGAGTAGCTTTGGATCAGTCACGGCAATACGCATCTCCTCCCAGCTAAACTCCTCACTGCCCATGTACTTTCTCCGTTGCTCATTGCGTACACGCATCATCCAGCGCTCTTCTTCGGTGAGGAAATATGCTTCTTCAGGGTTGTTTGGTAAACCGAACCAAATGAGGATGGCGATGATAAAACTGAAGAGACCTTCAATGATGTACACCCATCTGAAGAAACAGATATGTTAGTGGACTTATTTTTGGCAGTAGGTCGTCAGTCCCAAAAAGCATACCTCCATCCAGCCTTTCCTCCTATCCCATCCATCTGCAACAACCCATATGCCAGCAGACCTCCCACGGCTCCAGAAATGGCAGCGCAGCTCATCAGATAGGAGACCCGCTTAGCTTGCTCCTCACGTCGATAGACCATCGTCAAGTACAGGTTCAAGCAAGGGAACAGCCCAGCCTCGCAGGCACCCAGAATGAGTCTGGTGGCGTATAGTGAGCCGACACTCTCGATGAAGCCGGTAAAAACAGTGGTGAGGGACCACACGATACAGAGGCCAGTCAAAATGTTTCGTGGTGTAAGCTTCTTCATGAGTACCGCCCAGGGCGATTCAAATACTACATAAGTGGCATAGAAGATTGACACGGCTGTTGAAAACTCGCTGTCTGACGCGTGAATATCCGCAGGCATACCAGCGACCTTGACATTTCCTGAGATTCTGTCAGAGTCAAATCGTATCCAAAATTCGGTTTTGAGATTTACCAATATTAGATCGATCCAGAAAGCAGGATAGGTATGTGAGCATGATGATTGGCACAAAGAAAAGATCCAATTTGAAAAGCAGCTTCTTTTCCATCTTTGGGTCGAGTTCCACGTCGAGTGACTCTCCATTCGATGCTTCTTCGGCCACCATCATCTTCTCATCAACCTTCTTCGACGTAGACTGACTCTGCTCCAGGGCAGGCGCCTGGTCATCATGGGCGTGGGAGGACATGAGAGCTCAATGCTCAGGAGTCAAGCTCCGGGTATCAAAACACAACACAAAGGTGAAATGGATGGAATAAAGGACGGTGAGATCGGAGATAATTGAAGAGATCAAGTCGGAGATATATCTCACTGATCGATAAAGGCAATGAAAGAGAAGTTATGCGGAGTCACGACCATGCAAGATAGCAGTGGGTAACGAGGCTTATCTCTCCTGATGCCATTCGTTACATCGGTGTGCTCCACCGAGGGGATACAATCTCGGGCCGGTGAAAGGCTGATAAGAGGGGCAGCGGGAAACTTGAACGCGAGCTTCGCCACTGACGCTGGCCAGTTCTCACCCTGCACATCACTGCTCAAAAAGGCAGGAAGCAGCCTCTGCGATGTTGATTGGTGCCACTTGAACCTTGCTGGTGCGGAGTAAGACCGAGCTTTCCCCAGATCGGGTTGTGGATCCCGATGATAAGAGACCAGCGGCCATTGACCGAAGCAAAAGATAAAGGTATATTCCAACACTCAAATCTTTGTTTCGGTTTGTGTCCAAGCTTCGTCCGGTGTGGCTATCCATGAGCAATATGGGCAGCATTGCGACAACATCTCTCGAGGCACGCTTACAATGTCGACAGAACCGTCTGACGAACACAGCCGGTGTCGCACCAGGCTATCTGCAAGCCAACCTGCTAGTTCTGCCCTCCAAGCATGCATCTGACTTCCATAATCTATGTTTGCGCAATCCAGTCGCGTGTCCACTGTTAGGAATGACCTCCCAACCAGGCGATCCACACACAATGAAACCGCCAGGCTGCATTCAGTCCGCGGATTTTGACGTTCGAACGGATTTTCCTAAGTACAGGGTATACAAGGATGGGAAGTACCTAAAGGGGTCCTGCGATATTCTCGATCTATGGAAGGAAGATCATGTCGCCTTTTTAATCGGCTGTTCGTTCTCCTTTGAAGATGCCTTGACCAATGCAGGTCTACAGCCTCGACATCAACAAACAGGTTCCATCGTGGCTATGTACAAGTCTAATATTCCGCTACTCCCAGCGGGTATTTTCACTGGTGGCCGTTGCATAGTTTCCATGCGACCTTATCGCCCTGAGGAGATTGACCGTGTCCGAAAAGTCACTCGCCCATATCTTTCGACTCATGGGGAGCCGGTCAGTTGGGGTTGGGATGGTGCTAAAGAGCTTGGTATCCTTGATATCAATAGCCCGGATTTTGGCGACGTACAAGTATTCGAGGATGGGGAAGTGCCTGTGTTTTGGGTATGTATGGAGTTTAAATTCCCATGGCGTGTCCAAAGTGCCTAGCTCATTCGTTTTAGGCCTGTGGTGTGACCCCCCAGATGGCAGTTGAAGCTGCTGGAGACCTTATCCATGGACATGTTTTTGCACATGAGCCTGGTCATATGTTAGTGACTGATTGGACGGCTGTTGATTTGCAAAAGCTTCAGTCCGGCAGTCTCTAGTATAGTTGAGTATTCGCAGCTCCATAGTGGCACGTAATATGGGTTCAAGGTGACAGTTCTAGCGATGTTCGCGCCTAGCCAAGGTTGAAGATATGAATCTAATGTACAGCTTCAGAAACAGTCCTTCATCACACTAGACAGTTCTCCCCCATAGTCAAACATAAAGGCCCCATTCGGCATTTGTTGCCAAGGTCCCTCCTCTGGAATCGGCCCGGCTCCCACTCCCATAATCTGATCCTCGAGGTTTCCGACCGCTTCAAACCACTCCATAAGTTCTTGCGTCATCTGTGCTCCATCAAGCGGTGTCTGGCTGTTAATGCTCGAGCATTGTGCTGGTGGCACTGGCGATCTGCCATCCAAAATTTCCGGCACATGTTCTTTTTCAACGGTGGTATGATCTGGGCGGGTTCTGTGCCCTCCCAATCCTAACTGGGGACCGAGCTTGCGAAGGCTGCGAATGGACTTCCACAGTCTTCGCGAGATGTAGGATTGAGTAGAAAATCCCTTGACTAGCTCCAATGCAAAGTAAAACTCCTCTTTGCACGACCCGCTGAATTGCGTCGGCGCTTGGGAGACAGCAAGAAACAGGACGGCCAGGGCAGACACTAAAAACCAATTGAAAGTCACCTGCTGTAGCTGATAGATATCCGATGTTTCGTTGAGGCGGGTGATGAAGCGGATGGTATCTTTGGCGATTTTGACTACTGTCTCAGACTCGCTGGGACATCGCAAAATATGGGCCGCTGTATGCAGTACAGGGCGATGGATGAGCATTCGGAGTTGATTGGCTCGTAGGTATAATAATGCACGAAGACGTCGCAGACTTCGTGGGCCATCGACAGCGGGCCCTGTTTCTGGGGTGCTGGGATGATCCAGTCGTAACGAATCTGGGATATTCTGAGCCCAACTAAGGACTTGCCAATCCAGATAATTCATTTCCTCTTTCTTGATCTCATTCGTGTTGTTGAAAGCAGATATGAACTTCCACACCTTGGCAGCGATGCGGCTGTAGCGGATCATGACGCGCAGGTATGGTGTTTTTTCTTCGGGCTCTGGAAGCCAGGGGTCAATATCGGTATCCTCAAGAGCGAAGGGCATGCCTGTTCCAAAGCTCCATCGCATGTCAAGAATATAGATAGACCAAAATAGCCGAAGTACTCGGTCCTTGCCTTCCGCTTCGATAGCCGGTTGATTCAATGTTTCCCGTCGGTGAAGTCCTTTCTCTAGACACATGCGCTCGACAATCCCAATGGTACGCCAGGCAAGAGTCTCTTCATCTCCTTGAAAATAAAATATAGACTAAGAATATGTCAGTGAAAAACAACTTCCTCTGAGGGTTAGGAAGCACGTACCACCAGTGTCAAGAATATAATGCTCTTAATTTCGGGAGGACCCCAGACACAATTGTCTTGTACATCACGTACGCTGTCGAATAGTGCAGTGGCCTGTTCGCTGCGGCCACTAGCCTCCGCAGTCAGAGCACACGCAAACACCAATCGAAGAATGGAGACATCTTCCCGGTCCAACGTGCTATGAGCACCAGTGAAGTCTTTCGGTCTCGTGGAACTATCTATCAAACCGTAGAGTCGATGAACTTGATCCAACAGCTCGGAGAGCTCCAAAACAGGGTACATGATCCCCATTTCCTCTTCATAAACTCGACAGAGTCGCAATGCTTCGTCCTTGGAAAGATTCCAAAGCGGGTCCACCGCTTGTCGGACCTCCAATTCACGATTGGGAGCAGACGGTGACGCCAACGGCGATGGTTCTTGAGTGACATCACCTTCGTCGCCTGCTTCATTGCGTTCAACTATTCCACGCTGTTGCAAACTGGACTTGGCAAGGTCGAAGCTAAATGCCGAGGTTGTCGGGCCCTGGAATGGTGTCTCGCGAGCGGTCGATACCCGTCGTATGGATCTTTGAGCTGGTAATGACCCGTAGGATCCTGTTACAGTTCCAACCACGCTAGGCCGAGTTCCAGTAAGAGGAGACGCGTCGCTATGCGTCACTGAGCGGACAGCTGCAGATAGCGACATAATCTGGTCCTGCATGGAGCGCATTTGATCAAACAGTCGTTCGAAATTCCTAGATCTCAAATGTCAGCCTGTGAACTCCAAATCATCGAGAGATTTTGCATTGTTATTTGGATAGGTTGCATACTCTTGTTCGCCAACACTTTCTTGGGGTGTGTTCTCCACGTAAACACATTCAATGCGCTGTCGCCCACAGCGATGGCATGGCGTCTCGCCATTGCATTTGATCTTGCGGCGCTTGCATTCATTGCTTTTTTGCGGACATTAGGAATCATTGATTGATAAGGTAACAAAAGGTGGACATACCAAGCACGTGCAATGTACTTGCGACGTTTCTTCCGCGGTCGGTCTTCGTGTCCGTCCCCTATTGACGCAGGCTTCTCCCAAACATGCATAGAATCCTGCAGGTGGTCCATTTTGGCAACCCCAGGGAGATTGATGTACTTTTACCTATAGGGTCCGGGGTCGTGGGAGTGGGAAGAGAAGGAGAAAGTGCGGGGGTCGGTTCCGCGACGAAAGAGGCGCCCCCGGATTGGTGGGGATGATCCGCACATCCACTAAATAGCAGCCACGAGTTTGGTCAGAGGATCAACTTATGTAACCGGGCGCCCCCTAACGTGAGTAGTCGGGTTAACTAGTTTAAATTATTGATGGGTTTAGAAAGGCAACACCGTCACCGGTGGCACTGCAGGCCGATTACCTATTCTGGGCACTGTGAACTTCTTATGAAGTAATTTGCACAAAGGTCGTTTCCTTATCACGTGATATCCAAAGCATGTTTTCACAGATCGCAACCACTCACAATTCCATCGCCGTTACCACTCTCCCACTACCGGTAGTATACTACTGACTGGCTGTAGATGACTAGGAAGCAGCACCGGGAGATCTGAAACGTCTAGTCCGGCAAAAGCTTCGAGAAGTACAGCATGATAGAGGGGACGCAACGTACGAATCGGAGGCTGGCCTAACAAAAGACATAGAGAGGTCTACGGATAACGATGAGACTCGGCGAAATCGGATACGTCGCCTCGACAAACTATGTGACAATGCCAGTGTGATATACAGGACCCATAATATGATTTTGAGGAGAAGGTGCTACAAACACATAGCAGGTCCTTTGGAAGAAGATAAGACTGAGCGAGGTCACAGACGTCGCGTCTGAAAATGGCAAATGGACTCGAAATTGCCATGCTGTAACAAAGGTATTAGCATTTGAAGAAGTTCCTAGATCATATCACAATGTGCCTCTAGACCACATGCGAACTACACGCAAAGCCCTGCTCCAGAGGCTACAATTGAACATAGTAGTGAAACAACACTCTAATTTTTTAAGTGTCTCTAAGAACTACTTTCCGTGCAGAACTATATACAGAGAATCATGTTCATCATACATCCAAAATGCAACCTTGGAATGCTCGTGCAAACATCATAAGAAAAGATACAAGTAACCAATCACAGATCCTTAGTCCGCTCATCACTCTCGGCAATCCACTTCTCCAATAGTTTAGGGTCGCGAGCAACGAATCCGACCTTGAAAGGCTTAGGCTCTGTTGTCAAGGCAGTAGGAATGGCATTGCAATCAATGCAATCCAGAACAGGTCTATCGCTCATCTGCTTCGATGGCTTCATCTCAAAGGCAGTGATCAGGCGGATAAAAGCCGTGAAGAGTTCGCGGTTTGCCAGGTGCGAGCCAGCACACATCCGGGAACCGGCTCCGTAGCCGTAGTGGGGTGTACCGGATCCTTCGCCCATTTCGAGGTAGCGCTCAGGAATAAACTTGGTAGCATCCTTGAAGTGGTCTTCGTCGTAATCAGCGGCATAGGCGTTCTAGATTGCGGTGAGTGAAAGACCAAACAATTGAATGTGGCGAAAGTGCTTACCATAAAGAATGTTGTGCCGGCTGGGATGGTCGCGCCTTGCCAAACAATGTCCTTGGTTGATTCACGGGGCAGGCAGATAGGGATGACGGTCCAGAATCGCAGGATCTCCTTGACCAAAGCTGTGACATAAGGAACCTTCTCCTCGACTAGGCACTTCTCCCAGGCATCACCATCGGGGTACACAGCCATGATTTCGTCGTATGCCTTCTTCTGGATTCTTTGTCCATCTTCCGATGCCAAGTATGCGATGCCCATAATCAGATTGCCAGGAACGGTATCAAGTCCAGCAGAAACCATAGTCAGACAGATCGATTTCACCTCAGCTGCCATATGTCAGTCTATAGTCCACACTTGAATTATTCTTAGGAAGTCCTACCCTCATTTAGCTTTGCCTCGGGGTCCTTAATGATGTTTCCAGTAATGCAAGGCTTGTCAGTGCCCTTGGCAATACGGTCCTTCAGCATATTCAGGAGGTGTGTCAAGTACTTGTCGCGGCGAACACGGAATTCCTCAGCCTCGGTATTCATCTTAGGGAAAATACGCAGCAGTGGAATGTAGTCCTGCCAGTTGTTTGATGTACTGCGGAAGTTGGAAACGCCACGCTCGACGTCCACGATCTCATGAAGCAGTTGATCATCGACATTGCCCTCGATACGGAGTCCATAGTTGAGAGTCAGACTGGTGTTGAGCGCAAATCGCTGGAAGTATGCCGTGGGGTTGACATCACAGGTACCGTTCTTACTGTCCCGGTAGAGCTCCTTGATACTGGTGTTGCACTCGAGATCAATGATGGGCATATAAGACTGCACGGCAGGTCGGTTCAGAGCAGTAGCTGCCGCCTTGCGACGACGCTTGCAGGACTCATCCCAAGGCGATGTACCAATTGTGAATCCTTGCGAACTAGAAACGACGCTGTGGAAAGTATGGAAGGTAGGTCGGGAGATGAGAGCAGACTGGTCCTTGATCCAAAGTTGGCGCACGGAGTCGAAGCTGTTGGCGAAGACGATGCGCTGCGACAAAACACAAATCAGGCTCAAGTCTCTTGATTAGGATTAAAACGCAAATCGCACCTTGTTTCCCATGCGAACCTGGAAGACAGGGCCAAATTTCTTCGCCCACTTTGCTGCTACTGTTGCGTGCTTGTCGCCTAATTGTAGCAGGTTGCCGAAGAGGGGCACACCTGGAATTTCGGGAAGACCCTTGATCTTGGGAGTATCGGTGCGGTTTAAAAAGCGAATGACAAAGTATACGACCGCTATAGCGGCGAGGGCGAGTGTTTGAAGCGTCATGGTGCCTTGCGATCCTCACAAACCTGTACTTAATTAAAGGGATAGTCAGACGGGTCGTGCAGCTCTTATAGCAGCCTGTACCCTTGAGGGCGGTACTTTTCCGACTACTGACGCACGAATGGCTATCATCGGTGAAGATTGACGTTCGGTTATAGGGTTGCAGAGCCAGTTAGAATGACTGGAATTCACATTAGTACCCACTGGCGGGGTTGAGGCCGACTCGGGATTGGGGAATGTCCATTCCGCGATGGCTCGCTACCTATCAGAATGTAGACCGGTAGCTCTTCCCCGCAATCCCGCATCTCGGCATGAAATTACATATTTTGACGCCACAAGCTCTACGTAGACAAATCCTTGAATTGAAGCAATACCGATTATGTGCCACGAATCAAATTATGTTTGACTTAGTATAATTGAGCCCGCGTCGCTGAGAAGCCACAACGCTTTGGCAGTCACGGTAATAGAAAGTGATGACGCGCATTCCATACTCTGCGCATTCCCTCGGGCCTGAACAAAATGTCTCCACTTTAGTGCGGGATCAATGCTGTGAGTGGTTGGCGCGCTGATCATTCCGCAAGTCCCGCGGTGGAGACACGTTAAGCTACTCACCATCTGAAATTCCGGTTCCGAGATTCAGATAAACACGTTAATTTATTATGTATATCGAGTCGGGCCGAAATATGCCTGTATTAATGAAACCGAGACTGGGGCATAATGATGATGATGATAGTTCTATTATAGTCTAATGCAGCTTCCACAGTTTTTCGGGCGCTATGTAGACTTCGGAGACGACTAGATACAGGCGGTACATCCTCGCTTAGGAGACCGTAGAAGTTCGAAAATTGTATTATACCCCACCTGCCGCGTAGACTTTGCCTCGCCATGCATAGGCAAAATGGTCTCTGAAGGGAAAGTTTCACAAACCTTCAGAGAAACTTCTAACTAAGCTGCGTATAGAGACAGCGAGAGGGAAGGCAATGAATGAGAACTTTGCTCCATATGCCCCCTATCTCTCCCCTGGCACTGGGCGTGTAATCCAGTCCAACCCCTTCCTCCTCCGTGGTCAACCTTAGTCCGAGGATTAAGGGTTCGGTGGCTGCCGGATTCGAACCGGCGATACCTTGTGATAAACGTGAGCGGGGCCCCCACCGCTAGACGTTTCTTCAGTACCAGCCAGGGAGGTCACCACTAAACCACCCGGCCACGACTGGGGCATATGCAGGATGACCTCGGCCCTACAAAAAGGACCATCTATACATCAGGCCATAGAGTGTGGAGGGCAAGATATGCCTGCACATGGGAATAATGTGGCTCCAACGTTATATAGACACCCCGATGAACTCCTATTAACACAATCAACGCCAAAATCTGGAAAGGATACTCAAACACCCTGGACTAGGAGCATCGGGTTCTTCATCCGTGCATATCATCCCCATAGATTGATTTATCTCCTTCGCATCTACAGTCACATCCTCTGCAATTCCCCTGCGACGCTTCCAGTTGCGTTCTGTATTTGTCACATGCCCATCCCGCCAAAAGCAACCATAAAATTCTCTTGCTTCTGCTTTGGTGCGCACGCGTAGGATATCATAGGTACTGATGCTAGTCATGATCGCGTCCCGCTCGCGACTCATCTGACCATCCACAACCTGCACATTGACTCCGGATGCGCGAAACCGATCACCCCACATACCGTCCTCGGCGGGGGTCACACATATGGTGATTCGGGTGGCTTGTATAGGGTATGCAAGGAGATAAGATAGGGCATCTGCGTCGATTCCGGTTGGGATGGGGCCAATAACAAAGCTGTCCCCACGAGAGATTGCCTGGTCTATGCGTGGGATATAATGGCTGAAGTACTCCTCTTGTGGCCCAGTATTGATGGGACCGGAGATAAATGCGATTTCTGGATCTTGCATGGTGTAGCTTGGCAGGACGTCGGCGTAGCCATATGCAGAAAATGAATATGTAAACATCAGCCTCAAGGTTCTAGGCGCTATGCCCCTTTAGGGCGGAGGCTTGAATTCATTGCACATGACTGGTATCATTCGTTAGATCGATACTAGTTACAGCCCAAGGCTTTTGCCAGTATATTTTACAAAAATTGCAGTATCTGACATGGCCATCTTACTATCGTCAAGAGCATTCGAGTCAAGAAAGTAAGATTAGTTAAAATTAATGCCCGATATATCAGGCATCCAGGGACCGGACGGAGCTGCCGTCACCACGGTTGACGATCTCATAAACCGTCCACCAAGCTTCAAACAACACTGCGGCAAGGACAAAGGTAGCTCATATGATTCAGAATGAGCTCGCATACTTCTTTCCTTCCATTATCCTCCCCATCTGATTCGCCCAAGGTCCTACTACCGCGGCGCCCCAGTCTAGAACCGGACCGCGATATCCTTACGACCCGCGGTCAGCGCATCTTGACCTTCTTGCCTAGTCGCACATCCAGCCCAGCTCTACAAGACCCCAGCGAAGAATCCATACCACCAGGATCAGTTCGCCGAGGCCCCTTGCTCATTGGACACAAAAATGCCCGATATGAATGGTGCGTCGCACGAGCCAAGCTTCCGGTGAATGTCCCTTACCTAACCGCTTCCATGCGCCCAGGCAACGCTACTATCGGTCGCCCGAGTCATTAAAGGGTCTACGAAGACCACTGTAAATTTGAACCTCTTTGATGCATCATGCACTCCCGTGATGTAATGCTTATTCATTTTGCAGACGAGAGTACTACGAAAACAACAATGTGTTGATCTCCCAATATCTTTACATCGATCGCCTACTGGACTCTTCTCTCCCACATAACCTGATCGAAGACTACAATGGATGTCACCACCATGCGCCAGCAGAACAGGATACTCTCCAAACAGACATCACCCCCGATCAACGTAGTCAACCGTCGAAGGGTTCCAGAATCAAGCGCACGCCCCACAATCTATACCGTATCCCCGATGAAACGGCGCCGTTGCTTTCACCACCGTCAGAGGAACCATCCACCCACCACTCCATACAGGACCTCGAGTCCCACGGAGCCATGTCGCCAGAAAAGGAGGAGAAACTAATCAACCTAGCCATCCGCGTCAACTTCGCGGCAAATGTCATTCTCCTCGGTTCCAAGATTGGTATCATGGCTTTGACAAGCTCCATGTCCGTCCTAGCAGGCCTTGTGGATGGAGTACTGGATTTTCTCAGCACGGTCATCATCTGGATTACGATGACCCTTATCCAGCGACAGGATCGGAATCGATACCCAATCAGTCGTCGTCGACTGGAGCCGTTGAGTGTGTTGGTTTTCTCTGTCATCATGGTTACGTCTTTCTTTCAGGTTGCGCTGTCGTCTGTCAATCGGTTGATGGGGGAGGATCATGCTGTCGTGGAGCTTTCGATACCGTCTATTTCACTTATGGCTGCGACGGTTGTCATCAAGTTGCTTTGTTGGATTTGGTGTCGACTTATTCCTAGCCCAAGTGTACAAGTGCTTGCACAGGATGCCATGACGGATGTCATCTTCAATACGTTTAGTATTATCTTCCCGTTGAGTACGTTCATTCCATTCCCGTGAGTCTGCATTCTTGGAACTATACTAATGCATGATTACAGTTGGAGCATTTGCACACCTTTGGTACCTGGATTCCCTAGGAGGTGTTTTCCTCTCCGTCTATATCATGTGGAATTGGGGCGAGACGGCCGGCGAGTACATTCGCCGTTTAACGGGTGCAGCTGCCTCCGCTACTGATCACAGTATTCTGCTGTACATGACTATGCGTTTCTCGCGGGTTATCCAAAAGGTTCAGGATCTCAAGGCTTACTACGCTGGTGACAAGCTCAATGTCGAGGTAGACTTGGTTGTCGATGAGCGGACTAGCCTTCGGGATAGCCATGATGTGGGAGAGAGCCTGCAATACATCTTAGAGAGTGTACCGACCGTGGATCGTGCCTTTGTCCATCTGGACTATGACGAGTGGAACCTCCCAAGCCACATGAACCAGCTGGATCGGTGACCTTGGTGTTATTTGTATGGGAGAAACGGCTATTATCTTTTCGGCTACTTTGAGGTAGGATAGTGGAATAAAAGTTGTTATAATTCATACATCAAGTCATTCAGTACACTGTACATGTTACGGAAAACAAATGAGAACTCGCCTCCGCGGTCGTGGCCAAAACGTGGTAGAACAAAAAAAGAAAAGACGCCCCTAATGTACAAACCAGAGTCCTATGCGTTCCACGTGTTCAAATACATAGCAAGAAGTTCCTCGTGTCGACTTGATATTGAAGAATATTAGGAAATTGTGAGTGGCTCGGCAAAGAAAGCGAGAAAAAATTGGAAATGAGGTGAGGAGTTTGAAATGGTGGATGCAATGGTGGTGCTCCCTCCACCTTGCATCGAACCCTAAATGTAACGATGATATTTGCAAATTGTGACAGGCTCGGCAGAGAAAGCGTTAATTTAGCGAGGTGGTTGCGATGGTGGGTGCAATGGTGGTATTCCACCTTGCATCGAGCCCTGACTGTAGACACGATGATGAGTTGGTGTAGATGTCGGTTCGCCCAGCGAACCTGGTCCTGCAGGCCGTTGGTGAAGAGGCTGCATTGTTCCCGCAGCCGACGGTTGAGGGGGCGCATAGCCCATACTGCTGCCGCTCATCGAAGGATGCATTCCTGATGGCGGAGTATACGATCGTGCAAGGCCCGAGAGTGATGGCATCGATCGGCCATTTTGACCCTGTGGGGGAGGAGTGCTATGTCCATACGCCGGAGGACCACCAGTCAAGCCCACAGGGGTGGAGCGGTGTGCTCCATTCATCAAGGTCTGGACATGTTGATAGCTTTGACCAAGTGGTTGCGCAGAGGCCGTTGTAGATGGTGTGGCAGGAGAATACGATGATTGTGCGCCAGACGGACGGGGTGGCATACCATACAAGCTTGCCGATGGCTGACCTGGGGTAGGAGGATCCCGACTGGAGCCAAAAGCGACACTGCTTGCCCTTGAAGATGGAGATACAGGTCGGTAGGTTTGATTTTGGGAAGTCAAGTCGCGAGAACTCGATGACGCATGTCCTGGGCCAGCCGATGGTTGAGAAAACACATTGGGATAAGCAGGTCGCTGAGAACCTGGTGGAGGCGTTGGCGCGGGGGACGGGACCGTAATATTGCTTAACTGACCGGTCGACTGGGACGGGGTGGTAGCATAGTGTGGATATTGATTCTGGGAGACCAGCGATCCGGTTGGACGACTACTCGACTGTGAAGGGGGTGGCGGTTGTGATTGCGAGCCTGCCTGCTGAGCCCGAGGATCGAAACGCGCCATCCAGTCGCTGGTTGCCGATGTTCCTGAGCTACCAGGAGGGGGTCCATAAGTAGAGTATTCCTGATAGCCACGGGATGAAGTTTGATACTGGCTTGGCTGCCCGTAACTAGAGTTCGTCGTCACACTTGACATTGGAGTCTCATCTACACGACTCGCACCCATGCCTTGGTAAAGAGAACGTGGAGCCGAAGCCGCAGAAACAGGCGCAGATGGAGCTTCACTTGCGAATCGCTTCCGAGGCTGAGGCTCCTCTGGCTCGTTATTGAGAATACTCATGATATTGGAGCGCTTAGCAGGCACCTTGGAATCAGGCGCCGGGGTACCACTCATCCGAGGAACATCTTTAGTGGGAGACAAAACTGGGCGCGGTGACTGAAGTCCCCCAGGCTGACCTGAAAGCGAGTAGTACTGTCGTTGTCCGAAGGGATCACGGTGAACAGAAGATATGTCAAGCTCGGGTCTGGGTAATTGTGTTGGCGAGCCAGGGGGTTGGGTGAGGCTGGTATGGCGTGAATGAGTAGGGGCGAGAATGGAAGGGGCCTGGGCAGACATGTAGGCCTGCCCGGACAAAGGATCCATTCGCGCCAATTCTGAGGGGACAGATGCTGATGGAGTATGACGTGACGGCATTTGCAGTTCCTGGCCGCGTGAGCTCGAGTGAGGTAGCATTGAAGAATCCCGACGATCCTCGGTGAAGTATCCTAATCGTGGGCCCGACATCCGATTTGGATGTCCTCGCATTGCACGAGTCTCGTCACCAAGGCTCGTCGCAGCCGCGGGCACTGGTCCCGCAGTAGATGCCTGTGCCAATGTTGGATAGCGATTAGGGCCTCGCTCGTTCTCGGACAGAGGGCGGCCATGGATTGGCATTGGCTGGGGAGACATGGCAAGGGGCTTGCCTTTGGAGGAAAATCGCATTTCATCCGCCTCCGCCATCAGATCGCCATGAGGAGCAAGAGGACGAGGAACAATGGTGGACGGGGTTGCCTCATAACGTCGCTTAGGAGCAACGCTAGGTACAGGGAGAGGCCCAGTTGGCTCGCCGCGAGTTTTCTTATCCTCCGCAATCAACAGGAGCTCCTCGAAGTCTTTCTGTCCTGAGTCGAGTCGGCGCTGGTAGTAATTTTTTACCTGTATCGATCACATCAGCTGGAACTCATGATCCTGGGTCTTATGCACAAATTCTTACCATCACCGTTGTCTTCGTCTTCATGAAATTGGATATGCCTTCAAAATCACGACCGAAGTGTGCAAGCAATCGAGGGAAATCGCGTTGCTCAGGAACAGACCAGTAACTTGTCGGTTGCAAGGATCCATATCCTGTTTCCAGCTGTTTGGGAATCATAGCTGGATCAGTCTCTGTAGATTCAAAGACATACACGCCCTCCTTTGCTCTTCCACGTCCAGCTCTGGGTCGAGAGGCAGGGATCTGGGCCTCTCTCTCGCTCATCTCTCGATCTGAAGGCATAACAGGGTCCACCATGCCATCCAAACCAAATTCCGTTTTTGGAATAGAAGCGAGAGGAGTATTGCTTTGTTGCGGCGGCGGCGGAGGCGGCGGTGGCGGCGGTGGTGGCCCTTGAGTTCTCTGTTCCTTCTCGGTTGTCTTATTGCGCTTTGGGGCACGAGCACCACCAAGTCGGCCACCACGTCGGGACGCAGGCTTTTCAATCGGCTCAGATTCCTTCGCACTTTGACCATCATTAGAATCACCGAAGGTTGGAGCAGCAGCGCGTCGAGGACGTCCGGTATCAGTAACAGCTGGAAGCTCCTCTTCCCCGTCGAAGTCAGGCTTGACCACACCCAAATCGGCAATAAGCGCATTGGATTTAGGCCGAGCGGACCTAGTCTTGTTCTTTCCTCGCTTGCTCCACCGCTTGTTGAGCTTTGCCTTGTACTTGATCTCTTCTTTCGTAAGATAATAGTGGACAATGCACTGCTGGAAATCTCGACCAGGCAAGGCCTCAGCGATCTTGCCCCATTTTTTAGGATACGCCATGAAAGCATCTGTGAACATTGTGTGCTCTTCCTTAGTAAAGTCGTTTGGTGGTGGTAGGAAGCCAAATACATCCATGGCAGCATCGGTTTCCACGGCATTGTTAACATCCTTGTAGATCCGGGCTTTCGCTTCTCGTGGCTCCAGCATTTCTGGAATTATGGCTTCGCGGGACAAGTCAGGGCGAGCGGTGACCATTTCTGTTTTGCGTCGCTCCAACTCCTCCTGTGCAGAGATCTCGGATGCCTTCAAAGCATTGAGAAAATCCAACTCGCTATTGCCCTTGTATCGTCGACCTTCTCGACCCTCCGGCATCACAGTTGGTGTAACAGGGACTGTAGATGGCGGTGGAGAGGCCGGGCCAGGAGTCAAAGGCTTTTTATTCTTGAGACGATCTAGCTCCCAAACATTCAACCGCCAAGGCTTGTAATAAGCCATGTATTCTGCTCTGAGGGCAGCATTTTTCTTCGCAATCTCCTTTTGTTGCTTAGAGAGCTCGTTAAGAAACACCTCTTTGAGCTGTGCTTTGGCGGAATCGTCTTGGCATATTTCCATATCAGAGAGTGGAGTTGGGGGGCCATCGTTCAAGAAAGGCAGGCCATCAACGGTGATTTCAGGATGCGGTACAGCGGATTGGATGGCAGCTTGAGGAGCCGGCTCAACTGAGCCTTCAGCTGCGGTTGGAGCAAACGTCACGACTCGCTCCTCATCCGACACGGGAGGCGCCGCATCTTCCTCAACAGAGGGAACGGGTTCTGCTGGGGCTGGGTCTGCCGTCTCTTCCTGGGCAATTTTACCCAGTAATTGAATTCTCAGAAGGAGAGAGACAATATGGGGATCTTCCAGAGGAGAAGATGGTATCTCGGCTCGAAGAAGTTCCATGTCCCTTTCAAAACTGCGCTTCCGTTCTTCCAAATATTCATGACTGAAGACTTCGTTCTCCTCATCTTCATCACTGGACTGTGCAAAACCAGGGATAAGAGACGTTTGGCTTTTTCCTGCTGGTTCAGACTCATTGTGCTGTTTTGGCTCCTGTTCCGGCTTTGGCCGGTCTTGTAAAACGGGCTGCTTTTCTTCCTGCTCTGGAGGCACTTGATGCGATTTCTGTGCCAGGTGATGTTGATTGTTTGATTCAAAATTTGATATCCGCTCCAGCTGGTGCTGTTGCTTCGACTCTACTTCTGGACCCGCAGCCGGCTCGGGCTTCTGCTCTGGCGTTTTGATTTGTTCAGCCTTTTGATCAGGCCTCTCCGGCCTGTGCTCTAGCTTTCGCGCCTGCTCATCCCCCTTAGGCGGGGACTGAATCATTGCTATCGGTGGCGGGCTGCTGCGGATGGTAAGTTTCATAGACGGGGAGCTTGGAGATGTAGCATGAATGGATTCAGCAGGAATAGTTGCTTCTTTCTGAGGATCATCCCTTAGACCTGCAAATGTCCGCCGATTCTCCTCTGGTGATTTTTCAATGGGTGGACGCATGAACTCTTGCTCGTCGGATTCCTTCTTTGGTGGAGCGGCGGATACAGATGGTGCACGACTGTACCCAGGACGAGCCCATGGCTTGTTTCCTTTACTGCCTCCCCGCGGTGAGGAGCCTGATCGCGGATATCCTCGAGGGCCGGTAGGTATGTTGGATGGCTGCATTCGTGGAGAAATTGACGGATCACGTGAAAGTGAGCGCGGCGGCGCGGGCAAGCGAGAGATGGTGGGTGAGGTAGATGCGGTGTTTGATTTCGGTGCTCCTTGCGACTCTATCTGGCCATTCAATGAATCCCGCTTTGCCATTGCAGCCGGTGCAGTCGGCGGAGATCGGTCTGGTATTTGCGAAAATGCCCTCTGATCTTCTTGGGGTGGGCGGTTGTGAGAGAACTGGCTTAAAATATCTGAAGATTGTGCTGTTGAATCAGTTCGTTCTGCTTTAGGGGCTGTTGGAGCCTGCGATATCGGTTTAGGCTTTTCATTCTGAGGCTTCTCGGCCTGAACCGACGCATCGCTTAAAGTACGACCTTCGGATGGTCCTTTCACGGGTGGTACTGATGGTATTGGAGCAGCCACAGAGCCAAATGCGGGGACCTGTGGTGCTGATGGGGGGGGTGAGTGCTGATTGATTGGTCCTAAATCCTTAGGAGGTTCAGAGCGGAGGGGAGGAATTTCAGATCGATCACTGTCGCGTCTAGCTTCATGTCCGCTGACATTAGAAATGATGGATGGTTTGCGAGCCTGATCTATAGGACCTAAATCAGGCATACGCTCCGAAGCAGGCGCGCCTATGAATGAAGAGCCCCCATGAGCAATTGAGCCGATACGGCCGTCTGCACGGTTTGGGGGATGCTCTCTTTTCCATGGCTCGACAGAACGGTCGCGATCCTCTCGATCTGGTCGACGCATCTGCCAATCTTCACGCCGATCAAAACGTTCGCGTCGATCCATATTACGTTCACGTTCACGGTCTCGCATGATGTCACGGTCTCGATCCAATCCGCGATTGCGGTCCAAAGGAGGACGGTCTGAGAGAGCGCGATCCAGCATAGGGTGGTCCATGATAGGACGATCCATGGACGGACGATCAAGAGGTGGACGATCAAGAGGTGGACGATCAAGAGATGGACGATCAAGAGATGGACGATCAAGAGGTGGGCGATCAAGAGGTCTATCAAGAGGAGGTCGGTCCATTGGAGGGCGGTCTAGAGGAGGGTGATCTCGGTCCATGTTCATGTCTCTATCACGATCACGGTCCCGATCCATCATACGATCTCTGCCGCGGTCTCTCCATGTATCACGAGATCGACTTCTTCGGCGAAATTGTTCACGGTCATCGAAGAACGATGGGCGCCCTCGGCCGCGACCACCTTCCCAGTCCCCTCTTCCTCGGCCACGCATAGAGCCACCTCGGGGGTGACCTCCATTGGACGGTGGACCATCTGGGCCACCAGAAGATGCGGACAAAATGCTGTCTCTGGAGCTACGGCGCATACGAACCACGTCGAAATCGCGGCTGGGGGGTTCTCTCGCATCACGAAAGTCGCGTGCCGGGGATCTGGACCGGCCACGTCCGAAGCCTATGCGGTTATCCCGGGGATCAAAGTCGCGGTCGCGGCGACCCCAGTCACGGTCCATGTCACGACGGAATGGCGGCGCATCGCGGTCTCGAAATTCGCGATCGCGGTCCCGGTCACGTATGTCTCGATCTCGGTCTCGGAATTCACCTCGGCCATATCCACGACCTCGTCCACCGAAATGACCTCGAGGCGAATCAACCAGGCCACGTAGAGCGCGCGGGGCACTTGGAGGCTCCCTGCCGAATGGAACGTTGCCGTCGTCAGGGCCACGGGGACCGGCAGCCGTACGACGGTCCCCGAAGCGGGGGGAACGGTCGCGGGAATTAAACCCGGACGATGGGGGGAATCTAGACGACATTACCAGGTCATGCTACCATGAGATGACCTGGAAAGCAGTCGAGGGAAGGGTTGTATGAAGGCGAAACAGGGTCCCGGGAATGAAGAATCCAGAACCCGCACCTGGACCCGACTTTGGGGGGCTTGTGGCACGTGACAAAGCACGGACCACCACGAGGAACTATTCGATCCGATCGTGCAGACATTTTCAAGATCTGGCAAGGATGGTGGGAAGTATCAGCTTTATTCACGCCGGCAGGAGTTTGATTCCTGCAGGTCATAGCCTCGGACATAAGTTGGCCCATGCAAAGCAGTCATCGCCGTCGGTAAAGGATTCGAGAATCGCAAAGGAATGAAGAGTGCCCGTGCACACTGTGGAGCCGCCATTAATGAACTAGCCACAGACAGCTCAAGCGAACTCAATTTCGATTAATGATCAACACTCTTTCCATTGCTAGAGTTAGCGACTAATAACATTGGAGTGTAATCGAAATACTCAGTATTCGAACATGCGTATCATTGCATGACGTCCACAATGCTAGGTAGATACAGCTGGACGCCACAGGAAGAAGGTGCTAGCTGGTGCTGGGCCCGAAACGCCGCAGATCGACATGAAACGACAGGGGGTTCATGGCGAATCAGGCGATCACCTTCAAGTCAAGATTTCCAGTGTAGCCTCAAGATTTACTGCACTTTGGATTTTCTAGGGGCTTGTCATTAATTTGTTGCATTTAAATTTGCATGTTTGACATTACAAGCCCTGTTTTGAGAGATGTGTGAATGGCCTATCCTAGTGATGCCTTAGGCCATATTTGCCTTAGGTGTCTACTCGGGACGATAATGGTTCCCCGCCAAAAAAAAAAAAAGAATTTATCGGCAGATACAATAACAGCCCACTACATGCACACTTGAACAGAATCATTGTCAAGGTGCTGGATCAATATACAATCTTTTCCTAGACCTCAATCTAGCCATTTGTATCTCTTTTGCCCTACAAAAGCCTTCAAACAACCTTTCAGAAAACATCATGAGCCAGCCCAACGCCGCACCCCCCACCTCCGCAAGCAATGCGGTCCTGGTGGAATCTCAACCTGTTCCCGAAGGAACACAACAAGTGAGCGGAGTCGACTTCGATAAATTTCAGGGTCGGGATATCACTGTGGCAGAAATGGTCGATAACATGACCAACATGGGCTTCCAGGGCAGCGCGGTTGCCGAGGCTGCCCGCATCATCAATGAGATGGTAGGTACTTCACCTCCATGATTTCTTTCGGTTCTGACATATTTATTGTGTTAGCGTGCCTTCCGTGACCCGGAAACCGGTGCAAAGACTACTATTTTCCTCGGATATACCTCGAATTTAATCTCCTCTGGTCTACGTGATACTCTCCGCTACCTCGTCAAGCATAATCATGTGTCGGCCATCGTCACTACCGCCGGTGGTGTAGAGGAGGACCTGATTAAATGTTTGGCTCCCACTTATATGGGCGCTTTCGCTACCCCAGGTGCCGGACTACGTGCCAAGGGCCTCAATCGCATTGGCAACTTGGTGGTGCCGAACAACAACTACTGTGCCTTTGAAGATTGGTTGGTCCCCATTTTGGATCGTATGCTAGAGGAGCAAGAGGCAGCCAAGCGGAAGGCGCAGCAGACTGGGGATGTAGAAGACGAGCTCCACTGGACTCCAAGCCGCATTACCGAGCGGCTGGGCCTGGAAATTAACAATAAGGACTCGGTGCTGTACTGGGCCGCCCGCAATAAGATACCCATCTTCTGCCCTGCCCTGACTGACGGATCGCTCGGAGACATGCTCTACTTCCACACCTTCAAATCGTCACCACAGCAAATCCGGGTGGATATTGTTGAAGATGTGCGCCGCATCAACACTATGGCTGTGCGGGCCGCCCGGGCGGGTATGATTATTTTAGGCGGCGGTGTGGTTAAACATCACATTGCTAACGCGTGTCTGATGCGGAACGGTGCCGAACACGCCGTGTACGTCAATACTGCCCAGGAATTCGACGGCAGTGATGCGGGTGCCCGGCCTGACGAAGCCGTGAGCTGGGGAAAAATCAAAAGCGATGCCCACGCCGTCAAAGTCTACGCCGAGGCCACCGTGGCATTCCCACTTATCGTTGCGGCCTCGTTTGCACGCGCAGCCCCAGCACAAAATTGAGGGCGCCTGCGTACCGATAGTTTGCCGCACACAAATGCAGGGTCCCGTGTCCGCGGACGAGAATCACCAATCAGAGTGAACCCTGGTCCACTCGCCTCCCAGCAGGGGTGACCTGCTGATAAATTTCCCTGGCATGAACCCTTCTTATATTAATAAATTTGGGTGTTTCTAAAGGCACCAGACATGGTCAACCCCGCGCTGAATTGATTCTGACCAAGTCTGACGACCCACGACCATCGTGATGCAGCCTGTCAGCATGTCTCCGGCTGCTTCTCCATGTCCAGTCCCAAAAGTCTCCACAAATGTTGGAGAAAACATGTTTCACAACCAGAGAGATTCACAGTGGCAACATGCATAAAAACTGGTAGCCGATCGGAGTGGCAAAGGATAGAAAATTCGCTCCAAAAAGAATACCCGCAGTATTTAAGGTTGGGATCCGTTGGCTGCCCTGAAGTGGAGCCTTTGGGTCGGATCCACTGCCGATCAAGAGGGGGGCCTCACCGCGATTTGTGTCAGATAACTCTGTTCAATAAACACGATAGCCATGAAATAAAAGGGAAAAGAGAAAAAAAAAAAAGAACCAAATGATCTTGAAAACCAATGATGAGGGGGGGGTGAATGACCATGAGAAACTATTAGTCTCAGCAAGGGAACCGAAGATAGAAATCACCGCGTGGCTTATCCACCCGAGTTTGACTCTCCCCACTTGTTGGCCGAATTCCGCGAATCCCCCGGACTTCTTATCGCTTTCTTACTTCCTTTTTTTGTCTTTCTTTTCATTTTCTCTAATCCCATCGCTCTTTCTGCATCTTCTCTCTTTTCACATTCTCTACTCTACTCGCATATACACTGTCTTTCTTTATCTGGTCAATTCCCGTTGCCACCGATAAGGCTTATCTCTCGCCATTCGTTACACACAGAGAGAAATCGAAAAATAGAAAGAGCGTTACAAACCAGTGTTTTTCAACTCCAATTGGAATCTGGATGAATTGCTTGCTTTGACCAGTCTTTATCCCATCTTGTTGGTTTATTGATAATGTCTCGCGAAATGGATTCCTCTCGGGACTCCCCCAATTTACGGCCCAATGAGTCAGGGACTGACAGCGATGTCGGATCTCTATCCCCGGCCAACGTCTCGGAACCCAATCTTGTGCCGAGTTCTACATCCGACTCTGTGCCACCCCAACCCGATTCAGAGCCAAGTCTCCGGGCTCCGACGCCGCCGTCTACAAGAGAGACCGAGGAGACCGAGCATGCCTACTGGGCCGAACTTCAAGAGGATACATCCACACCAGACGAGGAGGAATTGAAGGAGATCGACGGTGCCGAAGCGGACTACAGTGCTTGTGACCGTAGGTGTCAATTCCGAACCCTAGGGAGAAGGAGAAGTCCCGAGGAAGGTTCAGGTTTACTAACACTAGTTGGTAGACACATACTGGGAAAGCAATTTCTTTCGGGACTTGGATGATCCGGAATACAAGCCTAGAGAGAAAGCCCGTCTGACATGGAAGTTCAAAGGCGTGCGAGGCACACCCGAGGCCCCCAATCGTGCAAAGGTTATGCGCTCTCCGCCGGCTTTCATTGGTGGATATTGGTGGCGAATCAAGTTCTTCCCCCGCGGCAACAATGTGGGTTCGCTGAGTATTTACCTCGAGTGCTCGCCTACAATGCCGAGCCCTGATGAAGAGCTTCCTGCAACTGAATTTACTATCCGTCGAGGTGAACCTGGTACCAACCTCAACGAGACCTCACCCGATGCATACTTGCAGACACCTGCCACAACCGACTCGGCGGCATGGTTAAATGATTTTAAATTGCGGTATCCTGCTGCGGCATCTGCGCGCCAGGGAAGTACGGACCCATCCCCCGACCCGTGGCGGGTATCGGCACAGATTGGTGTCATCGTTTACAACCCCGATGAGCCAAGAACGGGATGGATGCAATCTTCGTGCCATCAATTCAACCCAAACAATCTGGATTGGGGCTGGACATACTTCCATGGACCATGGGATCAGATTCACAGCCGTCGGCGTGGCCAGCACCGCGCTCTACTCAACAACGATACACTGGCATTTGATGCTTATATTCGTGTGATTGATGACCCAACCAAGTCCTTGTGGTGGCATCCCAGTGACTCTGAGCCAACTTGGGACAGTCTTGCATTGACTGGCTACCGGCCACTCGGAGACTCGGTCATCAACCACAGCGCCGAGGTCGCGGGTCTTGCGTCCTGGCTGCACATTGCACCCTTCTGCAAGATCATCCAAAGTGTTGATGTCCTGGAACATCTCACAAACTGCGATGCAAAGCCAAAGCCCTTGTGCGATGCTATGCAGAAATTGTTGTGGCAGCTACGGTGTCGCACCAAGTCGCTCCAATATGTGGATACCGACGGCATCACCTCTACCTTGCGCAACCTGCGTGAGTTCTCAGGTGATGTGTCGGAGTTCTGGGAGCGACTGCGTCGTACCTTGGAGTTGGAACTTGCGGGCACAGATGCTGGCAAGGAATTTGCTAAGTTGTTTGATAGCCCGTTGCCCAATTTTCTGTCTGCCACGGATGTTGCAGGCACTGTCAACACTTTGCCTACTGATTTCAATTCTCGCATCTGTGTGCAGTCCGATCAGGTCAAATCCACTAGAGAAGCTATGAAGAGCTACTTGGATGCCAAGCCTGGTCGTTGGTCACTTCCTCCGATCCTGCACGTGGAATTTTGCCGCCAGACCCTTGATAAGACCATGCGCTGGCAATTGAACTTCAGCAAGGTGGATCTAGATGAGGAGTTGGATCTTACACCGTGGGTCGTCGATGGCCAGGGCAGCAAGTACGTCCTCTACGGTTACGTTGTCCACCGCGGCCGTCGCACTTCCAGCAAGTTCTTCAGTATCCTTCGCCCTGCTGGTCCAGGGACCAAGTGGTTGGCATTCGACGATGGCAGTGACAACCGCGTAGAATGCTTGACGCAGAAGACTGCCATGGGCGCTCACCTTGGTCTTGATCCGTCCCAGACCGTGGACCACAAGAAGGGCCATGACGTCCCGGTTGTTGCAATGTACGTCCGTAGTGACATGGTCTCAGAGCTTCTGCCTGGTCCCCAGGGACCGTGGGAGGTGCCGAACAGTTTGAAGGAGTACTACGAGACGGGCGTGTACAGCCCCAGTTCCGATGTCAATGACAAGTCATCGAAAGGGGAAGTTCAGGTTGAGGTGTATTCTCTGCCCGAATACGATCACCTGGATAGTCTCTTCGACACATACGATCTCATGTCGAGTGCTAAGGCCAACAATGGGGTTATGTATATGACTCTGCCTAGTTCGTCTCGCTTGGCCGAACTGCGCAAGAAGATTGCTCATTGGAAATCAGCCGGTGAGGAGGTTATTGGAGCCGAACGGGTTCGTTTGTGGCACATTGGCCACACTCGTGCTCAGTGCGGATCTACTCTAGCTTTTGAACATATCACCGATCTGAACGCTCCATTGGATGCTTCTGCAGGCACTATGCGATTCTGGATGGAGGCAATCTCAGAGGGTAAGTAACGAACAATCGCGTTGATTACAAAGAATATATTTCCTAACTGCCACTATTTAGATGATGCGAAATTATTTGCTATCCCCGATCCTCCTTCGGCTACCACTACCGAGGACAAGCTAGAAGAGTCCATAGTTGAGCAACTAGGTTCTGAAAGCAGCAGTTCGCTGCCTTTGGTCAACAATGGAGACGCGATTGCTAGCTCATCCAGAGGTGATGCGAGCCCTGTTGAGAGCTCCCTACCACCCCTGGCAACCTCGTCCCCTGAAACTGATGCAATGGCTCACGAGCGAGCTGAACACGATGCTATTCTGGCTATTGCGGCAGCTCCCGATGTCAACTCACCAGCTCCTCAGCCCGCTGCTCCTGTTCCTGCTCCTGCGGAGTCCTCTGTGGTTGTACCGATAGAGACTGAAGTCAGCCTCCCCGTCGGCCATGCTTATTACTTCATCCAAGTCTTCGATGAGGACAATCAGGTCCTCCGCACAGTTGGCTCGTTTTTCTCGAAGCTCGAGGCAAACGTCAAGGCATCCATTCGGAAACACCTGAAGCGGACAATCCGACAGGACTTCCTCATGTGGAAGCGCGTGGATGGGACAACTGTCACAACAGTATCCCCAGCCGAGAACTTTTTGGACGTCGTCGTCCCCCACGGATCCTGCATCATTGTTGGGGACAAGTTGACCAAGGACAAACGTTCCCAACTCGGGCTATCCGGTCTCTTCTCCAGCCCAGATCGTCTAGTTCAGTACCTCTGGGCCGAATCCCGCAACCACCCTGTTCAAGGATTCACCGGTACCAAGACCATCGAAGCCACATTCACAAGTGACTTCTACAGTGGCGAGTTCCTAAAGGGCTACTACCACGGACGCGGCAAACACCTTTCCGGCAGTGGAACAGTCTACGAAGGCGACTTCATCTTCGGTCGCCGTCACGGCCAAGGAAAGATGGAGTACCCAACTGGCGATACATACGACGGCGACTGGGTCGAAGATGTTCGCCATGGACAGGGAACATACGTTGAGAAGAAGACCGGCAACTCGTATGTTGGTGGCTATAAAGATGGCAAGAAGTACGGCAAGGGTATCAGCTACTGGGAAGTCGCTGATGAGGAAGCGGATCTTTGTCAGATATGTTATTCTGAAGAACAGGATGCTGTCTTCATCGACTGTGGCCATGTCTGCTCTTGCGTGACATGTGCTAAGCAGGTTGACCTTTGCCCGATTTGTCGGAAGACTATTAAGAGCGTTATCAAGATTTATAGGACATGATTTGTCCAGCACGGTGGAGTTTTGAACATTCTTGGCCCTTTTCTTTGTGATTTATGCCTATTATATACTGTACTTTGGGCCCTTATGGGATCGTCATTCTTTGGTTTCTAGCGGGGGTTGGATGGAGGAGGTTATACATACGGCTTTGCGACATTTACATTTTTTTCTTTCTCTCTTTTTCACATTTTTCAAGCTTTGCATCATGCGCACCTCGTGAAGATAGAAACTACAATTTGGATTTCATTTAACGCTGAATCATTTTTTGACATTGAGTTGAAACATTAAAAACAAGGTATATGTCCAGTGCGCCGTCCACCCACAAATGAAGATGCTTTTCAAACTTGGCAATGCCAGAGCTATAGATACACAATAAATGCTCGGGTGTCAAACAGATCATTTAAATGCCTTCTTGGGCTTCTTCTCCTTCAGCTTTCCCTGCACAACCGATTGCTTATTCTCGCCCTTAGGAGACTTGGGAGACTTCTCGGCCTTCTTAGACTCGGCCTTCTTGGCCTCGGTCTTCTTGGATTCAGCCTTCTTAGCGGCCTCAGGCTTCTTCTCGGACTCGGACTCAGTCTTCTTGGGAGACTTGGACTTCTTGGCCTCTGGCTTCTGCTCCTCCTCCTTGGGCTCCTCGGTCGACTCAGCGGCCTTGGGCTTGGACTCTCCCTTGACCCGTTTGGGCTTGTTGAGAACACCCTTGGGGTTGAGACCCTTGCGACGGAGGCGGTTACGCTCGGCGCGCTCAATACGCTCCGAATCATCATCAGCCTCGAAAGGACCGAAAGCACCACCCTCGAGATCAGCAAATTCGCCCTCCTCATCCCGGATGGGTGTCTTGTCGATGACCTCATCGTCATCATCGGTTGAGGCACCCTGGGAGCTGGTACGCTTGTGCTGGTGACGATCCTTGGATGTGGTGCCATCAGCCTTGGTGACGGGAGTGGGACCAGTCTTCTTCAGCTTGCAGACATAGAAACCATCGACGTTCTCACGGTGAGGGAAGTAACGGCGGGTAAGGGCCATCTTAGCATCGAATTTCTTGCCCATGTAGCTGGTGAAACCGGGGCTACCGAAGCCGCCCAGGCCAGTGTCGACAATCTTGACATTGGGGCACTTGCGCAGGATGTACTGCACGACAGCCTCGTTCTCTTCGACGGTGACACTGCAAGTAGAGTAGACGATGTATCCACCAGTCTTGGAGTTGTGGTCAACAGACTCGATGGCGGCGAGCAGCAGCTGGCGTTGCATGTGAGGGATGGCCAGGAAATCGCGCTCGTTCTTGGAGGTCTTAACACCGGCGTCCTTAGAGATGACACCGGTACCGGTGCAAGGGGCATCGAGCAGGACACGGTCAAAGCCACCAATGGCTTTGGGGAAGCCGGTACGACCGTCAAGGTTGGTGACAATGGTGTTCTTGCAGCCAAGACGGTGAATGTTACCAATCAAACCTTTAGCACGGGGCTTGCTGGCATCGTTTGCGATGACACAACCAGTGTTGCGCATTAAAGCAGACATGTATGTAGTCTTACCACCGGGGGCGGCGGCCATATCGAGAACACGCTCGTTAGGCTGGGGTGCGAGCGCCATGACGGGAAGGAAAGAAGATGCGGCCTGGAGAATGTAGTGACCAGCGAGGTACTCAGGGGTGGCACCAAGGGGAACGGGAGACTCGAAGACCTGCAAGCCAACCTTGGACCACTTGCCAACGGGCTCAAGAACAACACCACGGTTGATCAGGGCTTGGGCGAGAGAACGACGGTTGGTGCGCAGGGTGTTAGTACGGATGACGACAGGGCGGGGGGTCTCGTTGGCCTCGAAGAAAGCAAATGCCTCCATGGGGGTGAACAGGTTCCACAGCTTCTCGGCGAGGTAACGGGTGTAGCCGTAGTATGTGCAGATATCGTTGAGCACGAGGTCGACGTAGTCGGCGCGGGACTTGTCGGCCTGGCCGAGAGTCTTGAGGTCACCCAGAATGCGGATAGTATCGGTAATACGCTGGCGGAGGAGCTGCAGATCCGGTGCGAGTCCGGCCTGAGCCTGGTCGTTGAAGACATCGGGGCGATCGCCAGCGATGTTGGTCTGCATGGCAGCATCCTGCAACTCCTGCGCGGCCTCCTCATCCTCCAACTCTTTCTGAGCATCAAGTTTCCGAGAAAGGCCTTCGATGTTGGCGGCGGTCAGCCTCTCCTCGGCGTCGGACATGTCCTCGTCGTCGGAGAACATGGCTTTACGGGTGTAATTCTCTTCGTCGGAGTCCATAACAGAGTCATCTTCAGCACCGTCATCGTTCTCGAGGTCGGAAAGTCCCACAACATCGTCTTGGCTATCCAATGATCCGTCGCTGACTCCATCGAGATCGTCGAATTCGTCGTCCTCCATGCCTTCCATAGCTTCATCTTCCGAGTCCGACATAGGGACAGGGACAGCCTTCTTCTTGCTGGAAGTCTCCTTCTTCGGCTCAGCCTTTGCAGCGCCCTTAGCAGCAGCGCCATTGACCTTGGCCTTCTTAGGGGCGGCCTTCTTGGCGACAACCTCTTCTTCGTCGGCACCTCTCCGGCGCTTCTTAAGATCAGCGGTTTTAGCTGTCGATTCAGCTGCAGCGGCCTTGCGCTTCTTCAGCATTGTGATTCTCGATTCATCGAGCGGGGGCGGAGGCCCCTGCTTCTTCATGCGACGTCCTACACCCATGATGATTGATGTGTTTGATTGAGTGGATATTTGCGTCTGAAACTTTTTTTTTCGGGCTTTTTTCCTGGGCAGCGGTCAGGTATGGCAGTAAATAAAAATCAGAAGGCGGTCGCAAAATAACTTATTCCTCACCACAACTTGGGAAGCTATCTAATCACCGTGGAAAACAACATTACTCATGCTGATTATCTGCAATTATGCTTATCGGATCTCAACTGAAAAGAAAAGGTTTTCACGTATCTTTTTTTTGTTTTGTTCTTGGATTCAAGAAAAACTTTTCTTGACGGCTATTTCGATGCCAAACATTCCCGGATACTAAATGTGCCACAGTAGCTGTACTTGAAATTACTGGGTTTCTCTAAACGTTACATTATAAAAGGCGATACAGATATTTGCTTGATATGGAATTGAGAAGATTTGTCAAAATCAAAATTCAATGCTTTTAGAGACTTGGCCATTGGAGCGACCTTGTGTGCTTCCCGATGCTCTGCGGGATAGCGCACCTTTGGAAGGCCGGCCTTGGCCATTTTGGGGCGTCTCACGATCATTTACAACAAACTATCTTCTTTAATTACCCAAAAAAATCAAATACTAATGCCATATGACCTCCGGGTGGGTAATATACAAATCCCATCCCGAAGTCTGGACTCCGTTCAAGAATATGGATATGGAATTCAATGTTATACACACAAGAAGCTGTCCATGGAACAAACCATCAAAGAGCTCAGAAAAAGCAGGCTCAGTCCCAAAGCTCCTAGGATATCAAACCAGAAGATACGTAACGCCGGAGTGAGATATCCAGGGGAAGCCAGATCAAGTATTGTAATCTGAAGAGGGCCATTCACATGGACACCAGGATATGCATCGAAGCAAAGGGAAGCTAAAATGGGGGAAAAAAACAAGAGAGATGATGGGGAGGGAACACATGATCAAAATATACGCCAGGGAATCATCGCGAACAAGGCTTATTATCAGCTTCGGGATCAAAAGTACACATGTAGAAGAGAAGAGAAAACCACATAAAAGAGTACCATATGCCAGGCAGCTGCACGGGACACCTTTGAAAATGCTCAAAAAGACCTAGTCCGGCCAATCGCTCCTCCGGTTCATGGGATCATAACACGGCGAAAAAACCGAAGAAAGTTACCCGACAGTAGAAAACAGAAGAAAGAAGTTCATACAGGGCTGTCATCTCGTCGTCCAGGTCATCTTGAGAAGACTTTAACCACGCCATCTCCACCGCCGCTGACGACCCAGCGTCCGTCACGGCTCCAGACAACAGCGCAGACACCTTCACCACGCATTAAGCGGTGGCTGGTCAATTCTTGGGTGCAACTGCGTTTCTCGAGATTCCAAAACCGCAGGCTCGCGTCGTGCCCAGCTGAAACTAGTTCACGTCCATCAGGAGACAAGGAAAGAGAAGCGATCGCAGCCGGGTGGGCTAGCATGGTGTACGTGCATTGACCTAGAGATGAAATTGTTAGAAAGTGAGCAGAGTTAATAAGAAGGTGGGACTGTCACATACCGCTGTTCGCGTCAAAGAAGCGAATGTATCGATCCTCGTAACCGCTGATAATGACACCTTCAACGTTGCTTGAACCAGTGGCTCCGTGAACAACTTCTTCGTCCTCCATGGTGCGGTTGGGCTCCAGATTTGCAGACCCATCAAATCCAATAGTAGTGGCAACAACGGAATTTACACCAGTCGAGGGCGTTCCATCGTATGTTTCGAGACTGGCCATGCCCACGATTTCCTCACCAGTTCGTGTATCATATACGAGAATTGAGGCATCGGTGTAAGAAACCACGAAATTGACACCCGCTAGAGATAGGGGGCTGATGCATGTTGGAGATGGAGAATCGGTGCGCACGATGTGATGAACAAGGGTGTGGTAGAATGGCGTCGAGGAAGCAACACTAGGCTGTGGAGAGGATGGGAAATTGGATCCAGATGAGATAGAGTTGGCGCGTCGACTTCCACCTTGGCGTCGTGATGCTGCCTGGGGTGCGATAGGAGGAGCACTGACAGCCCAGATCAAAATACGACCATCTGCCGCACCGGATGCCAGTAGAATGCGATCTGCCCCGCCATAGTGAGTGCACGAGTCTCCAAAAACAGAACCTGCCGTCCCGGGAAGCACACACAGCCCCCATACGGCGTCTGTGTGACCATCCAAAGTTGCCTTGGGATCAACCCGACCTCGCTCCCATACCCGAACGCTAGCGTCTTGTCCACCTGAGAAGACCCATCCGTCACCCATAGCACGGCCCCCATTAGAGATGTTTTGGCCGGGTGAACAGGCAGCCAACGAGGTGACTGCACCCACATGGCCGCGGTGTGTAAAGTAGCTCGTAATGTCTAAATCATTGCTTGAGCTAGGTCCATGAGCTCCAAATGTACCGTAGGTTGCCGGTATAATCCATCGCTTGATCGTTCCATCATCACTGCATGTACAAATTTCCGGCTCTGATGGACTGCCGCCGCCGGTGAAAATCACAGAGCGAATCACGTCCAGGTGTCCGCGAAGAGCAAATCGAACCTTAAAGTTCGTATCCTGTTGGCCGAATCCAGCGGCAAAATCCCGAGCGTCCGATGCACCCTCACTCTTACGCCGAGAGCCAGAGCTCTTTCGTCGATGTGAGAGCGATCCGCCCCGAGAGGGTGATTTGGCGCCAACGACAAAGTTCGCGTTGGGGAAAGCATCGGTGTCCGGACGGTGGGGGGGCATAGGCTCGCTAACTTGTTCGTTCTCTGGAGGTTCATCAAAATTCCATCCGTCCATATCCTCTGCCCTCTCATCATTCGCCCTTTGCGATGGCAGCTCCTCCTTGACCGCCACCTGAGGCCCTTGAGCCTCGTATGCCGACTGAGAATCAACAGCTCGTTCATCAACCAAACCATGTTCATATACCGGCTTTCGATTATCAGTGGAAGGCATAGGGTGTTGTGGAGTATCGACAGGTCTTCGGTCAATGGCATCTCGAGGAATCGAACCCTGACCGTACTGGTTATGCGTTCGACCTTGAGGAGCATTCTCTGCATACTGATTTCCTGCAGATTGGTGGTTTGTAAGCATCTCCTCCCGTCCCATCATATGGTTGGCCTTTTGGCGCTGCTGTTGAATGTATGCCTCCTCCAAGTTCTGCTGCGATAGCTGTTGGTTCGCATAGAGGTGGCTTGAGAGATCCGGATCGCTGAGGTCCGGAGGTGGGTGAGATGTTGGAATAACATGATATGCGATTTCTTGTGCACACTTGGCTAGATAGACACGCGACTTCTCTCGTTCGTCTTCTTGGCGGAATTCGCTCGAGTTGGGGTCCTCTGGGTTTGCGTTGGAGTCCGGCTTCGATCGTTGCTCTGTAGACAGTGAAGATCAGCAAAAAGAAATATACATGGCCAAGTAGTATACTGGATCATCTCATACCTTTCAAGAATTCCACGTTCTCGCGCGCGATCTCCTTGGGGTCTTTCATATCTTCGATGCTCTCGTTGTTGGAGGGTTTCTTCGACTTCTCTCGTTCTTTCTTCAGCGCTGTCTCCATCAACCGAACGTGCTTGCCCAATGACTCCTGAAGACGCCTGCTAGTTCGCAATTCTCCCTCTAATTGACCGATACGAGACTTCATCTCCGCGCGCTCAATCTCCCAGGCGTTTCGGTCGCGCTCGTGTCGGTGCCATTCTGTCTGCAAGAATCGCATCACACCTTATGAACGATTGTTAGCTTATAGCCACTTAACAATAATTACAAGGCATTCTTACCCTGCAACGTGTATTCGGTCCCTTGAGGGTGACCGCCATTGGATGGGCCGTCGCCCATTACTGCAGGCATTCCAATACCAGCCACGGGCGATTGGGATTGCCAGGCCATGTACATGTAATGTTATCAGCGCGCGACAAGGCCGGGCTGAGTAGCTGGTTTGTTGGAGGGTGAAGCCGGCGGTCGACCGAGGGCGTCAAAGCGTCAGACGTGGAGCTTCTGGTGTTCTCCTGACCCCCGTAGTATCCACCAGTAAGCGAAATTCAATCCTCCAGGGGGCGACGACGGCAGGAAAGCCGCGTTCCACACCGTGTCAGACGAAAGCAGATAGGCAATAAAACCAGGCAAGAATGAGAGGGAAGTAACCCAATTATCGTCTGCAGAAGGTTCGAGGGTTCGTTTGTTATGGACGGGTTGAGAGTGGCTTTTCGGGGGGGGTCCTCACAGGTTCACCGCCTTCTGTCACGGGAAATCCGATACGGAGTCCAGACCGGTGTTCATTTATGCACTGCTCAATTGCCGTAGTACAACGGATCAGAATAGGAAGAATTTATAATCAAAGGAAATGGTGAGTGATAAGAGGAGCTGTGAAGAAATTACAGGAAATGCTACGGCTTTCAGAGCACACAGAACATAGACGCTCAACTTATAAACCAAGTGAGTTAATCTGGACTACGTCTACGAAACTTTAGATAGGAAGGCGGTCAGGAAGCCTGATCATCTCTTTCTGCCACAAATCCAAGGCCACTAGTCGGTCCCGCAGTATCAAGACAACAACAGCACATTTGACATCAAGCTCATCCTTTCGACTCAATACTTTCTTGTGTTCCTTTCTCTTTAACTCGCCACTTTGAGAGTTTTCCTCCTTGGCCTTCATCATGTCGGAACTCACTTTTGCCAAGGCCTTCCTTTCCACGCTTGACTCCCGCCCCATCAAGCTGCGTGCTGATCATGTCGTGGATCCGCAGCAAGTTGGGCTGCAAGGACCAGTAAGCACCTTTCATTATACTTTTATACTTCATGCGTGCTATCACGCATGCTATAAGGAGCTGGGTTAATTCGATTGCCAATAGTACACTCTTCCCCGCCTCCGCGCCCCGCACCCGGAAATGCCCAAGAAGGTCAAGCAAACACAAGCACCAGGCTCATCCAAGTCAATTACCATCCACATCAAGTCTGCTCGCAACCCTGTCCTCGAATTCTCCCTGCCCAACTCTCCTCTCTCCACCACCACGGTACAGGATCTGAGGGATGCTGTCCAACAGCGTGTTACCGATGCGAATGGAAACCCCGTAGCGCTTGACAAGATTAAAATTCTCTGCAACAAGAAGCCTGTCGCCGGAACCGGAAAGACTGTCGCTGAAGTTCTGGCAGACGAGCCGGGGATGCTAGTCGGGGGTAAAGAGGTCGAATTTAAGGTTATGATCATGGGAGGTGCCAAGACTATTGATGTATCGGAGGCTCAACCAGCAACAGAGGCACGGGACGTGTCTCCGCCCAAGGCAGCAGTTGGACCGAGCGGTCAAGAGGTGGTTCAGACGGAGGCTTTCTGGAATGACTTACAGGGCTACTTGGAACAACGATTGAAGGATGAGCAGGAAGCAAAGCGGTTAAGAGCACTGTTCAAAGATGCCTGGGCCTCCAGTCAGTGAAGTTAGGAAGCGCTTCTTTATTGACAATACCGTAATGAATCATTGTATTACACCACTCATATACCCCGGCCTTTTCGATTTCAAGTCTTCTTTTTTGTTGGCTTAGAGGCCACAAGCGCCGCCTGAGCGTCCTCTTCGGGACTCTACCCTGGATGGAAACTTCGTAGAAACATTAATCTAAGCTTGGAACATCGAAGTTGCCTTCCAAGGTTGTATGGCCCCGGGAAAACCTTCTTATAGCTATGAGGAGAGCGGACCAAACATGGAAACATATTCTCGCGGGCCGGTGCCTAGGTGGGATGAGGTCCTGATCATTGATATATTTGATTACCTGACTTAAGGATATGTATCCGAATGATTTACCACCTGCGCAAAATACCCATTAATTTCTACGAATTCACTCCGGGATGTCAACTCGAAGTTCTTGGTCTATTGGTTTGTTAAACATCAAATCGTTAGGTGGTCCCGACCTTGGAAACCTACAAATATATAAAATCACCCTATCAATATGGATACCCCCCACACTACATGCACCTCGACATAGAAACAACTACTTTCAAGGTTAAGGTTGGATAAAGTATTTTCCGTCAGGTTCGTCGACAATACTCATGATCTCGTAAATTATGCTAATAGGTTAACCTCGAGAGGCAGCAATGAATGCAATGGTACAACTTTCCAAGGAGATCAAAACTCCAATTCTTCGACCTCCATGCCACAATCCACGCACGTCTTAACCGGAATGCCCGTCTCGGGGTTCTCTACAGGCCGACCCCATTCATGCACATGTTTGCGGTTACTACTGAGATCATCTCCAAACTCTCCGCCAGAAGCCCCTTGTCGATTGCGACGGTAAGCTTCAACACGGGTGCGTTTCTTAAGGTCTTGTAGCTTGGTCTTGAACTTTGCTTCACGTCGTTTTTTCTTATCAGTTTCGCGCCGTTCGAACTCGGCATCCAGAGCCTCAGCAGAGCCCCATTTCTTATCGGAGAGTGCATATTCTTCGACTTGATACCGAAGATAAAGCATCATGTTATTCCAGGTTGATTTGTGCGGATTGGGCTTTTCGAGATGGGGAAGGAGCTCTTCGTCTCGTAATTCGGCTGTTGGAAATATTCAGCAAGGCTGGGGCATATGACTGGATGAATTCGAAAGGACTCACGATCAGTCAGAAGGTAGTCTTCTTTCGCCTCGGTTTTGGTGAGGAGACTGTACTTCTCTGGGTATTTGTCTTTGCATGCATGACAGATACGACACCGGAGCTCTTCTTCCCATTTCCAGTCAATTTCCAGACTACCACATTCGCGACATACTTTTTGCTTGCTCCTGTCATCCAGAACACTTAAGCCGGGCTCAAAGGGTCCTTCACGGTTTCGCTTTAGCGACTGTAGTAGTTGGTGACGTTCCCATTCTTTCTGTGTCATATGTGCCGGCTTTTGTTCCTTTCCGTCAGGGACATGAAGCGCCTTATTGAAAGGATCGTCCTCATGGGTCAAGAACCCGCCCTTTGTGTCCGTCATCTTACTGAAATCAAAGTCAACGTATGAGGAAGTGAAATTGCGGGCGGGTTTTATCGTATCGAGTGGACGATTAGCCGAGGGGACATTTGAGCGCGCATCGCGCATCGATGCAGGGTTAGACGCAATCATCGAGTTGAACGAGCGTTTGACTCCTTGGGTGGGTTGTAAAGTTTGAGATCCTGTAGTGGCGGAGGACGAGCCTTTGGAGCGCTCGGCTTCTCGCTGCTCTCGCAGAGCTTTGGCTTTCATGCGATTCTCTTCCTAGTGATAGAATTCGTAAGCTCCAAAGGCCCTCAAAAACCAGACGCTTCCCAAACTGGAGCACCTACAATCTTCCGCTGCTGCTCGGGAGTGATGGGGCCGCGAGGGAGTTGCCCGGGCCCAGCAGCGTTTTGCCGCGGTGGTGTTGAAGGTCGTTCAGCCGACATCTTGTCCAAAATCAGGTCGCCACAGACTAACGTGAGATACAGGGACACAGTGAGGGGATCCGCGAAATTAGAACCTTGATACGACTCCCAGGCGGCAAGACACGTCTACACGTGATCGCGCGTAAAGTGGGTCACACGTCATTGGTTAATGCATTGATCGATCGATCGCTACGAGTCGAAACCATCCTCGTCGCGATCCTGTCCATATAACACCTCACATACGCCACCAACCGGAATGTCCATGACTGCATCTGTACCTTCACTCCAGATCTCCCACCAATTGACCTTGCGGTTTTGCGGACCCATTATCTGGAAAGATGTGGCACCCGGCTTCATCTTCGTCGCTCCGCCTGGTCGTCGTCGCGCCTTTCCGTCAATGACTGCGACATTGGCAACTTCATCGACAATATTTTCAATACTGTTCATGGGCAATGTGAGATATCCGGTATTGTATGAGGCGAGCGCAACGTAGATATACACGATGGATATCACCAACCAGGACGGGATGGCCAGAGCCCACCAACGATTAGGGTAGTAATAGATTCCAAGTTGGTGAAGGAAAGGTGACGGGAGATATGACCATAACAAGTAGAATACTTAGAGCACCGAATGTTAGCAATGCACGGCAAAAGCTAATGGGCGTTGGAACGGCGCCACCAAAGCCGTTTAACCTTAAGAAAACTTACAGAAGGCAAGTGATGAGGCCAAATATAACACAAATCCATAGTATTCGTATGTCGGGACTTTGGGGCTAGCGCGGGGCACAGTAGTTGCGCGACGGGCAGACTTGGCTACGGCCGCCTCCGTATCGTTCGGAGTCTCCACATCAGAGCTGTCTGGTGTTGTAGGACGTGAAGTTGTGGTAGAGAAAGGTGGCCGTAGCAGAGACGTCAGGGAAGGAGAGGGCGGCAGAGGCGTGGGTGGCCGATTGTAAAAAGGGGGGTGCAAAGGCATTGGGCCCGTGAAGGGAGCTGGAGGATTGCCGGAACGGATGATCGCGCCCAATCTCGTTTTCAGATTCTTCAGATCCTGAATCGGATAAAGATTGGGGATCGAGAGAATAGTGAGACTGGAAATCGGCATCATCCTCTACCTCGATCTCGTCGTAGCCGGGGGAGGTGATGCTTTCATCCTCAGGAAAGGCTTCTTGTGTATCCGTGGGCGAAACAAGATCGTCCAATAAGGGCGGAAAAGGTTGTTTGGACTCAAAGGAGGGCTCAAAGTCCGTACCTTCTGAAGTCCGGTTGTCCTCCATTGGAATGCAAGAGAACGAAAGTGTTGACTCGAGCTGTTTATTTGACCTGTGTCGCGGACCCTTTTCTGCCCGCAATGAACTCCACCGCTCTCTCCATCTACGCCAAGCAGACTATGGTGATTGCTCAGAACGATATCATTCATAGATTTTACGAAGGTCTGGCAGCATACTAAAACCTCACTACTGTCAGTCTAGCCAGCTCTCCTTGGGTTGAAACCTGTCATAACTCGAGATGGAATGCCACTGCTATGTGCTGCCAAGACGTCTGATGTGGAGGTCTCGGCGGGTGAATTTCATCCATATCAGGGCCCTGATTTAGCTAAAGTCAACTACCTCGACATTTTTTGATCAAATTTTTGTTTCCATGGCGTATGTCTGCTGAAAACCAACGCAGAGCAGTGTATCGGATGTACACTCCGTCTCGAATACGAAATATTGGCCCGATGACATTTAACTATGCTTCTAGCTCACCATTTAGCAAGCCGGGAATATGCCGCTCCTGAGGTTGCCGCAATGATAGCGCCACTAGGGTTTCTCGTCTGAGATGAATCCAGAATCAGAGCTCACTTTCGTGTTGTAGCACTGTGAACAATGGCAATGGAAGATTTTTCGCAGTTGACGCGTCTAACCCAATCGCAATACAGTCACCACCGTCGAATATTCGCGATATGGGAATATCCGATTCCAGACGTGAGGTTCAAGAATTTTGTGATAAAAGTTTCTTGTAAATGAATCGAAATAGACTGGCTGAATCGATGCGGCAATGCCGAGAAAAGAGTGATTCTCTTAAATGCTATTGACTATACGTAATTTTCCATAGCGTATCCGCTGTCATAAGAATTCCGTTCCGACTTTGTACTTTTGCTTGTCATGATAAGTTTCGCTATACCAATGTAGTCGGAGGAGGCGCAAATTTTTTTCGGGATGGCAGAGCAAGCATACCTATGTATGTTTCTTTATAATGTAATGATGATTCCATTCCCCGAAGCTTAAATACGTGATAGCCAAAGCCCCTGGACAATAGTTAACTAATGACAGGTTGACAAAAAGATTAATAACAAGCTCCAAGGTTGGAACAGTACCCGATTGGGTGCCTATTATCGGTAAATCAACTACCTAGCAGTAAATGTTGTAGCTACTCTTAAATGTGGTTCCACACAGGTACTTCAATGATCTAACATGATTATAGGCTATCGGTCACTTCTCTGATCGCTCGCTGTCCCTCGAAATCGGATACACCTACGAACTTAGAAGACATATGCAATCGCTACCTGGTCATTTTCCAGATTTCCTAGTAGCACAATGCCTCAACATATCCAGCTAAGTCAGAAGACTCAATTCCTGGAAGATCTACCGCCATCAATCCCCAGATATGCATACAATGGGATAGATCAATTCCACGAGATCATGAGCCTTGAGCGTGAACGCTTTGAAAGGTCCAACGATTCCAAAGCCATTAGAGCCTCTTCTCGCCTAACGCAAGATCGCCGTGATCGACAGCATCTACATAGCATGCACCAACGCCCACGTTACCATATACTACACGACAACAATGAACCGACAAGTCAATTGACCAGCGAACTGAAGAATGAATCGCCCAATCAAAGTACCAACGAATTGACCAGCGGAGCGACCACCGAATCGACCAACGGATGCGTTCTTTTCGAAATCAAAGAACGTGATATACGAACCGATTTCCTGGACCGAATCCAAGCTGCGAACCTCTCCCTACGACTATCATTTGATTTCAAAACTAGCCTCCTGCTTGTCAAAATGATGGGACCAGTACATTCAGAAATGCAGTCCCGGTTTAACAACATGATCACCTTCGCTCTCACCGCTATGAGTTTGCAGTTCGAATTCCAAAACTATTCAGGAGTTATCATTCGAGGTGACGATAGTGGAAAAGAAGCTGATTGGGGTTGGGGTCCCGCGGCGGGCCAGCCCGGCCACACTGGTAAACCGACCGTTAGCCTTGAAGTGGCTGTTTCGGAATCACAGGCCAAGCTGGAGCGGGATTTCCGCTGGTGGCTTAGTCCTACGAAAGGGAGGGCCAACTTAACAGTGACTATCAAGGTAAACCGGCGTGCCCCTAGCCTTACTATCGACATATGGCAATGGGTTGATATACACATCCAACGAACCCAGCAAGTGACCATTGCCAAGGTTGACGGTCAAGTGTTCGTTACTGGAGATCCGCTCATCATACCCTTTGACCTTTTGTTCTTACGACAGCCCACAGCAGGATCAGCAGAAAGTGATATTATTCTTCACCAGCAGGCCTTAGTACCTTTCGCTGAATCTGTCTGGCGCGTTCAAGGTTTTACCTAGTCTTGATTTCTCCATTCAGAAGTCTCCTGCCAATTGTTCTTCCTTGCTGTTTGATAATTTGTTTCGCATATTTTCGATCTTTATGACATTCGCATTTTTAATTATTTCAGTGGTCTGAAAACATGAAAACATGGTGGAGCGAGTGGTGGACCGAGTTTACGATCTAGGTTTGGTTTCCAGCTTTCTTTGGCTATGCCTTCTGGACCGATGCTACGAGTTATAAATCAAATGCTGTAGAAAACTTAATTTTGATATTTGATATTCCCGCCTATCATTATGACCGATGATTGTCTTTGATTAGATGAAAAAGCCTCAAAACTATGGAAGAAGAAGAGAGGAGACAGAACTGTCTCGTATTGATAGGATGATGCGGAGAATAAGAGAATAAAAGGGAAAGCGCTGATATACATGAGAGGCCTTGATGTGACTCTGATGGAGGATTCATCATCTGAACGTCCTTCGTTTTAATTGATAGTCAGCCAACCTAAATTCTATAGCCGTGCTTTGTGAGTGCCTTTTATACCTATCTGCGCTCTCATTCCATTCTCGTTTCGTTCTAATTTCCTGAATTATAATTCTATAAAGAGGAATCGAAACAGGATCTAGAGGTTGAAATGAATATTTGAAATCAAACAAGATGGGTAAGGAATTTTCATGGCAAAGAATTCAAGAGACTTATTGACTTGATACATCAATTGTCATATGTCTTTACTAGACCTTCGCCGTTTTGATCTTATCTTTTTTTCCCTTCCCAAACCCCCTTTTTTAATTTTCAATTTTGTATTTTTTGTTTTAAGAGAGGAAGTTGTCTGTCTTAAAGAGGAGACCACTATGAAGTCTCCCTGGCTAGGGTGTTGCCTGTTTGTCTCTGGTCTCTATGTGTGTTTCATCAATATGGGCATGAGATTAGGAGTGTCTCCGGGAGTTATAGGCCGGAGTATTTCAAGTTTCTCCTCGCGATATAAAACGTATAAGAACCTCCTAAAAATACGAAAGTTTCGTGTGTAAATGATGAACGCTCCGGAAGTCGGTGTGTCAGACTTAAAGAAAGCCTCGTCATTGTTTTAATCTCTGGCTTGGCCCCGTTAAAGGGAATATCAATGTTCCGATAGTGATCAAAGCCAATCGCTAGAGATCTAAGATTAGTAGGGACAAGCGATTATAAGATCCCGTCAATGGAAATATCGTAGGTATGCAAGCATGTCGAACCTGATCCTATTTCAAAATAGAAAAAGGAATTTTGGTTGCCAAAATCATCTCAAACCAGCCCACGACATTACGTTCGATCATTGAAGCCGCTCACCTCCCTGCAGGGCACATGATGAATATTCATGGTAAGATGGGGCCGTTTTAATCAAAAGTTGAAAGAAGAAGGCTGACTGCTCCTGGGGTCCAACTAGGCCTGTTTTACTCATCACGCATAGTAATACATCAAAAGACGAATATATCAACCCGCTAAGCATGCATGTTCTGCCCTTGAAATCATTCTTGATGTAAAAAATATTTGAAACCCACTCATTTTAGTGGCCATAGTCCTAGGCTGAATCCTTACGAAAGGAAGGTAAAAATACGCCTCGCCGCAGCTTTTGGTTTCTGTGTGCGGCGCTTCGCCATGAACCCTGCAAGAGCCACTCGTTGTATGGGGCGGGCTGGTGCTCCCGACGACACACCAATGATATGCAGATAACAACTTTCTCTTGCCCAGAATAGCCACAAAGTCACAAGAGTTTATGCATTAAATGTTCTAACATGACGTGGCAGATGAATTTTGAGTTATTTTGTATGGCCGCCAGTCAGCAGGAAGCCAGAATGCTCCACCACGAATTAACTAGAAATACCAAACATCTTCTCCTTCTTTTTGTTCTTTTTCATGCAAAAATTGAGTGTTGACTCTGTTGGGAAGCGATCATCATGTCGGATTTGATAACGTTGAAGAATAGGTATGAGACGGTGCAGGCTATTGAAGATAGCAAAGACCAGATTATCGAGGTATGCTGAGTGCTCATGGTTGCCGGCTGGCCTTCATTAACAGGCACTTTGCTTGCAGAACCTCCTTTGCTACGTTGAAAGCCTCCAAAGTGATCTTCAACAAGAGAAAGACGAATCCCAAGATCAGAAAAAGCTAGCTGGGGCTTATAGGGATGAAGTCAAGAAATTTGAGTATCTTCTTGAAGAGAAGTCTCGTAAGGAAGTATGCTCGATGGAAATTCCAGTCAATAAATACAGATGTTTAATTAACTGCATGCGTACAGGCAAAATTAAAGTTTGCATCAGTACTCGTTGATGGCGACCATATGAACGTAAGAACAATTGTTTTCAGCATCGCTACCTCGACTAACACTATACAATCCTAGTTTCTGGATGAGTTCGTTCAAGACGGACAAAGAGGCGGTCGGTCCGCAGCAAAGGCTCTCATGGGGGCAGTACAGGTCCATGTGCGAAAGGTTGCCCCTGATGTCGACGCCAACATCCATTACAAAATTCGGATGTATGCGAACGTGACTGGTTTAGCAAAGACGTATCGTGATACGGGCATAATAAACTCGGAAGAAGTCTTGCGAGCTTTTATCCAAGGATTCAACATGGAAGGGCCCCTATGTGACTTTGTGGATGCTGGTAATGGAAAGGAATGCTCCGATGTGAAAATCCGAGGTGATGCCATGATGCTTCTCATCTCGAGCGTGAGGGGCACTTGCTAACCAATATTGTAGCTCTCTTTGACCAATATTTTCTAGACGTGCATTGCCAGCACATCGCTTTCTGTGGATCTGCGGATAATGGATATGCACGTGTATTGGGGCCTCACCGTGGATCCAAGCGTATCTCCATGGTGGAGGGTCCACCATTCGGTCGCGAACTGAAAGAATTGGAAGCTGATTTTGAGACGGCATCGTTCCCTGGAGTCTTCCGATCCGAGAAGCTACCTAGAAGGGTGTCGCTTGGGGGTGTAACTGCTACGCCTGCAATCACACCGCCACGGACACCCACTGCAAATTACGCCTCCGTGGCAAGAGCAGCACCTGTTGTACCAGGAAGTGGCCCCAGGCCGGCAAATTCACCCGTGAGAGCGGTCATAACTGGAAATCAAAAATTGGTTGTGTGCAGGAATGCCAACGGGGAGCGGGTTGATAGCCCATTGCACTATTCCACGAAGCGCAAACTTGAGGTTCTCAAGCAACACAAATTCTGCAACCAGTTTCATGTATTGGGAGTGTGCTCATACGGAGGAGCTTGTACTCATAAGCATGAGCCAAGGCTTATTGACCAAGACGTGATTGACTTGATGTGTGTCGCTCGCTTGTCTGCCTGTCCGAGGGGCTTGCGATGTTATGATGAGAGATGTGTGATGGGTCACCAGTGTCCAAAAAATTGTATCCTTCAGAGTTGCAAGTTCCCTCACGGCGTTGACACCACTATTGTGACCCCAGTTTGATGTACTGACCTATTTCCGTTTCACATTGTCGGTTTATCTCATATGGTAAACTTTGTCGAAATTTCCTTCAAGGCTGTAATTTGAATGAAAAGCCTAATGTCGCTGTCGCTGAAAATCTACGTAAAGGTAGCTAAATTAGTCACAGGCCTTTTTACTTCTATTGCATAACTGGGCGTTTAAAATCTTCCATGACCTGCATTGTCACTTTCCGAGGTTACAGTCTGTTTCCAAGTATATATTACGTAAGCTAATATGACCTCAATTTTCAGTTCAAAAACATTCATTATTATTGTGTATTTGTTGAATAATTATCACTATTTAAAACACGAAGTCCAAAATCTCAATCAGCGAACCCTACTTTTCAAAGAATGTGATCCACCATCCATCAACTCAGTTGAGCGTGAAGACCATTGAAAGGCCCCTTCCAAGGTTGTCATAGGTTACGGCCAGAGAGGAGTACAAGCCCTCCTCTACTTTTTGAGGCAGACGACCTGGCTGCCGTCCTTTCCGTTGCTCTATATTGAGTTAGTCTTTATTTTGCTCAAAGGATTGCTACCAAAAACTTACAACAATCTGGCCCTTGTGGCAGCAAAGGGGACTACTACCATACTTGCATCCATCATTACCAGCTGTTTTAGATGTTAATAAACATATCCTCAACATGTTCACTGTTTGAAAATTTGGGAAATCTTACGGTGCTTGCAGTCAGATCCAACTCCATCGAAGAAGAGGATGCTAAAGGGGACAATGTTCTTGCAGCACCAAGAATTGCTGTCTTTCTCGCAGTAGCCCCTCTCTTCAAGATCAGTTTCAACTTCCTCAGCCGGATAAGCGGCGGCCATGCCGGCAATGGCGAAAACAGCGAGGATGTTCTTCACAAGCATGTTGAAGGATACTCTGGAAAGCGGAATCTTTGTTGATCTTGTTGTAGTCAATGAATTGTGAGTTCAGAAGAGACGAAAACTGGCGGAATCTTGAGCCTTTAAATAGTTTTACTCTCACCTGACAAGGTTTGTGATAGAAGCTTTAGATCATCTAGTCCAGCCCCAGCTAATATTTAATGATTCATTGATCTGGTTCGTCTGGTCGGTCTAGATCGAAGTGTGACAGATGATCCCATCACCTAAGGTATGTCCTGATGCATAGGCTGTTGTAGAGGACACCCGTAGGTATGATTGACTTGGCGTCCCGTTCGTGCGGGGATACGAAGGTTAACCTACGGTCCAAGCTAGATTGGATTTAGGTTAGTGGTTGGAACATTGAAATTGAAGAAAGAACTCATTCGGTAGAGTGGCCCACCGAGGGGATGATTGTGGAAGCAGTCTGTGCATGCAGGTTTGGATTTTTGTTTTCAGCATGGGTAGACTTTAGAGAAAGATTCTCAATTAAATAATTTAGACTCTGAGAGCCTTCGAGTGAACAGAATAGATAATCCATTGGAAACCGGGGTCCCGAAGACCTCGCTCTCTCAGTCTACTCGAGAGCCATTCCAAGTTATCATGAAATCCTAGAACTCTACAATGAGCGACAGAACGTGAAACAATCACATATCCTATTTCAGCCGCCACTTGAGATCCGTATCTTACCCTAGGAACCGGCGTGTCAGATCAAGCATAGAGCCACCCAGATGCATCGTGCAAATCAGATGCATCTTGGGCAGTGGGAATCGAACTGTTTACCTCAGTAACCATGGATTTCAGCTTCGACTTCATGTTTTGAAAATGCCCTAAGCTATGTTTTGAAGCCCGAATAAGACAGTCTAGATCCTCCAACCATGGTGCGGTGGCAAGTTGACCGCTTCCACGGAAACCGGTTCGTACCCAAGTTTTGGAACCTGTCATTGTATTTGAATACGATTGCCTAGACCACCCGATCAAATATCGGATCTTTCTGCCGATAATTCCAAAGCGAGTGTGTCAGACTTGTCGTCATTGCCAAGACTGAATCATACCACGCCACCACACGACGCACCAGAAGACGCAACACCCGTCGCAAGACCTCTTCGTCGACGGAAGTAATGCGCAACAATGGAAATTGCGGGGTTAAAGGCAAGCGATACACTCACGCCTCCCAAGACTCCAAACACCAGCATAAAATGCCAGTACCGGGTACAGAATCCAAGGAGAATCATGAAAAGCACGGTCCCGATTCCACCACAAGCGACGAGAATACGTGGGCCTTTGGCGTCAAATATTGGACCGACTTGGATTCCGCAGAAAAAGGCGTGAAACGAGTAGACACCGAGGATACAACCTATTTTGCCGGATGAATATTCGCGGAGGTGGTGCTCTTCTAGATATGTTTGGAAGATTCCTAGGCTGTTCATCATTCCGATTGTGCTGAAGCTGGCCATCCAGCTTCCGAGTACAACGCTCCAGGCGTTCCATCCTCCCTCAGGATAAGAATCAGGATCAGTTTCGGCCGACTGAGGACTATATTTCATCTGAACCGGATCTGGGTCGACGTCCGTCTGATCTTCAACTTTCTCTCATAGTGAGAAATGTTTCATTAAGTGTTGGTTGGCGTTTGTTTTGTTATCGTTGCTAATTGAAGGATCCAGAGACATATCGGAGAAACCCGCAGAGAGCTGGGGAAGTTGAACCCGGTTGATCTTCTTCTCTTTCCTCGCAAAGAAAATGAAACAAATTATTAGAATGTGTCGAGCAATATCCAGCCTCGGTAGTCATAACTCCGAATGTTGGGGACAATAGGCTCAAGTTGCTCTACCAACCTTTGATCGGGCGGACCGACGAGGGCGGGGCAAGCCAAAATGCTAGCCCACTTATCGTTTCTCCACTGACATCTGGTGATAGGCATGTGCTATCTCATGTAGCGACAGCATAGAAGGATTTTCCATGATTATATTATTTCATGCAGTGGACCATGTTTAATGTAACCGGTATATAATGAGGTTGAGGCCTAAAAGAGAAGCACATTATAATTGTAACACGTTTTGACCACTAGTGGTGTGCTAACCAAGCCTCCCAACTTAGTCAGCCACACTAAGTGTCAAACCACACTAAATTGTCACTTTCTACATAGATTAAACCACCCAGTCACCAACTTGCCTTTAAATTACCTTTTCATATCGAAATCCAATACTAATACATTCTAGCTATATCGTTATAATTCAAATATTCTAATATAAAGGAGATAGTGTGGTTTATTAACCTCTTATATTTAGCCTTACTTTATTAATTCCGCGACCGTAGAAAACGCGACGTTAGAATACTCAGTCAATAAGCACTAAAATTAGTCTAGGACGTAATACGCCTAAAATATTTTAACCTAATTAACGATTTATGTATATTTTATAAAAAATAAGATAATAAGTATTATAGAAACTTAGGTTTAGTATACTTTAAGTGACCTCCGTTACATAGCAAAGATGCGGGTAGGTAACCGTAGGTCGCTTCCTTAACGCGTATAAAAAGGCTACTAGATCATTATAAAAAAGCTCTTTGAAGATCGCATAAGCTTATTAACGCCTAAAATATAATGTAGATCGAAAATTTAGTCATTAATCTCTTTATAAATAGGTACTAAATATCAAAATTCAACTTATCTAGAAGCGTAAGGATATAAAGAAGAAGAGGGAGACTCATGAGATTCTACAGATGGCTAATTTAAATCGACCATAACCCTATAGAAAACTTAGTAGATAATAAAGAAAAAAAAAAATTTGGACAGAGAATTGGCAAAATAATATTTTAAAGTACTTAATATAATAGATACAGAAGGTATGACTCTGGAAAAGCTCAAAAAGTGTGACATATATTTCTTGCGATGGAGAATCCTAAAATCAAGAGCTATGGCACCCGTGCCTCATAGAGTACTGAATTGGATGAAATCTTCAACGAGAGGTTTTATGATATACTGAGACACCGCCGCCTGAAACTCCTCACTATCAATGTTTACGTCACGAGTTTTAGTCCAAAAAAAGCACTGCTGAACAACGTCCCCGTAATTTGGGCCACTCTCACAGGAAACATCATATATCCAATTCCTAACCCTCTCAAAAAGCGTGGCAATCTCATCTTGGCCTTGACCATTTGGTGCATGAAGGCAGGTGATTGTCCGACCAAGGGAAAGCTCAATTAAAACCAGCCCTAAAGGAAAAAGAAGGTCATTACAGCCTGCCCAGCAGAGTGGATAGCCTTCAAATTCCGTGGGGGTAGATATTCTTCGAGCTATAACGGGTGTCTGAATTGTTTTTTCGAGACTGGTAGTGGTAACATTCCCGGTAAAGATGATGTTGCGAGACGACCAACGTGATGGAAGCCAATTTCCGTGACATTCAAGAGCGGTGCTCGCTAGTTTCGCTGCTAAAAAGCGGCGTTCCCTTTTTGGAAATATCAGAGGTGTGCAGAGGTTTCCAGGGTGTGATAGTGATGCTACAAGTAAATCTTCAAGTGTGTGTAATTCCAATTTTCCAGCGCCCATCTTCAAAACCTGGAAGTCGTGCGTATATTGCCCGTCAGAGACATGACCGATCGGTGATCCATGACCATTTGGATTTAAACAGTCATAAATTGCTTGACAGATATTTGAGATCTTGCAGGAAGAGCAACTGCTGGATGTGACGGTGTTCCCATAGGTGGTTGAATCGACCGTAGATGGAGCAAAGCGTAAAGTACGCGATCTTGTACTAATTGATGCTGGCGGAGCGACAGGTACAGAGTGAATTAGGGCGGCCTTTGCTTCTATTTCGTGCCATTTTGAACAGGATGCTGTCGTTGGAGTCGTCATAAAAACTAAACGAAGCCGGTTTGGTTCCAACCGATCGCAAATGTTGATATCCTTGTCGAGAACAAAATGAAATGAGTGTGTGTCAACACAAGAACATTGCCAATAGTTCTTGTTCATTATTGTGTCGTACAGACTAGCTGTTGTTTGGCGAATTAATTTATACATTCTCGTCGACTCTTTCGATTCGGTTTTGAGTTTTTGCCGCGTACTTCGGGTGACAGATTGATCGACCAGCGTTCTGATGATGTTGTTCAGATTGTTCAAATCCTCAAACAACTGTTTGTATATACTTTTCGAAAGGATATCTTTGATTTTATGAATCCCGTGAAAGGTAGCAGGAGACTGACTTTGCTTTATCTGAATAGGCTTTTTAGCGATGGGTGCGTGGAGAAACCTTTTAGCCCGCAGCCCTTTGCGGGCCAAGAACAATAATGGGATTGTTGACCACTGTGAGTACATGTACTTACTGAGTTATTCAACTGAAGCCCCATCTTGTTTGCCAGTTCTTCCAAGATGTGGGACACTTGGCTCATGATGTCGCAGAATGGTGTGTAGCCCCGACCTAGCCTTTGTTGAAGATCTTTCTGAAGAGTTGGATCCGCCCACAGCAGATCCTGTGTATCTGCCAAGAGCCTCGAGATTTGATCCTCGGGGACAATATCTTCCAGTATTGTTTCTAAGCAATTGAGCAAGATTGCGTGTTGTCCACCGAGAATAGCTGCGCGTTCATCTAAATATCTGCGATACCGTTTCGTTCGAAAGGACTTCATCGTTTCAACGCCCTGGACACAGCTGTCCAGTTGGTTTATAATCAGAGGAAGAATAGCTAGAACCAGGCCAGTGGCCTCAATACCTGTAACCATCTTTCCAGGGTGTTGCCTATCGACACAAGTGTTTGGATATCGAAGGAGTTATATGAATGCCTATGCCTGTTGAGGCAATCATACAAGGCCAACTCACTGACCCCGCCTCGAAGCCCCGCCCAACCAGATCCCCAAAAATAGTACCTGACTAGGCGGGGTAATTCTATCTTCTTATCGAAGACCTTCGTGTTGGAAAGAAAATCGATGCACTAATTCCGGGGTAACAAAACAATATGGATGTCCAAAAGACGATATCATCTGAAGTCGTAATATGCCGAGGCCAATTTCAAGATCTATTACAGTCCGGGAATCTGCAAAGGTTCGAGCCCATAGTCAAGCTTTCACAGTGGAAAGATGAACTTGGGCGATTTCGGGTTTGGGTTTCGAACATAGGTGCTCATCAGACATGTCAGTTGTCTTTGGAGTATCGACTGCGGGATGCATCCCACATTAAAAGTCAAGTAATGAGGCAGCTTGGCAGGCTCCATCGTTTACTTGTGGACTTGCAAGATACCGCGGAAGAGGTATTAAACACAGGCATGCCAAATGAGGAGCTTGAATTTGATCCAATGGAAGAAGTCCGACTGATCTACTCTGATCTGTTTCATACGATTACAAAACTTTATGAAATGTCTATAATCATTCGAAAACCATCTTCGCATGACCGCTTGAAACAAATTCAGAAGTCTGATTATTTCAACTTCGAATTGAATGATCGACAGCATCTATATGCCAAATTCCCTTATGCATCCCGCCAGATCTTGGATCGACTCGGGACTGCCAATTCCAAACGCCGAGCACTCTTGAAATACCGAGAAAGGCATCGTCAAAAGCTCGGTCATGGGGTTGAAGGAGAAGACAGCAAGACGACAGCCCCCTCGGAAAGTATGGCAACTGAGTTTAGAGACCCAGCTTTGAACTCTTGGGACGGGAAGTCGGAATCAGATCAATCCATGACATCATATGGGAACTTGACAATGGACGCCGATGAAGACATTGCTCATCTGAACCCACCGGAAGGTGCCATAATAGGTCAGCCATTTGAATGCCAGTTGTGCTGTCATATGGTTCAAACCAGTGATAGGAAGTCCTGGATGCACCATATATTCAGCGACCTTATGCCCTATGTCTGCACGTTTCCAAGTTGTAAGACCCCCGATCGACTTTATGAAAGGAGGCATCAATGGGTTGAACATGTGAAAATCCACCATGAACTCTCATTTGATGTCCCACTCACCACAGAGGCTCGTTGTGTATTGTGTCAGAAAAGCATCACTCGAGGCCATCCTTTTGATCGACACCTTGCAAGACATTTAGAGAATGTATCTCTCTTTGCCGTGCCACGAAGTTTGTTCGAAGACTGGAATGACCCGACGTTTGGATGCGAAGAAGAAGCATCCTGTTCTTCTCAAGGTGTGAACTACGCTTCAGCTGAAATAGTAGGTGAACCTTTTACATTGAATTCTTTTAATGCTCACGTGGTGCCTTGCAGGATGAAAACAACTTACAGTCTGATGCGGATCAAGGCATTGAACGGTTTATTCCAGACGAAGATCAAACAGACTTACACATGGAGGATAGTTCGGCGAGCTCACGGCAAACTATTCGAGCAAGGCAGACATACCAAGAAATGGACAATAATTGGACGAGTCCATCACAACCACTTCAGGGAATGACCTCTATTATGAATAAATTTTGGTCATGTGTAAGGCTTATTGGATTCCTATGATATATCTTTTACTAAGACAGTATTAGTGTGCCTGCGGCCAGATGTCCAGCTTCGCTTTATCTCCAGAGCGCTGTCCATGCTGTAATCATCCCGTCTGCAGCGCCTGCGGACCAACGTGACGCAAATGAATATGAACATGACATAATGGGAAAAATACAGACCAATAATTCATGACTTAGGAAATTTCAACCTGAAGTGATAACATTTGGTAATAGAAAAAAATGGTGCACTAGAACACCGCAACTTGAACTACCAGGCACCTGTTTGAGATCATTTTCATATAGGGCTTTTTTGTGCGAATAGCTCTATCTTTACACTTTGGCCACAATTGACACTTATCTATATGTAGAGAATATAGTTTTCTAGAATATGCCTTTGCGATCACGAGGCTACCTCTTTTTCTGTCATTTTGTCACCCTTTCCCAGCAAAGTTCATCTCGGAGCACCCGGGCGTTAAAACCTTGTCTTACAACCGTTGGCCTTTAAGAGAATCCTCTGAAGGTTCTCAAACCAGTTTCGTTCCCAGCTACAAGGTTCGGACAGGTGACACTAGGTCTCAGAGACTCTAAGGTCTGTACAATCAAACTTTATTCAGCGGAGAAGAATTGATAGGTATCTCTAGAACTCACAGCAATCTCATACTTACAAGTGATATGCTGGCGGGGGGCGAATGCCATCTCCTACCCCATTCGTAGCTGTGCGAGTGGAAGGAGGCTAGTCTTGAGTCACTTCGGCGCCTTTACTGTCGATGATGCTTGTAGAGCGGATGGATAATGCAGAGCAACTAACAGAACTAACCCGAGTCATACTGATTGTGTCAGTGAGTAAGATGACCTGTCCCGGTAGAATGCGAAGCCTGTGATGGCCGGCCTCGTTAGATCTGAGAAACCTGAACAGCCATGGCATGATGGAGCAATCCATTTCATTTCAAGCATTACATGATGTATACCGCCCATTGGAGTCTCAAGAAACGAGATGCGAGGATTCAACGATGCACTGACAAATCTTTGGGAGTAAGGCGCACCCTAGAGGTCCCTGTCCTGGGGGTCCTAGCGATATGGAAAAACTCTGAAGATGACCTATCTCCTACTCAGGTAAGCCTTATGAAACTATGGTGAGGCTTGGAGGAGTGGAGAATAATTTGAGAAGCTTTGTGGAAGATTAGGAGGATCGGCCGCAGACGGGGAAGCTGGGAGATACCGGTGAGTGAGCCCCTGCCGTCTGACACGGGTGAATCGGAGACAGAGAGAACCCTGGAACAAAAAATACCAGACTGTTACAACTCATCTAATTTACCCCATTGGTTATAATTAATACATACTAAGCCCAGTGTGATAATCGTGGCCCTGACCCTTAGCCCAGATGTAAATTATGTTCCTACCTGCATCGATGAGCGGGGTCTAATGTCTCACATGGCAAGGAATCAACACAGATGCTGCTTAATACAAGGTAAAAGAAAGCTTCGATTTAGGTCATAGCAACGTTGCTTACATGGTGTTATAGCGCTATCAGTGCCAGTGCATTGGCAAACGAGGACCCCGGTGAGAAGTGGATCACATTATCACCAAGGCCACTTTGCTGTATGAATGAGAGTCTCGTCGGTGAGGAGGGGTACATGCGGTGCGGTGGTGATGCGGGTGGCCAGAAGGCTGAGTGGGGGCTGTGTTAGAAGGGAATCGCCCTAACAATTGGCATATGTACACATTGACCGGCCCTTGTACCCAAGCTGAGCGCATTTGAAAATATGTCATCACCAACACAATGCTTCTTGCTCGCCATACTCCCTTGATTGCGGCCCAATATGTCACTCTCTAACGTGTCTTTGAATACCAAGTCTTGGAAATTAAGAAGTCCCAGTTGGGAGCTGTAGGTGTTGATGATACTTTCAAGGTTTAATTCATGCGTTTCCGTGATACTTCCAAGGTTTAATTCATGCGTTTCCGTGTTGCGCCGAAGGGTTGTTCGCGGTAACAGTACGTGTATGAAACATTTTCAAGGTTATGCTCCGTAACAAAGAGAAGACAAGTATTTCAAAGGGTATTCATTACCTTCACTGCACATCCAAGATGCTCCCTCAAAATCATACAGAAGGTACTCTGTAAACTTCAAGCTTCGCCGATACCACTCGAATCATGCCTTGAATTTTCCTCGCTGAAGAAAATTTAGTCGAAAAAGCTTCCAGCAGCTCAACAGCCAGCTCTAGATCATCAATGACCCTAGCATGATCCAGAACCAGGGAAATATGATCCGCTTGGGCAGTAGAAGTGTACATAAGAGACAGAGCTGAATTGAAGATAGCCACAAGATTCAACCAATTATAGGCAAAGCGTCGTTGTCTGTACATATTTGTAGCTTGTCGTATTGCCATTGACGACGCTTCGGCTAAGATCTTCATTTTCGCGGAGTCCAAACTTGGACTCAAAGGCGAGGGACGGTAAAGCATGATGACGTGGGTGTAATAGTTTAGGTCGAACCAACTTGTACACAGATGAGGTACCTTTGATTGAAGATCTGGTAAAGGAAATGGCATGCTGCGACGCCAGTCAAGTAAGCGTTTGTGGAGAGATTGTAGAGTTTCTTCCCGGGCTTCTGGGCTTTGTTGTCGGCTAAACTTTGGAGAGTGCACCTGGGTGCCGATGTCACTAGCGATTCTCCTGAGTGCGAGAATGTGAAGTGGAACTGCCATTGTGGATGGTTCCAGGTTGGTTGTTGAGTTTATTCCGTCTGGTTTTATACTTTCGTCGTCGACCTCGGAGAAAGGCTGTGAAGGATCAGCGACGAGCTTGTTCATGATTAAAAATTAACGCGAACCTCAACAGTAATGTCATCATCTTGGATAGCGAATGGGCGGCCAAGGGCCAAAGACACGACACTGGAAATAGTGTTAGGTACCAGCGCCCTGAATTCATGATCAGCTTGACTTACCGATCCATCATATAAAGACAAAAGAATATTCGCTTTTGTTGCTCTGCTGCATCTACAGCTAAATTTTGATATACTTCCGCTGTATGAAGGCCCATCCCAATTGCCATTCGTGCCGCAACTCCAACTAGAAACCAAGTATCTATCAAAATTTAGACATGAGATAGTAACAGTGTGCGCTCGTGAATTTCTAAACATACTTGGTCCAATCTTATTGAAGAATGAGTATGATACCTGCAGCATTAACACTTCCAGACCGGCCTGGTTGTGATGCGTTAGTACCAAAACCTTTGACCGATTTACAGGCATGAACTCTCACCAGATCCCCACACCCCATAGCCGACTCAAAGTAAGTCATCGCCTTGTTGAAGAATTGAACCGATTCGGTCTCATCCATCAAAGAGACCGAGCAGTACGTTGTAGACCCAATAGCTAAAACCATCCAAATCCTATATTGCCACAAGGGAGACTGAGCAAGTGGGTCCAAAGGATCGGCCAATATTCCCCATAGTACAGCCTCGAAATCGCTTTTCCTAATCATCGGGTAAAGAGTGTGAGAGTGAGCAAAATAAAATTCCAAAATATAGCTGATGTGAGAAGGTTCGAGAAGTGCAAGAGCCATGGAGTCTTCAAAGTCCTCGGCCGTATTACCCAATAAGAAATCCAATGGCAGTGGACTGGTCAGTGAAGGAAGCATCTCGAAATATTTCATGTTCAGATTCGAAGATGTGTCGGGCTCGGACTCATGATTGTGCTGATTCTCGTCGCATTCCCCGTCAAACATAAATCCATCTTGGTCCGGCGATAGACGTTGGAGGACTGTCTGGGTGAGCTTGGCCAATGAAAGCCCGGAAGAAGACCCCAAATATCGCTCGGCTGCAGCTTCTAGCGAGAGGAGCCTGAGCTCTTCAGCAAAACTGTCTGTTCGAGGAGCAGAAACACGCGCATTCGTGGGTGAGACGGCCGAAGGGTCAAAGCTAGGGACCTGGTTCGCATCGGATGGTAATGGAGGGGTGTGATTGACACTGTCTGAATGTAGGAAGGCGGTACCCAAGTCACTCAAGTGAGCCTCCGTATCTTCGTTCCAGGCATATGTCGATGGCTCGTTCTGGGAAGTTTGTGGTGTCAGAGCCGATGCGAGTCTCTGCTCGAGGTCCTTGACCCTTCTTTCTAGCTGCCGTACATAACTTTGTGAGTCAGTCTTGGTCGCAGTTGATCCGGCTGGCGAAGAAATCATACGAGATAGGATATGATGCTACTTGAGCTTCGTCATCGAGGAAGCTACATGCGACTTTGGCATGTTGACACGCGTGACACTGCGGTAAGGTCTTGTCACATCGTTTCTTTCTTCGGTGACACCGCTTGCATGAGTTTTCTGACCGTGCGGCTGGCTCCAGCATTATTTTTCAGCATGAGACAAGACTGCAAGAGAGACGAAGATAGTGGGGAAGATAAGGGTCAGATTCATTAGATTAGCAATTGCCTTGGCGGTTCGCCGTCAGATCTGCACTAAATCGGGTACGAATTCTTGAGAGGCAAGCCTTGTTAGATTCTCAGATTCTCAGTACTCTCATCACTCCCTACGTTAAGCTTGACCTGATGCGTAAATCCTTTCCAGTGCACAGCTGGAAGACCTGCCCTGCCAGGTCTCGTGCGGGGGAAGAGGACGACTGTACAAAGGCCAATAGAATAATGGAGATTTATCATGGTGGGGCGGGCCTTATCTGATGTGGGGAAATATCGTTGGATACAGTGCATTTTCATTACACATCGTGAAACCTACAGTCATATTCACCATCTGCATCCTCGTATTGCAGTCTAGCTTTGGCGAGAATAATACATGCCGACGTTGGAGTAACGTGGTCGGTAAGCGAGTGGGCCATGTAAGCGAGTGGGCCACCCAACCACTTTTCCTACACATATATGCATATATATCAACCATATAACGTCTTATATTCATATAACTCTACTTGGACATGCTGTTTTTCTATGGCCAATTTCACCATAATTACCACATTTAGGTAAAGCCCGGGGTTTTGGTATTTCCGAGGCCTGTGCTAGAGGCACCCGCGGACCTAGCCTTGCTTAAAAGAACGAATTATGAGCCTCCTGGAGCTATAGAGCCTCTTATATGGATAGACCACCTTCTTGTGCTATCTACCTAGTCGTACGTTCACGTCTTTTCTTTTATATATTGTGTTCGTCGCGTAGTAGCTTGTTTTCTGCCTCGAGAAGGATGCCGTTCTGCATAGTAATTTGACAGCCTTTGATAAGCTGGTTTAACGCGGTTTGAGATGGTGATGGAGGGCTTCTTAAGCGTTGCTTAAGGAAAGCTTTAATTAAGGATGCTTGCTTATAAAGCTCGTCGACGTTCGTGGGTGTATATAGATGAAATATGCTTGTTTGACTACCGCGGCTTACTAGAGGTATTGGCGTACGAAGTCGAATATTAAGCTTTGATAGTACTAGCTTAGGATTAAATGGCACTAATCCTGCTGCTTAAAAGCTATTCTGAATTGTGCTGAATTTAAAGGCTTTAGCACGAGCTTTTGGATAGGCTAGAAGGAAGTTAAGCTTATCGATATGGCTAATTCCAAGCCGCATTTTTTGGCTAATAAAGCTACCGTACGCGCGCTTTAAAACTATAAAATACCTAATATTGAGCGGTTATAAAAGATGTGAAGAGTGCGTAGGTATATAGAGTGGAATAATATCTAAATCCGCGTAAATTTAATCGAATCTTGACGTGAGATAGCTTCTATGTCTATTAAGAATAAGAAGTCGATATCGCCCACGCGTATAGTAAGTTGTTGATGGAATAAATTGTTTTTGAAGCCAGCGAAGGCCTATCTTATTAGTCGTCTATCTATTATTACTAACTTCGAAGCGCTAATTGTGTGGAAGTTCCTTAAACCATGCCTGATTATATTGCTTTCCTTTAAAGATTATTGTTGGTAGAAGCGCCTATCCTAACGCGCTAATTAACTCGATTGCGGTTACCTACTTACGATTTCCTGGCTATAAAACTAATCTCTGACCGTAGTATTCTGCCCGGGTAATCACTTTTTATATTGAATAAAGCCCCATCGCGAATCCTGTCTCGTTAAAGTTATAGATATCGTCCGTGAGGATGCCATATTGTTGGATGGTAGATTAGACGAGGTTAAACCACTCCTAGATGATCTTTGGGTCTTCTTATAGTGCTCGTTAGTAGTCGTATTGTCTTGAGAAGCGTGATTTGAGCTCTTGATGACATTTAGTGAAGTTATATACCCATTTTTCGCTGACGGTTTGAATCTGGGTAGAACCACGCTTTTCGAGGAGAATATTGGCTATATCTCGTATATGAGCTTGTGTAGGGGCTGCTCCATGAAGATCCAGAGATAATATGCGTTGTATAAGGATATTCTCTTTAATTTCAGTCAATTTATGACCATTAGCGCGAGATTCAGTCCGATTTATGGTACCGCGGAGTCGACGCGTGAGCGTATTCCGAGGAACTCCATATTGGTCCGCAGCTTGCCGTATAGACGCAATTTCCTTGTTTTTTATAGCTTTTATAGCAAGCAATATACGGCCTTCTTGTTGGATAGAATCCTGGCTTGATATACTGCGTTTTGGAGGCATGGTGGGTGGTTGAAGATAGACGTGTCTCTGGAGACGCGAAAAAGTGGTTGGGTGGCCCACTCGCTTACATGGCCCACTCGCTTACCGACCACGTTAAGGTAGGTTGCCTGAATTCAGAGGCAAAAAAAAAAAAAAGATCATCGGTCATGCCGTCGCTCTTAATCGGACCACCCGCAAAGATCCCATGTGGCGCCTTTTTATAAAGGACATCCAAATCGAATAGCCGTCATGGTTCAAAGCCTAAAGTTACTTATGCAAATTCTTTTTTACTCGAAAAATGTCCTCCAACGGTCAGTCCTTCCTCCTAGATCCCGAGAAACAAGCCGGGCCCACCCGATACTCCCACGCGCGGGTAGTCCAACCCTCCACCCACCACACCATCTATATATCCGGAATTGCTGCCGTCACACCAGATGGAACCTATGAAGGAGTTGTCGAAAATCCTGATGGAAGTTTCACAGCCGATGTGAAGGAACAAACCGCTGCTATCTTGCGTCGGATTGACAGCATTATCCAAGGTGCATCCGACGGGAAAGCAAATATTTACAACATTGTCGATGCGATTGTTTACATTTTGGATATGAAGACACAGTATGCTGGGATGAATGAGGAGTGGAATAAAATCTGGGCAGACAGAGCGAACGCGCCTAGCCGAGCGACAATAGGAGTCAAAGAGCTGCCGGATCCTCGGTTTATGGTTGAAATTAAAGCTACGGCAATTTTCAAGGCATAGTCATATTCAAGACAATCATCTCAAACACCGAGACTCGTGTCATCTGTGCTACTAGACTATTAGTGGTACTTTTGAGAATACCCAGTCAGACATTAGATAGGATAATGTTCCAATGCCGAGTGCGGCCTTTCTTATCGGGGCTGCCGCCGCTTTATGAGGGCGCCCAGGAAGATCAGCGAGTGGATGTCAGCACAATCTTTTGGCAACGCTTAGTGAAGATCGCAGATTTGTGTAACTATACCTAAATCTTATCTGGCAAAGTGAGGCTTATAGGGCCATTTATTCTGTGATTGTTAGTTTCATAACGATATTTAGGCTGCCCTTCTTTTCTGGAAGATCCCTTGCCGCCATGGGAAAGTGAGCGTGACGTCTATCTAACGGGAGCTTAGATTACGTTGTACCAGTCTATATGCTTTCGCTCCAGCCCGACACAAGTTTTTAAGATCAAGAGAACTCAATACAGTAAAGACACATATTTTCCTTAGATCTATCAGTTGCAAGAAGGGATTGTATATACGCTTCAGGTACACTATTGTCCGGTGGACATAATTTAGACGTAGAAGAGCGCAAAAGCAACACCGAGTAAAGCCACGACTCCTTTGGGGGCGCTCGACTGAGACGACGCGGCACCAGCCGAAGACAGAGGGGAGGCGGAGGTACTGGTGGATGAATCCTCGGACGAGGTCGACGACGTCGTCGTAGTAGGAGACGTGGTGAGTGATGATGAGGATGAGGAGGTGGTGGTGGTAGAGGTTGTGGAGCCTGTGATGGAAAAGGTGTATTAGTTTAATGTCCTTGTAACATTTTGCGGATTGCATCATGCCTGAGGAAGACAAAAGACTAGTCAATGCAGGTGGCGTGGTTGTTGAGGATGCCGAGGATGCAATGGTAGAGGTGACCGTCGTAGAAGTGGTCGTACTGGACAAAGAAGAGGTGGTAGAGATGGTAGAAGAGGAGGATGTGGTACCATCATCCGAAGCACCCTTCTTGACAGTGAAAATGTCACTGACGGCGAGCTGGCCAGCGGAATCAATTATCTGGATCTCGTAGTCATTTCTAAGTCATTGAATGGCATTAGTGTAGCTCTGTTCTATTCACGCAACCTTATCTTCTACATACCCATTGGAAATGCTAGGGTTAGGTTGAGTCGTGTATTCGCCGTTAGAGGTTTTGACGTTGTCCGCCAATTTGGTCTGGAAGGAGCCATCTTGACTTCGAAGGATGATGCTGACTACTGAAGGATCACTGGAGTCGCTAGTGAACTTGATAGTTTTGGCAGTGGAAAAGTCCCACACCGTATCTGATGAGGGGGTGGTTATAGTGATTGCAAAAGCCGATGAGAGAAGGCTGAGGGCCGCAATGGTGAATGAGTAACGCATTGTGATTGAATAGAATGGAACTACCGAGATGTATTGAAGGGATCTCCCATTCTTCCCCAGCAAAAGACTATATATTTGGTCTATGGACTGGTAACTACATGGAGACGGTTGTAACAAATATGTGTAGGTGCACAAATCAGTAAATTCCAGCTGAAACTGAGCGCATTGGAATACGAGATATTGCGAGCCTTGCATATAAGCGGAATATGATCCTTAAATCGAGCTGAGCGGTGAAATAGCTGGAAAAATCCAGGGGCCATTCTGGTGTCCACGTATGGTAACAGCAAATGGGTACTGTTGGGATCATCCCTGCATCAACGACCCGCCCTGTTGTGTTGGGTTCATCAAAGTAAGCATTGCACCTTATCTTTCCAATCAAGTTTCCGAAACGCATCACGACCTGTGATGTTTGCTGATAATGAGTTAAAGTTCTTACTAATGGCTGAAACATGTCAGCGCTAGGTTGGCGGTGAGAAGTGCAGTAAATACGAAGTATACCGACAGGGCCCGGAAGTCGAGGTTATCATTTTTGGAAATTTATTATCGTTATATTGTATTTTTACTTACAGCCTTCAACAAATACTGGTCATGACTGGTACCATTCCCACATGAGCTATTGTAGGTGTGCATGCCGTTTATTATGTTACGCCCAATATTGAACAGACTATCGGAATTCTGCTCCAAGTATGTAGTTTCTCGTGACTTACCATGTTTCTTATTTCGTTGTAACTTAAGGTATGTCATGCGAGAATAATAGAGCTGTATGCAAGGTATATCTATTCTATGGTAAAACCTCTGTATAAACCATCGAAAACTAATGCGCAATGCAGGAGACGCGATCAAAACAGAAAGGATGGCGGTCTAGAGAATTAGATGGAAATGCAGGACGTGGTCAATGCAGCCATGAGCATCAATGTTCTCATCTCCCACGACAAACCGAATAAGGAGATCCCGGCGCCGGTAGATGTATTTGAACTTTTTGACGAGGCTGTGGATGTTTGGGTGTGATTTCCGCAAATATTAGTGCTTCGGTTCAGGCTTTCGGTAGGATAGTACACCCGAGGGCCTCCATCCGAGCTGAGGTCCACATTGACATTTCCGCTTGAATCAGTCAAAAATGATTTGCAAGATAAGAGCTCGGTCACGTTTTGTCCGGATGAAAATCCCGTGCCATCGGAGCTAAGCGTGATTTTGGTGGTGACATTTGTGGCTGGTTTGGCTCCCAGGTTGGACACCACACTCACAACCTGATTACCGGTAAATCCTTTGCGCATGGCCAAGATGTTTGTTGAGTTGTAGATTGGCATCGAAAGATATGACAGATAGTTGCTCCCTGATTTTGGAGCGACCGTGAATTTTTCTCCGTCGCCGCTCGCATATGATCGAATTCGATTCAATGACTGAACCAGCAAAGGCAGGGAGGTCGAGTTCATCGAGTATTTGGTAAGCCATAGAGCCTCCCGGTTGACAGGGTTGAACCCGCCTGACAAGTGTTGTTCTTCCCCGTAGTAGACTGTATTGTTTGTATTAGTTTGTTTGATTTATGTTTCATTTTTCTTTTGAGAACGCAACGTACAGATCGGGATACCATCAGCAAGCATGCTGATTGTGAGAATGTTGCGAGCCAGCTATTCGGAAGTGCCAAAGTCAAAACGTGCTGACACAAAAAACTCAATGCACTAAACTCACCGATACGTCTGAAGTATACGAGCCAAAGCGAGGGACATCCTGATTCGATGTGAAGGTTCCCAAAGATAGCACATCCTCGCAATGTGCTCGGATATAGTCGATAGACTCTACAATTCGGTTCAGGTCTCCCTTGGTCGTGTTGAAGGCTTCTGAGAGGATATAGTACCTAAACGGTGTCAAAAAGCTCTTTGTTTATCTTGATGAATCACTCACAACGGATAATCTAAAAGTCCGCTTATACCAGGCTGCAGGGAGCAATAGCCAGATGCGTCTTTTGTGGCCCCTTCGCCCATAGTGAAAACGCCCGCTGACTTGCTGAAATTGGAGAAGAAGACCGGGGGGATGTTTAAGACGCTGTCGATTCGCAAGCCATCAACTGCATAGGATCATTATCATTTAGTAGGTTAGAGAGACACGAAAGGTATAGACATACCTGAGTAGTTTTGAACCAATTGCGAAACCCAGTTGCCCAGAATCTGCTGGACTTCCTGGTCCTCGTTTCGCAGATCTGGAAGCGATACGGTGTTGTCTCCCATCCAGCACTAATGAAGGCTTAGCAGTGCCCTTATAGCAAACTATTAAGACTTACATCTAGAACACAGGTTTCATTTGTGGGGTCCTCAGAAAGTAGCTTGTAGTGGTGAAAATACTTCTGTTTATTGAATGGATTGAACGTGGTGTAGTCGATCGTGGAGGCATTTCCAGCCCAGGCCATATCACCAACGACAATGTCCAGCATCAAGTACTATTTTTGCATGTCAGTCTCATTAGTAGACATGGCAGCCGGCGACTCACCATGCCACGCGCGTGCAGCGCTGCGGATAACGCTTGAAGGTCTTCTGAAGTGCCAAAATGGGAATTGACGGAATACAGATCGTTTGGCCAATATCCATGGTATGCTGTCATCCATCAATCATTAGTCCCTTATATTCGCCGATTGTCCAGATGACCATACCGGAGAGATCCGATGTGCGAGTTGACTCCTGACTTTGCACTGGAGAGATCCAAACAGCATCGAACCCGAGTCCCTGAATATAATCCAGCTTATTTATGATGCCTTGAAAACTCCCACCACAATATTTGCCTAGCCCTGCGTTACAAGAAGCGATAGTTGAATTATCGGATCGAGCGAAGCGATCGGTGACCACTTGGTAGATCGACCGACCGAGCCATTGGTCTCGGGAAGCCGCATGTACTGTGTGTACTATTCCAATGGCAGTAATCACCAAAACTTTCCACCACCACATTGTTGGTGATTTTTGCATGACAGGTCGAAGGAGGATCAATTGACGGATGGAGTCATTCATGATGAAGGGCCACTTGAATTCACTGACAAATATATGCAGAAATAAAATTATCTACGGTGAGGTGCAGGTGTGTATTGTACCGTATGCGTAATACATATGACTATCAATGATCTGTCATGTCGGCCCGATCGGCAGCCCGCCTCGAACCACTCGTACCTTGAATCGAGCGCACGGATGGCTTCCAACGGCAGAAAAGCGGGCCGTGGTGTGTTTGCGATGACTCGGCTCCGCTAGCCTAGTTGACGATCTTTGTCCACGTCAATTTGTTGGATTGTTCTCGAAGTGGAAGAGCCGCGTGGTCGATTGCAATCTGGCCCGATTTCTTGGACAGTTGTAGCAATCCTTGCGCGATAATTCATTCGTCCATCATCAGATTCTCCGGGCAGGTCCACATGGGGATCCAAATATGACAGCTGGGCTTTGTTCCATGTGGGTCTGAAAGGTATCAGTGGGGTCAGATAAGGAGGAGTTCGGCCATCCCGCTGACCATTCAATTGCTCCTTTGGCCTTGAATGGGTTTGACAGCAAACTGTTGACGGTTTCAGCCCAGCTAAGCCAAGCCAAGCACAAAGTGCATAAATTGCCGACTACCAATTACGCCTTGCCGCAGCCCTAGCGGCAGAGACGGAGTGGCCGTAAACAATTGCAAAAATCAATACAAGACAGGAACGACGCGCATCAACAAGCTACACCGTTATCATTATATCCACCTCTCGCCTGTTCTCATAGGTCTGTCCTGTATCAGGTATGACGTGTTCTATCCACTATGAGGCGGGATACCCAATTTAGCATAGTTTACACTTTATGATCGATAAATTACTTCCGGCATGACTCGTCTTGGAACACTTGTATATCTAAAGGTCGTATACCGATGCATGTCAGCTCGTCTCCATTTGTATGAGACATGATCTGGATTGGGCTTGGGACTCGGTCTAGATACCCGAACAATGCGCGCACCAAAGATGGTGTATGTTGGCATGAGATCCACCATCCAAAATTAGAACCGCTCAATCGCCTAGCGAGAGGATGGTGATACTTTCTTGTGTATTGAGGCTGTACAGTAAGACCGGCTCGTGTCTCCAGCAGTTCGCCTGATTCCTGCATCTATGCTGATTTACAAACCAATGATTGGTACATATCCTCGCGCTCAGAATCAATTATTGCATTGGGCTGAGCAGTTCTGGGGTATTCATTATCTTTCGCATATTTTTCTTGCACATCTGCACTCTATGAATCGTTCATTGTCTCTGTTTCTATGGGGTATTCCTTTTTCTTGGTATGCACTCTGTGATTATCTTTTTGCAATCAAGGCCTGATCAACGTGATCTGTGAATGCCACTATAGTGGCATTTACTGTGCGGTATGAAGTTGCTCACTTCCATCGCTCGCTACGTTGGTATTGTTTCAATATCTATACGCATTGCACAATCCCTGCCATACCTTCCAGAGGAAGCAAACTGGAACCTCAATCAAAATCCGACAGCGACACACCCCCTCGACTACTCGGGCCAGTGGGATGGCCACGCATACAACCCTTCGCCAGAGAACTGGCGGTTCCCTTTTTACACCATATTTCTTGACAGATTTGTAAATGGTGACCCGAGTAACGATAATGCGAATGGCACACAGTGGGAACATATCTTGACCTCCAACGAGTTCCGCCATGGCGGCGACGTTCTTGGGTTAGTCGACACGTTCGATTATCTTCAGGGAATGGGGATTAAGGTGCGTCTGTTGCTTCAGGAATGCTGGATGTGGATATATATTGACCATATCTAGGGCGTTTATCTTGCTGGGACACCTTATATCAACTTCCCCTGGGCCGCGGACGGATACTCCCCACTCGACCTGACTCTACTGGATCATCACTTCGGTACGATCGAGGACTGGCGCACAATGATATCAGAGGCGCATCGACGGGGAATTTATGTTCTTTTTGATAATACCTTTGCAACGTAAGTGAGATCCATCTGCGCAACCTCCGATGTTGTCTGCTGATTATGGATAGAATGGGCGATCTTATCGGTTTTCAGGGTTTCTTGAACAAATCCGCCCCAATCAATCCCAACGAATACGACTATGTATGGAAATATGATCGGCGTTACTGGGACTTTCAACCTGGAAATGAAGTTGAGAGCGAATGCCTTTGGGAATATCCCCGATTCTGGGATGATGATGGCACCGGTCTGATCACCACAACCCTTGGTCCTGAATGTCGCAACAGTGAATTCGATCAGGTAATGTTAATTTCCTGCGATATTGAGCATAACTGACAATTACAGTATGGGGAAGTTGCCGCCTTTGGAAATTACACCGAGTGGGAAGGGCAGATAGCCAAATTCGCATTTGTACAAGATCGTCTTCGCGCATGGCGGCCGGACGTGCTGGCCAAGATCAAACACTTTTCGTGTCTAACTATCACCATGCTTGATATCGACGGATTCCGCGTAGACAAAGCTCTGCAAGTTACCCTTGACTCTCTGGGAGAATGGTCCGAGTATATGCGGGATTGCGCCAAGCAGGTGGGAAAAGAAAACTTCTACATTCCGGGGGAAATTGTGGCCGGAAACTCTTTTGGCTCACTTTATATCGGTCGAGGTCAACAGACAAATCAAACAAAATCTAATCTGACGGAAGCTTTCATGATGACGAACAAGACAGACGGATCAGAAAAGGATCTGTTCTTGAGACCTGCTGAGAGGTCCGCGTTGGACGGGGCGGCGTTCCACTACACGTTATATCGTGGTCTAAGCCGGTTTCTAGGGTTAGCTTATCCCCCTAAGCACTGTCAGACTACCTGAGCTAACATCTTCCCGCTTAGTCTAGATGGTACCTACACTGCCGAAGGCGACCCGCCAGTCAAATTTGTGGAGACCTGGAATGATCTTGTGAAAACCAACGATATGGTCAACACGAACACCGGTGAATTCGATCCTCGTCACCTGTTTGGTGTCACGAATCAGGATGTCTTCAGGTGGCCAGGGATCAAGAACGGGACTCATAAGCAGAATTTGGGTCTGTACGTCGCTTCACTGCTCATGCCTGGAATTCCCATCCTCTCCTGGGGCGAGGAACAGGACTTTTACGTCCTGGACAACCAGGCTGACAACTATGTCTTTGGTCGTGGACCCATGACATCTGCTCAGGCATGGCAGATGCATGGATGCTACAAGCTGGGGTCATCAAAATACATTGACTTCCCGCTTGACCGCTCCCTGACTGGATGTCAAGATGATTCCGTCAGTCTCGATCACCGCGATCCTTCTCACCCGGTACGAGGCCTCATCAAGATGATGTTTGAGATGCGTCAAAATTATCCTGCACTGAATGATGGCTGGTACTTGCAGCAATTGTCAAATCAGACGTATGACATTTACCTTCCAGGCAGTAATGGGACACCTACTGAGACTGGAATGTGGAATGTCATGAGGTCACGCTTTGCGAACACGCAGAATTTTGATGGTCAAGGCCAGGGGAATCAAAGCGTCTGGCTGGTGTATTCTAATGACAACAAAACAGTCGATCACCAGTTTAACTGCAGCAGCAAGGACGCTTTGATCTCGCCATTCTCTGTGGGAACAACGGTTAAAAACCTCTTTCCGCCATTCGAGGAAATGACCCTGACCAACAGCTCGACTACTCTTGGGTATGATGACTATTCTGGAGTTGGTTCCTGTTACTGACGATGAGTAGATTCGAAGGGTCTAAAGTTCCCAACGGGTGTCATCCCAACCTTACTATGCCGGCGTGGGGCTTTAAAGCCTTTGTTCCGAAAGATAAATTCGTGCGGCCTTCCCCATATATAACACGGTTCTCCCCGGGGCATGACGCTCGACTTGTGTCCCAGGAAACAAGTGGGGAGGTAATACGAATTGCCTTCGAATTCTCCCAGAAGATGAATTGCGAGGACATTACCGACTCGCTGACGATCACCTCAAAAGCACTTCACGACGAGAGTCCGCAGCTTGACACGACGTCGATCTCTTGTCAATCGATTGAAGAGACTGAAGTTGTGACATGGCCAGGGGCGCTTACTAGCATTTTCAGATACGAGGTAGACTTGGACAATGTCTTTCCAGGTGTTCACAGAGTCACGCTTAGCAACGTGACTACAGCCGATGGAAATCAATCCACAGGTGTGAGTAAATTTCATGCTACAAAGGCCGAGACATTCAAAATACTGATTGGGTATGACAGTCCGTCGACCACTTTCTTTTCCGTATCGGACAGATAAATAATCCGATGGTTTGGCCACAGTTGGCCAACTACAGCAGAACACTACTGTTCGACAACCCGTCCTCCGAGACTGACCCCTTATCAGTATTGCCACAGGCCCCTGGTGCAGACTTGTGGCGATACTCATTGGATTTTGGAGCCACTTTCAGTGCCTGGATGACCTACACCGGCTTCAACACGTCAATCCCCGGCAAAGACTGGAGCGGCACTGCGAAGCAGGCCTGGGAAGGAGAGCATATCCTTGCCCAATACTGGAGCAAGTTAACAGGAAGTAGTGCTCACTGGCAGCATGGAGACACGCAATGGGCATACAAGCCCCCACGTCGTTTCCCAAACCTATTCATCGAGGGCGAGTTCAATCAGTTTGGATATGACGCTGGCTATTCCAACAAGATGGCTCTTAGTAACGAAACTGGCGCATGGGAAATCCACTTTATGGGCGAATGGCCCGTGCAGGTCGCATTCAATGCCTGGGGATTAAACGAAGACGGCCTGCCCGACCAGACACAGGTATTTGGAGACATTGATGGAGACAATGTTTTGGATCAAGTCCCTCCAGTCACACTGCTGAGCAATGTATTCAACGTCACCATCCCGCCCCCTTCACCCTATCTTGCCTTCAAGCTGTCTGTGGATGACGGCAACCTAAAGGTCTACGCTACGCCCACTGGGTCCAGGTGGGTTCAGCTGGCCATCTTTATCGTGCTAGCGATTGTGCCTGTTACCACTGCTATAGGTGCGGTGTATATTTACCTGAAGGCATTTTACCAGGTCAAATTCAACCAAATCGGTGTCACAGAGAAAAGATCAAGCTTGGCCCCACTAGCGAGCGTCTTTCAAAAGGTGGCCCATCGATCTAATGACAGAGAATCCAATCCCAGACTTACCCTCACCCATGTGGACCCGTTCCCATCTGGGAGTGAAGGCGTCCTCGCTGCCACGGTTAACACCCGTCGACGAACAGTGCTCATTGCAACAATGGAATACGATATTGAAGACTGGGGCATTAAAATCAAAATTGGTGGGCTCGGTGTGATGGCCCAGCTAGTGGGGAAACATTTGACCCAGCATGATCTCATATGGGTGGTGCCTTGTGTTGGTGGTGTTGACTACCCCAAAGACGATCCCCGTGAGCCGATGGTGATCACAATTCTTGGGAATCAGTACCAAGTAGATGTCCAGTATCATCGGTTGCAGAACATCACGTACGTCTTATTGGACGCGCCTGTATTCCGAGCTCAGTCCAAATCAGAGCCGTACCCTGCCCGCATGGATGACCTGGACTCGGCTATATTCTACTCGAGTTGGAATCAATGCATTGCCGAAGCCATCAGGAGATTTCCGACAATCGACCTTTATCACATCAATGATTACCATGGCGGCGCTGCCCCTCTCTATCTTCTACCTCAAACTATTCCATGCTGCTTGTCTCTGCACAATGCCGAGTTCCAAGGACTCTGGCCAATGAAAACCCAAAAGCAAATTCAAGAGGTTTGCAGTGTCTACAATCTTGACCATTCATTGGTGAAGAAATATGTACAATTTGGCGAAGTGTTTAATCTGCTTCATGGAGCTGCAAACTATCTGAAAATTCACCAAAACGGATTCGGCGCTGTCGGCGTCTCCAAAAAATATGGCAAGAGATCGTACGCCAGATATCCGATTTTCTGGGGTCTCAAGGACATTGAAGCGCTACCAAATCCCGATCCATCTGACACTGCTGAGTGGGATCACCATGCAAACAACAATCTTGAAGACGTTGTCATCGATGCAGAGTTTGAGGCCAGTCGTGCAACACTGAAGAGACAAGCACAAGAATGGGCAGGGCTCAAAGTTGATCCAGAGGCCCAGCTGTTCGTTTTTGTCGGTCGTTGGTCAATGCAAAAGGGGGTTGATCTGATTGCAGACATCTTCCCCTCCATTCTAGACGCTCACTCGGAAGTCCAGTTGATGTGCATTGGTCCAGTCATTGATCTCTATGGAAGATTTGCCGCGTTGAAACTGAATCGTCTCATAGAGCTCTACCCTGGGCGGGTCTATTCCAAACCAGAGTTCACTGCACTACCGCCCTTCATATTCAGTGGCGCTGAGTTCGCCTTGATTCCTTCGCGTGATGAACCGTTTGGTCTGGTGGCCGTGGAATTCGGACGGAAAGGAGCATTGGGCGTGGGATCACGGTAAGACTGATATGATTAAAATTTACCACTAGTGCTAAGCTAATTTTCTTCAGTGTTGGTGGCCTTGGGCAAATGCCAGGATGGTGGTTCACAATGTGAGTTTTCTTTTTTCTAATATGCTCAAACTAACCCATTCTAGTGAGTCTATGACAACCAAACATTTGATCCAACAGTTCAAGATGGCCATCAACGACGCTCTGAAATCCTCCCAGGAAACACGGGCGCTCATGCGTGCACGATCCAGCAAGCAGCGCTTCCCCGTAGCACAGTGGGTTGAGGATCTAGAAATCCTACAGGCCACCTCAATCGAAAAGCACGTCAAGTACTCCAAGCACCGCGATCGCAGTTCATGGAGGTTTTCAAGTGGCAGCACCTTTGTCACAGAAAGCATTCGCATAGTCTCATCGAGCTCGAAAAGCAGTCGCGAACAGAGCCGATCACGCGGCTCCACCGTGTCTGGTCCGCCAAGCAGGCCAATTACGTCTGATATGAGACTGTCTGTACCTCGACCAGATTTTAACAACGTCCTCTCACCGACAAATCCATCTTCCAATCAGGAGATGTCAGACAATGAGCCCAGTTCTGACAATGACCCAAGACACAGGCCCTTGTCCTCCGACTCTTTTGCAGATTCGCGAATCGTCTACTCTGCGGTAAACGATGAAGAAAATCCTGAGCTCCTTCCTGGGGCCATTCAAGAGGATGGCAGTATTAGTGCCTCGCCATTTGGGACACCTTCTGTTTATTTTGCTCAATCTGGTACCAGCACACCAATTCTCAGTGCACAGTTAGAAGACGGTCTACCGGGCCGAAGAGATTTAAGGGAATCCATGATGAGTCTAGTCAGCGTCGATGGTATAGTAAAGGAGAAACAAGACTTCAACCTTCAAAAGGTTGATCCATTCTTCACGGATGTGAATAACGAGTATGCGGATAAGTTTGAGAAGAAGCTTGCGGACCTGAATGGCAAAAACTCTCAAGACCAGCTCTGCATCGAAGAATTTCTCCAGAAGAGCCAAAAGGACTGGTTCAATCGATACCGCGATGTCAAACTTGGCAAGTCACCTATCCCTTCTCCTGCTCCCTCTGTCTTTCGCATCAAGGTTCGTGAAACTGGTCAACCAGAGAGCCCGCCAAGTACTGGCTCAGGTGCGGACCCAAACACCGAGCAGTTCTCTCTCCCAAGTTACTATGTTCCGCCCAAGGGCTTGAAGCGTTTCATGTTGATGAAGCTGGGCGATTGGCCTATGTACTCCATCTTCCTCGCAATTGTGAGTTGGAAACTTACCAGATAATTTCATTACAGAGGTTAATAGCATTTTTTTAGGGTCAAATTCTCGCCTTGAACTCATACCAGATCACACTTTTGAATGGTGAAATTGGAGAGACGGCCGAGAAGCTATACATTCTGGCATCCATCTATCTTGCCTCATCGATCATATGGTGGATGGTCTTCCGTTTAGTCCCCTCAGTCTATGTGTTGACGATTCCTTTCTTGGTATGTTGACGTTTCCTTTTCTGGATTACGAGGCTGCAAGCTAACTACCTGCAGATATATGGATTTGCCTTTCTGTTTGTCGGTCTTGCTGCCATCCCTAACGGCGCTAGTCGAACATGGCTACAAAACGTGGGGATCGGCTTGTATTCGTTTGCGTCTTCGAGTGGTTCGATTTTCTTCGCCCTCAACTTTGGAGATGAAGGTATGCAAAAATCCTTGTTGGAGGTATGGAATTTATTTGACCTTCTTTTCCAGGTGGAGCGCCTCTGAAGTCTTGGATTTATAGAGCCACTGTCATCCAGGGCACTCAGCAACTGTTTATCAGCTTCCTTTGGTACTGGGGGAGCTGGATGGCAGCTCTCAATCAAAAGGGTAGCTCCCAATTCAGCCTTGTCATGACCAATCCAGGTGCTTTGCTTGGGATCGGACTCGGACTTGCCTCTCTTTTGTGGCTGTTGGGAGCCCTGGTCTTCTTTGGACTACCTTCATATTATAGACAAACACCAGGTCAAGTGCCGACATTCTACCTATCGCTCTTTCGTCGTCGCATAATCCTTGTATGTCGCTTCCTTATTTTTTTCAAGCTAACTTTTATGCTGATGCTGTATTTCGCAGTGGTTTTTCTACATGGTCTTCATATCAAATTACTGGCTGTCGGCACCTTACGGGCGAAACTGGCTCTATCTCTGGTCTAGCAAGCATGCAGACGTGTGGCAAATCGTGCTCCTTATCCTCTTCTTTTTCATCATTGTCTGGGCGGCAGCTCTCTGGGTGTTTCACGTTTTCTCCAAGAGACACGCCTGGTTTATCCCGATCTTTGCCGTTGGCCTGGGTGCTCCTCGCTGGGCCCAGATCCTGTGGGCAACCTCCAATATAGGCATGTACATTCCCTGGGCTGGTGGTCCCGTAGCCGGGGCTATTCTTGGTAGAGCATTATGGCTCTGGCTAGGAGTTTTGGATTCCCTTCAGGGTGTCGGTAAGTTTCCTGTCGCAGCGAACAAAACGTAACACAAATTGATTCACACCAATGCAGGATTTGGAATGATACTCCTCCACACAATGACTCGATTCCACGTCACCTTCACACTTCTAGCCGCACAGGTGGTCGGCTCTATAGCAACTATCCTCGCCCGCGCGACAGCACCGGATAAGTTAGGCCCTGGTGATGTTTTCCCTGATTTCTCCGCTGGCATCGTAGCCGGTTTGGAAAAGGCAGACTTCTGGGTATGCCTTCTCTTCATGCTATCCATCAACGTGCTCTGCATCTTCTTCTATCGCAAGGAACAACTCGCGAAACCTTGAACCCTATTCTGTCCTTGAACAACATTTGTGTCTTTATTTCTCTTTTTCTTTGTTTTCCTTTCTCTATCTTACATTCACTTCAAGCTGCGTGACGTATATATTACGATTGAGGGATTAATTATAGTACAGTGTGTTGCATTTGCTGAGGCGCAATATTTTGCGAAAGTCGCGCCATGTTTTGGTCTGTATATGGTGTATAGAAAGCCTACAGATTTACAAAATCTAATAGGCGCCCAAACTTAATGTTCATATTCATATGGTTCAGGATAAGCTGCGATGCTTCCAATCCCAAATCTATCTCATTCGTCTTTATCTTGAAGCCAATTTTCATTTAATTGTAGTTTTCGACGTGTGCGGAAGAATAGAAATATTATCAGCATTCTTTGCTACGACCTGAGTCGATGGCCGATACGATGCTGACATCTCCTAAGGCCTGGCTCTACAACATCATTGGTCTGTTTCCAGCCAACAGCTCGTACGGTTGGAGTTGTCTGCTTTTTTCAACGACAATTAGTGAGCAACACTACGAGCGTCTAATTACATGCATATCACAATGCTCATTGGCTAGGAAAAGCTCCATGCTAATGTATAACCTATCATCTCTTTTCCCTGCGAAATATGTACCACATCATGTGCCCTCTCAATAATATCAGGAATAATATTGAATTAGGAAAAATTCTCCACGCAATTCAAGAATATTATAGAAGCTCCAGGCGAACCAATCAAGCAGTTTGGGGTTCGTTGACGTAAGGAGATCTGACTGAGTGGGGTAAACGACATAGATAGCATTCATTGTCGGACGGTCCGACACTCCACTATCACCACTTTGGGCTTGCATTTTGAAGCCTGTTGTTAATCATATAAATCAGCGGGCTCCTGCATACTCAGTACTAGTATTTACTACAATCAACTTTTTTGTTGATAGAGAATGATTGAATTGAAGCTGGAAGATCATTCAAGCCTTCCGGCAGTCCTGCCCTGGAGGTACTGTTTCGCGTTGGTTCCACTCCTTATCTTCTTCATCTACAAAGTAAGTCTATGAACAAATTCTGTGTCTATTAAGACTTACGCACAAAAGTACACTCTGGCAACTGATATCCCTCATATCAAAGGCCTACCAGAGATCCCCGGCTCAGTGCCGGTCTTCGGCCACCTCCTCAAACTCGGAGATGACCACGCAAGTATCTGCGAGAAATGGTGGCGTCAATATGGCCACTCCGTCTTTCAGATCAAATTAGGCAACACACGGGCAGTGGTAGTTAACTCCTTTGAAGACTGCCGCAAGATGCTTCTCGGACACCAAAATGCAATTATCGACCGCCCGAAGCTATACACATTCCACGGTGTAGTAAGCAGTACTCAAGGATTCACTATTGGCTCATCTCCCTGGGACGAGTCTTGCAAAAAGAAGCGAAAAGCAGCCGGAACGGCGCTAGGAAGACCTTTCCTGCGCAGCTATCACCCCATGTTTGACCTGGAAAGCTACTGCATCCTCCGTGATCTACACCTGGACAGCAAAAATGGTGCCGTCGAGGTTAGTGTCCGACCTTATATCCAGAGATATGCTCTCAACACAACCCTCACGCTATGCTATGGTATCCGCATGGATGCCGTCTATGACGATCTCTTGCGTGAAATCCTTCACGTCGGTTCCGCCATTTCTCTCCTCCGCAGTGCATCAGAAAATCTTCAAGATTATATTCCTATTCTACGATACATGCCAAACAACGAGAAGACTGCCCGGTCAAAGGAGCTGCGGGATCGTCGCGATGCGTACTTGAATCTCCTCTTAGACAAAGTGCGAGAGATGATCAAGAAAGGAACGGATAAGCCTTGCATTTCCGCAGCTATCCTCAAAGACGAGGAGACTAAGCTCACGGGTGTCGAGGTATCCTCAATCTGTCTGTCACTGGTCTCTGGTGGATTTGAGACTATCCCTGGTACCCTCACTTCGGCTATCGGGTCGCTATCTACTCCCGAGGGACAGATCTGGCAAGATCGCGCTTACGAGGATATCAAGCGGTATTATCCTGACGTTAAGGAGGCTTGGACGAGTTGTATATCCGAGGAAAAAATCCCCTACGTGAATGCAATTATCAAGGAGGCTGGTCGCTACTATACTGTCAGCTCGATGAGTCTGCCCCGAAAGACTGTGACAGAGGTAAACTGGAACGGTGCGATCATTCCGCCGAAAACAATGATTTTGATCAACGCGCAAGCTGGAAACCATGGTAAATCTTCTAACTAGCAAATCACCAGTATAACTGCTAATATCTCACCTAGATGTGGACCACTTTGGGGCAGATGGTGGCAAGTTCGATCCGGAGAGGTGGCTCAAGTCTTTGAATCCACCAGAGGAAAAAGAGGTCAGCGGTCTGCCGCACTTGAGCTTTGGATCTGGATCTCGGGCTTGCTCCGGGCAATTCATTGCATCCAGACTACTTTATTGCGCTCTTGTTCGTCTTCTGGCGTCGTACAAGATCGTGGCTAGTGAGGATAATCCACCGAACACGGATTATGTGGAGTATAACCAATTCAAGACTGCTTTGGTTGCTATTCCCAAGGACTTTCATGTTCGGTTGATTCCTAGGGATGACAGGGTTACCTCTGATTGCTTGGACCTGGCCGAACAGAGAACTAAGGGGCACTATAAAGAGTAGAATTTTAGCATTCGTACGATTGATTTTTGTATTTGAGAATCCCTACTTGGTACTCGCTTATAGTAGAAACTTGTTGATTTGAGCTTACTGGAAATCACCTAAATCACTCTTATATACTGGACTTCGCCATTTCATTTACAACGTTTCACTCGTAGAGTAGTTACAGGGTAGGCCTGTACAATGGGAGTTTCACAAAATCCTGCGTGTTGATCTGTCCTCATGAAGCCCAGCCGGTGGTAATCACCCAGCTCACATCAGCATTGAATGAGGTGGTAGAGTCAAAGGTGTCAACGCCGCCATTGCTAGCAACGTATAGAACGTTCTCGTAATGACGGAAAAAACGTGTAGGATAACTCCAGGATCGGATAGAGTTGGTACCAGCTGAATTAAGAGAAGCCATGGGGCAGAAAGTGGCATCCTCATAGAATTGCTTCGTGCTGTCATCGGCATTGAGCAGGAGCTCGAAGTTGTAGTGGCGGATGTAGCTGCCGGGTGTATCAACGGACTCGAACGAGTAGCAACCGCTGTTACCAAGACCGGTGACAACCTTCCAGCTAGCCTGCTCTTTGAGGGTAGTGCTGCTGGATGAGGTGACGACTTGGGTATTGACAGTAGTGTCGGTGTGCGCGATGTAGCGAGTGGTGTAGCCGGATGTAGTAGCCCGCAGCGAGATGGTAGAGCCGACAGTAAGTGCCTTGCCACCGACGAGCGAGGTGGTAGCATATTTAGCAGCCACGATGTTAGCTTGAACCGAGTTCTCGACGGCATCGGTGGGGTAGCCGGAGGTCATCACGCCCTCGTAGAAAGTACCCTGGGCACCGACACTGTTGTCACCACCGATTCCAAGAATAATGGCACCCTCCTTGCTCATTGGGTTATAGCCCGATGAATCCGGGCGCACGCCGCTGTAGTACGTTGAGAGTGACCCAGACGCGGCGTTGCCGCCACGGATGGCCCACTGATCTGGCTCACCCTTGACAATGGCGCTGACGAATCGGTAAGAGATCGACGGATCACCACTGTTCTCGGTGGTGCTATAGCCAGAGAACAGGCCGTTCTCCAGATCGGCCATGATCCAAGGGCCGTCGCCGGCACCATAGCCCCAAGAGGTGCTATCGCCATAATAGATAGCCTCCATGTGACCGTTGCCGGTATCAGTGCTGCTAGTCTCGGCATTGCCATAGTCGAAGCAGCAGGCACCGTTATAGTGAGTACCATCAAGAACCGCGTACATGCCCTCTGCTTCATCGCCTGTGGCCGTGTTGGAGGCCTCATTGTTTCTGTAGCCCGTGCCGGGCGAAACAAAAACACCGTAAGCTTTGTTGCCGTTCAGCGTGACTGGGGCGCCAATTGCGCTGGCCAAGTTATCGTAGTCATTGGCCTCCGGGCCATCAAAGCCACCAGGTGGTGCTTGAGTGAGGTGGTTGCCATTGCCAGACTGGTCGTAGATGATGGTAATCAGGCAGGTTGTGTTGGCGCAGAAAGTGTCTTGGGCTGCAGCGTTTGCAACGCCTCCAGCGGTAAGTGGGACGATGGCAGTTGTGGCACTGTCTGAGCCACGTTTTACCTGGTAGAGATTACCAGAGTAAGCGCTGTATAGCGCGCGAGTGGTGCTGTGCGCCGCAATGCAAGGTGTGTTTCCTGAGGCATAGAGATCACAGGGACCTGCTAACACAAGGGTGCCCCCGGCAATGATCCCCAGCGCAAGTGCCCAAGCGCGCTGGACAATGCTCGGTCGTGAGAGCATATTTGATGACTTTGGGTTAGGGTGCTTTCAGATGGACAACCCTTTGGACCTTTGAATTCAGCGACTAGATGCTTGGTCACTGGAGTAGAGCAGGTACGTTGAATGAAATCCGCTGCGAAGTGTCTAACCTATTTATATTCTCAACAATTCAGTTGCCAAGATGTCCACCTCTTGAATTAAGTCACGCGTTGCTATAGTCGTCTGATTTCTCCTCCAATGATTAAGAATTGGGTCTACCTCACATTTTCACTAGTATAAGCGAGCATTAGCTTTGAGAGCTCGGTTAAAACCAGCGAAGTATCAAATTTCAGCCACAGTGCTTCTAAAAATATGTTGTTCAATGAGTCTGCCATTTGACGATTTGAAACTAAAAAATCGCGGGAGATTTAAATTCAAATGTTTTGTCCGAAGTCTCCTGGCTTAGACGGATCATGTTGTTCCACCCCTGATGCTCCCGAGTTCACCACTGGCTAATCAAGGGGTTTGTCCCACCGGGCTTTTTCCCATTTCTCCTCAGCGGGGGACAATTAACCGATGCACCCAATCCATTTCAATTGGAAGGAGACAAGCTTAACCGGAGTAGGATTGTGGCGCCTGAACTTAAATGTTCCTGAAGATGCGGGGCCCCGGACCCTACCCCTTCATCGGCACATTCGTCTCGAGCTGAGGAGAATTTGTTATTGGGTATTACCATGCCATCTGTAGACTAGTTTGAGCCCCGGAAATTCATGCCCCTTTCCTTTGCTTGTGGTGAACGCCATTTATTTCTTCAGTCCCGGACTTGGCAGGGCAACGCAGTCTCGTGGATCGGGTTTGAGCGTGATCACATTGCGGTATACCCTCCGTAGTGGGGCGCAAGGCGGGGAAAGGACACCAAAGGACAGCCGGCTCGGGCTACTTCCAAGGTTTTGCTAATTAATCTAGTGATCCAATTCCTATCACGACGATGGCCTTCGCCAGATAGCCGCTGAGAAGTCCGGTCATGTGCTGTTCCTAATACTCCGATATCCCCTCCACAATATTTCCCTCATCTTCCATCAGGCGAGGGGTCTTACAACTCTTGTTTCCCCTCGGGTCGGTCCGAACCGGGTCCAGTCATCTTCACGGGTCTATCACGTGTCACTGGCTTTGTCTCTTGTTCAGAAGAGAAGGGTATGCAGTACTCTCGTGACGAGATGGATTGGTAAAAGCGTAACAATAATGTTCTTTCTATTCAAACTACCAATCGACATCACTCCTGCCCATTTGCTAGCAAGATCCGACCACCATCCACACAGAGAGAGACACCATCAACATATGCCTGTTCCAATTGGTCAGTGGGAAGCAAGGCCAAATGGATACTGACTTACCCCTGCCTTGCTCACTAAGTATAACACCGTTCCAGCAATATCTTCAGCACAGCCTGCCCTCTTCGCTGGAACCTTATCAAACAAGGAGCTGAAGATGTTCCCCTCCGCGCCAACGGGATTCATGTTGCTCGGAACAACTAGTGACGCATCTAATTAATCTCCAGAAAAAATCATGGCTCAAAGGTAGACTTACATCCAGGATTAATCCCTACCACACGCACGTAAAACCGATTATATTTGGCCGCCAATAATCTTACCAGGTGGTCCGTGGCTGCTTTGCTCGTCGCATAGCTTGTCAGATCCACATTCGTCACATTGTGCATGCTTGCACAGGAACTCGTGACTACAATTACTCCTCGCCCTTCATCTCGGCCCTTGCGTCCATCGCCTATCGGCTGATCGGCAGCCGCGGCAAGTAGTGGGAGAAGAGCAATACTGAGAAAGTAATGGGCGGTGGTGTTGACGCGAAATGTATCTTCCCAGTCTTCTTGTTCAATAGACCACATTGAGGCCTGAAGTGCTTCCAGTGACGCAGTGAGAACATTGCAGGATTGTGGAGGGTCACGGCGGATGCCAGCGTTGGATATTAGCATGTCTAGGGCTTTCTCTTTTTGGGAAATTTCCTCGGCAAGTTGCTTAATGCAGTCTTTTGATGAGATATCACAGGCAATTCTGCAGGTCTATTAGTTTCAACGACAGGACTGTTGAATGTTACCAACCCTTCGGCATGTCCACCCGTTTCCTGTCCCAGTATGTTCAGTTCCTCGACTACCTCTGCGAGGGGGTCACTTGGTAGCGACACCAGGTAGACCTTAGCTCCATTTTGCACTAGTCCCTAAGACAATTCTCGTCGTCAATATTTTTCATTGGTCCTGCAATCATCTCTCACCTTGGAGATCATCAATCCTATTCCACTACTCCCACCGGTTACAACTGCAACACGCCCTTTCACATTAAACAAATCCGAAACATTAAGCGAATCCATTTCGTATATACGTAGTGAGTTCAAAACCGAATAAGTGAGGCTCGGATTTATGTGCGATGCGCTGCTATGAAAAGTGGGGAAAGCTGACCCGGCGGGCGCTGCGAACTAGCGGCGGCACGTCCGACTAGAGCTACTAGAGTAAATGGTCTCTTCAGATATTTATCTATTTACATGCTAGAAATGAATTTAGTCTTGGACAGACCTGAAACTTTTGTGCTTTTGAATCGTCTTCCACTTTCAAGGCTGCAAGGGTATCGATTACTTGCACAATGTCCGTAGCCTTCTTAGCCGATTAGACGCAGTAAGCACGAGCCTTGGATATTGGCATTCGAGCAGCTTCTAACGCCAATCAGATCCAACATCACTTTTCTAGACTTACAAAATGCGGCTACGGGTCTGGGTATACAGATACAAGATGCCCGAGAAGCAGAAGATTATTTGCATCTTCTGCAGTCCGCAGAGGCAGTTATGAGACAAATCCAAGCCGAAGATGATTACATCCACCCCGCGCTATCGCCCGTAGTAACCATTGAGCCTCGAACATTTCAGAGCCGAAAAGGGAAGACAACCCTTTGAATGCGTGGAGGTATCGTTTTGAATTTGTAGCACAGAATCCGACCAGCATGATCATCCGCGGGAAAATCATTACCATTAAAGACAACATCTCCATTAGACCTGTGCATAACTAACTTAACTAAACTAACGTAATCAACGGGCGAGCGGTTAACACGGGCGACTGGTCAATCCTACCGAAAATCGCGAACCTACGCGTACTCACCATTTTCCTTGAGAGGTCCACTTGATACCTTTGTACATCATCTATAACGGGAATGATACAATATTAGTCAATGAATGAAAGCTCATGACGCAGGATGCATATAGGGTACGAGAAGAACCGATCTCCTCAAGGGGTTAACTCTTTCATCATTTATGCCTTTCTGCTTTATTACATCGGGAATATTATCGAAGACACTGCGACTTCCAAGTGTCAGTAGCAAGTAATACAGTGCTTTCTATCCCAATCCTTGCCGGACATCGCGCTGACTTTGTACCAACCATCGTGTCTATTGAACCATTGTTTGTATTTCTTGTAGTGACAGCGGCCGCCTGGGTTGGGCGAGGAAAATACTTTCGTGCACGGGACTTGGTATATCATTCAAGTCTGTTCATGAATTTTACATCTGACGGAAACCATTAGGAAATTCAGGAACGATTTAGGCTCCCGGGAACGAGGAGTTAGTTACTAGGGCCATAGGCCCTACTGCGAGGTGCACCCTGAGGGTTGGGTCACCCTTCTCTACCCGCTGATTGGGCCCCGGTCCGACGCCCTATAACTCCGACCGCGTGGCCCATGATAACCCTCCTTGGTTCACGTCCGGTTGCCCATATATGTAGTAAAGTGATATATAACTAGGTCCTCTGTGATTTGCGAGACTTCAGACCCGATGAATCTAGTAGTGTTGGTGTAAATCAAGTCCCTATTTTGCTGCAAAAGTTTTGATGGGGTGCGGGAAATTGGGCCAGCTGGAATTGCGATCGGGCCCCAAGGCGTCATTTCAGGGTTTCGGGCGAATATCCGGACTGAGTTTATCATGGTCTACAAGGATCAGGAGGGGTAGGGAATCATTCGGGGGGTATAGATGGGAAACGGGCCCCAGTCAACATCTCAGTATTTGTGTAGTAACTTTACACCATTTCACTGTAATCTCAGAATCCGACATTCACCCATTTCACAGCATCCATCGACGTACGGTAACACTTCTCTTCTTCAACAAGAGCGTGAGGCGGACAATTTTTTTCTTTTCGTTGACCATGATGATACGAGGGGTTTCTCAAGGGATCTGTCTGCTCTGGTAGGAAAACTCTGGTGACAGTTTTCGTCGGCTGTTATTCGTAGAGAGACAGACAAATAAATAGATTCCAGCCGAGCCAGACTTCCCCGCTAATTCACGGCTTCAGGCTCAAACTCTTGTACCTTTGGATGGCTCAAAGACGGCGACTTGGAACTATCCTTTATAGGCCGTCGTAACGCCAGCATCAGGCAAATTGACAATTTGCCAAGGATGTTCAACTAATGACCTCCAAGTTCGCCATAGCCTACCGCATTGCAAGCATTTTAAGATGTTGCTGAACACACAGATATCAATTACACGAGTTCAATGTTTGGAGTGAAAGAAGCTTGAGCTTGTGATTATTGGAGGTTACATACAGCACTTAGACCATTTAGACCGCTTCTTACTTCCACAACCTTGAAATGAAATAATCCAAGAAACTGACCACACTGATGGGACTCTTCAGAAGTTCAAATTGGTCTTGAGGGAGCTAATATTTCCTCTCATCCAGATACAGCTTTCTTGTCTTCCTCTCTTGTTTTCCTATCCTCGACCTCCAGTGTCCATTACTGATTGAGCTCTTGCTTCTTCGGTAGTAAATTCAAATTTCTGTTCGAAGAGAAGCTATTGGATAAGTAGTAGTGATGCAGATTCTGAAAAAGATGAATATATGATGGATATCATGGCTAAGCAGGCAACTAGCTATCTATAAACCATACAACAGACTCGCCTGAGATGTGCAGAAGATCTGCCTGCCAGAGAAAACCCTTAAGAAATCAATTGAAAAGAGAGCTATGTTCTCCATATCCGGAGCCCCCTTTATATGCATAGATTCCAACCTCGCCTCTGCATTAAGGATTCCGACCTCATCTTATCCTGCGAGATAAGACGACCGGGTACGCTTACTGAATGACTTTGATGCAGACCTTGCCGATGTGGGCACCCGAAGTCATATACTCAAAGGCCTTGATGGTCTCCTCCTGGGAAAAGCCAAATTCCTTGTTGACCGGCAGACGAAGACCTTTGCGGGAGACAAATCGGACAAGCTCCTGCAAAAGCTGGGTAGATCCAACGACCACACCACGGACCACAGCTCCCTTGGAAAGAGCAAGACTAGCGACATCAGGCATTTCCTTGGCCTGCGAGAGGAACCCGATCACGGACACGTTGCCGCCCATTTTAACGGAGTTGATGCTCTCAGCGATAGTTCCGGATCCACCATTCTCGAGGACATAGTCGACACCACCATTAGTGAGTCTCAAGACCTCCTTGGACCACTCAGGGTGGGTCTTGTAGTTGACAGTGTAGTCTGCCCCGTACTTCTCCTTCACAAATGCGAGTTTCTCGTCGCTGGAGGATGTCACAACCGTGATGGCTCCGGCGGCCTTCGCCAAAATCAATCCTGTGATAGAAACACCACCGGTTCCTAGAAATCGAACAATTATTATTAGCCTTTGCTATGCTATATAGAAATTATTAGGCTATATTCATTACCTTGACATAGTACAATTTGGCCGGGTCTCAATGGAACATTGCCGTAGAGGGCATTCCACGCGGTCACGCCTGTGCAGACTAGGGTAGACCACTCCGAGAAGCTCTGGGGTGAGTCCTTAGGAACCTGGACTACAGCTGCAGCAGGAACGGTAAGGTATTCACGGAGGACACCATCAACAGGGGCGCCAAGGCCATTGTCCCAGTTCATCTGCTGGCCATAAAGATTGGTAGGGTCGAAGGTGCTGATGACGTGGTCACCCTTGGAGACATTCTTAACACCCTCACCGACCTCGACGATGACACCAGCAGCGTCAGAGCAAGGGACAACGTTCTCCTTCACAGGAAACGGGTAACCAGAGAGCGCGACACCAACATCACGATAATTCAGAGACACAGCGTGAATCTTGATCAAAACTTCATGTTTGGCGGGTACGGGGATGGCCTCCTTGAAAGCCCTGTAGTTTTGGATCGAATTGCGCTCTCCGGAGAGGCGGATGACGGTTTGTTGCGACATGATTAGGTTGTAATCAATTTCAATGTGCGGGTGAAAACAAAGAGTTCACCACAGCGCCCGCGGTTTATATGTATTTGCATTAGTTCTTTGCGATTTTCGCGTTCAGAAGCATGGTTGCAAATTTTGTGGGTGCAGATAGTTGTTGATGTCATCATAATGCCATCCATACGTTTTTCTCCAAATGTGTTCCGACATACGTGGAGTAACAGCACTTGAGGAACTATCCGCACAATAATCAAATTTCAAGAGCTTGACCTCTGATACGACTTGGAGAATCGTTTCAGTGCATTGTGGTGGTTGATCCCCAAATCCCTAAACAGCCCCACTTCCCAATCACAATCTTGCTTAGTAATTAGGAGACTTTCACCCGACACGACGCAAATCTCAACGAATGAGACATCTCCCCAATGGAAAGAATTGGAGAGTCTCAAGGAGAATCGCCCCACCTACTGTTGCAATTGCCTACTCGTGCTTGAAGTCTTTGGATCGATCACAGGGCATTGTCTGATCATTATTTTTTCTAGTATTTGTCATAACCAGGGGTATCTTCATAGGAAGATGGTAGGTAAGTCTGGCCACGGAGGACATTTAAGATGGAATGTAAGCAGAACAAGCATTAAACGTATGATAAAAATCAATTTGTCCTTGTTGATCCTAGAATTTAGCTTTCTTCTGAGATGTGATAACCATCCCGGCCCCAGGCTAAACGGGTGCATGCTCGTCTGTCTAAGGAAATCGTTTGCCCCACTTTCATCCAAGTGGGGAATCGGATTCTCCAAATTTGGAGAGTAAGGTTTGATAGCATCTCCACCGGGCTCATGCCAAGAACTGGACGTACACGGAGTAGTCAAGTAACTGTTTCAAGGAGTTGGAAATGAGGGTTCAGGGAGTCTAGATAAAACACATCGGAGTATTCGATAGCTAGAGTCCCGTCTGTCAAGCTGCTATCTACCAAATCTCGTGTTGCTCAAGGTACTCAAAAATGTCTCAGCAGCCTGAACACGTCATCCGGTTGACTCTTCAGTTGAAGAAGCGGGAAGAAATGACTGATGCGCAATTTCTCCATCACTGTACTAACGTGCATGGTCTTTTAGTTAGTCCCTGGCTACGTCGCCATATGGTCATAAAAGGGGCCCAGGTATGTAGAATCAACCCGTCAAGGCCTTTGAATGGTCATCTTATATTTTCGTGTTTCGACGTAGTACCATCAACCACCCCAATATCGCGCCGAAGCTACCAAATTGTGGAAAGATCTAGGAGCTGATTCTATCTCGGATTAGGATGGCCATGTGCAGCTATATGTGCCCTCCCTGGACTGCATCGCAAACGCCCTCGATGACCCATTTTACAAGGATGTTGTGATTGCCGACGAGGACAATTCCATTTGGGCGAAGTATTGGATGTGGACTGTAGAATATGGAGAGCGTGTTATGGTGAACTGTGAGGTGGTGGAGAACCCTCCTCTCACCGGACGCGTGAACCTCTGAATCATCGGCTCGAGCTGTCTCAAGTAGTAGGAATAGCTAAGGGCGAGCGCGTTGGTATTGAAATTCCGCTATCGTAGAAAGACCGCTTAATTTGGTAACAGTGTCTATTTATGTGGTAGTGAGACACTTGTTGTATTCTCATATGGCCCGATAAGTGATATTTTCTTTAATAAACAGTCAGATCCGGCATCACCGGCCCCTAGACGATGTCTGTCTATATTCGACCAAGACGTCCCCTATCATTCTTATGAACGATAAGGGGGAGTTGCCCTGCATTATATGTGACCACACACCAATAATCTGATCCGGTAACAGAGAGAGACGTATATTCTTGTCCAACGTGGGATCATTAAGAGATGATAACCCCTCGTAAACAACCTCTTGGATCCAGTCAAAGAGCCGAACTTCATGGTCTAGAAACAATGAGCCATTCAACGTACGTTCCACGAAAAGCACTTGAAAAAGGGAAAGGAAAGGGGCCAACAAACCTGTCAAGGGTGTTTCTTCCATCGTGTCTAGTGCACGACGAAGCCACTTCTCAAGGAAAATAGAGGAGCCTAAGCCGCAAAGGGTAGCCTCGATACTCCAAAGAACTGCCTGGTTGTGTTTGAAATATTGGATCCCAATTTTGACCAATGTCGCAAGGAGATTGGTTGCATGATAAGCAGCTAAAAGGGTGTTCCAGTTACGAGCCACAGACAGAGATGTTCGAAGGTCTTCAGCAATCTCGGCGGGTGCCCAAGTAGACATCTTTTGAGATCGAAAGCCGTCAGAACAATTGCTGACATAGGCAAGACTGAGAAGAGCGGTAGATGTGAAAGGCAGGGGACCATTGGGATCTAGAGGTTCCAGGTTTGATTCTGGTGTTCGCTGCCAGCAGGAGGTCCATCTATCCAAAGCGGTGCTTTGGTCCAGTGAGCATTAGTATGAAGGCTGTTAATATGCCAAACTAAGGAGGAGTCTATCATGAAGACATACACAAAAGTATCTTCGCATCCAGTAAACGAAGCCAATGTTGGAATGCCAGAGATGCAGCGTCGAGCGCAAACAATCTTTTGGAGTATTCCGTGAATTAAGACATAATTGGCGACAGGCGAGAAGCCGTGGCGCTTCGGTTGATAGACAGGGGATAGCAAAGATTCCAGAGTATCATGAAACAGCCCTTGTTCATGTAGAGTATTTTGTTGCAGTAGATTCCAGGTAGCTGCATCTGGCGCTGTCCATTCCGGACAAGAGCACGGAAGCTTTAAGTTAACTTCATCGCACCAAAGCCTGGGAGGTGTATCATAGGTGATGCTTTGGAGTCCTAGGAAACAAAATGCCAACAATTTTGTACGTCGTGATGACTCTCCTTCGGCCCATTTTTCCCAGTCAGGACGTTCCAACATTTGCATGTTTTCTTTTAGGCCGCTCAATTGTAAGGTCTGAGAAAGTAAGCTTTGTAATATGCAGGCTTCAGTCTTCATACTGGTGTCACTTTGCCATGTTGCGAATTGCGCGAGGCAAAGTAAGCAACGCACTTCGTCGATTAACGGTGATTTCAATGAGGTTTCGTTACAGGATGAAGGCACAGACTGTCTTGTTTCAGACCTTGTTCGGTTTTTCTGGCGATCAAATAGCAACGCCTTCGAAAAGTTGAACAATTCTCTTGCTGCAGTAGTCTCAAATCTGTCTTGTGCTCCCACTGCCATCATAGCTAAGCAAAGTTCTTGTGAACATGACTCCAGCTTGAACGTTGGGGGATGGGTGAATGGGTAAAGGGCATAAAACCCCGTGAAATATCCAGCCAGATAACGAGTCAATGCATTGCTTGACGGCAACGTAGGATGGGGTGTAATTGTATCTAGCTGCCCCAGCGATAAGAGTAGTCTGGAGCGATCAGAGAGCGTAACGCTAGGTACCGAAAAATGGGGGGTAATCTGAGTGGCTATAGAGGCGTCAGGCACTGGCCGGGGTGACCTATGGGGCGCACAAAGATACTCACTTAGGGAGAGTTGGGGAGAAGGGAAGATAGTGGGACACCCATGCACAGAAGGTCCATGGCTGTTCCCACCTGCAAAAATATACTGGGTGGGGTCCTCCCGATGTACTTGGCTTTTTAGCAGGCGAATCGCTTGGAGATCATTCAAAAAAGGAAACATTGATGGCTCACCACTTCGTTCGAATACTGTCTCTGTTGCAGGTGATGCAGAATGATTACCGAGTGGAGTAAATGATGGGCTAATTCCAGTCAGCTGTTTGATACATAAGGATGGGATCAGATAGGCCTCGTTCCACAGTGATGCGCAAATGCCCATGCACTCACGGAAGAGAGGATTCGAAGTGTGCGCTAGCGCCCAAAGAATGAGGAGATTGATCAGGGAAGATCTCGATATTTTGCTGAGCTTCTGCTGCGCTGATGAGTACACCACCACTAGTTGCACGCGGTGGATTATCTTGGTCCATAAGGCATTGATCAGTGCCATTCAAAGGCTCTGTCGGTGAATCATTACGCCGCTCCAAGTGACACGAAACGCGCTCATGGCGGCGCAAGAGGTCACGACGAGTGAATGAAGCACCGCAGTGACATGAGAAAGGCCTTTCATTGGTGTCTAACAGAGCCTGCTTTAGTATAGTCATAATTACAAGGGTAGGGATATAACACGAACGTCGTCTTGTGTGGCGTTGCAAGTGCTCCAACCTGCGAAACATTCTCTGGCAGTAAATGCAACTAAACTCTCTCCCATCATCGGAGCTACTCAGATGTGTATTTGACATTGAGAAATAACGAGAATGAGGACTGGCAACCCTGACAGTTGGCGTTACCGAGGATACCTAGAAGCACCGTCCCGAGTCGACAATGGAGACTAGCTTAGTAATGATCTAACATCGGAAGCCTGAGGCAGCATATTGTTGTCGGTGCAATCTCATGAATACTGCTTGAATGCCAGAACTAGTATCTCCGAATACGCGGATTACAAATTTAGCATAGCATAACATAATTCACTACCGAGTGGATCAGCGACGCGAAAACGCGTCAAATAATTAGAACTATGCCACCAATTCGTACTCAATCCTCGCAAAATCGCACGGAGCAAGAGGATGGGATCTTATTAGCTGTTCAGTCTATTAAGAAGAGGAATCACCTCAATGCCTCAAGAACGTACACCCTTAGATCATGTTGTAGCTTCAAATATTTACTTTTGACATTCCGCAGAAATGCCACAAGCTCTTCTCCACCCCGCTCCTTCGCGTGATTTGATGCGGACTTTCTGTGACCGTCACGATCCTGCACTCTCGCACCAGCAAGGACTAAAAACCGTATAGCGGGTCTAGACGAGCTCTGCATAGCCAAATGTAAAGGTTTTTCTCCGAATTCATTTAGTCCATTTATGTCTTCTCCTGCTATGAGTGACCAATTGATAGTATCCACATCCCCATTAAAAGCTATAGCATAGATCTCTTGAATATTTTCCATTTTCTAGCTGCCTTTAAACTATATAAATAATTAAGCTAAAAATATAGTCACTGAATTCGATAATGAATATTCGTAGATGGGTATAGGTTCAAAATAAAAAGAGCGCACTAGATAATGGTTATTATATAGTTTTGGATATTCTCGCCTATCCTATATTAATATTCTACTATAAACTATACCCTTTATTAAAGCGTCTAACTAATAAGAGATACCCTAGTAGCATTTTAAGCGCTTGGAGTATACCACTAAAATTCTAGATATTAACGCTTTTATAATTTAATTAAGTATAGAGATCTTTTTTTTTTTAGAAATACCTAGCTTCTATCATGAAGTAGTGAGTCTATTCTTATTCGGCGCTTAATAATAGATATTAAGGAATCTCACCACCTCTCGAGGGGAGAGTATTTTTCTGAGCGCAGCGCGCCGGAGACCAGCTTCTTGCAACCAGCCTTGAGCTCCTTGGTGCTAAAAACCACAATGAAAGGAAAAGCTTTTGTTGTGGGATCCCCCTTCCCACCCAGTCAAGGCCATATTGGCCGCCCTGCCTAACCATTTTGCGCAATATATGCTATGGATGATTAGGACTCAATCTTCCAATAAACCAGCCTGGCTTCGATCATATTTTGCTAGGGAGTTCCACCACGGACTTGGTCTTTAGCGTTGAAAGGAGTTCTCTGCAAGCAACAAAATCACTCATTTTGGATTCAATTACATTCTACTCCGTTGAGATTCTTCTTGCTCTACGACATGCCATTTCGCGGTCAGGCCAATTAAAATTATCATTTTGAAATATTTGATACACATACATATGCCTACCAGAAGACGTATTCACTTTGAAAGCGACGATGAATACGACAGTGACAGTGACAGTTCCGTTCGGTCGAGCTACACTCGTCGTAGAACACGAAGTGAGCCAGTTTCGCAGAAACAAAAGAGGAAACAGGTATCTTCGAAAAAACACCGCACCGGAGCTGATGCGAAGATCAAGGAGCTTGAGCGTCAGCTTCGGAAATTGAAAATGGAAAGATCTGTCTCCACTGAACAAACCGATTTGCTACATCAAGCCAAAAAGAATCCAAAGGCTAGACGACGAGCTACACGAGGCCGCACTATTTAGGTTATGGGGCGGGTAGAGCGTCCCGGAACCTATCGTTGATTCTGTTTCAACTGTTTTGAGCAGGTCTCGAACAGATTGTCGTTGAGACATAGATGGTCCTGGTGCAGGACGTTGTTATTACTTTAGTTGTTGACGATTTCATATTTCATCTTGCGAACAGAATGTATATTTGATCATTGTTTAAGAAGACGCCCATCACTAGACAGTTTAAGCGGGATTATTATATAGCAGCTACCCTCGACGGAGCCATCGTCGCTCGTATCATTCTCAGCTTCATCCAGCCCATGTTTTGCGCGATACGCAGATTCCATTTCATGGGCCTTCTGGTATAGCACCCTATCGCCTTCCAAGGCAGGGCCTTTAGTAATGCGACGGATGAAAGCTCTTCCTTCCAAAGTGAAAACACCATCTTTCCACTTCGCCAGAGTTCGAGTCTGTGGATAAAGCGCACCCTTTTCGGGTTTTATCAAGCTCAAAGCATCCGTGCTACTCTCATCATCCTCTTCAACCTTCCAACCGACCCCGACAAAATCATCAACATGCTTTCTCTCATACTTCCACCACTCATCCGGAAGGTCGTTCCTTTTCCCTGTCACTTTAGCTGTGCCGCGAGTCTTGCTCGTCAAAATTCGCTCCACACGACTGGGGTTGTAGCTTTTATATGAACCAGCCCGGATGCGAAATATTGGTGTTCCACGATCGCCATAACGAACGAATGTCTGGGAGTCAGTTCCCTTAGGCCACCAGTGCAATACTTTGGCCGACGACAAACGGCGCTGCTCTTTCATTGCCCTGGCTTCTAAAGCATCCAGCCCTGTCGGTTGATTTTCATTATCATCGAGATCTGAAGATATGTCTGATCTATTATCCGCACCAACTTGACCAGAATGACCAGGCTCGTTGCTGACTATGCTGGTTTCATCTGTATCCATGTCGACTTTTGGGTCCGGAGTGCCAATCTCTCTCTCAGCCCAGACTGAACTAATATTCCACGTCTTAGGGAGATTATGGCGTCTGTTGAAGTGTTTTAAAAGATACTGTGTATTATGAAAAGCATTCCAAGCATCTTCAGGGGAGCCTCTCTCCTTTGCCTTCAAGTGTTCTTCTCCCCAAGTCCGGCACAGGTCAACATAACCGCGCTGGGGCATAGTCCCAATGTCAATGTCATTCACGTCATGCTTGTCATTGGCGGCACGAATCTGTTGATTCAATCTCTCGAAAAATGCCTCACACTGATCATATTGAGGCTCGGAGGATGTGAAAAAATCTCCCATCATATTATACGCTTTGTCCGTTTCGCTTTTGATAATATTCTTGACCCAGCGGCCCACTGGGTCTGGCTGGTGTTCCATCGGAGCATCTTGCTCTGATGCATTTTCCAAGTCAGGGTCTGTTTCATCATTTGATTGATAGCCATCGCTCAACTCTCCTGGCGCAAAGTCATCTTTGTGGGTTGGGCTTCGCTTGTTCTGGCGTTGCTTTTGTTGAGCCCTATGTTCTGCATCGGCAGACGACTCGCCCTTCGGAGATTCCGAGCCAGATGCATCGTCGGAGGTGTTTGCTCTGTCAGAAATTGGGTCTGTATTTCACGGGCGCTTTTTTGGGCGTTCTTCTTTTTGCCTTTGGCCACGCTCTTCTTCTTCCCTTTAGCCATGGTAAAACTGATGTCTTCAAATGGAATAGCACAGCCAGACCGTGGCAGGTCATGATATGCTTATATACGTAGTCCAAGGTCCAGAAATAATTCATTTTCTATTACGGGTGATGCAGCGTCGGAACAGTCGCAACTCTAAAATGGTGTCGCAGCCCTAAAATTGTGTCGCAGACCTAAAATGGTGCCACAGTACTGAAAGAATACCTGTCAATTAATATTCCCAGGGGTCTAATACTGCTGAAATCGAATGATGATGTACAGATATAAATTTTGGGGCCCTTCAGAAGAAGTTGATTACAAAGATGGTTTTACATTGCCGAGAGGATGATTGTAGGAGCTAGGTAGACACGTCTTAATGATAGTCTCAATTATTCACTTATACTATCTAGGAGTATTTCAAACGCGAAATGTTCGCTACTTACGTGACAAGAGTATGATATAGCCAAGAATTAAAGTTAACAATGTTCCCGGATCTGATTCGCATGCCATTCATCAACTTCAGACAGATTCCCTTGCAAAAATGCCAAAATATGACGTAAAAGAGTCCGAGACCTTCAAACATCTCGCACGATACCACTCAGATGTGGCCATCCACTTCAGAATGTCTTGCTGCTGTAAATGAACAGTCATTTGAGCCTCTCTTATGACTGACTTCTGATCTCGAATCTCTTCTTCTCCTTCTAGGGCAGCATTCTCATGACGAGATGCTTCGTCTTGAACCCGCCTCAGCTTTTCAGCGAGATCCAGGTTCTCGGCTAGTAGTTTGCTGATAAAATCAACACCTCTATCCTTTTCGTTCTCCTATGATGCATTTTATAAGATTATGTTCTTTTGTCAACAAAATGTGAGTGTTACCGGCTTGGGGCGAATTGCCCGGAACTGATGACCGACTTCTCTATTTAGCAGCATATAGACTCTCACTGAATGCTTGCTCAGGGATTTCTGGAATATAGGCTCAAGCGATAAATCGTATATCTGCCAAGTGTACCCCAAGTCGTCCTCATTCTTCAATCGTACCTCGGAAGGTTCGACTTTGATACCAAGAGTTTCCCCTAGAACATCCATTAGTACATATAGATCATAGAACCATTTAACTCACATATATGCTGAAATAGACGATTCCTGCATGTTAACCTCCAGAAGGCTCGTTTTTCATTTCCGTCAAGAAATGGCTAATCTCATCTTGTCAAATTTACAGACTGTCGCATGGAAAGGAACTTTATACTTTGGGAGAAAGAATTGCGTGTTTAAAGCTCTGAATCGCAGAAAGGCAACAGCACGAAATGTTATGGATGTAATGAGTTTTTCAATAAAGAGAGGGTAATGTAAGGTTATCAACTAAGCGCCGAGGCGGACATACTGCGCCCACAAATAAGGTTGGCTCGGGTACTGTTCGCGAATCTCGGCCACCGCGGCATGCAACGCGGCTGCCACTCTCCGGTTCCCCTTCTGGATTCGCCCCTGCGAGAGGAGTTCGTGATAGGACACGCTCGCCATCTGCGCACAGAGATAGTCGTTGGATGGCCACATGGATACCACGGTATGCCCGAATCCCGCCACCTGGAAACCACTCGCGAGACGGAGCGCTTCGTCCGCCGAATCAGCAACTTGGTTTTCAGCCGTCGAGCAGGCGGACAGGTATGCAAGCCACACCCGTCCAAGGTGGGATCCGGAGACTATCTGTACCGTAAGCTGATCAGGAATGGACGCGGACTGGGCCTGCAGGGCCAGGTAGCTGCTGGATGGATTCGTCATGTCGGACGATCCGTGGCACGCAAAATGCGCGATACTAAAGTCCGGAAGCGTCCGAAGAACCTAACAGTCTCTAAACGCAATCTACCAAGGAGAGTAGCCACATTCTGCATGTCTTGGTGGGTTAAAATCGATGAGCAACAGGCCATATCCAACTAACATATACGCGGGCTTTATTATGGCGGGTGTAAATAGTGCCAGGCTCAACCCTTGGCCAATCATGGTTTCGACTCCAAATTTTGTTACTGCATGGTGGGGCTATGGCTGCGTTGGGCGCGTAAGGCCTGGCGTAAGCAATGAAGCAATGTCATGGAGAGTCATCTGGGATCTCTGCTTATCTGCTCACGAATCGTCCTAAATGGCGCCGCCATGGGCATTGAATGTCCTCTTATCCTCTCTTCCTAGTGCAACGACCGTACTTTGGCTCGCTCCAGGTCCTCACGCCCGGGCATGATGGCGCAGATACCCTATCTCAGTTGGTCTCCTGAACCCCCAGCCAATGGAGACGAAAACGGGCAAAAAAGCAAGTCATCCCAGTTTAAAAGTGACAAGAACAAAAAGGCCATATGGCAACTCCTGGTGAACGGATTTGATATTGACGATGAGGGGATGGATGTCCAAGCAGCCTTGCACTGGGCCGCAGAACAAAATGATCTGGTCGCGATGCAAATCTTATTCAGCCTTGGTGCAAGCGCAACTGGGAAAGCCCTCCGCTACGCGGCCAGTGGATGGCGCTGTGCTTCCGCAGTTCAGCTCCTGATTGACCATGGAGCAGATATCGGAGCCCGAGGTGAGCCGCATGGCCGGACAGCCTTGCATTTGGCCGCGCTTATGTCCGTCTCAGATCACGTTCGTGTGCTCCTCGACAACGGAGCCAATGTGAACACCCGGTCAGGAGAAGACGAGACAGCCTTGACTCTTGCCGCTTTTGCCGGCAAAGCAGCTACAGTAAAGCTTCTTTTGGAGCGGGGGGCTGATGTTTCTTGTGGTGACAGATCCGGGTGGACCGCTCTCTCGCACGCCTGCAACGGCCAGGACAAGCAGGAGATCGTGCAACTTCTCCTAGGGGCAGATGCAGACATAAATATTCGAGATAACGAAGGGTGCACACCTCTTTCTCGTGCCGCGCAATGCCAGTCATCTATAAAAACAATCGAGTTGTTGATAGCCACGGGTGCGGCCGTGATAACTCAAGATAACTATGGGAACACTCCACTGGCTCTGGCTGCTTGCCACGGGGATGCTGACACTGTTCGCTACCTTGTTGAGAGAGCGCCTACGTCCCTGCGCATGGCCAATAACGCTGGTAAAACGCCACTGGCCCTGGCTGCTGCGCACGCGCGGATTAGTGTGCTTTGGGTTTTATTCGAGCTGGAGAATAAAGGTGGGGGCGTTGATATCGAGCAACTGGATGCTAATGGCGATAGCTTGTTGGCGGTGGCAGTTGGGGATGCGCAGACAGAGGTAATAAGCACTCTCCTCAGCATGGGAGCGAACTTTAATTCCGTCAATGTCAAGGGACGTAGTCCACTGGCTTTGGCAGCCCAGCAGGGATACGTTTACTCGGTGGAAATGTTGATAGAGGCCGGAAGTAATGTGGAGGCTGAGGATAATGATGGCTATACTCCTATCGCTTTGGCCGCGATGAACGGGTGCGTCAACGCGGCCCAAACGCTTCTCGATGCTAGTGCGAAGACAAATCTCCGATGCCATAACGGACTCACAATCCTGGACTTAGCCAGGAAGCACAATCAGCAACAGATTGTCCACCTTATTGCCCTGGAGCAATGGAAGCGGACGCTGTTGGACCAAACGCGAAGGGCGCCATCCCATATAGCTCCCAATTCGCTCTATTTACAGCAATTATCCTGCCCTCGAAGCACTAGAGTGTTAACGTTGCACGCAGGTGGCTTCGAAGATCCAATTTGCTGTGCCCTGGACGTCATCAACTACACATCCCGGCATTCCCAATACGAAGCCCTGTCCTACCTCTGGGGTTGTGATAACCCCAGCTGTGAAATTTGGATTTCGGGACAGAGAGTCCTTGTTCGGGAAAACTTATCCTGGGCCCTGCGTTATTTGCGCGATGAGAAAAGCTGTCGGGTATTATGGGTGGACGCGATCTGTATTGACCAGGATAATATCGCGGAGAAGAGCATGCAGGTCCAAAATATGACTGAAATTTACAGATCTGCATCGAGTGTCCTGATTTGGCTTGGCCAGGGAGACGAGCTGGGACATGCGTTCTCCCTTGTCGAACATCTTATTTGGAAAAGAGAGGGAGCTCTTCGTACCGGCTCCTACCACGATTTGTGGGATCAATCGACTCGATCGCTTGCCTGCCTGCTAGACCATCCGTACTTTAACCGGGTTTGGATCTATCAGGAGATTGTCTGTTCCATTAATGCCACCGTGTACAGTGGGACCTTTGACTTAGGCTCTCCCAAAATGTACTCCATCTCTTGGGACACCATAGCCAAGTCCTATCATCTGGTTGGGCAAAGGGAGCTTAGGTCAGGAGTGTGGCGAGCCACGACGAGCTCTATCTCACGGCTCGGCTCGCTGATCAAAGGGCAGAGATCATTTAGGAAAACAGTCTTGGACTTGCTGACTCTCCTTGAAGTTCAGAGGAACAGCCAAACAACCTTGCCTGTTGACAAAGTCTACTCCGTCGTCGGATTATCTGCTGAGGGAAAATCCGGCCGCATGCTTGCTGACTATAACTTAACGGTAGTCGAAGCTTTTACGCATGTAACTAGGTCCGTGATTGAGTCACGGCGTGACCTGCGAGTCTTAAGCGCCGTTCAGCACTCTGCCGAAGAGTCCCGCCTTCCATCATGGGTGCCCGATTGGCGTAAATCCTGGGAAGTACGACCTATCCTCTTTGGAACCTCCGAGCGTGCAGACGCCCTGACCTTTTTGGGTGCTGGCGCAGAATGGAGGCGGCTGCTGCAGGTATCCGAGTTTACAGCAATGGATGCCAACTACGGGTCGATTCAGGATCCCCAGAGGAGCTTTAGTGCAGCGGGTGGGCGTCCTATATCCCCTGGGCCGTCTGAGCATCCGACAGAGCTGGGGCTGAAGGGAAGATGCGTGTCGATAATTATGACTCTAATCGAGTTTGACGACGATGTAGAAGTTCCTAATGATTGCCTCGAGGCCCCCATTATGTCATTCTTCTTACGCGACTTGAACGCCTCCTGGCAGTCGCCGTACCCTGGCAGCAAGGAGGAGACCTATTGGGACGCTCTCTCCAAAACAATAACTGCCGACCAGGATGAAGATCTCGCTGGTCTTGAGGAGCTACCTTTCCAGGAGCCCGAATCCAACTTTGAGGAAATATTCATGGAGCTTTTGCAGCGCACGTGAGTCTTCCATGCTCGTATCACTGTTATATTCCGATCAGATCCGCTGACCCAGTGGCATGCAGGCAGCGATGGGTCAACGAAGACCAGACCCGTCGACTTTTCCTCACGGAAGATCAGAGGGTTGGACTTGGGCCCGCGCACGCACAACCCAGAGACGAGATATGTATTCTCTTTGGTGGCCATGTGCCGTATATCGTCCGAGGCTCGGGGCATTGGCGATTTATCGGCGAATGCTATTTACATGGAGCGATGAATGGTGAAACGCTGGACAATGGCGATGGCCAGGACGATAAATTATACATATTGCATTAAATATTTCATCACATCCAAGAACTGAGGATTACAACTTTAGCAGCGCATAGGTGAGATGCTTTATTACAAAGCCCGACTGTTCGGTTGAAGAAAGATTCTGGTCCGTCGAAAGAGACATCAGGGGGGAACTCGTCACACAATGGTGGAATATGTCCTATAACGACTGAATTGCAGAGAAAGACATTACAAAGAGGGACAGGACGTGTCTATTTGATATCTACAAGAATATATGCCCGAGCGTTCCCGGATCATTTTGTTCATTTAGTGCTTCTATACACGCAAAATTTCCACTCATGCAGATATACTACAGTAAACTTCTCAGTGTATCATACAACAAGACGTTCTTCGTATTCTATATATTTGACAAGAAAAACTGTATATTAACAGTAATAACCTGTCTCACATAACTACCGCAGCGCAGGGATGTCAACATATAGACCTTTCCGGCCCTTTTCTTTGTAAACATGTCCTCGGAGGGTTTCGACTTTCTCAAAACGATAACCTTGTCTCTCCCTTTTTTCACCAGACCCCTCCTTTTTACGAACTATCTGATTAGTCTGTCCAAATGTCCCTTTGACTATTTGGTAAAACCATCCTGGTCGTAACGTCCCATCAGGATAAAATATTTTTCTATCAACGTCCGATTGTGGAAGTTGTGGAAGACTCTCTCGTCGGTGTTTTCTGCGGGCTTCGCGCTTCCATGCTAAATGAATCGATTAAAGGTGATATTCTATAACATCTAATGTTGTCTACTCACGCATGAGAATATGTAAAAATTTGCCCATTGCTCTGCTCGTCTTGGAGTTCCAAGGGAAAGTAGCACAATGTGCCAAGGTTTGCGAAATTTGCGAATAGATCAGTGATAGTGATAAGTTGAGAATTTCTTTTGACCATAGAAATTTGTTATTTCTCAATAAATATTTGGGGAAAGCGAGTTCTATTTCATTCATGGTCGATGTGTACAACAAACTACCCATTTTGCGTCTGCGACACTATTTCGGTTGGTTCCTGTCTCCACCAGTGTATGCAGTCTTGTTTCAGTCCTCATGGGCTCGTGCATAACTCTGCGACATTGTTTTCGTTCTGAGCTCGCGACTATGTTTCAGCTCCAGGCCCCGCTAGGATCATTGCGCTATACTGTTTTAACGCAACACATGATGCACTTTACAGATTGCCCACCCGCACCTGAGTCTTCGTTGACAATTACGCCGGTCGTGCAACGATCCATGGCTCCAACCTGGCCAAATCCACGCTCACTTTTATTCATAATATGATAAGCGATAAACAATGGTGACCCAACTATCTCCCAGATGGCGGAAGCTGCTGGCTGCAGCAAGTATCCCGGACTGTTCCGTAACGTCGAAGCGCCCTCTATCAAAGATGGATAACTGCCTGCGTTATATTCACTGTCAGCTAAAATACCCGCATTTCATATAACTATAATCATTCATACTGCGATATTTTCACCCTGTAAATATGCATCTATAATCAAAGTTTTCATCGACAGTGTTCCAACGGTCCTTGCGACGGCTACAACTACTGAGCAACCTTGAACTGTCCCTCATCCCGTAGGACTAGTCATTTGTATGCAATACACGAGCATGCCCCGAGCCCAAACATGTTCATTGATTTTATGCAAGGTATGGTCGCGTGGTTCTAGTCCACGAGTCAATTTCTGTTCATGTTGGTCAAGTCAAGTTTAAGAGTAGTGTCAGTGTGTCCAGAGAAAATTAGGAATTGCTTTAGCTATCGACTGAAGCTAATTATCTGCAAGCAAATAACTATGCCATTGATATCCTGATACCTCTTATAGGATAGAGGGGGAGGTAAACAGAGTTGCGGTATTCCTTTTACAGGCCACCAACGAAGAAGTTCACTTAGCAATCCAATTATCAATCTAGATTCTGCCAAAAAGTATCATATGTGAAGAAAAACCGAATTTAATTGCACTATCTCGCAAGTAACTTCGACAGAGACACTGACCAAAATAGACCTATCTAGGTTTTCAGTCTATGTATCTCATGCGCATGCCGCCGTAAGCCCATTTCATGATCCACCGATCGGTTGCAATAGTGACAATAGCGATCATCAAAGTGTGTATCTCTAAAGTGGCGCGGAAGGTGCTTGTGACGGGAATAATGTTTCATGCGACGTTCATCCGATTCACCCAGGTTGCCATGACATTGGAAGCATCTAAGAGGCTTTTTCGCCGTCTGAATATGACATTCTGCGTTCTTTAAAGCTTCTTCCCGTGATCCGGCTGGCGAGTTGGCTGGCGCGGAATCTAGTGTATTAATATCATCCGCTATGGCTTTCTGAACTGCATCGGCCTTCTTCGGTAAAGATATCTTCGTCCCCATGCACCGCCAGGGAGCTCTTATTTGGACAGCTTCGACCAGGATGTCAATGTCCGAATGGGCATGTCAGGGCAAGACATTGGGCTTCCTATCATTTCTCCCGCCACATATTCAAGCTCGCTGGCCACCAGATCAGCAAATGTACGAGTTGACAACAGCGACGAACCCAGCAGCAATGAACGTGATGCTAAGTGGCCAGTTTCTCCAGGAACATTTCGGTCCGAGCGTGGAGGCCAAGGCCCACCGTAAAGTGTTTGAGCTTCGGGCGGCTTATGACCGAGCTTTGACGGAGGTGGATATTCTTGTGACACCCTGCGCCCCCACAATCGCTATGCCACATCCGAAAATGCAGTGTGATGCCGAGGGGTCTAGCTCCAGCGTTATGGACAAGGTGTCGGTCGCTGTTGGGGTGACTACCAGTACAGCACCATTCAATGTCACTGGATATCCGGCTCTGAATGTACCCTGTGGGTTAGGTTGGGATTCAAATCATGCGGAGATAAAATTGCCGATTGGGATGCAGCTTGTTGGAAGAAGGTGGGAAGATGCGATGGTTCTCAAGGCAGCAGCGGTATTTGAGGCTGGAAGGAAAAAAGCACCAAACTGTCAATAAGCTTGGCTACTTAGTGTTTTTCCTTTGCCCCAATAAAACGTGTTCCGAATTGTCATATTTTCGATCATCGATTCCTGAAGAATATACGACATTGTTGGCCTTGGGGCTGAACGCTATCCAAGATAAAATAACTCAAACAAAATTTATTAAAGCTTCAAGTTTGTACACAACACCAGATCTCGTCATTCCATGGGTTTCTCTCGAGGTCTATAGAGTTTGAGAGCTGCAGACATGACACTTACCTGCATCAACCAACCGCGCAACCACCCCTTCCATCCGGATCTCGAAACGAGATCAGGCATATCCTGTCACACCGTAGCAATAACAAAGGTGATCCCTCAAGTTACACGCGAGTGCAGGACTGACCCCAAACCCAGGAAACCAAACCCCGGGGATTGGCACACGGCTCTCGCTGCAGCCCTAGAAGGCGTTTTTTTGACGCGCACGTTCATGAGCCATGCATCACCCAACCCAGCATTCATATGCGCTGTAACCCAAGTCCTCCAAATCCCCCTTCCACGCCATCACCGCCAAAACCTACATATAATGCACAGGTCCATTGTCACCCCTTGCTTCGGTTGTTCGTTACGAGAAACATTGACAGCCTGCCTGGAACGAGGGCCAACCCACAGCTGACGCTGTCAAGAAAGCTTCTCCAGCGCCATATCTTCCTTATTGGAGGATAAGGGAGGGCTATTGTTGCACAAAAGGGGATCATATGCCATGGGATGGACCCATTAGCGCGTATCGCTACCTTATGCAGCTTACATAGTTTTCCCAGCCAGGCATGCCAATGTGCGTCACGTCAGAATCATTGGTCAGCGAATGGCGTGGGAGGACAAATTATGGTCTATGCGCTCAGGGGAACGATCCCCGACCCACGGTCAGCGATCAGCTTAGCTCCACCCCTATCGATAGTTTGATTCCTCCTGGATCCACACCAAATTTGTCCTGGTTTTTCTTTTGTGTTTTTCCCTGTATTCGATACTCAAAAATCTACGCAGGGGCATGAGCGCGTGGAGATAACAGGATCTACTCTGTTCTGGTCAGCAAGGTCTACTGCTTGAGATGCAGCACTGCGTACGCAAACTGGTTTGAGGCGCAAACTGGGATCGACAAACTATCATGCCTCGAGGGTTTGGTGCAATGCGACCCACCTATCAGCAATCGCCTAACTACATGCCAATCTGATTTCGGGTGACAGGTCAAAACGAGACCCGCAGACCCGGTCGACACCTTTTTATGGTTTTTTTTTTTTTTTTTTTCTTCTCTGACGGAGAAATTATGGGTCTCAGTGGACTATCTTTTGAACCAGCACTTTAAATAATCGCCGACCCCTCCCAGCTGGGCACTGGCAGGTATCCACGCTACAATGTCGAGTCTCACCGTAAGTGGCCAGCCCTCTAAGCCATATACATAGCTGATTCTGAGCCCCAGGACCCTAATGGTGACCCAAATGTCGGTTCCTCCCGAGGCGATTCGTCGTCAACATCGGGCGACATCGCTAGCGGCCTCACTGGCAGCGGAAGTTCATCATCCTCGGCACTTTTAATGACATTTCTTCCGGCGTTGATATACGCACTGTTCTGGGTTGGACTGTTTCTGATTTTTCGACGAACTCAACGAAGATGGTACGCGCCAAGGTCGCATCTACCTGACTTACATGACCATCAAAGAAGCCCCGAATTACCCACAGGCTGGGTCAACTGGGTGGGCGACTTCTTAAAAATCGAAGACAACCATGTTCTACACCATTCATCCCTAGACGGTTATCTTTTTCTACGATTTCTGCGAGTTTTATGTGCCATTTGTTTTACCGGCTGTGTGCTTACATGGCCAATCTTGTTTCCGATTCACGCTACAGGCGGGAATGGGAATACGCAGCTCGACAAGCTCAGTTTTAGCAATATTGCAAATCCGAAGAAATATTACGCGAATGTTATCGTTGCATGTGTCTATTTCAGTAAGTGCTTGAATCATCCCTCCGGCGCATTATGTACTAACCGAAGCAGCGTTTGTTTTTTACGTTGTTGTGCGGGAGAGTCTATACTATGCCAATCTGCGCCAGGTCTATTTGAACTCCCCGGCATATGCATCCCGGATGTCCTCACGGACTGTTCTCTTCATGTCCGTGCCGCCAGATTACAGGAATGAAAAGAAGCTTCGGAGCGTATTCGGCAATGCAATCCAGCAAATTTGGATTACGTCCAATTGCAAGGAATTGGCTAAGTTGGTCGATGAGCGAGACAAATATGCCTACAAATTGGAAACCGCCGAAACAAAGCTTATTCGACGCGCAAACAAGGCGCGCATGCAAGCTATCAAAAAAGGCGAATTTTCTGCCGATACATGCTTGGATTGCGAGTCCAGTAATCCAGGGTGGTCCGAGAAGGTCAAGCGGCCTACCCACAGGCTGAAGATCATCTTTGGCAAAAAAGTTGATTCCATCCACTATTACCGCGAGGAGCTTGTTAGGGTTTCAGAGGAGGTGCTTGCTCTCCAGCGAAAGCATCAGGAAGGCGATGCGAAACAGCTTTCTGCTATCTTTATTGAATTCAACACGCAAAATGATGCTCAGATTGCTTTGCAGACTCTATCCCATCATCAACCATTCCATATGACTCCACGCTTCATTGGTGTTTCTCCCCAAGAAATCGTCTGGTCAGCGTTAAATATCAGCTGGAAACAACGCGTCGTTCGCAGATTCGCAGCTCAGGGGTTCCTAGCGGTGCTGGTCATCTTCTGGTCTTTCCCCGCTGCTATCGTGGGAACAATCTCTAATATCACATATCTGTGCCAAATTATCCCATTCTTGGGATTCATCCTGAAACTGCCCAGTTTCGTCAAGGGTGCTATCGAAGGTCTGCTACCATCAGCAGCTCTTGCACTTTTGATGTCACTGGTTCCAATCATCTGTAGAAGTACGTATTCTTCCCCCAATGCTTTACTATTTGATCCAGCTAATCTATTTGAAGTCTGCGCCAGACGATCCGGTGTTCCATCCCTGTCACGCGTTGAATTGTTCACGCAAAGCGCAGTCTTCGTTTTCCAGGTCGTACAGGTGTTCCTAGTGACGACCCTGACATCAGCCGCTTCGGCAGCAACGGCACAGATCATCAAAAATCCATTGTCAATCAAGGACCTCCTGGCACAGAACTTGCCAAAGGCAACAAACTTCTACATTTCTTACTTCCTGCTTCAAGGACTGAGCATGAGTTCAATGGCACTAGTGCAAATCGCCAGTGCCCTGGTCTTCAGAATCGTCGACAAATTCTTCGCCCATTCACCCCGTCGACTATATAACAAATGGGCCGAGCTCGCCAGTCTCAGCTGGGGCAGTGTTTTCCCCGTCTTCACTAACATGGGTGTAATTGGTACGCAGGCCCCCTTTTCACAGCCAGCGCCATTACTGACCATCATTCAGCATTGACATATTCGTGCATCGCACCATTGATTCTCGGCTTCTCTTTTATCGGTCTATATATGGTCTACCAAGCTTACCGTTACAACTTCTTCTTCGTGTACGACATCGAAATCGACACAAAAGGCCTAGTCTACCCCCGAGCCCTCCAACACCTCCTAACAGGCCTCTACATAGCCGAAATCTGCATGATAGGTCTCTGCGCAATCAAAGGCGCAGTCGGTCCCGTCATCATAATGGTCATTTTCCTCGTCGTCAATATCCTAGCACACATCTCCCTCAACGAAGCTCTCACGCCGCTAAACAGCTTCCTCCCCCGATCCCTAGACGCAGAGGAAGAACTCTTACAAGAGAAAGAGGATATCCGGAACGAGATCAACGAACAGCGTCGGTCACGCGGTCTTGCTTTCTGGAGATGGTTCCATCCTAATATCTACAAGGATTATGCTGCGCTAAGACGGAAAGTGCGGAAGAATCTTGAGGAGGTTTCTTACTCGCCTGAGGAGTTGCGGACTGCGTATTTTGAACCTTGCATTGCGTCTCCTCCACCTACCTTGTGGATTCCGAGGGATAAGTTTGGGTTTAGTCGACATGAGGTCATGGAGACGGATTCGATTATTGGAATCACGGATGAGGGGGCGCATCTTGATGAGAAGAACAGTATCATTTGGGATAAGTATGATCCTAGTCTTCCGCTCAGGGAAAGGAAAGTTTTGTATTAATACTACAGGAGGGGGATTTCGTTCTATAGATACCACAAGTATTATGACATTATTTATGAATGATATGGTTCCAGAAGAACTTTCGTGATCTAATAAGCGAATTCGGGCAGAGGATTCAGATAATTCCGTGACATCACGCAAGATTAAGAGTCTGGTCCACCAAGCGATACCCAGTTTTGAGACGACTTGGAGTTTATTCATTGGGTATAGATACACCTGACATTGTCATCGTTAAATTCATTCCATCATGGGCCTCCCATATAGAAACATATAGAAACAAAATGCTTAAAATTATCGCTCCTGAAGACACGTCTCACATTAAAATGCAATCTTTATTTCTCTCGTCGGCGTTATACCGTTCAGGCCGGTTCCCATAATTGGAATAACGATTGCTCCGTGGGTTTCGATTTCCCGGGTACTGATTTGAAGAATACTCGCTTGGAAATTCCGTGAAAGGAGACGGCCTTGCTGGTGGCGAGTACTGTGGCTGTGGTCGCCGGTTCACAGCTTCGTAAGGGGGTGGCGGCGCATTTGGATCATCCGGATCGGGTTCCGTATGAGGTGCCGTTGCTGGCCGTGCCGGTCGAATACCCACAGCATTTGCATTACTAGAGGAACGATTTGGGGGGTTGTTCATGCGGATACTCGATGCGTTAGGTGACCGAACAGGTGTGGAATTACGGTTGTTATTCCTTTGTGGTTGAGGAGTATGGTTCCCTTGTTGACTGTTGCTCCTTTGCTGACTGTTTCTTCTCTCTCGCTGTTCCTCTTCTTGGAACTGAAGCGAAAGCGCATAGGCATAGTCTGCATCAGCTTGTTCCTGTGGCGACAATCTCCCTGAAGACTCGGTGGCTGGAGCAAGATCTGAAGCCGGCGGAGCACTTGATGTGCGGGAATCAGCTGGGCCTGCAGATCCTGATGGGCCGTGGCCGACAGCACGGAAGTCACCAGCAAGAAACTCGGAGTTGAAACCGGTCACATCAACGAGAGATTCCCATACCACTTCGGCATGGTTTGCATAGCCGGCATCCGTTACCAACATGAAAAGCTGGTGGGATTCAGGGTGCTTGTAGAGCGTCGAGAAATGATCGTTGCGAAAGAATATTGAGACCGAGCCTGGTGCCAGCTTTGTAGTCAACTGTGTCAACCCAAAAGAGCTGAGTTGCGTCGCATTCTCGATCTCGACAAAGTATTGAATGGCCTGTATGTCTGCCATTTTTTGCTCTTCCTCTGGGGAAAGTGGTTTTCCCCGCATCACGGTGTCTTCCAATTCTTGCTTGCGGAAATGTAACAATTGGATGTCTTCATGATATTGCGCAACTCGGGTCATGGCCGTGTGGGCTGAGCTAGACCACGATGCAAGCCATCCATGAATCAAAGGAACACCGAATGTACTATACAGCTGAAGATCAGGGGTTTGCAAAAACGTGCCAAGAGAATCAGCCGTATCCTAATCAACGTTAGTTATATCAATGGCATTGTCACTTGTAAACACAGTTTGGGTCTTACCACCGTCAGGCGAGGGTTTACATTCAGGCCGGTATGCAAGATTGTGAGAAATCGAGACAGCGACTCAATGTCTGGGAATTGATCATCGGGGCTCAAGCGAGTAATCAATTCCTCAAATAAGGCCTCGATCAACAGTCCCAGTGAAATTTGTTCGCGGGTCTGCAATGCTTTGACAATTGGTGGCTGTGTCGTTGGATCCGCTCGTAACACCAACGCATTAATAAGCGCAAGTAGGGGACACGGCCCATTATTGTTTTGAACTAGGATAGGGGACTGCTGCATATTTCCAGTCCGATCCTGCCAATTGATTTGTCGTATAGAATATGTTTCCGAGCGCTGCTCCTGTTGTCTTGCTTCCTCGGCGGGAGTAAGCTTGACGATCGGTGTTGGTAATGTCTGGGCTGGCGCATCCTGGACCTGTTGCGAGGTTGGAATTGCTGGAAGTGGCGCACCAAACTGTGTGGTTTCAGGCTGTGAGTGAATTCCATCGGCAGAGTAAACTGAAGATGCTGCCTTTTGTGAGTCGGCCTCCACTCCAAGAGTTTCGTGGGGATCAAAATCGATCAATTCATGTGAGGTTGCCGAGGTGGCACTGGAAAAGGCGGAGGGACTATGAGCGCCAGCCTCTGAGCCCAATCTGTCGTGAGAGTAAGGCGGTTGTAAATGATATAGATCTTCAGTTGAACCAGACGGTTGTACAACTACGGCCGGGGCGTATGGATTAGCTTGTCCTCCTTGTAAATAAATTTCCTGAGCGGCTGAGATCTTGATTGAATGCTGTGATCCCCATGGAGATTGTTCCGGAGGCAAATCACTTGGTACTGCACGATGAGCTTCTAGGTGAGATTCTTCGTGATCTGCCCATGGAGACTCATCCTCCTGGTCCAGAAGTGATAGTCTGGCAGTCATTGGGATGTATCCCTCCGCTGAAACATGTCAGTATCCGTGCTAATGTGAATGGATTGCTATTCATACTTTGGCTCAAAGGATCACTGTTGGTCGTTGCGTTTGAATGTCGATTCCAATCATTCGATGTGTCTTGTGTGGGTATCGACGGTCTTGGTTTCAAGAATGGATTGTTCGATCGCAGTTGTACCGGCACCTCCCCAGCCGTTACTTCGTGACTAGTGTCCGCGGTCTGTGGTGAGCCCGATATAAGAGCCACCGGTACTTCCTCTGCTTTGTGCATTGTGCCTCCCGAGTGTGTTTCTGGATTGGATACAATATGGATTGTTCGATCCTCCCTGTCTTCTGGCCAAGAATTTGGTGGGTGGGTAGTCGGCGAGCCCACCGGGGACTTCTGAGCTTCTTCTAGTGGCATAAGATCAAATGCCGGCGAGGTATTGAGGTCGGGGGAGTATATGGACTCCTGGGAGGGAAGCCTGTTTAAGCGCCGACGGTGGAAGGAGGCAGAGGACGGGGAGGTTGGGGAACGAGTGGCCGGGCGAGTATTCCCTTTGTTAAGATTGTCAAGGCGAGGTGGGGGCTGTTTGCGGAGCACCATGAAGATGATCTTAAAAAGGGTATATATTTAGCCTCGCGATCGAGGACAATAACGGTTTCATGGAGCGCCCGGGTGGTACGTACGCACTTCCCTAGGGTCGCAAGGCTTCCCCAGATACGAACTGGCTGGGTATCACATACACAAAGGCCCCAATTTCTAGAATCATAAAGAGTTGAATGATAACAATGTGACAGAAATAAACGAAACTGCCTTGTGCCCAGGAACTGCGCCCGGTCGATGTGGAGTCTGAGCTCCGATGATATCAGGGAAGTGGTTAGTGCGTTAACTATGGGACCAGCTAAACAGTGGTAGGCACCCAGATTCCCCGCCGATCGATAGAGTCGTTTTGGTAATAACCCATATTACGTTGAGCTTAGGCCAGGCAGTGTGGGGAGGCCTGTGTAACGTAGTACGGTACTGTCTGCTATCTGGAAATCTCTCCGGACATACTGTTAGTCCGAGAGCTTCCCCACTGCGCTCTCTGATTGGCCCATGCATCTTGGGCTAGAAAAGTTGCCCGGAATCTTTTTTCTTGAGATTCGAAGAGGTCAAGTTCACTTGGCAGTCTTGCGCCTCCATGATGCATTCTTATATTCGGCCGAACCAGCATGCCATTGTGCAGCTGCCTTCGGATCAGGTCCGCATCATTAAGCCGGTACCAAACAGGTTCGCCAACGCTATCCAGAGAAGTATTTGAGGCAAGCACACTGACATTCAACAGCATAGTTTCCTTGGGCAAGTATGGCAACTTTGCCGCAAACCAGATTATTGGCCGCCCCTTCTACTTGACCTTCGAGATCCAAGACACCCCCGAACCTGATGGGTACCAATTGCGCGTTGTCTCAGCCACCGAATTGCATGCCGAAACCCTCATCGAAGAGGCCGAGGCCGAAGGCGAGGGCGAGGAAGGAGAAGCAGGCGCAGGAACCCCGATGCGCACAAACCAGAAGATTGTCGACGATGCTTCCACACAGCGATTGACTCTGGAGGAGATCGAAGAGCTGAAGAAGGAGGCCGGTGGGGCTGGTAAAGAGATTGTCGCAAAGCTTCTCGAGTCGCATTCGGCTATCGACCAGAAGACAGCGTTCTCTTTGGCAAAATACACATTGCGCAAGCGCAAGAAGTACATCAAAAGATTCACAGTGCTCCCGCTAGACGTCAGCGGCCTCGCAAATTATTTGCTGTCCGAGAAGGATACCGGGAAGGGCATGGAGTTGCGCGACGAGCACATCGGGTTACTCGGGTGCTTGGGCAATGTGCACCACGGTGGACAGTCCAAAACGGAAATAATTCCCGATGTGAAGCCAAATGGACGGTACTTCGTGGTGGACGAGACAGGCGGTTTGATTGTGGCCGCCATGGCTGAGCGAATGGGCATTCTATACCCTCATGATAATGAAGAGGATGAGGACGAGGCTACCGATGAGCCGTCAGCTACAGGCAACCCAGAGCCCCGGGGCTTCACACCAATCCGTCGTCGTCGCACTCGACCAATGTCTGCATCAGGGAATACTCTGACCGTCATCCACGCCCAGGCGCAACCCAATTTGTCACTCTTAAAATACTTTGGCTACGATATCAACCTTCCCGATGAATCCCACCCCCTTCACACCCACCTCAAGTCCGTTTCATGGCTCCAGCTGAAGAACCCCTCTCACGACCCTATTCTTTCCAACGAACCGACCGCTCTTCCCGCTGCAGAGCTGGCCGAGATGAAACCCAGCAAGCGCACAGGATATTACTTTAAACGAAACCGCTGGGAGAAAGTCAAGGGTGTGACGGATGAGGCTCGTGCGGGCGGCTTTGACGGCCTTATCGTTGGAACTCTGCTTCAACCTGAGAGTGTCTTGCAACATGCCATCCCTCTCCTGTCCGGCTCAGCCTCTATCTCCATATACTCGCCCTATGTCGAGCCCCTTGTCAAGTTGATGGACTTCTACTCTACTGCGCGGAGAACGGCATTCATCACCCGGAAGCGCGAGCTGGAATCACAGAAAAACGCTGATGGAGAGGCTGACCTGTCTCCGCTGAAGGAGGAATTCGAAGTTGACCCGACACAGCTTCTACCACCGACACTACACCGCTCCCGCGTGCGAGCCTGGCAAGTTCTACCGGGTCGGACCCATCCTCTGATGACCAGTCGCGGCGGAGCAGAGGGATACCTCTTCCACGCTGTGCGTGTCATTCCCACTGCGGAGCATATCCAGGCTGCTGGCACATTCCGAAAGAAGCGCAAGTTGGAAACAACAGCAACGTCCACCCCGACTAGCGACAAAGATGCTGACAAGGATGTGGTGATGTTATCATAAAATATTCTCTAGACTTTTACATTGGTTCCTAGAGTCCAGTTGGTTTCAGATCAAAATAAAATGTACGAGTACCATGATCATCCGATTTTGGATCAAGACGTATTTATCTATAGTCAATTGGGTAAAGAGTAAATAATATAGCTAGAAGCGTATGTCTACGGGAGTAAACAGTCGTTGAAAACGTATGTTGAGCTAAGGCTAATGAGCAAGCTGCCCAAGATCCGGCTCTGCAGCTACGATAGCACCATGCTCAATGACGTATCAAGAAAGGAAATAGTCGATTCATGCGCTGAATTTCATGAGAACAATATACAACCAGCATAACTTCTACAGGCTCTTGCCCATGAACTTTCTCTTGGTGAAGCTCAACCAGAACTGCATAGATATGGTCAGCGATATGTCTCGAGATACATATGGATAGAGATCTGACGTACCTTAGACGGGCCCTCTCCACCGGGGTATAATCTCGCATGTAGCCGTACAGCAATCTCCTGTCGCACCTGAGAAATGTACCTGTTCACCAAAGCATCAGTTTCGGATCAAAAAGTATGGGGTAGATTGGACGCACGCCCGCAGACTCTCCGCATCCTGGCGGTCGCGTGGGGGCTCAAAGGCCTGGTTAAGCGGGAAGGACACATCACCAGGGATAGCGAAATTGTCAAGCGAAGCATTGATCAGAGCCTAGCAATAACCAGAGCAGTCAGTACTTGCACTCTCCATGTTCTTGTTCGTTGGTGTTTACCTTCTCAGCCTCACGGGAGTTCATTGTCGGCTTAACCTTCCCGAGGCACTCGCTAACGAAGAGGGTTCCATAGATGAGCATGCGATCGGCAGGACCATTGATCTCGAAGTTCCGGAACAATACGTTGGCACGGAAGAGCGACAGGATTTCATCAACGCAGTCGTAGGATTCATTGTCGGGGGCAACATCGATATCGGCAGTATTGGGGGGAAGCGCAGGCAAGGTGTATGCGGGACCACGGGTGCGAGTGCGCAATGGCAGAATTGGGAAGTTTCCTGGAGCCGTGTATGTCAATCATGGAAACTTGGGTCTACCGCGCGGAGACGTGGGATGTTTGGGGATGCAGCTATTGGCGGGGCATTCGTACCTATCACGGGGACATCGCGGTCCTCCAGGAAGATGGAGTGGTATGCCTATGGTTATATTATTATCTAGTGAGCATTTCACATATTCGTATAGTTACATACCGGCATTGTGAGGGTGGGTAGCGTTGGGATTGGAGTTGATGCGGAGTTTGGGTTCAGGCAGTGAGGATGTCATTGGAGTGGAGCACGGAACACACCCCAGCTCCCTTGATTTTCCGCCCCGAAGCTGCTGGGTCTCTTTACGCGCTACGCGTCCAGCTCGGCTTTTCGCGATCCTTCTTTTACTCTGGCAACTTTCGTAACGCAGGACATTTGGGTTGAATACCGATCTTTCCTTATAATGTCTGACTACGAGGATGAAATGGACGTGGATACGTCCAAGGATGTGCAGTTTGGCTCCGACAATGCTGCTGGAAAGAAGAGGACAGTGGCCGATCTCCCCGTTGAAGCACAGGACAATCTCCCATGGTAGGAACTGCGACCTCTCTTTCGAGTACTGTACCTAATTCAAATTTCAGGGTCGAGAAATACCGCCCCGAGAGCCTAGACGAAGTCTCCGGTCACCAAGACATCCTCGCAACCATCAATCGATTTGTCGAAGCTAATGTATGACATTACGCACATGGCTTATGATATACAATCAACGAAGGATGCTAATAGCAAAGCAGCGTCTCCCTCACCTCCTTCTCTATGGCCCCCCCGGAACCGGAAAGACCTCAACGGTTCTTGCCCTCGCACGAAAGATATACGGAACCAAGAACATGCGACAGATGGTATTGGAGTTGAACGCCAGTGACGACCGTGGTATCGACGTTGTCCGAGAGCAGATTAAGACCTTTGCCAGTATGTCGATTAGCATGTCAATCAACGATCCATATACTAATGGGTATAGGTACAAAACAAATCTTCTCCATGGCACCCCAATCCGCCAATGCATCCCTCGCCGGCTTTAAATTGATCATCCTGGATGAAGCAGATGCCATGACATCCACCGCACAGATGGCTCTGCGTCGCATTATGGAGCGCTACACGGCCAATACCCGATTCTGCATCATTGCCAACTACACACACAAGCTCTCGCCCGCGTTGTTGTCACGTTGTACACGATTCCGGTTTAGTCCTCTCAAGGAGGCCGATATCCGATCCCTTGTAGACACAGTTATTGAGAAGGAGGATATCAAGATTCAACCTGACGCAGTGGATAGTCTGGTAACCCTCAGCAAGGGAGATATGCGTCGGGCACTGAACGTTCTTCAAGCGTGTCATGCAAGCAGTACGCGGCTTACCAAGCCTACCTTATCTACAGGCTCTTGACTTACTCTGCGATAGGCAAACCTCTTCCGATGCGCGATGCACCAAACGCCCCTGCGCCTGAACCCGAAATCATCACAAATGCGACAATCTATGACTGCATTGCGGCCCCCCACCCAGCCGACATCCAAGAAATCATGTCCACCATTCTCAATACCAGCGATGTCACATCCTGCCTCAATACTGTCAATACCCTCAAGGCTACCAAGGGTCTCGCCCTGGCGGATATCTTATCAGCTCTAGCTGATCAACTGCAGCAGCTTGAAGTGCCAGCGCAGACCCGAATCACTTGGCTGGAAGGTCTCGCAGAGATTGAATATCGCCTCTCTGGTGGTGGATCAGAGTCTATCCAGACCGGTGGATTAGTAGGCGTGGTACGCAATGGGTGTGAATTGATGGGCGACAAGGGCGTTGCAATGACTTGAAATGAAATTGGCTAAAATGAAAGTAATAAAATATGACGAGAATGAAACCGACCATAATCTACTTCCTCCAATGTTATCCGTTGGTTGCTATGCCACGTTCTTTTGCATTGCAGATATGCGAATGCAGCCTCGTGGCCTGGTGTCTGCTTAACCGAGGGGTTACTGTAGCCACTACGGTAGAACATTCCGATTCCAGTACTCCATTGGCAAATCATAACAAGGTGAAAGCGGGGGAAATTGGCCAGGGCTCGACAGAGCTAATCAGGGTTCAAGGGTCTTTCCACACCGCGGGATCTAGACGTCTTATCGACTGAAATCAATTACCTAAAAGGTTACTGCTTTTCCTCGGACTTGGCCTGGCTTGGCCTACAGCTGCTTACTGGATCCAGATCAGGATAGTCCATGAGTGGTTGAAGCCCGGGAGTCGCCGCTCACAATGACAATTAGACTTTACGCAACACTGCGATGCGGCACAGCTCCTCTACCTGACCCGCACTTGTTTCGCTCCAAACCCGCATGGTAATGCCAAAAACACGTACCAAGGAACACTATATAGCATTGCCGGAGCCCATTTCTTGGTGGATCCGGCTTTGCTTTTCGTTCCACCCTTAACTTGATCATGCGTTCCTCGATTCATCGTGGCCTGCTGTTGGCCTCCCTCACTGCGCCTGTCGTGTCTGCTGAGCGCGTGTTGGGTGCTTATATCTATGCCCGTCATGGTGACCGAACTGCGAAAGTTTTTGGCAATACTCAACTGACAGACCTGGGTTATTACGAGGTCTTCGCGGCTGGATCCGTGTATCACGACCTCTATGTCGACTCAAGCTCGGATAAGCAGATTGAGGGAATCAGTGATCCTATCGTGAACGCAAAGCAGATCAATGCTAGCGCTCCCTCGGATGCGGTGCTGCAGAACTCGGCAACTGGTTTCCTGCAGGGCGTCTATCCCCCCGCATCAACAGCCGCTAACACTACGCTGGGGAATGGCACCGTGGTCGACTCGCCATTGGATGGTTACCAGCTCATCCAGCTACAAAGCACCGCTTCGGGCTCCAATAGCGAGGATTCCAGCTGGTTGCAAGGCTCGAGTGACTGCTCCAAGGCCACTGTGAGCAGCGACAACTACTATAGCTCGGAGGCTTACAATGATATCCTCAAGTCCAGCGCGAGCTTCTATGAGTCACTCTCTCCAGTCCTGAACAGGACTTTCTCGGCGGCTGATATCAGCTTCGAAAATGCCTACACTATCTACGACTATTTGAATGTGGGCTATATTCACAACTCATCTGCGACATTCCCCGGAAAGTCAGAGTACATGACCGACGCGAACCGCGTGCAGCTACTATCGCTTGCTGGAACCCACGAGTGGAACCTGGCATACAATGCCTCCGACCCAGTCCGCGCAATCAGCGGTGCCGTTATTCTCGGTGAGATCATGTCCAGCTTTGACGAGATCATCGATTCGAAGGGTACGAAGTCCATTCTGAATGTGCAATTTGGATCGTACGGAACTATCATGTCCTTCTTCGGTTTGATGCAGATGCCTGCTGCCTCGCCCGACTTTTACGGTATCCCAGACTATGCCTCGTCTATGGTCTTTGAGCTCGTGACCAATGCTACTGGCACCGACTTCCCCTCCAGTGACAAGATCAGCGTGCGCTTCGCATTCCACAACGGCACCATGACCGGCTCGGCTAAACCTACAGTCTACCCTATGTTTGGTCAAACTAGCGATGTTCTCTCCTACTCCGACTTTAGCGCACACATGGAGAAGGTCGCCATTACTTCCACTAGCCAGTGGTGTGATATGTGCGGCAACACTGACGGCAGCTGTGCAACATCGAGCGCATCCAGTTCTTCTGCTAGCTCCTCGAGCACCGAGAGTTCCGGTGGTATGTCCCGGGCCGTGGCTGGTGTAATTGGTGCCATGGTGACGCTTGCTGTCATACTTGGATTGGAGGCTCTTTTCTTCCTGGTTGGCGGATTCCGCATCGCTAAGCGAAACAAGGGTGGTCCTGAGATGGTCACTGCCTCTACCGTGGAAGCAGACAAGAAGTCCTAGAGTATGGATATGAGATGTATAATGAACGCTTTTCTCATCAAAACTGCACAGACATCTGCTAAGGACTCATACCAAACATAGTTTATATTCATGTGATAATTGTGTTAGTGGGCTATTGGTAGCTCCTTTTTACTTTTGAACAAGTGTAATTTTTCCATGCTGGTTTAAATCCTTGGAAGGCGTCAATCATATCGAGATCTTCAGACTTTCCTAAATCACTTCTTCCAAGGTACTCCTTGAATGAAATCAGTAGTTGCCCACGCTATGCTTCTATCAATTCGGGTCTCACTTACAAAAATGTTTGTTTAGATTCTCGTTCAATAACAACATTGCTTGAGTGTATTACATAATCTACGTGGTCGATGGAAATACGCTCTAGTAAGTCAGAACAAGCCGGTCGCTTTCATGTACCAAAATAGGACGGTTTTCAGGAATGAAATGAATAAGAAACTGGGAAAAATGTTGGTCAAATGGTATTACAAGGTTCGACATTGGAACGAGAACTACGCAAAATAATCCACATTCCCGCCCGCACCCAAGCCCTTCCTTCCCCACTGTTAGACCATCAGTTCCCAACCTAACACTGCGAATAGAAGCATCCTGGGGAGAAAAACCATATCAACCGCAATATCCCAAATGGAGAGTACCGCCATCTCCTTCACAAGCTTCGGCCTAGTCGTGCTAGACGAGATCCACATCCCAAATCAAAAACCATTAACCAATATACTCGGAGGCTCAGGAGCACACGGTCCGTACCGCGTTATTTACCGTGGAATCTAACTAACATGGTACAGCAACCCTAGGGGCACGTCTATTTCTAGCTCCTCCCTTAAGCCAGACTTTAGCATGGCCAATTCATATTGGGAATGACTTTCCAAGTCCTATTACCGACCTGCTTCAAAGTTGGGGAATCACTTTGGTCATCAAGAGAGAAGGGGATCAGCCTTCGACAAGGGGATTATTGGAGTATAAAGATACTACTTTTGGACGTATGCAGCTCGCTCCAACTGTGTGCAATGATCATCGCTGACAGGGACCCATTTAGCCAAAGATTTCAAATATACAACTCCTGTTCTAGCTGTCGATGAAAGTAATGCGGGTACCCAAATCCTGTCGTCGAGGGTATATCATTATCTCGCAACGCCACGGGATATTGTGTCCCGTGTCTCAAGTCTAATCACTATGCGGCGTGAAGTCGGTATATTGAATCGACCGCTCATAGTATGGGAACCGTCTCCTCTAGCGTGCAGTCCGGATAATCTACAAGGATGTCTAGAGGCGGCGCGATATGTCGATGTTCTCAGTCCCAATCACCTTGAGCTAGCGAAGCTGTTTTCACAGGCAAATATCGCTTTCTCTAAACCAGAGATCGAGGAGCTGGTATCCAGGCTTTTGGGTGGTGGGGTTGGTCCAGATGGATTGGGCGTGGTCGTTGTACGAGCTGGTGAGCATGGTTGTCTGGTTCAATCACGGGACATTGCTGCTAAGTGGCTTTCCCCGTTCTATGGATCTGGTTTTGTGGGCGAGAAAATTTCGTCAGTGATTGACCCGACTGGAGCTGGGAATGCGTTTTTAGGTGGATATGGTGTGGGGTTTATCCAAACGGGAGACGCTGTACAGGCAGCTTGCTATGGGAGTGTTGCTGCGTCGTTTGCTTTGGAGCAGATCGGTATGCCGGAGAGGGTAGATCAAGGTGAGACCGAAATGTGGAATGGGGTTAGTGTGCAGGCAAGACTACGAGAGTATATGTCCAGAGAAGAAGTCAACAGTATCTGTCTATAGAGAATTAGAATCAGATGCAAGAATTATCGCATTGATGCGGGAGCAAGTAAAGGCCCATTCAGGGTCCGATTGCGCATATGGATCTTGTGATATAGGATTTTTGAAATCCACCTAGATCCCCAAAACCACGCACTGCCAGCCCGTATGAACAAAATAAACGCCATCCGTGATAACCCGGGATATCGCCTCCAAATCTCGCTCTCTCCCACTTCTTCTTTTTCCTTCTTTGAGCCTATCTGGCTCTCACTCTACTGTTTATCAGATCACGCCCTTCTGCGCCGCTTCGTACTGCTTCCGTGTTCGATAGGATCACCGGGTGTCTCCGCTGCTGTTGCAGGACTGGTAGCCTCGCTATCAGTCAACTGCTCAATAACTCGGCCTGAATCCATGTTTCCAGACCCGGTATCACCACCGTAACCAGTACCGTCAAAACCGTAGCTGTACTGATCTTGCCCGTGGCCGCCGTCAAAGAGATCACCATCACCAGGAATTTGTCCGAAGTCAAATAAATCATTGGTGTCACCCTCGTCTTGGCCCAAATGTTCGTGCGGGTTTGCTCCCAACTCAGGGGGTTGCCCAGTGGGATCAAGATTAGCGAGCTTCCTATCGTGCTCTGTGTCTCCAATATCGGTAAAGTAGTCATTGTTGAATATGGTATCAAGGTCAAGTGGAGGAGGAGGAACATTTCCGTTCCCATCTGGTCCCAATCCTGGTATGGCACCAGTTGGGCTCAAAGGCTGAAGAAGATTGGTAAGGTTTTGAACGGATCGATCCTGCTCGGCTTGCATCTTGACTAGGTTGTCAATTTCTTGGCGAGTGTTTGCGAGGCGACCTGAGTAATTCGGGGGCATAGGGGGCGGAGTCGGAGTCATAAGAGCGTTGTTTGCAGAGCCTTGAGCACTGGGGTCTGCTGTGTTGGTCTCATTGGCCATGAGACGAAGCATATCAGCACGCTGGTGAGCAGTAAGAGGCACATTTCCGCCAGATGTTTCCAGGGAAGAAAGGACATTGGGGAAGTCGGAAAAGCTTGTGGCCAGGCCATTTCGGGCATTAGAGTTCTGAATGACGGACATGATGTCCTGCTGAGGGGAATTTGCGTCACTTGGTTGCCCCGGATGCTCAGATTTGCTCTGCCGTGGGCTGTTATCGAAAACCTCCTCAACATGGCCAGGCTTGCCAGCACTTGGCTGCCGGGCATGACCCCGAGATCTGGTCTCATAGGATCCATTTGCCGCCGGGGAAATGGTAGATGCACGGTTGTTCTCGTCAACGACAGGGGGAGCTTTCAAAAGCAAAGGCTGTTTCTTCATGGTTCTTTGACCAGTAGGGCTAGTCAGCCCGGCCAAAGAACTCAAAGAAAAGTCATCGCCCACATCGACAATGTTTCCCTGATCCCCAGAGATGGCTCCAGCAAAAGAATTCGCGATATTTTGGTTTGTATCCTGCCCTTGCAAACTGCGATTATAAACAGTCGCGAGAAATGTGAGTATGGCGTTGATTGAGTTCTCGTGGCGAGTGTGTTGCTCTTGGAAGTTTGCGGCCTGTGCATAGAGCTGCTCATGCTCCTTCCGTAACCTAGTTATGGTACTTGAAATAATCTGTTGCTGTTGACGAATCGCTTGCAGTTCTCGGTACACCCCAGACAACTGATCTGATTGCATAGGGGTTTCTGTGAGGAGGGAAAGCTGCTGAGGTCTTGGCCGGCTCTCACGAGATGCAGGCACGCTATCATCCCCATAATCATCTATCTCATTCTCATCCACGTCCTCTGTCTTCACACGGGTTCCGCCTTTGCTCCCCTTACTAGTGTGACCTGGCGTGTTTTTGGGTTTCTGTATCAACCAGAGCAAGTCCGGGTGACCACGCTTGAAGTAGGGGTTTGCATATTCGCTCGGACTCTTGTTTTTTCGCTCGCTGGCGCGCATGGAGTTGTCGGAAAGGCCAACCTTCTTGTGGAATCCATACATATTCAGCTGTCGGACAAAAGATGCGTAATTGTTGTGTTTGAAAAGTTCGGGGATCAGCGTCCTCGCAAACTCATCCTCGTCTAGCACGATGAAAGAATTGCCGTCGTCGGACCATCGAATCAACTCCGTATTCTTGGACTCATCGAGAAAACTATGAGAACGGATTAGCTCTTTATTCAATTTGAATGAACTGTTATTTTCTGCAACTGACCTGCTGAGTTTCTGCACGAAAGGTGGAATTTGTTTCCGCTTCGCTTGCGACTCTCTCTTCGCGGCCTGCGCCCGCGAGTATAACTCCTCGAGGCTTTCACCCCATGCACCCGACTCTCCCGGATTTCCACTTGGATTATGGTCTGAATAGGCTACGGGCGCTTGCTCGTACCCGCGGTTTCGACTGACAAGCTGGTTCGCCTGCTGGCGACGGGCAAGTTGGTTGTTGTTGGCTGTTCCCGGAGCAGGCACATCCGGAGCATTCAAACTTCCTTGATGGTATGCAGGATTTTCGGTGAAGGAGGAGGTATTCACGGCGTTGACAGCGGGGTTTTGCCCCCACTGTAAGAATTGGTCGTTGGATAATTGAGAATTCGGGTTCGCGGATGAATAGTTGGGAACCGCGCCCATCTGTGGATGTACTGCAGGAGTCGTGCCCGGGGCCGGCCTTTTGCGCGTCATGCCTTGAGAGCTCATGATGTACCAATAGGTCCAAGCTGTTGATGGGTAAGGTATCGCAGGAGTGGGGTTGCTGGTAAATCTTTCGACTAGCGAGCAACGCGTGGTGAGGCGCGAATCAGATTTCAGGGGAACTCGAATTTATCGTATCGAGGGCAATTCGAGCTCCAAATTCAATTGATTAGGCGTGAATACCGTCCTAGGCGATTGAGTCACGCCAAAGGTCTGGGGGTGGAGTGAATCGGGCAAAAAACTAGCCGACTGTCGACAGCGCAACCCAGAAGTCCTCCGAAAGAATTCAATGTATGGTAGTGAATGTGGTTTATTCGACTTTAGAGTGTAGGCGGTCCGAGGCAGACTTAGACACGGTGGATGAGGATTTGGGTGAAATCCTACCTTGCGACCACAATCAGCGGGTGAAAGATAGGCCTCCAGGACGATTCGAGGCTGCAACAAAGGGGGGCGAGAAGGGCGCTCTGCTCCAGTCAGAACAATGACGGATGAGCGGTGATCCGAATGCGATCGGAGCGAAGGGTGGAATGGAGCGCAGAGACAAGAAATCTTGCGCTGCGATCTTTCGCTTGACAATGAGGTCAATCCAGAGCGGAGTCAAAGCTGATTGGCGGGTTCATGCTAAGTCATCACCACTATCAGAGAAACAGAAACTTTCATCTTCAATAAACGCAGTAATTTACTCTATGAAAAGCTGTTCTGTTTTATCAGAGCATAGTATCATATCACACATTGCATCTGTCTTCTCTTTCTTCTTCAGTCCCAGATCTGCCATTCCGCTAGCCTGGGATACATCCTAGTTTGTGGCATCATCACCAACGAGTTCCTGGAATCCATCCAACAATGCCTGCCACTGAGCTGGTTGATTTTGTGTAAACTCTTCCACCTTCTTCGGGCTATTCAAGTCCTCTGCCATGCGGGTTTCATTCTTGGTGCCATTCAGTACAGTAATGTTACCGAGTCCCATCACCAGCGCATACAGCGCAGCTGCGGGGCTGATCCCCACGTAAGCAGCGAGCTTCTGCACAGGTTCCGATCGTAAAAGCTCTGGGTTTGCAGTCAGAGTCCAGAAGCTTTGGTAAATGATGTCATTATCGCGACAGAATGACCGGAGTGGTACATCATATAGAGTATCTTCGTAGAATCGATTCTGCACAACTGCAGGCTTCACCTTGACCACGGGAGAGGTATAAAGAGCCTGGAGCACCGGGAGAGGGCAATTAGAAATTCCCAGGTTACGAATCTTGTGGGGCACATAGGTCTCCAATGCCTCCCATACCTCGATGGTCTGCTCGATAGTCCTCAACGGACTATGGACGACCACCGTGTCAATGTAGGCTTCGCCCACGCTACTCGGGTCAGCGGATGGCCGGAGATTGTACAAAGATGACTTGATTGATGCATGGACCTGCTCCGTTAAAGATGCATTGGCATCATACGGCATGTTGTCCGGATCTTGGGCGGAAATCGGACTAAATTTGGTTTGCACCTGCATCAAGTCAGTACCAACATAACCAAAATAAACCGAAGCCAGGGTCAACGCTACTCACGTAGAGCTCCTCTCGTCGCACTACTCCATCCGCAATCGCCCTGCGAATTCCATCACCGACCAATGGCTCCTGGTAGTGTCGTGGCTGAGCTGCTGTGTCGATGCCGCGGAAGCCGGCGTTGACCGCATTGTAGACCAGATCGGCTGTCCGATCTTTCTTCCAGGCAGTCCCGTAGAGGAAAATCGGGATGAGAGTCGGAGTAGAGCCTTGGACGGGACGTAGGCAGTGTCTTTCCCACATCTTGATCATCGCTCGAGCCATAGCGTATGGGTGGAAATAGATCGCATCTATGATTTAATTTGTCAGGTGCTGCGGGGTCGCAACTCTTACTAAGGAATGTTGCTGTTGACGTGGTGACGTCCTCGTCATTTTCAAATCGTGTAGATACCAGTGAGTAGAATCCAATGATGATTCTTGGAGATTCTGTTGCGCTGTGATCTCTGCATGGTAAGTAATCTGATCTCGAAAAGTCATTAGGCCTACAAGGTTCCTTTAGCCCGGGGACTCAGCCCCAATACGAGCATAAGTTGAGCCCACATCCGATTATCTCGGTCGCTTCTACATATGCGCTAAATTGGTGATATCCTTAAGTAATGCGGAAGCCTAGAGAGTGTTCTCAATTTTGCTATTTATATGATCAGTCATCGTGGAGCAGATTGGTTCGGTTCCCGGCATTATGCAGGGATACCCACTTCGTGCTCCAGGGCTTTTTGGCTGTTTTGATCCCTCAAGATAACCCAGAGATAAGTAATCGTTCACAAACTCCCAAATATTTTCAAAATGGGTCGTGCCCAATACTGTGTTGAGACGAAATCAAGACTGCAGGCTGCAGAATTGGTGAGCTATAAGCCAAGTGATAGTTAGTAGCCCCGCAGCGTGGCTTAGACGGTAATTTTTTCTGGGCATGTTGCTTGGCGGGAGAATTCCTTGTAGGATTTTGAATCATGTTATTGACTATAGATCGTGTGCCTAATAGTAGATCAAAATTAGGTAGTATTAACATTGTAGGATGGGGGACTCAACTCTCGACACAGCCACTGCAGGCTAGTGACTAGCGTAAGGGCACGCTGCAGAGTGCAACAACGCATTACTTGACGGCCCCGCATAAATCAATGAACCATCTCCCGAGGTCTTGGCTGATGCCATTCTGGAACAGGCAGCTCCTTTCCCTCCGTGAACATTGGTTCTCCCCTGCTGGGCGGTGGAGTGTTACTTCCAACTATAGATATCACTTTCATAGTTGATGGTGAAGATCTGTAGAACCTGCAGGGCTTGGCAGCTCAGCTTCCCACCTTAGAATAGAGGAGAAGAACATCTAGCCGTGAGTGGGCAACAGGCTCATCACGGGCACTTCTGATCGACAGGGTTCAACTACGATGTCATTTATAGAAACATGAACATCTATACTTGACACTGCCAACAGCAGCATATAAAGATGCAGTTTTTCCTTTGAATATTGACCAATTCAACAAGACAGAGTACCATTTCAATCCAAAGAATAACCAAGATTCTAAATCCAGTCTCCGGCTTTTTTCAATCAGACATCATGCGTTCTCAGCAACTTCTCGCGCTCTGCGGCCTTATGCTTGCCGGTCCCCTCGCTATTGCCGCCAAATTAGAGCATGACGATGTTCCCAACCGCTGCTGGGCTGCCTGTGGCCCTGTCGTGGGCATTTCGGAGAGTTGTGATTCGCAGCATGACAATGACTCTGCCGAGTTGCAGTGCATTTGCAATTGGGCACCAGCGAAGACGCAGATCCCACTCTGTGCGGCTTGCATCACCCAGTACGGAGACGACGATAACGATAATGATCATAATCATGACGACGATGATGACGATGACGATGATGATGATGATGACAACGGTATGTGAAATTAAATTATCATAGATGATTATCTAACTGATTTCCTTTCAGATGCTCTTGATATCGTCCACTCTTGCTCCTTCAGCACGACGACCTACAATGCTGCTGCTGCCACTACCCTGAGTGCTTCGACCACCAGTACTGGAACTGCCGCGTCGGCTGCCACCACTACGGATAGTGCAGTCTCTGGAGGCAGCTCTCAGGGCTCCACCACTACGGATACTGCAGTCTCTGGAGGCAGCTCTCAGGGCTCCTCCACTACTGCTTCTGGGGGCTCTGCTTCTTCCCCGACTGCCACAACTGATGCGGCTGCAGGTATCTCTGCCCCCGGAGTTATTTACATGGCTGGTCTTATGGGCATGCTACCTTTAGCTTGGCTTTAAACGGCGTGGGTTGCTTGCTTTGTGTGAAGCAAGAAGACAACATCAGTATGAGAATTTGAGAAGGGACAACTGAGTACACGACAATTGGCTTTCGTGGTTTTACATGTTTATACGACTCTCCTTAAATTTGCAACAATCTTTATACTTTCTAGGACATCGGTCAAGTAGTTTACCTCCTATTTTCTTCCCACTTCCACCTTAGGGCCATGCCCTGGTTTCAACTATCTTCTCGATGTCAATCGGGTCGGCTTATGCGACGCCTGTAAACAAAATAAAAAGCCACACCTCTTTTCAGCCCATAGACGCGTGGTAAGAAGATAATCGGGCACCTTATGCATTATCAGGACCAATCAGTCGTGCATAATTATAGTCTGCCCCTTCCCCCGCTGCCTCCTTCCATCTTCAAATATCACGGTTCATAAATTTCAATATTCTCCGTATACCCATACCTTGCCTTATTGGAGTCATAAAGAAGCTTGCACGCGCCTTGGCTTCTTCCAAGATATAAAACCCAGATAAGCTCATGTCAAGGCGATCGTCAAGCCAGTCACATGTTCACGGGCAAATGCCATGATAAAAAATATTACATACTCAGAATTCTTCCGGAAAACCCTCCCAAAACGATTGTTTACATATACACGGGGGAACTTCGAGAGCTAATGAGGTCCAAATAAACAGGCATTGTCAGAGACATTGGCATCCGTACGGGGAACCTACTGTTCTTAGTACCAAACATGAGAAAAACTGGGTAGCTCTACGAAAATAAAACGCCCTTTGGCGTCTTCATTTGCTTTTTCGATGGTGGTATCGCCGTTGCCGTCTAACTTGATCTTGGGTGGGATGGCCAGTGGAAAGGGTGAGACGGAACGATCATGACATTTGAGCCTTTGAATGACACTCCAAACTTTTAACCTCCCTCGAATTAATACAGTTTAGCTTAGAAAAGAACTTACATTTAGTTTATGACCTAGGACTTTGTGGTGAAAAGGGAGACTAAAAATATGTACAGGATTATGGAAGTGGGTCCAGCCGGGAGAAAGAGATCTAGTGAAAAAGTGTCCATTGGGCCCCGAGGCTCATTATACAAGCCTATATTATAAATCATTAGTCGGAAACCTTGAATTTCCAAGAAGATTGAGTTTCCTTCCAAGGTGGAAACTCGTGCTGAAATTTGTTCAAACCTAGTGGTTGTCTAACTCCTGACCTCAGGTGTAATTGTTGCAAACCTACTACTGTATGTATAATAATGCTACAACAACTATATATATTCAAGATTGACGTCCACCTTACTCCCCCAAAAGAAGCTCAATACGTATTGAAATCCATCTATATTAGTTAATAACCATGCGGGTTTTTAATTTACATTGAAATCCCTACAAATTGTTTAATAGAACTACTAGGGATTTTTAATATGTCTGAAACTCTATAATACATGGGTTAAATGCTATAGCATCCACACTCATATAATCTAAATACAAATACTAAAATTAAAAAGAAATAAAATTATTATGCTATAGTATTCTAGGCCGTTCAATTTGCTGGATGGCCTTGAAGGTCATTTTAGGAAATCGCTTTATATATTCCATTTCCGAGACAGGTAAACTGGGATTGTCACTAAAATGACGAGGCTGAAGCTTCTACTGTACCTGTGCTTTCGACTGCACAGCTGATATCGGAACAGACTTCCAGGCTTCTACGGCCCATATGGAAGAATACCTAATGACAATGAATCGGTACAAGGATCGTGGGGGAGTACTGGCTTGCTCGCTCGCGGTCCTTGAATGAAGTAATTTGCCCTCGGTTCTATAGATCTTCATCAACTACAGCTGTGAGGTTTATGCTGATCGATGCTCTACCGAGGAATTCAAGAAACATGGTCCTAAAGTTGTGGACTTACTGCAGAAGATAGGATTTTCGAAGATAGGCAGCAACCCTTCAACTCACGATATTATTACGAATGCTGGCCTAATAGGTATTTCACGATTGCGGAATTGGCTGCATATATAGAGACGATACTCTCTGGAGGAGCTAAGAGTTGTGATTTGGATGAAAATTTTGCAGATGACTTCTCTTTGAAAAAAGCATAATGTCAAGATCTGGAAAATTGAGGGACCTTTTCATGGGCTTTTGGGCATCTGGAGAGCCTGGGGAATTCGTTTCCTTTTGAAGTGTTATAGATACAGCTGCTGAGGGTGCACTTGTGAATTCAAAGAAAATACTCGAAAGACGCGGATATATTTTCCGGACTATGTGCATACATAGGGATATCTATTCATCATGTCTCAATACAGAAAAGGTCACACATTATATATACAGATGGCATATTTATCCTTAACGGATTCAAAGTCTTCTTAGGTGAGTCCGTGGACGGGGCTCTCGACTTTTGTATCCTTCTGTGGATCAGGAACTGATGTATGGTCATATTCTGAGTCGTCCCAGGGACCATCAAAGTCGAAATCTTCGAAATTGGAGTCATCTTTCTCATCTTCGTTGTCGTCCTGTTTAACCTCTCCTTTGATGTCTCCTTGAACATCTTGTGATGTGCCGTCTTCCTCTTGGTTTTCTTCCGTTTCCTCCTCATTCTCCTCCTCTTGCTCGTCCCAGTTCTCATTGTTTGACTCTCCAGGCAAATCAAAGCCATCAAAGAAATCTTCGTCGTTCTGCATGTTCCTGAATGGATTATCCGAAATGTAATCAGGAATTAACGGCTCTACATATTCCATATCATATATGTCCGAATAGCACTGTGCTTTGCTGGGGCATCTAAACGAATCGTTAGTACACCCCAGACCTTCCAGTAAAAGAAAATAAATACTTACGATACGGGATCCTGCCCGAAAATAATATGCCACAGATACTCAAACACACGGCCACTGGTCTCATCATCCAGTTGCGTTTCCATCAGCCAATGGTAATAGTGCTCATAGTCGCTCAGCGGCCGAGCAAGCACCTGTTCCCTGGTGACAGCAAACTGAGCACAACAAGGTGTTCCGATCACCTCGGGAATATCGGTATTATTGAAGATCTTGATCCATGCTCCCGCGAACGCGATTTCCGTCGTGCGCCCTGCTAGCTGTCGAAATGGGTAGACTTCATCTGGACATCCTGGACTCCAGTCACACCGCAGATTGGCATATCCGACCTTGCGGACGTAGTCTAGTTGTAATCGCTGCACGGCCAAGGCATTATCCTGCTCTTCAAATTCGATGTGCTCGGCGTAGCGGTGGGCATGAAGGAAGACCATATATTCAGGTAGATTATCGTAATGGTCCATGATATATGTGAGATAGACGTTACTCTCTTTTCCTTTATTTTCGGCGACATGGTATTCAGATTCGGGATCATCGACGACGTAGACTGCGTTCGGCCACCTATAACGCATCTTATTAGTCCGAAGTCTTGCAGGGATCTGCAAGGCTTTGTCGCACAAAGCCAAAAACAAAGAACTCGAATTGAGTGCTTACTCTGGCAATTCCTCTTCCAACCAATCGGAATCCTCCCAGGACATTCTGCCCAACACAACAATGCGATCCGTCAACTTCGGCACCGGCGGTTTGGGTGTAGCTTTCGGCTTCGGCGGCGGTTGATTATGTCCATGCCTGGACCCAATATCGTAATCCAATGTATCTAGATAATCGTCCAAAAATAAATCATCATAGAAATCCGCACCAGGCACCTCAACGGGGATCGTCTTCGGTTCAAATTGCGCCGGTGTAACCGGCGGCCCAGTTGGGTCCAAAAATTTCGGGGTCGTTGTAGTCCGCGTCGAGGATACCTGCGACACAACCGCAGAACTCGATGAAGCAGCGACGTCGTCGCCCGAGACCAGCTCGATATGGGTGCCGGCGCCGTCGAGAATGAAATCCGGCACGGGCACGCTTGCGCCGCGATCAGACCATTGCTCGTCGATTGAGGAGATATGGTTCTTCACGAGGAAGATGGTGAAGACCAGTGCGACGGCGATGGCCACGCGAAATGTTAGCCTCATGTCGACACTGGAATTCCGATTCAGACGAGCAGCCAAGAGGGAAATGGAGAACTTTAAAGGGTGCGCCGCTTTTCTGGGCACTTTGGATCGGCCCCACTATACTACGTCTGCATCCCGACGCCTCAGCCGCACATAATCGTTTGCCGTGATTTCGGCTGCCACGGAATAGGCGAAAAAGGTTCAGAGGTAGATCTTGAAAATGCCCTCGACACTCAGAATGTCATTTTAAAGAGGAAACGATGACAATCATGGGGATTGAGGATACATACAGGGTCTTTAGACCCCGTTCTCATTGCAACGTGGAGTGGGGCCAAGCTTCGTCAGCGATTCGTGTCCGTCACAGCTCTGGCCTGTTTCAGGCGTCTTCCATGTCACAACGGACCTGCTATTGGTAGGCCAACTGCCGTATTGGGGCCTTTTCCGGCTATGTTGGGGTCAAGCCGTGAATACCGATCGATGTGATGTACATGGTTGTGATGCAACCCCGCGAATTTGACGTTTGACTTGACAGAGTTTGATGTTCGCGTGTTCTCCGATCGGAGAAACCTTGTTTCGCTCAGGAACGAAATGCAATTCGACTCTACATATGAAGCAGTATTTGCGATCATCAGATTTTGACATCATAGATTATAACAAGATTCGACGAGACCGGAGTCTATGGCTTCTCCAAGCCTTTACTAGTCACCACTATGGCACTGGCTCTCTACTAAGGCAAGCCGGTATACGTAGACCTTGCATAAGCGACCTATGTATTAAGCCTATTATGGTGCCGATCTACACCACGAGGCTGGCCTATTGGATGACTCGCCCTAATGAAGCTTAAAGCGCAGTTTCTAATAAAATACATTATTGGCGGGTTGAGCACTTGACTCCCTTCCTATTTCACAAGGCGAAGTCATCCTCGACCACATCCCGTCGCCTAAGAAATTATTGGATCTGGAGAAGTGTCGGGACAAGGTATCTTTACCTCATTGACTATAGTACTAAATGTGATTTGACTTAATCTATACTTCCTAGAGCCCGGCCACCCCTTCGGCGAAACTCAACTTTCGAATTTGATGGGCCTTTTCACACGCAGCGCCTCTGATTACAAGTCCGCTGCCTATTCTACAGCGTGAGCCTTGACCTCCAAAGGCGACCAAGCCACCGACGCAGCTGTCCAGGATCCGATGATTCAATGCGCCATTAGGCCGCTAAACCTACCGGGCTTTTGGAAGGTGCCTCATAAACTTTGCAATGATCTGATCAAAATTCGGGACTCAAAGCTTAGGATGATCATCTTCAGCAAACGGGCGAATTTTCTAGATGATTAACTAAGGCAGCCTAGAGTTTTGCCAACAGATCCACTTCGTCGAATACGGGACCATTTACCCCTGGCCGTCTTTCTTTTCTCCTGACGTGAACCTCCGATACACAGCAATTGTCCGGACCTACCCACCAAGACCTGGAGCTATTATTTGGTCAAAGTCCTATAATAGTAACGCTAGAAACTGGAAACTGAATGTGTCCTGAACGGAGCCCTCGATCTTTTCAGGAATCGTCGGCCGACGCTCGTATCTCGGGGGCAGCTCAAAGAGATCGTCGTTCCAGAACAAAAAAGGGGGTAGAGGTTCATCAATGGATCCATCGAGAAAATTATATCCCACGAGAGGGGAGTGGCGAGGACAAAAAGTAGATCACTGACCTCACAAGACCTGAAGCTCTCAGAGCTCAAGACTGCATACAGATCGCTGTCGGGACGGAAGTAGCTCTCTGTTTGGATACAAGCCAACCATCTAGCCAAGAACACTCGTGACAAAAAGAAAGGGGCGACTCGGAAAAGCTTACAGGAACCCCGAGAGCTTTCTCCTCCCCCCTTTACTGCGTAACTTTCCCCATCCTCACGACGCCAGATCCCGAGACCCAATTGTCAGACTAGAGTCCGGAGCGCCGGTGCAGGTCAAGTCGACTCCACCTGCTGCACACCATCGGACACTGACGTGCCCAAAAGGTTCTAAGTCGCCTCTAGCGGGTTTCTAGCGGTGGGCTGAGCTTCTCAGGAGCTTCCGCGAGGCCGCTAGAACGGGGGATGCGCGGATCGTGGAGCCAGGCGCAAGTTTCAATTTCTCCAAGTGGGCCTGGCGTGAGATAGCTCCATGCGCCGTCAATCAGGGAGAACTTTGGAAAAGTGCCGGGGAATGGACCGTCCCGCTGGAGCCGGATTACTCAAGGTGACGTTGGGGTATTTGTAAAAGAAAAAGAAAAGAAAGGGGGCTATGCCATATATTCTGGGTGTAGGAAGAAATAAGTGGTGGCGAACGAGTACGCGCTAGGTTCGATCGTAGGCAGATGATCCCCTGAACGCGCTATATTTGACCCGACAAGAGGAAAAAAAAAAAAAAAAAAAAAAAAAAAAAAAGGAGGCCCATTAGTTAAGGAGCTAGGGAAAATGAATGGAGTCATGCCAATTATAGGCAATCAAAAGTACTCCATATCCTCGACACCCTTTTTTACATGGTCTAAAGTTGCAAGGGTGGTCGAAAGATTGTATCAGGTATAGTGCCGGGCAGGTATCGCGGGAGCACGAGACAGTGGGCGAACCGCGATAGACTCGTCAGATGACAGACGCGTGCATGATCCCCACGAGTTGTTCAGAAAGTGAAACGTGGACTTGGACACAAGGGCTTCAGCGGGTAAGTCTGTAACAGGAGATCTGTTGCGCCGAGCTGTCTACGCATTTGAATTTCCCAATGTCCACTGAGGCGGAGACATAACCCACTTGGACAAGCCTATATGGGGCATGGGTCGCATTGAAGGAATCGGAAAGGCATGACGGGCAGAGAGAGCCGAGCGACCGCTGGAGCTTCGAGACAAGCATGGACGCTGATTCGGTGAAGTTGAAGACGGAAAGGCGCCGGCTTAGCTCATTAGGGGGCGATCTGGGAGGCGTTAGCATTAAGGGATAGGAGAAAATAACCCTGGAAGACCTGAGATTGGGATGAATGGCACGTCTACTGTGTTATAGATAGATATATCAAAAATCGAACTCGGCCTTCTTACCCAGGGCTTGGTTAGCGAACTAGATGCATCTATAGAGCACGGAAAGCCAGGTAGGATGTCAGTATATCTCTAAAACCACTCCTATTGGTTTAAGCCCCATAATCCATCGGGTACATCCAGGGGCAAAAAATTGCAGGGACTGGAGATCTCTCTAGTTAGTTCGTTTGATTTGATTAGTTTTAGTGTTGGTCTTAGTGTTAGTCTAGATTTTTTCCTATATAACTTCCGAACGCCGCAAATCCCGTCTTCTCTCGCTCTTGTGAATTTCGGTCTTCTTCATTGATCCTGCTCCTAGTTGATTCCTTTCCAAGGGTTTCTTGTTTCTTGACACTGTCGGCTGCAAAGGAAGTCGCCCTTACTCCCCGTTCTTGGCGGCCAAAGTGGACCAACTCCCACATCCGGCCTTGCGTGTCCCAATTTCCAACCTTTTTTCCTTTCTCCCCCCGCTCTTCCCTCTCAATTTCACCCACAACAAGGGGAAAAGTCGATCCTCGAAACTCATTGATTAAAAAAAAAAAAAGTACCTGTTATTCCCCTGCAAACTATCAGCACAAATCCCCCTTTTTCATGATAACGTGCACGACTTTGCATCCGTGAGCGATTTTGCTGCGTTTTTTCTTCTCCGAACACCGCCCCGTTGCCGTGGTGTCTTCTCTTCCGACTCGCACACTCCATGTCCGAATAGCTCCGTGCGTTTTTTGTTCGACGTGTTTGGGGATTTTACGTGCCCACATTCCTCTGGCCCTCGCCAAGGATTCTTCCAAATGAGTTATCAACAACCGGACATGTATCACGATCCTTCCGCGCGTTCCCCTGGCTCCCAGCGGCATCAACAACCCCTCCACCGCCAGCCCTCACGCCAGTTTGATGCTTATGGTGCTATGCCTGTAAACCTGTATGAAGATCAGATGGCTCGCTACGAGTCGGCTAGGTTGGAGCGGTTAAACCCACCCATGCAGAACAACAACTCCTACTCCTACGATCTGTCCGGTTCGCAGACCTGGAACCCAAATGGCTTTGCCAACGCTCAAACCCTTGGTGGCATTCGGTCGGCTTCCGCCAGTCTGAAGCCTGCTGCTCGAGGACGCACCGCCTTGCCTACGGTATGTGGATACGGAACTTGTCGTCAAATTCGGTTTTTTTTTTCTTGCGTTTGATCCCATTTCTTTCCCCTTTGTGCGATGAACTGACTAGATGGGATTACAATAGACCTGGCTTGATCAGCAACCGGGAATGCCCAGTGCCTTCTCCAACCTAGGCCCCGGTCCTATCCAGAGCAGCGCGATGCGCCCGGAAGCATCGGCTTCATCCGAGGGCGATGACGAACTCATCCCGACTGCGATCGTCATCAAGAACATCCCATTTGCCGTGAAGAAGGAACAGTTGGTGCAGCTGATGACCGAGTTGAACCTGCCCTTGCCCTATGCCTTCAACTACCACTTTGATAATGGGGTGTTCCGTGGTCTGGCCTTTGCCAACTTCACTTCCGCTGAGGAGACCGCCACCGTGATCGACGTGCTGAACCACTTTGAACTCCAGGGCCGGAAATTGCGGGTCGAGTACAAGAAGATGCTGCCGCTGCAGGAACGAGAGCGGATCGAACGGGAAAAGCGGGAGCGTCGCGGTCAGCTGGAGGAGCAGCACCGACCTATGCCCTCCCAACTGCATACCCAGAGCTCTATGACTTCGTTGAACTCGCACATTCCAGCCACTTCACCTTCGCCTGTGTCGCAGCGTGGTGGTGCTGGCCATGGCCAGAAACTTGGTAAGTAAATTTGTGTCTGGGGGAGGAAGAAAAAAATTTCTTTGATGCGGTTGCTAATTAACATTTGATACGCAGACGTCGACTTGAATGATGGCCAGACTCTTCAATACTACTCCCAGCTCCTCTTATTTAAGGAAGATACTACCCGCGACTCCGTGTTGTTCCCCTCCAACCTGACTCCTTCCCAACGACGCACGGTTCACACCCTGGCTCATAACATGGGGTTGGCCCATGCCTCCCGCGGAAGTGGAGATCAACGCCAGGTCCAGGTACTGAAAGTCGCTGCTGGCACCAATGTGAGCCCACCGTTGCAGCCTATTCCTCCCGCCGGACAGTCCGACAGCTCTCGCCGCGGACTGAACCGTGCCGCGACCATTGATTTTAGTGAGGCTCGCAACGAAGCCGGCCCCGGAGCCTTTAACACCCTTCGTGGGCAGACTTCGGGTTTCCTTGGGGTGTTGGATTCCCCCGGCAACTTTGCCAATACCCAAAACCTCCGTGCCGCCAAGTCCTTCGCCGACTTGCGCTCTTACACCCCTTCCCCCGTCCCTTCCTCCGCTAGCTTCCCCGCCGCGTTGCAGTCCAACGGCACTCGCCTCCAGTACGAAGGCGCCCCCACCGGCGCCTCCAACACCCCCACTCTCACCTCCGCGCCCTCCGGTTCCTCTCTCGGCATGCAGCGTGACGATAACCTGTTGGTCAACAGCCTGGGCGGCCTTTCACTGGGCACGGGCATTGGAGGCCCCAACTCAAGCCCCAGACGATTGCGTGGTATGTTCTCCTGGGACCAGGACAGCCAGCCTACAACGGGCGCCATTGGTAGCAACCGTGGAATGGGAGTCGGATTTGACACCGCTCAGCAGGAGCGCATGCCGATTCGCCAGCCTCGTGGACCGACCCCCGAGAAGCCCGGTTTCCGCCGCCAAGGACACCAAGCTCGCGGCAGTGATGAGCTACGCGCCAGCTCCGGCGTCGAGATCATCGTGGAGTAATTTTACGAAATGGCGATTCCCCCACCCTGTTTTTTGCCAACTGCTTTGCCGAGACGAATACGAACTTGTATCACGAGGCCTTCTGCGAAATTACCGGCTTACGATTCGATGAGGGATGACGAGATGACAACCAAAAAAAAGACCAGAAAAAATCTTTTTGTTTCGCTGATCCAGCCAAGTTTAGACTTATTATTTGGGGCAGCCCAGCAAATTCACCACACCGAACGATCTGTTGTGACTTTTTTTCCCCCGAACTCGCCATGGGTCCTCTTTTTTTTTTTTCCTTTTTTGAGTAAACTCTGGCCTTTATTATTATTCTGTTACGGGCGCCGTTTGCATGCAAGCTTGTTTTGTGTTCCCGACGCTGGAGCGGATCATGACCCCGCCGCTTGGTATGGGACGCATACGAAGAATGACCAAAAGACCCTGCCGCTGGTAGGAAACGACAATATCAGCATCTGCATATTCTTGCCTGTTTTAGTGTTGTACATGGGCGACTCGCATCTAATGTTCCAGCCCTTCTTTTTTTCTTTCTGCCTGATCTCCTAATACTACTTCAAGTCAGTTCCTTTTTCGACTGTTCTTGGCTTCGGAGAGGGGTTTTATACGCCTTTTCTTCTTCTTTCTGCGTGATTTGACTCTTGATCTGGATGGCTCGCCGAATATATACCGGCAGTTTTTGAATTAGATTCTTTTCCATCATTGCACTTTGATGGTTGCACTGGCTACCTTGGTAGCTTTGTACTTGGATGTTCTGGTGTCAACGGCCAGGGGCTGAGGAGATCTCGGTTTCCTGTGCTGATCTTTTTCATATCTCTCTCCCATCTTGATTAAGGGTTTTTTCTCTTCATGTTTAGTATCTCTTGCAGTCTAGGGGCTTTTCTCGATGTTGTACTCGGAATTTCACGATCAATGTACCTTTTATTTTCACTGTTTCAATGGGTTTCTGGTTTGCGCAGTAAGTAGTCAACTGTAGATCAATATCTCCTCTCTGCTTGTTGGTCTCTGGTAATTTTCACTTTAGTTCTATATAGAGCCTTCCCTGGTGGTACGTATCTACAGGAAATTTGTCAAACGAACTTGATATGTAAGCAATTAGAAAGCGATTTCCACGGATGTATTACGATAACCGATAGGAGAATTGATAGGAGATGGCATGATGTATGATTAATAGAGGTTGGCGTGCCAAGCGCGGGGCCTTTGTTTATTATGATCATTTTCCACGGATATTAATGTGGCTCCCGGCATGTCCCTGTCGATCGCCCCATGCAGGTCGCGATTAGCCCGCTTGTAGAAACAAACGTCTACGTTGGGGTGCCCCTCGATCTAGTGCATACATACATGTACTCATAGCATAACCATAGCCATTCATGACTCAATTAACAATCGAAGACAAATTCAACTCACAGCCGTTTGTAGGTGATACAAGACCAAGACCTCAACCCAAATACCGGGCCTGGGCTCTGTGAGACTCGAAGAATGTCCGGTTTTCTGTTTTGAGAAGAGGATTGGTAATCGGGAACAGTATCAACACTACTGTACAGACTTGAAAAATAGAATCAAATAGAAATAATTTCCCACACTACCAGGATATCCCCCATTTTCCCATTACAGCGCCCAGTGAACTCGTGGATAACAAAAAAAAAAGATAGAAATAAGAAAAAATAAACCGGGGAATAGACAGCATAAAGTCACACGCCGTGAACGAAGAAACAATCAAAAGACCTCAGGAGGGGAGCGAGTTTTACCCGTCAGGGGGAAGATTGGTGGGAACACCAATCTCCCGACCGTGCCGGTCTTCCATTTTACAGGACTTTTGTTCCCTTACAGCTCCGGCTTGCCCTTCTTCTTCTGCTCCACCTTCAGGAGCAGAGCGCGGTTAATGCGGGGCAGAACACCACCGAAGGCGATGGTGGCACGGATTAGGGTGTCCAGCTCTTCGTCACCACGGATAGCGAGTTGCAGGTGACGAGGGGTGATACGCTTGACCTTCAGGTCCTTGGCGGCGTTGCCAGCAAGTTCCAGGACTTCAGCGGTCAGGTACTCCAGGACAGCGGTAACGTAGACGGCGGCTGAACGATAGAAAGTTAGTGTACGCAATGGATAATTAATGACAGTAGGAAGAAGAACATACCCTTGGCACCGACACGCATCTTATTCTGAGTGTTGTTCTTCAGGAAACGCTTCACACGACCGCAGGGGAACTAAACACAACAATGTTAGCTTATCCATCAGTCCCACGCGACTTCCTCGCAGTAACCAATACGAAGGACATGCGACCATGAGAGACAAGGTCGAACAACCCCTCTGGCAACGAATAAACTCCAGTGGCCAGTGAGGGGGAACCCAATCGACGCGTCTGAACATCGAGTTTCATCGACTGATAGACCCCCTTGATCGCACGTTTCCCGTACGGTGACCCGCATAGACACCCAAGCAGATAGACCACCAACTGACCTGCAGACCAGCCTTTGCGCTGTGAGACTTCTGGGCCTTCCCCGCAGAGTCCTTGGAACCACCCTTTCCACCGATCGACTTTCCCTTTCCACCAGGCATTTTGGACAATAGGGGTCGCAAAGATGTGTAGAGCGCGTAGATAGCAGATCGCAGGCGATCTGAGACGAAGTTGGATGGGAAGGCGATTCAAAAAATGGAAGGCACGCGCGTTGTTGATGGATGGAGAAGTCAGAAATGTCGCAGCCGGGACCGGTCGCTAAAGACTGCGACCGCGGGCCGGCGCTAGTCCGGATTAGGATGCCAGTCCAAGTCGCTCCATCACTGTTTGGCGTAGATCAAGAGCAAGCAACGCATCACGGAGCCTCAAACATAATGGATCGTTTCCCGTATATCATAATGGAAGGCCCTGGACAGATCGCATCATCAAACATGTGCTTAGTTAGAAAGCCACGTATAAAGGCGTTGGATAGGCATTTAGTAGACAGCCCGCTTGCGGGCCTCCGCAACGTATCAGCTCATCTTGGGTCTTTGAAGGCCTTATTCCCCAGATAGAAAAGTGGAATTCGGTGGATTCACAAAGCAGATAGCTGTAGTGATGATGGTCAACTCAGGCACACTGAGTTGCGTATTGACGGCACCCTGATGCAGGTCCAGCTGGGAGTGTGCATTTCGAGATGAAGGCGGAGTGGGCGGGGTCCCGTGATCCGGACGAACAGATGATCCGTTCCATTTAATATACGTGGTTTCCACTTTCGCCGAAGGTTGCGGAAGAGGTTCGAGTTTTGTTGTTATCTCTCCCCCATCTTGTCTTCGGCTTCCCCCTGGTTTCACGTCTTTCAACCCGTCAAAATGGTTTCTCCCCAAATGTGCGTATGGTGAAAGGATGATGATGAAAATTGCATGCTGATGATTGTCGCAGTACCAACCTGGCCATCATCTTGGTGATGATGCAGCTGGCCAAGAAGGTTCCCTTTGAGAACCCGGATGTGCTCATGGCTGTGCGCGGTCTGTACATCCTGTCCAACGTGATCATCCTGGCCATCAACCTGTACACTCAGGCCAAGATCAATTCTAAAAAGGGTATGTCAATGTTAGGGGTGTCGCGTGGCCCCTAAGCGCTTATCTATGGATCAGTGACTAACAACATTTGCTTCATTAGATATGACCACGCTCAAGTATGTTGAGCCTGCCCCCATGGGCACCGGCGAGGAGGGCAAGCCCGTCACCACCACCAACATGGACTACGACAAGGGTCAGGTGCGCCAGATGTTCCGCTCTCAGCTGATGGGTGTCGGCATGATGGCCGTGATGCACTTCTACATGAAGTACACCAACCCCCTCCTCATCCAGTCCATCATTCCCCTCAAGGGCGCCTTTGAGAGCAACCTGGTTAAGATTCACGTTTTTGGCAAGCCCGCTACCGGCGACCTGGCCCGCCCCTTCAAGACCGGCGGTGGTTTCATGTCCCAGGGTCAGCCCAAGAGCGACAAGGCCTCCATTGAGAATGCGGAGAAGAACTACCGGGGTGGTGTCAAGGAGGAGTAATTGGAGATACAAATTAATGTGGAGGATTGAGTTGCGCTCATGGAATGCATTTGCTTTAAGCTGAGGACCATGTTGGCTTGCTTTATTCTTATTGTATTATATTCTCCAATTCCCATGGCATTTAAGGGGGATTGAGCCTGATGACATGATAAATTACTACTCTCTAATACAGTAATTTGAATGAGCTTTATCTGTACAGTTTGTATTCTGCTCTCTGGAAATAGTGTTGGATGCGCTGAGCCTGCTGCCCGATAGCCGAAAGTGGTTTTGGCACCGTAAAGGGAATGGTAGTAGACAAGAATGTATTTTTGGGTTCGAGATTCGTCATTGTCGATATCCATAATTTCCTGCTGCACCTTCTCAAACTTTTGGAATTGACTTGACTTGACCTCTAGTATTCGCGTGGCAACGTGGTCAATTGTGATGCCATCTCAGGTGGCCAGTCGATGAGTTTCCATGGTGTTCCATGCGGTTACGCCCCAACCGCAGTCGTTGCTAACGGTTATCACATAGTAGTAGCGTAGTCATGTCATAACTCTTGCCACCATTTAAGTCTTGGGCTCCTTAGTATGGATGTACAACATACGGTAGAAGCGGAAACCCGCATAATTCGAAACAGTGGCGGGGAGAGTTCACATTTATAATCCGTCGTTGTTACCAACTTGCCACCGCATGGCTTGATTGAGTCAGGCCCAACACACCGAAACTGCATAAACTTACATATTATGGTTTGAACAAATAAAATTTCTGCATGTCCCGTGGTCGTCGCTATTGGACGTGGTAGATCCGCCGGTGAATCTTTCAGGGCGCGGGCCACTTTCTTTATATATGTGACCGCTGAATCGGTCCACCGAGATGCTGGAAACAGTCGGCAGGTAACCGCATGCGGCATGGTTCACGAATTATATGCGATGGTAAATAAATGTTTTTGAAATGATTGATTTGACTGGTCTCCAGAGCTATTCATATCCATTTTGATGATAGATCCTACTGAGTATAAACAGAACCAGGTGTGGTCTTGGCCATAGTTGCCCCTCAGTCGTGGCATCATCCACTTTTTACTAACTGCCCCTCATCCCACATGTACCCCTATGTCATAGCCTTTCGGGCCCCGGGATTCCTCTCACGGCAAAACGTAGAATTATCGTGATAGTCTCTTACCCGACGTAGTCTGGGAAAACATTCTCGAGATCGCTCCGAGGCAAGTAATGGGGACCCGGCCGGCGAGGATTCATCGAAGCTTATTGGGTAAACGGGAGCTACCGAGGGGCAAGCAGCCTGGAAATACCGTAGCTCTTCCTGCTTTGCCCGGTGTATGAAACCGGAAAGGGTTGCTGGGGAACTGGGCCAACGGTAACAGTCGGAAAATCAGTCATCTTGCCTCCGATGGATCTGGGGTGACTTGGTTAGCCCCGTCTTGTTGCTCGGTGTAGAAGGAGGGGTGAGCCGCTCGTTGCGTCAGTGCCTTACTACTTCTTGATCCCTTCTCCCAACTTTTTTCCTTTCTTTCTTCTTTCTCTTCCCCATCCAATTCCCCAATCTTCCATCTTCTTCAAAAGGTTCGTTTTCAATTACCTTCTTCCAGTCTACCCTTACCCCTCCACCTTCCCATCCCTTGAATCACCCCACCCCACCATCCCACCAAGCTAACCAAAGCTCCAGTATCACATCTACCGCAAACATGGTTCCCAAGGTACGCGATGCGTTATTGCCAATAACCACATCATCTCTATCTTCATAAACTAACAACCCCATTCAGGTCGGTATCAACGGTTTCGGTCGTATTGGCCGCATCGTCTTCCGCAATGCGTAAGTGAACTCTGTGAACCCCGCGTTGTACAGAACTTGATCCTAACGCGTTCCACAGCATCAACGATGGCTCTGTCGAGGTTGTCGCCGTCAACGACCCCTTCATTGAGGTTCACTACGCTGTACGTTATACTTCTATGGAGCTATTCCCTAAGCTCCCCCTCTGTCCCGCCTCCATTGCTAATTCTGTACCATTTAGGCCTACATGCTGCGCTACGACAGCACCCACGGTCAGTTCAAGGGCACCATCGAGATCGATGGCACCGAGGGCCTGATCGTCAACGGCAAGAAGATCCGCTTCTACGCTGAGCGTGACCCCGCCTCCATCCCTTGGGGCAAGTCTGGCGCTGAGTACGTTGTCGAGTCCACCGGTGTCTTCACCACCACCGAGAAGGCTTCCCTCCACTTGAAGGGTGGTGCCAAGAAGGTCATCATCTCCGCCCCCTCCGCTGACGCCCCCATGTTCGTCATGGGTGTCAACAACACTGAATACACCAAGGACGTCAACGTTCTCTCCAACGCCTCTTGCACCACCAACTGCCTTGCTCCCCTCGCCAAGGTCATCAACGACAAGTTCGGTCTCGTTGAGGGTCTCATGACCACCATCCACTCCTACACCGCTACCCAGAAGACCGTTGACGGTCCTTCCGCTAAGGACTGGCGTGGTGGCCGTACTGCGGCCCAGAACATCATCCCCTCCTCCACCGGTGCCGCCAAGGCTGTCGGCAAGGTCATCCCTGCCCTTAACGGCAAGCTGACCGGTATGGCCATGCGTGTCCCCACCGCCAACGTCTCCGTTGTCGACCTTACCTGCCGCATTGAGAAGGCTGCTACCTACGATGAGATCAAGGCCGTTGTCAAGGCTGCCTCCGAGAACGAGCTCAAGGGTATCCTCGGATACACTGAGGACGACATTGTCTCCACTGACCTTAACGGTGATGACCACTCCTCCATCTTCGATGCCAAGGCCGGCATTGCTCTGAACTCCAACTTCATCAAGCTCGTCTCCTGGTACGACAACGAGTGGGGTTACTCTCACCGTGTTGTTGACCTCATCTCCTACATCGCCAAGGTTGACTCCCAGTAAATATTTACTGAGCGACCTGGGGTCAGGAGTCTTCTCTGAAGTAGCATGTCTGTCGTGACTACGGCCTGCATCTGCGATGTGGCTTGAGGTGGATGGGTCGCTATTTTTGAGAAAGGAAAAAACCATCAGATAACGTCATTTTAATGAAACAAATACACTTCTTTTTATGTTCATCAATATCTTCCTGCACGCTGTACATGACTCACGTATTGCCTCCAGTGAGTTACTACACGTAGTTTTATGATGCCAGGCATAGGCATACTCAATTCCACGGGTGTGGAGATAAGATAAACCAGTTGACATGTAAAACACCTGATTTGGACCTTAGAAAATGGCATGATCCACCCACCCTAGTGCCACTCGAATGCATAATCTTCCGGCAAGATTCCAAGATCAGAAGCCACTGTTTAAAGTATGTCAAGGCGGCTAGCTTAATTGGGCATGCTTTCAAGGTCCTCGTTCAACTAGGTCAACTAATAGTCATGAAACCTTAGCCTTTTCCCAATGCAGTCTGCAGGCTTGGTTCAGCCCTGGGGGATACCTAGCCGATGGATCCTGGCCGATAAGACCCGGGCCTGGACCCTGGAGCATGAGTTGTACACTGCATGCCAAACGCTTGAGATTATTGAAGCATAGGACTTTTTACTTGCCTACTGCGGTTGTAATCAAGTTTATTAGAATCAAGATGGAAAGTCTCATTCTGACATTTGAATGCTTAAATGGAGATTATCAAGTCGAATAATAGAATAATATATCATAAACATGAACAAACAAAAGGATATTGGAGGGCGTAGTCCAGAGACTCAACGAATGCTCCCTGATCATTCGTTTATTCTGAATGTTTGCAAAACCGGACCCTGCTAGCTAAGCTATTTCAATCTCTCAGGATTCATTGACTAAATTTATCTGGTACATCATGTGCCTAAGTGGCTGGGACCTCGTGGTTTGGTCCTAGTCGCGGCTCAGGTTTAATGGAGGGTGGTAGGATCCAGCCTATAAGCTGGGTTAAAGACCGAAATAGATCTTGCCCCTCATGTTGTCGTCTTTCCAAGCACTAATTTCCTTTATAGCCATTTGCCATTAAGGTTTCATGGACCGGAAAGGGTGACAACATGGGTGTTTTATGGAGTTGAAGAATGTAATGTCCACGTCGCGATGAAGGTAGCATCTGGGTCGACTATTCAAATTCAATGTTTTCTATAGTAGCAAAGGTGGGGGCTTAAGATCTGCCCAGCTATGACATTTTCCTTCTTTATTCTTCGCCTTTCCATTTAATTATTTTGTTTGATGCACCTTCCGATGTGTCAGTCACATGTTGTATAATCGATTCGCTACCAAGCCTTTTCAGCAGCTATTTTATCGTTATGACCGGTGGCCCCTTGATCGCCTGGGTAGATGGCACCTGACAGTAGGTATCTGGATTACCTCAAATCTCAAACATCAGTACCAGGCAAATGGGAAGTGTCGTTGTTTTTCTGCAAAGCAATATTCTTTGGATTGCACGTTACCACTGCCGTGAAGTACGAAATTGGCTCTCGGGAGTGGAGTCAAACAGTCAGCAACTAAACCCGGCGGCCCGGCCGTTCAGAGACGCGCTAGCCTAACCTGGGAAGGCGGTATGCAAAGCGGTAAAACATACAAGGCCCGGCAGTATGTGCGAATGGCCTAAAAGGGATCCAACATGCGCATCCACTGATCTTCCATCCACCCTGCCTTGCAGTCGCGTTTGGAAAGAAACAACGTATGAACCGTAAATTCACATGATCCCTAAGTTGAAAACTGCCAATGAATTGTATATCTTGCTAACCCTGGAATAGAACATTCACTGCACCCTGGTCATCTCTTTCTTGCCTGTGAATACAAAGAACGACGCTCTATGCGCCTGTGACTCCACAGTATCAAAGCATTTGGAGATTGAACTCCTGTTAGCCATCTAGATCATCATTTGGGCATCTTATTAGATTATTTGTGCACTTCTTTTGTTCTGTGAACCGGCCAATTATCTTGTGCAAGCAAGTGGTTGCGCTGAATAAGAGGCATTGATTGTCCCAATTGTCATGAAAGACTAGACGCACCGAACGGCCGTTGTATAAAAGCGGGCTTTATTCACTGTGTTCTCGAGTCATTTTTTTTGGTTACTACTGGCGCGCCTTGCACAATGGAAGGCGATGAAGATACCGTCATGTCGGACCCGCGCAAGGACTCCGCTTTTCCTCAACATGCTTCCTTGACACAAACAACCGTTTCAATTAATCCTCACCGAAGAGAAGATCCAGCTCTTGCTCCGGCGATGATGCCTCAAGCGAGTACTATGTCTCCCTCTTTAGGGCCGGACCCCGCTTCTTTGCGAGACCAGCCCGCTTCAACAAGCATCACGTCCCCAGACCAGTTCATTAAGACAAGCCCCTCAGAGAGTAACTCTGCAGAGAACTCCCTTTCCCGGAGTGATAGCATGATTGAGCCTAACTCGGAGTGGTCAGACGACGAGATGGCCACCAGTGTCAATACTGCTGCTGGCCTTCCCCTGGCGGCCCTACCAAGCGGTCTTTGTTACGATTCCGAGATGCGTTTCCATTGTGAAATTCGCCCCACTGCTGATCTTCATCCAGAAGACCCACGGCGTATATTCTACATTTACAGAGCGCTTTGCAAGGCTGGCTTGGTTGATGATCCGGCTTCGGCTCGACCACTCGCTCCTCAGACCATGAAGCGAATTCTGGCCCGCCGTGCTACCTATCAAGAAATCTCTAGTGTTCACACTGAAGCGCATTATGACTTTGTCAAGAGCACCACAGGTATGCTTTGAGATTATAATTAAGATTTCGAGTCTGGGGTACTAAATCTGAACTAGAAATGTCTGATACCGACCTCCTGCTCTTGGAGTCCCAACGAGACTCGATTTACTTCAACCGGCTAACCTTCCAAGCATCACTCTTATCGGCGGGTGGTGCCATTGAGACTTGCCTGGCGGTCGCTAGAGGTGATGTCAAAAATGCGATCGCAGTTGTTCGTCCGCCTGGCCACCATGCAGAACATGATAAGGCTATGGGATTCTGCTTATTTAATAACGTCTCGGTTGCGGCGCGTGTCTGTCAAAACACGTTAGGAGAAAGTTGTCGTAAGATTATGATCCTTGACTGGTAAGCATCTTGTGATTCTTGCTCTTAAATGGTATGGCTGACCCACCTGTTATTCAGGGATGTTCATCATGGTATGTCGTCGACGTAGCTGAATCACAGTAAAGAACATAAGCTAACAGATCTCAAGGCAATGGAATTCAAAAAGCATTCTATGATGACCCTAATGTTCTCTACATTTCAATCCATGTTCATCAGGATGGCATGTTCTACCCCGGCGGTCCCAACGGCGATATGGACATGTGTGGAGAGGGACCTGGCGTTGGGAAGTAAGTTCGCTAGTGTTTTATTACACTGTTATCCTATTGGAACACTATCCGCTTACTATACATATAGGAACGTCAATATTCCCTGGGAAACGCAGGGGATGACTGATGGAGATTACTTGTATGCTTTCCAGGAAATTGTGATGCCAATCGCCCAAGAATTCAACCCCGATCTAGTCATCGGTAAGACGCCTTTTGTCCGATATCCAGAAAATTATCTTAACTCGATATAGTTGCGGCCGGATTCGACGCCGCCGCAGGAGATGTACTGGGTGGCTGCTTTGTGACTCCCCCTTGCTATTCACAAATGACGCACATGCTCATGGCCCTTGCTGGAGGCAAAGTCGCAGTGTGTCTAGAGGTATGTCACCATCCAAGTCACATGTAGCCCTAGAAGTGACTTTTGGGAATCAAATAGGGCGGGTACAACTTTGAATCCATCGCGAATTCGGCACTATCAGTCACCAAGACCCTCATGGGTAATCCTCCGGACCGTCTGACCAAAACCACACCTGGCAACGAAGCAATGGTCACCGTTAGCCACGTCAAGCGAATCCAATCCCACTACTGGCGTTGTATGGCCCCCAGGCCGATTCAACAGAACCAAAAGAATGTTTTCAACACTCGACTTCATGGTGTGAACAGGCAACCCAGTGCTCCTAGTTCTATAAAGCTTACAATCCACAGATTCTATTCGAGAGCTCCAAGCGAAGCAGCTTTATGAGAGCTGCAAGCTTACACAACTCTACATTTACCGAACAGCCATTTCGAAGTCGTTTGAACATCAGGTGTTGGCAAGGTAAGCAAATCCTCGCCGAGTCATATGAATGGGTTCATTCTTACATTTGAATTAGTCCCAACTACAACCAAGGTGTTCCTCTTTTGATTATTTTTCATGACCCGTAAGTCTCTCGTGAGCACTTTACATATTGCACGCCTAATTCATTTAGCCCTGAACTTCTGGGAGTCGCTCATCCCTTAACGAACAAACTTGAGGCGCATAATTGCTGGGTGGTAAGTTGGCTGTGTTTTGCAGGGTAGTTTCGATAATTCGCTAACACTCACAAGGCCTCTGACATTCAGAAAGATTATGTCGCATTAGCCGCGGAGAAAGGCTGGGGCGTGATCGATGTCAATGTACCGATGCACATCAGCCGAGATCAGGTATGTCACATCTTCCGTTCCTTTACGTACTTCTATTGCGATGCCCAACCCCATATATACTTACCGAACTTCAGAGCACTGGCAAATTCGAAGATGAGGATGTAAACCGACCTCACGCGACAGAGGAGCTGGCGGCATATCTGTGGGATAACTACATCGAGTATGAGTTTTCCCCCAAGGCTTGAAGGATCAGACCCTAATGCATATAACAGCCCAAGTAATGCTACTGACGTTTTCTTCATGGGAGTTGGTACTGCTTTTTACGGCGTTACGTCACTGCTCATCAACCGAGGCATGTTGGATCTAGATTATGCATTGACTAAATTGCTAATCCTAGCAGATAATCTGTACCAGAACGTGAATGGCGTTATCTCGTTCGTCTCGGATCATCCTGTCCGTGCGGTTGCATCGGCTACGCAGACATGGATGTCCAAATGGTACCGCGAAGTAAGCACATTAACCTCGTCCAGATTTCGCCTCAAAGCTTACAAACCTTCCACAGAATTCGCTGGTCTTCGTTTCCCACCAACACGGAGTATGGGAGCACAAACCATCCAAGCGCTATGGCAATCTCAGGAAGTCTCCGCAGGGCACCCTCTCTGAGATGCTCAGCGAACACAAAGAGGAAGCCTTCGATTGGATCACCGATCATATAAAGGTTCTGTCGGAATCTGAGGACGACGACGCTCCAATGAACGAATAAATCATGCCCGTTCAGACCTCAGCGGGTGTGGCGTCCCTGATCTCAGTCACCGGTTTTCATCCGCTTTTACTTTTTCAATATCCTTCCTTTCAACATCTCATCCCGCCTCGACAGAAGTTTTAATGGCCTAATCACCGGAGAGATGGGACATACCATTGTTGACCTTGTTAGTCACAGTCAGGTGATGTGGTAAGATTCTTCTGATCACCTAACCGGGCGTTCTGCTTGAAGGGCGGCCTAAATCACTATATTAGGAGCATCTGACTGCCGTTTTCCCGATCCTTTGCTCATCTTTTAGCATTCTTGTTCATCTGATTCGAATGAATCGTTCCATGCCCAATTCGTTCATGATCATCCTGTAGTTCGTATGGAAGATTCCCCGCAGCGTAAAAATAGCGTGGCGTTGCATCGCATGACATGGGATCCATGGTGAATACGGTGCACTAGTATAGTTTGTTTTTACTCAGGTCAGCTTTAAACTTCCTGGTCATGTGTGTGCTCGATACTCGATATTCTATCAAAATACTCCGTGGTTCTATCTTCATACATTATCCCTATTCCGTCCCGAAAAAAAAAACCGACTCACGAGCACCCTCGAACCACAAGATTCTAACAAGTCCTCGGACTAAGTGACTGTGTGCAGGGTCTATGCTCTCATCAGCTTGCTCAGTATATGGCAAGTGAGACACAACCAACCATAACCCCGCCTAAATCTCTAGCGGTGAAAAGAGGACCCGATTCGCCAAGTAAGTTCAAGCGTTCGGAATTATCAGCCCTAGCCTCCGATCTGCACGTCTTCCCTAGGATGTAACTGTCTTAGACCTTACCCCAGAATTGGGCGTGCCAAGGCACTCAGGGTCCGTACGAGCTCGGATCGGCTCCACTCTTGGCATCTTGAATCATTGCTATTGATCTCCAGCACTCGACTGCCCCGGGTTTCTGGTCCAAGCGAGGATTCTATACGAGAATCCTGTTGGGGCACTCTGAGACACTATGCCTCTATGACCTCGCACTACTCGGTCGCTTAGCTTCACCATGGACACACTTTCCCCGCGTCATCTTGATGACATCCGATGCGGGGAATTACATTATAGCTAACCATCACTGCGCTGGCTCTATATGGCCGGATCGGGCAAGAAGCGAGAATCCTGTTTTCTGTTTGGTCCAGCACATTGTCTCGGAACTAAGACCGGATTGAACTCGATGTGAGTCTCAGTTGGGTGAACGATGCTAATTCCCGACGAATGACTAGAAGCCTCGGAAAGAGGGCGATCAGGCTGTTCGTGCCATGCTGATGTGCTGGTAAAAAACTATAAAAGCAGCCCGATTCGCAGGCAAAGGATAGGATGAATAGTCACTACATCATCAAGAACGGAATACCACTTTTACATCAGATCTCCAATCGATACTTGAATAACAGAATGCATTTCTCTACTGCTATCATCGCCTCCGTGGCCCTCCTGGCCCCTCTTGCCAGCGCTGTCGGCAACGCCGTTGTCAAGAACAACTGCCCCTACCCCGTCTACCTTTGGTCCGTCGGAAGCGCCGTCGGTCCCAAGCAGACTATCGCCGCAGGCAAGAAATACACCGAGGTTTTGCGCCACGACCCTGTCTCCGGCGGAATCGCGATTAAGATCACCACAACCTCGAACGGTCTGTATGACGGCAGTCCCCAGACCAACTTTGCCTACACTTTGGACGGTAGCCAGGTCTGGTATGATCTGTCGGATGTGTTCGGAGACCCATTCTCTGGCAAGGGTATGGCGGTCGACCCTTCAGTTACTTCTTGCCCTGATATCTGCTGGCCGAATGGTGTCTCGCCCAGCGGTAGCCAGACCCATGACTGCACGTCCACCTCGAGCGTTACTTTGACTCTGTGTGCAACCAAGTGCTAAATGAAGTGGGTAGAAGGCAACCATGGACTGCTGCCTGTTCTAGGAGGTGTTGTTATTGGTGACTGGGACAGTGCCAGGACTAGAGCAGTATAGTTTGCGGGGGGAGGTGTAAGAGCCTCAAGCCATGGAACGTGGGGATTGGTTGTCTAGGCAATAATTTAGTGTAATTAATGTGTAACGAGCATATATGCATTTAATTCGTTCTTTTCGCTTCCATGTACTTTTGGTTCTAACCTCCCATGATCTCTGGTTGGATATATTGCCTTACTTATGGGGCGCACTAAGCACATGGACAGTACAGGATTTGGCGAGGTGACGCAAATCATTGGCTGGTCGACGTTGCTCACCGCCTTGATAGCCGCCGCAGTATCGCATTGCACCTCAATAAACACACCGCCCAAGGACCCATAATTATCGAATTGCGGGACCAGATTCCCCTCCGGTTGTCTTTGCAATCAGAGACTCTGCTCTCGTCATTTGCATTCTTGAAGTAATCTCAATCGAATTCGTATTGTCATCAATACTATCAAGCGCATTGAGTGCTGATATCTGATTCAAAAGCTGATCACATTGCCGGGCGTTTAACCCTTGATGCCCCCAAGGTCCTCCACTGCTGCAGTATCTTGGTTAGGATACAGAGGTCTGAGTTGCAATCCAACCGCCCGACCATATTTTCGAACCCCGGCGTCCATCAATCCCGTGGCGCCCCTTAGTCCACTTTCATCTTCCGTCTATCGCTGGACCCGCTCGTTTTCCCTTTGCACCTACCTTACCGCCCCCCATCCTCCAACCATGTCTCAGATCGAGCGCATTACAGAATGTCTGGAGAAGCCTGAGTTAGATGATCGCTCCTATCGCGTCATTCGCCTGCCAAATAAGCTGGAGGCATTCCTCGTGCATGACCCTGATACAGATAAGGCGAGCGCTGCTGTCAACGTCAATGTTGGCAACTTCTCTGATGAAGATGATATGCCAGGAATGGCCCATGCTGTCGAGCATCTGTTATTTATGGGTACAAAAAAGGTATGTTGATTAACTAAGCTGCCTTTTTACCGGGGTATTCATCAAATGCTAGTGCGGGGGTTAGTGCTGACCGAGGTGCTTTTTGTTTGCTAGTACCCCAAGGAGAATGAATACAACCAATATCTTGCCGCTCACTCCGGTTCATCCAACGCATACACTGCTGCCACCGAAACAAACTATTTTTTCGAAATCGCTGCCACCGGCGAGTCAAGTGTGCCCAAGTCCACCGGACAGAACACTCCTACCGACTCGGTCAATGGGACAAATGGCACAGGCAGTGAGAGTGCATCCGCTTCCAACGGGGATGTGAACGGCAAGTCTCCCTTCTATGGGGCCTTAGATCGATTTGCTCAGTTTTTTGTTGCTCCTCTTTTCCTCGAGTCAACATTAGATCGCGAGCTGCGAGCGGTGGACTCAGAGAACAAAAAGAACCTGCAGAGCGATTTGTGGCGGTTGATGCAGTTGAACAAATCTCTATCAAACCCAAAGCATCCTTACCACCATTTCTCTACCGGTAACTTGCAGACCCTCAAGGAGGACCCGCAAAAGCGCGGGTTGGAAGTCCGGAGCGAGTTTATTCGGTTCTACGAGAAGCACTACTCAGCCAACCGGGCCAAGCTGGTAGTTTTAGGTCGGGAGAGCTTGGACACTTTGGAACAATGGGTTTCCGAGCTTTTCGCTGATGTCGAGAACAAGAACTTGACCCAGAACCGCTGGGACGATGTGCAGCCCTTCTCCGAGGCTGACATGTGTACTCAGGTATTTGCTAAGCCCGTCATGGACTCGCGCTCTATGGACATGTACTTCCCATTTTTGGATGAGGAGAACATGAATGACACCCAGCCGAGCCGGTACATTAGCCACCTTATTGGTCACGAGGGGCCAGGCAGTGTGCTCTCCTACCTGAAGGCCAAGGGCTGGGCCAATGGCCTTTCTGCAGGTGCCATGCCCATTTGCCCGGGATCTGCCTTTTTCACAATCTCCGTTCGTCTGACCCCCGAGGGTCTGAAACTGCACCAGGAGGTTGCCAAGGTTATCTTTGAGTACATCGCCATGATCAAGGAGCGCGAACCGGAGCAGTGGATCTTCGATGAAATGAAGAATCTGGCCGAGGTGGACTTCCGATTCAAGCAGAAGACCCCAGCTAGCCGCTTCACAAGCCGCCTGAGCAGCGTCATGCAGAAGCAACTGCCACGTGAGTGGCTTCTCAGCGGGTCGCTTCTGCGTCGATTCGACCCAGAATTGATCAAGAAAGCCATGTCATACCTACGTGCCGATAACTTCCGACTGATCATTGTCTCCCAAGAGTACCCTGGTGATTGGGATCAGAAGGAGAAGTGGTATGGTACCGAGTACAAGGTGGAGAAGATTCCGAAGGACTTCTTGGCTGGCATCCAGAATGCCTTGGATTCCACTGAGGCAACTCGCACTTCCACCGTGCATATGCCTCACAAGAACGAATTCGTCCCGACTCGTCTGTCGGTGGAGAAGAAGGAAGTTGCAGAGCCATCTAAGACACCCAAGTTGATCCGCCATGATGATCGCGTGCGTCTTTGGTTCAAAAAGGACGACCGTTTCTGGGTCCCTAAGGCGACAGTCTATGTCACTCTGCGCAATCCGCTAGTCTGGGCGACGCCTGCTAACCTTATCAAGACAAAGCTCTATTGTGAGTTGGTACAGGACTCTTTAGATGAGTACTCATACGATGCCGAGCTTGCTGGATTGGACTACCATCTTGCAGCAAACATCCTAGGCTTGGACATTTCCGTGGGCGGCTACAATGACAAGATGTCAGTGCTCTTGGATAAGGTTCTTATGACCATGCGTGATCTGGTTATCAACGAAGACCGCTTCAAGATCATTAAGGAGCGTCTGACTCGGGCATTCCGCAACGCTGAGTATCAACAGCCTTACTACCAGGTTGGTGATTACACTCGGTACCTGCTGTCCGAGCGTAGTTGGCTCAATGAGCAATACATTGAGGAATTGGAGCACATCCAAGCAGAGGACGTCAAAACCTTCTTCCCTCAACTCTTGGCACAAACACACATTGAAGCCCTGGCACATGGCAACCTGTACAAGGAAGATGCCCTGCGCATGACAGACTCAATTGAAAAGATTCTCAAGGGCCGTGCTCTGCCTCGATCGCAGTGGTATTTGCGCCGCAACATGGTCATGGCCCCAGGCAGCAACCTTGTCTACCCGCGCGAGCTAAAGGACCCGGCGAACGTAAACCACTGTATTGAGTACTACCTGTACATTGGCCTTTTCTCGGATGCTGTTTTGCGATCGAAACTGCAACTCTTCTCCCAGCTTACTGATGAGCCTGCCTTCGACCAGCTGCGTAGTAAGGAGCAGCTCGGCTACGTGGTGTGGAGTGGTTCCCGCTACAACGCTACGACCATGGGCTACCGTGTGATCATCCAGAGCGAGCGCACTGCCAACTACCTCGAGACCCGCATCGAGTCGTTCCTGCGCGAATTCGGCCCGACCCTCGAGAACATGTCGGACGAGGAATTCGATGGCCACAAGCGCAGTGTCATTAACAAGCGTCTGGAGAAGCTCAAGAACTTGGGCTCTGAGACTGGCCGCTACTGGTCTCACGTTGGGTCCGAATACTTTGATTTCCTCCAGCATGAGACTGACGCTGCCAACGTGCGCAATTTGAGCAAGTCGGATCTGCTTGCCTTTTACCGTCAGTACATCGACCCTGAATCGACAACTCGGGCCAAGTTGGCCATCCACTTGAACGCGCAGAGTGTAACTGCCGTCCCCGATGCCAACAACATTACTGAAAAGCGTGTTCGTGTCATCGAGATGGTCAGCAAGCAGCTGACCGAAGCTGGTTTCGCCGTCGACAATAGTAGATTGGCCACTGCATTCGAAGAGCTCGACATGACACTGGTTGACCACGCACAAATCGTCTATATTGTTAAGACTTTCTTGGTTACCGAGTTGAGCCTGTCCAAGGAGCAAATGAGCCCGGTCATTTCAAAGCTGGAGCGTGATATTGGTATTGAGCTGAAGCAGTTGGGCTTGGAGCCAGAGGTTAACGGCAAGCCCAACGGTACGTCTGCTTCTAAGCAGGAAGCCACTGTGATCAGTGATGTGCCCGTTTTCAAGGCCGGCTTGCCTGTCAGCACTGGTCCTGTGCCTGTCTCGGATCTTACCGTATTTGAAGATTTTGATGCCAAGCTGTGAGCGGAGTTGGTGTTTGGGTTGCATAAAGTTATATGGGAAGAGGATTGTGGAGTCGACGTGGAAGGGCATGAGCTTTGAAGACCATTTTTTGATAGCGCCACTAAGTAAACCTAGGATTCCAGACATATTTCATAGAATTCATCAATATCCCTTCAATTTTGTTGCTCCCTTGGTCCTGCTATACCTTTAATTCTATATAGACTCCTCATGGTTCCTAATAGATATACCTAGTTCAGGTAGGCGGTAAAGCAGGGGCAGTAAGACAGCCTCCGATAAGCGATAACAGCTCGGCGCAACAACGTGGAGCTGCGCGCCCTTTCACATTCACATCCACGAAACAACATCCTCCATCATGGCGAGCACTACAGCTACTGCTATCCAAAGCAGCCGTCCGTAAGTCAAGATAGCTCACCCACGAGCTTTATATCCCATGATCGCTCACATTGACACTGCCTTGCAGTCCCATCCTCCCCAAAGATTTCTCGGCTCAGCAGCCCGAAACCATTCGGCTCTACCCCCTGTCCAACTATACGTTTGGGACCAAGGAGACACAGCCTGAAGAGGATCCGTCGGTGCTGGCTCGTTTGAAGCGCCTGGAAGAACATTATGACCTACATGGAATGCGTCGAACTTGCGAGGGCATTCTCGTCTGCCACGAACATAATCACCCGCATGTACTGATGCTTCAAATCGCCAATGCTTTCTTCAAACTGTAAGCTGTATCCAAGTAATATTTGGAATCAACCACTAACTTCTTAGCAGACCAGGTGACTACCTACCCCACGAGGACGAGGAGATCAATGGATTCAAGAAGCGGTTGAACGAGCGCCTAGCTCCAGTGGGATCGCAATTCTCCGGTGAAGGAGTGAACGAGGACTGGGAAATTGGTGACACCCTTGCCCAATGGTGGCGGCCAAACTTTGAAACTTTCATGTACCCGTTCCTACCGGGCCATGTCACACGTCCAAAAGAGTGCAAGAAGTTGTATTTCATTCAGCTCCCGAAGAAGAGTCAGTTGTACCTAGATCTCCATTCACATTCTTTCCGCTTACCTATTGATTGTTTCAGAGGTCCTGTCTGTCCCCAAGAACATGAAGCTGCTGGCGGTGCCTCTATTCGAACTGTACGACAACACCGCCCGATATGGTCCCCAGCTCTCGGCTATACCGCATTTGCTCTCCCGTTACAACTTTGAATTCGTGGATGAAAATGACAATGTTGTCGCTGTCACCCCGGGTACGCCCCTCCCGGAGCATCAAATCCCTCGTACTATCGTACTCGCGGGGGGTGACGATGGCCAGGATACAGGTATGACGGATATTGGAGAGGAGAAAGGGTCAGGTACGGCCGCATTTGATCTCGCGCAACAAGTCTAAGGGTGAGGTGATAATGTGGCTGTGACTCCTTCGCCCCTCCCGGAATATCAACACCCTCGAATCGTCGTAGGGGCGACTATGGCGGGTAGAGGATATTGGGGCGGGGCCGAATGCGCAGTAGGCCAAGGCATAGAAATCAATCTAATGTTCCACGATCCGCCTGGAATACTGACGGATTTTTGTTTTTGATTTGTTCACCTTTCTCGTTTATGGGCCCACGGGCCTACGGAGTTAAATGCTGGTTCCGGTACAAAGTTCGCTCGGGCACAAGACACAGTTGTATACCCCTCCACGCTAATTTTGTTCCTTGATCTTCCATTCGTCTATAACTCCATTAGATCAACTAGATAGTCCCGTGGTGATCCGGAGAACACCCTAAAGCGGGATAAACTATGTTGATCCCAGGAACAGTGGAATGACCATGGAACAACGGGCAACCGGAGAATTGTATATGAGGATCCACTCTCGAAAAATTAGTATGAAACATTGGGCCTAAAAAAGAACCACGGCCATTCAGGCCCCCTAAACGGAGTATAAAGTACATCAAAAGAAATAAATCAGCCAATATGGGTTCTGAATCCCCGCATGTCTTGGGGGCGGGATCTATGCAGCCATGCTTACGCTTACCGCATGAAGAACTGCAGGAATGTCGATCCCAGACGCCCCGCCACATGCCAATGTTGAATATCTTCAGGAACGGACGACGAGCCTAATTTGAACTGTGAATTCCATGCAGTCCGCGGAAGGAGTCCGTAGGTTGTCCGTGACCCCGCTCGAGGATTCGTATGCCCGCATGATCGCGTGAGTTTGAGTCGCAGCGTGGTGTGTGGATGGGGGCGGTTGGTTTCTGCATTCGGTATATAAGGATGCCTGGGAACGGGCGAGAAGAGAATCAGTCATCTTGTGCTGATTTTCTTCTACGCCCGGCTCCTCTGGCTCCCTGGTCCTTTGGTCTTAATCCTCTGGTTATAACTTATTTGGTTGTATCTTATTTGGTTCACGATGTTGTCTCTTGCACGTTTGTGGACTGTTAGCATGGCTGCAGCACTGGTTGTTGCTATGCCAGCTAAGTTGTTCACCAATCGAGGTAGGAACTACATAACCAGCGCGTTTTTTACGGTAAAATTGACTAATCTGTTATAGATGTTGATACTACTACATATGATAATCTGTATCTCTTCGCTCAGTACTCCGCAGCCGCATACTGCTCGAACAACGTCGATACCACTAGTACAGGTGATTCGATTACTTGCTCAGCTGATAACTGTCCTCAGGTACAGTCGGCGACGACTAAGACTCTATACGAATTTGACGAGTATGTGGATCGAAACCCTGATCTCAGTCCGTACTGATTATCTAGATCAAACGACTATGGAGATACAGCCGGATTCCTCGTTGTAGATGAAACCAACGACTTAATTGTCTTGTCGTTCCGAGGAAGCACGGATATCAGCAACTGGGTTGCCAATCTGGACTTCGTCTTCAATGATGACAGTGGGCTTTGTACCGGATGTGATGTGCACAGTGGCTTCTGGAAAGCCTGGGAAACTGTTGCAGATGATGTCACGGCTAAAATCGATTCTGCACAGAGCACATATCCAGGCTATCAGCTTGTGGTTACGGGCCATAGTCTGGGTGGTGCGCTTGCTGCTTTGGCGGGAACAGCACTTCGCAATGCTGGATATACACTGGACTTGGTAAGTGGATTGGTCTTTATTCCAGATTGTACAGACACTAATTTCTATTAGTATACCTATGGTCAACCGCGTGTAGGCAATGATGCTTTGGCCGAGTATATGACCAGCCAGGGTAGTCTCTGGCGGACTACCCACACAGACGATATTGTTCCTCGTATTCCTCCGGAGCTTTTTGGCTACGCTCACGCTAGTCCGGAATACTGGATTACCAGTGCTGATGATGTGACTGTGACTGATGCTGATATCGAGGAAGTCGTGGGTGTGAACTCTAATGATGGCAATGCGGGAGAATCAGACGAGAGTATCTCTGCACACAAGTGGTATTTTATGGAGATCTCTGGATGCGATTAAGAAAAACTCTCAAGAGGGACTATCAGGATAGGCCCATTATTTAATTTCTTACATACATATTGGGCTACTTATTACTATGCACATTGTTTGTATTTGGCCGTTGACCCACCGATCGGCCGAGTGTGGCTGGAGCTTGTGGCGTAACTAGCGTCAACACGTTTCAATTGAGTGGATATGGATCTTCGTATTTAATGTGATCCTTTTTTTCTTCAGCTTCATATTCACTACCGATCTTGCTCTGTTTCTCCAATATATTATATACCGGGGAGGTTCCACTAGGCAGACACGGGTTAGGCTACACGACTCCGTCCGTTTTCAGCTTTCACCCTTAACACTCCACGCCATGCGCATCTGAAATGCTTGAACCTCAACGCAACCATGTTGTTCGCCCCTAGCGGACCCCAGAGTCCGCGCCGTCGCAATCGCATCAAAGCTATCCTAATCACAATCGGAATCGTTCTCGCATTATACTTCCTCTTCTTCGCGGGCCCCGAGTCGCCCACCAAAGCTGTCAACAATGACCGACCAAGCTATGCGCAACGTCCCACTCCGAAACCCAAGATCGACCCCATAGACGAGCAGGCTCGCCCCGCAATACGAAAACGCAAGGATATGATCGTGGCCAGTATGAAGAATGACGACACCACCTGGCTGGCTGAGTACTTCCCGGACTGGTCACGGAGCATCTACGTGGTCGACGACAAGAAGGCCCCGTTGACCGTGGCTAAGAACAAGGGACGGGAGTCGATGGTATACTTGACGTGAGTAGGCTGCAATCTAGCTCGTGCGAAGGTATACGCTAACGCAATCCAAATGACCAGCTACATCATCGATAACTACGAGAACCTCCCTGACATCATGTTGTTCATCCACTCATTGCGCTATCAATGGCACAATGACGACCCGTACTACGATGGAGTCCCCATGCTCCGTAATTTCCAGGTCCCTTATTTACAAAAGATGGGATATGTCAATCTGCGCTGCGTCTGGACACTTGGTTGTCCCGTGGAAATCCACCCGTCGACAGATACACACCGTGACGATGTCCACGCGGGCGAGTACTTCAAGACTGGATTCATGGAGCTATTCCCGGATGAGCCTATACCCAAAGAAGTGGGTGTATCATGCTGCGCGCAGTTCGGCGTTACTCGCGACACAGTCCTCACAAGGCCGAAGAGCGACTATGAGCGGTTCCGAGTCTGGCTCTCGAACACGAGTCTAGGAGATGATTTGAGTGGTCGGATCATGGAGTACTCATGGCATAGTAGGTTTCTCCTCCAGTTCGTCCATGCATACTCGTGCTTACTTTTTTTTCTCAGTGATATTCGGTCAACCACCTGTTCATTGCCCCGCCGCTGGCGATTGCTATTGTAATGTTTTCGGACTGTGCAACTTAAATTGCCCTAATGATGCCGTATGCGATAATCGTTATGTGCTGCCGCCCTTCTCTTCACTACCGAAGGGTTGGCCTTTCCTCGGATGGAAAGGCCAGGAACAAGATCCAACGTATGGACTTCCTGAGACATGAGCAGCATGTTGACATTGGTTGCATATGCTGTACAGCACGCGATGTGGAAATTAGCTTGAGACAGGAATGTCGCAACTGCAGATTGCGGTATTCCGGCACAATCGGCACAGTTAGCTTTTCATCCCCGTTGCCTTGACAGAAACCAAGCATCGGCAAGCACTGCAACCTACCATGGTGCGCTTGCCTGAAGGATGCTGTTGGGGAGTATCTATTTGGTGAAGGATGAACTGGGGATATTTCGCTTCTCGGAACATAAGCTAGTAGGAAAGGACATGAAGTATATAGCGAGTGGACCAGCACCATGTCGTTGTTTTGAATATTAGCGAATTTAGCAAGATTCGAATTTCTTTAGTTTCCAGGTTCCTTCACTATCAAGCTTAGATGTAGAACATCGGGGGGGACTAAAGGGGAGAGCCAATTTCGGCGTCGAGTGGTTCTCCAAACACCTTGCGGACCTCGGTAGTGGATCTGAATCTCCCCGCAATCAGATCCAACACCTTCCTCCTCTCAACCACCACCCTCTCCAACCGCATTTTGTGTTCACCTCTCCAAAATGCTCATAATCGGCCTCACCGGCTCAATAGCCACAGGCAAATCAACAGTCTCAGCCCTCCTCTCATCACCTCCCTACAATCTCCCCATAATCGACGCCGACGTCCTCGCTCGCAAAGTAGTCGAACCAGGCACAGCAGGCTACAAAGCAATAGTAAACTACTTCGGCCCGAATACACCCGACCTCCTCCTCACAGAACCCAACACACCCAACGGCCAACCCCTCAACCGCCCAGCGCTAGGCCGCCGCGTCTTCGGCTCAACAGAAGAACGCAAACGCGATCGCCAAGTCCTAAATGGCATCATCCATCCAGCCGTCCGCTGGGAAGTCTACAAATCCCTAATCTACCACTACATTCGTGGACAATGGGCCGTCGTCCTGGATGTTCCCCTGCTATTCGAAAGCGGGATGGATCTCATCTGCGGAACGGTTATTGTCGTTGGTGTTCATGACCCCGCTGTACAGATGGCGCGTTTACGGGCCCGCGATGCGCATCTCACAGCTGAGGATGCGGAGAATCGGGTGCGGAGCCAGGGTGATGTGAGGGTGAAGGCGGCGCAGGCGGAGTTTAGGGGGACGAAGGGGGCGAGGGGGGTTGTTGTTTGGAATGATGCTGATAAGGATGAGCTGGAGAAAGAGGTCAGGGGTGCTATGGCTAGTGTTGAGGCATCAAGTCCGAGGTGGTGGGCTTGGGCGCTGCTTGTTGCGCCGCCTGTGGGTGTGGGTATTGCGGTTTGGAATTTGGCAGTTAATTTTGCGACCCAGAAGGGGTGGGAAAGGAAGAAAAATGAGGAGAAGGCGAAATTATAGACCCGAGTACATGAAGAATGGATTGGGAGATAGCTTACAGGGGTTCTGTGACACTACACCCTTATACTAGACTGGTGCGGAACGACTTCTTTCCAGCCTGATAGATACTATATTGCTTTTTTACCAAAGGGAAAAGCTATTCAAGATCAAATGTTCATTTTGACTCGTACTGGAGAGTCTGGGAAATATATGCCCATGGTTTTCATGCCCAAACGCCGAGACCATGCAAAAACGCCAATACCAACACCGAGGATATCTGTTTTGAAAGAACCAAGAGAAGAAACACCTGGCTGATGTGCTTACTGGCCGCTCTTGCGCTTCTTCTTCTTCTTTGAAGATGGTGCTCCCATTAACTGGGGCCGACCACCGCTGCCTGAGATACTAGTGATTTCAGACAATTTAGGGGCTCTAGCCTCCTGGGCCTTAGCCTTCTTTAACTCTTCCATGGCAGCCAAAGCTTGAACACGGCGAGGATCATCATGTGGCAGATTCTCGAGCTGTTCACGGATTTTGCCTTCTTCCGTAGTTGGTGGCGGCTGGTAAAGATTAGCAAGAACCCAGAAAGACAAGATAGAATAATAGAACTGACCTCTTTGCGCTTAAAATTGCCGAATCCTCGACGACCTCCGAAAGATAGGTCATCGTCGGCATCTAGAGATTCTGTCGCCATAACGAAGGACTGGGGCTGAGGAGAAGGAGATTTTGCCGCGGGTACATCTAGCACCCAGTGAGTTTCACCGGCCTCAGCAGCCTGTCGTGCAATAACCTCTTGTCGTTTTTGCTCTTCGGCGGCAATTGCAGCGGCGATAGCATCGAGATCTGCTTGCGGAGTCGAAGGGCTTTGGTGCTCCAATGACTGTCTTTGACGCTTGGGGGTGCGTGTATTCTCATCGGATGCTGGGGACTGCGCTTCCTTCGATGCGGCAGTTGCTGCAGCACGTTGCATGAACTGTATGTACGTTAGCTATATTCCATAAGTTGAATGGTGATGATGCATACCTTCATAGTAAGTAAACGAGAAGACATCGTGCCCTTCTCTGGCTTTCCAGCCGTTCCAGGGGAGGCCGGCATGATATGCAAAAAATACCAGCACGGATAGCTGGGACGACGAGCTTGTAAATGTGTAAATTGAGAAGCGATGTTGAAAGTCGCAGAATAAAATGTGGCGGCAGAAAAACCGCGAGCTCCAGTCTCAGTTGAGATTACTTTCTATGGCAGGCGGTGAGACTCCACCAACCACACCTCGCGGATTACACTATTCAGTTTGCAACCTCCGACTTCGAGCAATCCCATCCTACTCTACTCCCACTCCACTCCGTCCTCAGGACCCAATCTGCCCAGCATGATGTCCTGCAGTCGCCGTCTCACATCTCTGGCCTCCTCGGTCCCGCGCTTCGCCGCTCGCACCTACTCCTCCACCGTCCCCCGTTTGCACGAGAACCGTATGCAACCCAATGACCCCTCTCCGCCAGCTCCTAAGCCCAATGTCTCCGCTACCAACGCCCCCGAGGGAAACCCTGTGCCCATCGCCGACTTGATTGAGATGCGGGCCTACGACTTCCGCGAGAACCCCGCCGTCGGCGAGCAGATCCGCAGTGTCCAGGCCCCGAACCGAGCTACCACTTGGGCGGCTAGCCAGCAGCCTCGCGAGAAGGCAATGACTGGACCTCGTTTCGAGCAGACTATCATGGAGACTCAGGTACGGCTTCCCGATCGGAATTGGAGCCATTGGCACGATTTGTAGCCGAGAACCAGAAACTAATCATTGACCAGCCCCGGCCCCTTGCTGCTATTGAGCTCATTCACAAGCAGCCTGTGCGATGGACTAAGTCCAAGGTTGTCAGCTGTGATGGTGGTGGTGGTCCTCTTGGCCACCCCAAGGTCTTCATCAACACCGACAAGCCCGAGATTGCGACTTGCGGATACTGCGGCCTTCCCTTCGTACGTGAACGGATGAAAAAAAAAAATCATAACCGAGCAACCGCTAACACTAATCGCAGGCCCAAGAAAAGCACAAAGCCTACCTCAAGTCTCTGCCCGCCACCAGCTACCCCCTCGAACCCACCGGTGATGTGGCTGAGGTGAACGAAACCCAGCGCGTTGCCCCCGCTACCGGCGGTCTGGAGCAGCGGTAGACGACTAGCATCCGATTCCTTTTGTCGGCGTTGATTACTTCTTGCGCGTGTGTTACACTATTTTCATTTTTTTTCTTTTCTTTTGGGCCTGAGGCCGTGTACAGAAATTTAGATCAAATCGATCTGCCGTTCGCCCAAATGCGAGCTTAAAGATGATGACGTCGAGTCCTATCGGCAATTCCCATGGTTTAAGATGAATTGTTATCTATGCACATGGACTCGCAATGGGTCAGAGTACTTGTGAAGTGACGAGATATAGATATATTTCCAACTACCTTAAACCCACTATAGACGCTCCCGTGAACCATCTATTCAAGCCTTCTGACCCTGAATTGTCGCAACAACCTTGCGCGAATGCCGACTCGTCCGGAACTCCAAATACCAAATCCCCTGCCAGGTTCCAGTCGCCAACCGTCCATTAGAAATAGGAATATTCACCGAAGCACCAATAAGAGCAGATTTGATATGAGCCTAAACACAAATTAGCATTGATCATGTCCATCCCCAAGCGCTCTATCCAATGGCATAGAAAACTTAATGGCTGCGGGGTATACACACAGGCATATCATCCTCCCCCTCAGCGGAATGCCGATAAAGTTCACCCTTGCGATCAGCAGGCGCAATACGATCAAGCGCATCACTCATATCAGCCCGAACATCATCGTCCCAGTTCTCGTTTAGCGAAAGCGCACAGCTCGTGTGCTGCACGAAGAGGTTCAGCATGCCGACTTTGTAGTCGCGGATCTCCGGGACTTCGGATAGGACATGATCGGTAATCAGGTAGGAGCCGCGACTGCGGGTGGGTAGGGAGAAGGTTTTTTGAGACCAGGACATTGTGGGGGTGGGTGGTGGTGTTTGTGGAAGGTTGAAGTTCCAAAGTCGGAGCTTGCTTGAGGGCGGGGCGGAATAAGGTGATTATGGTGGGGGGTCTGATGTCACTGTCGTTAAGGTGGTTTCACCAGCGGTTTTGGATGTACTATACTTGGTGGATATTTTATTTATAATTAGTCTACCATTAGGTTTCTACTTAAACATACTGGGCTTGGAAATCGAGGAATATCTAGGAGAATGTCAAGGTTTCTAGATTCTACCTTATGATTTTTGTCCATTCTATATAATCCCCAAGCGGACCTGCCACGGACAAGCTCCAGAACTAAACATCCCGATCGACGAGATGCAACGTCAAAAATAGCTTCTCTTTATCAAGTCATTCCACTCTGCAAGCCAGAACTAATACTGGTGACCAGTTATAAACTATCCCATTAATGTGCTGCAACGATAATTGATGACCTTTTCCTGCTCGTTAAACGTTGGAATGCAGTAGTTTATCACCACACACTTTCTTGAGCCCCAGAAGACACTCCCGTACACCCATGAGACAAAGTCTTGTACAAATATGTACTAAACTGAGTCGAAACGGAATACCATCCGGCTCAATAATGCTGAAGTTGTATTGACGTAGTCAATTACGAAGGTCCGGTATCCAGCTGCAGATGATATTTTGTCACCACGGATTATAGCTAACCAAAACCGCACATGTACTACATCGTACTTCCCTACCAGTGAGGCAGATGGGTCAGTCAAACAATCTAGAAGCCCCAAAGATGTATATCGTCAGGCTACACCTCCTTTGGTGGAAATTGATCATCGGAGATATCGAATTCGTGCAGCTGAACCGACGATGGAAAATGCCTTGCAACACCAAACAGCTAAATACTATGGAATGTCTGCGGTTCTTAAAACAGTTCCGGCCTTGCTGACACATAGCATCCTCTCCCTGCTCCCGTTCCAATACCAGCTACCTCCATGTTTTCCATCATGGGGATCTGCGGGTGAAGGTCGTAGCCCTTACACGATTTTCATAGGAGGTGTTGCGCATCCAGTCTGTGCGTGATTAGTGCTACACATGAATATCCGGAATATGAAGATGCCTGCGCTGAAAGTAAGTGGGACAAGAAAACACAGACCTGATTGACAGCATCAACTCTCTTCCTAGTCAATAGTCGTCTTCCCGAACCATTGCTGACAGTCGTGGAACTCGTCGAGTTCGCGTTTATGAGGGCGGGAAAAGGTAGCCGAGATACATGCCGAGGGTACTTAGACTGAGTGCCTGGCTGCAATTCGCCCTTATGTGGTGATTGGATGGCCTTTATGGTGGGATCTACCGTCATACTTCCGAAACTGGGTATTCGTAAAGCTCCCATGACATTATCTTATGTTCTTTGATAAGAAGGAAATACACTGAGTGCTGTGCACGTATATCTTGAACGAGTAGTCACTCAGATGATCCCTTGGACTCTTACATTTTGAGGTGGATTCTAAGTTGATAGAGAGTAATTAGAATGGTGAATCTAATATAGGGTATTAGTAATGCCCTCCGTGAATATGATTTCATTTCCTATTTGAAAGAGAAAGTCTCCTACTGCCATCTTGAGTGGGCAGTGATTGCCTCCGGCTTCCATTTTGCCCTTCAATTTGATTCGCTGCTGTTACTTTTTCCTGATGCTAGGTAAGATCACTCTGGCGGTTTCCTCGAATCATGTACCTCCACCTGGGCAGGGATGCAATTAAAGTTTATAGTATAAGCGAATTATCGACCAAGAGCCTGGATGCGCTCTTCATTGGATTTGATCATCTATTTTATTGATAACAGCACGGTTACGAATGGCATTCATCATTTGAGGCGGAACTGCACGGCTATCACCGGTTATTTGAGCTCAACGGCTATTTCCAACCAGCCGGACCAGGGTAAACAAGTTGCACTACAAATTACTTTCCATGGATTTAGTATTTCTTTTTCAAACGTCCGAATATTCTGTATTGCAAATCGAGTTCCAAACTGTGTGATCATGGGCTCCATATCTGACCCTTCAGTCTTGAAAGACAGTGCAAGTCATTCGCTATTCTCAAGCCTATCTCCAACCCCCGTCGACGAACCCTTTGCAGTGAATGGAGCATACATCCAAGATACCTATCCCGACAAAGTCAACCTTGGCATCGGCGTCTACCGTACAGCCACCGGATCACCATGGCCATTGCGAGTGGTTGAAGAGGCCGAAAAAAAACTCCACCAAGAAAGTGATGTGAATCGGCATGAGTATCTCACCATTCAAGGTGACAGGGAATTCCTCCGACTGGCATCTGACCTTGTGTTTGGCTTTGACAAGCAGAAACAAGCAAAGGCAGTGGAAAGCAAAAGCCGTGTCATTTCCATTCAGACAGTCTCAGGGACAGGCGCAAACAGACTCGGCGCCGAGCTCCTAGCTCGAAACATACAACCGGGATGTGTATGGGTTCCTGATCCCACCTGGGCAAATCACCACACAATCTGGGAGCTAGCCGGTGTCCGAAGGAAGAGCTATCCTTACTACGACAGCAAAACTAAGTCCTTCGATTTTGAAGGAACTTTCCGGACGTTGTCATCTGCCGACAAAAACGATGTCGTAATTCTTCACGCCTGTGCTCATAACCCTACCGGCGCGGATCCAACAAAAGAACAGTGGAAGCTATTAGCTGAATTGTGCAAGGCGAAGGGCCTGATCCCTTTCTTCGATCTAGCCTATCAAGGCTTTGCATCCGGAAACCTTGAGCAAGATGCATGGGCCATTCGTCATTTCTTCAGCTATAGCCCTCAACTGGAGTTCTGCGTCGCACAGTCATTCTCAAAGAATTTTGGGCTTTATGGTCAGCGTGTCGGGGCTTTGCATGTTGTTACTTCCACTGCTAGTGAGGAGGTTTCTCAAAATGGTTTGTCTAACCTTTGTCACCTTGTTCGGGGAGAATATTCAATGGCGCCTAGAGGTGGATCGGAGATTGTGCGAACTGTTCTGGGGAATGAGGCTCTTAAAGATAAGTGGTATGAGGACCTTGTGACGATGAGTGAAAGGATTCGACAGATGCGTCAGGCTCTGTTTGATGAGTTGATTAAGCTGCAAACTCCTGGTGATTGGACACATATTCTGAAACAGGTAAGTTTGCTATAATATCTGTTGATCTTGATATTGACTGACGCGTATCAGATTGGCATGTTTACCTACGTTGGACTGTCGGAAGAGCAAGTTCTTGAAATCAGATCAAAGCATCACATCTACATGCTGAAATCCGGGCGCATCTCAATCTCGGGCTGTAAGTCTTGTTCCCAATTGCAATTGTGATGCAAAGATAGTTACTGACCATATTCACAGTAAATGAAAGCAATGTAAAGTATGTTGCGAAGGGCATAGACGACGTCGTACGGTGAATTAAGACTCGACGACCCGCCAAATGATCTGAAAATAGACAACGATTGCATAGAGACCAAATTCATCAAAAGGCCATAAATTCTACTTTCATTCACTTACCAGTCATAAAATCACAAGCACTTCAATACAGGGTTGTTCAGTTTGGTGAGCATCACTCTGAAAAGCCAGGGTTCTTGACCATCAACCGCTCAGCTGTGGTTTTGAACAACCGTGGTAGGTCTGTGTCTTCGTACACAACCTCATGCAAAATCATCTTAGAAACAGCCCTTGCAGCGGTAAAGATCATGGTCATTCCAGCACCATTGAAACCGGCCAAGATCCATTGGTTTCTCGAGCCTGGAACCATTCCCACATGAGGCAAAGCATCAGGGGTCTCGCCCATGACTATTGGCATATATTAGCACATACCGAAATGATGATTTCAGGAATCAAGATCTCTTACTTCCAGTCCAGACGAAGTCATGATGTGCCTCGGCTTTCTCCCATCCAAGGAAATGATCCGCCATAACAGAGTCGAAATGCTCTGTAGCAAGATCGATGATCAACGTTGTATCATCCGTGCTGTTCCACCATTTCGCCCTCTCAATTTTATCCTCATATGTCCATTTTGCGCCTCCAAGGATAATAGTATTATCTGGTCTTGGATTGAGATAATCCGCATACCGATTGTTGAAGTGCAGGTTATAAGTGTGATCAAGGTACTTGGGTACTCTGAAAGATGGCGAAGGGGACAGATGCGAGTTCTGGCCTTTGAAAGGGGTAATGACCCCTTGATACTGTGGCAATAACGCAGCAGTATAGGCGTTGGTTGCAAATATGGTCTTTTTGGCGTTTAATACTCCCCTTGACGTTATCAATTTTGTTTGACCGGGCAACTCTTCGACTTCTGTAACATAGGTTTCGGTGAAGAGCGTGCCACCGAGTTCTATCACTCTTGACAGTAAAGCTGTGACTAGTTTGTACGGCCAAAGGGAGACCGCCGGTACACTCAATGCGCCTTTACTATTCTTGATACCAGTAACCTGAGAGGTAAAGGTTAGAGCCATTTTATTCACCCAGAGAAAGCTGAGAAATACCTTTTCTGACTCGGAAGCATCAATCCATGTTATATGTTTGGCCCAAGGAGCCCCCTCAGCTTGCTGAATAGACACAAACTCCTGCATTTCCCGGGCATGATCTACATCAAAAAACACATCAAAGGAACGAGTGACGCTCAGTTCACAGTCGATCTTTTCCTTCTCAACGACTTCCTTGATAGCAACCAGTTGATCAAGTTGGTAGCCAATAACCTCCGCCGCTGCACTACGGCCGAATTTGGCCCCAATTCGTCGCGCAATCCAGGGGGCTAATTTAAGATGGCCCCCTTATAGCCGATTAGCAATTGGAACGAAAAGATACTGGTAAGCTCTCACCGTTGCGCCCGGTCGCTCCTGTGCAGGCTTGACGTGCTTCGAGTAGGACAATTTTTGGCTTGGTTCTGAGATTTAGATCCGAGAGAACATGGTATGCTGTGGCTACGCCGGCTAGACCAGTGCCGATGATGGCTATGTCGCATTGATCTGGGACTATCTCCGATGAGCGAAAAGTTGCCAGTTCATGGGGATCCTGAAGCCAGTACGACGATAAAGGGTTTTCGGCTGGAAAGCCTCTGTCCTGAATGGTTGAAGACATGCTTGCCTCAGTACTTGAAGAGTAGTAGCGAAATCTGGATGCGCTAGGGGATCATATGTCTTTAGATGCCGGTATTTTGAAATTCTGAGATGGTCTAGAGAGATGAAGAAGAATGCAGATGTTGAGTGAGATACAGAGGCTGACTATTCCATGGCCCCTCTTCTAAACCCCAAAGCAGTTTAGCATGGACCTCGGACCGTATGAGTGTCACAGATGGGAATCTTATTCACATTATGTTCGTCTTTCCAAGTTTGAGATCATGCAATATGTAAACTCGACTCACTAAGTTAAAGGATTCGCACGCGTTTCGCGAACAATATAAACAGCACGGCAAATCCCAAGATGAATGCTAGGATGCCAAACCACCACTTGCAGTTCCCCTCCACATACTGTCCAGGTACATTTATATTCATCCCGAAAGAACCAGATATAACTTGCATCGTGACGACAATCGTACCGATAATCGTCACCCGACTCAGCGTACTCGCGAGGCTGTTACGCATACACGTCGAGTCAAATTCAAGTCGGCCCAGATATTTAGATTGCGACCGCGAGAGCATCTGCTCAGCACTAGTCAGATTCGACATCATTGTCAAGACGTGATCTTGAATATCACGAAGATAAAGCGTGATCTCCGCAGCCGTGGCCCCCGAGTACCCGCAGTGGCGGGCAAAACAACGGATGAGATCGGTTTTATCGTGTAAAAGTCGGCGAATCTGCGTCACCTCCTTGCGACACTTGGAGATATTTTGAAGAGCTAAACCGATTTCATCGGGGCGCGTGACTGACAGACCATCTTCCATCATCTCGACTCCGGTTTGCACACGGTCGATGAGTGGGGCGAAGCCATCGACGATATCGTCACTGAAATCATTAGTCAGATCCTATATATCGCATCAGACTAGAAGACCTACATGAGCGCATAGCAGATCCAATCACTTGTCGGAGAAAAATCGCTCTGGTGATCCTTTATCCGTTTCCAGACGTGGGCGGGATCTTGGCCATCGCCGAATGTGATGCTGAGGATTCCCTCGGGAAACACAATGCCGTAGAAATTAGCCGCCGAGGAGTTGGGAACAGTTGAGAGCCCAAGCTGTCGTGGCGGAAGAACAGAGACGAAATAGTAAGCACCGAAGAGCTCAACCTTCTCGCGGAGTTCGCGGACCTTGATATCTTCGGTGGTCAGAGGGTGGAGACCGAACATCCGCGATAAAAACTCGATATCGTCGTCGGATGGCGACGCAACATGAAGCCACCATAATCCATCATGGACACCGGTCTCCCTAAAGTCCTTAAAGGGTTCGCAAGTCGTTTGCAATTGCGAGAAATCATCGGCGTGGGTCACGGTGTCGAGATTGGAGTTGAAAAAGCTGTAACGCGTGTCGCCGGCAGATTCTGCAGTTCCCAGTTTTTCTTCAAGGGCACTGTACAGGGAGGCACGCCCCGGAGAGACGGCGGGCCCCATGCTCAGGAGCTTCGATGAGCCAACTTGAGTTCGCGCACATAGGTTCAATTGTGTTGCGAGCGTTGCGTGGGATCGGTTGCAAATATTTTCGCCGCAAGGGGGACCAAGTCTTGGCTTTGTGGCGGAGTTGCACTTCCCGTTCCTCGTTGAACATGCGTAACCCACGAAATCCTCGTGGACAAATTCTGTAGTTCAGCTAAGGAAATTCCGTTGCATATAGAGGTATAATCGAATTCTGACGTCAAGTCTCTATGCTTTTCACCGATACTCTTTGACCCGGCTGCGCATCACATCCTTGCCATCGAAGCCAATCAAAGTGGTCCCTTACCTGCACCTGCTCTTCATGTTTGAACCTAATGCTACCGGATGAGCCAATCATTTTGAATTACCTCCGTACAACCTCCGTACAGACCGTCAGAAGATATCGATTGACCGCTTTCTTCTGTATGGGCATGAAGCAGTTATGCTCCTGACGCCCGTTCCCCGGTATTGAGGGTCTCAATCTTGTTGCGCTTCCTTAGTTTAATTTAGATATAACGCCGAGGTCTGACTTATTGTCAGATTGATTGCAATCTGATCCACATATTTCATCAATACTTCTGACCCGAAGATCATGTTCGAAATACCCACTGCCCAAGCGTGCTTACTCCAAGCTGCCGTTGAGATCTCCTCTCCCCAAATCCGCCTTTCAACGCTGGATATCTGTTGTGATAAGAAAATGGAAAAAGGGCGTCTTGCCGGTCGATTGTCGATTGTTTAGAATATGAATGTGAACAAGGATCAAACAGACGAGTGTAAAGATAAACTTGCTTCAGATACGACAGTCAATAGTTCGCTGCCCAGAGAATTTTATCTTCTGGAGAGGTATTGATATGGGCACCTTCGTCAAGGCAAAACATTTAAATCCAGACAGCTCTATCGCTGCCTCTTTCTTCTTCTTTGCTCTCTCGATAGTCAGCCCACGCCACCTTCCACAGTCTCGTGTTTCATCTTTCGTCCAGCATAATCCAATCCTCACCACGGTATGAATATCAGCACACAGGGAACAATAAGAAGGGAAACTGACGTCTTTCTCAAGGTCTCGCTTCCGCCATGCCACCACGTAGAAATCTCAATCGGACCTGGAGAGAGATTGTCTTGACTCAGTACGCCACTGATCTAGAAAGCGAACTAGAATCGTTACAGCGACCCCCTCCAGAAATTCTATCAGAAATAGACCAACCATTTCCGATTGAGTATATCATCAAAGCCTCCGAGTGGAATCGCAATGTCATCATCAAAATCCCACGAAGAGTCCTGATCGACGACCTGTGTCGCTCTCTCAACGCCTTTCGGATCAGACATTATCCCACGCCAGATTATAGCGATGAGCATGTGTCTATTCGACCTTACATCCCCCCAATCCGGGGCCACCGGTCCTGTGTAAACATTCCCCAGTGTACGGAGACCCAAGCTCCTCCACCATACTCGATTTACCCACCAGGCCGCTATTGACTTGAATCGGCACCAGCCCAGCTAAGAGGGGCGCAGAGCCAAAGGAGAAGGTCTTCAATTCATTCATGTACATTACTTTTAACTATTCAAGATGCATCACAAACACTGGCCTGCACCAAGGGTGGATTACTAGTAGCGCTTCCCCAATCGGCAGATCCAAGAGCTTGACCAGCCACGGTACTGTTATCGGAACGAATCTATCACAATTAGCAAAGGGCTTCATACCATAATAGGTTATACACACATAGTACTGAGGATCAACATAATGCCACCAATCATCACTGCGATACGCGTCGTCCAAGGACTGGCTGATAGGATCGATGAATCCTGTGTTACGGGTATCAAAATTAGGGTGTTTCGACCAAGCCACATAAACCTTAGGATGATCTTGATCCTGTACACCATTCGGATCCTTAGCATCTCCGGCATTGATCTGATCCGTGGTCAGAGTATTCTGGATATCACCCCAAGCCAGATTATTATAACCGCTATGAGCGGAGAGCAGTGCACGCGAAGGCGCCCACATATCATTGTCGTCGCGCGAGTGAATGATCACCACTCGCTCCCAATCACTGAGAAAGGTCAGATTGGCTTCATGAATAGTGTTTATATTCTTACTAGTCATGGCCGGTTTGGATCACACCAAATGTCGCGCCATCCTTTTCGTAAAAAAGGTTATAGACAACGCGTATTTCGGTCTCGTTGCACTGCTTGAATGTGTAGTAGACTGGGAACGCGGGCCCTGGGTTCCCAGTGTCAACACCGGGATTGCGGCAGTTGCACCCAACGTTAGGGTACTGGCATTGGGCTGCAGCGGGTGTTTTGTGGGCGGCGTCATAGGTGTCAGAGGTGTCTGGAGACCCGCCAAACGCCCAAGTGGGATAACACGGAGGGTGATTCTCAGCCTGAGCGAAGAACCACAGCGGTGCGTAGAGGTTGGCTAGATCCGCGCCGCCGGCGTTGAGGAGCAAGGTCATGTCATCGTCGGTGATCTGCGTGACGGCTGCGACGGGACTGGCCAATATGGCCATGCAGGCCCAAGACATGAACCACATGCTTTAACTAGCCAGGGAGTGATTTAGTGTGCCAGGGAGCCATCATGTCGCGGCGGAGGGGTCGTATTTAAAACTGGCCTCCTTGAAGATCCCCCGAGACAGATGGAGAATGCCCAGCGGAGCTAAAGTGGACGTGTTTCCCGTTTAGGAGATGATGAGCTGAGGGTCACATCGCGCTGTGCAGGAGCACGGAGCGGCCGAGCGGGTTCATCCCTTTCGGAATAGAATTGGCAAATGGAAGTTCGCGAATGGCGTTGCCAAGATTTGAAGAAGCTCATCTGATCTTATCTTGGCCTTAATTATTTGCAGCCCAGTTAGCGTAGTGGATATGAAACAGGATCCTCCAATCCCAATGAAATGGGGTCAACGTGCGTGTTCGATTGATTTATGATATGTAACAAATTGTGAAGATCGCCATGTGCTGTATTTCCCATGATAATATTCTACAATTCCTTCGCGTGTCGTTTTCCTGCGTCCCATTGTCGTTTCACTGGGTTGGTTTGCCATAGTCATCGAGCAGCTGACTTTGGTTATCCATCCCAGACCATTTGGGCATTCCATCGGGCATGTCAAACATCCGCTGTTGGTAGAAAATATGACACCTAAGACCATTCATTAGCAACCGAGTTCAGGGGTAACGTGCACTGCATACATACGTCGGCTTGAAGATCTCCAATTGTTTCCGTCGCTCATCCCCCGTACCCTCGAATTGGATTAACTGCGGATACAACAAACATGTGCTGCGTCCCTCGTCCATAATGAGGGTATGGCAGAAGCTGCACGACACTTTGGTGGGCATATCGTATTTCTGGGAATTGAGGGTGGCTGAGAAGAATGACAGGCCACTGGACCCCTTTGTGAACGAGATATCTTTTTTGTGAAAGATTGCCGCCCATTGGAGAGGTGCGCCATGCATGACCTGGCACCCTCGACAATGGCAAAACTTGGCGTTTAACGGTCGGTCGCGGTTTATCGCATAGGTGACTCTTCCACATTGGCATGAGGCCTTCCACTTGATCGGTCCGAATTCTTCATGACCTTGGGTGTGATATGGTGGACGATGTTTCCAATCTTCGGCGTCTAATGTGTTCTCGGGGTAGACATTGGTGACCGCTGGCGAAGGCAGCGGAAGCTCGGTGGAGTGAATTCCCATCTCAGACATGATGAAAGTTGTTGAGGTGTTACTAGGTGAGCTTGCATTATGGCGGTAAGATTTTTATTTTATACTGTGTTATGTGGCGAAGATCCATGATGTCAGTTGCCAAGGTTGAGGATTGAAAGGTCGAGCTATGATGCTGGTTGTACCTGCGGGTGTGAAGAAGGTACGTGACTTCAATCAACTCGTCCCTCTGTTCTCATTCTCTTTTTCGTTCCTCAGTTTCCTCTGCTTTGTTTTAATCAATTGACCCTTGTCTCTACCAAATCTACTTCCAATCCCATCCACCTTGATTTTTTTCTTCAATATTCGTCAGTGATGTCATGATGTTGTATCCGAGCTCCAGCCAAGTTTGTGCACAAGATCCAGATCGATCTGGCTACTGGTTCCACCAGTGGGAAACAATTCTTGGGCAACCTATCATGTTGCAAGATGAAGTATGTTCCTGACTGGGCCCACTTGCATGTAAATTTGATTGTATAGAGATTAGAGTGTCATGTTAACCGTTGCGCCCCGAAACATTGGCGAGACAAAGCGCGGGGCGTTCATTGGGCGTTTCATCCCTGCTCAACAGCGGGCCCTGCATCAACTCGCGTCTTTCATGTCCAAAGCCCGATCTTTCACTTTCACTTCTCTCCTATTTCTCCCCCCTCCTCCATCGCGCATCCTACAAGATGGGCCTTTTCGACAAACTCAAGGCTAGTCCCCGGCGTAGTCGACGCAGTGTGACCCCCGCGACTGAGCCGCCAACGCCGCCCCACTCCACCGGTCGCGATGCGACCAGGAAGCTTCCCCGCGCTGTGCTCGTTCGCATCTTCAGCTTTGTTTGCCCCCATGCCTTGGATGACTCCTATGATACCTCGGAAGATTCTATGACTGATGGCTGTATGCTCTGTGACATGAGGGACCTCGCGAACTGCACCATGGTGTGTAGGCGCTGGTTTCCCGAAGCACACGCGCTCTTGTATGCCACCCGCTGGATTTCTTTGTTCAAAATACTAACACGATATTTGGTAGATACACAAATGTTCGGATTGACCCCGTGCACTACTGCGAACTGGAAGTTCAATTAGCCGCCAAACGAAAGCGCCGCTCCTTTTTCGACCGTAATGGCGATCCCATCGATGCCCCGCAGATCCGCCTCGAGTTGTTTATGCGATCTGTTCGTGAATCGCGACACCTGGGCAAATTGACGCTGTCTCTTCGGATGCCGTATATGACTCGCGAGGCTAATAAGGCCACCATTGCCCGGACGATTTCGGTTCTTCCCCACCTTCGTTATGTCGATCTCCCAACTGGTCTGTTCAGTGATGAGGGCTCGTGTGTGACACTGAAGCAGGAGTTGATGGCCTCGTGCCCCGACCTTCGGCGTATGAGCTATAAACACGGTGCAGAGGGGAGCTTCGCACGACTGCCCGAAGCACCGCGATGGATCAACCTTGAAAAATTAGAGCTGTCGGGCTTGCATATTGAAGCTGCAATCCTTCGAAACAGCCTGGCAGCGTTTCCAAAGCTCAGGGACTTAACATTGGACGATCTTCCATGGCTCGACGATTCGGCATTTGCAGTTGATTCTTCTCTGCCTCCCTTTCCCGCCCTCGAGCAGCTCACGATCCGGGATACCCCACAGCTAACAGCCAGTGGACTGGTCACATTCTTCTCATCGGCAACTAATCGCATTGCCCTACAAGGATTAACACTCGCATCCACCGGTGTCCTTCCATCAACACTTCACCAGATTTTACAGGCCGCTCCACATCTCCGCAGCCTATCGATCATCCAGGAAGTATCCCGGTCCTTCCCCGCTGAGAAGATCCCGCCGTTGGCATCACGATCACTACAAATGCTGCACTATGAAATCACCTCACAGACCGAGACACACGGGCTTCCTCCTGCTGCGAACTCCTATTACACATACCTGATTTCATGTCTCATGTCACGCTGCCTCCCATCCCTCCGCGATCTATACGTCCGTGACGCACAATTCCCCCGATACTTTGCTTTTAGCTCCTCCGCCCCGACTATTCGGTGGTGGTGAGAATGGTCCGCAAATGACCGGCGGCCTCTCCCAGCCTTTAAATGTATACAGTAAAGGCTTGGATGAGCTTGAATGGAACTTCACACCCTATGAGCCGGATTCCGCGCTGGGTCGGAGTGGCACTACTACACGCCCGGTGAGTTTCCAGGAGGCCCAATTGAGTCGGTCATGGGGTGGAGATTCTCGGAAGAGCGTGCTGGTTGGAAATGGATTTGGTGGGTTCTTAGCTGTGCCAGAAGATGGCGAGCGACCGATGAGTAGCAGCGGGTACAAGCGATCAAGTCGGCAGGATCTCTGGCGGTGAATACATTGGATCATGGGAATCAAAATCATATGAGAGATGGTATTTATGACTTAATGAAGCATATGCAGTGCATATTTCAATTTATACATTCGGGCCGATCAAGATGATCAATATCTTACATTGACTTTTCATTATTCCTCCGGCCATCCTTTCTCAGGCCATCCCTCCGGAAGGACCATTCCCTTCCACACCCACTGATTCTGCAGATCAGCATCGGTCATATTACAATACCCATAGGTATTACAATAACACTCAGCAGCATCAAGACAGTACTGCGCCGTCTTCCCAAACATTACTGTTGTACACATATTAGCATCAACCAAGCACCACAATAGACAAAGAAGGGGGGGGGGGGGGGGGTGTGTTAAACATACTATGCCAAGAATATTCAAAAATCCTCCCACTAGTACTAGCATCAAGCGGCGAATTGAGCAACCAATCTCGCATGCGTACATACTCCTCCTTCCCCCGCGCACGAATCGCCTCTCGCGAGACCGCAAACTGACTACAACACGGCACACCGATGATATCGGGCACCGGCTCTCCGGGAAAGAGCGCCATGAAGCTATCGGGAAATTCCACGGCGGTTGGATGTCCCGGATCGTCGGGTCGTTCGCGAAGGTAGCGGGCGGGTTCGAGTTCGGCTGGGCAGCCGATTATCCATGTGCAGCGAAGGTTCACGTACCCGGCATTGCGGACGTGGTTTAGTTGGAGATCTTTTATTGAAATGACGGAGTCTGCCAAGGTTAGAATGTGGGGATGGGTAAGGTGGGTGGGGGGGGAATAGTACCATATAATGGGTTATCGTTGTGCCATTGATATCGACCGCCGTGTAGGAAGACATTTACGTCTGGGAGGGTATCATATCGATCAATTATGTGTCTTGAGAATTTGTTAGCTTAATCTTCCACATCTGTTGAATTGGGCGTAATGCGATACACACGTTAAGTAGACCATAGCCTCATTCCCTTTATTATCCGGAACCGTGAATTCGGCTTCGCCCTCCGCCGCATCAGCCCGATAAATATTAGTAATCCAATCTGCAGGAACATTTTGCTCCACCCAGGACATATCACTCTTCTTCATAGCAGCAATGACAAGCTCCTTCTCAACCGGGCGCATTGTCGGCGTTGAAATCGGCGCGGGCGTAGCCGGCGTAGAAGTATATGCGGGAATCGGCACTGATTGTTGCACGGAATTCGTAGTCTTTGACGTCTGCGACCCATTCATAGCAGCAGCAGCCCATCCATCCCCATCATAATCGGCATCAGGGTCGTACGCGCCCGACGCCTGGGACCCGACTTTCCACGAAGCGATCGAACCCAGCGAGTCGTGATTCAGAACCAGCTGATAAGAGAGTAGTAGGGAGATGACTGCCAGTCCTAGGTAGATGAACACCCTTGAGCTACCGGAAGATCCGGGCTCACGGGGTTGGCGAGAGAAAACACTCGTCCAGCTCATAGTCCGGGCATGGTCAGGAGTTTGGTGAAAATGAAGAGGAAGAATCAATTCGATTGACGTAGAGGGGAACTGGGTTGGGGCCGGAAGCAGTGGGCGGGTCCATGAGCTAATGCGGGCCCTCTAGACCCTTTGATGGCAAGGCTACGGAAGCGGGATTTCTGGGTTACAGGATTGGTTGGGATTGACAAGGATCTACGTGTGTGCTACAAGGGAATTTATGAGATTTAGACGATAAGGGATGCCTAAATATAATTTTTGATTGAATCAGTGGAGAGACAAACGACTCTAACTTGGTGATATTAAAAAAAAAAATCCATGGGTTTGATTGGGTTGCGGACTACTGAGCCACTTCCGGTTGACAGGTTTGGCCACGAGGCGGTCATCCCGGGTTTAATTGGAAGCGCTAAGAGTGAAACGACCGCCTCAGGCCTAGTAATCACCGGTCGCACGCTAACAATGACAGGTCCAGTGTGAACTATGTGATAGCTAAGCTTGCCCAGTATCCGCCACCCGGAGCCAAATGCAATAACGAGGTTCTCATCACGATTTGTTCCTGCTTTAGGGGTCCAGATTTGTTACAGATTCAGGTTTGAGGCTGTCGTGCCTGAAACATGGCCAATGGTTTCAGTCACAGTTGTGGAGCACACTAATGCCCCGGTCAAGCACTGGGGGCCGGACCCACTTGTTACCGAGCGACCAACATCTGTATCGCTCGATCTGTCATAGCGCAGCGCAGGCGACAGGCAGAATCATTTCACAATCAAATATACGGTAGCGCTCGAGGGAAAATGCTCGCTCTTTATCGTTCATACTTGAAGAAAGATGTGAGATGTTTATCGTTTGCAAGAAGAACAAACACAACGCGCATCACTGAAATTCAAGGCCCGCCAATTTTTCCGCAGCCATTTACCCTTGGGCACAGTCAGCTCTTGTAGCTGCTGATCCATCGCATCGGCATATGGATCTGAAACCCCCAGGGCAAGCTTAATTCGTCCAATGTGCCTACCAGTCATGAACAGTGCTTCCGATATTTCCCCGGGTTCTTGATCAGGATGGAGGATCATAATTTCTCGAAGACCGTTGAGACATGTGATGATACGTGAGATGCGTTCACGGACACAGCGAGACAGTTTGGAATTGATCTCATCGTATGTAAGAATTAGAGCAAGATTGACCGTGACGGTTTTCAGACACGTTGCTATCTCCCGGTAGTATCTTCTTTCATGAACCCAGATATTTGCTCTGTATCCATCTAATGCGCTCACGATATTTGCGCGGTGGCGGAAGAACCAGAGGGTACTTGGATCCATTTTGGTGTATTTACTTGAGACATGCTGGTAGTGTCAGGAAATAATCTAGTATCTATATAGTCTACACGCCCTGCATCAAGTTCTTTGAAAGCATCAGGAGAAGACAAAGTGCTTTATAATGGAATGACTATTTCGAGTTGGTGCATGCAAGCCTGTTTTGTGTTGGGATACAATTAGTCGACAAAGATTGAGCTAAGCCCAGAACAAAGATTCAACCTCCAGCTAAAAATAAGCCGCTTGGAACATTGAAACAAAGAGAACTATAATCAGCAAACCAATAAAGAGATTGAATTAATTCATCTAAAAATATGCGTGTTCAAGTCAAGCTTTCTGGGATCTGCATTACGTAATATGATCCACGGCATCGCACGGAACTCGATCGCAGGAATTTCGGCCGTAAGGGACTATAGCATTGAACGTCATCAAACCAATGGATAACTTCAATACTCACGCCAGCCCATATCCATACGATACAGCACGCGTGAGTGAACTGCTCAAACGCAAACGTCGTGTCCGTGGCATCAAATCTTGTTTTCCCTGTCGACACAGGAAAGTGAAATGCAGCGGTGACCTGCCCTGCGAGAGTTGTGTGTCGCGCGGGCACCCTGAGCTTTGTTGTGTGCCTAGCGAATCCGGTGGTAATTCACGTCCGACATCGACTATCCCTGGTCATTCTGTGCCCCAAGAGAGTCATCATGTCGCAAGGGAACCTGACGAGGCCGATGGTGACTGGCTACGGAGAGAACACGGCAGGAAGTATGTCACATACCCCATTACCATCAGAAATCCTTACTCATCTCTTCCTAGTACTAGACCTGCAATCGGCAACGAGCATGAAAATGAGTCTACTGCAGACCATACTATTGGCATTGATCTCATGATCAAACGATTGGAAGGTATAGAAGAACAAATTTCTTCTCTGAAAGCCGAGCTTCAACAAACCCATGCTGGCACCAGTATAAACACTGATCTCAACTCCCATGAAATTCGAACATCGAATTCACGAATCAACCCGCACATGACTAAGAATCTCGCCCCTGGATTATCAGGGAAGAATTTTGTGGAAGACGCCACAGGGGCAACCATATTCCTGGGCAGCCATTCTGATCCGCCCGCAGCATTGGGATGTCGAAATGCACCCGGGGATGGGATTTTGTCTGATGACTTGTTCTTGGATCAGATTGCACCTCGAATGTATCCATTTACGAGCATGTGGGGACCAGATGCTGGTGCGGCGGATATCTGTCGGACTTTGCCGGACGACTCAGATGTTATTCGGTATGTGACTCAAACAATGCATTAAGTTTATTCAGAAGAACCTCGTGTTAGGTATTGATGGAACACTAATTATTGCAGATATTCTCAAATTTATCAAACAACGGTCTACCCTTTCTACCCGGCGCTGGTGACACTCGAGCAATTCAATTCTTCGCTCTTCGCATTCCTTGACCGGCGAGCAGAGCTCCAACAAAGCAATGAAACATCAAAGCTCGACGATTCGGATACCTCTTGGCTAGCATTATTATTCGCGGTGTTAGCGTGTGGTGTTCAATTCTCGAATGACCCAATCAAAGAACGGGATCTATTGTCCAAGGTTTTCAGTATGATCCTCAAACTCTCAGTCTATTCACAGAAACACTGGTCGTATAGGCTAACGAATACTGGTATCAGTCTGTTCATCTTTCCAGTGCCTTCGCATTTCAAACTTCTTCAACAATACCGACATGGATCAGATCCAGGCTATGGCATTGATAGGTCATTGTATCCGCAACAATCTTGACACAAATAGTGCTTGGATTCTACTGGGTAAGTACCAGACTCAAGTGACAAGATGTCCCTCGCTTATAGGTTACAGGTTCAACAATGCGCTTGGCACAGAGTATCGGACTCCACGAAGAAACAATCGAACCAGACTCGCCAAATGCAGCTCATCAATTTCAAAGAAAGCGACTCTGGTATATCCCACCTCTAAAATGCCCAATTTATTCATCCAACTGACAAAAGTAGGTGGGTCCTCCTCTGGCAAGACACTTTTCTCTCCTTCACATACGACAGACCCCCAAGTACCATAAAATCAAGCGAAAACCTTCCCTACGACTCCTCAAATGAAGCACCGGGTACCCACTCATTCGCCGACTCAATAATGACATTATGTCAAATCATGCTCGAACGGGCCCAAAAAGACGAAGTCGGATCCATTAGGACCATAATGGGCTACAAGCACCGCATAGAACGCATTCTAGACGAGGACTTCGCCGCACCATATCTCCGCAACAAGGCTCGTTGCCGAACCCTCCAGCAACATCTTGAGCGACTAGCACTCCAAGTTCATTATTCATATGTCATTATGAGGTTGTGCCGATTGGCTCTGGATATACCGGATCCAATTCCGAATGATACTAAGGCATTAAAACAGGAGTGTGCAAGGCGTGCTTCAGATGCGGTTGAAGCTTTCCTGGAGGTGCATCGTCTTTCGTCGATGGTTTGTCGGTCGTGGGCATTTGTGCACAATGCCGTGAGTTGTGCTTTTACGTTGAAGAATCTGGGGCCTGAAGTGTTTCCTTTGGATGCGGAGCTGCTTATTACGCGGTTGGTGGTTGTTTTGGAGAGTGAGGAAAGTTTATCTTCGTGGGTGGATAGTGATACTAATGTGCGTTATTACGGGCCTTATTCGAGGGCTTTGCGGGCTTTGAAGGAATTCGTCAGTTAGAAAATTCAATGGGACTTGCTTGTTTGATACATAGTCGTGTGACTGTGCCACCCCGGCCTATAAACAGCGCTTCTGTACTTGGATGTTTCTCTTTACTTGCGTATCACACATCCCATGGGCAATGATCCTCTGCTTCATATTATATCTATATACTTTCACGGTAGAGAGTCTTACCACCCGATGAGCACTGAGCATTTAGTCACCCAACAGGTGATGTGGCAAGGAAATGCATACTACGCCATGTGAATCAAGGCCCCGAAGCTCACATTGTTGACCTACTCCTGCTTGGAGCGCTGGTGGACGAACATGTCAAATAGTTTTATTGAAATATTCCATTGAATCATAAGCATAGTTATTGATAAAAAAACAATCGGTCTAATTCTATTTTTACTACTATACACTGCAGTCTATACTTAAAAAGAAAACATAACAGAGAAAAAGCCGCGCTATACAGTAGCCGGAGCTCTTCTCTTAGCCCTCACATAAAAGTTCAAAGGCCGAATCAGCTGGAACTCCGGATCATACTCAACAGCCTCCAACCCTTCCCGGAAAAACTCATACCTCGAAACAAGTTCCGATAAAAGGATCTTAACTTCTAATAACGCAAAGTTGAACCCAATACAGCCCCGCGGCCCAGTAGCAAAAGGAACATAGGCGCATCGATGCATATTCTTAGTTTCATCTCCAGCCCAACGATCAGCATCAAAACGGAAGGGATCACGCCAGACCTCCGGGTTTGTATGGATGGCATATAGAGCCGGGACGATAACGCTATCAGGAGGCAGGCGATAACCACCCGGTAAGACGACGTCGGTCTTGGTAGTCCGACCAGGCTGGAAGGAGGCATTGTGTAGACGCTGTGTTTCCTTCACGAAACAATCAAGATATGGCAGATTGTGCGCGAGCTCGGGGGTCCATTCAACGGGTTTCTCGGCATTGGCAATACCCCTCTCACACAATTCTTCGTAAAGGCGATCCTGGGTGCCCTCGTAGTTGACAAGGCAGTAAAGGAGCCAGGACATCAGGGCGGAAGTGGTTGTGAATCCGGCTCCGGTGACGATAAGCATGTTGGCTAGGACCAGACCTTCAGGGAATTTGTTTCCACCTTCGTCGACAGTGTTCAGGAGGTAGTCAACCACACAAGAAGCGTTAACTGCTGCATCGGCCATGGGCATTCCAGCTATTTCGGAGCCCTTGACTCGGTCGATCTGCTCTTGGAGGAGGGTGTAGATAGTGCGCTGAACAGTCTTAAGACGTGCTGGATCACCGAATGGAAGATGGCGGTACCATTCACCTCGAGCCGTAATCTTCTTGTTGAGTGAGAGCAGACTGGCGATATTGGTAACAATCGGATGCAATGGTGAATCAACATCTTTGAAGTGTTCAAAGTCAGTACCTAGAGAAAATTTCCCAATAGTCTGCGATGCCAGCTTCACCATATACTGGTAAGCATTCCAAGATTGATCGCGAGAATCAAGCTCATCGAAGACAGCGAACGACTTGCGAACGCACTCTTGCATTAAAGGCGTATAATGGCGCACAGCCTTGGGACCCATCGCTGGCGGGAGGAACTTGTGTGCCAGTCTCCAATTCTCTGTTTCTGTATCTCCGATGAAGATCGCCGTGTTGTCCTTTACACCCCAGAGTGGGTGGCTCTCGTTGATCTTCTTCGTCATGTATACGGATTCCGACAGCGCCACTGCTGCTACCTCGGGACTGTCGGTGAGGTATATTGTCTTTCCCATGTTGGTCGTCTTGATGACATGGCCATATTTGCGGAATAGACGGTAGTGGTTTCCGAGGTGATCGGGGAATATTTCGTAATAGCTGCCCACTAGTGGCAGACCTTCGGGGCCCTGGGGAGTTTGGACGGCGTTGCCGTCGACGCGGAGGCCGATAGGTGAGTCGAGTGAGGAGGGTGTTTTGGTCAACTCGTCTACCGTGGTGATTTCCTGGCCATCTTTGGAATTGTGGAGGGTCAGACCTGAAAGGAGTTAGCGATGGAATGTTCACACCAATGTTGGAGTCAATCCATACCTAGTGCTTGTACCACATGGAACACCGCTCCCACGGCACGCTTGACATCCTCTAGTTTCCACCTGGAATCAAACTCCACGGACTGTGCAGTTGAAAGCTCATCTCCGATCAGGTAGAAAACGGAAGTGATGTTTTGTGATTGTTCAAGCGGAATAGGCATGATGGCTGGTTGAGTCCTGATTCTACACCTGGGCAGATCTTTGGCTGTTGGGCATGCTGCACTTAAGTATCTACAGCATACCAATTATCAGCTCGCCATTTCCTGGATTATGCAAAGTCTTTCCAATTATCCAGAAGCAGTGGAGTAATTATCGAACCCACTTTGGCAATGAGACGAGTAATGTACTTTGTTTCCGAGCCTCGGACGAACTTCGCACGAGAACCGGCAAGTGGGTCTCTTGACAATGCGCCGATTGCAACAAAGCCGGTTGGCTCTTTTGCTTGATTCTCTTCTGCCACTCGGTAATCAGCGGACCTCCAGCGGGATAATTTGTGCCAAGGTGGGTTTTGGCTGCCGAATGGGTCCGAAATGGTCGAATTCAGACCTGTGTATTCTAATACATTGTTTCTATATATACCCATCACTTGCCAGAATGTGAGAAAAATCGAATCCCATCAAAGTTCACCATGTATACCCTTGAGGAAGTGCAGAAGCATAACAAAGCAGACGATCTCTGGATCATTCTGCATAACAAAGTCTATGATGTTACAAAGTACATCGAAGATCATCCTGGTGGCAGCGCCATTCTGATTGAAGTTGCCGGTACCGATGCTACTGAGGCCTTTGAGGAGACTGGTCATTCAGACGAGGCGCGGGACGAGCTGGCCAGATACCATGTTGGAGATTTGCCTTCGGAAGTAAGTCATGACTTGAAATTTGGAGAAGCTTAATTTCCCTCAAACTAAATTAGCCTAGGAGCATGCCGAAACCGTGGAGGTCTATCGTCCGAACTTTGAGCAGGTTGCTCAATCAGCTGTCGTGACAGTCAAAAAATCCTCATCTAGCCGACTAGGTGCTTTGGTTCGCGCCGTGATCAAGCTCAGTCTCACTGGCGCGTTGGGGACGGTGGCTGTAATTGGTTATCGCCAAGGATGGGGTCCATTACTTCAACCGTTAAAAAAGCTGTCCAGCCACGCTCTGACGGTACTCTCTAACGGCCAAAATGCCAATGGTCAATTCTGGACTGGGTTTGGAATTGCCAGTTTAGGACAACTATCCCTTACAGTGGGATTGACAATGTGGATTTCCACCAAGCTCGATGTCCAGCAAGAATTCACCCACTACTCTCCACGCCGCACATCCAGAATGGATCATATCATCCTCAGCAAACGACTCCCCTTATCGACTAAGAGGGCAGCGCTCGCAAAAAAGCAAAGCTTGCCACCCCTTGAGCCACGTACTTGGAAGAACTTCCCTCTCATCCGCAAAGATACCGTCTCGCCCAATGTCTACCGCTTCGTCTTCGGTCTTCCCCACGAAAACGATATTCTAGGCCTCCCGACCGGTCAACACATTGCGCTTCGGGCCAACATCAACGGTGAAAACGTTTCCCGCTCCTATACACCGGTCTCAAACAACACAGACCTAGGCCGCATCGAGCTCCTGGTGAAAGTCTACCCACAAGGCAAAATGACCAAGCACCTGGAGAGCATGAAGATCGGCGACATGATTGAGATCCGGGGTCCTAAGGGTGCAATGCAGTACACGACCTCGTATGCGAAACACATTGGCATGATCGCAGGTGGTACCGGGATCACACCTATGTACCAGCTCATCCGGGCAATCTGTGACGATGAAACGGACTCCACGCAAATCAGTCTGCTGTATGCGAACAACACAGAGGAAGACATCCTGTTGCGACAGGAGCTCGACGCCTTTGCGAAGAATTATCCGAACAAATTTCAGGTACAGTATGTTCTTTCACAGGCCGCGGAGGGATGGAAGGGACATCGGGGATTCGTTTCTCAGGATTTGATTCAGAAGTATCTTGCGCCGGCAGATCAAAGCAATAAGATGTTGCTTTGTGGGCCACCGCCTATGATCAACGCTATGAAAAAGGTCCTCGTTGGGCTTGGGTGGAAGGAACCGGGTGTTTTGTCTAAGGCTACTGATCAAGTGTTTTTGTTTTAGAATGCTGTTGATAGATTGTATGAATATTTTGAGCTAGGAAAATATAGAAATAGACCTGCAGTTCCACACTTTCAAAAATTTAGAAGTCACGCATGCTTTATTCTTGTGACCTGTTCAGACTTGACGTAGCCCCACAGTTTCATGGATATGCATACCTTCAAGATCCGCCTCAGCAGGCCCGAAACAGAATACTGATTTCCTTAAAACGAATCAAAAGGTAGTGAGAAAGAAGACTTTGAAAAAAGAAAGGAGTAATAAGTGCAAAACAACAAAAAACAAAAATTCAAGATCCAGGCGCAAGCCTAGAATCACTGTAGAGAGCAAGATATTATGACCTCCCTTGGGTGTATTCCTTCTGTCTTTTTTTTTTTTTTTTTTTTTTTTTCTCATCGGGAGCGCCTCCTAAGGTTCTCGCGCTTCCTATACACTTAAGAATTTCTTACAATTATGATCAGTCATAGCACAAAATTTCCTAACCAGGGTAATCAGGTATTCGATTTTATCGGCAAAGGTCCTGCATAAGAAAATCGCCTCACAACAATGAATTTCTCATATCAAGCCCGTGCCGATCTTAAGGTTAAAGGCTCCACATCGGCCACCCGAGCTTCATCGGATCCACCAGTCGCCGTTGCCCGTCCGAACAGAGTCCGAACCGTCTCCGTACCGAGTCCGAGATAGGGACCGAAGCTGTACAACGCGACGGCTGTGGGACCTCATCATTCATCTGCATTCCATTGCCTTGGAAAGCTTGATTTATGCGTGGCTTGATACAGTAAGACCCGGTTATGACGGATCAATTTATACAGGCATCTTTACTCATTATGAATTATGCCCACTTTTTTCCCGGTGGGACTACTCATCCCTGAGAAAGCTCATTGATTTCATTTTGTTGGAGAATGTTTCATTGCAGAAGGGTATGCATATGCCACATATGCTTTAAGCAATGGCGAGACTGCAGTATTTTTAAATATAAGCTTAATGTATAACTTTACGATGTGTGGGTGTCCCAGAACGTTGACAGACGTGTGATGAATATGGCGAGACCTTCTGGGGCGGAGCCTACCCGTTATTTCCGAATAATTCGATATGTAGCCATCTTCGTCATAACAGGTTTTCTTTGTCCGTTTTTAAAGTTTGTCGATCCCTCATTCGGGAAAATTAATGCACAAAGTCTGATTAAGTCTTATTCTCGATGCCGGCTTCCCGATGGTGGAGCACAATGTTTCTCACTCATGGGCCTTTTCCACGGTACACTGGATAAAGAGCAGTTTGTCTGGGATAGTATATAAGACTGCATCGTTTCGTCTCGGTGTACCTGTTGGCTATTTGACTATCCACACAACATACTCCCTTCGTCAACTCTACATACCTCACGAACCCGAGCAAGATGATCAATGCCAGAACCGACCGACCCGTCACCATCTTAGGTGCCGGAGTCCTTGGCCGTCGCATTGGATGCATCTTTGTCGCAGCTGGCTACAATGTTCATATTCGTGATCCGTCAACAGAAGCCCTCAACGCCGCAATGGAATACATCGACGCACACAAGGAGGAATATTCACTCCTGCCTCGTGTTAACAATGAGAAGAAAGAAGCCAGACATGCCGGTCAGGTGGGAAACAAAAGTTCTTTCGGTACCTGCAAGACATTCGCTGATATTGGGCCTGCCGTCTCCAATGCGTGGCTCGTGATCGAAGCTGTTCCCGAGAAGCTCGATTTGAAGATTGAGACGCTCGCTGAAGTTGATGCTAAGTCACCTGCGGATTGTATCATCGGGTCGAATAGCTCGTCATTCAAGTCCAGCTTGATGGTGGCTAAAGTTTCTCCTTCTCGTCAACATCGGGTCCTCAATATTCACTTTACTATGCCTCCTGATATTTTGACTGTGGAGTTGATGACCTGTGGCCAAACGGACTGGGAGGTCCTCACTTATCTGAAGGATGTGCTGGGAGAGTGTGGGACGTTGCCCGTGATAGCTCGACGGGAATCGACTGGGTATGTTATTTCCAGAGTTTTGTCTTTCCTTACTTCGAACCCTAGACTGACAAAATTACTCGCAAAGCTTCATCTTCAATCGCCTCTGGGCTGCGGTCAAGCGCGAAATTCTCCACATCCTCTCTGACGGCGTCAGTGATCCAGCCGAAATTGACCTTCTATGGGAAAGCATGTTCAAGAACGGGCCCTTGCCTTGTCAACTTATGGACCGGGTTGGATTGGATACCGTTGCTTTCATTGAGGAAAACTATATCAAGGAACGTGGGCTGGAACGTGAGCCTACGGTGGATTGGTTGAAGAGAGAATATCTCGATCAAGGGCGTCTCGGCAACAAGAGCGATAAGGGTGGATTATATCCACCGACAACATCCGCAGAGACCACTCGGTCTCCTGAGAAGGATATCTATCTTCTTGACGTTGGGCTTGGTGCCAATGCACCCGATGTGTCAAACGTAAACACAAATGGCAAGATCCTCCGCTTCAACCAAACCACGCGAAAACTCACGCCTATCATTACTGGAGAAAATTTGCCTGATGGAATAGATGTTTCTGAGTCTACTCAACGGATCTTCTGGACGAACATGGGCCACAGCCTAGCTTCCCGCGACGGATCAGTCTGGTCTGCGAACCTGGGCGGCAGTGACAAGAAGTGCCTGGTACCAGTCGGAAACGTGCACACGCCAAAGCAGCTTGTAGCCTGTGAGGCCCGCAAACAAGTGTATTTCTGCGACCGGGAAGGCCAAGGCGTTCATCGTTGCGACTACGATGGAAAGAACCATGAGATCCTCGTCCAGCGACGTGAGGTGCCCGGCACCTCAAAAGCAGACAGAATGTTACTATGGTGTGTCGGAATTGCTGTCGATGCTGAACGTGGTTTGATTTACTGGACTCAGAAGGGGGATAGCAAGGCATCCCGGGGCCGCATCTTCTGTGCGAGTCTCGATATTCCGGCTGGCGAGACAGCAGAGAACAGAACAGACATCAGGTGTATCATGGAGGGTCTTCCTGAGCCAATTGATATTGAACTCGACAATGTGACTCAAACACTCTACTGGACAGATCGTGGTGAGCACCCGACTGGATGCGCGGTTTATCGTGCTTATGTTGGTGGCGAAAGTGCGGTTATCCAGAAAGAGATCTTGGCGCGTCACTTCCACGAGCCCATTGGACTTAAGTTGAACAAGGAGAAGAACGTTGTTTATGTCACAGATCTTGGAGGAAGTTTGTACTCCATCCCATTGGAAGGTGGGCTGAAGACGGAGTTGTTGCGCAATGATGGATGCTACACGGGGATTACTTTGATTTAAACCGAACATGTACTTTACATAAATATAGAAATTAGATTGCATCAATATTGATAGAACGATCGACTGCGATATAAGCCTTGGAAGTCTGTCGACACCCAACAACTTTGACCAAGCATCAGTGGATTGTGAGAGTTTAGTCAACCTTGGATGACAAGAATTGTTGAAGATTCTAATAAGATGAGGTGATTATTTAGGTCAAATACAGAGACCTTAGCATTTCCCCTTGACCAACAGAACCGATACATCGTGGCTATTCAGAGAAACACTGTGCTTCTTGTGAACACATCCTAAGTTCTTACCAGACCAAGCATCAGTTACCCGGTACGAGTCATGACCTTTCAACTCAGGAATCTCATTCCAAACCGCAGTGCGAGTAGCAGTCGAGTCCTCACTATTGAGCATGAGAACCAACGTTCCCTTCATGGTCGACGAAGGACCAGACCAATACTCAGCAGGGTGCTCTGGATCAAAGGTCCAGTCAGGGTTGTACCCCCACTTGTAGGGATGAGCAGAACGACCGTAGACAGGATCTTGGTGGAAGTTGAGCAAGTATTTGTTTTTGATGGTGGCGAGATTATCAGCACTCAGTTCGTTGAGCTAGATGATAATTTAGTATAAATGGCAGTCCTGGGGATATAAGTTATGAGGAGCATACCGTCGTGCCGATAATCAAAGGAGACTTCATGATTGCCCACAGAGCAAAATGAGCTCGGTTTTCTTCCACCGTGAGATCACCATTTCCAACCTCCAACATATCCGGATCTGGATGACCCCAGAAATCAACGTAGTTCATTAAGAAGCTGTTCTCATTGGCTATTTGAGCGATACGAGACCACTTGGCTAGAGAAATGGTTAGTTTTCAATAGATATGAGAGAATCTTCCAATGCAGGTACTCGGATACATTGACAAAGACAAGATTTTCTTACCAGTAATGTCTCCCGACATACGCCATGAGTTTCCAGTCTTCATTCCCCAGGTGTTTACTGCGGCATTACCCCAGTCACACAGGGAGTACAAGATCGTCCGACTCTGCTCGAGCAGGGCATCACGCATCCGATCATATCGTATGGACGTGTTAGACTTGGACCAGTCATATTCAGGAGGTGCTGGATCTGTGAGATCCGGACAAGTACCGTTGGGATTAGTCCCAATGTCACCGTCGGGAACGCATGCAGTATACTCGTCGTCCCAGTTGCTTGGAACGCCGCAGTTGTCATATTTCAAGTCTATTTCGTTAAAATCAGAACTATCTCAAATGTAGTCATTGCAACATACAGTCAATTCCCCAGTCTGAAAAGGCCTCTGCATCGACCTTCTCGTAGCCTAGACTGGCAGGATATCCCGCGCAGGTGGTCTCACCCGCACCTATGCACACGGTTAGCCTGTTCTAGAAGTGAGCGCTGCAAGAGGAAAACGTACTGCTGTAAATACCGATCTTCAACCCCATAGCGTGGACTTGGGAGGCAACACCGGAGATACCGTCGGGGAATGTCGTGGGATTCGGAATAATTCGCTGGGTTGTGGTATTGCGCTCTCCCACGACGGACCAGCAATCGTCAACTAATTAGAGTCACTTAGTCACAAGCTCACATTCAGTCTTTCTTAGAAGACTCACTGTTCACATATTCGTATCCAAGATCTTTAAGCCCTAATGAGACAATGTCATTTGCTGCGGTGAGGATGGCACTAGCATTGACATTGCAGCCAAAGGCATTCCAGGAATTCCAGCCTAAAGCAGGTAATCTCCCCTAGTGGTGATTATATCAGCATCGGCATGATTTGAAGAGTGAAAAGAGTAAATTGAACATACCACGCCATCTTTCCTTACAAGAGCATTTGTAGGAAGAACGGCTGCCAGCACAGCCAAAGTCAGTGTTGTCAACATAGTTGTGAAGAATGGAGCGGTTGTACCTAGAAGGCTTGTTGATGCATAATCAAAGCAATATATACAATATCGAAGTGCGGGGAATGTTTCACTGAATTCGCAACTTGGAGCAAACATGCATTAGTGACGAATAGGTACAAGATGCCGATCCCTGGGGTGGCGTTGCTGGACCCTTGGCATAGGCGGGTAATAAGGAGAATGTCCAATTTGGGACCGGAGTGCAACTACGCGGCGAATTTGAAAACATGACCAAGTGGCTGGAAAGCTTGACAAATGCACCTGTCCTGTACAAGTCATATAGAAGCCGATGTTTCCCCGCAATTTACCCGATCGTGAGTCAGTGCATGGAAACCTGGAGTGGAGAGAGATCGGCAGGGAAAGAGTGCTCAAGTGCTACAGTAGCAACGAAACAGGCGGTAAGCTTCAAAGGTCCCCGAGCGCACAGACATATGGGCTTACTAGCAGCCCTGAGATCATTTTCATCTATTTGTGCAAAGTTTTAGATCTTCATCTTGTGGCTTAATGGACCTAGATCATGGAAGCAGGCAGATATATGGAAGTATGCTTTGACATTAATGTAGACTAAAAGATACAAGATTTAGTGAGGAGAAATAATAAACAATGAATGCTATGAGCCACCTAGGCACACTTTGAGTCTCTAAAATGACCTACACCATTCAAAATACATTGACATCCGAACCACATGTGTTGAACCAAAGGGTTTTCAGACATGCAGAGTAGGCAGACGATAGACTGATGAGTTAAACAGTATTAATTCAGTGACCCATCTCCTTAATTTTTATTTTGTTTGGAAATTCCTGCTATCAGCACTAGGTCAAAAGGTATTGTGATTTACCAGGATCTAGACTCGAGACTAGGACGACTATCGGAACATGTGTGATGCTAACGCTTTAGTGCAGACGGCGCGTGGCTAGGGTCAAGTAGCCGCCCAGGTGGAAAACTGTCCGGAATGCTTGCTCAGCTTGATCCTGAGAGGTGCCAAGAAAAACAATACCTTATGGATTTCTGACAAACAATGCCTCAAACGAGCTCATTGCTCAGCAGAAAGCCCTCCAGTCCAATGTCAAACGGTCCACCACTGGTTCACTCAGCATGCTTCTTCTAAATGCCGCTGGAGGAGGCGACACGTTTGCTATTGAGGCCAACCACAAGGTCTGTCACACTGGAAACCACTCCCCGTGGCACTACGCTGTGATATATTTCATTACCGATGTGTACATCACATTTTGGAAGAGCGATGCATTCAATGGCCACAAGGGTAGCTTTAACCCAGTCTGTGATCACTATGATGATCCTTCAGAAGTGTGTGTCTTCAACTTCAAGCCAAGGTCATTGCGACACCCGGCATATCCGGGGCGGGTCAGTTGGCGCGATAAGTATTGAGCGACCAGAATATGGGTGTTAGGCCAAATGAGCTCATTCTCCTCTACTGTACTTCATCCCGAACAACCCCTATGCCATATTAAAATGGGAAGGAAGCATCATGTGCCAGTTAAGTTTATTACTGTAATTCCGTGGGAAAGACCGTTCTAGAGGCACTGATGATGTTATTGAACTGGGCAGCTTGCTTCTGACCAAACCCAACCAGTCCTTCGTCAATGCCGTACCCAGGAGCGACAGAGCGCTACGCGTTTGATGCGCAAAGAAAGTTTTTAGGATACACCAGTAGCTTAGGTTTCATAATGAGCAAATTCTCTGCTGAAGGGATTTCTTCGAGTAGTGCAGGGAGGGTGGGGAGGAAAGAAAATAAGTCCATTTCAATTTGAAATAGAATATGGGTTTTCATTGAAAGGAAACTTCTCTGCAGTAAGTGTAAAATGATAGCTATGTTGCAGAGTCATCGAAGTGCTGGACTAGGTATCGAGGTTGATACGCATATAGAAAAGCGGGAATACTTCAAGTTTTGGTACCCTGGCAAGAAGCAAAACAACCTGTGACTGAATATGCACACGTGCAATGTGTATGAGAAGCGTGAATCTTGTATCTAGGCAGAACATATTGTACTTTTTGTTATTGAGTTGCTACACAGGTGTCTATGCATGTCTTTGCCAACAGCAAATCCTGGAATACACACAGAGCAGCGAGAAACCTAGTATACGCCTGCGCCCATGAATCTAGGTAGCCTCTTTCCACCATTAGGTTGCCACAGTATAATTCCAACCGCGCATAGGACCAGTGCAGTACGCATTTCCTGGGACGAGAAGTCCCGTACAGTTTGCAGACTGCAGGGAAGGATTAACCTGCAAGAACAAATTGCTTGTGATCTTGTCTTGGACACAAATCTGTGTACAAGAATCCCCAGCAGTGGCTGTATGCCATTTCCCACAATGCTCGGTGGTTCCGGCTGCAACAGTGGCATTATCTGGAGGGAGAACCACCCATGAGCCAATAGCCAGAGCTTTCCGTGCCCCAAGGATTGTAGGACGTAGACACTGGATCTGTCGCGTTGAAAAGCCCAGACTGAGGGGTTAGACACAAGACTTTTCCATAGGCCCAAGAAGTACTTTGAAGATTGGAACAGTATGTATCAATCCAGGGATTGACTTGGCGAAGAGGAATGATTCTCTTTGTGCTATTGTCGAACATGATTTCTGCGTTGGCCTCTTCAATACTACGACATGTGTCGTTCGATTTGAGGACATATGTGTGATCGCATGATAGGGGCAGACACAATTCTTGCCCAACAACGACCTGATTGCAATCGCGTATCTGATCCTGATTACCCATGTACAAGGCTGCAGACGCAACAGAGTAGTCCAGGGCAATAGATGTGCAGGTATCGCCATCCTTGGTTGTATAACATTGCACAACTACTGAATCAGGATTATTCGACATGGGCCAGCGGTCACACCACAGCAACTGGAACTCCAATTATTCGGATATTTGACAGTCTCGACTCAAAGATTAACCCCGCTCGATTAGTTAATACTGAAACTCACTTGAACTCGATGAAAGGAAGAGTATGTTACTATGATAAGCCTTCTCTTTGCAATTTTAATGCAGTAAAGAAAAAATCGCTAAATGGTTGATTATAGCTGTTCGCGGGGAAGCAGCCGCTTGGTGATGATACTTGGAGGAATCTAAACGTGGCAGATGAGAGAGCTGGACGGGCTGGGATCAATGAAATACGAATGGTACGCGAAGTCTCCTTCAATCATTTATTTATGTGCTAACTTCATTCGTTAAATTCAGGTTATATCTGTGTTCGAGTACTTGAACCAGCAGCTTGTTAACCGTCACCTTGTTGACACATATGGCGCGGCTAATTACGAATTGCGTGTGTTCCAAAAAGCAGTCAACAGTGTGTTCGAGCAAAGAGACTTCAGTGCGCCTAATCTGTTCAGAACTTTCATGACAAATTTCATGTCACGAATGGCTCAGTGGGCCTCCAATTGGCTTAATTCGCGTATTGATGAGCTACTTGTCACATGGCGAGCGGTGCAAAATGCAGCTACCCCGGGATCGCACGCATATCAGGTCGCAACAAACTACACGGGTGATCTGATGGAGCTCAGAGAGTTGGTTCGACTAAGAGTGATTTTTGACGAATCAATCTTCGTTTATATGCAGGCACCAGGTAGCTAGTTGCTTCAAGTTAGCTTTTAGCTGACAAAAAGGAGGGAAGTGGAGTATTTTCCAATGATATGACTAGTCTCCCCAATCCCACCTTGGCTGTTTGTCTTCATATCTGCAGATACTAGGAATTCAGTGTTTTGCCTCTGTCTTCCGGCTCATTAATACCCCATCGGCTCTTTCAAGGCTGGACTCGGGACCGTTCTCTAAACAGTAGCACCGATGATATAAAAGAGACCATCCCAAAGTATTTTCGACTGCTACTGACGGAGAAATCATTGATAATTCTAAGCTTCCAAGGTTGAACCTCTGAGATAAACTGCAGATACTATGTCGTAGTGTGAACTGCGGATATAATACGTCCCGTGCGGGTTGTGTAAAGATTCATGTAAATTACCCTCCTGTGTATTTTTCGGAAACCTTGGCGTTTCCGCAAAAACGCCCGTGGACCCTGTGAGACCTGCGTTTGTCGCGTATTCCAAGGTTGTACTAGGGCCAATAGCTTGAAAACCATGCATGGGTATAAAGACCGGTCGCATCCGCATATATTCCACGCTTTGGTTTCATAGGATCAACCTCGGAAATCCAGCCGTGGACGTGTACAACAACCTTGGAGACGTTGGCAAAGCTATCCCTTTCTGCCCACCATGGCCAAAACACTAGAAGAGTTTGCTCAATTAGAGCCTCTCTGGGACAAAGCAATCCAGCATCCAGCGGATATTTCGCCTGATGAAAAACACCAGCTGATGCAATGGCCGCCTTTAGAAGAGATGCAGGCCAACTCAACCAAATACTTGGGTATGTCACTTGAAAACTTGCTTCAAAAGGCAGCTACGGACCGTCAATCCCTCACATACGCGGAATGTCGTCTGATTCGCGATCATTTCCGCATTACGCCAACTCTTGACAAGGGTGATCGATTCGCGTGGCCGCAGATGCGACCTGATCTTTACGATAAGCTGAAACAGGCACAAGAAGCAGTTCTTCCACCAATAGAGCTTCAGGCCGTTCAAGCTGTGAATGAGGTATTTTCTCAGAAACAGTATGATGACTTGGAGGCAAGGCATGAAAAGCGAAAACAAGAACCATTCCCAGATCTGCAAGACTGGGTGCGAAGGATTGTCGTTCGAGAAGATGATAAGAGCTGGGGCTATGTCTTTTATCATCAGAAAGGAATGGCCAGACTGGATGAGTTTAAGGCGCTATTTACCGAGGTCCTTGAGATGTCTTTCTCTTTTAAGGGATATGAAGAGATACACGATCACAAATTCGCTCAATTTGTCCCATTCGAGGCCGATGAGAGTGACATCGGCCATTTACAGCAGTGAGTTTCCCTACATAATATTAAAGACATTGCTAACAATCAGCCAGAGACTTTCGTGATCGCCGCGAGAGGGGTGACTTAAAGCCCGGTGTTCTCAAAAATGTGTTCTTCTTGTTGACAGACGAGGCTCATTCAGCTTGTGGCACATATGGCCCAGATATGTACTATGGATGGATATGGGCAATTGATCCGGACTGGCCTCTGTCGGGGCCAGATGAGGATGGCTATGATGGCCGCCTCAAAATCAGCATCACCCAGATCTTTTACCGTTTCTACGAATTCATGTCTGATGGTTTCTCACTCAAAGAAATTTGGCAGGATTTCCATTACGTCAATGCTAACAAATTGTACCCAAGCTCTTGGCGGGAGCCAACTTCCTGGGCCATTACCCGACTTGAGAAATCCAAATGGCCATACAATTGATTTGATGCATGTGTGTCCTTGATGATTGTTATGTACATAGTACTAGATAGTGAGTATCATATAAACATTGAAAATGTGTGATCATCCGTACAAAATGTATTCTTCCTTCCGCCCATCTTTTCAGAGAAAAAGGCGCGTGGGGTGATATCCCATGTTGAAGGCCTGAGGCACCAAGGCCTCCCATATCGCAACCCTTTCTGACTGGAGTGCGCAACAGTGGCAGATCGAATTGGCTGTTATTCGGCGGTGTCGAAATGTATGGTGGGGAAGTCGGGCAATAAGCCATCGGTGAAGAAAACTTAGTTTGTGTACGATGCCCCAGTTCTAGTAGTGTTTCTTGGGGCAACAAATTTCTATTGATGGTAGGTACAAGTAGCGGGTCCACTTAGGAGAACAGGCCTCCTACATCATTCATTGCAAACTTCTCCATGAGGTGGCTGTGTAGATTAGCGATGGAGTGTCTGCTCTCAGGGTACTTAGTGAAAACACACGACAGCTTGAAAACAATTTGAACAACACCATATATCCAGAGCGCATACCCCAAAACAAGACCAACAGGACCTCGAACAAAACACACTCTCATCATGTTCCAGTGGATCAGGGACTTTTTTGCTGGTAACGCATCTACAAACTGGAGACGCAAACGCGCTAGCAGGGAATACCACAAAAAAGTACGGGCTCGTGAGCGCGAATTGCGACGGACGTACAATAACGAGGATGTCGCGGGCCGATATTTCTACTTCGCTCCAATGGGAAGCGAACAGCAACCGACGAGGGAAGAGATCAGAAAAATTCGCGGAAAGCGCTGAAGAAAAGGGTCGATCGTAACTGTTGTAATTGACTCGGCTATTGGCAACGAATGATGTTGTCTGGTGGTCGCTTCTGGTGTCCATGACACGAAACTCCTCGAGTTCTGTCAAGCTCCCGTAGCCAAATGGCTCTGGAAGCACAGGTCTCCATCAGAAGATCAGCTATAACAAACGGACTGGTCAAAATCATGGCTTGATTTTCAAGGCTCATGGGAACATTTTTGGTAAGCGGTAATTTATGCATTCAACCTGGTTGATTCAAAGTATTGACTATCAATAGAATTACCGGAATTCTCACCAGCTACTCACTGAAAATGCCGAAAACTTGGACACGACTCTTGTTCGCTCTTTAACTCTCAACGCTTGAGACCTCTCATCTTCTGCTGCCAGGGTTCTGACGGACCAAATACCCTTGACCTTTTATAACTCAATGTGCTTTCCAATTTGTGCATAGCACACGAAAAGAGACCGGCGCAAGTTATGCCTAGAGAAAAAGGCGCGAGAGTATAGCAAAATGTGCGGGGCGGATGTCTGCTTGGGCATACGCATTCGAGAGTCAGGGAAAGTTTTCATATATTCCGCGGACACCTCTGCGTTCTGGTCGTTCCTGAGCTCTCAATTAGTAAGTGCAGGTGGAAATGGGAGATAACAAGTTATCTGACTCTTTCAGGGCTCTTACTATCTAACGCTAGTTGAAAGGAATGAAACGAGTTTCTAGACGCAACTCTTTGATGAACCACTTTGAGCGGTTTTGAAGGTCGGGTAAGGGTGGGCCAGCAGCGCAGGTGGAGATCTATGGAGCCCGGTGAAGATCTGGCGGTTGAAGGACAAAAATCTCATACCCTCAAAGATAAAAGGGCATCAATATGGCTTTCACAAGGACTATGATCAACTTTTTCGCACTCAAAAGAGCAAAGAAGCTCAAATCATTTTAGTCGTTTTGATTATTATTTTTTTGCTTTTCACTTATACTGTATCTTACTTGAGTCGCAAGAAATGAAAAGCTGGGCTTGAATTGACCGGATTATTTTTGCTCACATAGATAGGGCTTTCACTTATTGAGCTGTACATATAGAGCAATGCACAATAATAAAAATCTGGGGTTTCCGGATCGTGCAAGTACACACATGAGGATTTCCCACATGTGTAGGTTTACTCAAGTTCATCCATATGTTCCGCATAATTTACCTAGAAAAAAAGAAGGCATTCTCTGGTCACCGTGAAAAGAGTCTGTTTGTCTTCTGCCCCTGTCGAATTTCGCGGTGGTCAAAAAAGCTTATGGTGAGACTATTGATGGACGCTCATGTAGGTGGTTCTTCGGACATACTTGAGCAAAAGCACTGACCAATCATTGGTTTCCTCTACCCGCGCGCGAATGACGATGATGCAGGCCGACTCTTTTTCGCACGCACGCTAACTTCCAGCTCAAGCAATGGCAGGACTCCCAATGAACGCGGCACAATTTTTTAGATGAGCGATTTCTTGCGACAGGCCACATTTTTCCCTATCATAAGACAACTGATATCTCCGGGCGAGCGATTTCCTGCGACAGGCCACGGTTTTCCCAATCCTAAGACAACTGCTTTCTCCGGGCGAGCGATTTCCTACGAAAGGCCACGGTTTTCTATCTCCCAAGACAACTCGTTTCTCCAGACGGACGGGTTCCTGCGATAGGCCACGGTTTCAATGGGCGCGATGAACCCCCGCACCGCAGGATACGTCGTTTCCCGCGACAGGTCATGGTTCTTCTGTTCTTTGCAACTATCGAGATTCCATTCTTGGGCAATTCGAGATCTCAGGATACGGCAGACTGTGGGATTCAGAGAATCGTGGCCCATCTTGAGAAAGTGAGTATCCCAAGACAGCAGGATTGGAAATTGTGTACCAATCATGGCTCATCTCACTATACCGAAGCACTGAGTTGGGCCTATAGTGAATTGCCTCTATTGCCGTAGCCATACTAAGAATGTGGTCGACCTACTTTTTTCCTTGCTTCATGGTGTCTTTCCAAGCTTAAGTGCATACAGTTGTGCTTCGGTGACCAGAGGTCGACCAAACTTACTAGCTCAGGGATGTTAGGCAGTTTAATCCAGACTAGCAAGCTCTGGGCATGACCAGGTATTGGATCCGCCCTCGAAGACACTCCACTGCGGGTTCCAATGGGAAGCTTTTTTTAGGTGGAAGTTCCACCAAAAGCTGAGCCTTAGATCGTGGAGAAAAATTTATGAATGCTGAGATCTGGGGGTAATTGGGTTAGCCGGATAAGGTTGTATCAATCAGTGCTCATCTCAATATACGTCAAGGCCGAGAGTTGACCTTTTCGGTCCGCTTGGAACATCGTCTCACGAAGACTTCGGGCTAAAGTCGCTGTGCGTAGGCCCAGTGTCTTAGACTACATATGTTTAGTATGTGTTCCAACGCTACCGTCCCTTGGTCATTGTTTCATTCACCTCCATCAACCAGAGAGCATGGTCACATTTCCCAAACGACCATTTGACAACAGACACGTATCCAATCGGGACTGGAATCCCCTATAGCCACGTAAGTGACTACTAAAAATTACTTTTGTTATTCATCTGGCTATACGATTCCATGAAAGTGCTTTGCTCGCGTGAACAAAGGCACAAAAAGTAAATAGGTATGTTGAGATGAGTTAAAGAGGAGTGCAGCCGATTTTATTTATGACCCATCAATCAAAAGGTCGAAACAACTACGATAGAATTCTATTCCGGTAGCTCTAAAGATCGCGACAAATAAGGTACGCTTAAATAAAATAGTCACCAACCCAAGCATGACCCCGCCAAATGTGTTCAAACAGAAAAAGAAAAAGAAGATAGAAAAAAAAAATCCGTGCAAGGGCCTCTATGATCGGTAAAAAACAAGAATCTGACGTCCATGTTCGAAGGCCAGGACACCCTCGGCATGCCTACACAAGTGCATCTCGTGCAGGACAGACAAATCTTAAAAATTGCACATTAAAAATTCAGAGGTAATGTGTGTTGTAGAATCGCAGAGCATCTATCTCATATGCAAGACTCTGTATACTGATTCACGAGCTGCATGGGAATGATTGCGATACTCTCTATACCAAACAAGGCAGATTTTAGAACCATAAACTCCAACTATCAAAAAGTTATAATGACAAATTGATTAAGCTCGCAATCATTTTTATCGACGCAGCGGAGGCTTTTTGGAAGCTTTCATGCTGTTCAGTCCCTTGTTCTCTTCCCTTTCTCCACGTTGTGGCTTTTCTGCATGACGGGTTTTCCGAGATGAGCGCTTCACATGCTGAGGTTGGGACTCCGATTCTTGCGCGGGTGCGTTTTCTGTCACCTTTGCCGTGCTCCTCGTCGACCTTCTGATTAGAGTTTCGGCTGAGTTGGGAGAAAGATCTTTAGATGGTGATCCGCCAGAGCAAGAGAGGAGTTCAGTATCTGATGGATTCGGCAAAGCCATCGTTATGGGAAGAGGGGGTGCCTCCAAAAGGCGCGGATCGATATTTTTCAGCTCGAGGTCGATAGACGAGGCGGGAGTCTCGGTCATTTGTCGATTCTCCATCTCGAAAGACACTTCCCTAGATGAAACGTCGCTGCAGCTAGTTGGTGATATCTGTGGGAGATGACACAATTTGAGTTTGATATCATATGAATGTTCAGTAGAAGCATGGGCCAAAAATTTGGTGATATCGCTGAACTGAGGGACGTTGCGACAGCTTTCCCAATTGCAGCTTATTCCGTTGCGCGCATGGGCCGGATGCATGTCAATTAAGTGGCGACGAAGAGAGTCCTGTCGGTGGTGGGGGAATTTATGCGGAGGAGAATTCGATGATGATTGGCGAGATAGACCACAGCAAATGATGCATATATTCGTTGGACATTCCATAGTGTCTTCTTCGAGGCACAGCAATATTTCTGACTGATCGAGCAATTCATATTCATCATCAACATCCCAATTGACTCGATTTCCACGCCTGCTCGGCTCGTTCAACTGCATCAGCGCAACCATGTCCTTGGTAACCTGGATGCGTCGAGCGAGTAGTTTGTCCTCGTCAAAATTCTCTGCATCGGGCCCATAGAAGTTTTCCACCAAGCGAGCCCGTTCGGCAAATACGTAATCAGGAACAGGGAGTTCCCAGCTTTCATTATCAGTGTTTTCATCGTCAGAGACTTCATCGAACTCGCCAAGAAGTTGCTTTATCTGTCTGTCCACTTCTAGTACGGGCGCATTTTGGAAATGGTCTTTCCTAGCTGCCTCTCTCGTGTCAGTTGCTAGCCTCTTTCGGAGTTTAGAGATATCTTTTGTGACATTCTCATGCTTTTGGTAGAGATGCGGGAAGGGCTCTCGGGTATTTTTGATACTACCTGCCAAGGATATCATCTCGGCTCTGAGTTCTCTCTTCTCTCGTCGAAGCTGCAGAATATCCGTATGGTTGACAAATAGCACGTTTATGCGTTTCGGTGAGCTCGGATGGAGCATTAAGATCCCTTTTCCTGAGCATACTCCCGGCAGAGCGTAGTAACCCTTCCTGAGACGGTCGAAGAAGAACAACATCCTGGAGATCGCGTCCAATAAATTGTGATTGGTAATGCTTTTCAAAAACAGCGTCGCCAGACTGACCAAGCACTCTTTGCCGCTCCTGACTGGTGAAATTGCCTAATTCTGCTTATTAGCCTCGGTGGAACTTCTTGTTTCTACGATGTTGTGGTTTTCGTCAATTTAATGCGCGAATAACTTACGATTAACTTCGTTTGCCGTCCAACGGCGAAAATTGTAATGTCCGATGTCGTCTTCAAATCTAGCATCTCGACCCAGTTCTTTTAGAGCCTGCCGACTTGATTCGTAAGTCATCGCTAGAGAGCCATGAAGTTCATAACCATACGGAGTGCGCTCAAAGCGTCGCAAGAGAGGTGTATTGGGGACTTCGGGCTTCCAACGGAGGGGAAGGGAGGATTGATGTTTGGGATCTCGCAGCCGCCAAATAAGCTCAGGTGTGAGATCAGAATTGACAAACGCTCCATCGCGGAAAGCAAACGAGACTATTTGAGCAATAGGGCAATATACTAGTTGGTAATCACCATGCATGAAAAATCTGGTTCTAGTGTGACCATCAGCATTTCATTTGTAGCACATGAATATGTGGAAGAGGGGTTCTCCTACCCATCAGCACCCTCCGGTCGACCTTTTAGATTACGAAACTCTATGATGGCACAGAGAACATCACGTTTGCTCTGACGGTGTTTCAGGTAGAAAAGTTCAATATCGCGATAGCAGACAGATTCGGGAAGGTCTTTCATAGATATGTACTTCGGAAGATCACTTTGGAAGGCATGAGCTCGTTTGCGCTTGCCCAGAGACGACGGATCACCAGGCAGAGAAATATTCTGTGACAGCAAGACGCCGGGGCGAGTCCCGGTAATAGCAGACCATAGCTGTACTGTAGCAAATTGGACGACCATACTTCCATGTCGAAAGAACCGCGAATGGACCCAGTGATGCCGGTAGATCACACAGAAGACATCTACATCCAGAGTGTTCTTGTCCTTGGTTCGTCGGGGGATTTTGCGCTCGGCCGGGAAAGGCCCCTCGAGATACTATGTCGCGATTAGCTTGGCCTTCCTTAGCACAAGAGGAATGCTCGTACCCGTCTCATCTGTTTATGGGCGTTATCGCCGACGCGGCGACGGGAAAACAGCTCGAAGTACTGACAAAGGCGGCGCCAGTACTCATCCTAAGTCTGGAGTCCCCTCTTTCGTGATGTTCTGAATATCCAGTCGAAAAAATTCATATAGATCGCTTGGTCCTCTCGAAGAAGGTAGTCCACGTAGTCTTCATTCGACTGAATGCAAAACCTATTATTCTCAGAGGTTATTCGCTACCCACAACGCCTTATCTGGAGAATATCCGCACTCACTTTCGCCAGTAGCGCTCTACGACGGCGATATCTTTCAAGGTGTTGGGTTTGAAATTTGGAGGTAGCCATCCGGCGCTGCGGGATTGTTCGAGCCTGGCTCGAGTCTCCTCGCAAAGGATGGGATCGGTCCAGTACTCGTGCTCCTCACTCTGAGCCGATCGAACGAGGGGACTTGCCATTTCGGAAATCCAAGGTAAGTGAGCAGGGGTCGAATCTGGAGACACACGCAGCAAGGTTGGCTAGGCCGGCTTGGAGGTGAGGGGTAGGAGACGAGAAGAGAACTGGAGAATTGTGAGGAGATCGAGGGAGGGGAGATAAGGAGCATCTTATAAGCGCCCCGCCGGGCAGGGCAACGAGGGAGGGCACCTGGATGGCACTGCGGAGGGGAGCTATTTTCGGCGTCGTTTTGGGCGCTGTTGGAAGCTAAGGGAATCGAGCGCTAAACACAGGGGCCGGGTTGGTGATGATTAACGGTGCTATGGCCGAGAGCAAGAAATTGTATGCCTACTACCAGGCCTGCTCGGAGGGTGGTCGCGAAGGATGGAGTCAGATCCAGCGTTATGATGACTGGGATGGTGCCGTTGTCGGTGCTCCCGCTTTCCGATACGCGTTCCAACAAGTCCAGCATCTCTGGTTTGATATGGCTATGAAGAACTTGGATTACTACCCGCCACCCTGTGAGCTGACCAAGATCCTCAACCTGTCCATTGCTGCCTGTGACCCACTGGACGGAATCACCGACGGCGTCGTTTCTCGCACGGATCTTTGCAAGATTCACTATGATCTTGACAAGGCTGTTGGAGAGGAGTATTACTGTGCCGCTACAGCTAGCTCTGGCGGCTATGGGAAGAGACAGGCATCTTCAACACCCGCTCAGAGTGGCAAGGTTACTGCCGAAGGCGTGGCACTGGCCAAGGCTATTATCGGCGGTATGAAGGATAGCAATGGCAAACAAGTCTATCTTTCTTACCAGCCGTCGGCAACCTGGTCTGACGCCGCAACTGCCTACAACTCCACGACCGATTCTTGGGAGCTGAGTGTTAGCGGAATTGGTGCAGACTGGATTGACCGTTATCTGGACTTGATCGACAGCGAGTCATTGTCACTCGATGGAGTCACCGAAGATACGCTGAAAAGCTGGATCTACGAAGGATGGCAGAGGTACGATAGTGTTTTGCAGACCACCTGACCTGATCTTTCAACCTACCATGGTGCAGGAGGTAAAATTCTCCACGTCCATGGAGAGTCCGACTTCAGTGTTCCGGCCGCATCATCCGTGCGCTACTGGGAATCTGTCCGTAGTGTCATGTATCCACATTTATCCTACACTGCCAGTGCTGCCAAGCTCAACGAGTGGTACCGGCTGTACCTGATTCCCGGTGCTGGTCACTGCTCGCCGAGTACTGATCAGACGAACGGTCCTTTCCCACAGACTACCCTGCAAGTGCTCATCAACTGGGTTGAGAAGGGAGTGACCCCGTCTACTCTTCCTGCTACTGTCTTGCAGGGCTCTGAGGAGGGGAAGAGCTGGGAGCTTTGCGCTTGGCCTCTTCGTCCTTTGTGGACTAATAAGGGCGCCAAGTTCGAATGTGTATATGATCAGACTTCGATTGATACTTGGCACTGGGATTTGAATGCTTGGAGCCTTCCTGTGTACTAAAGAAATATGTGTGCTTAAATACAGAATAATCTTCCCGAGGAGGCCTCTGGGTAGTTTTAGTCTTGGTACAGTACCAGCAATGACCTCGATGCTTCCTAAAGATGGATTGACTTCTAGTTGTTTCCAACACTCCCCTTCTAGATTTTACGAGATATATGTTCCAAAATCAATTCGATCTCGGAGAATCAATTTTCTACATCCAGCGGCCTCGAAGCATAACAGATCAGCCTCCATCAAGTTCCTTGATCCAGATCTGTTTAGCCTTGCGGGCAGATACGGCGTACAAGCGGTCGAGGGTTGTTGTCGAGCACATTCAAGCAGCCGCATTGAGGACCCGCTTAGATATGCAGAAGCCAATCATCGTTGCCGTATTTAAAGTATAAAGCCGAGTGGGCCAAACTCCACTATGGCAAGAAATGCACTAAGATTTAGTTCAAGGCTTAGACAGTCATAACTCGGGTGTTTCAATGACCAAATCTGCTAGAATCCCGTGTCGGCATTCAGCTCACAACGCCAGAGACCGCACGAGACGAACATGCTAAAGATTTAGATTTACAAAATTGGTTTCTTCGACACCAGGTACAGCCGCAATCGTCATGATACATTGTCTATCGTGAAATCGTTACTCATACACATACAGTAGAAACCTCTTATAGGATTTATACCACGCAATGCCTGTGCTCAACTCTTTATGTATGATTATTTTTTGCCTGTGCCCAAGATCAAGGCGCGAGCTTGACGAGCATCTGTGCCGAGGACAGTGATGAGATATTCAATGCTAGCTTCAGAAGCAAGCCTCCGTTTCTCATCCTGAAATTCCTGCTGACACGTCTCCCAAACCGCGGCCCGTTCGTGAGACAGCACCGTCTTCACACGAACCTTGAAGCTCGCACAGACGGGTCGGTGATCAGAGGCTCGGACCTCGAGGCGACGGTAGTCGAGCTGTTTGACGCGGCCGGAGCCGCGGTAGAGAACGCGATCGCACCAGGCGGGAGAGCGTTTCTTCTCACTTGAGTCGTATTCATCGGAGCCGACGTCGTATTTATAGGTTGGTGCAAATGTGATGGGTGATTCGATGAAGCTGCGGAGTCGGAAGCCCGGGTTTTTTCGTCGGGAAGCTAGGAGCTGGTCGCGCTCGAGAAGCTTGGTGAGGTTATTTTGGCGGATGGCATTGATGATGACATGGCGGGGGATGGAATCGATTCGGTAGTTTAGATCTCCATTTAGGATGCAAACTTCGTGATCCATGATCATGGAACCGTCACCACCGCTTGCGTACTGATCGCATCGCGCTGTGGGACTGCTCTCCACAGGTAAGCATTCAGCTTCAAGAATGGCTGCGATATCGTTGTTACGGTGCGCGGTCTGCGTTTGACCGGCGGCAAGATGGCAGTTAACAAAGCACATGGAGCTATCGTCTAGGACGAAACGACAGATGAGAGCGCCCTAGAATAATTGGTTAGACACCTTGCACCTTTCGAACAGAAATTCACTGCACTGACCTTATTACCGTGCATTCCACCCATTCCCCGCTTAATCTCAGATGCGCAAACGCTCTTGATATTGAGTCGCTCCTTGTGCTTGACAAAGATACAGGTAAAGAGTCCAACCATGTTGGAAGTGTGAAGAAGAACATAAGATTCTTCGAGAGGCATGCACTCATGGAGAGTTCGGGTCAAATGATCTACCCAGACTCGATATTGCCGGCTCATGTGCTCCTTCTCACCGTTCTCTTTCTTCTTACTACCAAGCAACAAGCTCTCTGGAGTCAACGTTAGTAAGATAGCAAGAAAAATGGAATCGTTGGTACCCACTAGCTGTAATCTTCTTGTTTTCAAGGTCCACCAATTCTTGAAAGCCAAACACCACGATATCTGGGGGGTCGTCTGGACGAAGCGCATCTTTAATGAATTCGGATGTACGCACGCTGCCAGGAGTAGCAGCACCAGCATTCCATGTAAGAACAACGGTTTTGACTTCCCTGAACGTGCAAAACTCTACATCTCTGTGGTCCATTCGAGCATCTGCTATTGTTAGAACAGAAAGTCCATTCAAGCATTCATCAATGGTGCTTACCTAGCCAATCATCCTCCAGCATGCCATCCCAGAGCCGAATGCAATTGTCAGTACCAAGTGAGGTTACTTGCAAACGATTCATCGTCCAAACACTGCTCGTGTCTAGCACAAACGCAGAAACAGGACTGTCATGGGCCCGCCAGTCCTTCTTCACAGTCCACGGATTGGTCCTAACGTCGTAGACGTACATCATACCCGTTTTATAAGCTGCCCATAAATAGTCACCAACAAAACCAAGACAGTTGATCTTGTATACGCTGACATTAACTACTGCCAAGCAAGAGAAGTCGGTAGCAGAGTAGACAGTTACTTTGCCGTCCGCGTGGCCCAAGTAAACTCGGCCGCCATCCTTAGTGCTATAGGCACCAGAGGTTACGTCACCCGAGTGCTGCTGGCCAATGGGCCGTTTGAAAAGTTTGAATGAACTATCATCTCGGGCGCTCGGTCGATAGATGTGAACATCCTTGCCAGTCGCCAACAAGAGTTTATCATCCACGACTATGGAGAAAGTGTGTCCCCGTGCTACTCGTTCGTGGGGGCTATGATAGCTATAATGCAGGTTTGGCGTGCCAGTTTCATCTGGCATCCATACCAGCAGTCGACCTTCATCGTCTAAAGTCCACATTTCCTTCTTGTGGCGTAGAATCTGGATGACCTCTCGACGAGATGGATAGGCGCGAGTGGCCACGATGCATCGCGATAGGATATCGATTTCATGTAAGTCACCAGCACTGGTACCGACCCAAAAGCGTTGACCTTCCTCCTCAAGCGAGTTTCCTGGCTTGAAAGCGATTGATAGGCACTTCACGGTCTCTCCATGACTTAGACTCATGACTTGCTCACCGGTAGTGAGATCCCAAACACGAGTTATATACCCAGTGGTGCAAACATACTTGCCGCACACGTCAATCAAGCGAGTGTCGTATTTGGTGGGGATATCTATCGGGCCAGTTTTGAGAAGTGGAGGTCGTCGATTTGCTTGCGAGGCATCGGGATAATCAGTCCGTGAGATTGCGGGCTCGTCAGCCATCATTTCTTCTTCTTCGGTATCGGTCCGCACCACTCGACGTTCTGGAAGCGAGGATTCACGAGGCAAAGATGGTTGACGTTGAGGGATACGCGGGGTCTGGGGTTCAGAATTATGATGATAAGAAGGTGCAGCACGAGGAACTGGCGCCACTTGGGCCGGCTTGGCCACAGGTTGTGGAAACCCTCGTGATGGCGAAGGCCCCCTTCGATATGGGTGAGCAGAAGTTGGTCTGGGAGGAAGGCCAGGTCGATCATAGGGTACATCGCTAGCGCGAGCTCTTTGTGCGGACAGAGGTGGAGCCGTTGAGGGGTCAAGGTAGGTAGAAGACGTGGATGGAATTTGAACCATCAATGGCTTTGTGGCTCGACTGGGCTCGGGAACCGGACGAGAGCGGGCGAAGTTCGCTTCCCTTGGATCATATTTGGAATTCAGAGTTTGGCCCTGAAGTCGTCCATCGAACGAGCGGCGAGTATAAGGTTCCGCTGACGGCCTTGCAGGGGAGAGTCGTGGTGCAGGTTTCGTAGCAGAGGACGGCTTAGATGTAATTTTTTCTGGGCTACTCGGAGGAGTATTGAATGGTGATACAAGGTCATCGGAAGATACCTTCTCAGGTTGTGGAGCCAAAGTGTTTGTATCCGGGTGGGAAAACATAGCGGGCTTTGCCGGAATTTTGGGCTTCTCTGCCCGGTTCGCCGGTGGTGGCAGTGAGGCGCTTTTAAGTTTCCGATCCAATGGACTTCCATGTCCATTCACAGTGGATAAACTAGGTGTCAGTCTATGCATTGTCTCTGTCGTCGGAACAGAAGATCCAAGTTTTGTCGGAGTAATCGGTCGACCAGCGGGGGCGGGGGAAACACCCGCAGATAAAGATTCCCTGGAGCGGTGGATATAGCCCCGAGCACTCCTATTATTATCTTGACTAGGCGATCGAATTTCTCTTTGCTGACTGCGTGGTGGCGATTGAGGAGCATGAACAGCCAAAGTAGGCGGGAGTTGCGACGATGACGAATGCTGGAAGTTCATAGAGATGGGCCGGCCATGTTGGCTTTGACTTCCAGGCGATCCACGAGGCCGAAATGGCTGGCCATTGGATTGGTATTGGTCGTTGAGACGACCCAGCCTCTCATCACCAGGCGTGTTCCAGTGCGAGTCTGGCCGGGGTAGGTCCAAGGAAGCGCGGGTTGAAGACCGAGGCTCTTCGCCAGGTTCGGGGGTCCTTAGGAAACGGTTTGAGGATTCATGGGGAAGAGGCCCGACTGTCGATTTTGTTTTGCGATGCGAAAGACCCTCAAAGTGGGACAATAGGGAGGAAACCGGTCTCTGTTGTTACGTTAGCCTGCCGCGTGGCCCATTAGCAAGATGCGAAAACATACAATGGGAGCACTATCAGGGTTCTCCGGCCCCTTGGAGTTTCCCTCCATTTCCATAAACACAGATCCGTCGCCGAGACCAGCTGGGAGGATCGATCATAAGCGTTGGCCGTTGGTGCCTAGGGTTCTTGCCGGGGCGGATGTGGAATAATGGCGTATGAGGCTTTCGCGGGGATGAATTGGAGAGGACCAGGGATGCGATTAGAGAGCCAGGAGAAAGACGGGGAAACAACAGATTGTAAGCGGCACAAAGGCCGAGAAAACAAAACAAGTTGGCCTTTCTCACTGGGTCATAGGAGTAGTAAAAGGAGAGAAACGGTGAAATGGTTGTGGCGGGGAGGAAAGTGGAGGATCACGGGAGTGGCAGATCAACCGGTTCCTGCGCAACCTTCTTCTTTCTCGAGCCGCATTGTCTTTGACACCTGCACAATAACGCCCTTAACACCATGTGGTAAGGCTCCCAGCCATGCGGCTGACTTCAGAGTTGCTGTCGCCTTCACATCAGGCGTAAAACCCATGAACTAACACCCCACTTTACAGTAAACACATCCTCAACGCCCAAGTGTCTATTCGCTCTGCTTGCTGTACGCGTAATGAATCCCCACTATTTCGACATAAAGCTCACCAAATACTCCTTCCCAGGTCGCAAGTGGTTTGACTGTGCCGAATGTCACCAAGAACAGGAAACACATGCGCTGCAGAAGGCGCAAGAAATGGTATGGTCCCGGTCTCCCCTGACCATTGGGCCGCAGCTCTACAGATACTAATGCCTGTGGGATAGGTGTTCGCGTGCAAGAAATGCAAGAAATGTTTCCGCAAGGATGCCGCTGAGTTTGAGGAGAAGTATGTTCGAGCATCCCATATTGCAAAGATCGAAGACTAACTCCGCCATTTTCTTCAGTGACGAGTACTGCCCCCACTGTGACAACCATTTCGTTCTCGAGGCCTTGACACCACAAGCGAACTTGCACGTGGAAGGTGACGATGCACGCATGGATAGCCGGTACGGTCAACCATTTAACAAATTATGTCTTCACCTACTGATTGTGATCATTGAACAGGATGCTCAAGGACGAGCGTGTGCGCGCCGATCAAGAAAAATCGATCTTCACCTTCCGCGATATCTCCGATCGTCTTGGCTAGAGAGGGAAAGCTCCGGTGTGCGTTCTAATTTCATGATGTTGACGATATGATGCTTTTCTACTCTGTTTTTTAAATCTCCTTTGAGCGGGTTGATCCTCGGTGATAGACTTGACCGTTCCCTAGCATCAATACCCTGCATATTCTCTTTTATGCTGTACATTACAGAGAAGGAAAAGAAGTTGATAGTAGGTATTTCGTTGTTTTGAATTCTCGTGAAGAAAGGAGATCAACGCTACGGTAAATCGACGCAAATCAAGAACCCGGCCCTTCAATTGACCAGGCATCTTATGTCCTTTATTCGGCCGACTCACCACCACCGGGCCGAGTCAGAATGGCCGCGGTGGTAGTGCCTCCGCGAGAAGTCTTCTTCTTAGCAGCCTCCTCCTGCTTCTCAGTCTCAATGCTCTTGACGTAAGCCTCGATTTGGTCATCAGGCAGCATCTCGACACGCTCGCCAGGAGCCATGATAGCAACCTCGATGTTCTTAGCGCCGGTCTGCACTACCTCCAGCAATGACTTGATGGTGAGCTGGATAGTCTGCTCGCGGTCCATTTCCTCCTGGTGGTTGCGCTCGAGGAATTCCCGAACCGTCTTACTGGATCGACCGATGGCATTGGCCTTCCTATAAATGAAAAAGCAAATTGTTAGAAATGTATGCACACACATCGCTGATAAGAAATTCGTCATAAACCACCTACCAAGCTGAGTAGATACCAGAGGGCTCAGTCTGGTACAGTCGCGGTGTACCGTCATTCTTGTCGAAACCAACGACCAGTGTACTAATACCAAATGGACGCACACCACCACTCTGTGTATATTTCTGTTGCACACTGGCGATGTATTTGGTGATATATTCGATGGTGACGGGGTCCTCAACGGTCAGACGGTGAGACTGGGCTTCTAACCGAGCCTTGTCGATCAAGATGCGGGCATCAGCGTTCAAGCCAGCGAATGCCAGGCAAACGTGCTCATCGACCATGGCGATCTTGGAGGGTGTAATTCGGGTATCTTGGAGTTTGAGGGCAGAGCGCTTCTCGCAACCGAGGACAACGATGTCCTTGCCTTTGACACCGACGGCGCATGTTCCTGTAGTACCCCAGTCATCAGCACATGATCATCTTCCCCTGATTATGATTGCCAAAGCGGGTGGGGTAAAGCATATGGTCTGGTTTGCGGGATATTTAGGCTCTTACCTCGCTTTACAGCCTCCATGGCATACTCAACCTGGAAGACGTGCCCATCGGGACTGAAACGGGGTTAGATCATGACGGCGAGAGCTGCAGATGTTGATAAATAATCCATACCTGAAAACTGGTATGAGTTAGCTCGGTCATTCTTGTATCGAAGACGGGCCAAGGGAGCTGGCTGATGAGGAGCTAGCTGACTTACCTGATAGAGCTCGGTCGTAACCGGACATTGTGGCGGAAAAAGGAGAAGATCAAACTAGTTCTAGACTTCCGGGTGTATGAATGACCTCAGTAGATCAAGACAGAAGGGTGGAAGAAGCAAAGATAGAAGGGTCTTGAGCAGAGAGAGGGAGCTGGTGATGTTGCGGGAGCAATGACGGGACCTCAGCGGGCGGTGGACGCGAAAGCCTACGGTTGCCTTGGCGCTGCCGCGCGGTTGCAGAGATGAAAACCACCAACGTCCACCGGCAGAAGATACTGTACTAGACATTAAAGTAATGAAAAATCTCATGTACGAATCATTTCCTTTGTGATCAGCATTGAATGAACCTCCCGAGATCAATTGGAGTCTCCGAAACTCCTCAATGCCCGGCAATATGCTTCTATCATATAATATACACCCAACTCTCGAAAAACTACACACCGTTCCAAGTTCATCTTTCATAGTATAGTATAAAGATGAAAGGTAAAATACTTTGAGAAGGCCTGGAAGAAATCATTACATATTGAATGCTCGAATTCTATATATCGAAGCTCCCCGTGTACACAGTGGGAGGTTTACACCAGAAAATACAAAGATATGCGAAGGAAATAGAATCCAAAAGAAGTATAGACAGAACAATCTTTTTTGTTGCATCCACAAATGCCTGGCGGATGGAGTCCAGAGATTGAACCAAAGCCAACCAAGCGTAAAAGGAAATCCCCCAACACCCCCAACGGAGTCCGAACCATTGTATATCCCACCCGTGAGATCAATACCGTGAATTCTCCGACGCTTGCCATGACCCAACGCAGAAAGGGACCAAAGATCTAAAATGCAAAGCAGGTCGAGTGCGCAACCCAGGCTCACAATGCGTTCGCGTCCGAAACCCACATAAACAACGGTTATGTCGCTGCCATCCGAAAGACTATTAAACAAACCAAAACCAGAGAGCTTCAAAATGGAATCCCAGGGGGAGCGGGAACCGCTCAACGACCAAATATGAAAAATGACACAGAAAAAACAAAGTTATCAAGAAACCAAAAAAGCATCCCACAAAATACAGGACGGCGAGGTGATGAAAAATCCACAAACCACACGCTTACCCGCCTGCTCCTTCCAACCCGATGCACCAGAACCGCAGAAAGCCCTTATACAAATGCGTATCAACGAATATCAACCAACGCATATACCTGCCACAATGCAGGGTTGCAATATGGACAACGTAAGTGTGATGTGATCGCCCAGTTCGTCGGGCTTCAAAAGAGTACTAAGTACAGTCAAATGCTTTAAGCAGGAGACTTGTTGGCTCCAGCTCCGTTTCGGCGAGAGTGAGGGTCATCCGAAACGGTGAGACCGCCAAGCCCGCTGGACAGGAAGGCGAAGGGGTCACTGGAACCCTCGGTGCCGTAGAAAGCACCGTTGGAGGCGCTAGTCGAAGGCACACCGTGATCAGCACCAGTGAATGCTGCCTGGGTCGCTGGGTTGGCGAATGAGGCGGCAGAGTGGGAGGTGCTCGAGGAGCCGTATCCAGAGTTCACCTGACCCATCGGTGGGTAGGCAGCAGGGGCATTGCCAAGGCTGCTGTTGGGGAGCGCATAGTTGTTCGGTGGGGCACCGAACTGCTGGCTAAATCCACCAAATCCACCGGCAGTTGAAGCAAATGGAGCTGGAGCCGGTGTGCTGGCCATGGAGTTAGGACCCATTCCGAATTGTGATGGGGGGTCCATGGGCGAGGGGAAGGCGGAGTCAGCCACAACCGCAGCGCCTGAGCGAGGAGCGCCGCAGCGAAGACAGTTGATGTTCTTCGCGAAGTTGTGGTAGCCACATCCCTCTGAGCCACACTTCCAATCACCCGCACGGAAGGGAACGACACCACCATTTCCACCCATACCACGCGAGTGGCCCATGCCGTGACCATGACCGCCCATGTGAGGAGGCATCATGGACGGGGGCCCGTAGCCACCGTGACCGTAGCCGTAACCCATTGGGTCCGGTGCAGCGGCCATGGCGGGGAACGAGCAACGGAAGCATGCGGTTCGGCGCTGAAAGTTAGAGAAGCCGCATGACGGGCAAGTCCAGTCGCCAGGACGGGGGCGGTTCTTGGATGGGGGGAAAGGTGTCAGGATCTCTGCGGCCCGGTCCAGAACTCGGCTCGAGGATGGGGAAACCTCGATTGCCTTCTCGTTGAGCGCCCGACCATTCATGCACAGGCTCTCAGCAGCCTAAATAACTGTCAGCAAAAAGTAAAACATTATGAGAGGAATATGATTGATCAAACGCACCTCCTCGTGGGACGAGAAAACGGCGAATCCAGTGCCAGTGGGCTTGTGCTGGTCCGGAGTTCGCAGTGTCCAGAAGGCGATGGGCCGGCCGCCAAACTGAGTGAACCAGCTCTCCAATTCCGACTGAGTGGTATCGTGGGGCAGACCACTCAGGTGAAGAACCTTGCTCCGTTCCGCCAAGAAAGCCCGGACATCGGCGTGTGCATCCATCGGCCGAGTAAGAATCTCGGGGTGCTCATGGGGCGGCTGCGACTTGCGAATCAGGCCACGCAGCACACGGGCTAACGTGATGGACTCCTCCATAGCACGGCGGGGCGAGGCGGGGGCCAACGCTTGCAGATGGAACGGGAGGTTGTGCTTAATGGGGGCGGAGGACTGGACGGGCTCGACCTCCAAGGCAGCGCAGATGTTGGAGAGGGAGCTGGGTCCAAAGGGCAAGGACTCGGGGTGGTGGGTTTGCCAGCGCTGATATTCGGTGCGCAGATCAAAGGTGCGAGAGTGCTGCAGGTATGCGGGTAGCACCACAGCCTTGTCTCGGGCCTCGCGGGGCAGCTGCACACGCAGATCCCACGAATCCAAAGTCACAAAGGCAAACTCGAGGTGCTTGTTGGTGAGGTGTTCCTGGGCGAAGGCATCGAATCGGGAGATGGCATCGCGGAAGGTACCTGCAGAGCGGACGTGTTCCCAGGTCAGGGTGGTCAAGCTCGCTGCATCGTTAGGTCAGCCTGTCGGTCCCCCAACATATCCTCGGTCATGGGTTGTGGGAAAGGAAAAGCTTACTGCACAACGGAGTAATGGGTGTGTTAACGGGCTTGACGAGGACACTCTCTCGGTGCAACTATAGAAGAAAGGAGTGTAAGCCGGGGTTACCCATCTCGGAGGTAGTTCGGGTGAAGCGGGCGCAGGCGTAGAGAATGTTGGGGCGGGTTGTGTGTACCTCCTCGCACGTCTTAGTGTCCAAAAGAATCCATCCCAATTCTATCACCTCGGCCGAATCCTTGGTGACATAGACGCCATGCTCATCACAAGTGGTTGCAACGTGGATGACGATGTAGCGATCCAGCTTAGGAGTGGGTGCTGTAACGGCCGCCATCGCTGACTTGTCGCTGCCAACGGAGCGGCAGGGGAGCCCGAGTGAGGGGGGGGTGGAGAAGAGAAAGGGATTGTCTCTGCAAGGAATGCAGGAGACAATGAAACACGACCGACCGGGGAGTGGTTGTCGTGGTAAAGAAGAAAAGAAGAAACCCGGGGGAAGAAGAGAAGAAGGAAAGGGGGGGGGGGAAGAGAGAAGAAAAGAGCCAACTTCTCGAGGTGGAGTTTCGCGAAAAGAAAAGTTTCGGATTCACGGGAGATTACAGAAAGCTACAACCACGAGGAAAGAGCAACATAGCGCATTCTATCTACAATTGAGTCTTACTTTACTTCGTCTCAATTCCCCTGATAATCTTTGAATTTTCGCTTCTCTTCGCATCCCACGGACTCCCGCCGTGCAACCCCAACTGGCCAAGACCCTGGTATGAAAGAGGTCTCACTGGGAATGATCTTACACAGTCTCTCACTTCCCGGAAATTGCTCATCTATCGATCATCGAGTATTCATTTCTACATGAAATCGCTGCAGATCTAGGGAGTTGCCTCCGGACTCTGGGGCAAAAACTTGCGAGCATACCAAGAGTGGATCCCTGTCAGAATCACCGAGAATGGGCCCATGCTTTCAACTCGTCTAGATGTTCCTCCGGACATCGACGGACATTCCTCTCAAGAGATCATCAAGTCAGAGGGACATTTCAGGGGGGAATTTGAGAATCTCGAGCCATTTGGCTCCAGTAGGACGACAAACCGAAAGATTCGAGGAAGTACTTTGGACATCACGTGGCAGGTACCTGATTACTAAATACCATGGTTCACCAGTCTCCTTCCAATGGAATCACCCAGTATTGATTCAAGTCATTCTAGTAGCAATTACTGTATCTTGTACAGCAGACGAATCAAGTTAGGTAGAGCTATCCTCGGTTGGATCACGGATGGATCCGCTCAAATGTGTCTATATATATCTGCCCAGCGCCAAGTGAATCACAAGGGCTGTAGATGATATGCTGGGCACACCAATAAGATGAGGGAGCCCGTCGTCATGGATTATCTCAGGATGTTAACTGTAATGGAATGTTCGAACAAGCACTTCGTTGACAAAATTCGAACATCCCAGCATAGATGATGCCGCATGACCCTATGTGGCCGCACGTAATCATCTAGGCAGAGGTATAGTATAAAGTAGTGTCTCACTACCCCTTTACTTCGCCGATTCTCTCTTCCATAAATAGCATTAAACTTTACCCCAGAATTCCATCCCTACATTCCACGTCTATATGGTATTATGGCATCGGATATCATACAAGAATATATTGGAGCTACATCTATAGATGTTGGATCACGGCAAGGCCCAGACCTGGGAATCAGTCACTATCATATCGCAAGGGAGGTAATACCTAAAGAACCTTTGCCAGATCGGTACTCTAAGTTTGCACCTAAGTTTGCACAACAGGCTAACACAGAATCTTCTCGGCAGCGACAAGCTTCCTATTTCTCAGCCACCCAATACTTGTTCTTATCGCAACGATGCCCACCAAGCAAGTAGATCATGGATGATATACAGGCCCATTCATTCATTTCCTTCTTCAAAGCCAGATATGGCGAAGCCTAGAAAAGTTTGAAGCTCGGTATCACTCGGAATGAACGCGAATTGACGTTTGGAAAGATCAATATCGTTTTGTCAAGGCAACAAAGTGTGCGTCCTCTGGACGATTGAATGTCTCAATTTGCTCTCAGTGGCAAATCACCGCGCCATCTTGAGCGAAGCAAAGCCTGTACCGGAGAAAATGCCGATGGACGCATTTTTCGATCAGAAATTCGCAACGGCGATAATCATAGTCATAGTGTTCTGCCAATATGACGACTATCTCCAGTGCGGCGGTCTAGCTTGTGAAGAAACTAGACATGGGAACGTACATGAAAGTTTTTTTTGGGTTTCGGATCTGTGAGTATCTTGTCCTCGCTTTCTCATGATCAAAGGGAGCTTAATCTCTTAGGCCTCGAGATAGCAGCATAGCAATGTACCTGGATGCTCCTTTACGTTGCTACTTACAAATCTTGTCTCGATAGTCGTAAATCTCTATAGAAAGGCATCATACATATATTTTCAATCAACTCCTAATTGAAGATGTGGCGAGAGAGATAATCTAGGTAAGATACCATGTAGTACGATGCAATAGTATCCTTCCAAAATTACGTTTCTGGGCAGGTTGGAATCTCTGTGAAACACGCACAAGTCAGATAGAGTACACAATCTAGAGCACTCGGTTTATTAGGTAGAACGATCTTTGTAAGTAACTTGGGTGAGTTCAAGCCTTGGAACATCTTTCGTGGCAGGCTTTTGACGTAATGACCTCATCGCTCAAGTTGACGTGAATGTTCAGAGCAATGCATTGAGATGTAAATTGCCGATCAATCCCCTGTTGAAAATATACCGAGAGACCCAAGCACAAAACTTCAGATGGTTCTAATTAATCAGCAATCCCAAACCTTGTTCTCTTTATAGACACGTCGCGCTCCTTTTGGACAGACACAGGTCTATCGAGTTTAGATGTTGGCAGAGATCACTATTTGGCAACTAAAACCGGATGGTGTGCCCGAGTGCATATACCGCCTGCACTCGTGAAACCTTGAATGAAAGGCTCTGATCCAATTATCGAAACATTGTTTCTGCTCCCACTCCCCAAAAAATGAAATGATGTTCCGATGCGAACTGACGATCAATCTGTCCAAATATCCCGATACGGATAACTACCACGTCATGGATGTCGAAGCTTTGGCCTTCCAAACGATCATACCTCTTCTCTCCTTCACCGAGCCGATGTGCAGCTCGAGTCTCTAACAATTTTGCGGACTGAGAACACACATATAAATAAATCCAAGTCCCAGGCTCAAGAGGGGCTGCACTAGGAAAATATAGAAAACCAAGCTAAATCAACAAGTTCTGGTTCTGAAATTTTTATCAGGCTATCCTTCGACCTTTCCGAGCAAAGATGACCATGACTCAGGATGACCCCGTTTTGGGCCGAAGTATTGGAGATTCTGTTAGGTTAGCAAAGACCTTCTTCTTGAAATTGCGTCAAAGACGAGAGTTACAACATCGTACAGAGCGCTAACCATACACAGACTGTATGCAGAGCACCTGCTTTGGAAACTCCATAGAGGTTATGAGCTGCATCCCGATATTGAAGTGACGGATAACACGAAGATTGCGGAGCTTGGGACTGGAACAGCGTAAGTATCTTTGATTTAAATATTCCAATCACCTGTATCTACTTCTACTTTCATCCTGCAGAATATAGACTGATTTCAAACATTTGAACAGCGTCTGGTTAATGGACCTTGCAAGACAGCTTCCACCGACTGTTGAGCTACATGGGTATGACATTTGCGATGACCAATTTCCACAAAAGGAGCTGTGGCCCAAGAACGTTAAGCTCAGCCTGCTGGACTCCTTGAGTGATCCTCCTGCATCACTGGAGGGCCAATACGATGCTGTCCACCTTCGTATGTGGGCAAGCAATCTGCGAGACGGTGACATATCGGGAATAATCAACCATGCCAAGAAGCTCCTGAGTATGGCCAATCAAAAGCACATAGGTCTTTCTTGAAGCTAACACGTTGCCTGTAGAGCCTGGTGGATATATCCAATGGGAAGATGCCGACCTAGTCCACCAACGTATCGAAGGCACCGAGGCAGAAGAATTTGAACGAGATATCAACCACCTTTTCACGAAGGTTGATCTCGACTACGGGTACGTTATCTAAGCAACAGCATTTAAGCTTATCGAATTGACATATGCGATGTTACAGCTGGGTATCGGATTTGCCAAACCGCTTACGAGAGGAGAAATTCAAGATCATTGAATCGGAAAATGGTTTCTTCAAGCCGGAGTTGGTACAACTCTGCACAAACACTTACTTGATGGCTCTGCGGGTGATTATTCAAGATGTTAAAAGACAACTCGCGCAGAATCTGCAGCTCTCGATCTCTGAACTAGAGGTGGCTCTCTACCGGATGTCCTTGCAGAACTCCGCTGGGTTTATCTATAATTGGTCTCCGGTGGCTGTGTTGGCACAAGTTGCTTGATATTGCTACTGATTGAGATGGTGGGACAGTCTATAGTCTCATGCCCTGCATGTTTGTCATAAGACAAGGGTGGTCCTCAAAGAAAGTTGACTGGTGTTACTTCGCACGTGATTGTACATTTCATCTAACATGACCAAATTGATTCAGACTTGACGAGCAACCCTAAGCGCCTTTGTAGAAGCACCGCTCTATATTTTGATCCGCTAACTCTCAGGAGTTGGGGTATTGTGAAACTATAAAAGGAAGTTATAAAAGGGTGATTGATAAGGACAAAATAAAGATGCAGGCTGCACGAATGAAACCACGCCATTTATATCGGGAGCATTGAAAGTTGAAGATTCAATCGGATGGGCAATCCACAAGTCTGCCGTCGGACAAATTCCGAGTTGTCGGCGACTGAACTTTCCCGGTGCGTCGCTCATATCGCCGAGTGCGGGGTTCAATGACTTCACCCCCACGCCTTCCTCATCCCAAAAGCACCGGTACCATTGGTGCGAAAATACGTCAATCAGTGGGGGTCTTGGTAATCACAGAAATTAACTAAGTTACCATTTTCGCGCAAACTGTAACAAACTCCTAACACTTCCTCCTATCCATTCCTCTACAATCACAAACCACCATGAAACTCCTCTACCCCACCTCCGTTGAACTCGACATCCAAAGCCTCCAAGGCTTCTCAGTCACCCTCCACCCCTACGACGTAAAGGTCCCAATCCCAGAGGATCTAATTGACGCCGATATCCTCGTGACCTGGGCCAATGCCGCCTCAAACCTGTCCGACGCCGCAAAGCGCATGAAGAACATCAAATGGATCCAATCTCTCGCCGCAGGCCCCAATGACGTGCTAAATGCCGGATTCGACCGTTCAAAGATCATCGTCACGACTGGTGTAGGTCTACACGATGGACCCGTCGCCGAGCACGCCCTCGGCCTCCTCCTAACCGGAGCTCGCCGATTCTTTGAAATGCGCGATTATCAACTCCAGTCGAAATGGCCCGGCCACCTTGGCGGCTCATTTCCCCGCAGTGACTTCACCACACTCCGGAACTCCCGTGTGTTGATCTGGGGCTTCGGTAGTATCGCGAAGAAGCTTACTCCCTACCTTACCGGCCTTGGTGCTGAGGTTAAAGGTATCGCTCGCAGCCACGGCGTGCGCAATGGCATTGAGGTTTTCGGCGAAGATAAGCTTGAGGAGCTTCTACCCGAGACGGATGCACTTGTTATGATTTTGCCTGGGTCTGATTCTACAAATAATGCGCTGAATGCTGAGAGACTTAAGTTGTTGCCGAAGCATGCTTGGCTTGTTAATGTTGGTCGGGGTACATCTGTTGATGAAGATGCGTTGGCGGATGCGCTGGAGCAGGGTGAGATTGCGGGTGCTGCTCTTGATGTATTCAAGACCGAGCCGCTTCCTGAGTCAAGTCGGTTATGGAAGACTCCTAATCTGGTCATTTCGCCTCATGCGGCTGGTGGAAGACCTGAGGGTTGTACTGAGTTTATTGCGGACAACTTGCGGCGCTACTTGGCTTCGCAGCCGCTCAAGAATGTCATCTGACTAGCACGGGATAGCAAACTGTAAATAGACGATAGATGCTACGGAGGAGTTACATACTGGTTGTTTCTATCATTTATCGGACAAGACTGGTGTAGGTAGTCACTTTTCCTACAAGTTTATTATGCCCTGGTGGGCTAATGGCAATGACGCAGCTGAAATTGAATAGCCAATAAGATTGATAATACTTTGTTTCCTTATTGACTCAAACAATGAACCTTGAGAACCCATCTTCCTTCCTGAATGGGTAGTGCGAACCCAGCCGCACCCTAGGTGTATGGCAAGTATAAATCTGGTTTCATGTTGAAGTGTTCAAGCGGTGGTATTCCGTATAAAAGAATGATAGAAATCAATAAGATCATGTACAAGTAATTCAAGCCAGTCCCAACCCCCAAAATCAAGACCACAAAATCCGGGAATCAAACCTCAACAAACGCCACCCAAAGATACCAGCCATTGAGATCAATCATCAAGCATCGACTTCGTCCTTAATCACCGTTCCCCTGCTAGTATCATGATCATCCTCATCTTCCTCCATGATACTAGGCTCCACGGAGACCAAGCCTCGGCTAGCAGCACCGCCCTCGACAGATGGACGCACGCTACCAGATCGAATTCGGGTATTGTCATTTTCGTCCTCGTCCTCTTCCATGATGCTGGGTTCTACAGAAACATGGCGTCGGTTAATCCCAGAAGGCTCGACAGAACGCCGCACGCTCGCGGAGCGGACACTGCCGGCATCACTCTCAAGATCCTCCGTTCCAGCGCGAGGGCGTACACTAGCGGCGCGAGCATCCTGGGCAACAGCAAGGATCTTCAGGACTGAGTTTTTGGTCTTGACTAAAGCATTGCGGCTGGAAGCTTCCGCTGCAAGGCCCTCCTCTATGGTTTGATCGAGCAATTCCTTGACTTCTTGGGCTAGTTGGATATTGTCGGGCTCAATCTCGAGAGCTGTGGCGCTGCGAACGCTTGTTCGGAATTGGTCTTCGCCTTCCGGAGCACGCGATCCAGCGCGAGAAGGTAGCGTTGGAGCGGAAACGTAAAGCTTGCTCAAAAGGGAGAAGATAAGCTTGCGCTCCTCACGCGAACAGCGGTTAGGTCCAGCACTGATACCCAGAACACGCTCCAAAATATCCTTGACCAGCGCAAGGTGTACCCAACCACAGGCAGTTGAGCTGGCTGTTCCACCGATCAAGACACGCTCGCCACCCAGACCAACAACGCGGCGTTCATCAGTCCATTCAGCCAGCATACCCACAACACCGGTCATGAGCGCCTTGACTTCGCGCTCTCCAACACTCTCATCAACTTCTCCATCGCTGTCTTCTTCCGCCTCAAGAGAATAGTGTTCCTCGGCAGCATTGATGACTGCACGGATCACCGGCACTGCAACACGCCGCATGTGCTGGATATTGTCCAGCCGAGAGTGGCAGTACACTGGGAAGAAGTATGCAAGCGACTGTCGGAGAGCAGGGTTCCCCTTCGTGCGTGGGTGGAAGAAGGCAACCACCAGCGACTGTAATAATGTCTCAACGGAAGCTTGGTTATATTCTTGAATGGCAGCTGGGACGTTGGACCCTGATGGTGTGAAGGTGTTGGTAAGCAAGAGTTTCGAAAGTGCAGTAGCAGCAGCAGACTGCACACTAGGCGGAGAGTTCGCTTTCAGTGCACGTGAGAACACCTTGAGCAAAGGCTTCTGGATGGGTGGAGTCGTCACGGTTTCGCCGTCAGATTGAGTGATAGGGGCGAGGAGTGAAGGGTGAGTTGTAACCATGTCACAGATGATTTGCAATGCAGTGACTTGCAAGCCCTCATGACCCTTGCTATAACAATGGATGAAGAGTGTCATGTTTTCTTCAGCGAGATTCTAAAAGTATATTAGCGAATGATTCATTTCCGGTCACTGTTGGTGTAGATGACCAACCTTGTCAAGCAAACAGCAGAGACCTAAGCACAAAATACCACGCTCCCGAATTGGGGCTTCGTGGCTTCGAACGGCAGGTACAACGAGGTTGTTCAACATGGTGACGAGATTCATGTTCTGCTGCAGGTTACCCTCGGTGTTTTGGAGCATGCATTGGGCGATATGAAGACACTTCATGTTGACCACGATCTCTCGAACGATCTTGGCCTTGGCTTCTTCCTTGTTGAATGGAACCGGTTCCTCTTCACCCGGGGTCTCGGAGCGATGGCGGCTGCTGGCATCATCACTGATCTCTGACTTCGCGGAAACAAAGCTATCTTCTGTCATAATCGTGTCGTGTACTTCAGCAATAGCTTCGAGCACGACACTGCAGAATTCGCCCTCGCCGGCGCGATCTGGACCGCACACGCATCTGAGCGTCTCAACTGCAAGCTTGGTGCAGTCTTCCGGAAGCTCTGGCACAGCCAATGATTCTCGAAGGAGCGCAAACATTTTCCGCCGACCAACTTCATCACTATAGTCCAGGGTGATAGCGATGTGAAGAAGTTGCTCGACGATGAATTCTTGCTCGACTGCGTCGTCATCATTTGCGTCCCCGGATTCCTTGGACAATTTCTTCCTTTGCAAGAGCTCGTTCATGTATTTGGCGAGGTAATAACCGAGCGCGGTGACTTCCGGCATCTTCTCTTCAGCAAGGCTCTCGTACTTTCCATCGTTGTCGACGCGGCAGAAGTCATTGAAAGATCGCAGTAAGAAGGCGGATTCCGCCGTAAGGGACTCCCAAAAGGGTTCATCAAAGACCATCGCATCTCGGTAATCCGCGCGGCCTTCCCAGAAGCTGCGCATCGCTTCATGGGCAATCCCGCTTTCCATGCCAGTATTGGCGACATCGATTCTCTCAAGCAATTCAAGAAGAGCATCGATTTTAGGAGCTGTGCGTTGGGCAGTTGCAGGCGCTTCCTCCCCGGCGTTGGTACCGGCACAATCTTCCACCCAGCGGTCAAAGAACAGCTTGCCGGTTGCTTTCCGAACGCTTTCATCACGGTCTCGCAGACCCCAGCGGAGTAATTTTTCTCTCATAGATAGGGACAGGTGGCGAAAATCGCCTAGCGTAGGCAAAATTCGAGAATATAAGGTGCGTCTTGTTGCTGCGTCGAGATCGCGGGCACGTTCGAGAAGATAGGGGAGGGTGACCGGGGCCAGTGGGAGGTTGGCGAGAAGATTCTTACGAACATCGGCGCTGGTGTCATTTTGCATAATTTCAATAAGTTTTTCCAAAAGCGCGGTGGAACTATCGCCGTTGCCATCCTCTTCCTCATCGTTGCCAGCCAATCGTGCAAGGCCTAGAACAGCCTGCACACGGACTGATGATTCCTTGTCGCGGATTCGCTTTAACAGACCCTGTTGGATAGTGTGGTATAGTTCGTCATCAATTGACTCAAGGGTGTTGACAATGTGTGCGACAATTTGAGTGGCGCGGAATCGTATCATCTTATCCTTGGCACCCAGGAGGGGCACCATCAAGGCGACCAAGCTCGAGGTTAGGCGTGAGGTCGGGGTTTCGGGCGAAGTCTGCATCTCATATTCGTCATCCGCGCTCGAGGCAAATAACTCGTTGTCTTTCTCGGACGCATGGGCGAGGAAATTGTCCATGAAGCGGATGATACGGTCCCCGACGGGCTCGGACTTCTTGATGGGCAAAATTCGAAGGATACATCGACCAACTTCCACGTTAAATTCCTTCTCCGGTAGCGTCTCCTCTTCAGGGAACACAATCTCCTCTTGTTCTTGCTCCTTGCCCTTCCTGTTCTTTTGGGCAATTCCGCTGCAAATTTCTTGTAGTTTTCGCAAACGCACCGCAAGCTTACGATGGCCTGTAGTTGAGCGCTGCGCATCTGCAAAAATGGCACACACATCACGACGGAGGTTGGGAGATGCTTCAGGGAGTGCAGGTTCATCTGGAATCGTAAATGATGGAGTCACTGAGGGGGCACGCCCCGCAGAAGGTTGTTGTGATGACCTGCGCGTCGTCGCGGAGGTCGAGCGGGCGGCGACTCGGCCGGGCATGGTGGGTATGTGTTATCGGAGATGCGATTAACAAGAGACAAAACGCATGGCAGGGCGCGCATCCACAGATGAAGCAAGGAAGAAAGCAAATGCGGGCGGTAAACAAACAGCCCAAACGGGGAAGGGACGATAAGCGGTCACCTGACTTGAACGTGGCTGACTCATCCCCGCTATCGGAGACCCCAAATCCCCGGTTACATGCAGCTTAATCATTGTTGCATATTGTACTTCACGATGTTTCGGCAAAGCATTCGTCGCTTTGGCACTACGGCCGTTCGTGCTGCTGTTGAAAACCGACCTGCGTACACTTCACGGGTGTCCACAGCGCAGGGCGTTGTCAATGGACTGACGGAAGGTAGGTCAATAGCTCCGTTGCGGGTTCCGAAGCAATTAGCTTACAAATGCGTGTCTATATAGCAATTGGCAACACTCCTTTGATCAGATTAAAGCGCCTCTCTGAAGAGACTGGATGTAATGTGCTGGGCAAGGCCGAATTCCAAAACCCTGGTGGTAGTGTGAAGGATCGGGCCGCGCTGTTTGTCGTCGAGGATGCCGAGAAGAAGGGACTGCTTCAGCCTGGCGGTACCGTTGTCGAGGGCACTGCCGGTAACACCGGTATTGGCCTTGCGCATGTTTGTCGGTCCAAGGGCTACAAATTGGTGATCTACATGCCCAACACCCAGTCTCAGGGAAAGATTGACTTGCTCCGGTTGTTGGGTGCCGAGGTCTACCCAGTCCCTGCCGTCGCATTCGATAATCCCGAGAACTACAACCACCAGGCGCGCAGGCATGCCGAGTCTCTGAATAACGCAGTTTGGACCAACCAGTTCGATAACACCGCCAACCGCCAAGCCCATATCGAGACAACTGGACCGGAGCTTTGGGCGCAAACTGGCGGTAAAATTGATGCCTTTACCTGCGCTACCGGTACCGGTGGTACGCTCGCTGGTATCACACGCTATCTGAAGGAAGCCAGCGACGGTCGTGTTAAGAGCTTCCTGGCTGACCCGCCGGGCAGTGTGTTGCACAGCTACATCCAGAGCGGCGGCAAGCTCGTCGACCGCTCAGGTGGCAGTATCACTGAGGGCATTGGCCAGGGCCGTGTGACCGACAATCTCCAGCCTGACATTGACCTGCTGGATGGTTCCCTGAACATCAGTGATGAGAAAACCATTGAGATGGTCTACCGCTGTCTGGACGAGGAGGGCCTCTATCTGGGAGCTAGCTCGGCTCTGAACGTGGTGGCTGCTAAGGAAGTTGCCGAGAAGATGGGCAAGGGTAGCACTGTTGTGACCATCCTGTGTGATGGTGCTTACCGCTACGCTGACCGATTGTTCTCCAAGACTTGGCTCGAAAGCAAGAACCTCCGCAGCTCTATTCCCAAGCACCTGGAGAAGTACATTGTGCTACCTTAAACCGACTCAAGATATCTGTAGAGATTTAGTCTGAACATAAAATGTGTTTTCCTAGCTTCAAGATTTCCAAGATTCACGTGGTCTATGTCAAGACAGTTGAATGTTGCTTAGATGTCGATCTCTCCAAAATGACAGTAGAATCAATAAACCTAGCCTTGGGCTTCCTTTCTCGATACAACACTGGAACCTAGAGTCCAATACAACATCCAGGCCACGTGTGCATTATAGTCCATGGCTTATTGCATCTGGTTTGAAACTTCGGAAACGAGCATACCCATCTTCAAACTTCAATTTCCCTGTTCGGCTGGTTATCTTACGCATGTAACACTAAGCAAGCCACCAATCTGGAGGTCGTGACTCACATGGGCAAAACAAGACTCGAAGGAACCATTCGCAACACTCAGCCCATTTGGAACCCGCAAGTGAGGGGCAACCTATTCTAACTCTCAACCTCCCACGCGATTACTACAAGGATGCATCTCCCGGCGGAGATACTTGCCATGATCCTCCAAGAGGCCGCTAGATCCATACCAATCAAAAAGCTTGTACGGATGAGACTCCTGAGCAGTACGATCGCCATACAAACCATACTGGAGAAGAGTGTTCTCTAATTCTTTGCTAGGGTTTTTCGCCAGTGAGATTATGACCATTATAACGAAAGATCCAACGCTTCTCGAAAATGACGATGTCGGCTTCCGCCTAGACTATCCTAATTGTGAGAGATTAGGACAGAGATGGTGGAATAGATTCCCAACAATTTTAAAACGTCGATATCTTCATCTAAAAGTGCAGCGTCATACCCTGCGTCCATGTCTATTCTCGAGCCATGTCCAGGAAATGCTGGATCTGCCAAATAACCGAACTCGCAAGGAAACAGAAGCCCTAATCGATAAAATCATCGATGTGTTTTTCTATGGGCAGTTTGATTGTTATCAAGACATTCTCGACTCTGATCGTCACGCATCATGCTCAGAAGTATCTCGCAATTTGGAGCGACGCACCTGGGAACCTCCAACCGACGCTCTCCATTTGGCTCTTATGACTAGTGCCATAATTCACGGTGATGCTGCTGAGCTAGAGTCTATATTTCTGAGCACTGGAATATGGATCACTACGCAGAGCGTCCGCTTCAAGGTTGTGCCAATGGAAGTTGCTGCACAAATGGGCAGTGAAGATATCATCAGGACCATAATCAATTGCTGGGGGCCCATCGGAGCAAGAGATCATATATGGGGTTGTATATTGAACTCCGGCGCGGTCGTGACGTCTGCACGAGCCGGGAACTTGAAAACGACGGAGCTCTCTACTAAGTTCCTAAAAGCCCACAATTATTACGCCTATAGCCTAGATCGGGCGACATTATGCTCATCGAGAGTTGGGAAAATAGATTCGATGCACTACTGCTTGGAACAGAACCGTGACTCCTACGGATATCATGACCAATTGTTTAACTCTTTCATAGGTACTGTTAAATATGGACAGGTGGACGCAGCCAAATACCTGCTTGACCGCGGCGAACTTGACATCAAAGCCAAGTCCAATTATGGTCAAAAGAGGCTCTTGCTCACAGTTCTTCATGATTGCCCCCAAGAGAAGAGGCCAGCATTCTTGAAATTCATCTTGGGCCACGGGGTTGATCCAAATGGAACATTTCCAGCTATACCGAGGACACCATTTCAAGCAGCCATCAAGTTGGGAGATGCCGCTCAGCTGCTGTCTTGGTTGAATATGGAGCAGATGTTCATGCTCCATCAATCTTGCGTCCTCCGGCACGCATGAGGCCACTATTGCTACAGGCCATTAGACATAGGTCTGCTCCCTTGGTTGAACTATTGCTTGAAAATGGAGTTGATCGATTTTGTGACTGGAGGAAGAAAAGGTATACTGTCCACGATGACACAAAGGAAGGAAACCTTGGGGATTTTTTCTATAAATTAATATGGGGGCCGAAGGAGAAACAGAAAGTGGGTTACTATGTTACGGTACAGCGGCTCAGTGGCCTGCATCGATAACTATACATGCAAGATGGATGTAAATTCTTCAGTTTCTAATGGCGAAGATACCTGGCCCCGGAGCAATTCTCACCTCTAGGAATTCCTCTACGTTTATTTATTCTTGTTCTTGTTCCCGTTTATTTCAGCTAGTAACGTGAAATAAAATGCAAATTCGAAATTGTTCGACTAAATCTCAGGGAAAAGGTATGAGTAAGCCTAAGGCTCAATACGACGACTGGGCCTCGTATCATTTTTTATGCTGAAGGCCACGCACTGACTAATCTTTCCAATTATTGGTCTTCCCTTTGCGAACCATTTAGGGTTGGTTTCTCATTCGATTGTTGCCCTTCGTCTAAGTCTTCGAAACCAATATTGGCTAGTATCGCCTCAACAGAAGCCAAGTCGTTCAAATTTCCAACGAAAGAAACATGCTGATCCGGACGTAGGAGGACTATGCAACCTTCACCTCCAATACCATAAAACTCATAGGCGGCTCCCCTAGTATCGGTGTATTGATCATTGTCTGCGAATACTTTCCAATAGTCATATCCATTAATCTCGTCAAAAGGCCTGAATATTTCTGGCAGGTCCATCAAATCAACCGCGTTTCTGGGTGCGGAATGAACAAGGTATGTATGAACCTTACCCACCACGTCATCCCCTTGGTTGATTTTGTGGATCACTCCTTGCTCATTTACAATTCCTGCGTTCAACTTCTGCACGCATTCCATTTGAATGGCATCGGAAATGTCACCTCCAAAAACGACGAGATGCCACTGCCCCATACTTTGCAAAGCTTGTTGAAGATGCCATGGTCGAGAGTCACTTTGGCATAAAACCTGGGCGCTCGGAAACCGAGCCCCGACAATGATGTTGGACGCCAGGTGAGGCCTGCTGAAGGGAAGTAGATACCCAAGATTCTTTCGGATTGTTGATGACTGGACGTTCAATCCTGGTGTGATCAAGAGACTAGGTTTATATCGGACAGTCAAGCCGGACGCAGAAGTGTTCTCCTCCTGAAGTGTCTCTTTGAGCGAATCATGTTGTGCTAAATGATCCTCGTTGTTGACCTTTGTATTCTTCTCACACACACCTTCAACCATCCTTTTGTCAAACCCAATTAGTCTCTTACCAACGGCATGACGCTCCTGTTGATAAGTTCTCAGGATCTTTGGGTGCGCTCGACCCTTGATGACTGAAGCCAGCTTCCAGCCCAGGTTATAACTGTCTTGGATGCTCACGTTCATTCCTTGACCGGCCTTGGGTGAATGTGTATGCACTGCATCACCAGCCAGAAAAACACGGCTATCCATCGAATATCTGTCGCACAGACGTTGACCGACCTAGATATACGGCATGTTAATATGCGGCTAATAATGCGTCTTGTCTGGGACGAGCACATACTGTGTATATTGTTGACCATTCTACCTGTGAAGTGTCAAAATGGTACGGATGCAGAATCCTTCGGATGACATCGATCAAAGTTTGTGAGGAAAACTTCGCCTGGAGTATTTTTGCGATCTCCGACGACAGCTGAACATAGCATCGGACTAGGCCTCGCTCCCGCGGAATTACCATCAAACTCCCACACTGAGCCTTGACGATGCATCTCTTCCGGATATCGGCTCCAGCAGATGTCAGTATCAGAGGGCCATGTCCGGGGATTATCTGACAACGCACGAAAATCGGTGATTGGGACCGAGTCAAGGACCCCCCAGCTTTCATTTGTGTGATCTCCTTTCAGCTTCAGGCCAAGTTGTGTTCGCACCCAGCTGTGTGCACCATCACATCCAATAAGGTATCTTGCTTCTATACGTGTCTCGGTGAATTCATCGCTTGACTAATTCCTTCCCATTAGTGTTCATTCAAATAGACTCCCCAATGACATAGAGGTTCATTCGTCGACGCTGAACTTGGCCTCACCTCTTCACATGCTGTCTTAGTACGAATCAATATCTCCACAGGATGAGAAGTGTCATCGGAACGAATGATCAGGCTTAATGGTGTGGTGCTCCACTTGATCTCAACGCTCTCATGAGACTGTATTAGGTCCACCAAGTGCTGTTCGATTTTACCTTGGCCAAGAGTAGATTCTTGGTACCGAGAAAGCCCAGGGTTGGTGTTTGCTAAGATTTGGTCACGTTGGATTTTACCATGCTCGTCAGAACTCTGTAAAGGACATTCAGCATCTTATCTCGAATGAGAGACATCTGAACCACGTACCCATAGACAGAGATCGATCGTCCGATTAGCTTCGCTCCAGATCTTTTCGCCAATGCCGAAGCTATCAAAGATTTCAAAGGTGCGGCCTTCAATCCCATCTGCATGACCGATTTGTGTTCTGGATGACTTGTGATCTATGATCATTGCCTTGACTCCTGTTCGTGCCAGCCATGTCCCGGCCGTCAGCCTAATATGAAGCTTAGTCAATGTTGCCGGTGCAGTTCCATGAGCACACATACCCCGCCGGACCAGCGCCGACGATTAAGACATCCAGCTTCATGGCGCTATTGAACCCAAGAATACTAATTGTGGAACAAAGTGATGACTGAGAAATGTTTTCGGAGAATCCATGCCTATCTGGAATGGAAGTAAGAGTCATCACCAATACAGGGCGCGGCAATATATGTAACTTGGCAAATCAAGATAAATTTCTTAGAACGACATTGGTACCTTCCCAGTTGGGAATCAGATGCATTCGAACTTTCCGAGGTAGGAAACCTGGGTTGACCATAACGTAATTATGCGTTGAATCAAGATTCTAGACAGAATCGTCTTTCAAACTGCGGGCGGGCCTGTAGGGGTTACCCATCGTCGATCATTCGTATCTGAAATTCGGGGAAGTTTATCTCGTGACGATTAAAATACAGCCGGTATGTATGAGAAATACTATACTGGATCGTATATTCTTTTACACGGGCGGTTCTTCGGTAATATAAAAGGCAGTGCCGTTCACTTACATTAAAGCATATCATTTCACATTGACTGCACCAAAGCTGCCCTAAAGCCTGATACACAACAACATTCTTTCTTCATTGCTATCCATTACCAATCCATTCAACATGACTGTTTTTCTTGAACAGCGGAGACAGGACTGGGCATGGCTACGAAGCCATATAGAAGATAAAGCCGAGGTGGCACTGGATGGAGAAAGTAATTCACTTAGGCTAGTGCATCTGGTCTTAATAGCTAGGTAATATTTCAAATCGCTTGCTTCAAGAAACCATGCTCACTGTATTTAGATTTGAGGCCAGGGTCTCGCTTGAGCACTCCGATCTGGTATCGAAAAGAGTCGAGGAGAGTATTCAAGTCTTGGACGCGCACTTGGAAGATGGCGAAGACATCTACGGTAAGATCTCTCAACGGTATTATCTTTGCTCAGAATCTCATGCTACCAGGCGTCAACACTGGTTGCGGTGGCAATGCCAGCACCAGAACCAAAAGACTTGAGAGCATACAAAAAGCGTTTCTGCAACATCACCAAGCAGGGATTGTTCCACCTTCAAGTGTTGACAGCCATACTCTCCCACATGACGTCGTACGTGGCGCAATGGTCTTGCGATGTAACTCATTGCTACGCGGTCACTCTGCAGTGAGAATGGAAATCATCGACCTGGTACTTCAAGCGCTCAATCACAGAGTCACGCCAATTATTCCTCTGAGAGGAAGCATCTCTGCATCGGGAGACCTGAGCCCTTTATCATATATTGGTGGGCTTGTGGAGGGTAATTCGGATGCTATGGTGCAGATGAAGACAAAAGAGGGTGACATCAGGACCATAGATGCTGCGAGCGCCCTGAGAATGCTTGGTATCATGCCGTTGACTCTCAGAGCCAAAGAAGCTCTTGGATTAATGAATGGCACGGCACCTAGCGCAGCTGCGGCAGCTCTAGTATTGCATGATACAAACACGCTCGCTATCCTAGTTCAGCTTCTGACAGCAATGGCAACTGAAGCGCTCCTGGGCTCTGTGGATAACTACCATGAATTTATTTCACAGTGTCGGCCCCACCCAGGTCAGGCGGAGGTAGCTACCAACATCAGAAAGTTCTTGACTGGATCAAAGTTCAGCCAGAAGACACAGGCGAAGCAGCAAGGGCTCGTGCAGGATCGATATGCACTTCGCACTGCACCGCAGTGGATTGGGCCCCAGCTGGAAGACCTATCGCTCGCGAACCAACAGATCATCACCGAGCTCAACTCATCAACGGATAATCCACTTATCGACGTGGCAGGGGATCGATTTCATCATGGAGGAAACTTTCAGGCCGCGTCCGTCACATCTGCGATGGAAAAGACAAGAGTGGCCCTCGTCATGTTTGGCAGACTTCTGGTGTCTCAGTGCAACGAGATCATCAACCCCACGATGAACAAGGGGCTATCTCCTAACCTGTGTATTGATGATCCAAGTATCTCCTTTACGTGCAAGGCAATTGATATCAACATGTCATCATACTTCTCTGAGTTGGCACTGATCAGTAACCCTGTTGCGGCCCACGTCCATGTGGCCGAGATGGGCAATCAGTCAGTGAACTCCCTTGCTCTGATAGCTGCTCGTTTTGCTAGCCAGTCAACCGATATCTTACACACGATGAGTGCAGCACATCTGTACATCCTTTGTCAAGCTTTGGATCTCCGAGCCCTGGAGAAAGACTTTCTGGGAGCTATTGAGCCCCATTTATCTTCTCTTTACAACGACCTGTTTAGTGGTACTGTTATCAAAGATGATTTCAGAGCTGTCTGGACGCAGCTTGTGGCGTCATGGTCTGCTCACAACCAGTTGGATATTAAACCACGCTGTACAGCTTCGTCTATCGATTCTACAAATTGTATAACCAATATTATCATGACTCACAAAGCGAGTCTGTCGTTATACGAAGCTGTGAAGAGTTGGAATACTTCAGCAGCGTCAATTCTTGCCGAAGAGCACGAAAAGACACGCCACCAGTTCATCTTGAATCCATCTACGCCAAATTACTTGGCCAAATCAACAAAGGAAATTTATATCTGGGTTCGGCAGACGCTTCAGGTCCCTCTACATCGTGGACTCGTGGATCACCCCGGTATCGAGGGAACCGAGGAACGGAAAAAGAACATTGGGTCAATGGTGACACGGATTTATACGGCCATTCGGGATGGGGAGATCAGAGAGGCTCTAGAGAGAGCGACCGATGATTAAGGAATGATTTTCAGTACTTTCATCCAGAGATAAACCGCATTCCGGGACTTCATTATTTAGTAAGATGGTACAAATGTTTTATTGCTCTATTTTGATTCGCTATTTTGATCCGTCAAGTAACAGTAAATCTTTCTTACGATTCCCACCACCACATGCTGTAAAATAACGTATATTATACTGGTAAAACTTGACGTACTTTGGAGGTATGTATTCAGTGACAGGACCTTACTGTCATTTAGTTTCTGATTCACTCCAATGGATACTTGTTGAGAGAAACACGCCTTGTAGCACTCCTGCATTCACTCTCCAGTCAGAGTCCCAATGCTGCCTGAAAGGGTGATGCATGACTCCAATATGTCGATCATTCATTCCCTTGTGACATCTCGCATAAGACAAACTATGCTCTTGCCCGAACTGGCCTCAAGGTATGTGCATACAGTTCTTTTGGCCATCTCGCATGACATGGATTGTCTGATTGCGTACCTCACGGGCCAAACTCTCATTTCTTTTGGGCAACTCGCACGTCATAAACTGTAATCTTGCTCTTTTGATGTGCGTGTATTGAAATTTACACTTACCACGTCTGTAGGGCATCCAGAATCGGCGGTGGCAAAGTCTTGTCTGGTAAGGCTGGGAAGTAGAGATCACCGAGTTCACATAGGTCATAGAGCACAGCTCAGCAGCCTTTTGAATCTTCTACAAAAACTTGATGGGCCGTAAAGCAGGGTCTCCACAGGTCATCTTTCATCGTTCTACGAATCTCAAGTTACCAAGTCCAAAGCAAAAATGGGAAACAAATACTACAAGCCCGAGGAGACAATCTTCGTTCGTTGCTGACCCATCTAAAGAATACAATCCATCAATAGCTGATGATTACATTTACTTAGCACGATGATGGGCGAGAGGAAGGGCTTCTCGCATTCATCCAGTCTCATCCCGAATACAACCAGATGCGTGGAAACCCAAAACTCATTCTCGCTGCCATTGATGAGTACGGTCAGACCAGAGACTTTTTGATGAACGTTGGGCATGAAAAAGGCAAGATCGTGGCCGAAGATTTGATTCCCAGCCTTGAGCCTGATCTGATGGTTGAGCTGGGTGGGTATGTGGGGTACTCTGCCCTTCTATTCGGGAACGCCGTCAAGCGTTCTGGTGGAAGGAAGTACCTCAGTCTTGAGAGAAGCCCAAAGTTTGCTGGTATAGCCAGGGTGCTGATTGAACTCGCGGAGCTAGATGATGTAGTGGAGATTGTTGTGGGCCCCTGCCGGGACTCGCTTCGAAAGCTTCGCGAGAATCACTCGACCGGCCACGTGGACGTCTTCTTTATTGATCATGCCAAGTTACACTATGTCAATGATGTGAAACTCTGCGAGGAGCTCAAACTTATTGGGCCCGGTACAACTATCATTGCCGACAACGTGATTTCCCCGGGAGTTCCAGACTATCGGGATTATGTCCAGATATCAGTCGCTCAGAAGATTGAAGCAATGCGTGAAGAACAGCAACGCCTCTTGGGTGAGGTTGGCCCGGACAAGTCTCTGGGAAATCCACAGCTGGTTTATGAGACTCGACTTATCGACAGCTTTGAACCGACAGGAGAGCCAGTCAGTTTGATCCATAGGTGGAAAATATGATCATCGATACTGACATTGAACAGGACAGCTTGGAGGTGACTCGCTGTGTGAAGGTCGAGGGAAACTGAGATGGATGGTCTTTTGTACGCCAGGGACTCATTGTTTGGCAGTTAATGGTCTTTTTACCTACATACTTGGTGAAAGAGACCCATTATCTATCCTACTTCTTCCTCTCTTGATGCGTTGAATTGATTACTCGCTACAGTGTATTCTTTTTTCAAAGCGTAACGTAAGGACAGGCCTCAACTACGTATTTGCTTGACACTTGTTGTACATTTTTGCTGCAGCTTTAAGTGGCTCTGCGTGCCGAGCACACTTCCTCTCCCATATAATTTATGATCTGGTATTTACAACTGAATCCGGAAGATTTTATTCTTCGCACTCTTGTTCCCCTCTAGTATTTGGTATCGTACAAGTGCATCGGTATCCATGCAGATGAGGGTGTACTTGAATGCATTTTTGCCTCATCATTTTGTGAGCCAAAACAGGATTAATACTGGCACAGACCCCGTTCCCTTCCCACTATCATCTGACGTAGAACTAACCGAGTCAATGGGTTGGGTGGTGAGGTAAGCGAAGATCGGCAGATGCGCTACCTGCTGCTTATTGCACTCGAGTTCACAAACTCCACCGCTACTCGGGTGACATCAATTTACCCGTACCCGAGTCTAGACCCTCGGCGAGACTAGCTACGAGATTTGTAGATGAGTAGCCTCTACACGCCTTTCTTCACCGCGCGTGCCACCAAGAATTCCTGTCCAGCCAAATCGCCTGTAATCACAACGTAAAATGAAGAATTCATTGCTTTAAAACAAGCAGACTGACTGAACAATCATACAGCTGCAAAGAACAAGGCTCTGCCTATTCGTATTCGGATCTCTATTCATGAATCTGACACATCTTGATAGGTTGTACGAGTGTAACACCCGTGCAGGTTGAAGAAAGCCCAAGTCTCCGCCCGCAGTTGTGCACAGGTCTGCTAGCAAATTGACATTGCCATCAGAGTCGCTCATGTTACTGAGCTTGAACCCCGATAAAGCTTGCTGCATGAGAAGACCTGCAGTTCTGTTTCACAACATAAACTTTAAGCAAGTCAGAAAGCATTACCGCGAAACTGACCAAGGCTTCAATGTGTATTCGCCCATGCACGCACTAACATGCAAGGAAACGATATTCGCCATCGCAAACAAGAAGAAACCGGAAGTAAATGTGCACGTCCTTCTGTAAGACCTGTTTGCAAGGCATGGGACTGCTTCTAGAGTACATTTGCATGCACCCATTTGGCAAGGTCGATTATAACTTGCTCATCTATGTTGCCTGGAGCACTGTATTCGAGTGGTGTCGATGGCAATTTTCCCGCAATGAAAAGGTGGTTTAGTTGTTCATATAAATGGAATTGAACATTGTGTTTTCCGTGGAGAGCCGTGTGCCATTGTTTGTAATCATCTTGTACGGTGACCTGATAATCCCTGCCACCCTGCATGATGAGAATAGGCTTCCTCATAGAGCTAGCAGTTCCAATGGGGTCGAATTTGCGGTAGTCAAGCCAATAAGACGGGCCTATCCCAAATGGAAGTTGCTTAGCAGGCGTTGACAACGTGAGATGATCGCTATCTGCTAAATCAGCCTGCACCTGCGCTTCATGAATCCGCTTGCCGAGAAGTACTGCTTCTGGGCCATCCAACGATTGAATATAGCGAAGCTGTCGGATCAAAGATCGATACATTGGCTCCGCTGGCCCAGCCATGATGACACAGCCTGCGACTGAAGCTTCCATAGCTGCGACTATGGGAGCAACCACTGCACCAAGGCTATGTCCCAGAACAAAAATTCGCTCAGGAAGGACATTCGGATGGTTCTGGCCCTGCAATATAGCATCGACTGTATGTTCGACATATTCGTCTGTCAAGGTCATATTCTTGCGATTGCGAAAAACTTTAGGGTAGGTGCGAGTCACTTTATCGAATCGAATAGAGGCAATTCCATGACGAGCTAGACCCCATGCAAGGTCTTTGAATGGCTTGTTATCCTCCACCGTCGAGTCTCGATCACATGGCCCCGAGCCCGCCAGAAAAACCACACAAGGGAACCTTGGTATCCCAGCTTGCTCTTCCGTGATATTAGGCAAACAAAAAGTTCCTCCGACCTTGGATTCACTTTTCCCGAGTGTAATATCGAATTCGCGTGCAATGTTGTCGGCATAGCAGGGCATCTGCCAGCCAGCTCCGAGCCCGAGCGCTCTCATTGGGAGAAAGCGAAGACCCACAAGACTGCCTGCCGAAGTCATTTGTAGTAGCATACCAAACTCTGCGTGCTGAAATCTTAGTGGGACCTTAATAGAGGTCAGCCACCATCCGCTGACAACAATTGGATCGCCAACGCTCTCAAGTGGACCGAAAGCTTTGCCTACAATCTTCCAGCTCTTCTCTAGGAGAGACTCTGAGAGGAAAAATCGGACAAGTGGGATGAATTCCAGCCGCAAACCTGCCCAAATCTCACTTTCGATTTGTCGAACAATTTCCCGGACGCGAAGTTGAGCCTTTGACACATCTAGCCGCCGCGACGCGGTCAGATGCACTCCCATCCGTTCAGCCAAAGCAGCCACCTTTGCCCAAACGGAGCAAGCCATTTCCTGGTTTTGTAGGTGATGAGCCCGCGGAACCCGCTGTTATAGAGATCTCTCAATAAACGGGAGCAAAAAGTAGGATCAAAAGTGGTTGGAACTTATATGGTAGAGCAAACTAGTAATTGGGGCTCTCTACAAGCATGTTTACCAGTTCTCCACCTAAAAACAATGGACAAGAGACTGGCTGAGGCAATTGACAGACATGAGTACGATTCGATCATGTGATATAAGCACTATCGAGCATATGCACATACAATCGAGGCCTTGGGAGTCTGTGCCAGGGTTTAACGGACGCTACGAGGTATGGGTATACGCCACTAAAGGGAAACAGCGGCAATAAAGAGCAACAGCTATTGCTCGTAAACAAAAGGACAAGAATCATGTTAGTCTAAGAAGAGATAAGTGTTGTCTGGAGCTATTTAACAGCAATCAAATGAATCTTGAAAGAATATGGCAAACTAGCCGATTTCACTATATTGAAATCGCCCACCTGGGCACAAATTTAAGAATCAACAACCAGTCTTTTTTGGAAGTGGAGATAATCCATCAAGTCAGAACAAAGCAGTCCTGAGGACCCCATGCCGAATCCCCAGCAACCAACTTGTCGCGCATTATGTACAGCCAGGAATATATCGTACAAGTATAAAGCAACCCAAACGCCCTCTATGCTTCCGTTCTATCCAAAATATTCGCCAAAGTGCCGTAAAGAAGAAGTACAGACCGAAAACAAAAGGTATCGAAACAAGCCAGCCGACAGAATGAAGGTGGTAGTCGAAGGCGAAGTCGAGTCGAGATCAAGCTTAATCATCAGACTCAGGCATACGCATATAGGCATCAATGGCAGCACTAAAAGCCGCAAAACCCGCACAACCAAAAGCAGCTGCTTGCGGGCCAGCCTTCGCACCCAAGATACCACCAGTCATACAACCAGCCGCAACGCTGTTGGTCAAGTCATTCTTCGCGCGAAGACCCTCAATACAGCACTCAGTTCCGGAGTAAAGTGCGCCGACGATACCGAAGTTCTTAGCAGAAGACCAGGAGCGCGCACCCATATCCTTGAAACCGCGGCGGACCTGCTCGCGCCAGGGGAGATCGGCGATTGCGCGTCCTTGCGGGGTGAAGGTGGAATCGTAGGACATCTGGATATCACATAATATGATTAGAATTGCAAGGTAGTTAAGGTGGAAGGGGCAAATGCTTACACTGGCCATGAAGAGACCGAATGCACCACCGAGACCAAAACCCATTGTGCCGGAGATGACTGTCTTCACGGGGCAGGATTCCATACCGGCTTGCATCTGTTGCGCAAGTTTGTTAGTTAGAAGACGAGTAGATTGGTAGAAAATAGCGTACCATCTTGACCATTGCTTGTTCTTGCTCGCTCATGCCGGCGTTGGGGTTTCCTCCCAAGCCGCCCATGGGCTGTCCCATACCCATACCCGCGGGATTCATGACTGTTTCAGGTGGTTGATCGTGTGAGGGGTTTTGGTGGTTTTCCTTTTCGAGGAGGATGCCTGGGTCGATAGGACTTGGAGCGTAATTAGATCCCCTAAGGAAGACGGACACGAACCAACGGAGCGCGGAGAATCTTGCGGAGGCGGCAACTCACGCAAATTTATTTTTGCGGCGCGGCAGATCAACCAAGGTGGCGGTTCATCACGTGACTATCGGCCAGCACGGGTTTACAGATCTAGATCATGTTTTGAATTATTGACAGAATGAATCTCACTGAGCTCGTTAATAACGGTGATTTGATATTTGGGTTTCTTATTTATCAGGTTTATAAACAAGCAGAGGCCAAGGTCAAAGAAACCAACCAAAAGAACCAGACGCTCCAAATTGTAGAAAGAGAAGAAAAGAAGCAACGCTCTCGTGGGTGCAACAGTCGTAGCCCTACATTATTTCAAGGATGCTGTGTCGTGCCAAATCGCCCAACGGAGACCCCATCAATGGGGCCGAAGAAGCAAATGGGGGAGAATATATACATAGAAAAGAAGATGAAAAGAAAAGCAAAGCAGGCTTAGTCCTTCTTGCTGCTTTTGCCGGACGAGTCCTTTCGCTCCGGAGAAGGCGAAAGGCTGCGCTCCCACTCAGCCATAAGATTGGAAGCAGTACGCTGGAGTTTGGAGGGTGCCAGCTTGGTGATAGCAGGCCAGGGGATGCCTTCGGTTACGCTGGGATCAGGAGGGGCGGAAGTAGGATTCCACTCGCCAAAGCTGCGGATCGAGCGTCAGCGTCAGCTCATGACCAGATTGTCATATATAAAATCAGAAAAAGTCGAAATGTACCTAGCACTGGTTCGTGGACTACTACCCTGCGTCGTGGGTGACTGGTCTAGCTTCGACTCGACAGTCGACCGACTAGACGAGGGTGTGTGTGTTTTATTTCCGGACAACGGAGTATCCCAGACATCCCAATTATCGGCGGTATCATCCTCCACGGGACTGCCGGAGCGGCGACCGAGCCGCTCGGATTCCTTCTCCCCCGCGGGGTCGTGTCGTCGACTTTTTCGGAGGGGCTGCGACGAGCGCCGGGAGACTTCTGCGCTGGTGAATCAACGCCAAATTCATGCCAGAACGAAGAGGCGATGTCCGCCGGCTTGGAGTCTTTACCGGATCTTGGCTCGGCCGCTGGCCCCCTACCCCGCGACGAAGATGATGAAGATCTTGATTTGTCCCCCGCAACTGATAGCCGCTCTCGGCTCCTTGATTTGGCGAGCGAATCGCGTTTCCGCGAATTGGGTGGTGCTAGTGAGTTCGGTGATGAAATCGTTCGTGATTCGGTTCCGTTGATACCTTCTTCGCCCACGGTGGCTTGTCGGATGTCTTCCAAGAATGTCCACAGACCTTCACGCAGATCCGAAGCCATCTGCTTACCAGTTCGCATAAGCGCCTCTCGAGATGGCGGAGGCAGGGTTTTACGCCACTGGGCAAGCAGATGTTCCGGTACTTGACTCTCGTCGATCGGTGCTACCATGCTCGGACCAGTAGTCGTGCGTTCGACCGATGGAAGAGTAGCTGAACGCGGTGTCCGACCAATACGTTCAGGATCAGGCAGACCGGGGCTCAGGCCAGAGGTAAGGGTGACGGGAGAGAGAAGAGACAACGTGCGTGTGTGTGAGCCCTGGAAGACACGTCGACCATTGGAGGAAATGGTTGTGCCTGCAGGAGCTGTAGGGGCAGCACGAATACTCATCCGCCGATCCAGTTCCCGACTGATTCGCTCTTGAGATATGGCCGAGCTACCGACAGAACTCATGCTTTGTTCCCGGCGGTGCGAGCTCATACTCGAGGCCTCTACCCCACTCAGATCGGGAGATCGAAGTGGTAACATCGGCTCAGCGTGATGGCTTATCTCAGTGCGTTTCCTCGACTTCTCCGACAACGCCCATTGTTTCTTGATGGTTGACAAATCTGCTTCCGCCCGCTGTAGCTCTTCGCGGAGCTCCATCACCTTGCGTTCCTGAGAAGCGATGGCCCGCAAAAAATCGTAGCCATCGTCTTCGACATCAAACGGGATGGGGGTCCCGGTGGGGGAGAGCAGGGAGCCCAGGGTTTGACGGCTGTGTGACAGGGGTCATGGATGACGGCGACGCAACAGCGCTATCCGGGGTTGCAGCTGGGGAATGATTCAAAGGGAAATGGATGGGGAGGTTTAAGGTCAGGCGTTTGGCATGTCGCGCTGTATTGTGAGCACGAGGTGGAAGTGACGATCGTTTATTCTGCGAGAGTGATGAGGAGCGAGAAAGAGTGTGTGACTGCTCGGATACAGGCTCCGGCTGTGTTGGGGATTCGAGGGTTGAAGTCTGGGACGCATCCGGCGGTGGACCAAGTAGATCGCCCATTCCCGAGCTCTCCATGATGGACCAGCCAGCAGGGAGAGAAAAGAAAGAGTTATGTAGGGAGGAATATGGGCATATGAGCACCGAAAAATATTCAAATATATACAGAGGAGGGATTGAGGAAGAAAAAGGTGACAGTCGAGGTCTGGAAGTCTCCGTTCTCCTGAGAGTCCACAGTGGGTCCCTGGACCGCGCATCCTTGCCACGAGTGTTTCAGGGGCCGCTCCGAGGTACTGGCCGCTTCAGCCAGTTATTTTGATTCTGCGTATTTATTGCAGTGCTGCAATTTCTACTTGCCTATCAAAATATCCCCCTCACAACTTTGTAGTCTGGCTTATGATAGAGCCTCAGGGGTAAATGACTTGTGGGGGCTAAAGAGGATCGACACTTCAGACTGCCTAGATACGAACGAGCAAAGCCATTGGATGATTTTCTCCGGTCTCACGTCGGACATCTGAACATGTGCACATTCTTCGTGTTAGTCAATGCGATTAGATCATAGCGATGTATAACGCATAGCGTAACAGCCAAGGGTTTGGGATATGAAATCGAGCTGGAGATGCTCGCACAAATACAAGTAGCTACACTATGTAGGCCTGGTTGATATAGTGTCAAGGTCTCGTCTGGACAACAGGGTTATATAATATGTACTTAAGGTACGTACAGCCAGCTTTTGGCGGAGATTGAAATTGTATCAGGTCTTAAGAAACCCCTAAATATAGACTCTACAGAACTAAAATTTGAAATTGCTAATTTGCCAATTGCTCCATCTTGTGTCGAGTAAGCATCCACTCCAGTATACTCCACTTCGCGCTAAAAGACTCCGTACAGTACACTTTTGCAATGCCAAATACAGTTTAGCGTGTCGGCTTGGGTTTAGCGCTTCCCTCACCGCGCGTGCTTTGTTTAAAGTTGTCTTCATCGCTACTTTGCTATGCTTTCACCCATTACTCCTCCTTTCTCTCCAAATGATACACATTCCGCGCTACCGTAGAAAAAAACATCCACTAAAATTGACATCCTCAATTTTCTCGCCCCAGTACTCATGGTGCTCAATTGCAATACGCTCGGTATCGTTTTGTCCTGAAACCTCAAGGGCCATCTACAAGCTCACTCTATATGACCTACCACCATCTCGGCGAGGATTGCCCGGATAGGCTGGCGAGTGTGCATAATCTGGCTTTCATCTAGAAGTTTTCAGGCTAACATGCCGAAGGCTTCAATCTGATGCGACAGTGTTTGGTCATTTGGTAACGAATACTTCCCTTTGATCATCCGGACCTTCTGCTGAAAAGTTACTGGAATGGGAGACGGAAGAGCTGGAATTTAGCTGTAGATATGCTGGATAATCATATCGTATATTTGAAACCCAGTTTCCATTCTGAATTCCCAATTCCCAATGAATAATGAGCTTCCCGTATATTTAAATCATAAAGGGATGTTAATGCCCATCAGAAATCGCCATTGATGAAATTTTGAGGATCACAGGTGTTGATAAGTACCTTATATTATTTGTGAGAATCTGGGCTTTGACTCACGGATCAACAATCTAGTTCTAGAGTAAATATAAATACCTATAATTATCCAACCTTGTGCCGAAGCCAACAAGAATACCTAGGGAGTAGCTGGTCGAAGAGCCGAAGAAACGCCTGCATTGCCGTTCAAAGTGATAACCGCAGTCATGGCGATGCTACTTCAAGATCTTCCAATGAGTAAAATCGAAAGTTCATGGCTCCTGGGCTACACCTTATGATTGAGGTTTAGTTCGCCGAGGATGATGCGAGTAACAATCATCTGGACACTTTTACGGGTGGCAGCTAGGGACCAAAAACTCGCATGAACTGAACAAGCAGATAATAACCAACAAAAATTTCCAAGTCAAGCGTATACCTATGTACCGGATTTCCTTTGACAATTTTGGCTTCCTTTTCCGGATTAGTGCTCACCCTCTCGCCGCTTTTACTCACTGAGCAAATCTGAGCACGGCCTCCGGCTCAGTAATCGGATCAGTGAGTCTTACATAAGCCATGCTCATACTCAGTGAGCCGATTTAATTTGCTCAGTGAGCCGATCAGTCTGCTTAGGCCCGGCTCGCTGAGCCTGCGCAGTAATGTGATTCGTCACTGAGCGCACTCCGCAGCAGGCCAATTATATGCATGAGCAACCCCAATAAAACGAATTTCACTACGCCGCCTCAAGGCCCCACTCACTCAAAACAAGAAGTTTATCATCCCACCTAAAGGCGAATGGCCAATCTCACTTGACTACCTACTATCCTTATTTGACAATGAACGATGTGATAAAACAGAATATGTAGTAAGTTTTGGCCTATTAGCTTCTATCTAGCACTTTGCTCCTAGGAACACTTGGCTCTGCTTATCCGTTCTTGGCTACCCTTAAGTCTGATCTTTACGAATGCTCCTAGGAAGTACTGTAGTTCACTTAAGTATTGTCTAATTCCTGGGAACTGTATCTACCGCAATTGAGATTGCAATTAAAATTTGCTACGTACTAGTCTAGGAGCCTGTATGTGCCACAACAAACGTTTATAGCTTTGGCGCGCCTTAACTATTGCTTACCTCCTGAGTTATAGACCCTCCTGTATGTGAGAATTAAAGTAGTATTTAAGAAGGACCACGTTCCTCGATAATAATGCCAAAATAATCTTGTGTTTCTAAGGCTTCGAAATATTATTTGAATTCTGAAAAACTATGGATTTAGATAGATGCACCTAGCCGATTCCTATAAGGAGACCGTTAACTTTTGATGTTATCCGTCGAGTAGTAGAGCTTATGATAGTGGGTTGATACCCTTTTTATTATACGAACCGACTGTCGCTGCTTTGATTTAATTGTTTATTAGAATATCCCAAACTTTCCTAACGTGGGCGTTTGCACCTTGATGGGCCCGATTCTGTGGCTCTCTAAGATCACCGTCAATATAAGATCAATTAGTTGTTATATATTTAGTCTGCTCCTGGGCCTACTATAGCCACTTCGCCTGTTGCTATAGAAGTGGCGATCTCTTAGGAGTCGACGTCGCTAAATGAACATCACGAGAAACGAAGTCTTGATATTAGCATTGAGGATGTCCTGAGAATATCGAATAAGCCATATCGCTGCTCGAAGTTTGAATAAGGCACCTAGACTCAAGCGGGACGAAAGAGAAATCGAAAGGACCAAGTTATGATTAACGTGGAGGTTGTCAACGACATAATAGTTTTTTTGAAGCAGCTGTCCGATTATTTCGATGCGCCTTATAATGACCAATGCCGAAATGTGGCCTAATGCAGTAGCTGAGACCACTAATAAGCGACATCCGCATCCAAATAAGGCAAGTTGAAGCGCTCTTAGTGGATTCCCTCACGGGTGCCGATCTCAACCCCAGCCAATGTAACCCCATAAGCTCCCAAAACGGTAGGGTTAGCCACTTAATATACTCGGGCAGCATGTCGCGGGACTGTATGTCCAAACTATCCGAACTTCTTGAGTTAGATGAGCGTTCTGTGAAATACCGGACCATTTCCTTCCAATCCGTCTTTCAGATAGATAGGACAACGCAAGATGCAGCTCTCCATGCACCGTCTGCTTACTTTTGGCCTGTTGGTCACTGCCGCACAGGCATACGCCAGCAGATCAGAAATGCCGCGTACAGTCGTTACAACAGACATGGAGCAAGACGACCTGGCCTCACTAATCCGGTATCTGCTTTATACAAATGAGCTCGACACCCAGGGCATTATCTATACTTCGAGTCGCTATCACTGGTCGGGCAACGGCCACGGCGCAAAGTTCTACCTATCCGATCGCGAGTACAGCTCCCCACAGTGGACATGGCGCTGGACGGGCACGCGAACAATCCAGGACAAAGTTATTCAGGCTTGGGCAGAGATTTGGCCTAATTTGAACAACCATGATCCGTTCTACCCAAGCCCAGTCGAGTTGTTATCCCTTGTCAAGGTTGGCAACATCGATTTTGATGGCGAAATGGATCATGATACCGAAGGCTCTAACATCATCCGGTCGCTTCTGCTGGACAATGACACTCGGCCGCTTTACTTGCAGGCATGGGGTGGCACCAATACGATTGCTAGGGCTCTGAAGTCAATTGAGGAGCAACACGCGGGCTCAGGGCAGTGGGCGCAGACCCAGTCCACCGTCTCTCAAAAAGCCGTCATTCTAGCTAGTGGCTTTCAGGACGAAGCATATGCGAACTACATTTCTGCCAAATGGCCACAGATCAGGGTCGAGCAGCTGGAAAACGGATACGCGACCTGGGGCTACAACTGCAACAATGGCCAAGGGAATACCCGCGGCGATCCCACTGACAACATGTACTTCACAGGAGACTGGATCAAAGCAAACATTGAAATAGGACCCTACGGCAAGCTATATCGGTCCTGGCTCGACAATCAAACCATGCCCGGCGATTCGATGGATATTTTCGGCAATATCACTAAAGCCGTGACTACGACCTTCTGCCAACCACTCGAACCCTACGCATTTTTATCCGAAGGCGACAATGTGGCTTTTAACCCACTACTGAATACCGGTATCCAGGACCCAGCTAATCCCGGCCTGGGCGGCTGGGGCGGCCGGTCTACACAGAATACCAGTTCCCCGAACCTATGGACAATGGTAGAGCGTGAGCGCAATCAAAACAATGCGGAAATCACCAGCTACACTACAAGTCGATGGGCCGGGGCAATTCAAAATGATTTTGCGGCTCGTATGCAGTGGACGCTCACACCGGACTACACTGAAGCCAACCATGCACCTTCGGTGAAGATTGTGAACGGAACGTTAGTCAAGGCGCGTGCTGGGTCAACAGTGGTCCTGACCAGTGCCGTTAGCGACCCGGATAACGACAAGGTTGCCACATCGTGGTGGCAGTTTTATGAAGAGGGGACATACCCGGGTAGAGTGACAGTGACCGAGGGTGACAATGGCCGGGCGATAGTAAAGGTTCCCGCTGATGCGAAGTCGAGCCAGAAGATCTCGATTATTTTACAAGGGACTGATAATGGTCATTTCCCGTTGACCCGCTATGGCCGGATCTTTATTGAGGTTGTATAATTTATATAGTGGACTCGATTCTTAATTAGGTAAAAATTAAGATTTGGTCTGCCTCATATTCAAAGCCGAGGCGCTGCGATTGACTTGCAGAAGGACTCAGACGAAACCATGACCAATAAGATTGACCAAAAAGAACGAGAGTCCATCCATGATCTGCAAGAGTAGCACCACGGAGCTCTGCATTGTAGTGGGACCATGGTCTGATAGGAATTACTGGGGAATGGCTAAAGTTGGACTAGCGTGTTTCAAGCTACGGTTCGGGAATGAAAGTCAAAGAGTGTAGGGGTAAATCTGATTCCGAATACTACTGTATCAATTAGCGGACATCAGCAAAATGTTAAAACAGACGATAGAGAATAGTCTAAAAACGCAGGAACGAATTTCAAAGTACTTCCTATGGGTATAATTGTTGCGGCATACTATCTTGTATGGTGTGCGGAGGCTTGTGTCCAGGCGCAGTACTTCTTCGTAAGAGCTATGCATGCCTATACGATTCAAGAATTTTGCGATAGCTAGAAGGGCTTCAAACATTTTTCGAAGGGTCAATGGAATAGACATCTGAGTAAATATTCCATCCGGCTTTGTCTGAAATTTATTCTAGGGATTGAATCTTAAAATGTGGTATACATACCCTTAAGCTTAACCATTCGCCGGAGCTTCTATTTCCACGTTTTCTCAAGTTTTTACTATTCTTTCAATGGCTGTATTGCCTTATACTATGACAAACACGTAAATATAGGCCTCCAGGAATCCTATTCAATACTAACCTTCAATCTCAAATCCCGCATAAGCTCAGATACACTCCCAGGCGTTTTCATCCTCATAACCACCAGGCCCCTTGTATATATTTCGCTTCGGATACCGACAATGCCGTCTTCGATACTCCACCTTGTCTTCTTTCATCATCGATCCCCGCACTGTCTCTGGTGCAATACCTTCCTCTACCCATTTCACCATTGCCATCAAGACATTGTCTTCCGCGTGACTGCTCACATATGTGCCAATGCCTTGGCCAATGTAGGACGGTCCCGTGCCTGGGGCGCAATGTGACATTCCACTTATCGTGAAAAAGCGATAAAACTCATCCAACTCAGATGGGCCCAAATTCATCGACTCAGCCACTTTCCGGTAGTACAACTTTGAGCTCTCGGAGCTAATCAGCGGATCTTGCATGCCATGGTAATGCAAAACCCGGCCACCAACATTCTGGAACTCTGCGAGATTCGCATCGTACGTTTCGATGTCAAACGGGTTTTGGGCATAAGCAATAGCGGCATCATCGAGTGTCCAAGTAGTGTAGTCCCAGTTCGGGTTGCTAAGCACAACATCTTGGTACCACTGAGCTGGGTATAAAGGTGGGAGACCATTATAATATAGCCCAAAGGAATTTGCCTCAACTCCGGGATTCATTTGAGGATAGTACAGTGTACCATCTGGGCCATAGAAAGGGCTCAGAACCTGGCGGACGGTGTTGGCCTGAGTCCCGGTAAGGCAGGTGCTGCTGTTTGATTTAGGTGTACAGATGAGCGTTTCCAAGATAGGATTACATAAAGATGGGTCTTCAATGAGTCCATCCAGAGCACCATCAATACCATCGCACTGCCGAATGACTTCCTTCTGAACAGCCGTCCATTGGAGCTGAGTCAAGGAAGTGGGAGAGCCCATGGGGCCGGTGATGTTATTGAGGAATAGACCCCAAGAATTGAGATTCACGAAGTTGAAAGCTGGTGAGCCAGCGACCACGCCATCAAAGTCCTGAGGAAATCTTTGGACAGACTTCCATCCCTCACGACCCCCGTAGAGCAGCCGAGATAATATGACTTTCTGTATCCCTCCGGGTAGAATTGGGTAGTGATCTTTTTCCCAACCACTACTCCGGTGTGCAAGGAGCGGTATGCAAAGTCTGCCACAACTTCGGGGTTGTTGAGGAATGCTGCACCCGAAGTACCGTTGTGGCCATTGTTTGCACCGACCGTAGCGAAGCCTAACATGGTGCCATATGCCATATCATCATACTTAATACCTAGTTTTCGCTAGATTAGCAAATGAATAATCCAAGGTGTTTGAAAGCGAGAAAGGTGTGTATACATCCAGCCAGACCACCATTTCCCGTGCTCAAGAATCGCCCAGTGTAGTCTCTAGGAAGCCACATCTCTGCCGTGAGTCCGCTCTGATTCGATGTCGTAATCGACATGGCAACGCGACATATGTCACCACCATAAAGTGTCTGGTACTTTGCGCCACATGATGCCGGATTGTCAATCAGTGAGACATTAGACTTGGCCGGGACAAACTCGGCAAAGTTGACGATAACATTCGGTAGGTTTATATTCTGATGCAGCGCAGAGCATGCAGTTTTAAAATGGTCGGCGGCCGAACATGTAATGAGCCCCAAAAAAAGGAGCAGTAGAAACATATTGCTCCGATAGTTTCGCGTATAATTTCAGTTTGAAGATGTTTTACAAAGAAAATCCTGACGAGGATTTGCCTCCTATTTGAGGTGGCAGTAGGAAATGGCTCAATAGATGGAAGAGCCTCGGTTTTCAATAGATTACATAAATACCGTATAATACTCCAGCTTAACGGCTGCTGCAAATGCCGATTATTTAATCTAAATTCGGGGGAAAAGAAGGCTACACATATATTGTAAAATCTTCGGCGTTGTGTATTGCATAAATACTGTATACACATGAGCCACGCGGCGTTTGCAATTGCCGGCTGTGTAGCATAGTACAGTGTTGCTTTTAAGTCCGCTTGATTTGAAGGTTGATCACCAATTCCTGGATGACCAGAGTTTGATACTTTTTGCTTCCTATTTTCCTACCAGCAATGGAAACTTCGGGAATTTGTGCTGCTGAGTAGCAAAGACGAGTGATAAGCCACGACCAATCTGAGTAATTGTTACGTTGGGAGTTTATCTGATACGTCAGATATAGACAGATTATTCCCCGGCAAAGCGCTTTCGCGAACGTACGTGCAGTTACAAAGTGGGTCATTCCCCGGACCCCGCTCTTGGACCCCAGACCCTGGCAGGCACCATCCATTTCCGTTTCCCCTGATTTGAACCTTCTTGCCGACCCTCGACATTTTTTGTGGAATCAGCAGTTCGCGCTGTGAGTTTGGTCGGGATTTATAATCGCACGCCCCTTATTGCCCTTTGCAAAAATTCCTTAATGTTTTCCTGATCCACTATGTGTCGATGCTATCAGATTAGCCATTGTTGCCATGACCAACCAATTGATATATATTCTCGCACATTGAATATCTCACTTCGATCGTCTTCTACAATAGTGATACTCACTGTTTCTTCGAAGCCGCCGAAAAGTCTCTCGGCACAATTGAGGACACTCGACATCACCGGGCGTCCATTCTCATTCTTTCTGCCATTTGTCTTGTGGATGTACTAGCGAATAAATTCTTTTAAATCCATGTGGTCTGGGGTTGCACAATTCGGTCCCAGTTTGTAGCCCTCAAAGCCATACTTTCCAACGAACGTATATTCAAATTAACAAGTCGTTCAGCGAGAAATTTCGGGAAAGATTTTATGTCAACTCACTCCATCCATAGATCAAAGCCGGTCGAGTACATTCCCTTGGTTCTTGGCAATCTTTTATCTTTTTTCCTGATGGAATCATCTTTCGCATCAGCGCCGAAGATATAGCCGTCGTCGGTCCGTCGTCGCTAGCCTTGCTCTTTTGCGGCTTGATTGATATCTATAAGAAAGATCGTCTGACCTATAACTATCACTACCGCAGCGAATTTCAAATTTCCAAATTTGATATGTGAGGTGAAGGTAGGGCAAGAAATGGGAAAGCTAGGCGACTGGAGCTGAAATGCGGAACTTCGGCTCGAATTTATATTCCAATATTCTCGACAAATGAGAGATTTTCTATCGCTGACTAGTATTTAGCACTACGGCATGCTTTAGATTTACGTTATTATGTTCCAATATTAGAAAGAGGAGATGGGCCATAGAGCAGCTCATGAAGCATAGACAGTGCGGTAATTGAGGGCCATCAAAATGTTGATGGGTCAGCTATCAGTAATGGAGAAAATATGCTTCTTCGGGAATAGACTGGCAGTAGACTGGGTGGTCAATATATGCCTCTTAGTAATCAACGGGTATGGCTGGTAGTGAGCAGCCAATCATGATCACTGAGCGCTCACTGAGCGTCACCGGTCTATCACGTGATGATGACGGGCTGCTCAATGAGCCTGAGCCCAGACTGAAAACTACTCAGTGAGCCTGAGTCTGAGCGCCCTCATAAAAGCGGCGGCATCCCGAATAGGAAATCCCCACTCGTCAAAGAAAATCCAGTACGTATAGTGACCTACATACAGACAATTTTGAATACAAATCATACACACATATCCTTGGAACCAGACATATTTCCATTCTCACATAGATTCTCGTACATACTCCACCCTTTTCCCCTTACCGAGAACAATAAAGAGGTAGGGGAGACAAAGGGGTAAAAAAGATAAATGACAAATGACACCAGGAAAAAAAGCTGTTCATAATGAAGAGGCCGAGTCGGGGGTATTGAATAGATGCAATACTGGTACAAGACACGGATGAAAAGAAAAGCATAACCACAAGTTCCTTTGGAACAAAAATAGATGTACCAAGAATTACTACACCCACAACTCCGAAAATCATCAGACGTAAAACAAGAAAGAATGGACGCCAAGATGCAAGCGGGCAGACTCGGACATTTATACAAGAACCATATCCAAGTCTATACAAACAAATGTATGGTAAAGTAGGGAGAAAGTGGAGGGTTGAGGAGGGTAGAGATGAGGGGGAGGGGGGAATGCTTTTGATTAGATCCCCCAGCGGTTGCGGAGGCCTTCTGCCCAGCGGGTGTATAGAACGTCGGTTAATTGTTTCGTGTGTTCCATTCCAGATGCATTTTGGCCGGGCAAGTTGGCGAGAGGGGATGAGGGTCGAGGTTCGACGGCACTTGACTGGCGTCTGTGGTGGCTTTTAAGGTGAGGGTTATTTTGCGCAAGCACAAGGCGTGGACGTTGTGGGGAATCTGGCTGGGTTGATGTTGGGAGGAGAGTAGAGAGGCGAGGATCGGCTTGAAGTCTCTCGTTCATTATGCGGACGATATGGTATAGGCCTTCGGGATCGACCATCTCGAGGTCACTCCAGGCTTCTGCCAATCGGGAGATTGCTTCGCGTTTCTCGCCGTCTCCGGTTGTAGAAAGGACTTCTTGGCATGAAAGACCCACAGCCCTGCTGTAGGCGCGTCGACCGAGCTGGCCCTCTTTGCTAATCGTGTCGGTAGAGAGAGGCTTAGGGCTAGTGTTTTCGTCAAATCCGGGCGGGGGCTTGATCTGTGCGTTCTCGTTGTTGGCGGGGACTCGATCTGAGACACGGCGGAATTGGCGGACGGTGGATGGAGTGTTGCCGTAGCTGAGATCTAGGCCTAATGGTTGCTTCACACCGCTTGAGCGGCGCTTGGTGTTGGCCCGACGGACAGATGGTGATCGCTCGGCGTTCGTGGCCCGACGAACTGTAGAGTTGGCTTGATGCTTTGGTGGTGCAGGTGGTTGAGTGATGTGCATATCCTCCATCAGTTGACTAGGATCTTGTTCTTCCCATTCTTCGTCTAGTGTAGACCAGTCGGTCCCCTTAGGCACCCACATGCTGGGAGCCTTGACGGTATCAAACACCCAGTCTTCATCGTCGTCTTTTTCTTCAGTTGGGAGCTTGGTGATGGTATTTCTGCAATTCATTGTTAGCTGATGTCGTTCAGTCATCGGTGAAGATAACATACAGTGACTCTGCATAGTATTTCACGTCTTTGGTCAGTCCTCGTCCACCGTCCCAGTCCTGCTTGCGGTGGATAAGTTCCTGTAGAGCCTCGGTCTTTCCTGCGTTTCGAATAAACTTATGGCGCAGAAGTTCCTTTGCACTGGGACGATGGTCAGGGTCCTTTGTCAAACACTGCGCAATAAAGTCCTTGAAAGTTGAGCTGTAATCATTACCCTCCAGACGAGGAGCAGGGTTCTTCGGAATCAAAAATAGAACTTTCATAGGGTGTGTGCTGGCATGCGGAGGTTCGCCATTGATCATTTCAATCGCAGTAATACCCAAAGACCAGATGTCAGCCTTGAAGTCATATCCAGCCTGCTGGATCACTTCCGGAGCCATCCAGAAGGGTGTGCCGACGAAAGTATTGCGCTGAGACTTGATATTGACCAATTGTGCCGCGACACCGAAGTCGGCCAGTTTAACTTTTCCGGTATTCGAGAGTAGGACGTTGGCGGCTTTGACATCCCGATGAATCTTGCCTTCGCTGTGGAGGTAATCGAGACCTTGTAATAGCTGTTGGCAGACGATTGCGACATGCGCTTCATTGAAGACCCCTGGTTTTAACTGCGGTTGGGTTAGCAATCGCAGATGCGACGAGCCAGGGATAACCCTTACTAGATCCAGACACGATCCTCCACCTAGATACTCCATCACAATCCAGAGCTTGTGCCCCTTGAGGAAGCTTGCTTTGTACTGTGTAACAAACGCGCTGGCGCAGGTGGCTAGGACCGAAATTTCCTGCTGAATCTCCTGGATATCATCTTCGCTAGACTCGAGATCGATCTGCAAAGCAAAAGAATGTCAATTGAGGTGATTTGATACTCGCCGGACCAATGGATGCATACATGTTTCACTGCGACAATCTCTCCGGTGGTTTTATCAATTGCCTTGTACACTGTGCCAAAGCTTCCACCTGTAAACAAAGGACGGATCAATACATCATTTCCTACAGGGGGCATGGTTGGAGATCAAGCACTTACTTCCCAACTCCTCCATCACCTGGTAATGACTCGCCATGTCTTCCGCCATTCTTGCGACGATCGGCTAAACTTAGCGACTCGGGACTGGGCTGCAACGGGTGGACAGAGATCATGCACAGGAGAAAGTCGTTGTGCTTGATTGCTGTAACAAAAACACCCAGAATGCTTGGAGCAGCAAGTTTGTCAACAGGAAAGAAAGATGGTTAAGGGGTGGAGCCTGCAATGCGCATTGTCCAGGCTAAACAACAGCTCCGTCTCGCATGGCAACCGGGTGGACACCTGACACGTCAGGCAGTAAGGTGGGGATAGCCTTGCCCCCATCAGGACTAGCGTCGATGCAAGGGTCTGGTCCGATGCAATAAACTCAACTATGGACACTATTTTACTCCTTGACTCGGTTTGTCGATACTGATCATGTTATTCTTTTTTGTACATGGATACGCTTCACATAAATTCTAAACACTGCTCGTACAATCCACCTTAGATGTACTTGTAGGGGTTCATGATGCCGTTCTACAAATAGGAGGATCAGTAAACAACCCGTAAGCTTTTTAAGGAATTTAGTACTCACCGGATCATACACAGCCTTGAGTTGCTTCATCAACTTCACCATAGTCTCGTTCTGGCTGTAGCCGATGTACTCCCGCTTGGCAACACCCAGACCGTGCTCAGCACTGATACTGCCATTGCGCTTCTGAATCCACTCATACACCCAGGGCTCAATGGCCTTCTCCACCTCCTTATCGTAGTGACGCACCGACACATTCAAGTGTAGGTTGGAGTCACCCATGTGACCGTAACCGACGACAGCGCGCACGGGGAATGAGTCATCATCGCCGACGAAGCCCATCTCGGTCAGACGGGCCTTGGTGTCCTCAACAAGCAGGTACAGATCAGACAAAGGAATCGATACATCGTACTTGTAGGTTCCACCGAGATGACTCAGAGCCTCGGTGATACCCTCGCGCCAGCGCCACAGAGCCTGGAACTGGGTCTCGTCCTGAGCCAGCACACCATCAGCGACAATGCCCTCTCCCATGACATTCTCCAAGAATGTCTCCAGCTTGGCCATATCGTGCTCAGCATTGGAGCCGCTGGTCTCGATCAGGCAGTAGAAGGGGTAATCGCCCTCCAGCGGGTGCTTATTACCAGTAGACTCGATAACCAAGCCCTGGCTGCGGCCGTCCATCAGCTCGAACGCGGATAGAATCTCCGACAGCTGACCCTTGGCGGCCAGATACGCCTGCTGCACCTGCTCAAAGCTCTCCAGACCGAAGTAAGCGACGTTGACAGCCTTGGGACGCGGTGGACAGATGATGGAGACAGCAGTCACTATACCAATTGTACCCTCAGAGCCAATGAAGAGCTGCTTCAGATCGTAACCAGTGTTGTTCTTACGCAGAGTGGAGAGGGCGTCAACGATAGTCCCATCCGGCAGGACCGCCTCGAGACCCAGCACAGTTCCGTGCAAGCTACCGTAGCGCAGCAATCGCAGACCACCAGCATTGGTCGCAACATTACCTCCAATGTGGCAGGAGCCCTTGGCACCCAGGTCGAGGGGGAACAAGTGGTTGCGCTCAGCCAGGTATTGATCAGCCGTCTCGAGAATGACACCAGCATCGGCAACAAGCACTCCAGAAGCCTCGTCAAAAGAACGGATCTTGTTCATCCGCGAGGTGTTGATAACAATCTCGTCGAAGACGGGGACGGAACCACCGACCAGACCTGTGTTTCCACCCTGGGGCACGACAGCCAATTTCCGGTCATTACAGTATTTCAACACCTTGCTCGTCTGCTCTGTGCTGCCAGGTTTCAAAACCAGACGAGTATGGCCCCGATACTTGCGCATCCAGTCGCTGTTGAAAGGTTCGATGTCGTCCGTTGCATCGGTGGTGACGCCATCAATGACCGCGGATTCGGAGCCCAAGAGCTCCTTGAAGAATGCGACATCGTCAGCAGAGATCTCGGCGAACTTGGGGTCGCGCTTGACGTTGGGGTATGCGTCGCTGGTGTACTTGATCTGCTTGTCGGCTCGGGCGGTGGAGCTTGTGGTGAAGCTACGCAGCACGGTCGCACATGATGCTTGGGGAAGGATGGGGCGAGCAATGATGCGAGGGCGAGGTACTCGAGCCCGGCGGAGGGCCGCTGACAGGTTCCGAACACCAGACATGGTTGTGAGTGGTATGTTGGAGAGAGAGCGAACTCGGAGATAAATTTTGGGGAGGATAATAATCCGGTCAAACAAATTCTAGAGTGGAGATCCCGCGATCGACGGTAGAACAATTATGATCCATACAAATTGCAAAGAATTCGGTGATTTTCGGCTTTTGAGTTCCGGTTGCGCTCCAGGTTCGTAAATACGATGGCCCCATCAATACAAGCTATGAATTTGTGAGTTATAACCTTCTTCCAATTTTTATAGCTTTAGTGTAAAAAAAACCCCATGTAATTCCTAGCCTTGAAAGTCACGGACTGTGTAATACTACACTATGCACACGTGGACATCGGCTATATTTTGCTGAAGAAGCAGAGTTCCAATTTCTACTATGAATTGATCTCAAGGCAGTGGTTCTGGTTCCATTCATTTAATTAAAGTCTACCTGAGCAGTTGTTTTGTCAATCTACGTGTGATCTAAGGCTTTCAGATGTCCGAAGCACTCTATCTTGATGAGAGATCGGCAGGGGGAACCTGGTCACCGGGGCAGGCCTGAGTTACAAAGTACCTGGGTAAGTCGCCCCCATCTATTCTACGACTAGGATTTTGATATATCAGTAGATGGATAGATTAGGTTCATTGAAGCTAATGCAGTAAATAGATAAGATCTGGATGCGGTAGGAAACCTAGCAACTGAGTCAGTTACGTCATGGTAGGGCCCCGCTACACTACAGCAAATGGAAATTCTCACCGAACAACTCTTCCCACTCACAATAACGAAAATGACTTCCGTGGTTCTTGTAACAGGAGCCAGTGGCCTGCTTGGCCGCCAAGTGTTCAATACCTTCCAGCGCTCAGGAGTTCTAGTAGTTGGACAGGGGTTTTCTCGAGCTACCCCGCCAACCATCCTGAAAGCGGACCTTGAGCAGGAAGAAGAGGTCAAATATATCCTGGACGAGGTTAAGTACGTATTCCCTAGATATTTAACAGTCCGGAGACCATGCTAACACCGAAACTTGGTCAATAGACCTCAGATTGTCATCCATTGTGAGCTCTATTCTTTCCATTTCCCGCCTTACCCGCAGCTAACGCCGGATACAAGGTGCCGCAAACAAATCCCCGGACCTCTGTGAAAAGGACCCCGAGAAAGCACGCAAGCTCAATGTCGACGCCACACGTGTCCTCGCCGAGCAATGCTCTACCCGCGGAGCCTTGCTTATCTACATTTCCACCGACTACGTTTTCCCCGGAGTGGAGGGCGAGGCGCCCTACGAAGTTGACGCAGAGACCAAGCCACCGAACATGTATGGCCAATTCAAGCGGGACGGGGAGGTTGCAGTCCTAGAAGCTACTAAGGACACCGGTCTAGGCGTTGTTCTCCGTGTCCCGGTACTCTACGGAACCGCCAAGGACACCTCCGAGAGCGCTGTCAACTGTTTGGTGGATGCAGTCATGAAGGCACAGGATGCCGATGCCGGTGTGAAGATGGACGATTGGGCTCAGCGCTATCCTACCAACACCGAGGATGTGGCACGTGTCTGCCGAGACATTGTCATCAAGTACATCAAGGAGAAACACCGGATGAAGGAGTTGCCGCATGTCCTGCAGTTCAGCTCCGAGGATCGTATGACTAAGTACGAGATCTGTGAGAAGCTTGCTGAGGTTCTCGGTTTCCCGCTGCCTGGTATGATCCGTAACAAGCAGGGTAATGATCCCAATGGAGCCCAGCGGCCATATGATACACACCTGTCTACTAAGGCACTTGTGGATTTGGGAATTGATGTGAGAACTGTGGACTTTGTGACCTGGTGGTAAGTGGATCTGGACTCTTGAATCTTTTTGATTGGTGCTAACATCCTAGCAGGCGACGTGAGCTGGGAGCGTACAGGAAGTAGGGATAATGGTATGAAAGGCTTTCAGCTACGAGTCTCTAAATGAAACCAAACACGACCCCTTTTTGTAGGTCACATAGACCTAAAATGAAATGCAAATGAGCCACTAGAAATAACAGGATTTTGTCGCCCAACTTTATGATCTATCAACCTGCCAATCTCGTCCACGTTTCACGTTGATCGATGTGAAGGTCGTGTTACCACTGGACTATTCGTATGCCTAAAAAAGAGCCAAAAAGATATGCATAGACCAATTTATTGTCTCGTGGGCACTACTGATTTTGAAACTTTGTTTGCCGAGACATTTGCATCTCGTAATTTCGAGCCTACAAGTCCACGAGGTACAAGGAGATAGATCAGAAAAGCTAACAATTCGTACTGATCATTTCAAAGTTCATCTCATTGGTTCCTCTCATCTATTGTTCCACGATGGCGTCCTATAAGCTTTAGCTTGTTTAGCTGATGTTGAGACTCGAGAAGACTCGACATGGAGAAACGGCACACATTCCTGTGCTTGAATGAACAGACAGTATTATAAGATGTGAGGATAAGTTTACTATCGAAATCCCGCTCCTCATCTGCTCGTCTGCTTAGGTACTGTGAAGGAAGTCAGGGACGATCCCCCACTTAGTGGACCAGAAACGGAGCTACCCGGTGGATCCCTCAGGGTCCTGGCTGGTGCGACGTTCATTATTTCTAATTTCCTTCTGCAGAGTGCTTCTACTGCCGATCGTGGGCTCTGAACACAGGAGGAATGTCGCGATCCGGGAGCGTCTACCCGCGTCCGCACATTTTCCTCTCTTTCATCTCCCCTAATCCCACAACTTCCAAGGCGCACCCGACCCTGATGAATCTCTGAGTGAGTGATCTGCAATGTGACTGGTATTTTCCAATTCTGTGCAGCCCATTTCCTGATCGGCATGCGCTTGCCTATAAGGCAACATTGTGAACCCAGCGGTTTGATGGGGGCCCAAATCCTCCAGAGTTGTCGCATTTTATTTCAGGCCCATACCTCTTGGCGGACTGAAAAATATTCCTTGTCGCGCTCTCTATTTTTGTCTTGTGCATACTGTCTCATCCCTGGTTTCGAATTCCCTCGTGTGCTCGCTTAAAGTCGTTGTCGCATTCTGTCGCAATGCACTGACCCTTCTCCGATCACAGCGCTCAACCCTAATAAGGGACCTTCGATGCCACGCGATTAAGAAAAAGAGACTCGGGATTGCGATTCTGTCTACAGTATCTCTCGGGTCCTGTCAGACGATATCACCTTTACGATGGCGATAGAAGTGGGCAATGCGACTGTCGCGGCACAGCCAACGCGCCAGCCCTCTCGATATCGATCCGCGCGGGAAGGGACTCATACTGTGACGGGACATGGAAGTGGGGTAGCGATCAAAGATGAAGGAGTGGCTCATTCTGCTAGGCATGGAAGCACCCAGTCAAGTGAGACCAATCCGTCTATTGCCAGAAGTATGTCTCGGTACCGGCGCAATCGACCCTCTGCTAGCAACACCTCGGGGTCTACCCCCGCCGTTCCGAATCTCGCACAAGTCCAGGAAGCTCACCTTTCTGGCAAAATGAACGCTACTTGCACTGCAGACGAGGAGCTCATGCGAGAAAAACACAGACTAGATGCGATGGAGCAGTTGACCGGGGGAGCGCAGGTAGAGACTAAACATTCATATTGGTCGCGGTCTTCTCAACCTCAACCGCAGAAAAGACGGTCAACAAATGCAAGCAAAGAGAAGGCAACGCCGATGCAAACACACGAAACACCCGGGGCTCGACCCACCTCAAACCCTCCTGTAACAGGGGAGCGCAAGTCTTTACTCCAGAAAGTCAAGCTATCTAGAGCTAAAGAGCCCCACAAAGACCAGTCAAGACCAAATTACATCGGCGTGGGAGGAGGAGGTATTGTTCCTGGAATAGATGCTCCCATCTCAGCTATCAATGCCGGAGAGCGTCATGTTCGCGTGCAATACAGCGATAGTTGTGTCACCTTGACAATCACCCCTTCCACCCTCGTCTCAGACTTGCTCTTGTCGGCTGCGGAACACTTTCCTGAGATTGACCCAGAGAAATTTATCTTGCGTGAATCATTCCAGAAACTCAGTCTGGAGCGGCCCCTGCGTCGGTATGAGCATGTTCGAGATGTCATGAACTCCTGGGCACGGGATAGCGACAACGGTCTCATTGTCATTCCACCTTCCGGCATGGATGCCCTCAAACAAGTGAATCCTCCACAATTTCCAAGCGATCAACCTGGTGACACTACGTTTTACATTTACCATTCTCAACGGCGCCATAAATGGGACAAACGGTATGTCACTTTGCGTGCGGATGGTCAAATTTTCATCTCGAAGAAACAAAACTTGAAAGACCACACGAATATTTGTCACTTGTCCGACTATGATATCTACTCTCCCAGTGCACGAGCGATTGCCAAAGAACTCAAGCCCCCCAAGAGAATCTGCTTCGCTATCAAAAGCCAGGAGAAATCTTCCATGTTCTTATCGAGTGATAATTTTGTGCACTTCTTCTGTACCAATGACCGGACGTTGGCCGACCAGTGGTACCAAACTGTTCAGCAATGGCGGAGCTGGTATCTCATGCAAAAAACGACGGAAGTCATGCAGTCTGCTGGCAATGAAGCGCCTCGCCCAACACGTACTATGACCAGGAGAGCCGAGCCGAACCCTTTCAATGATGGTCCCCTGGTGGATAGGATCCCCAGTGATGCAGAGCCACTTTCCAGGGTACGACTATCAGTGGACCAGCACCGGGCTCCCAATATCAAGCACGAGTTTCCCGAAATGTTGAAATTGAACATTCACGCTCAAGACGATGAACCGCTAGTACAAGGAATTAGTACCGAAGAAATAGAGGCCGAGACCTTTTCGCCCTCGGGACTGCTAGGACGCGCCTATACCGAGAGGCACCGATCCATGCGTGAGCGACAGGAAAATGAAAAGAGAAAGCAAAATGCCGCCTTGTCTCCAGGCCTGAGTGAGGCTGTGCCCCCCGCATACACCCCCGCATCGAACAGCAGCATGCTCGACCGCAGCAAGTCACTTAGCCAAAAGGGCAAACCTCTTATCGACCTGACGCCGGTCTTCCAAGAACAGCCACAGCACACCCGCAAAGGCCGCGGCGTCACCGTCGAGCCCGGTATGGCTCTGATCGACGCAGCCACAGGCCCTGACCTCTTACCTAGCAGTATGGCCATCCCGCCAGCAGTTGCATGGCGACGCCCGTCAGTCCCATCGGTCGAGGTCCCTCCGATTCCACAGGCTCGACACCGAGCCAAGTCCATCCGCAGCGTGCGCCCTGCCCAGCCCAAGACAGACTCTAATTCTGCAAACCATAGCCCCAGTTCACCCGCTGTTCCGTTCTTGCCTAACAGTCTTCTTGCGAATGTCCCCAAAGCAAGTCCTATCCAAGGACAACCCATTGGCCATGGTGTTGCGACGGGTGATCGCAATGCTACGCGGCCGATGCTGGATATGTCTCCGGAAAACCCTTTCGCGGAGGGCAGCTTGCTTCGCAAATTATGAGCTCGCTCTTGATATTTACATTTCACGACGACATGATCTATGATCTATGGAATATTTGTTTGGTTCTTTTCTCAATCTAGCCCAATCTTTTTTTCGTGTTTCTTTTCATGACTTTGTTCTCAAATTCAATTCTTCGGTTCAGTCATAGCAAAGAAGATGGAGACTATGTGCAACGAAGTGCTGATCTCAAGTCGAAATTTATTTCTTGTTATGATATTTTAAGGATGGAAGCTGTTTCTGGGTCCAATGTTACATATCAGATACCCCCATTTCGTTGGTGAATAATGAACAGCTGAAAAGAAAATTTCTTCAAGCCACAATATTCAATAAATGTAACGCATAAATAGTCGTATATCTCAAGAAAGATCCTACGATAGGAGTATAGTGTCGATCCTTGGCCTTAGAGCTCGAAGCGTGACTGATCTGCAACCGGAAAGGAATGCAGGACACCCGCATCCAGCAGGACCTAAATACAATACCCAACAAAGGAGGTAATAAATAAACTCAGATGCAAGTAATGCAGCATTGGAAAAAATACCAATACGTTCGTGTATTCAAATATGTTCAAATAGCCAACCTGGAAGTAACTCAACCAAATTGACAAGCCGACAACGCCGGACCTCTAAATTATACAAAATGCCCAATAGATTAAAGTAGAAAGCCCACTAACGATTCGACCGAATAGTCGCCGAGCGATGGGTAAGTGCATCCCCATTAGTCTGCCAATCATGCGATTCCATACCTGAAGCCGCCGCATCAGGTCTGGCCGATGAGAAGGTCCTCGAAGGACGACCCATCGACCCAGCACCACTAAGATTAGACGCACGCCTCCGCATCCTTCGTTCCGTATCCTCAGCTTCGTGCCGATTAAGCGCGTCCGAAGGTAAAAGGACAGCACGATCGAGAGCATAAGGCAAACCACGATGCCGACCACGGATCTGCATAGCGATAATGACCAATTTCGAGATGACGTTGAATTGACCCGAAAAGGATGTATCGACGCCAGGATATCCGAATGAGAGTCCGACAGTACCGTAAGCGGAGACGACCTCGAAAAGTACAGTAAAGAGTTGGAAGTTGTAATCTGTTGAGCTTTCAAGGCGGCCTCCTTCGGCAATGGCGATGATGAACAACCCGAGGAAAACGTACCACAAATCGAAACTGAGTTGACGTCGTAAATGGGCGCCGATGTAAGAGGGTGCCGTTTGGTTTTCGTCGTCGTTGTCTTCGTCGGCGGAGCCGTAGATTCCTAGACTCTTTTCTTCGTACACGTTTGTTCGTCGCATGGAGATAGCGATTGGAAATACGGAAATGTACATCATGATTAGGTAGGAGACTTGGATTGCAGGGTGGAGGTCTGATAGGCTGACGATGCCGAAACCGGCTGTTCGGGTTGCTGCTGCTTGGAAGAAGCCGTCCAGAACGCGAATTCCAACTGGGAATTTTGTTACAGCAGAGTCATTTAACTGGGAGTATATGGTTAGTTTTGGGGGCGAAATGACGGGAGAAAGCTACTCACATCTAGGATGATAAAGAAGATCACATCGATGCAGTTCAAGGCCATGAGGATGGCAAAAAGCCACCAGCTGGCATTGCGGGGGAATAGAAGGGTGAAGCAACGACGGGGGTGGTCAAGAAGGAACTTAAGCTCTTCCCAGAGAGCAGTTCCTTGGCGAGCGAATTTTGATAAGATCCAGATCATCAGTCGCAACATGCATGGGAAACCCGTGTTGCCAATGATGATCAAGAACGCCATAAGAAGCAAGGGAAAGATGGCGGTTTGGAAAGAGTACATGGAGTCAGGCGTGAGAGTGAAGCCAAGGTCATTGAAAGCCGAGGAAGCAGTGAAAATTCCCCACCAAGGACGTCCAACACCGTCTGCTCTAACAACATCACCCCATTTGTTCTCTGTCATGATCCAGCCAATCAGACTAATAAGGCCAAGAAGATGAAATCCGACATAATAGGAGATCAGCACAACCGCGAGAGTTTTGAGAGCACGATACTCAATGCCGCCTAACTCGTCACGTTGCTCCTCGGTCAAGTCAACGAAATTCGAGTTTCGAGCCACAGTGGCGTTCCAACTGAGATACGGCTGGGTGGGACGCTCTCTTTCATGTGTCAGAGATCGCCAAATCCCTCGGACGGTATTTCTTGTGTTAGACGGGCCCAGCCCAGCGTCGTCATCGTTGGCATCGTTCACATCTTTAGTCATTGTATCACGCATGGTCGGTCGAGTATCCAGGCGTGCGAACGTATTGCCACGAGTACGAGTCCGAGTGAAGTCGGGCTCATTAATAGTGATATGCGGCCCATCCATAGGAGGAACCTGGTCGTCCTCAGAGGACCCAGAGCTCGGCCTCCGGGATTTAGGACTAAGCGGCTCGTTGGTCTGATCATTCTCTCCCTCATCTCCGCCGCCTTCTTCCAAATCCTCCGGGACACCACCACGGTCATACTCGCGAGGACTGGGAATGCGCAAAGCACCCTTATTCTTTCGCTGGTTTTCCACGAACGCAATGTGATGCTCTGGACTCAGCTGGGTCGGCAGTCGCAAATTACCCAGTCCGAACCGACTCCTAATATCATTTTGCGAGGTGTTCGGGGTGGATTGATTTGTGGCCTCCTTGGACGTGGGGGACTCGGAATCCGACGATCCATCAGCTTGGACTGCGCTGGGATCTGGCAGACGACTTTCGCGTGCGTCTCCGGAGTCATTGCGAAGCACTACTATCGATCGACCACTAACGCCAAGCTCCGCCCGATTTATATCCTGGCTGTTCTTCCCCTGGCTCACGGTATCCATGCGCGAGCGGGTAGAGCGCAGCGCACGTGCATCCCGGACCACATTCTGGAAGCGCTTCTCAAACCAATACAGACGGATGAAGACGAGAGCACCATGGATGAAGATTGGGGTACAGAGACATGTAATGAGCCATAGGATAATTTGCTGGTATAGGTAGAGCTCGTTTAGGTTGACGGTGTTCAGTCCACTCTGGGTGCTGGCGCCGGCCGATAGGAAAAGGGCATCGATGTAGGCAATATTTCCGCCGGCGAAGGTTATGACGGAACCAAGGATGATCCAGGAAATGATATAGGTATAGTGCATAAAAATGAAGTCGAGCTGCAGCGTATTTAGGATCGGGATGCGCTTTTTGATGGCGTTGACCCGGCGGATAAAGGCTGAGAACATGGCAAATGGACGCAGGCGGCGGCGCCGTCGTTCCCAGGCTGAAGGCTCAGTCCTCGGAGGAGAGGCCGGGAGAAACTGTTCTCGAAAGAGGGGAAACTTTGCGGTCCTGTTTCATTGTTAGACTTTTTCTATCCCGAGTCTTTGGCTTGGGAAGCTCTTTGGTGCATACATGTGGCACCGATCGCTGACCAGTCAGGCGTGCAGAGGGGGCACGGGCAACGCCGTTGTTAGCCGCGAGGCATTGAGCACCGCGTGAATAAAGGAATAGAAAGCATGGTATACGAAGAAAAAATTGAGGGAAGATGCAAAAGGGCCGAAAGTCAAATCGATTGGTGACGGCGAACGCAGAAAAAAGGCGCAAACGGAGTCGATTTTCGGGTGGAGCTGTATTCTTACCACTTTCGTATCGCCTGCCAAAAACGTGCGCCGTCGATCGTCCGCCATCGATAGGCAAAAATGTAAGTTTCCGTTTTGTATTCGTAAAATCTGCGTAATTAAAGTTTGTTTCATCCTATTTGATTTTTCTGTTGGTAAACACACTCGATCTGACTATCTATCATCGTCATAATTCCTGGAGAACGTTGAGTACCGGTTTTTATCATTTAATACGGCCCACCCCTTTAACTAGTTCCCGGCCAAGCTTTTGATTTTGTCGGGGGCGAAGTGCTCAAGACCCGGCCGTGCCAGCAAATTCATTTGTCCTTTATTGGTGTATCCACTCTTGAGATCCCGACTGCGTCGAGCTGCAGATGGCGCTTCAAGATTCTGCATCTAGCTGGATAAGACCTTAACATATCATATTATATGGATTATCACGACATCTTCAGGCCGTCATAGAAGTAAGCAGCATAGGGCCAAGACGTTTCATATCACGAGCAGTATATCCCTTACTGGCGATGTACATGCACGTGCCGAGCTATACATCAACCGAACAAATCGCGGATAAAGATACATCCCAGAAGACACCCAGTAATAGATCTTTTTAAACAGATCAAGTCACCTAAGAACAGAGATTTGGTGAAAACTAGACGCCTAGAGACATCAAACAACCTAAGATGGCTGCAAAATCCTGTCAAACCGGAATTTTGGTCAAGACAGATCTCGCAATCCACTTTTCATTCTAGCCGATATTGTGGCCCGTCCCTAGGGTTGTCCACTTTTCCTGCATGAGCCTGCATATCCATTTGCCCCCTGTAATTCGAGCATGTGGTCTAGAAGCATTCCTCACATTGTTGATTGGCCTACCATTCCAGCCCAGTGGCTTTAAACCACAACTCCCTTCGGCATTTTAACCCTATTTTTCGTGTTCCGGTATGCGTCTCGGGCCCGCGGGCCCCGTACTCCGTATATATACGAGCCTGCCGTGTGATCTGCATCCCGAGGCCACCAAGATTCTTGGCTTCAACCTCCATGTGTAGATGAACGTAGTGTGTAAATTTTGTTACATCTAGATGGCTCTTACCACGATGATCCGCACGGACCATAGCAGGGATCTTGGGGCTGGGAGATAACCCTCTTCACCGACATCCACCAAACACTCTGAGGTCCTGTCAGGGGCAACTTTCTAACCCAATGTTTCCTATACACATTCTACGTCGCCTGGATCCCTAGAGAAAGATTGTCTCGGGCGGAGAAGCTGAAACCCACCTGATTCCTGGAGCAACCTCGGTCGGCCTTTCAACGATGATCTTGAAAGCGAGCAAGTCTTTGTCCCAAAAGGAGTGTTTATGATAGACCACATCTTCGAGGTTTCAGCTCTCTGCATGAGATCTGAAAATAGTCATTAACTTCCAATTGAAATGCTGGTCTCAAACACCTGGGCAATCCCCTAGTCCAGACTGCCTGCCATGCCATTGTCAACGCTGCTTGTGTGATGCAAGAGGCCAATTCACAGGGGTACATGATTAAAACCCCCAAGATTAGTTGGACATCTCACCAGCTCATGTATGACCTCGCGCAGTAAGTGTGATACAGAGTAGTAATTTTATCGAGCACATAACCAGGTCCCTACTTATTCACCTTAGGCTATTCAGCAATGAAGAGGTGATGATAAAGTGATGCGCATCCAGACGGCGACTGTACTTCGGCATGAATGAAATGTGATGATGTTGGCTTCCATGGTTGAATCAAGTGAGATCACATGCTCTTTAGTACCTGAAAAACAGGGACAGTAGCATCTTGTCTGATGGGAATTACTGCGCTAGTTCATACATGGGCTAGCGAGGTGGTCTTGGAACTATTTTGTCGTTTGCTTTTAGAGAACTGGTTGTTTGTTTATTTGTTTAGTTCATTTGCTTTTGATTTACAAACGCGACGCTCAACGGGAACTACTGGAGGCTTGAAGAACCCCCTGAAAATTAAAAATTTCCCCCAAATCTTCATTCCAAGATAACACTCGAGAGGCTCGTGAGACGTGTTCAACGAATGTCCATTCAGATAGCGTCACACTTAAGCAAAGGCCCTAATATATTAGCCCTGATTTCCCTTTTGGGGCTCACCTTCACGTTGACGCGTGAAGACGCGGGGTAAGCACCTGTTTATATATCCACTTGAGAACGCGGACATCTGTCAGTCCTCACACCTCATAATGGTCCACATTCAAGACCTCCCATTGGAAATCTTAAACAGAATATTTTATTATGTTTTTCCCCCTCGAAATAGCCCCTCCTTCTTGAATGATGAAGGAGTCTTCGCGAATGAAGGAGCCTTCTCGAACCCAAAAGCCAACAAGGACGAGACTGATGGCACCGCCATTGGGCTATTTGAAAACGAAGATTTATGCCGACTTTGCCTAGTTTCACGGACTTTTCGCGATATTGCGCAGCCTATTCTCTTCCACACCTTCGCAGATGATAATCTCGATCACGGTGATCTAAGGAGGACCATTTCTTTTGCCAAGACCATTTATCGCCGTCCAGAGCTTGGAGAGCATGTGAAAGATATCGCGTACCTATTCGTACCAATCAAACGAAAACCCAAAAAGCTCCCCGCAGATGACGCGAAACTGTGCAAGAGCGCAATCCAGGCCCTTGAATTGGGCGACCAGGAAGAGAAACGCTGGATCTCACTTATGCGCAGCTATGATTTTGGTGTCATTGTCGCATTGCTGGTTCTCAAAACACCCCATCTTCGTGGATTCTCCTTGGCAGGGGACATAGATATCGCGACATGGTTCAAGCCTCTCTTCGCTCGAGATCCATCGTTTTTGTCTGAACTCACGTCCCTTCATATTAAAGGCCAACCTCGCGGCTATAATTTGAAGATCTATGAGGATTTCATCACCCGCCCCAATCTTCAACACTTGACGTTAGAATACTGTGACTTCGACGACGCGTCGTTTCCATCCACCTGGACGCCCGGATCCCTAGCGGTTGAGACTTTGTTCATCCGTTATTCCCACATTGATGGCGCAGCCATTCGCAAACTCATGCAGGCATGCAAGAAGTTGACAGAGTTTGCCTATCAAAACTTCAGCCCATATTCAGAGGAGATGCGACCTGAGACGTCAGTCACCTCCGCTCACTTCACTGCTGCGCAGGTCCACGAAGCGGCACTCATGCACAAGGATACTCTTGGACATTTCCATGTTGAGTTTGCACGCTCTCAATCCGACTTCCAAAATATCCAGAGGTACCTTTCCAGTCGTGTCAAGTTTGGCTCTTTCCGCGAGTTCACTGCCCTAGAGTCCATGATGGTACCTCATGCATACCTTTCAGTAAACCCTGAGTTGCCCCATGCGCTCAAGCAGATTGAAATCACCGATTGTAACTCGTCTATCCAAAATATGGCTCAGAACATCGCTAAAGACGCTAAAAAAGGTCTTTATCCGGAACTTCTCGAAGTGACGGTTCTCACAATTGATGTTAGAGATCCTATCAAACTCCCTGGAGGACGTATTCCCCCTAATAAAACCCCGGAAGACTGTTTCTTGGGTCTTCGAGACTTGTTCAAAGGAACTAAAGTGGAGTTCAATATCTCCCCATATGTCGTGGATGATGTGTTTGACGATGACGATGACATGCCTCTGGAGATGATGGACCAAATGCCACCAGAGCTTCTCCAGATCCTTATGCAGGGAGCACCAGGGCCCCTAGGAGGAGCAAGAGGGCCCCCAGGAGGACCACGAGGACCTCCAGCAGGAGCACGACCACCCCCGCGGGGACCCCCAGGAAGGAACGAAATGCCACCGGGGTTGCTTGATCTGCTCATGGAACAGGCTATGCGGGACCCTGACTTTGCCCACCTGCGTCCACCCGGAAGATAAGTTAGGCGATATGATGGTGACGAGAAAGCGGACCAATTTGCTCAACTGTGTCCCAAAATTCCATTCTTTTCGGGTCTATTCATCTGTAAAACGAAAATTCTCCAGGAAAGTATATTGATTTCAAGTATGCTCAACTCGAAAATAGCGTGGGTCTTTTCAATATTTACCAGAGCTTGAAAACATTACCCATGAATGCCGAAGTAGGGTATAGAAGTAGGTAGGATATGACTTCGAAACCGCCGTCAATTGGGTCAAAACACAACATCCTGCAAATTTGATTCTTTATTATCGAATGCATAAAGATCGCCAACCTTGCCATGCTACTCGTCCACCGATTTCGTAGCAGGAGGCCTCACAAGATCAGGATAATCAAACCTAGCAGCCATATTCATCCAATGAGAATATCCCGGATGCGCCTCCTTCTTCTCACTCTTGAAAAGGAAATTCATCGGAAACCCGAAGTCGAACTCATAAGCACCCTCAATCTCATCAATCTCCTCCCCCGAAAGCTGCAACCTCAAAGCATCGATATTCCCCTCAAGATGCTCAACCTTCCGCCCCCCAACAATTGGGTAGACATAAGGAAACTTATGCATGAGGTAAGAGAGCGCCACGCCCGTAATGATGCTGTTATGGCGTGTCGCAATCTTCTCCAGAACCTTCGAGACTTTGGTATCAATCTCTCGAACCTCGACTTGTCGACCTGGGTTCCCGTTCTTGTCGAGTTCCTCGCGATGAGCTGTTGTTTTGAAGGCACCACCGCCGATTGCGCCCCAGGGACAGATACCCATGCCTTCTGCTGTACACATGGGGATTATTTCGCGTTCGAAGTCGCGGCGGGCGGCGTTCCATTGGCCTTGGTAGACCGAGAAGGGGCGGAGGGCATGGTCGCGTGCGTCTGACGTTGTAAGTTGTTCGTTCCTGTAGAATTGATGGATGCTCTTACATTGGTTTGCTTTGCTCACGATCCAGGCTGGGGTGTCACTGACACCCAGGTAGAGGACCTTTCCAGCAGTGACTAGCTGGTTAAGGGAGTTCATGACCTCTTCGACGGAGGTGCTAAAGTCCCACCAGTGTACGTAAAGCTGGAAAGGTATTAGGCACTGACTAGTAATACACCGGAGACCATTTGCTCTAGGGGAACTCACTAGATCGATATAATCGGTCTTCAACTTCTTCAGGCTCGCCTCCACAGAAATCTTCAAGCTCTTCGCATTGTTTCCGACGTAATTGGCCTGCAGCTCATTTTCGTTGTGCCTGCGCCACGGCGAGGAATACTTCGTCGCCAGAACAATTTCGTCCCGGATTCCGCGCTTTTCCATCCATTCGCCGATCCAGATTTCATTCTCTCCGTTTTGGTAATTGCTAGCACTAAATTCGAAATTAACACGGACATTGATTTCTTCTCTTGAACCTGATAAGCTGATTAAAGAAAGAAGGCTCATACGTATCGATAAAATTGCCCCCGTTATCATAGAATGTATCCATGATCTTGAAGGATGTCTCTTTATCACATTTCCCGAGTCTCGCTTCCCTATCGAAATGTTAGCTGTTTACAAGATTGGGAAATACTATTCAACCTACCATTTATCCCCAAAGTTCATTGCTCCCAAGCATAATGGACTTACCTTGACCGCCGCCGTGGGCGCAAGGAGCCGGTAACGACCGAGTCGGGATTTGGGCGGTGGTGCAAGTATGCTCATTATGACCTCGGGATGGAATGATATTCAAGTAGTTGTAAATTGGAAATAGCGGAGGAAGATATCACCGAAGATGTAGGACGTTTCAAGCAAGGAGAACCAGACCAAGTTGCGGTGTAAGTGTGAAGACTTGTTTTTGTGAGTCTGCAGGACGGATGCAAGGGAATGGGGAGATACTTATATGAGGTCCATAGCAGCACGCTACCTCCTCAAAAACGGACATTTGTAATGTCCGAAGTTCCGATGGAATCATCAAACTAGCCAATGTGGCTAGATATCGGTCGCAAAATACACCGACAATGTAATTTTGACACCGAGTTACTATGACGTGAGTCCTTGCTGTGTACAGAGGTAAATGCGGGGTCGACCAGTCTTTATCTCCGAAAACATATGACACTGGCCCCTATAACAAAGTAGCAAGCCTTTAGATTATGACTGCTAGTCAATTTCCTGGTCTTTGAAAAGTGCACGTATAGATCTTCCAACTCAATTTGAAATGAGAGGCAAGTACTGTAGTCAGTCAAGGAAGGCGCATTCCATCGACGGCTCTAGCTAAGCTCTTCCCCAAACGGGCGATCGAGATAGCAGAACATATTCCTTTCTGGGCCAGTTGATCTCGTCAAACAAGGTATGCAATTTGAAATCTTCGGATTCATTTGTCCATTAGCGTTGAACCATATTCTGGCAAAGAAGCCTACATTGAATCCGTCGTGGCTTCAATCTTCTCCATATGAGGTTGAGATGGTGGAGAGAATCCAAGACACAGATTATTTGAGCTGCATGACAATCTCGCTACTGTTTGGAGGAAGATACACCCCGAAGTACCAGCGCATGGCTGATGGAGCTCAACGATTTTGATTGGGACTATGTTATCATAGCTCAGGTTCAATGAGTTGGGCTCTAATAAAAAAGGCCCCCATTCCGCCAGGGAACATAAGCAGGTCTTCATTACTTTCGATAGACGCGGATGTGCATGGGCGCTGGCTTATAGAACCAAAACCCGCTAGTCTCTAGATCCTTCTCTGGGCTTAATAATTCAAAACGGTATGAACGAAGCAGCTCTGGGATGACCTTGTAAAGTTCGCACAGCGATATCTGATCAACGGTCAATCTAGAGCCTAGATCTTGTGGCAGTGATTGCACTTACATTCTTTCCCATACACATTCTTGACCCAGCTCCAAACTGTAACCAAGACCGTCAACACACGTCCTAAGCTTCAGTTGGATTAACTTACCTGGAGAATGTATTTATTCATCTTATCAGCATCTGGCTTCAGCCATCGATCCGGGTTGTATTCCTCCGCATCGTCTCCAAAGACTGTTTTGTCGAGTTGCACGACAGTCGGGTTAATTCCCACACGGACTCCGCCGGGAATCCACTGCCCCGAAATACTGCAACCATTTGATGGTACTTTTCGAGGCATTGTAAGTGCCACACTAGGATGCAAGCGAGCGCCTTCCTTAATACACGCGCTCAAATAAGGCAATTTGCTCGCTTCGTGGTACGATATATGCGGAAAGCTCAACTCGCCACGCTGTGTGGCCTGAACAATCTCGTTGTTGAGGGCTGCGTAGATTCCCGGGTTCTTCAAGATATGGTATAAAGTCGTGGATAGATGAATTGCTGTTGTATCACTCCCAGCAAAACTAAGAAGCTCTCAGTTTCCTCGATCTTTGCTCCGGGTATCAATCAAACTTACTATCCTCCGAAGGCCTCGAGCTTCACATCATCGATCTGGAAATCAAGCTTCTCACTTTGATCTCGATGAATATTGTATACTTTAGATATAATATCAGTACGTCGAATCACACTGTCATCAGAATTCGACGCTTGAACATGACTCTGAACGGCAGAGTCCGCTGCGGTCGCTAGATCATTCAAGGCAGACAGCGCCTTGCGGGTCTCGGCAAACAACACCCCAACAAGCATGAAGAAAGATCGGAGGTATGATGGCATGACAGCTGAAATGGCCATGGCCGGAATCAGTGTATCAGTGGACTTCATGATCCCAAGATGGTCGCCTCTTGCTTTCATTAAACCAAACATTTTGCTGAAGTAAAGCTCGCCAATAACATCGTAAGCGTACCTACTCTGTTGTTAGATATCGATAATAAACAAATTGATGGTATTACTCACATTCGTGTCCACTCGAGCAGGTCAATGGAAGCTTTGGCGTCTGCAACATCTTCAAGTTGCTGTAGTAAAACCTCTGTGCATTTATTGACGTAGGGCTCTGACTGAAGAATGCTCTGCATAGTATATACGCCGTTCACGATGCGGCGCCGCTGAGCATGGACTTTTTCATCTGTTGATGTAAAATGATCTGGATATCGGGCTGTTGAGCAAATTGTTTTAGTTCTGGTCAACAATGCTCATACTCCTGAAGAGATATCTCACTATATGGTGCGCGAAAAGCCAGATAGAAATCGCTCTACCGAGAAGTCAATTTCCTTTCTAAAAGCCAACGGCAGTTTTTTCCCCCTGTTCTGTCTTCTTCTTCGCTGACCTTTACAAAGCCTGAATTCACTCCATAAATGATTTTGATGGCTTCGGGATCGCTAATCGAAAGCTCATTTGGGGCAATTCGCACAACATGGCCTAGTCAACAATGCTTAAAAGAGCACAAGCTTAAAATGGGTGGAGAATATCGTACCATAACGTGCATGCAGCAACCTTTGAGTTTCGTGGGGATTGCCGCGAATCACGGAGCGCACAATCCAGGCTCGTGACACAGAGGCCCAGAATGGACCTGGAAATCGTGCGAGTGGGTGGAACACCCGCGTGTAAACAATCCATCCAGTCCAATAGGTAGCAAGCAAAAAAATGAGACCGTGCAGCAAGTTCCAGAATGTTAGTTTCCAATCTAATACTTCGAAACTACCCATTGTGAATCCGAACAATTGGTACATAATAGACTGTAGGAGAGAGAGTTCTCAACCCATGTCAAGTTTGATCCGAGTATCCTTTATAAGTGGGGGCCGCACTAGACATACACATTCGTAGTAATCTATTGGCTCTAATTGAATTGAATCATCCTACGTATCGTTATCCCCTCGTCCGTGCCCGGAAAGCACAATTAGCACGGTATCATTAGTGTATTATTCTAGCCAATTGATCGTGAGACTAAAATCTATTGAAATTCAATTGGATATATACGCTCCACTGGTTACTAAGTCATCACCCCGTGGTTTTCTGAACACGTCTTTATAACATTACCTACCAATTCGCCTACCAACCTGCCCGCAGTCTATACAGTTTATATGGACGACTAATTCTCTACAGTTGCCCTTTGGTGCATGTGATACTACACGTAAGCAAGGTAGGATACCCTCTCAGATTATTGAGCTAAAAGACCATATTGAATCTATTCCCTAGGGAAAATTGTAATAACGCGTTATTACGTATACGCTAGTAATCGCGCTAATTGTGCTTCCTGGGGACAGACGAGGGGATAGCCATTTATTGCCGTTTCTGGGAAGAGGACCTCATGGCTAATAATCGAAGTTCGAATAAAGTACTAGGCTGTGTACGTGTGCCTTCCCGGTATGGGTGCCCCGTACAGGATGGTGGCCACATATAGACTCAGCTATTCCCCCCGAGTATCATGATACAAAAACGCAATGGGAGATTAAGTCTGACCCCTGAAACACACCGTTTATGCTGGAGTTACTTGATTCTTTTGCAATAATTTAACTGGTTCGCTTTTATTGAGGCTAGGGACGCTAGGCTGAGTCGGCTCCTACTTAGTGGGGGGCTAGTGCCTTGAGTGGCGAGACTTGCGAGTATTCATGGAAATAAACGGCAAGAATGACACGCTTCATACGCCCAAAACTTGACAAAGAACAGTTGTGTGGACTCTAAATCGTATCATTCATATGTGTGAGTGTTTTGGTCCAGTACATAGCTTGAAGGTTAATCCAAGGAGCACATAATGACTGGGACAACAGTATTAGATGGGCAGCCATACCCTGGTCAGGCTAAAATGGTACCAAATGACCAAAAGGCCTAATCGTCAGTTTAGATTGATTACTACGTGATCCTGGCGTCACCCTTAGGTCCTGGGGTGTTGCCCGCACGGATAGTGGACAGATTCCTCTTCTCCTCCTTGTGGCGATGACTACTTCCATCTAGCGACAATGAACATGCGATGCGACAGAAAGGGGACCATTATGCCCATCGCGCTGCTTTTGGCAGCAATAGCTAATGCATCAGATATGCCATCCTGCGCAGTGAGATTAACTTCAGTCCCTGGCTTTGAATTGTGCTAATATTCTACTTTAGATAGAGTGCATGGCTATTGGAATCGAAGATTCGCCTTGCACTTTGACCAATACCACCTGTATCTGCGCAGATTTCTCGCTGCAAGCCAATTTGACAACTTGTGTGCAAATGACCTGCACCGTCAAGGATAGTCTAAGTAGGATACCGCTCATTTTAAGACCGGGAAAACATGATCAACTTTGCTCATCTATCAACTAAGCTACGGTGAACGCTACGAGTACCATGTGCCATAACCCAATCCGCAACAAGGCTAATGTCATCACCATCACAAACTCGGTGTTTGGGGGGTCAGCAATTGTTGCAACCTTTATTCGAAGTCTGGAGTTCCGCAAGCATTTTGGTCTAGAAGACATCTTTGTGATATTTGGACTTGTAAGAATTTATCCGTAAGCAATAATGATGGCTTCTGTTGACTCTCGTAGCTTTTCAGCGTTGGGATGGGTATACTGGAATTCCTAAGTGAGTATTCCTCGGTTGTCGATGTACATGTATTACTTCCTGGTACTAACTTTCGAATCAAGTGATTGATGCCGGTTACGGACGAGATATCTGGACAATATCTTTCCCAAATATTACTCTTATCTTGAAGGTCGGTCTACGTAGCACCTAAAACCTGTCACGAAAACTCACAATTTTCTCTAGTACAACTGGATCGTCGAGATGCTCTATGTTGGCGCGATAACCTCTATCAAGATGGCCTTCCTCAATCTCTACCTCCATATTTTCCCGAATTTCGGCCTTCGAAAAGCGATATACATCGTGATGGGAATAGTGGTCGCTTATTTCTTCGCCTTTTTCTTCGGAATTTGTTTCAACTGTTTACCTGTGTCTTACATCTGGACCTCCTGGACAGGTGAAAGAAAGGGTAGTTGTCTCGATTTCAATGCCTTTGGGATTGCATGCGCAGTGATCAACATAGTTCTCGATGTGACCGTCATGGCCTTGCCTCTCCACGAGATCATGAAGCTGAACCTTAGACCAATGAAGAAGGTTTTAGTCATGCTTATGTTTTGTACGGGATTTTTGTGAGTCCACTTTACTAGCTATGCGAATATACTACTGACAAAATTTGGTAAATTCCAGCATCACCATTGTAAGCATCATTCGCCTCAAATCAGTGGTGACATTTGCCCATACAACCAATGCAACCTGTATGAGATATCCTTTAAAGCTGGAGATTAAGATGATCAAACTTGCTGATATATGACTACAGATGATTATGTACCAGTTGCATACTGGTCACTCATCGAAAGCTACACAGCAGTGTTCTGTGTCAGTATGCCGGCAATTCGCCGGTTGTTTAATCGCCTTCTCTATACCTGTTCTGGTATTCAAAACTCGCATCAGGTCGAATTGGAAACCCAGGATAGAAGTCAGGGGCTGCAGCGTCCGACACGCTCCAAAAATCTCTCAGTTGGGGGAAACATCAAGGCATCTTCCAGTCAAGAGCCTCTATCTCGCCAAGATTCCGATTTGGTGGAGCTGGTGAACGTTGACAAATACAGCTGAGAGGCTGTGGTACGTGCTACCAAAGATGAGACGAACATGTAGATAGATAGGTGATCGGATGAAGCTATCTAGAGACGCTAACTACACAAACATGGTGATGGTGCAAGACAGAATGTAGCTCGGTGACTACAGCTCACAGAGAAAGCAATGAAAGCAACGAGCGCAAAGCTTTCAAATTAACGCAGTACATGGGTCTGTTCTAGTTTTCAGTTAAGAATGATGTTGTTTCGGAAATTCCGAGTACCAACTTTGTGTTTCGGAAATATCACGACCGAGTTGGTGCAGAATCTGGAAGGCTCAGTAACCGCCCGTGGGGGAAAGGCTAGACTAACGTGTTTTAAGCTGAGGTTCAGGAATAAAGGTCAAGGAGTGTGGAGGTTAATCTGGTTTGGAATATTACTCTATATCACTGATTCTAGAGCGTTGCAAGCGAGAAAAGGGCCACGGAAGGACAGCTCGTGTTGGATCTGAACCTCCTGGTGACCATGGAAAGACCTTATCAGTGCAGGATCTGCCAAGAGACGAATACGGACTGGACAGTTCAAAAACGATAGCTGAGTAGGCCACTCAATCCATGTAAACAGATAGTCAAGGTGGGGTAGTTGAGTGCTCAGGAAAGCGCTGTGACGGAAAGATGAGGAAACTGGGCTTCACGATATTGCGTCAATGCGGGGGGCTTTAGCACATCTGATCATCCTACCGAGAAAAATAAGTCCAAGAATCATATGATAGTATCGTCGGGCATGGTGGAGATCAGTAGGGGATACTGCGCGCAAAGCAGGTAGATAAATAGAGGAATATGGGTTGGCGGGGAACGAATAAGAATAGGAGATGATGCGCTTGGGATATCGCTTGGGACCCTTGGCTTGAAGAATGGGACTCAGCAGACCTCCTGGGGGAAAGTCTATTGACCAGAATGATATTGGGCCTCAAGGTCAACCACGCCCGTGGAAGATAAATGGTGATTGGTGATGGTTGTTGTCGATCGGTATTGATAGTGGAGTCGATTGGAGTCTGTGTACCAATGATTGGGGCACGCTTTGCCAAGCTTTAGAGCATCTTTATCTACAGGATAGTCAACTAAGCAAACTATATACCTACAGAACGTGGGAGTATTGGTTCAGGGCAGCATTTGGGTCATTTGAAGATCCTGATTCGTTGATAGGTGCATAATACGGGGTTCTTTACCTGAGCTACCATATGTAGGAAATGAGTAGTAGATTGTGGGACCAAAATTAAAAACAAAAGAAAAGAAATGATCTTTGCGATCAATCCCCTGAAGAACTCCTCTTTAGCGCTTCGTTTCCCTATTCTTCTTTCTCTTGAGTTGCGTTATTACTTGTCGTTGCATAGCTTCCTATCTTCCATACCAGATCTCTTTCTTGTCCGCAAAGATAATCAACTCGGTCTACAAGATGTTGAGATGGGTAGCTCGGTGCCTACCAGGGCTTAGCATCATTGGACTATTTCTTCTGCTTGTTTTCGCGTTCACCAACATCCTCACGTCGCAATTATGGAGAAGTATGTTCCCACCGTGGGTTGGCCAGCCCTTCAAGGAAGGATGGTGGAGCGGACTGAACATCGCCCAGTCCGTATTCATCGTCTATGCTGTGATCATCCATATCCAGATGTGCAGTTTCACTCTGCGTCTGGCCTGGTCAATTTTCCGAGTGACAGCAAAGACAAGAGAAGCTCTGGGAAGACGTCCGACAAAAAGCCTCTCCGTCTCGCCAACACCATCTGCCCAGGACGAGGGGTACAGCAGCCAGCCAATTTCGCCGGTCTCACTGCCATCTCCAGGTCCCTTCAGCGAGAAGATCGACTCTATGAGCATAGGAAGTGACATTATCGAGGATGAGTTGCTCCACGCTATCATTCTGCCAAACTATTGCGAAGACCTTCACACGCTAGAAACGACGCTCAAGGTGCTGGCGAGTCACCCAAGGGCCAAGTCACAATATGAGGTAAGCTAACCATTATGTACTGAGTTATGATGCTGACCTGGCTTCTGATAGATATATCTTGCTATGGAGCAAAAAGAGGCCATCGCTATCGAGAAAGCTGCACACCTTGTTTCCACCTTCGAGCGATCCTTCCTTCATATCCGTCCTACCTTCCACCCATCCGGTATACAAGGAGAGATTGCAGGCAAGAGTTCAAATGTGGCTTTTGCAGCGAAGCGAATTGTACAGATTCATAATGCAGAGCTGCGGGCAGAGTGCTGTCGGGTAGTAGTCACAGTCATGGATGGTATGTGTACTGTATTGCTATTGGTACGGAGAAAGTGAGCTAACTTTCTATAGCTGACACGCATCTCTCGTGCGATTACTTCACCGAGATTCGTCGCCTACATTATTCTCACATTGAAGACGCAGACCGTGCAATCTACTGCTGTCCCATCATATTCGACCGCAACTCAAATGACACGCCCATCTTAGTCCGATGCGCGGATCTTCTCTGGGGCTTCGCCGGACTCTCAACTATGTGGCCAGGAACACCCATTTCCATCCCCACATCTGTGTATTCCTTACCACTTTCTCTCGCAGAGAAAGTCGGTGGATGGGACAGTGACCCAACGGCCATCGGAGAAGACATGCACATGATGCTGAAGTGTTACTTCGAAACCGCAGGCAACATCATCTGCCAGGTAGTATATATCCCAGCAAGTCAGTGCAATGTCTCAAGTGACGGTAGCCGTGGTTGGAGACGGACGATGGATACTCTTATCGCTCGATACCGCCAGGCGCTTCGACACATGTGGGGCGCGCTCGATTCCGGCTTCGCAGCACGACGAACACTCGGCTATCTCCGCTTTCACAAGCGATGCTCATTCCTGAGTCTAAGGCACTTTGCTCTTACGCATTTGCTTTGGGAGGCACACTTTTTACCATGTCATCTCGTTATCATCATGATTTTCTCTGTGCTGTATACCGTCTTGACACCTTCGTCGCAGTTGCATCCGACTTTGGCACGGGCTTTCTTCATCAATGATATCCTGCGGACGTCGTCCTTCCTTGGAATGAATTTCTGTATTGCTTTGTATGATCGGTGGCATGCGATTTGCCTTATCGCGCGGATGAAGGATATGTCTGAAGCTAATGTGCCGGATACGGGCTTTTCTCCACGTATCTGGTACAAGCCACAGCACCTATTGGAGAGAATCTGCTTTCCGATTGCTGGAACACTTTACGGTGCTATTCCAGCTTTGCACGCAGTCTTTTCTCACTTCTTCACCGATCGATTGGTGTATCGCGTTAGCAAGAAGCCGACCTTCAGTCTCGAGGCCGTGGGTCTGGCATGAAGACCATGATCATAGATTGTTCCTGTTTGTTTCTCGGTGAATGTTGTTAATATGTTTCCATTTCCTGATGTATAGAGGGATCATTAATGGGGTAATGTGTAATGAGAACGATAAGAGGTTTGGCGCGGGGTTGCATACACACGGATTAAATTCGCCGTGGGGTCCGCGAACCCACTTTCTCCAACAAGTTGGGGTCACTGGGGAATATCACGAACTCAGAGAAGCAATATAAATCATTTCCAAACTTCCTTTTCAAAACTTCCTTCATTTCTCTTTATCTAATTGAGACTTTGAAAAATGGCACCCACTCGTCGAGTTGCAATCATCCAATGGCGGATCAAAGTGCGATTCCCCGATTCTTTCGAGCCTCCGTCATATCTATGACGCAAATCTCGAGATGTAGCTAACATCTCCCTAGGAGCTCGCTATCGAAGAAAACCACGCCGCTGCGTGCGAGTATATCCGACAAGCAGCCTCAAATGGCGCCGAACTCGCCGTTCTACCAGAGTAAGCTCCACAATATCCTGCATCGAAGACGCAAAACTCATCACAACCATACGCAGATACCATCTAAGTGGCTGGGTCCCTACAGATCCGCGCTGGGCAGAGCAAGCAGGCCAATCAAAGACTTACCTAACTAGCTACCAAGCCCTCGCAAAAGAGCTCAATATTTGCCTGGTCCCTGGAACCATCATCGAGAAGCATGCACGACCGAACGAATCCACCCTTTTCTATAATACCGCATACTTCATCTCAAACGACGGCAGTATCCTTGGAAACTACCGCAAGAAAAACATCTGGCACCCTGAGCGTCCGCATCTAACTTCATCCGGACAGGAAAGCCATGCAGCCATTGACACGCCGATCGGTCGGATCGGAATGCTGATCTGCTGGGATCTGGCTTTCCCTGAGGCATTCCGTGAACTGATTGCCGATGGTGCGGAGATTGTCATTATACCCACTTTCTGTAAGTCCCCCTTCCGAAAATGCTGCTTGGAGAATCATTTGGCTTATCCTTCCCAGGGACCCCACATGACGCTTCTGACGAGGCGTTGAAGCGCAACCCTGCTTCCGAGGCTCTTTTTCTCTCTTCTACATTGACGGCTCGTTGCTATGAGAATACTTGTGGTATCATTTTTGTTAATGCTTCTGGCCCGGCGGAGGATTTCTTGGGTATGTCTCAGGTCACATTGCCCATTGTTGGCCCTGTGGCGAAGATGGGTAATGAGGAGGGTGTGCTTGTTGCAGATATGGATTTGTCGTTGTTGGATATTGCTGAGGAGAACTATAAGGTGCGAGAAGATATCAAGAGGGAAGGGTGGCATTATGTGTATAGGCATAGCTCGAGCCAGTAGACTGAGGACGATGTAGGAATGGGTTTGATTCGCATAAACCCCGACTAAATGCTATGTTGGCCCGGTGAGGGTGGCGAGGAATCTCAATGACCATAATTACTGGGGATGTCGGGTGGTCTAATTATCGTCTTAATTTGTATATAATATTACTCTTCCACTTACCCACTCAGTTATTTACTCTTTTCCTTAGTCTTATACCGGCTTAGACTCTTGCTCATTACAGTATACTCTTACATTTAAAATTCCTATAGCACTCCTATTTTATCTACTGATGAAATGGCCGCCCAGGTCTAAGTAGCATGACATACCGCTAGATCTCGAGAACGTATGGGGCATCTTTGCTGAGGACTGATTCTTTTGTCTTCACATGCGTTATCGACTTCTACTCGCTACCCATTCATAAATTACTTGAGTCGTAAGGGCATTAGAAGTGGGTCAAATAACATCAAGAATTATATAGAGCAAGGTTGGGTTCGCGCCTGTTGATGAAAAGGTCATAATATAAACTGATTTGAACGACCTACTACTTCATCATCTATATTGTGGCTTGCCACAGAGATTATTTCGTACTAATGACATTAGCTTAGTAGCTATGCAAGAAAGCAAATTTTTTTTATAATTTATGTGGCCAGATACGTTACGGGGCTCCGGCGGAGACCGCCCCTCTTAACGGGAGGGCGTATCAGGGGCAGAGTGGATGCCTAACTCGCTACCATTGATTTTCGCGCTTGGGGGGCGAAAATGCTTCCACTTGGGGCTAAAGATCTTTGAGAAAGAAGGACGGGTGTATTGCCGATGAGTTAGAGGCGCTTAGTGAGTGTATGTGAATATACCACGCATAGCTCTGCCAAACCTCCAGGGTACAGAGATCAGTTTAGGGGGTCGATAGATGATATGGAACAAGAGATAACAGATAACAATTCACAATGTGCATAGGCACTAGCTATAACAAAGACCGGGAGACACCCTTGTCTAGTTCCAATCAATTAGCTTATGAAGGGCAATAAATCTCTACACAACTCGACTCCTCAATTCAAGGACTCTTGTCCTAGCGTTTGAGTTGAACAACTTCCATCATTCTGCACGTCTTTCTCAGTGGTCCCAAGCAGCATGTCTATAGTTTTTTCAGGTCAAGTAATGGGGGAAGACAGGCTCTGTTTTCCCTCGCGGCGAGGATCAAGCTTTGTGGCTGATCTTGGTAAAATGGGCTTCTGCTTAGATCTACTCATCGCCCTAGGACCCATGCTGATCCTCTTACTCTGTGCACCATTTGACATCTTTCGCATCCGAAAAGAGCCAATCAAGATAGTGCCAAATTATCGGGGTGTTTCGAAACTAGTATGTCATTCTTCACTCTCAGCATAGAACAACGGTCTCACACCTAGCAAAAGATAATAGCAGTTACCTTGGCCCTTCTTCAGCTGGTAGACTTGGTTTTTGAAATCAAAATCGGGTCTAATCCAGTGTACCTCTACTCAGCAGCTGGAAACTTTGTGGCCTCCATGCTCATTCCATATTTATCGCTTCTGAACCACAGTCGTTGTCAGAGCCCATTCGACACACTGAACATTGTATTATTTTTCTCCGTGGGTCGTGATCTAGTGCAAACCACCCTCTTGCATCTTACAGATCTTCACCAATGCCAAACCTCCGCCAATATTAAGCTAGCTTTTTGAATGTCGTCGGCCCCGCTATTACACTTGGTATCTACACAGTTGTGACTAAATTGGCTGGAAATCCTCTCCTTGACACAGATCGAGTATTCACTTCATTTGCGTTGATTCCAATGGTCACACTCCCAGCCAACTCAATCCTCTTCATCGTTCCAGATTTCATCGCTGCCATCGCAGGTTTTGACAGGATCCAAAAATTCCTTTTGGAACCAACACACGAAGATGGACGCTTGAATCTCGCTCATCACCCTGATGACCCGGTACATGTGGACTTATTGAGCCAAACTTCAGCAAGTCGATCCATCAACTCTGAAAGTGAGTATTCGATCAGTCTCCAAGATGTGTCAGTCCGCTTTAGTTCTGAAGATCGTCTGGTCTTGAAGAACGTGGATCTCGCAATAGAGCCCGGGTGGGTTGTGATGGTCACAGGTGCAACTGGGTCAGGCAAGACAACTCTAGCAAGAACGATCATAGGCGACTTGCAGCCCGAGAGTGGACTGATCGCAACATCATCTCCACAAATGGCCTTCTGTGCTCAGTCGCCGTGGTTAGCAAATGGCACAATTCGAGATTTGATCGCCGGATCTCCGGGGTCTAAAATAACAGATGAGAAATGGTATCAAAGGGTCCTTCATGCTTGCGATCTGCAATATGATCTTTCTAAGCTTCCGAATGGTGAAAAGACATATTTTGAAAGTGGAGGAAGCTCTCTATCTGGGGGTCAGAGGCAACGAGTGGTATGTGGTTATATTATTTACATATTCGATTTAGCTAACAGAGTATAGGCTCTCGTTCATGCAATCTATTCTCGATTAGATATCCTGGTTCTGGATGATGTCTTCAGCGCGCTTGATGTGCGGACCGCACAGCGTGTGGCACAGCGATTGATGGGGCCATCCGGGCTGTTTCGTGAATACAAGAAGACCGTTCTACTGATTACGCATTCGAGTGAGGAATATCCAAGATCATACTATTCTGAAAATCCTAACGTCTCGTCTAGCGCAATCCCTTCCACTTTCGGATCTGATCATCACTTTAGAGGATGGATCTATATCGCAGAGCACCTGGGATCAGCTTAAGCCCCAGAATTGGTCCGAGCAAGTTGACAAGGACCTTTCAGTCAATGACCTGTCTGACAATACCCCGGAAGAGCAGCCCGTGAGATTAGACATAAAGCCGGAGCGATCGATGGATTCTGTCCGGCAAATCGGAGACAGTGCTATTTATCAACACTACATCAACGCAATTGGAAAATCACGAGTCGTGGCCACGCTGTTCATCATGATATCATCTGCTTCATTCGAAATGCTGATCCAGAATTGGCTTCGGTGGTGGACAGATGATGAAAAGCAGATCAACGAACATGGTTCTATCTGGCCGTTTACCTCATTCTCGCTCTAGGACATTGGCTCTCGTTAACCGGAATCGCGACCATTTCCTTGCTAATCGTGCCCACTTCCGGTCGCAATCTTCATAGCCAGCTCCTACAGACGGTCATCAATGCTCCACTGTCGTTTTTCATATCCACTAATATCGCCACAACCCTATCAAGATTCAGCCAAGACATGAAGCAGATTGACCGTCGTCTCCCTGCTCAGGTTACCGCTCTGGGAAGTCAAGCTTTCAAGCTCCTTGCCCATATTCTTTTGCTTTTCGTGGCGCAGACATACATGCTACTCACCTCTCCGGTCCTTGTAGTTGTCATTTACGCGATCCAAAAGATATACCTGTTCACCAGTCGACAGCTGAGATGGCTAAGCATGGAAGCAAACTCTCTTCCTAGCAATAATATTCTGGACACAGTTCACGGTATCACGATCATTCGTGCTTTTGGATGGGAAGATGAATATGCTGTTGATAACAGTAATGCAATTGATACATCCCAGGTGCCTTCTTACACTCTACTCGCCATCGAACAATGGCTGGCCTTGGTACTGGACCTAGTCGTTGCGGCCGTGGCACTTCTCAACGTGACTCTAATAGTCAGTCGTGACGATATCTCCGCCGGCGAAGTGGGAATCAGCATGGATGTGATATTAACAGTCAACATCGTGCTCCTGGTAACAGTGCAATCCTGGGCAAACTTCGACGCTTCTCTCGGTGTCATCTCTCGCATACGGAACTTTTCGATGACTGTTATTCCTGGACCGCAGCCTGAGAAACCACTCCTACTACCTGAATCATGGCCGGCTAAAGGCGCGGTCGAATTTGACAATGTCGTTGCCGACTATACCCAGAGCAGCGACTCGACTTCCGTGATCCACGCCCTGAACAATATATCTTTAGATGTAGGCCCAGGTCTCAAGATTGGTGTTTGTGGTCGTACTGGCAGTGGCAAATCATCTCGTCTGCTCAGCATTCTACGTTTACTCGATTTATCTTCAGGATCCATCAAAATTGACAATTTGAATGTTGCATCAATGTCCCGGGATACACTCCGATCCCGAATCATCACAATTCCCCAAGACCCGTTTGTTCTCGCGAGTGATAGTATCCGTGACAATCTGGATATCCGGGGAAAGAATTCAAATGAGGAGATATTGACTGTCTTGGAGAAAGTACATCTGCGGCACTTACTAGATGCCAGAGCGGAGAATACGGGCTTCAAGCCGGAACAGTATCTAGATTTGCCGATGAAACAGTGGACTTTATCACAGAGGCAGATGCAGCTCCTTACGCTTGCGAGAGCGCTTTTGTCTCGCTCTTCTCGCGGGAAGGTGGTACTGCTTGATGAGGCTACCGGGAATATAGATCGAGAGACCGATGAATGGGTCCAACGGATTGTTCGTGAGGAAGTTAAGAGGGTACACTATGATTGTGGTTGCTCATCGGCTTGAAACGATTGCTGATGCTGATTCGATTGTGGTGATGAATCAAGGGGAGATCGCTGAAGTGGGATCATTTGATGATTTGTGGCAAAAAGATGGCAGTGCATTAAGATCTATTTTTGGTGGGAATGGGTCTTGATCAAGTCAAGATGCCTACGAGGTTCAGGTATTCAAAGTATTTACAAGGCAGATCCATGGACAAAAATCATTAGTTGATACAGTCGTCATCTAAAATAGGCTCAAGAAAGACATGATAACATAAGAAAACGGTATAGAGCTCTCAAATTCGGGGCACGAAAAGGGAAAAAGGGAGGTGTAAACAAATCTTAGATGCAGACAGTGCCCCCGAGAAAATAACATCATGGAACTCCACTGCTGCAAAACGCACCAGATCGAACGGAATCTCCTGAAACCCCCGCTAACCAAGACCAAGCCAAGACCAAGAACTAAAAGCTTGAAAAACGACCAAGCATAGGTGGGTGGGCCAGTGACTCTAAGCGATGGAGGCAGCGCAAGAGTACTAGGTAAAGTCAAAGATTTTCCGTCTCGTGCCATGTCACGACAAGGGACACGATGGGCCCAACTCCTCCAACGCGTATTAAGTTCAATCATACAGTGAGTTATTTTGGTCGTTTCCTTCACGCACGTCAGCGACTGCCCTTTACTGGACTTGGCTGACAATCTCGCTGGCACGAGACAGGCTCTCAACCATTTGCTGGCACTCCTTCCGCCGGCGGGTGGTGTAGTCGCTCTCCTTCAGAAGGTCATCCAGCTCGTTGTTGCGGTACATGTTCTCGAGGAGCTCGCCCTGCATTGTGTCCTTGGTGAATCTAGAGAGCTAGTCAGTACAGGCATGGAATATTCAAAGCTGAGGGATACATACTGCACCAGGGTGTACATGACTGCCTTGGGAACCATGTCGATCATGGTGCGCTTCACAATGTTGAAGTAAGAGGTAATCAGGAGCTCTGTCCCAAAGGTTAGTAAGCCGGCCCACTAAACATAGAACAATATCATGACACGTACTAATAACCTCCACCTCGGTGGCCTCGCGCTCGGACAGACTGGCAGAAGCCTTGAGGGTCGGTGGCGGCGCCTCCATGGCAGCCATCTTCTTCTTGTTCTTCGAGGCCCAGAAGCTACCAAAGAATCCGCTTCCATTGACAGCCTCTCCAGTAGTATCCAGAGACGGGCTGGCGGCACGGGCAGGTAGGGGCTTGCCAGTCTTGGGGTCAACCTGAGTAGGCTTGGCGGCGTGCTGGCGCTCATTCACAATAGACATAGCCTATAAAAAAGTCAGCTGTCTGGATTATTCGGATCAGGGCTTAGAAGCTTACGCGGTGTCCGTTAAGGAAGTCAGGGTGACCGGTGTTGATATAAGTTGCTTCCATGGCAATCAAGTCCTTGACCAGCTTGGTCGTGGGCTCCATGCACTTCTTGAAGAAAGCAATAACCACAGCATGGAATTTCTCCTTCAGCATGGGATAGCGACGGAACAGCTGCTTGGTCAAAAGTTGACCCAGGATGCGAACCAGCTCGTCAAAGACGAGTGAGATACACTTCACACTAGGCTCCTCCAGACGCTTAATCTGTTGCTTGACAATCAACTCAAAAGCAGTGGTGCCGACGAAAAGTGCTGGGGATGAACCAGATGAATTGTAAAGGATGGTGCGAATATCAATATCCTTCACTTGGTCGAAGGGATCAACGGCCTTGATACCGTTCGAGTAGAGCTCGTGGAATACGAAACTGATACGAGCACCACCTGACAATTCAATGCTTGATAGCTCCTGGTTGTTTCCTTCTAGGACAGTGCGGTACTCGTTGCTGAACTCCGTAATGATGTTGAGAATAATGTTGGCGCTGTTGCCAAGCATCGAGTCACCAAGCTGCGACAGCTCCGAGGTGTATTTCTGAAGGGAAGAGGAAATGCGACCCTTAATATCGGGCAGGGTTTGCTTAATGTGCATCATGAGGATCTAGATAAGAATTCGATATTAATTTGGTGACACTACCTCTCGTCGCAAGATGAGGAAGACTTACCAGGTTCAGCTTCCGAGCCAAGTACGGAGTTCCACAGTACGAGGCCTTGTTCCGGTATGCCTTGTGGTTCTCAAAGAAGTTCTTCTCGTTCTCCAGAGCGTAGGCAATGAGCTTCTTGTTCTCAATATCACGCTGACCACGGTTAACAACCGGCACGTATCCAAGGCGCAAAGGGATAATCCGTCCAGCGAGAATATCCACCACATCGGTACCGTCGTCCATCAGGTCAACCTTACTCAACACACCGATAGTGCGCTGTCCCTCCGGGTCCACCTCACGAGCCAACTTCAGGCCGTCAGAGTTGGCCAGATCCTGGTTGGCCGAGGTCACGGCCAGAATGATGGCATTGGGCTTGCTGATATACTTGAGCACCATATCCTTGATCTGACGTTCGATATCCTTGGGCTGGTCTCCAACGGGGACCTTGGTCAAACCTGGCAGATCAACCAAGGTCAGGGTGAGGACGTTGGGCGAGTAGATGCGTAGGTTGATAGGAACTGGCGAAATTCCAGCATTTTTGCCAACTTTGGTCTCTGTCTCACGGACAATCTCCTCGCGGATCTTGTTGAAGTCAAAGAACTTCTCGCCTGGCAAATGCAGGAACTCTCCATACTCGTCAACATTGGACTCGCTATCCGTTGTCTCCAACTTTCCGTCGCCGTTCGATTGGGTGGTAGCTGCCTTGTTGATCAGCTGCAGAATAAGAGGTCTCCGGGTAACAATTCCTGAGCCACGGGGCAAGCTAGAAGTGAAGAAGCGGGTGGTTAGCAATGGCTGACGACGACAACGGGAAGGGCCCCGCCACCGCCGCGGCGCAGGAGATTCGGCAATGGGAGTTCCCTCAATAATGGAGTATGGGCGCATACAAATCACGACCGACGATGTTCTCTAGTACTGAACTTTTTCCGCTTGACTGCGATCCGACAACGGCAATTTGGGGCAGATCGATCGGGTTGTGTACCTAAAACCAAACCAGCGGTGTCAGTCCGAAGGCCAGACCACGGTAGCCGTATATAGAAGCTCGCATATACTCACACCAACTGTGGAGAACACATCCTGAAGCTTGTTAACCAGCGAAATCAGGCTGGGATCGTTCACGTTTATCCTGCGCACTATGTTAGCTTGGCCGTATCGGAGTGGAGGGGGACAGGGGGGTTCCGGGATGCGCACGAGTAGCCGGTGGTCGGGCTTGCCATGACAGGCGATATGATGAATAACCGGGCTAAAGATTTAAATCTGAAGTTGTTTATTCCCTTGCAAGTTCCAACGAGGAAGCAAAAGAAAGCAAACCGAAAGATGGGAAAGCGGAAGTGTGTTTGTTGGTGTGAGAGCAAAGGCGGTGGAGATGAAGAGTGGCGGACGTAGGCATCCACTTGTTATGTATTGGTCTAGACTTCTGATTGGAAGTTAGGTATTAATCTACATCTCTGCCGCCTGATTTGACTACTTCTAATGAAATAGCTCTATCATATTCTTTCTAAAGAAGTCTCTCTGCCCCAAATAAGAAGATTGGTTTGAACATAACTACAGGGTAATGTGCTAGTGAAAGGCCGGAAAATACAAAATGTACGCAAAATGCAAAAAGATGTCTACTCGTCGGAGACAGAAGCAAAACGGTCCGACATAGACTGCAGGATCTTCTCGTACTTGGCCGAAATCTCCTCCTCGTTGTCGGGCACCTCGAACTTCATGTTCCGCAGGGCATTCTGGAGGTCACTGGTAGCATCGCGGACCTTGCTCCATTGCTGGCCCTGGGCGACAGCCTTCTGGGCCTCATCGTGGTAACCCATGAATGCCTTCATCATATACTCAGTCTTCCACAGAGGGCAGAACTGGTCGTAGTCACTGTAACCGTTCTGCTGGAGGAAGTCATCCTTCAGCATAGCAGCCACGTCCAAGGTGATCTTATCCGAGTCACCAAGAGCCGCCTTACCGACGAGCTGCACAACCTGATCCAGATCCTCAGACTTGGACAGCAATTCACGGATGTGGTCACGCAAGCGGGGGAAGTCTGGGTTGTGTTGCTCGTAGTATTTGTCCAGAACGGAGTTGTACTTGCTGTAAGACATGGAGGTGTTGACCGAAGGAAAGTGCTTGCGCTGGGCAAGCTTCTTGTCGAGACCCCAGAACACCTGGACGATACCCAGGGTACTACTGGTGACGGGATCGGAGAAATCACCACCAGGCGGGCTGACGGCTCCGACAATGCTGACACTGCCCACACGCTCGGGGCTACCCAGGGCGCTGGACTTGCCGGCACGCTCGTAGAAAGAGGCGAGCTTGGCTCCCAAGTAGGCAGGGAAACCCTGATCAGCAGGCATTTCACCCAGACGACCAGAAATCTCACGCAGAGCCTCAGCCCAGCGAGAACTGGAGTCTGCCATCATAGCGACGTTCTTGCCTTGGTCACGGAAGTATTCTGCAATGGTGATACCGGTGTAGATGGAAGCTTCACGGGCAGCCACAGGCATGTTCGAGGTGTTGGCGATCAGGCAGGTACGCTTCATGATAGGCTCCTTGCGACCGTCGACAGTGATAGACAGCTACAGGCATAATGTTAGTCACCTTAACACCACAACGATGTCATCTGGATATACTTGCCTCGGGGAAATCCATCAACACTTCAGCCATCTCGTTACCACGCTCACCGCAACCCACGTAGACAATAATATCACTGTTCGAGAACTTGGACACAGACTGGGAAATGACAGTCTTTCCACATCCGAAAGCACCGGGGATACAGACAGTGCCACCCTGGACACTGGGGAAGAGTGCATCCAGCACACGCTGCCCGACAATGAACGGCGCATCGGCAGAAAGTCTGTCGCTTACGGGACGGGGCACACGGACGGGCCAAGTCTGCATCATGCCGTATTCGGTCTTCTTTCCCTCAAACTCGACTTCCAGCAGATTTTCCGTGACGGTGTAGCTACCGGCTGGGCTTATCCGAGTAATGGTACCCCGGGCACGCGGGGGCAGGAGGATCTTGTGCTCGTTCACCAGGCTGTTCTCGAAAACGATACCCCAAATGTCACCGCCGGTAATGTGGTCGCCAACCTTGAAGCCAGCGGGCTTATACTCCCACTTCTTCTCACGGTCCAGCGCATTGACGGAAATACCACGAGGGATGTAAATACTCTTAGACTTTTCGGAGATGGCCTGGAGGGGTCGTTGAATACCATCGTAAATTGTCTCCATCAGACCGGGTCCGAGCTCGACGGACAGGGGCTTACCCGTCCGAGTGACGGGATCACCAACAGTCAAACCAGCTGTTGTTCGGGAGGTTCATCAGTAAGCAATGCCATTGAGGGGGTTTGTGGACCGGGGGTATACGTGGCCCGGATAAGGGAGGTGTTCGTACCGGTTTCTTCGTAGACCTGAATAGTAGCTTTATCTCCTTCAATGCGAATGACTTCACCAACCAGCATGTCGTGTCCGACGTTGCACTGTCGAATTTCGGCGATCAGCACAGGTTCGGAGGTGAGAGCTTTGGGGGGACCTTACCAGCTCGTACATAGCACAACCGATCATATGCTCGGCGACGACAACCGGTCCGGAGACCGAAAAGATCGCACCTTGCTCATGCTTGTCTTCAGAACCCATCGTGGAGGTGTTTGAAGTGGATGTGGAGGAGATGGGGGAGGTGGAGGTAGTCGAGTTGGTTCGAGCGGGCGAGTCTGGAAGCGGTGGCAGCTCGGGCGGTGGAGGTGTTGACGCACGATGCTCCTTAAGCTCACGTCTGCTAATTAAGTCCAGAAGGGACGGCCGACTTTTCAGTAATGGTCTTCCCAAACCTAACATCCGCTGGCAAAGAAGAGATCAAGGCTTGTGTAAGATCGATCAGGGCGATCCATTGAGGTTGCCATGGGCCAATCCACGGGGGAGCTGAGGTCGTGGAGTCCCCCTAAGCTATCATCCAATCCTCTGTCCGGGATTGGCGCTTCCCGGCCAATTTTCAGTTTAAGAAAACAAGACACCATTGTGGCTGGTGGAATTGATACTTTTACGTTTGTTAGGGGCGGACTAACCTTAGAGGATGTAATTTATAAGTCCGAGGTACCTCTTTAGATAGGTAAGCCTCCTGCACACTAGGCTCGACTATGCCTCCTTAATGGTCAAGGTAGCTGTTAGATTGTTAATAATTTTGCATGGATGTGAATTAAGTCCTTCATCCCTATAGGTACTTGCATGGGTGTAGATATTTGAATGTACATGTCTGTCTCACTGCCGAGTTTACATAAGTTTTATGGGGACTGTCAATCTATACATATAAATACCCACGATTTTATGAAATCATCCCAAATCTTTGAAATCGACTTTTCTTCCAACCTTAGAACATGTCTTTTTCCAATATACCTATCATGCCTACCTATGGATACTTACTATCTAAAAAGCAATGTACTATATCTATTTGACTGGTACCCCTTTCCCATATGTAGGTTGCCGGTGTCGTTCAGGGCTAGTTGACCGCCATGAGATCTATCAATCAGGATGAATGAGTCTAAATATAAGTCGCATGCATATATGTCCTTAGAATACAGATATTGATTCATCAGGTATATTTTCTGTCCTATCCGATGCTTGGATCCATGATGTAGTGATTTGTATTCGACTAAATCCTATTATCATAGATCTTAAGCCCTGTGACTCGCGAGTAATGGCGCCAACATCCACTACCGCGATGACTCTTACAAGCTTGTGTAGATTAACCCCAGCGTTTTTGCGAAACCTAGTTGATTTTCATTTTATCAAGGAAGAATACCCAAGCATACACTATTATGACATGTAAAGACAGAAGAGCAATCATCCCCAATGATACGATACCATTTTACTCCGGGACACCCCACATTATGCTTGGGTCTGGGCGATAACCGATTGTGAGCATCATAAATTTACTTCTAGAGATCACAGTCAGCCTCCATTTAAGAGTTTTTTTTTTTAAGATAACATACTCCACATCCCTCGCAGGAGCAGTTGCCACTGGTACAAGTGCAACCGTGAGGACCGGTGCAGGTGCAAGAGGATCCACAGCCACAACCCATGGTGAATTTGGAAATTTAGGTAGTTGGATAAATTGAAGAGTTTGTTTTTGATCGTTGATTAGTGGTGAATATGCGAAAAAATAAAGCCATCGAGCGGACCTGGAGCATCTTTTATATGGTAGCTCTCCCCCTGTAGGACTAACAGCATCATGATGTCGTCAGTGCGGATGGTGAACCGTAGGTTTTCTTTGGAAAGTAAGTGGGAAGGCGGAGCTTGAATCCAAGGGACGATACAGTCATACTAAAGAGACCTACCGGATATTACCTTGTAGGGGTTGGGGTATTTAAACGCAAAGTCGGATAGTCAGTATCAAAGAGCTGGTGCGTAGTAATCATATTTCACGCAGCTCCGGAATCTTCTATAAACGAGTCATCGCGACGAGTAGCTCAGCTGATAAATGGCAAGTGGAACATGTGTATCTCTCCTTCTCAAACATCATACCGGACTTTCGTTTCTTAGGTAATTTTCAATCCTTGTGACTGTGAACTGAGTTTCTTGTGACCCGAGAGTAGATCGCATCACTGATAAGCCCGCATCTCCGCCCAACCCTTGAGAAAGCAGGAGGGGAGAGAGATACCCGCACTTCCAAGAACCTCAACCTCCTGATGCTCTTCGGATTCCATTTCAAACGATAATTACTCGAGACTTCTCCTCGAAACCCGAGTCTTTTCCCGCTAAGCTCCTAGGCACCTGGAGCTATCCCCGGTCATTCCCTATCCGCCACTGGTCTGCTCACCTGGTTCTTCCCAAAGAGCCAGGGAACTGGGCAGATCCTGAAAACGGTCGACCTGGCCGACAATCCTCCCCCACCGATATATCATCCCCGACGACCCTGAATTTCCTTTGCCCCTCGAAACCATAGCTCCTAATCCCAGATCCGCCAACGCCCCATCCACCCAGCTCTTCTCCGCAACCTCCCAGCCTCCGCCCGAGACCGCTACCTCCCCGACACCTAATCTCCGACGCCGCCGTCTTCATTCAAGCAGTCCCGAGACTCCTAGTTCCTCAGCAATAGGAACTGGAATAACCTCGCAGCTGGAAAACCCAAGGGCCGGTGACGTTGCGGCCCAGGACCAAACTCATCAACTCGGCCGAACCGACGGCCACCATCGTTCCCGCAAGCGCCGGCGCCTGCTCAACATGCGTGCCGATGGGATATCAGGCACTAATGGCTTTTCGCAGGCTTCTAACGGGACCAGCTCGGGGAAAGCCAGCCTGAATGGTCAGACGGCTGCGTCTGCAAATGGCGAGCCCCATGCTAACGGAGCGGGGAAAGCTCCAGCTAGCCAAACATACTATGGTCACAACCGAGAGGAGGTGACCCGGATCTTAATTCAAACTTTGTATGAGCTGGGTTACAACGGGTCAGCCTCCGCGTTGAGTGCAGAGAGTGGCCATCAACTGGAGACAGCTGGCGTTGCTACTTTCCGCAGCGCGGTGCTAGGTGGGCGCTGGTCTGAAGCTGAGAGGATCCTGATTCAATCATTCCGGAATGGTGGAAAGAATGGTCAGGAATCGGTACCCGAGGAGACGCTGCTACTCGCAGAGGATGCGAATAAAAACGAGATGCTCTTCTATTTGCGCCAACAGAAATTCTTGGAGCTTCTGGAGGCACGCGACTTGGGTGCGGCACTAGGTGTTCTACGGCAAGAACTAACGCCGTTGAACTACGACATCGATCGGCTTCACGCTCTTTCCAGGTAATATATTCTCCGAGGTTTCTATTTGGCATATATTCTGATGTTTGATTAGTCTGCTTATGTCGCCAACTGAGCGGTTATATGACCAAGCAGGGTGGGATGGTTCCACCAGGGCATCCCGAGAACGCCTCCTTGCGGACCTATCTAGTAAGGCTCTATGATTTTATAATCCTCGGCCACTGCTAATCCCGGTATAGAATCAATCTCCCCCTCAGTCATGATCCCTCAACACCGCTTGGCTATCTTACTAGATCACGTGAAACAAAGTCAAATCAATAACTGCCTATACCATAATACCGCCCAACCACCATCGCTCTATTCAGACCATCTCTGTGACCGGAATGACTTCCCACTAGAAGTAGGCATCGACCTGACCCAGCACACAGATGAAGTCTGGTATTGCGGCTTTTCTCACGATGGCACCAAGCTAGTCACTGCGGGCAGTGACAAAATGGTGCTCATATATGATACGGAAGACTTCACAGTACTCCACAGATTGAGTGACCATGGCGGTGGGGTTGTATTTGCTAGTTGGAGCCCGGATGACACAAAACTCATCACCTGTTCCCAGGACAAGAAAGCACGACTATGGAATGTCGAGGTAAGAGTTCCCCGACGCCAACGTACTTTCGGTTTACCTGTTCTGACTGACAATATTCCCATAGACTGGCCGCTGTCTTCTTACCATCGATCACCATTCCGAACCGGTCACATCTGCCGGCTGGGCACCAGATGGAGAGTCTTTTGTGACCTCCTCTTTCGACCGGAGCTCACAACTATGTCACTGGAGTGTTCGTGGATCGCCTTTGCACATGTGGAAAGGTGGATTCCGAGTGCAAGACTGCGCGATCAGTCCCGATGGGCGGAGATTGGTCGCGGCAGACACGGATTCAAAGATACACGTTTTTGATTTCCGAAGCTACGAAGAAGACTACTGTCTCTCCCGGTCCAGCAAGCCGACATCCCTCGCAATCAGCCGAGACTCAAAGCATCTGCTTGTGAACTTGAAAGAAGGAGAAATCCAATTGATTGATCTCGAGACTGCTAGCGTGGTGCGACGTTTCAGTGGTCAGAAGCAAGGTGAATGTGTGATTCGCAGTACTTTTGGCGGAGCTGGTGAGAATTTCATTGTCAGTGGTAGCGATGGTAAGTGACATCCTCGACTCAGATCTATTGGTGCTTGCTGACCCGCCTCTAGACTCAAAAGTCTACATTTGGCACAAAGAGAATGGGTCTCTTGTAGAGAGTCTTGATGGGCATTCCAAGGGCTGTGTAAATTCAATATCGTGGAACCCAGCGGATCCCACCATGTTTGCCTCGGCAGGCGATGACCGCGCTGTGCGCATGTATGTTTGCGTCTTCTTTTCGTTTAGGTGACAGTGCATTTCCGCTAACGTGCCTACTCAGTTGGTCTCGAGAACGCAATCGCCATCGCTCAACAGGAGGACTTAGTACTCGAGGTGTCTCAACGAGTGGTGCCCCACGGACCAGCGCCGTAAGGTCAACATTTACATTTTAGTGCCGCCATACTGTTACTTGGCACACCTAGCTTCCGGCTAGCAAGACTGCTTATGGTTCGCTGTTCTCCGTTTGGCTTGCCTTGTGTGGCATGGCATGGCGCTTTTCTCTTTCTGCAAGGCCCACGGTACACACTGGAGCCTCTTGATTCAAAGATCGATAAATCATATTTGGCTTCAGTCTTACTTTTCCTCGTTATTGCTTTTCTCATGGAAGCTCTTCTCTCCTACTTAACTTCGTATACACTATAACCCGAATCTGCCCTGCCCTCTGTCATTTCATGACAGCTGTTTTCTTTTCGAGCATCTCAGTGAATACAGGAACGGCGCCATTCCATCAATTCGTGAGGAGCTGTGGTCCTGTCATTGCCCTAGGTATAAGTTCCACATACCTTTTTTGTCTTTCGTCATTTTTGTTGGCTTGATCGGCGTTTCAGCTGAGATTGGAATTGGAGATGTCTTTTCGTTTGACTTGTAAGGGTTGTTCGTGTCCATCTAGGCGTACTTTTCATTGGGTTTAAGCATAGTTATATTAGGTCACCTTTGAATATATCAGCCCTCTGGCTACCTTTCTCCCAAAAGTATCTTTTATAGAAGTGATATTCGTCAAAACAAGCATTCCAAGTTTATCAGTCTCCTTCCCGTTACCTTAAAGATCGATCAATTCCAGCTGTCAAACACCTCTCTTTTTCCAAGCATCTTCCAACCTTTCGCCCATACAAAGTACCAATTCTCGGGCTGTCATGCCATACCCAAGACCCGATTTCGTTACCTAGCCTGGTTCGATGACAACAAGTTCATCGGCATCTTCCCTTTTCCTGCCACCTCTTTCCCCCTTTCGACTGAATCTAGGGACTAGCTCGGCTATCGATCCATTCCTCAATGCAGGTTTGAAGACAATGCCAGACAACGATGGAAATTCTTTTCGAGGAGGATCATAAGTTGTGCGATGTCTAGAAGAAGTTGGCCCACGATTTGAAGATCAAATCACAGTACGAGGCTCAAGAGGAACAGAGGGAGATCACCACAGGCAATGTCAAGTTTCTCGGCTGCATAATTAAGTACTGGAAAGGCTCGGCTCGTTTTCAACAAGCCGCACGACTCCAAGAGGTGGTAAGGGGCGTCAATCTGGAAAATGCGTCAGAAGGCTCCAATGATCGAACCTGGTATCGCAGGCTGTTCCCCACTGCACTAGATACGAATGCCCGTCTACGTTTCCAATATGCATGCAGCCCTGTAAATCATTTACTTCAAGAATGTTTGTAAATATTGTTCAAATCCATCATTCATAACTCCTAGCAGACAATAATCCGGGGTAAACTAAAATGGACCAGTAAAAACATGAAATAAGATGTTGCTCAGGCCTCCATGTGTCAAATTCGAAAGTGATATTATCATGAGAGTGCAACCTGCGAGATTATCTGACAATTTTGGGCTGAGTGGTAAAGTGTTAGTGGTTGTGGCGATGGTCGACTGGTGACGTTGCATTCTCACAGAATTATTCTCTTTTCCCTTTCCTCCACGCGAGATCCATCCTTGCATTGATCTGTGCAATCTTTGATAAAGAAAGTCCTCAAGTGCTCAAATCAAGTAGACTTGAGAGAGGTTCCCAGAAATCAATCGAATGGGCATAGCCTCGGGGCAAATTGTAACGCAAGTCACTTTTAGTTCGTTCAAGTAGCGAGGGCTAAGTACAGGGTCGTATCGTTTATGAGAGCAAATCCGCAACTGCAGAAAGATGACATTAGTACATCGACAATCAAAATTGAAGATCCTATGCTCTTGGACTCACCATTCATGGGCATCTCATCGATCTGGGTGGAGTAGTAAAGTTCGATATCACGCAGGATGCGGACGTCTTCACTAGTGACAAAGTTGATGGCCACACCCTTGCGGCCAAAACGACCAGATCGACCAATACGGTGAATGTAGTTCTCACGGTTGGTGGGGAGGTCGTAGTTGATGACAAGAGACACTTGCTGAACATCGATACCACGGGCCCACACATCAGTGGAGATCAGGACACGAGAGTTGCCCTGGCGGAAATCCTGCATAATGCTATCACGCTCCTTCTGAGGCATCTCACCGTGCATACTGGATACAGTGAAATTGGCCTCGCGCATCTTGTCAGCTAGCCAGTCGACCTTGCGGCGGGTGTTGCAGAAGATCACGGCTTGGGTGATCGTCAATGTGTCGTAAAGATCGCAGAGAGTGTCGAACTTCCACTCCTCCTTCTCAACGGCAATGAAGTATTGCTTAATACCCTCCAGGGTCAACTCATCACGCTTGACCAAAACGCGCACGGGGTCTGTCATAAACTTGGTTGTCATATCCAGGACGTCGTAAGGAAGAGTGGCGGAGACGACCACAACCTGTGTTGCCGGCGGAAGGTATCGGTAGACATCGTAAATCTGCTCTCTGAAACCGCGGTTGAGAAGCTCATCGGCCTCATCCAGGACGAGCATCTTAATGTGACGGGTACGAAGGTTGCGGCGGCGGATCATATCAGCAACACGGCCCGGAGTTCCAGAGACGACGTGCTGGCCATAGTCAAGCTTGCGAATATCCTCGCCGATGTTGGTTCCACCAATGCATGCGTGACATTGGACATTCATGTAATCGCCAAGGGCCATGATAACGGACTGAATCTGGGTTGCGAGTTCACGAGTGGGGGAAAGAACCAAAGCTTAAGATTCCATGTTAGCACCCAGCCACCAATTCGAGTTTGAAGTCCAATGTACCTTGGGTTTCGCGGACAACAGTGTCAATGACCTGCAGAGTACTGATCGAAAAAGTCGCAGTTTTACCGGTACCGGACTGGGCCTGCGCAATGGTATCACGACCTTTACAGATCTGAACGATAGCGCGCGACTGCACAGCCGAGGGGGACTCGTATCCATAGGCGTAAATTCCTCGGAGCAAGCTCTCCTTCAGGTGCATGTCCTCGAAGGTCGGGGCCACCGTGACCTCCTTGGAGGTGCTGAACTCCATGCGCTCTGGGCTGTCATTAGAAAGGCTCACTTCACCAAGTCTGGGGATCGCGCTTACCTTCGGCGCGTCGGTCGATTCCGTCAGCCATGATGATATGATTCAGTTCACGGCAAATGAGAGATATGGTATTTGAAAATGATAGGTACCAATGTGAAGCGCTACAAGTTCGACTTTTTGCGATGGGAGCGGTCCGGTCACATGACCACCCGCAAAGCTGCAGCTCTGGGTTCCGCGAACTTCTTCACTTCTTGACGTGTGTACACCAGGTTTCCGTTCACTTCGTGTATCAGGGCCAAAATTACCAATAAACCAGTCGCATAAACAAAATGCTTCTTGAAGACCAGCGATTCATCCACGAGGATCTCGAGCGGCTAGAGCAGGCCGTTGCTGATCGCGTGGCCGACAAACCTCGAAATGTAAGTTCGCCGAAGCATTGGTACGAAAAAGACTGCGAGCTCACAATCATGTTTCACAGATCCGCGAGAAACTAGCCAACGACCATGAACTTGCCAAATTCTTAGACCGAATTGAGGTGCAGTCCAAGAGACTGCTGGAAATCTACAAGGATGCCGATGGCCTGCGCGAGAAGGAGGTGCAGTCGATTTCCACTGGCGATCAGTTCGAGGAGTTCTACAAGCAGCTGGATGAGATCAAAGATTTTCACAAGCGCTACCCGAACGAGCCAGTCGACAACCTCGAGCAAGCATATAAACGACATCAACCCGCCGAAGGCGAATCATCTTACATGGAGATCGATAATATGTTCACTGGCGAAGAATGCTTTGGACAATACATGGATCTGACTACTAATCATGAGCAATACCTGAATCTCCCGGGAGTGAAGCGCCTGAATTACGTCCAATATCTCGATGTCTTTGATGTATTCACGCCACCGACCATGAGCATCAAGCGGAAAGACAAGGTTTCCGATAAATACTTCCGTTATGTTGGTGAAGTTGCGACTTACCTCGAGGGATTTTTCAAGCGAGTGAAGCCTCTGGAGGACTTTGATGCGTTGATTGCCAGCTTCGACGAGGAATTCGACAAGCAATGGGCAGCAAAGGAAGTCCCCGGCTGGGCTGATGAACAAGTTGCTACAGAAGGATCAGGCGAGGGAATATGGTGTTCAGACTGTGAGAAGGAATTCTCCAATGAGAATGTCTACCGGAACCACTTGACTGGCAAGAAGCACATCCGAGCTGCAGAGGCTCGCAAGGCTGCTGGCACATCAAACGAGGACTCCAAACCATCTGCAAGCACACCTGCGAAATCTTCCCTTGCGAAGGATTTAAAGGAGCGTGCTGTCGCTGTGCGAGAGCATCGTGTGCGTTGCTTCACAAACACACTTAAGGAAGAGCGGGAAGCTACAAGACGCAACGTCGTACGCCGACAAGGTTTGACCGAACGTGAGCGGCAAATGGAACGTGAGGCTTTAATGGCTGAGCCTGAGTCATTTGGTGAGGGTCGTGGTGGTGATCAGTCTGATGATGAAGAAGACAAGGAGAAAATCTATAACCCACTGAACCTACCACTGGCTTGGGATGGGAAGCCTATCCCTTACTGGCTGTACAAGCTGCATGGTCTCGGAGTCGAGTATCCGTGTGAAATTTGCGGAAATTACGTTTACATGGGTCGACGAGCATTCGATAAGCATTTCTCGGAGGCGAACCATATTTACGGCCTCAAATGCCTGGGTATCACCGCAAACACCAACCTTTTCCGTGAGATTACCCGCATTGAGGACGCAATGCGACTTTGGGAGAAGCTGGAACAGGATCGCAAGAAGGAGCGAGACTCCCGGGACAATGTCGTGCAAATGGAGGACGCCGAGGGTAATGTCATGCCCGAGAGAATTTATCACGATCTCAAAAAGCAAGGCATTCTTTGATTTACGCATACCTTACATTTTGTTCTCTCTTTTTGTTGTCGGGGGGCAAGGGTGTCAATACTACAGAAAAGCTTGGAGTTGGGCGAATGGCATGGCACGTTTTTTCTCTCTCAAAGAGACATATCATTTTCAATGGATAATAGTTCTCATATGCAAATTAGAAAGGAATTAGTCTGAGACTCTGAAAGGCATGCATCTGGGTCTAGGACTTGAACCTTGCTGATTCAATTCTGAGGATGAATTGAAGCCATATAATACCACATCTTATGGCCAGGGTATAGAAGAGTCTTCAAATTGCAAGGGTCTAGGGTAGCTTGGCAACGAGTCACCTTCAAATCAATGTATTCAATCTTTATCTTGATTTAAGTTTCGTTTTCTACGACATGCTTAACCTTTCCAACCCAACTGCTTCAAATCTGTAGATCATCACGTGCTTTCGTGTTCCATGGACGCGATCCGCTTCCAGATTTCGCGTTTCCACTTGTCTTGTCTTTTCTTTCGCTCCACTATTCACTGGGTGACGAACAGGAAGATATCACCATTCCTATGTGATTCTCTCACTTCAATCCCCAATGGGATTCAAATTCGCCTTTTTAGGCGACCTTCTATCGAGCCTTGAAGCCAACCGAACGGCCAAGGCGGCTTCGGCGAATAGGAAGGATGAACCGGACTACCGGACCATTGCACAATGGTTTAATCGACATGATCGTCATATCAACCACCCGGAAACAGACAGGCTGGCACTGCTATCATCCATGTTCCCTGAGAGACGACCAGACCGAGTATATTGGCTCCAAGCCACCTCACTCACCCGCGTTATCGGCCGCTGCTTGGGCTTAGGGTCTTCACGAATATCAGAACTAGATCAATGGCGAAAGCCTGGAGGTCCAGACTTGGGTCAATGTGTTGAAAATGTGATGCGTCAAGCCGAAAATGATCAGCATGACCGCGAGGTCTCAGTTGAGGAGGTTGACGAAGCTCTCAACATGATTGCTTCGAGGTGCCGCTTTTCCGGTCCCCAGGTTCGTCGTCAACATACTGCGGTAGACGTAGATACAGTTCTTTCATCTCTGTATCGTCGATTGACCAGCCGCGATGCGAAATGGCTCACTCGTATGATCTTGAAGAGCTACGGTTCCGTTACGCTCCCGGAGAACTATACATTGGAGAGGTTTCATTTCCTCCTTCCTCAACTCCTGCAATTTCAGAACACTTTTAAAGGAGCCCTAGAAATGCTTAGCTCCGAGCCGATGAACCACTTCCCACCCCGTCCAGATCGAAAACTGGCTGCTAGTCTCTGTGCCACTGCACTGGACCATATACGCCCACGGACAGGAATCAAAGTTGGAAGACCTGATTACTTCAAAGCACGAAGCATCAAACATTGTCTTCAGATCTCAGGTCGCCGCCGTATGAGCATTGAAAGGAAATATGATGGCGAATACTGCCAAATCCATATTGATTTTGCAAACAAGCATACTCCAATTCAGATTTTCTCTAAGAGCGGCAAAGACTCTACGTCAGATCGGTCAGGGATCATGTCAACTGTGGAGGAGTCGCTGCACATAGGCAGTCCTCAATGCAAATTCACGCAACGTTGCATACTCGAAGGAGAGTTACTCGTCTGGAGCGACAAACGCGGTGAGATTGCAGATTTTCATAAGCTCCGCAAGTTTCTATCGCGGTCTGGTACTTTGATTGGTATCGACAGCGATTCTCCACCCCAGCCATATGAGCATTTGATGATTGTCTTTTATGACATACTCCTCTTAGATGACGATGTCTGCTTGAGAAAGCCCCATCGTGAAAGACGGTTAATCCTGGAAAACATGGTTCATACAATCCATGGTCGATCTGCGATTGCTGAACAAGAAATTTTGGACCTTGACCAGCCAGAGAGCTACCGTTGGTTAGAGGCCAGATTTTCAAATGCAATAACCCGGCGGTGGGAAGGACTTGTGTTGAAGGCCTGTGACGAGCCCTATTTCTCCATGTGTCCTGCTGGTGTGAATAATTCCTCCGGTCGGTGGATCAAACTAAAGAAAGACTACATTCCAGGCCTTGGGGATACAGTCGACCTTGTTTTGATTGGTGGATTCTATGAAGCCACGGATGCTGCAGCTCTTCGATTTCCTAAAAGACTAAGTTGGACAAACTTCTTGGTTGCTTGTCTCTTGAACAAAGAAGATGTCCTCCAGTCCAGAGAACTTCCTCGATTCCGAGTCATAGACGTGGTTGGTCGTCATTGCATGCATCGTAATTTAATGGAATCCCTCAATCAATTCGGAGAATTCTGCGCGCGAGATCCGGAAGATTTCCACGATTTCAAAATTGACTATGGACACGACAGTCTCCCTAAAGTGACCAAAATCTTCAAGAAACCATTCGTGGTGGAGTTGATGGGCAGCGGCTTCGAAAAGCCTTCTGGTGCCAGGTACTACACGCTTCGCTTTCCGCGTATTATCAAAATTCATACGGACAGAGGCTTCGAAGATGCGGCATCTTTCCGAGAACTACAGATTTTAGCTGAAGAAACCAGGTCTGTGCCTACCGCAGACTCATTCGAGGAGAGAGAACATTGGTGCAAACGCCTCAAGGTTGGCAGTGGGCTTAACGAGTATATTGTGCAGAGATCAAAAAGCCCACCTTCCCGGAGTTCGAGCATTGAGGCAGATTTTCCAGAACCTCAAACCCCAGTCCAAACAGGGAATGATGAGGTGCTTTGTCTTGCTTCGCTGCCAAGTTCCCCTATACATCAGCCTTCGTCCCGGAGCACGAGCAATCAACGATCGAGTAATTTCGAGAGTCATCATGCTTTGTATATCGACGAGACACTGCTGCCGATTGACCTCGAAAATTCCCTTCCCGAAGCCAATGTCTTGACCGAAAATAATAATTTGTCCCAGCGACAAAAGTCCAGCCAAAAAGATACCCATTATGTTGAGAATCCGGCTAAAATAACGAATTATCTCGAAGGAAGGATGAACGGTCCAGCAGCAACTAGCCTGATCTCCATTTATGAGGAAGTCCCAGTCCAACACAAAACACTCGGAGCAACCCCTATCAAATCACCTTTAACCACAATTCCAATCTACATGTCAAGTAAATCAAAAGAAAAGATCTGGGAAATTCCCGGAGATGCCCCTCTTCATGATTTCTTGACATTTATAGGGTCGGACAAGACAATGACTGCATTGTCTGAGTCTAACCCCTCCGCCGCTTCCAAGGGCATGGCATTCGGTATTGTTCTTGTGAACATAGCCGAGAGATCACTAGGCAGAGAGATCCACAGAGCAGCTACGGCTGTGTCTCTTGCTACCAAACAATCATCATGTCCTCCCAAAGGAATGATTTTCTTTTTGGACTCTCATTTTCTGGAACAGGATATCTGCTCTGAGGATATCAAGTATTGTTTACGGAATACCTGGGCTGAACTTGGGAAGCTGTTTTACTATGCTTGTCTTCGATGGGATGTGTCTCAGACTCCGCCGACACAATTGAACCGACTTGCATCTGGTGACGCTCCTGATTCCGCTGAGGTGCAATATAGGAAAGTCCCGGCTCCTCTGGTCAGCTTTGATCAAGATGAGATCTTGGCGTTAGGAGATTATGTATCTATCAAACCGCCATTGCTTTTCGCTGGGTAGAAGACTCAAGTTTCTGGAGTTGAAGGTAGACAAGTTTGGTTAGGTACGAAGCATAACGCGGACCTCACGGGTATCAATATCCATTTCAAGGTTCCTTCTAATATTGTTTGAAGATAAGAGAACTCGTAATTATTAATGACCAGGGTAACACTAAACGCCACGCTATCATGACAATAAGATGACCTCCCGAATACAATAGACTAACCGCCACCTTCCCGTCTAGCCCGAACATCACTCATAAGTGCCCTCGCTTCTTCCACTTCAAACCCATCCTGACAAAGTTCCCCTGCTAATAGATCCGCGCGATCGAGGTCACCATGGCGCAAAGCATGCTGCGCCAGCCACAAGCGGGCTCTAGAAGTAGTTGCCGTAGGGCCAGTGCCATGGTGCCATGTTTCACTAGCGGTGTAGTCATCATTCTGCATAGCAAGTGAGGAAGTCCTCGGACGAGGTTTCCGGCGACGTTGCTTAGGTACATCGTCTCCATCATCGGAATTCTCAGCTTCATCGCTGTGGGTAGCATGCTCAGAAGAAGAAGAGTACTCATCCTCATCATCCGAATTTCCTTCCTCATTCACGGGGGCACCGCCAGATTCTTGTTGCAGGGTCAATTCCATGTAAGCGGACGCTTCTTCCTCATCACCTAGTCGTTCGTAAAGAGTTGCGATCTGGTGTAATGTTTCTGCGTCGAGGATCTTCCGGGTACCAGGACCGGGACTTGAACCGATGCCTGAACCACCGTCTGCGTAATAGGCCCCAGCAACAAGGGCACGTTTCAGGGCTTGGATACTTTGCTCGACGCGGCCCATCTTTGCATAGCATGACCCTACTGCCTGCCACATTTTTGGATCGTATGGCTGCAGAGCGGCTGCTCGTTGGTAATAGAACAGGGCGTAGAAAGACATATCGAGGACTTCATATGCTTGGCCTAGACCGTACCAAGCGCGGTAGTCTTTGCGATTGACATCAACAGCACGACGGTATGATTCGATGGCAGTATGAGTGTTTTTCATCTCGATGTACTCGTGGCCCATTAGGGTCCATGCCGACAAGAAGTTGCGATCGAGCGTCAGGGCACGGCGGAAGTACATCACAGCTTTCTCGTGCTCGGATTTCAGAGAATAGTAGTTGCCCACAACACAGCACGTTTCAGGGCGGAATTTGTCGGTGGCAATCGCAATCTGAGCGACGAAGGCCAGTTGAGGGCGTGCACCCATGACATATAGTATATTGGAGTAGTGATCAAGGCTATCCAGTCGGTGTGGAGATGTGGCCAAGATTTCATTAAATATCTCCGCCGCTTTGTCAAAGTCTGAACATTGTTAATACCTGAGACTGATACACTGAATGTTATTAATCTTACCTTTATCGTGGTAATAAAGCAGCGCCTCTTGCGTTTGGAGGAATGCATTGGTAGGGAACAATGTTTGAAGCTGGTGAAGGTCTTTGTATGTCTCGGGTGTGGTTTGATAAAGTTCCTGGCTGCTGTAGGTGTGGAAAATTAGGGTCATGAGATTCTTGGGCAAACGGTCCACGATTTGTTTTAGCTATAAGCGTTGTCAGGTTCGATTTCAAATGGGATTGGGTAAACGCCTTACGTCTTCATTGTTGGCCAAGAGGTCACCCAGCTCTTGCCAAGCCCCCCAATGGAATGGGTTCTGATGCACGCTCTGGATGAGCCACTTCTTCGCCAGTTCCTCATTTCGCCCTTTCAGTAAGACAACTGCGTATAAGTATTCGAGCCATCCTTGTCCCTGATCGTCCAGTCCCCTAGCACTTCGCTCCGTGAGCCAGCCTTCCAAGCCACGGGCGAGATCCGGTAGTTCTCGATTAACTGCCATTCCACCATCCGCTGGGCCCAACACCATCTCTGTTTCCTCATCCTTGCGCTTCTCTCCAGCCATGTATTTCGCATAGAGTGCAAGAAATAGCGACTTTTGACTGATTTTTGGGTACGGATTGCTCCGCGGTTGGCCTTTCGAGGCTTGGAATGGTGATGATTTCTCCTTGCCCTTGAGTGATGTGCGGGGTTGTTTCGATTTCGAGTTGGGAGAGGACACAGAGAGAGGTACTGGAGGTGTAGTTGGAGGTAGAAACACGGCTGCACAGCGGTCATATTCCCGAGTGTCGAAGTATGATTTGGCCAAGAGGTATTTGTGGGATTCCCGGGCTTCTAAGGCCGCTTCGGTAGGATCTTGCGCGCCTAAATATGGGTTAATTGGCGGCAGCGGAGGCTCCGCGATATCCATTGGAGATTCAGGATCGGTATCTCCATGGTCGACCGGTAAAAGAGAGTCTAGCATCTCCGCTGCCCTAGATGGTAATAAGCTTGTCAGCGTCGTTCAGTGAGACACGGTACAAATTAGGTGTGGGTGTACCATTTTGATGATTGGTATAGACATCGCTCTGAACATTTTATCGCAGACTCTTCAAACCGAAACCTGAGTTCTTGGATGATTTCCTCGGTGATCTCCATCGTTGCCATCTCTAATAGGGCAGTGCGGGGGTAATTCGGAGAATTAATTTGAGATTGAGAGATTGGCAACTAAGTCGAGTCAATCATTTAACATCTGTTTTTCCCAGCAGCCTTGGTTTCGGTTTGCGCAATGGAATGTTGAGGCATGAAACTGTCGCAATGGCAGGCTCGGGCAGCGGCGCGTGTTGATGCGACGGGCGCAATGCAATCGGCAATTGACTTTCTCAGCCTAGGCGAAGACCAATACCTATTGGCTAGCTGAGCGAATTACCACAGACTCGTCAATCAAAGCAGATCGCTAAAATTGTTGAGAACGAGAAATAATCCATAGAGAAACAATAAGTTCAGTCACGAGGAGCAACTGCAGCTGTCAACACCAAACAGCACAAACACGCCAAGCCTCGAGTCCCTCCGCGGGGGAATTTAAGTGCAATAGTCAATTCCACTATTACGCTAACTCCCTTCCTCATCCTTTCCCTCCCCCTATTCAAGTCATAATGGCTCAAACTACCAAGCGCGCAGATTTCGAGGCCGTCTTCCCCAAGCTGGCTGAGGAGATTATCAGTCATGCTAAGAAGTACAACCTCCCCGATAACGCTCTAGCGTGGTTCGAGAAGGTGAGATTAAATCCATATAAGCAATTCGGCCACAAACCTCATTGGACCCCATGCTGACGTTAGGATAGTCCTTGTTTGCCAACGTTCCCGGTGGAAAGTTGAACCGCGGTCTTTCAGTTCCCGATACCGGCCTCGCCCTCCTGCAAAAGCCCCTGAACGATGAACAATTCGAGCAACTGAGCATTCTGGGCTGGCTCACCGAGCTGCTCCAGGCTTTCTTCTTGGTTAGCGATGATATGATGGATGGCTCCATCACTCGCCGTGGTCAGCCCTGCTGGTACCGCCAGGACGGTGTCGGCTTTGTCGCCATCAACGACGCCTTCATGCTGGAGTCCGCCATTTACCTCATCTTGAAGCAGCGTTTCCGCTCCCACCCCGCCTACATTGACCTTGTCGAGCTCTTCCACGAGACTGCCTGGCAGACCGAGCTGGGTCAGCAGTGTGACCTGATCACCGCCCCCGAGGATAAGGTCGATCTCGACAACTTCTCCATGGAGAAGTACATGTTCATCGTTACCTACAAGACTGCCTACTACAGCTTCTACTTGCCCGTGGCTCTTGCCTTGATCTACTTGGAGCTGGCTACCGAGGAGAACCTTAAGCAGGTCCACGATATCCTGATCCCTCTGGGCCAGTACTTCCAGATCCAGGACGACTACCTTGACAACTTCGGTGACCCTGCCGTTATTGGCAAGATTGGTACCGACATTCAGGACAACAAGTGCTCTTGGTTGATCAACCAGGCCATCCAGCGGGCCACCCCTGAGCAGCGCGCTGTGCTCGATGCCTCATACGGCCGCAAGGATGCTGCTGAGGAGGCCAAGGTCAAGGCCATTTTCAACGAGATGGGTCTGGAGAAGGTGTACCAGGACTACGAGGAGAAGGTTGTTGGTGAGCTGCGTGAGAAGATTGCCGCAGTGGATGAGACCAAGGGTCTTAAGAAGGAGGTCCTCGAGTCCTTCCTGGCCAAGATTTACAAGCGCACCAAATAAATAAGTAGACGTAAAGGCGCTTTGGGAAGAAAAGTTGATAAAGTTGATACCCGGCGCTTTGGCGTGACGACACGACGCATAATTGCGATTTCGGCTCATATGTGAATGTGAATATGAATTTGGGCTTTGAATCCATCTTGTACGAATTTGATCCTTTCGAGTAGAATTGCCTGGAAAGCGGTGTCTTTGATCCAAACTAGGTAAATATCCACAACCTGTACAATTGTCTGTCAATGCTCCAAGCCTCATTCTCTCCATACACATACAGTATGCAATGCAAATGTAGATCCGATCTGACTCGCGGCCCGCCCCACTTGGCCGACGTTGGCGCTGCACTAAATCCCGGCTCGTCTCCAGTTCATCATCTTTCCTTCAACCTCGACAATGATCTCAACACGATGCCCCTGTCCCTGCACTTCTTCCTGACACCCCTCGCACAACCATCAGTTCTAAGTGTGGCACTATGGCTACTTCTGCTCTCGGACATCGCAGTCGCTGACAGAGAAAACGATTTCCGCTCCGAGAAATATGCCCATGGCTTTGAAGGCCCTTTCCCGCTGCAGCATTACTCATCTGCGAGTGTGTCAGGCCCAATCTTGAACTACTGGGAGAAAAGTGTTGCATGCGATGATGGGTTACATACCTTTATCTCGCCACGCGGGGGATCAGTACGCCATTCTGGACCCATGATTATGGATAATCAGGGGCATTTGGTGTGGTTTAAGGAATATAAGACGACTTATAATGCCAATGTTTATACTTATAAGGGGCAACGGTATTTGACATTTTGGGCGGGTGATGATCAGATTCGGGGGCATGGGGAGGGGATACTATATATGGTGAGCTTCGGGACGAGGACAGAAATATTGGGTTGAAAGTAGGCTCACGGGGTATACAGCTCAACTCCAGCTACGAAGAAGCATATAAACTCCACGGTGTAAATGGTGTTGCGGCAGACTTGCACGAATTCCATATCACTCGTGACGAAACGGCCGTCTTTACAGTCTATGATATCAAATCCGTTGACTTGACCTCAACAGGTGGAATGGAAAATGGCTGGATCTACGATGGCGTCTTCCAAGAGATAGACATAGAAACTAACGACCTCCTCTTTCAATGGCGTGCTTCAGATCATTTCTCCTTCCGCGAGGTTGAGCGCAGCAGCGAAGGGACCGGTGGTTCAGAAGAAGACCCGTGGGATTGGTTCCACATCAATAGCATCGACAAGGACGAAAAAGGCAACTTCCTCATATCCTCACGGTACCTGAATTGCCTCGCGTATATCGACGGTGTGACCGGCGATGTAATTTGGAAGCTCGGCGGGAAGGAAAACTCATTGACCGATCTATCAGCGGGCGCAGCGACAAATATAAGCTGGCAGCACCATGCGCGATTCCAGCCCCAGTACGATACGAAAACGACAAAAGCGATATCCATTTTCGATAATTCGTCGCGCGGGAAAGGTGCACCGGAGAACACCAGTCGTGGATTAATCGTCGATATAGACGAGACGAACATGACAGTCGCTGTCCGCACACAGTATTGGAATCAATTCCCGATTAGCAGCCAGTCGCAGGGCTCAATGCAGGTCTTGGAGAACGGGCATGTATTGCTTGGCTATGGCTACAGCGCTGCGTGGACGGAGTTTGGAGCTGACGGGGACGTGCTTTGTGAAGTCAATTTGGGCCCGAGAGAGTTATTCGATCGAGGCGATATCATCTCCTATCGAACCTTCAAGCAGAAATGGGTTGGAACACCTCTGACTGCGCCTAATGTTGCATTGTCTGGTACTACGGCGGCTGTTAGCTGGAACGGGGCGACGGAGGTAGCCACTTGGGTTTTGCAAGGATCTCATGTTAATGTGACAGACCCCGAGTCCACGGATGAGGATGGGATACACAAATACTCGAGTGGGGATATTGCCGATACCGACTTCCAGTTCATCTCTGCTGTGCCTAAGACAGGTTTGAGACTAAATTCCCCATCCCGGATATACCATACCGCACATTGCGCATTGTTGCCCTTGATGGAACGGGAGGTTTCCTGGGAAAGACAAGGGCTATGCAGTGGGCGCCCGAGAAAATGAATGAGGAAGTTGCGGTGTTTGCTGGTGATGAGGAAAAAGAAACGAATTCGGAGCATCGCATCGCACCCGTGATGATGTTCGGGATTGGTTTCATGAGCGCGGCAGCAATCTTGCTTTGCGCACGGCTCGTCTGCAAGTATGCCTCCAGATATCCTAGACCAACCTTTAGCCGCAATCATGGCAAGGGCAAGGGGTGGCAGGCGGTTCAATCAAGCGAAGAGCTCGATCAGATGGATGACCTCAGCGACTTGGAGTTGGGGGAACGAGATGAAGACCAGTTATTGAACGGCAGTAGAAAGAAGAATTGATTTTCTCTGTCTTGGATCTTTGATTTGTACATTACAAGCCTATAACATAATCACGCCCATACCTCCAGGTCTCCTGTCCAAGCGATCCGGCTCATCCTCATCCTCATTGACCACCGGATCTACCCAGGTAATTGAAGAGGTAGTAATGAAGCTGGCCATCGCCACGGCCGAAGCGAAGCTTTTCAAGGAATAGCTCATTATCTTGAAGATGAAGTGCATTAAAAACATCGAGCCCAGCCTGATGAAATATATGTCTGTCAGCTCAGAAAAGAAATACCGAGGCAAAGAAATCCTACCTTTTTCGCCAAGATAAGTGCATCGTTAATGAGACCCTGCAAACGCTCCTGGAGATTCTCAGTGTTTTCCGTCGCATAGTAATACAGATAAGCTGTTCGAATCACGTCACGGGAGTGCGAAAGCACCGCAGAATCGATGCAGTAGAAGGAGACTAAATCGGTAATCTTCCGGGTTTCCAAATCTTCAACAACATATGCCCATACCACCCGGTTGCTAGCTTTCGTCTGGGCTTCCAACAACCAATGCCTTAGCTCATCTATGCTGAACGCTGGTCCGATGTCGAATCGCTGCTGATACCACTCCAGCAGTTCATGGACGGCGTCCAGGTCATCCGCTTGCATGAGGCGCAGACCAGGTGTTAGAGTAATGCTTGGCAGATGATACTTTGCGATCTGCCGGGCTTTGGTGGAATTCGCTGGCAGCTGCGAAAGGCAGACTCGTACAGCTTGGGCCAGTTCAAGGCGCGATGATAGTATCGGCACGACGCTACCGGGGTAGGTAAGATTGCCGCAGCGGTATAGATGGCCTGGTAGATGCCTTGGAGGTAGCAGCGTCGGGTGATTTCTTTTATCAAGAGTGGCGTCAGACGTTTTGAGCGAAGCTTTTTGTGAATACACAGAAAGTTGATTTCGATTACTTTGATCGCTTGGGCATAAACATTGATGTTGGTCGATACACCGGTGATGAAAGCGACTAGTTTTTGAGAAGCAGAAGCGCGGACGGCGATATTCCATTGCTTTTGCCAGCCTGGAGCTGTCAAGGCCCTGCGCGTCATTTGATGAGTATGATGGAAGAAGACCTTGATGAGGAAAGAATTGACTGACCATCTCAGAAATACTGGTGAGTAGTTGAGTCGGAAGGATGAATCATCATCCTCAACGTAATGGTTTGACAGCAATTCATACAATTCGCCTACCTCCTTCTCATTCTCTGGGTCGATTGTTCCCCACTCGAAGCCATCCAGTAGTGGGTAGGGTTCTTTGGGTACTTCGTCTTGATTGACGACTTTGATAGGCCCTCCCTTACTTTCCCCGTTCTCGTTGAATTGTGGCACCGGCTGTGTCTTCCAAAACTTGTAAGATTCATCATGTTTTGGTTTGTCAATGTCGCTTGGGCTCTCTGTCATGAGCTTCGCAAATAATTCGGATATCGTTGCTCGGCTTGACTTGGTAAAGGATGGGCCTGTTTCTGTCGTCAAAAACTGCTGGATTGGGCTCCTCTCTTTTGACTCGCCGTTGCTGGGCAGGTAATTCTGCTTGCTTGGTTTCTCCATTTTGTTTGGAATCTGTGGGTTATTCCCTCCAAAGTTATGGCAAATCTCAACAAGTTAGAATCCTGGCAGGTTTTGCGATAATCAATAGAATATCCGTCAGGGGATGGGAGGGGGAGATAGATGGAGACGTAAAGCCTTTACAAACTACTTTTTCTCCGCTGAGTCTGTTGTTTGCTTATCTTCTCTGTAAACAAGCTAGGCACAGTGATGGTAATTGCCGACAATATAGTCACATCATTATAGCTTCATGGGAGCCACCATTGAGACCCAATGAGACTTCATGACATAGGCTAAGCCTGCTAAGCTACACGGTTTTGGGGTAAGCGCAGTCTTTGATTCGCGGACAAGGGACGAATTGACGGATTTCCCGACGGAAGACCGGAGAGCCAAGAATTACTAGGAGTCGCCTGTGGGTTGAGCGCTGGAATGTAGGGCAGCACATAGAAACTCCATGGTTTTATATTTGTACTGATTTACCGAGGGTTTGCACAATTCGAAAGCAAGTTTCTTGATTCAAATTCCTAAGAGTAACTCAGGCTAAAGAGTGGAGCCTGTTATCGGCACATCTCGAACCAAACAGCCATATTTCGTGAACTAGGCCGAGGCAGCAACACCAAGACGCTGGAAGCCACCATTAGCGGCAACCTCTTCCTGAAGCTTGGCCATTCGCTTCTGGTCCCCAGTAGGATCAGTAGAATCAGCATCCAGCGTCCATGAAAGGTACTGGTTGGTATAGTTAGACTGGAAGTTCTCATCCAAAATACCAAGGCGCTTTCCATAACGAGTGACCTTCTCCCAGTCCCGAGCAACATTCTTCAGATCGCGACTGAAGTACGCGTAAGAACGCTCAAAGATCTTGCGGTTGACAGGAGTAGCCATAATCGGTTTAACATCCACGTACTCCTCATAAGTACCCTTAGGATCAGCCAAGACATCATCCGTAGCACGCTTCACAGCGCGCATGAACTTGCCAACGCGCTCCTGGTTCTCAGCCAGGAACTTATCATTGGCAATGTACAGGATTGAGCAGAAGCAGCAGCAGCCCAGCTCGGCGAGCTGGTCGATACGTAGCATCTGGACGTCGGAGCGGGGACGGTTTTGCTCGGCTAGCCATTCGGCTAGCTCGACCATTTGCACGTTCTCGAGTCCAATGCCTGCGTCGATGTCGCCGCGGATAATGGCTTTGGTTACGTTCATGCCGCAGCGGACGGCGGTGTAGTCGTCGGTTGTCATGCCGTAGTACTTTGTGAGTTCGTCGATTTGAATTTTGCCAAATTCACCGACGTAGCCGATGCGTTTGCCCTTTAGGGAGCGGAAGTCTTCGGTTATTCCGCTGGACTTCAGGTACACAACGCCGGTGAAGGGCTCGTCGAGGAGAGAGCCGATGGATGTCACCGGGAAGTTGCGAGCTTTGGCCTATGATGTTTTAGAATGAATGTATTTGACTGAGGTATGGGGTCAACTTACCGCCAGGGTATGGATCATGGCCTTGAAGCCCATGTCGACTTTACCGCTACCGATGATCTCGGTCACATCGGAGGGATCATTGGGCTCCAGCAGGGCAACCTTAAGTCCTTCATCCTTGAAGTAACCACGGGCCTGAGCGAGGTAGAGGGGGGCGTGGTACGGGGTAGCGTGCCTGAGAGAAGAAATCCTCAGCCTGTATACTTTACCAGACGACATATATCGAACAAAAACAGTATTTAATCAGATTCTGTTTGCATACCAGTTGGTCAGGAAAGTAATCTTGTCCGTAGCCATTGTGGATGAAACAAGAACTGTATACTTCTAATGGTCAGCATCCCAATACAAGGGTATCCGTGTCCAACAGTACTATGTTAGCGGTAACATCCACAGCAGCCATTGGACACGAACACAAAAATAGCAAAGGGGGAACAATCAAAGTCACGCATGTCCTTTCGCTAGAATTATCTAGATCAAGTTTTGACAGTATAATCTCAGAACAGCCAGACTCCCATGGCATATATGATTGCTCATATCTACCACGGCAGCCTGAGCCGAACACCTGTCATGCGTAGCAGACTGTTATACCATAATATACCTTGACCCTATAATCATCGCGGGGACAACAGTCCAAGGACCCCGGGAGGACCCGAAGCTAGGACGTGCGCAGCTTCATTGTTGAGAGTCGTACCGAAGGTAGACTTGAAATCGTTGGTAGGTGTGGGGAGCTCAAAATGAATCAATTGAGATGCGAGAAGGAAAGTGGTGGGAGGAGCTCATGGAGGGGTAGAAATACCCCGGAGTGGAGTTGTCCGCCAGGGTATGGTCTCATCATGATTTGCACCACAAGGTTCACCGGGATGCGCAAATCACGATTAGTTGAGCTCCCAGGTTGCCCTGATTGGGCTCGTCCGTAACTCTATTGCAGGTGATATCCACATACTTCCGAATCCAACCGGATTCACACCCGACATCGCAGACCCTTCTTACGTTATGGATGGTGTGGCGAGAAGTGCTCAATTCACGACTAACAAAGTTCCAAAGAGTTAAAACAAATAAAGGCTTCAAGATGCATGGATATGAAGGTCAAATTACAAGGTGACGTCAGGTGGAGGTGTTCACTCCGAGAAAGAAAACAACACCAAATGCAAACCGTGAACAAGAGTAAGTAAGGAAAACAAAAGAAAATAACATAGAGAAATCCTATCACTCCTCATCCTTAGCGTTGTCCCCGTTTATCGATATGCTATCCAGGGGAGACTGCGGCCGATCGCCAGACTTCCGAGTCCGGAGCGTGAGTGGATAAAAGTGCTCTTCGGGTTCTTCTTCCTCACTGCGGGGTTTGTTAGCATCTGGAACGTCATAGCTCAAACACCGAAATCATGGGACAAAAGGTGGGGTACATACGGGAGCTTCCAGGCGACATAGTCTTCGGTGCTCAGGCCCTCGCGGCCTTCCTGGAGTGAAGCAAAATCACCGGGGGTCATCATGCCGGAGCGATCCCGAGGAGAACCCGGAACGGAAAGAGGGCGCGAGATCTTCTGGTCAGTCCCACCGATGATGTCGAAGTAATCTTCTTTCTCATCGAACGAGGACGGATAGGCTGCGATTAGATTAACAACTATTCTGAACGGCTTGGAAAAGATCAAATCTTACCTCTGCGGAGCGCCAATTGGCGTGCTTTGACGTACTCCAGACCCATCCGCTTCCAGTCAAGAAGATCACTCAATCTCTCGGTCCGGTTACGCTGGTTGATACGTTGACGCCGGCTCTTGGCGGTAAAGTTGAACATGAAGTCAGTCAGCTGATTTACCGAGTCATCCACTCCCTTCGACCGACGGTCTACAATGTAGATACCGTAGTCGGAGGAGTTCTCGATCAGCTCTTCCATGTAGCAACCGAATCCAGAAAGGTTTGTAGTGATACTGGGTACACCCATCACAGTGCACTCGGCCGGAGTGTATCCCCACGGCTCGTAGTACGAGGGGAACACTCCCAAGTGGGTTCCACGAACAAAGTCGTCATAGTCAAGCGGCAGCACCGGGTTGGAAGCGTTCAGGAATTCGGGATGGAACACAATCTTGACGCGGTCGGAAGAATTATTGAACAGCTCGACGCGGCGCAGCTGGTTCAAGATGGGATCCTCGTGATCATTCACCATGTTGTGCGTGACAATAGGGGGAAGGCCGTGGCGTTTCATCGCAAACAAGCGACGGCGCAGAAGGACCCGATCTTGGCTGGTAATGAGATCCTTCTCGTCGGGCATGTTATCACCCTCCTTCCATGAAAGACAACGCTCATACATGCGCTTTCCAATGCCCTTCTCAATGTTCTCGATTGTGTCACGGAGGGACTTGACCACGGCCTGTCCCTTGAGCGACTCCACCGTCAAGGAAGAGGTTTGTGCGGGCATGATGATGAAAGCGACCACGGTCGTGGTCGAGCCACTGACCTTCAATCGGTGGTTGAGACGAGCCAATCCTTCAATAAACATATCCACTCCCTTGTTCCGATACTCGTACCGACCAGCGGTGAAGAGGTAGAGAGTGTCATCCAGATCAAAGTCATTGTGACCGTAAAAGTGACCGCGAACAAAATCATTGATCTTCTCCTTAGCTTGCGAGTGCAAGTTCTGGAACTCGTGCATGGCGGAGAATTTCTTGACATTTAGACCATTCGGGAGGACACCATCAGGCTTGCGCTTAAGCAGATGCTCGCTCTCGAAAGCCGTAATGTGCGACACTGTAGTGAAGACGTCTGCGCTGTGCGCAGCCGCGCGTTCAATGCAGTACCGGTGGTAGATTCCACGCTTCCCAGCCTCAGCATCCACATCGAAATGTTGGAGGTTATTGTAGAAATCCACTGAGCCAGCACAGAGATAACGGCCTAGCAAAGTAGCGTGCGTGGTGAAAATGGTGGTCAGATCCATATGACGTCTCTTAGTCAATGGCAAGGCCACACCAGCTAGCCATTCATGGAAATGAGCGACCACGGCCCGACGGCGTTCGTGGGCAATGTACTACAGGCAATCGAGTCAGTACCCGCGCAATATAAATTAAAATCTTTCCAATGGGTTTCAATTCGGCTTACCTCGCCCAAGAACCATGCGACCAGGTATCCAAAGACGATAGCCTCGTTGGTTTCGTGATCGGCAGCGGGAGCCGGGATGCCGGAGGTGTTCCACAGATCGCCTTTCCACTCGTCCAACCATCGGTAACCCGTGCCGGTATTGATGAGTAGCACCCGCGGGGCGCCTTCAATCAGCCAGCGACCGTAGACAATCTCAATGCCACGCTCTTTCATAGATGCGATGGTATCACGCATAGCTGGACTGGCCGGGGTAAGTTCTTCCACCTCGACAGCGGCAGAAGCACGGTTCAACGGTCCGATCATGGTGTAGCGCTCACCATACTCAGCCGTTGTGACGGGCGCCTTGGACTTGAGTACCGAGTAGATGCCGCCCACCCTGTTGGCCACCTCCGTCGCCACTTCAAAGAGCATATGGTTGCGAACATCGCGCTTGATCGGCTCAGAGCCGTTCTCGTCAGCCATTGTGAACAAGCCAAACCCCAAGAAAACGGAAAAAATGAACAGAAGGTTGAAGAGGGGAAGAGGGGGAAAGGTTGAGAGCTTGGGAACCAGAACCCGGGAGGATTGAGCTCCGGACTCGGTCTGTGCGGGGATACGCGGGATCCCAGTTTTCGACTTCCCCAGAGTTGGCTGGGGAACAAGAGACAAATCCTGGAAGGAATATTAATTTATAGGAGCTGGAGAAGCCTAGGCACTTTGTTTTTAAATAAAACTCGACCCCCTAATCTCACCTCACCTCGCCCCCATAGCTATAGTAAAAAACTCCGTTCACGAATACGGTTACAGCACAGGCGGAGAACAGAAGGTCCCGCATACTACAACCGGGCTAACTGCGTCTGGGCAACACAGTGCGACCAAAGGCCTCTGAATCCTTGGTTCATAGAGAAATTTTCCCCTCCAAACCAGCCACCGGTCAAGCTAGTGCCCTTTTCGAAACTGATTCTTTTTCTTTTCTATGATATAAAAGACGATGGAAGAGTTTTTTACCCCTGACCAAGTTTCAGGCCGGATGTAACACTGACCTTAGGATTTTAAAGTATTCTTTTCCTATAGCTCATTCGGCCCGTGCTGGTCGATCCATTGTAAACTCTCAATGCACTCCAATCATTGTCTATTTTTCTGCGGCGCACTTCTTTTTCTCCTGCACGGGGGCGCCACCGCAACGGGAATCAGGTTTATCGTGAAGCTCGTCTGGGGAAAGCTGATCTTATGATGTCATAGCGGGTCCGAAGATCTGTCATCTGGTCGGCTATCCACAAATTATCAAGATATTACTACACTAAAGCCGGACTAAAGCTCGCTAGGCTGAAATGTACATCAACTACACGTGCCTGGGTATCAGACCTGGATTCTTTGAATGCGACGAAGTATCCTTCACAACCTTGCAATCTAGTCACAATGCATTGTCATCTTTTTGTCTCGTGCTTAGGCGCCAGCTTCATTATGATGTGCTTTGTATTTAGTCCTTTGTAGCGTGGCAAGCGATAGGTACACTGATAATCAAATTCTTTAATACTATGAGGCTCAAGGCCAATGCCGGAGGGATCAAAGGTTTAACTTGGTGATACACCCGTGGCCTCCGCCAGCTTGTATATAAGTCTCAACCTCTTATCGCTGATAACAAGAACGCCCACTTTTCCCTGAGCTTGGGACCCATTAACTTCCTCTTCTTTGGGCATCAACATTTGTAGCTGCAACTACCTCTCAGGACCTCTGATAGAGAATCGGCAGATTTTGATTCAGGCCTCGGAATGCCCTGTCCCGAGGTCATGAATAGCCCTTCGCCCCCAGGTTCTCACTCAACCTTCTCCCAACAGCTCCCATTTCCGTTCAATATAGCATCTCGAATCTGGCGGCGACTATGGCATGGGATCCTGCTATCTTGCCATAAGACATCACCCCCATCTCGGACTAGAATACTCCTGACGCCCTCCCCTACCCAGTCTAATGAAAAGACACAAGGTTCCTTGCCCAGCTGCCGATCCATTCCCTACGATCGTGTCTCGTCCTTGATGGACGTGGACTACTTTCGCGGTAACATCAACCGGGATGGCAGATCACAGGACGGGTACTTGGACTCATTACGAGTAGTTAATCCCGACATATGCACACAAAGATCCAGCATGGCCTCTTGTCACAACATGTCTGCTGATCTTGATGAAAGAGTTGAACGGCAGAATTTCCATGTGCCCTGTCTTCCCGATTTCTGGTTTACGAGAGCTCCAACGGCCCCCTTGTCCGTCAGTATTGGACTAGGTCTTCAACAATTGGGAGAATCCATGGTGCCTGGGAACCAGGAGCCCATGTCCGCTGAATCTTGTCCTTGTCCAGCGACAGAGTGTATACCGGAGGAATCACCAGCCCTAAGTAATCTGGATGAACGCCCCTTCCCTGCGAGGACTCGCGGCCTTCCCCAAGGCGGTTTCTCTCGCGCGATGGGATTGTTCATGCAACCGTCTGCTATTCTATCGGAAGCTGACATGATCCAGGACTGCATTCAGGAAGATGACAGCAACATTCAAACGGCCCCGAGCCCACGATCCCATTTCCCATCATTTGACTCGAGCCCTGGGTCTTCATTGAGCTTTACTGGATATAGCAGCCAGCGGCTGAGAAACTCGCCATCGTCGCAAGCAGATGCTCGGCCAGTCACACCAGATATACCCGACGCTGAGGCTTCGACCCTAAGCCACCCGCACCAGCCACATGTTGCTTCCGCATTCGGTAATTCAGATGGGGCGGGCTCACGTGGTCGGTCTCGTCGAGCGTCTGGCAATTGGACCAACAGCTCATCACCTAGTCTGCCGTCTGTGTCGGAACTTGCTCATCGGAGGCAGCTTAACATTTTCGGGAGTCTCTTCAATTTTCCTATCTTTTCACTGACTTTGGCTGCAGGTAAGGCTGCGCAGAAGCGTAGGTTTGACTAGTAGACTTGAAAAGAGAAAACCAAAAAAAAAAACCACCCTATTTCTTACGCATTAAGAAATCGATAGCCTAATTACAATTCTTGACATTGAATTCGTGTTCAGTGCGTGGGAAATTGGTGTTGCCGATTCTCGACCTTATAATTGGCATAAGAATCCGTGATCCGTGCGTCAGGGTCCAGCAGGCACGCTATGCTCAGAACAAGTCGTTTGCAATACAACATCCATCTTTTTTTTCTTCTACAATAGACCAAGACCTTATGTCATTATAACATCCACTGGATCCTCTATAGATGGGGTGGTCAATTACTCGATCAGCCAAAGATCAATGCCCATTCGTCGATGAAGTCATGTCTCCACAATGACTTCATGATGCTGTCACTGGCATCTACAAGTACACGCTCCATAGATTGGTATTTAAAAGCTGTCGTGTGACCCCTCCAGAGAACTATCATTCAAACCTTCCAATTTCTTCCAAGCAATCACAATCTTTCAAGGTACGTGGCCATTAGTATCCTCAACTGCCTCGAGGTGCAGAAACTCACCATTTAATTGAACAGACATCCCCACTTCTCAATTATCACATCCTTCAAAATGCCTCGCGGAGCCGAATACGACAACGGAATTCCTCAGTCCGACAACGCCATTGAGGCCGGCGAGACCAAGGCCCACGGTGTCGGCAACGACGTAAGCCTTCCAACATTCTACCATCACGCGAATACGTCCATCTAACACGGAATTTCACAGAATGCCCCTCTGAACCACACCCAGAAAGTCGCTCCCATGCCCGAGGAGACCGGCTCGCACCGCGATGTCCACCCCGGTTACACCGGTATCCCTCAGAACCCCGAAGGCAGTGGTAAGGGCGGTCATGAGCCCAAGACTTTGGGTGAAAACAAGGGCCTTGGTTCCCAGCCCGGCGTTTAAATTCAAAATTTCTGAACTTATATGATATCACTTTGTTTCCCTTGATGGGATAATACCTTGAAACCAAGGGGACACGAGTTACGCATTATCTTGTATACGTGCGCACGAAATTATTTAGAGTCTGGATATATCCCCAGGGCTTTCATATAGCTTACGCTTGAATATGAAATATTGTACAACTATTATCACTACATTCTCCAAAAGTCTGATTAGAGCAGTAGAGTTGGATTACTTAGACATCAATGTTGCTCTCGTTCCATTTACCTGTTGTACTTATCAAATATGCAGTGGCGACCGGTATTCCCTTTCTGCCTACTGCGTTGAGGTCGGGACGGGTCGATACCCCACCCAGACCCGAATATAGTACCAAGATTGCTTTGCTACTCCGAAATGGAGAAAGGCATACCCATGGCTCGACTGAATGGAAATTTGAAAGCATTTTATAACGTGAATTCCCGACTTAGTCCTTGTTATTCACCCTTAGTAATCAATCACGTATGTACGCCGTCATGACTTGTCTATAAAATCCATATCTTAAATGAATAGTACGTGTAAATCATCGTATCGGTATTGGTAGTCTATATTCACAATATTTTCTTGATAGTACGGGCCGAAAGTGTATTTGTGATTTGGTCACCTCACTTGTACATGTCCTTCTTGTTGGTTGGTGACACTATGCCCAAACTCGCCGTTCTCATCGACGCGGATAACGCACGATTATCCGGCATCAATCGCCTCCTCTCCGAAGTTGCAAAATATGGCACAGCTCATGCAAAGCGAGCTTATGGAGACTGGAGCAGTCCCAATCTGAGGGGCTGGAAAGATCAGCTTCTTGAGCAATCGATACAACCAATCCAACAATTCGCCTATACACACGGAAAAAATGCAACCGATTGCGCTATGATCATAGACGCGATGGATCTTCTATACTCTAACCGGTATGATGGATTCTGTCTTGTGTCAAGCGACAGCGACTTCACGCGTTTAGCCGCTCGCATCCGCGAGTCAGGACTTAATGTGTACGGACTCGGCGAGCAAAAGACGCCTAAGCCCTTCGTCGCCGCCTGCGATAAATTCATCTACACCGAAAACCTCGTGCATCTTGATCAGCTTGCTCCACATTCCGATAGTGTTATCGTGCCCGGGAATCCCTCTTCAGAAAAAAAGGCTCAAAACGATAAACACCTAGCAAGTCAGCTACGAACTACAGTGGAGGCAGCATCGGATGACGAAGGATGGGCTAGACTCTCTGACGTAGGTCAGCTTCTCACAAAAAAGTTCCCTGACTTTGACTCTCGTAGTTACGGGTACCATAAGCTAAGTGATCTGATTAAGGCTTCTTCTCTGTTCGAAATCCAACGTCGCTCCCATCAGGAGGGCTCATGTATGGAGACCTACGTACGCGATAGGCGTCGAAAGCCTAAAGTTTCCGTTCAAAAATGAGTCTTAAGAGCCGCACTACTACTGTGCTTTATGTCGTTTATACGCTCATGTGACGCTTTCGCGTACCCACTATTGCTATTTAGTAATACCATCCTACTCTCCTCTACCGTGTTCATGCCCATCGTAATTTGTCTGGGCATTCTTCCATGAGACCTTTGAAAAATGAGCAGTGATGGATGAGCCCTGGAGATGGCGAGATATATGGGGTTCCGAATGGCCAGCCCTACGGAATAGTGTCCAGGGTGACGAGGTGGTCAAACGGCGGCTGGAAGTTACGGTGGAAATGTGGCGTTTCTGGCGCCAGGAGCCGTCATTTTCGTCACTTTCACAGGTCCTTGTAAAACATGTCATAAGCGGAACGTGTTCTGGTGTGAAACATGTAAATGACATGGGGTCTAAATCATAGTTCAAGTAATTTGAGGCACTGAGGATTCGATCTACCATAAAGCTCCGAGTAAACTACCCGACATGTGCCAGATATATTTAATACAACAAACTTTTTGCTAAACCTTGGTTTTAGTCTACGTCAAGTATCTACAGCTTCAACAAATCCACCCGGCTAGCCGATCATGGGCAAGTAGAGTTACTCTTTGTTCAAGGTTTTTATAATGAGAAAAAGAAATGACATAGAAAAATGAGAAAAGAAAAACAAAACTGCACAAGAGTCAACCCGCGTTGGCGAAGCTAGACTGGAGCGTTTGGGCGTTTCGATCGGTCGTGATTGTCGCTTTGGGTCGTGCAAACAGTTGGCGCGTTGGGAAATATCAGTCGCTTTGGGCTCTTCCAAGATTCAAGAACGAGGAAGCTTCTCGAGAATAACCAGCACCGCTTTGTCGCCGTGACCTTTTACATAGTCTATAAGTTCCTCAGTAACACCAACCACACCTTCTGCCTTCAACTTCGCAACTTCATCCTTGAAACCACCCGAAACCCAAATCTCATCCAGGATAGTAGCAACAACGATGCCATTCGTCTTAGTAACTCGGACAAGTTCGCGTAGGGCAGGATCGGGGCCAACGTGGCCAAGGGTAAATGTGCCAACGCACACAACGGTATCGTAGGTTTCGTCCGGCTTCGCAATGGGTTGGGTCATATCAGCTTGATCTAGATTCCGATAAACGCCAGTGTCTCTGGCAATGTCAAGCATGGGGACAGATAGGTCAATGCCATCAATTGCCTTGGGGCGGGCAATTGAAAGGGCCTGTCCCACGAGTCCAGTTCCACAGCCAGCATCAAGGATGATGCTGTTCGCGGGGCCATTGGCTTTCGCGTATTTCATGGCTGCTTGGGCAACGAGCACGGGGGCAACATAGCTCTGAGCTTCATCGCCAACCTCGTCGTTGTATGTTGCAGCCCATTTATCGTAGATGGACATGCATTCTTTACTGTTAGGGCTGTCTCGGGCCTGTTGAAGATACAGAGCTGGAGGTGGAGCGGGGATTGCAGGAGACATAGTGACAGGAGTTGATTCCTGAAAGATGTGTTGAAAGAGAAGTTCAAAGAGTCGTAAGATTGCTGTTGGCAATGGTTTGGTTTTTCTTTCAATTCAAGCTCGTACATGTCTCGTTCTTATAAGTTTGAAAACTACATGTATTAGTATTTTCCTTTACAAATATTCCAGATACGCAAAGATGCGGGGTTTCGCGAATCCTACCCAAAGCGATGCCGCGTCGTCGATCGATGATGTCGGTGGATCATGATCCCCGATATACCCCGACCCCGCCGTAGCTAAAAAAAGGAAAAGAAAAGGAAAGGCATCTGCGAGTAATGAATGGCACGCAACATGCATGGATGAAACCATCCTCAACAAATGCACCACCTCGCAAATAAGGATCGCTACAGTTGCTGTTCTTTCCCGCTCTCCGCATCCACCGTTTGGTCAAAGGCGTCCTACACTGCCCGGCAGACGCTCAACAATGAGGGATAAAACACTATTGAATCGTCAGCACCAATAAAGTCATAGCATATCCCCGCGTGCATCGTCAACAGCGGAGACCACTTGCATTTGCATTGGCATTTCCCTCGAGGCGTCTGTGCAACGGAAAACAGGTTTAGGTCGAGTTAGGTTTAGGTCGAGTTTCGCAATATACAGTAGGAAGAACATGATCCATTCTCGTAAAGGAGTTGTGTAAGATCGTGTTCAACCAATCAATCCTCAAGATTCGTTCCTGTCAATATGATCGCTCTCCATAGTTCCACGCGGTTTGGCTGCTAAGCCTTGATTAGTAACATTCAGTCGCGTTTTCCTAACCAATGCATTGTGGCTTTCGTGGCTTTGATCACCATCATTCTCAAAACCACGATGGATCCATTCTCTTCACGTAAAGATACGAGTGGTTGATTCAGGGCGGTACCTGATGCCCGTGAGGGGACACTCAGCAGAAATAGTCAACCGATCGTCTTAGGGCAGATCTGACGTGGTGCATTGCGGGCCCGGGGGCCAGTGCTCCCAGCCATTCACTGCTGTCTTTAAGAGATGTGGAGGACCAAAAGAGGGGCTGAGAGCATGTGGGGAGCTCGAAGAGGCTCCGAAGGCTGGATCTCAAGTGGCAATTTACGTCCGCACTTTTCACAACGTGCCTGCAATTGTGCTTTCCACAGTGATTCTGAGAGGTCAATGGCTGGTATGAGTATCATCATAGTATTAAAGTCTTGAACTGCCAATTTATTTGTTTTTGCATAAGCGCCATAAGCCTAGAAAAGGGCTTTATGGGCTCAGACATGCTCGTCGGGCCCCACCTTGGCATAGATGGTGTGGTACATGCAGCCAATATACTAGTGGTGCTTCTGGGTCTCTACATCGTGCAGTTTCCCCTCAATTTAATGAAAACGGTTGAATTCAAGGCAAAATTTTCAATTCGTCCGAGTACAGGGGTATATTTGTCCACCTCTAGGAACTCTAATACTGAATATGATTGTCAAATAGAGTCAAAGTCCAAGTGAGCCTAGTGCCCAGGTGGGTCTTCTTTCTTACAGGATGGATATGATGCCATTTTTGACTTCTGAGAGACGTAATGCCCAAAGCTAGGTTTTTGAGGAACCATTTCAAGTACATTGGCTTGAGTGAAGCGGTCTCGGAGATTGTGACATGTGTAAGAACTTGGCCTTCCAAGGTTGATCCTGGATAAGTATAAAGTAATCAGCATACAGGGATGGGAATTTACAATACGAAAGACAGAAGTTGTTACCAATATAAACGCTAAGCAGAGTTAATTTCGAGTCACTCACAAGAAACGCCGGGCTATTCCAAGGTTTCTATCAATGCATCGTGGGCAGGCTATGATGAGAATGCGTAGCAAATGACTAGAATGCTTCTGTACAGCGTCTAAAAAAAACCATGACGGTAGCTATGCGCCACCTCCGGGGATTGTGTGAGGAATTATATGTATAAGGTGGGATCATGATGGCGTTCATGTATCAAGGAAATAAATGTACGGGGATGTCAAGAGTGAATGGATCAGGATTGGGCAGAGCCAGATCCGTCGTCTTCTTGCTCGTCGTTGGCAGGCTCGGGCTGCTCGGAGTCGAACATCGGGGCAGCAACACTCTTCGCTTGCACAAGCTGGAGAAGTTTATCTCCTAGGACGCCAGCGCCGTCGATCTTGCTAAGCTTGGTTCGGAAATGTTCGATGTCGATTTGCATCCTGAATAACATTAGTACAGAACCTAGGCGCATGACCGTGAAGACTAACCTCTTTTTACCAGTTTCAGACTGGACACTCGCCTCGTCAAAGGCTTTGACCCACTGGTCTCGGTAGCTATTAAACACAGGACCCATGATCATATTGACAGTCATTTCGGGCAAATGTTTACTCAGCACACGGTGAAGTGTGCCCGTCTCCTTGGCTAGTGTCTCCATGTAGGAATGAACGACAGAAGAATCATTTTCAGCATCCCAATCAATCTTCTTCATGGCATTGACATGGACCGTCGAGCGCGAGCTCATAATGTCCACAAGCTTCTCATGAATACCGTTTTGGTGTTCCTGGCATAACCTCTTGACCTTGTCGAACTCGGCCATGACTTGGTTTCCTTGCCCATGACGACGCACGAATTCCCTGACATACGGCACAAGCGCAACAACAAAGCTCAATGCTTGGGATGAAAGTGCGAGATGTTTGGTTGTAATGTTCTTCAATCCCGCGCTACGCGTTGCACCAGCGCCAAGGATCAGTTGAGAAGACCTGGAGTTGAAAAGCTTCAGAATCTCTAACAGCTGAGGTGCAATGTCTTGGATCATGTTAGGTATGTTTGCCATGAGGAATTCGAACTCCTCAATACTGCACATAATGGCAACGGCTGAGTCTGGCAGGATGTATTTCTGTTCATCGATAACCGCACTGCGCACCTTCTCTTTGCCTGATCCATTGACGGAAGAGCTATTTTCTGAAGAGTTGGTCTGGTCTTTTTCGGTGTATGGGATCCAGATCTTGGAAACCTCAGCCCATGCCTCGATGTCCTTGGTGCTTGCGTCCAGGATGCGGGTCAAAATGGTAACCTCTGTTTCTCCAAAATCGCGCGCATCCCATCGGTCCGCGTCCATGACTTTGACAATGCGATGTCGCTGTGACTCACCGAACCGGGAGATGAAGTCACGAATCTGATTACCTACAATTGTCCGAAGTGCAGTGCCACCTCGGCCAGAAATGGCCTCGCACTCGTCGGCAAACAGACGGTTGAGAGTAAAGTACTTGAGAAATTCTTCCTTGGAAAGCTGCGCTGTCTGTTCAGATCGAACTTTCAGAACCTTGGTGACCTGGGATTGAGCAATATCTACCGCTTGACCAAGGAGACTTGACATGTCCAAAACCTGTAAGATTTCGTCCTGCGCCATCTGAGCCGAAGGTGACGGACGTCCATCTGGAGATTTGACAGCCTGGTTCATGTGTTGTGTGTTGGGGCTTCGAGGCGACTTCACACCAGTGGTCGGGGGGTTTTCGAGGCCACTAGCAATATCCAGAAGAATCTTTACTTGTGTGCTCAATCGGCGGAGGCATTCGCTAATACCAGTATAGACCGCTAAGAGCATTTGATAGGCATCCTCGGGATCAAGAGCACGCAGGTTACGTGCAAGAACGGAAGACTTCTCTTGCTGGCTCCGCTGACGGTCCCCAACGGTTGAAACTGATACCATGGATTCATTGTCGTCATCACTTGAGCTGGGTAAGTGTTTTCGGATAAGCCCTTTCATCTCACGCAATACTGCCCCCTTAAAGGAGGTTGCCGCAGGCGTGGTGAAGCGAGCTTTTGCAAGTCCAGTGAGCTGAACATGCAATCTGGATCGTAAATCATTATCAATGTTCATGTATGCGGGAGACACCATCGATACAGGACGGTTTCCACCTCGTTGACGTAGGAAAGAGGAGCCCCAGCGCTGCAAAGTGGCATCGGAGGACACGTTTTGGACGTGGTCACGCAAATCGCCCAGAAGATCATTCAAGAAACGGGTTTCGTATCCCATTCCAATACGCTGTCTTAATTGGGCAAGGTCTTCAGATGCACCATCAAGAGCTTTGAGTCTTCGAAGATCAATCGCTCGTCGGGGGAGGTCCTTATCATCTTCTTCGGCGGGGCGATCAGATAACTTCTCACCAGACATTAATTTCTCTACCTCTTCGAGTTCGTCAGAGGCAACCTCTATGTCACCCTGTTCGACCAAATCCTCGCATCGAGAGACAGACTCTACTACGTCACGCAGTTGAGCCACGGCTGCAGCTAGCATGCGTACATTCTCTCTTCGTCGGCGGAGATTAACGATCTTCAAGCCACCCAATGCCATCTCCTTGTCGATTTTCTGGAGGTCTCGGCGCAGGACCTGGATTCGTTCCACTGAGTCGGCCGCCTCCGCATGTAATTCACGTAGTGAACCCAATGCAGTGAAGAATGATTTTGAGGCTGTCGAAATAGAGGAGATCAAATGGATCTCCACAGTATCCATATACCAAGAAAGCTTCTCTTGCAGAATTGCATTGGTGGCAAGCGCTTTTCTGCCGGTTTGAACGGGCTCCGACGCACCTCCATTGGATTGCTGGTCGTCTTTCACGGGAGGCCGGGGTGGTCTCACCACTTCCGATTTTTCTGATATCACGTCAAAGGTTCGAGGATTCTCCAGGTGGAAGTCTTCCTCAAGGTAAACGGATGGGATTGTCGACAGCGGTGTTACTGCAGGGCCTCGACCGCGAAATGAGGGCCGTCGGCCTCGTGGATCATAAGGGGAAGTTGGCCGTGAGCTCGTCGATATGGTTGAAGACCTCCGTTCCGGGCTCCAAGGCAGCAAAGAATCTTTATGTTCAAGCTTGGGTGACTTAACGCTCGGGGTTGTTGCGCCTTCTTCTCCGGTGCTCTCTTTCGACTGCTGGAACACATCATACAGTGAGCCGACTTGCGACAAGTACGGCTGGAAGACCTTCGAGTCCACATGGGTGATGTTTGTCAAGGTCACCGGTGGGATGTCGCGGGACGACGGAGGTTTGTATCCAGTAGCCGAAACAGCGGTATGAGTGGTTAAACCTGTTCGAATAATCGGGGGCTGCAAGAGGGTCGAAATGGCTGCAATGATCTCACATTAGTCTCTTTGGTTTACCCGGTCTGCATACGGTCATATGTGTATCTTACCGTTTTGTCCTGATTCCGCAATAGACCCTTGGTGCTGTGAGACCTCTAGGATCCCTCCAATGCTCACGATAGAGCTCGCCGTGGATCCCCTCCTCAGGGGGAACCGTTGAGGGGGAACACGAGGAGACTCCAGCTGGGTCGTGGAATAGTGTGAGATAGATGGCGTGGATGCGCCCGACGCCAGGCTGTCAATTGACTTGCGCGGGCTGTTCGCCATCTTGTCCACGTCCGCACGGCGGATGCGACAGCCACCGGGGTCGATCGTTGGGGAAGCTCGGGGTTATCTGATCATGACAGATCAACCACAAGACCGCCGAGCTCAGGGCCCTAGATCCGCGTCCACCTTCAGCAAGAAGCTCCGGGTACTGGGGCCACAGATCTTGATTTATTTCGAGGCTTGGTGAGTACTGCCAAGCAGGTGTCGTGGCATTGTTTCCAAGGTGCCATGCCCAGCTCTACCCAATCGGGAAAGGCGCTAGCCCCCGGATTAAACATTACTCCGCCCCTGTGATTTCTGCCTCAGGGAATAGGCCGAATTCCACTTAACGCGTCTATGGGAAGGAACGCGTCGCGCTCGCGAAGATGTTCCCCCAAAAGTTCTCTCCCTTGTGTCTTCAATTTTGCAAGTCCTTCCTTCCCCTCCACACCACAAAGCACCACCAACACCATGGATAGACGCACTCCTTACACTCTGAGCGTTCTTGCGCCCAGTACAAATGGTGCTGATGAGTCAAAAACTGCCATTCAAAATAAATTAAAGGACTTTGTGCTACAATTCCAGCTGGACAATGCATTCATCTACCGGTACGGAATCCACTAATCATGCATAATTCAGGGTGGCTTGTATTTCAGGACTGACTCGAAGAACCTTACAGAGATCAATTACGGCAGAATGTGCTTGTGAAGCAATACTATTGTGATATTGATATCGCCCACCTTATCTCCTTCAATGAGGAGTTAGCACACAAACTTACCACAGAGCCCGCTGATATCATTCCTTTGGTAAGGAATATCCCTACCCACTAACTTGACTCTGTCTAACTTTGAGTAGTTTGAATTAGCTCTGCAGGATTGCACTCGTCGCATTGTCTACTCTGGTGACCGAGACATCACCCTTCCCTCCCACCAACTGCTTCTCCACTCCTCAGCATCGCATATTTCCATCCGCGACCTGAACGCCACTAATATTTCTCACCTTGTCCGTATTCCTGGTATCGTCATCGGAGCTTCCACCATCTCATCAAAGGCGACCATTGTTCATATCCGTTGCAAGAACTGCGATCACAGCGAAAACATCCATGTTGACGGTGGATTTGCCGGTCTGACCCTCCCAAGACGGTGTGGACGACACAAGGAGCCCGGCGACCAGCCTGGTGAGGAATGCCCCCTTGACCCCTATGTGGTGCACCATGAGAAATGCCAGTTTGTGGACCAGCAGGTTCTCAAGCTTCAGGAGGCCCCTGACCAGGTGCCGGTCGGTGAGTTGCCCCGCCATGTCCTGATTTCTGCCGACCGATACCTTGCGAACCGAGTCGTCCCCGGTTCGCGCTGTACCGTGATGGGTATTTTCTCGATTTATCAGGCAAAGGGCGGCAAGAAGGAAGCTGCGGTAGCCATTCGTAACCCGTACTTGCGTGCTGTTGGCTTGAACACCGATGTCGATCAGACTGCCAAGGGTAATTCAATTTTCTCGGAAGAAGAAGAGCAAGAGTTTTTGGAGCTGAGCCGTCGGCCTGACCTGTATGAGGCTATGGCTCGCAGCATTGCTCCGTCAATCTACGGAAATGCCGACATCAAGAAGGCCATCGTTTGTCTTCTGATGGGTGGCTCAAAGAAGATCCTGCCTGATGGAATGAAGCTTCGTGGTGACATCAACGTTCTCATGCTGGGTGATCCTGGTACTGCCAAATCCCAACTGTTGAAGTTCGTTGAAAAGGCGGCTCCAATTGCCATCTATACCTCCGGAAAGGGTTCTTCAGCGGCCGGTTTGACTGCCTCTGTGCAGCGCGATCACACCACTCGCGAGTTCTACCTGGAAGGTGGTGCCATGGTTCTTGCTGATGGCGGTGTGGTTTGTATTGATGAGTTCGATAAGATGCGTGATGAAGATCGTGTGGCTATTCACGAAGCTATGGAGCAGCAAACCATTTCCATTGCTAAGGCCGGTATTACAACCATCCTCAACTCCCGAACATCAGTCTTGGCCGCCGCCAACCCGGTCTTTGGCCGATATGATGATTTGAAGACCCCGGGCGAGAACATCGATTTCCAGACTACCATTCTGTCCCGTTTCGATATGATTTTCATTGTTCGGGACGATCATGAGCGTGGCCGTGATGAGAGAATTGCTCGTCACGTCATGGGTGTTCACATGGGCGGTCGTGGTATGCAGGAGCAGGTCGAAGCCGAGATTCCGGTCGATCAGATGAAGCGCTATATCAGCTACTGCCGAAGGTGAGTAATCTATCCCGCGGATCCAGTTTTCGTCAGCATTTCTAACTTGGTATATTTAGTCGCTGTGCTCCTCGTCTTTCACCCGAGGCCGCTGAAAAACTCTCTTCCTACTTCGTCTCCATCCGAAAGCAAGTTCACCGAAGCGAGATTGAGTCCAACGTCAAATCATCTATCCCCATTACTGTGCGTCAACTTGAGGCTATTGTCCGTATCACCGAGTCTCTAGCCAAGCTATCCCTCTCTCCCATTGCCACTGAGGCCCACGTGGATGAGGCCATCCGACTTTTCCTTGCCTCAACTATGGATGCTGTCACCCAGGGCGATGGCCAAGGCAATAAGGATCTCATGCAAGAAGCTTCCAAGATTGAAGACGAGCTCAAGCGCCGTCTTCCTGTCGGATGGAGTACCAGCCTGGCGACACTTCGTCGTGATTTCGTCGATGGCAAGGGTTATACCGAGCAAGCTCTCAACCGCGCCATCATCGTGTTGCAGCGGAGAGAAACCATCCAGATTCGCTCCGGTGGTTCACAAATCTACCGAAACACTGCATAGACGACCTTATGATTCTGATGTTGACTTGAATATACCGAATGTACTATGGGGTGATAGGAACTTTCTACGGCGCATTTGTTTCGGCGGAGTTGGGGATTGCGTGATATCAAACCTAGGGGCATATTTTCAACCCAATGCATATTCATAATTTCAATCAAAACATCCGTTTTGTACCACAGGACTTCACAAACCAAACCGCCAAGCCCTTGGTGTCTGCATTTCATTATGCTCGGCAGACCCTCACTTCCGTAAAGCCGTGTAAGAAGTTAGGCACCAGCATTCTCGCCCACATCTCTCATAATCGGACCCTTTTTCAACTCCACAAACCAGTTGCGCGCTTCTTGGCACTGAACGCCTCATGCGACATTATAGGCGCCAAGCCAGCGCCAGCCCTACGGCTAGCTGTGGCTGGGTATTAGGGCTGCATCGGACGCCACGGAGGAATTGACAGCGCAGGGTACGTTTCTCAATCCTTCTCCTCACTACACCGTACAGCCCCATATGTGTACACCAAGAATCCACATGGACGTGGATAGCAAATAGATCCAGGACATGTGTTGGACAAGAGCTGCAGGCTGTCAATCCCGGATAAAGAACGGGTATAAAAGGAAGCTGTTGTTCGCTCTGTAAACTTGACTATCACAATTCACTTCAATACAATCCAATTTACCTTTCCAATCTCTTAATACGCTCGCCATGAGTTTCCACGAGTCAGGATCCAATATCGAAGTTGAGCATGGACACATACTCAAAGCTGCCCTGCGTTATGGGGAGGACGAGGAACGAGACGCTGAAATTGATTTGAATGATTTTATCGGTAATGATGATGGTGAGGATCACGCTAACCTGAGTCGGTTTGGTATTGTGCTAATGGCTTCCAGGCCATTTCTGCTGGGGTGGACAGAATTTCGAAGAGAGTGCTCGCTCTATTGAATTTTCGATGGAGGGGGATGGGACGCCTGTGTTACGGGCTAAGTTGATTAACATGGAGGGGGAGGAGGTTGACGCGGATATTAATCTGGCGGAGCGGATTGCTAACGAGAATGGAGAGTTTGTGTTCGTTTGATCCTGTTTATGATGGTCGTTGGTAGGGTTGTGCTAGGCAAGCTGTCTAGTTCATAGGCTGTTGACAAGTGATTGCATTAACGAGGCCTTAGAGGACTTGATCTGGTAGGATCATCAATGTGCGTATACGAAGATTCGTAATGAAAGAATTGATAAAAGCCCCGTCCAGTGTTAAAATATATAATAAGCACACGACAGATTACTTTTTCGCTGTAAAGAACCTCATTGCTATTTCAAATTTGGCATTATTTATACTCTAAACAAGTTCAGTATGGTCAGGCTGTTCAATTTGACTTGAAACTATGCATTCACAAGGACGACCGGGAGGCTGAAAATAATACAAGACATACATACATTCACAATAGTGCGGATCATAGGGGAGGAACGTAGTCATCACCATGTAACAAAGCATTCACCCGGGTGATCATTTCTTCATGCTTCCTTGTCGTGTGGCTTGTCGTGCGGTCTGTCGTGCGGCTTATGGAAACAGAGCTTGGTCTAATCCATTGCCCGCTAGATACATGTCGTCCTATGTCCTTGCCGTAGGCAGCTTTTTTAGCTTCACGATCAGCGATTTCGTTGCCAAGGACGTCAGAGTGTCCAGGAACCCAGTGCAGCTGGGTGTGTACGCCTAGCCGCTTCAGTGCTGTACCCGTCTCTAGAATCTTTGCGAGCAACGGATCCCTAACCAAGTCCGTGTATAACGGGGTCAGATGGGCTCTGGTTATCATATGTAGTGATGCAGAGGAATCTGTGAAAACGAAAACTTCGTGCCGAGCATCCAGGATAGACGGGTGAGTCCGCTGGAATTTAGCGATGAAGCTCGAGGCTTGCGACAGCGCTAACACAATCCCCAATAATTCCGGATCATCACTGTTGGTTGGTAGGTAAGGAGGTTTTTCCCTGACCGCGTGCCATTCCAGACATTCGGGGTCTAGCCACACTGCTGCTGCGCCGCCGTAGCTACCATGATTTGGCGACAAGAACGAGCCATCTGTCCAGAATATGTAATGATACACACCGTCTTTGTAAAGCGGCGTATCCAACATTTCTGAAGCCAATCTTTTGGCAACAAAGCGATTTAGGTCATTTACCACTGTACCACTGAAGGGCTCAGGGTTTTTAGCAATGACATATCGGCTTGAACTGGGTACAGCGTTGATATCAAGATCAATGTCCTTGGTAAGGCTTACAGTCGGGTGTGAGAGTGTCTGGCTGGATAGGTCAGGCTTTGGGGGACCTCCAAGTGTATCACTGTCAGCCTCCTTCAAAGGAGTGGCCCCCCGGTATGGGGATGGGTGACTGTGTGGGGGGAGGTGAGTGGATAGGTGAGTGGGAGGGCGACTGATTAGATCAAGCTTTCGGGAGGTTCCAAATGCATCAGCAAAAGTCGTGCGGATTCTATCCGCACACTCTGATTCAGGTCCCCGGAAAGCGGCCGCTATCCTATGGATTCCTTGTTCTTCTTCTTCATGAAGAAAGGCTTGTCGGGGTATGGGTAGAGAAGAAGGGGCTTGGGCGAGGTCAATGGTGGAAAGGGATCTCTGCTCGACTGGCACAGTGTAAGTTTGGGAATAATGGAAGATGTTTGCGGCACTAATCTCTTCGATGACGGTCTTGTCGGCAACGGGGATAGGCACGGTAAGTTCTGGCTCGGGGGTGACCAGGTCAATAACCAGTCTCTCATTGATTGCCACCTTCTCACGCCTTGACCGTGACTGATATGTTCTCTCGTGCGGGCTTCTTGATCGGTGGGAATCAGGGTCTCGGCTTCTTCTTCGTCGACTTTTGCATTTTTGTCGAGTCTCAGACGTGATAGGTGGGTACAGATCAGGGCTCCGGCTTCTTCGTCGAGGACTTCGATGTCTTTCTCGCGGTCTTCGATCAGGGTTCGGCGATGGAGACATAGTTCGTCTTTGTGGACGACAATGTCTCCGATAGTCTTCCATATCTGGGGACCAATGGCTACTCATGGATGCGAACAAAACAGGACAAAAGATCTTTGGGGCAGATTTGAACAAGAGCTGGGTAGCTTCTTGGGGCTTTAGAGCTTGTGGGCTTCGAAAGGAATAGAAAACAACAACAATGCATCGACCAAGGGAAATTGGTTCTGGGGTCAATGTAGGTGAGGCATTCACATTGTGACTTGTGGAAGTGAGTCAACAAAGGAAGTAACGCGGAAAATAAAAGGGTATGGTTTATCAGCAGGAAATAGAGCCTCGTGGAAGAGAGAGAAGGGAGTCGTGGTTACTTTCGTTTTGTATTGCGAAAACAAACACCATTCACATTCAGGCTCGATTGGGAAAGCGTTTCTTTCAGCTTTGTTGTTGGAAACTTACTAGACTCTAGATCTGAGCCTCGTGAATCCGTTTATCAAATGATCTGCGTTAGTGGTAATCCAACATGATGCCGTCGACACAGTCTATCTATACTCTAGAAAAGAAAGTCAAGACAGAGACACCGGTCAAATTGTGTTTCCAATTCGAAGATATCTTTCCGGCAGGTGCGTTGGACCGCAATTAAAGGATGCGGTCGTCACTTCCTCTGTCGCTTCCTCGTGTGTACCACTTCTTCTTAAGATTATGAGGATTCCCCAAGCCACATTATAGCTAGAGTGAGCTTTGATTGGCTCAGGTATCCTATGTTTAAACGTGAATGAGGGGAAGAAGGTTGGTTGAGGGTCGACCCTGCATCATGATGGTCATTGTTCCCAAATCCACTCAACAGCTATTTCTTGCTTTGATTGAACACATTGTGAACTGGTCCGGTCAGTTCAGCGGCCCAGTCTAGAAGAGGCTCCAATAGGATAGGTCCTCATATTAGCCGAGCATATTCCAGCGGCCTCGGGTACGGGGTCGTCCCAGTGCTTACAACATCCTCAATGCCTGATTAATCATAGAGCCGGAAGCACGAATTGCATTACAACGCTTTATCCACACTGTCGTCGACCACTTCTACCGCAGCAGAAACACAAGACGACCTTGACGCCCTTGTTGCGATGGCAGAGCAATTCGATACTCAGCATGAGGTGTATATAATTTAGTGAGTCGGCTCAGATAGTCTCATTGGGAATCCAGCTCTTCTACTATCTGCCAATCTTGAGATAATGCGTTTCAATTCTGCTTTGTGCAAATGGCTCCATTATATTTATGGGAACTGGCATAGTCGTAAAGCTCAAGGATAGCAAGAGACTCTATGAGACATTGAGATTATCTCCGAAACGTGGGAAGAACTTCATAAGTAGCTGAGCGACAATAAGATAGACGTGGAATAAAAGGTATCTCAAAAAAATCATTTCAATCATTGGACCTAGACTAATAATCTAACCTAAACTATTCAAGGCAGCTAGCTGTATACATCGTGAACCCGCATCAGACATGACAAACAGTGCTCAATGATCAGGTGAAAGCAAATAAATCAAGCACAAAACCCCAAATTAACAGCAACTCAGCAACATTGACGGGTATTCATATCAAGCAAATATTCCAGATATCAAAACAAACGCTAACACCATTTTCCATAACTCATCATCATAAACTCAAAAAGGAACAGATAGGATGAAAGACAGACGCCAGGACCAATGCAATGCAACAAACACAATTAAGAAATTAAGAGGATTCAGTCTTGTCCTCTGCAGACACAGCCTTAGCCCCAGCCTCAGCTGTCTCCGCCTTGCTCTCAACTTTAGCCGGAAGAGCAGTCTCCAGCAAGGAAGCAATAGAAGTAGTAATCTCAGGCGAGAAGGCTGACGGCGGCGGCATAGACGTCACCTTGACCGGACAATCATCGTCATAGACAACAGCATAAGAGAAAGCATTACAGTCCTCAGGATAATAATCCGAAGCCGTCAGCTCACCAAGTGGAGACCGATCATCTTCCATCTTCTCCGCCTTCCTCGCCTCAGCAGCAGCAGCCATGGCAACGGCCTGACTACTACGGGGCAAATCGATACCAAGCTCAGAAGGTGGAACATTCTCCTTACCGCGTGCGTCAACAGATGTCTTACCCTCGTCGTCACTGATATCAAGTACACCAGTAGAATGCTGCATGAGGTTCGTCATCTCCTCCTGCTCAGAGTCGACATGGATATCGAAGAACCAGCTCTTAGGCTGGGATTGCGGTTTGGCAGCAGGCTTGGACTGGCTAAGAGCCGTAGCAAGGGAGAAAGGACGAGCCACAGCTCTCTTTCCAGAATCGGGTCTTGATTTGGCGATGGCCGACCGGCGGCCAAATGCCTTGCATGACTTGGGTGGAGTCCGACCAGCAGGTTTGAGAATTGGTGCTGATTTAGGTGTGGATGGGATTGTCTTCAAGGGGGTGGAGAAGTGTGAGACACTGGGACGGGTTGAGAGGGCGATGCGGGATGTCTTGAGGGGTTTGGGCGATCCCTTGGAGATTTCGTCATCGTCCAGAGAGCGTTTGCGCTTTGCGGACAGACTGCGTGTGTAGGGATCGATGTTCTCTGAGTCTTCCAAGATGGAGCTTTTGAGGGATACGCCTGGGTTCTGTTGGTTTGGGGCCGGATATCAAATCAAAACACTGGAAAGCTTACCATTTTGAATGTTTTGGCGGTTCAGCTTGGACCGCATGACTGAGCCCATTCGGGGTGTGTCCAGGCTAGCGAAAGGCTGACGGGTGGGAGGGGTCATGGTGAGAGTCGCCATGGTGAAGGAGTCAGGCGCGTGAGATGGGATTTGTTTTGGTGGTGTAGCGGCGCTAAGTGGGGAGAAGCGGTCTACGCTTAGACACCGGATTTGAAGTATAGCGACCCTCTTGGACGGGAAAGATCAATGAGAAGAGGAATAGTAAATGCCGAAAGTTAAAAAAGGAACAAAAAAGGTTCGAAAACCCAGTATGGAAATGAGTCAAGTGTAGTAAGGAAAGAATGAGGTGGATAGAGTTGACTACTGAACCAGGATGGGAACGGCTGAGAGAGTGAAAAGAGGATCGGAGGATAGTTATACTGGATTCTCTATGGAAACTAGAGTTTGGTCGTGAAGAGGGAGCAAGGAGGTTCCACTGGGCGAAAGGGGAGTATTTCAAGCCCCGAGTGCAGCGCGCGTCTTCTCGCGTTCCTACGCAAGGCGCCCTTGATGGAGTTAATTGGATACCAGTCTACGTGGCGTTCATGCATACAATCCAATTATACCGAATTCTCGATGTAAAAGAACAATGTAAGAATGGAATGCGGACGCGCTGTACCTATCCATTTACCTTACATCAACCTCGAGCCTTCCTCAATAAATGAAGATGCACCTCACAGGGTATAGGTAATAAATCAGAGCTACTTCTGATTTTCAATTATCCTTAATTTAGAAAAGATGCACGGCTCATGAGTGTTAATGTGAATGCCGATCACGTCCGAGTAATCTTGACGCGTCGGAGTAGTGGGTACATAGCCAGTTCCCCCAGCAGCGCGTACAATCAAGTATCCAATACCTCTACACGCGACACGCTCCGCGTCAAATTTCCCCTCCCTTACAGTTTTCGCGAACTGTATATCCGTGCCAACGCATCATTCATCATTGGCTCCGAACTCATATCCGCTAGTTCGGGGGCACCTTGAAACCATGGGTTGCAGATACGTGCACACCGTGTTTGAGTGGTGCAGCTTTTCATACTTGCCTGCCCAGTGACACATGATATCGAACAAGGCTGGCAAATGCCTCCAACCCCCTCTAGGCTAACTATGTAGGCGCTCTAGAATCTATGTCGTGAAGTATGGACCTGTCAGGAGAATACCACGATCTCAGGGCCTTAAGTTTCCCGGGAATCGACGGATCAAATGCACCCCGTCATTGCACATGCTGCTGCACGAATTCCTCGACAACGCCACCCTCGAGTTGCTACAAGGGGTAACATACAGGGCTGATCCCACATTGTGCGTCAAGTTCCACGTTCGTACTCATGATCTATGATATAATGTACATGCACGGGTGATGGTGAAGGTTACCCTGAGTTAGAAAATATGGTTAAACTTCATCCTCAAACGGAATGCTATCCATTGCACCCAGCCGTTCCACGGCCCGAGCGGACGCACGCGCAGCCAGCTGCATAGCTTCATCCATAACAGTCTTATACCGATACGGCTTCTCCTCATCTGTAATGTCTTTCCCAGACTTTCCTTCAGCGCGGCGTTGTTCGCGCCACCGCGCAACCTTGACGGCATAAGCCCCCACAAAAGTGTCGCCCGCAGCAGTGGTATCCAAAACCTGAGACACAGGGGCTGCGGGGAGCTCGTTCGTGAAGCGCCGGACCCCATCACTGGGTCCAGAGGTTCCACCATCTGTGGCACTATACCAGACACCCTTAGCCCCCAACGTAATCAGAACATAGGTAACGCCCAGCTTGTGGAAGTATCTCGCCACCTTCTCCTTGCTTTCCAGCTTATCGGCGTCTGGAACAATGCGGAGCAACTGTTCGGTCGGCGGGGTCATCAGTTCCGCTTCTGTCTCGTTTAAGATCAAATGATCAACGGCGTAATAGATGTCCTCCGGGAGCCCGCCTGGTGGAGCCGGGGCCGGGTTCAGCATCACGTCTGGACCACGCTCGATGCCACGCTTGCCAGCCGTACGGTTCTTAGTCTTGAATGTTGCAATTTCTCGCAAGAACCAGATTGTCGTGTCAACGGGGATCTCGCCCTGCATCACGATCACATCGGGCACGGGTGCTGCGAGCGCCATGCCCAGAACGTCGGGGTCCGGCTGCATTCCCTGGTAGTTTGCACCGGGGGAAAACACGATGCGGTTCTCGCCTCCAGCTGACGAGTCAACGATAATCACTGCTACGCCGGTGTATGCATCGTCAATGATGCGGACCCGGGATGGGTCTACGCCGGATTTCTCCAATGTCGGCTTCAGGAGTGCGGTGAAGTGACCGTCTCGTGCGCCTACGGCTCCGACCATCTCGACTTGGACATCACTGTAGGTATGGAGGCCTTCAGATTCAGCTTGGGGCTTTGCTCGTGACATCCGTCCGCATGCGACGGCTTGGTTGGCACCCTTGCCGCCTGCGCTCTGGAAGTAGGATGAGGAGGTGATTGTCTCGCCGGGGAAAGGGAATCGCGGTGTGACGGATACCATATCGGCATTGAGAGATCCGATTACTCGGATAAGCGGCGCCATTATGGAAGTTTTGACCTCGGGGGTTATTCAACTGGAAAGTTGTATGTCGGAGTCGGTGAGCTGTCGGGAGGTGGGGTTGGTAGGTGTGGGGTTAAAAGGCAATTGGCGGGATAAATTCGGTTTGAACTTGAAGAGTATGTTTTGGGTTATCAAAGATGAGCAGTCGCTGTTGTCTTCAGTGTATTCTTATCAAAATTGGCATTGCAGGTTTGTTGAAAGAGGAGCGTTGAGAACTTGAGGCTGCGGGGGGCGTCCTCGGTGGAGCATGGCAGACCCACCGTGCTCTACCGAATTAACTATGAGCTTTTCCACAGTTACGTTCCTTATATATGTATGCTGGACTCGTGTCCATTCTTTTTGGTCTAGCGTTCTGTATCTATGTAGATTTTGAAAAGAATCAAAAAAGAAAAGAAAAAAAAAAGGTTATGTTTCAAGCTCAGACCGATCTCTGTATAAGCTCTGTAAATTGACAACTTAACATAAACCCCCGTTGTGGTCAGAGTCACCATCTCTTTATGTCTGATCCGTTCACCTATTGAGGTAACTCACATGCCTCCATTTTTCTATGCTGTTTTTCGGGCTCCCTTCTATGTGTTTATCCCCCCTCCCAGCCATGATTCTATCTCCTTTCCGTCTTCACCCACAAAGCTATACTCCTTTTACCCTCGAGGCTGTTCCCGCTTTGTTGACCTAGAATATCATCATAACTTTCCCCTAATGTATTACTCTCTGGTCCCCTTACGTGGCCTGTATTTTGATGGTGAAATGAGTATTGGTGGATTATATTTGTCATCATTATCGCTGAGTTTGGGGGAACGGAAAACAATTTCAGCAGTGCGATCTCAGTATTCTTCATCGTCGTCATCCCCTTCCTGCGTATCATTTCCCTCTTCGTCTTCATCTTCCTCAGCAGCCTCCCTAGCCGCCAGTGCAGCCGCAACCTGCTCCTCCAATATCTCCACCCTCTCCATCTCTTCCTCTTCGCCCTCACTCTCCGCTTCTTTTGAATGTCTCTCTTCATAGTCCTCTATCTCCGCCTCTCTTGTCTGTGACGACTGGTTTGCACTTGCTCCCTTGCCCTTCCATTTCCTCTCTTCTCCTTCCTTATCCTTCGCATTGATTCGCCTCCACTGCGGAGCACTCTTGATAGCAGCACGAATCTCCGTTGCTAACGAAATCTCTTTGGGAGTTGAGGTACGCGGATCAACCTGGAAGTTGGCAGTGACTTCAGCCTCCGTTTTCGCAAAATTCGGAAATTCGGAAACCTTAATGTAATCCGCGTCGTCAGGCTCGACGCCCTCAAGTAACGATGCGATCTTGGCACGCATGATGATCTTCACCTTGGCCAAAGTTCCGCTACCAAACCAACCATCTGAGACAATCTCACACTCCTCTCGAAGATGAGGTTCAGAGTTTTCTTCGGGGGGGTAGAGGAGACTTTTGAGAAGGGGATCTGTAATATCGCAGACCATCCAGATTCGTCCATCTTTGTGTAGGGGTAAATTTCCCGTAAAGATATAGGAATCCTTAGAATCGGGGATCTCAATTCGAGTTTCTGGATCCAGACGGGCATATCTGTCGCGACGGCTACCATCTCGACCTATATCGGATTCGCCGGGCATTAGGCGGAACATGAAGGTCTGGTAGTGCCGGAACTCTGGGGAAGTGCGCGGGTCGACACCAAGCTTGATGATGGCGTCACGCCATGGTCCTGCGCGGAAGATGTATCCTACATAGGGAATTGCGAGACGAAGAAGATAGCGTTGTTCATCCGAGTGGAGGAAATTTCGAATAGCGCGGCGTGTCCAGATAGGACGCTTCTCAAAGAGTTCTTTGACGAATTCGATAACCCTACGCAGAATGACGTCGAGAGTCTCAATCGGTGGGAGGCTTTCTTGAGGTTTGCTGGGGACTTCAAGAATATCGTGTGCCACAAGATGAGTGCGAATCTTGGTGGCTTGTTGGACGTTCTCCGTGATTATTCGGCCAGATTCATCCAGAGTTTGCTTAACGCCCGGATTTTGGCGGTACCTAGATGTCATACAGTCAGTCGCTCGAGTTCTTTCGGGACTTTTCTCAGAACGTATGTAGACGAGACATACATGTAGAGGAACGGAACCTGTTCGCTGCTAAGTGCCGGTGGTGGTATGATATCCGCGTCTGTAATTGTACCTTTTGCCAGGTCGATATCAAACTGTTTTAATTTTTTTACTGTTGTAGTCTTAGCTTGAGTCGTGAAATAATTCGACACTACATTTACTCACAGTCATATGGGACAATATAATCCCGGAACTTTTGGACGAACACGCTGTTGGCTGTGGAGTAAACAAAATCCGGCATACCTATCAAATGTCAGCAGGGGCCTACAGAAAGAGGCCAGGCTCGAACATACTTCGAAACACATGGGTACGCTCAACCTTCCCGACTGCCTGGATCTTGTACTGGGAGGGATTATCACGAAGAGAGCGCATCAGATTTTTGGATGTCTGTCGCTGAGGGCCTGGTGCATCTTCTGGCCCATCAGTGAACGGCTCATCAGATCCTCTCTTGCGTTTCCGGCCAGTTCGCTTCGGTACTTTCACTTTGAGCAAGATATTGTTTGTTTGGCCAACTGTAGATACGAGAGGTCGTGCCATGGCATCTTCCGGTCGCAGTATCAGATGCGCAGGAGCATCAACTCTAGTTGGGTTCATGATCTATGACTGGTCAGAATAGGTATTTCTCTGAATTGTGGGTGAATCTCTTATCTCACTTTGTTGATTCCTGTATTGCCTTGCAGTGTTTCAAGGGCTTTGTCAATGTTGCGAATGACGGCAGGGTGCTCCACGCTGATCAGCTGTCGAGATGGGATATTGTATGACGGGGCCGTCCTAACCTCTCGGGGTGCGTCCATTTTTATGACTCTGTGGTATTTTTATTACCGAGAGGCATAATACCTTCAACGGTCACAGAGGTTGTATTGGACTTGTCGCAGCGTTCTTTGCGACTCGGAAGGAGGGAAGAATGATTCCTCTGCAGCTCACTTTGGTGGAGTCGCCTGAATCTCCGCACGCTTCAAGAAAGCCTCGCTAGCTTCTGCAGTACGCACTTGATCCTTGTCCTTGGATCTCAACACCAGCCATTTCTGTTATCGCGGTCAGTCTTAATCAACTTGGACGATTTGGGGAAATCGGATATGATGACTAATCACCATCCGTTTTGTTGAAGGTCAAGGAATGACAGTATCTGAAGAGGTGAGACTGCCATCAGAACAGACCTAAATTTTATGTATGATCAAAGATAGTATCTATCCTGTACCTTAGCTAGCATCCAGCTATATCATTGTTCAATCTCATTTAGTGCTTGAGAATTTGAGAATCTACTTTGACCGAAATAAAACTATATCTCGGCTTATGCCTTAGCGTCCCACTTTCGAAGATTGGAGTTCGCCACCCAAGTAAGTACTAGTGTTTTTTAGGCTTGCTATATATTTACGCTATTACCAAGCCTCTGACGCTCCAATATTGATTACTGCTCACACAAGAACCTTCACTGTTGGAATTTCAATCACTACCGATTGCCCCTGCTGTCCACGTGACTACTAATGACATAAGCGTCAGGAAGCGGGAAAACGCATACACAGGAGCCATGACGATTTTAGAGGACTCGCTTGTAGTACGATATTCAAGTAAATTCATCGGTCGCAAAGGTTTTTTAACACGTAGAATCAGGAGGCTTCCTTATATATGTAGAATAATCCTTTCCGTGTAAAGAAATTGTACCTGCTGCAGCCCCTCCCATCACCATCACGGCCAGGAGAACCCGCCTTTCCCTTCACCTACACCCGCTTCCTCTCCACCTTCTGACCCAACCACTTCCCTCCCTACCTGCAACCCCGGTTCTTGATTTACCGCCCTTCGCTATTGCCCGTATTCAGACCATTTGACCCAGGCTTTGGTCGTGCGTTTGCAATCCGGTGGCTCTGGCGCTTTCGAAGTCCATCCCCCCGCTCCCAACCTAACACTAAGCGACACGGAGATCCTTCTGAGCGGATCAAGCAACGTCCACCTCATATCGACCTCTACGCTGCTTCGCAAACCTTCTCTATCCCCAACACTCCAATTGTTTCATATCGAGCCACAGAGGTATGTCTTGACTGTACTTTGCTATTGCATTCACCTGGCTGGGTCCATTTCCCCCAACATCCAAGCGTCTTGCCCCGTGCGCGTGCTGCGACATCGCCCATTAAGGACTGTCGAAGTTGGCTGCCATTGAGGCCCGACTATAATTAATTGGAATTGTTTGATTCCAATCGCACAGATTCTGTTTTCGCTGTTCATACCTCTCCTATATCTGCCATGATCAAAAGCGCTCATACGTTGCCCCTACTAGGTCGATCGATACAAAACACTACACCTCCCCTCGTGGCTGATCCGAGTCGTTCTGGCGAGAGTGCAGCGCCTGGCTGCACTAGCACTGAGAACTTTAACGGAGTACATGTGGCATTCTTCATAACAGCGCAAAGATGAAGGGATTCAGACAGAGAGTGGTAAGTTCTCCTGTACCGGGGTGCTTCTCACCGCACGATCACCCCCCTCCCCCACCATGCAGGTGGTGATTATTCATCCCCCTTACTCGCATCCAGGCTAATATTGTTCTTTCATTGCTAGCATGAGCAGTTGTCGCGGGCAAAGGATGCCAATAAGTCATCGAAGAAGAAGGACTCCAACTCCGCACCCCAACAGGCGTCCCTCGGCATCCATCCTCCACAGCAGTCGGCATCTCCGAACCAAGGTACACCAACATCGTCCACAACCTCCCTGAATGATGCACGAGGAAAATCGCCAGACGATGCCTCCCCGGCAGTAACTCCCTCAGGGGGCGCTGGCGCACCGGCTCAACATTATATACCCCAAGGGGCTGGGTTGGCCGGTCAGCCGGTGAGCAATGGCCCAGGAACCCCCACCAGACAGGGCCAGCCAGTAGCACCAAGTGTGATCATCAGCCCTAGCGCTCCGGTACGTTCATGCCTTCTAACACAATAACCGACATGAACTAACTTGGTTGGTATCTTTAGCATGCCCCTCCCCCAGGTGCCGCCGAGACCATGCCCGGAGACTTAGCACCACCGCGGAAATCCCATGTATTCGATCGCCTCCAAACTACCCCCAAGGACATGTCGGAGGGAATCCGGACTCCCAAACGGCAGCATTCTTCGCGATTTGACATCTCTGATCAGCGCCAGAGAGAGCTAGAGAAACTGCCAGGCTTCCACGAAGTCGCCCCAAACCGGCGCCAGGATCTGTTTATGCAGAAGATCGACCAGTGCAACATTATCTTCGATTTCAATGATCCTACTGCGGACATGAAGTCCAAGGAGATCAAGAGGCTGGCTCTCCATGAGCTCTTAGATTATGTCGCCAACAACCGGTCTGTCATCACAGAGCCCATGTACCCTCGTGTCGTGGAGATGTTTGCCAAGAACCTGTTTCGCCCGATTCCTCCTCCAATGACCCCCCAGGGAGAGGCATTTGATCCGGAGGAGGATGAGCCTGTCTTAGAAGTGGCTTGGCCACACATCCAGGTCGTTTACGAGTTTTTCTTACGTTTTATCGAGAGCCAGGATTTCAACACGAACATCGCGAAGGCATATATCGATCATCAGTTTGTGCTTCAGGTATTTATTTCGCTCTCTATACTTCTTCCCAAGAACCTGGTCGCTAACATCTAACGTGCACAGCTGCTGGATTTGTTTGATTCTGAAGACCCTCGGGAGCGTGATTTCTTGAAGACAACCTTGCACCGTATCTATGGCAAATTTTTGAACTTGCGGTCATACATTCGACGATCCATCAACAATGTTTTCTTCCAGTTCATGTATGAAACAGAGAGGCACAACGGCATCGCTGAATTGTTGGAAATTTTGGGTTCTATCATCAACGGCTTTGCTCTCCCACTGAAAGAAGAGCACAAACTCTTTTTGACACGAGTCCTTCTTCCCATGCACAAGGTCAAAAGCCTGAGCATGTATCACCCGCAACTGGCCTACTGTATTGTCCAGTTCCTGGAGAAGGACTCTACCCTCACGGAAGATGTACGTATCTCCCGTCTCTTGTTGTCTTTTACATATGCTAACTAACATGAAGGTTGTTCTTGGATTACTGCGCTATTGGCCGAAGACAAACAGCACCAAGGAGGTTATGTATCTCAACGAAGTGGAGGACATCTTCGAGGTCATGGATCCAGCTGAATTCGCTAAGGTGCAAGAGCCTCTTTTCCACCAGTTGGCCAAGTCAGTCGCCAGTCCGCATTTCCAGGTCGCCGAGCGTGCTCTTTACTTCTGGAACAACGAGTACTTCTGCAACCTCGTCAGCGATAATGTGGAAACCATCCTTCCGATCATGTTTGCTCCACTTTATGAGAATTCCAAGGGCCACTGGAACCGGTATGTGTTCCTCTCATGATCCAAGCTGATATGGTAATTAATTTGCTCTGCCAATAGGACTATCCACAGCATGGTGTACAACGCTATGAAAATGTTCATGGAGATTAACCCCCAGCTTTTCGACGAGTGCTCCCACGAGTATACCGAACACCAGAATAGCGCAGATCAGCGGGAAAGGACTCGCAAAGACCGGTGGGATTTGATTGAACAACAAGCCAAGCGGCAAAACGGGGCACCAGCCCTGCCGCCCGCTCCCAACCTCAATGTCCCGGAGCCGATCGATGAAGTGGAAGCTTTGACAACAGATAGCCAAAAGCGGCTGAATAACCTGAAGCTGGAGGAATCCGAAGCCCCGAAGGAGCGCCCTGCTCGGGAAGGAACCCCAAATTCGGTAAGTCCCGTGCATTTTTGATCTAGCATCAATGCTCTCCAGATCTACGCACCCCCAACCCTATGCGGGTCTCCGTTCTTCTGCCTTGCCATTAGCCTCTTATAACCCTTGATATTTGTCGTTTGCTAAGAGGCCACTCCCCGTGTACAGCCAGCGTGATTCTAACGTGGAAACGTCCGTTTTGCTCCAGACACGACGCCGTGGCTCTCTTCGCGGTTCTCGGAGACGACGGAGTGGCAGCGGCAGTGAGATACGTCCGCGACGACGTTCGGTCGGCAGTGGTACCAGTGCAGTCAATGTACAGATCCTGCATCGAAGTAACTCTACTAAATGATTTGTCGGGGTGATCGGGGTGATGGATGTGACTTTCGTTGATTTTCTGCAACCAAATGGCATAGCGAGCACGGGCTGCAACGATGTTTCTGTGATTTTAACTTCGCCCGGATTAATGCCCACTGTGCCTGCTCTTTTCCTTTCTGTTTCTTGTTCTCAGTTTCTTTCCTATCTTGTGTACATGGATTTCTCTGATATCTCCTTGTGATCGACTCCTACAGTTCGTGATCACGTAGCGGACCTCTGAGTTGGATACAGCCTTAGAACCGCGTTCGGGTATGGAAAATGGGTGTGAGTGGCGTTTCAATGTTCCATCCGTCGGCCTTTGAGGGTTGGCGGCTTTTCTGTGTTGTCAGTTTTTGTTCTAGACCAGTACCGGAGACATGATATGCCTGGACCACAATTGTGCACTTTCTGAATTGTAGTACACCCTTAGTGGATTAATTTCGAGGTCTAGGTGATCATCCATTTCAACCATTGAAGGTTCCCTTGGAAATTGGTTGGAAGGTGGGTATATAGCACCTGGGCATCTGGAGGCCTTGGATAGTAGTTACCTTAGCACGGGCATAGGGCTTCACTCTTGGCCAAACCTTAGAGCCTTCCAGTAGGAGATGGGAAAGTTTACCTTCATTGGTCCACGTGGTTGTCTGAGCTAGGTAGTCTTCACGATATATAATCATGAATAATCCAACCTTGAAAGATCTGATATACTAGAAAAAATAAGATACCTTGAACATGAGCCATATAAGGAATTGCCCAGGTGATATCAGGCTATTTCAAGGTTGTGTGCTTGGGTACCTGGAGCACATCCATGGGTGTGTCTGTACAGTACAGTACAATTAGGCGCGCGTGTAGTCGCTTAACAGACGCGCGTGGTCCGGACCGGAATAACTATGTCCGAATTACCTAAAGCAGACTAGTGTTTCGTTCGGGGTCCCTGCGATAGCCCGCGTCCTCTACTTTGCTCTGGGCCCGGACTGAGGTCTTGCGCGCTCTACAATCTCCAACCCTCTAACCAACCCCCCATTCGCGTCCTTTCTCCTCCCCCGCGGGACTTGTCATTGCTTCATTTCCTTCACAAGTCCACTCGCTCCTTTAAATGCTCGAAACAATTCTCCGTCGTGAAATTAAATGACTTGACGATTTTGTTCATTTCACACTTCCCTTCTCCAATCGATCTTTTCGGGGAATCGCATGAGTCCGCAAAGCTTCCTCCGCACCCTCACCTCGCACATGACACCTCGATCTTGATTTAAGAATCTTGCGCGGGCTGTCAATAAACCAGCCGGCCACCGGGCCTGGCCGTGAACACAGTCCTTTTCCCTTGGCTGGCCCTTACGAGGGGGCTTGATCGCGGCCATTATGGAGCGGAATATCGATATCTATGCCACCAAGTTGGGTGACGAGAGGCTTGGTACGTTCACACCGAAGAATGTGAATCACATAGTTCTCGTGCAAATTCATTAACCATTTTTCTTTGTCGCAGATGTGAAGGTACGAGCCAACGTCGCGACCGAGCTGCGGGATAGCATTGAGCCACTATGTTCTGGTGCCAACTATCCCATATTCCTTGCCAAACTATGGCCCATCTTCAAAACCATTCTGTCTGGAGAGCCAGTTTTCTTCAGCATGTCATATGAACAGGTGAGAATGATGGAATGAAATATTGAGGGCGCATATGGCCCCAATGAACGCGTGCCTCTTCCAGAGAATGGAAACACTAACATAGCTCTCAGAAACTCCGCAATTGCATTCTCGAAACCCTCCATCGTTTACCGACAGCTTCACCTGATGTTGAACCCTATGCTGCAGACATGGTTGACCTGCTCATGGACCTCGCACGAATTGAAAACGAAGATAATGCGGTATTGTGCATGAAGACGATCATGGATTTGGAACGCAACCAAGCGAAGGCCACCACGGCGCGGGTGCAGCCATTCTTGGAGCTCATTCAAGAGATGTTCCAGACCATGGAGCAGGTGGTTCGGGATACATTCGACACTCCAAACCAAGCAACTCCCTCTGGAATGCCGTCAACGCCCAACGCAAGCGCTCAGAACTTCCAATCCCCACGACCAAGCTCTCCAGCTACATCTGTTTCAGACTTAGGTCCAGAGCAGCAGTCAAGCAATGTTATACTAAAAGGCATGCAGTCTTTTAAGGTCTTGGCTGAGTGCCCGATCATTGTCGTTTCAATCTTCCAGACCCATCGCGCTTCCGTTGCAGCCAACGTTAAGCTTTTTGTTCCGCTGATCAAGACGATTTTGCTGTTGCAAGCCAAGCCCCAAGAAAAAGCGCATACTGATGCTGCTGCCCAAGGCACAATATTTACAGGGGTTTGCAAGGAGATTAAGAACAGAGCCGCATTTGGGGAGTTCATTACTGCTCAAGTGAAGACGATGAGCTTTTTGGCTTACCTGCTTCGTCTATATGCCCACCAGTTGCAAGATTTCCTTCCCACACTGCCATCCGTTGTTGTGCGCTTACTTCAAGATTGTCCACGTGAGAAGTCTGGTGCTCGAAAGGAGCTCTTGGTTGCCATCCGACACATCATAAACTTCAACTACCGCAAGATATTCCTTGAGAAGATTGATGAGCTTCTGGACGAAAGAACACTTATTGGTGATGGTCTTACTGTTTATGAGACTATGAGACCTTTGGCGTACAGCATGCTTGCTGACCTCATTCACCACGTACGCGACCACCTCAGCCGAGACCAGATTCGCCGAACCGTTGAAGTCTATACGAAGAATCTTCATGATGACTTCCCGGGTACCAGCTTTCAGACCATGAGCGCCAAGCTGCTCCTCAACATGGCGGAGAAGATTTCAAAGCTGGAAGACAAACGCGAGGCTCGTTATTTCCTCATAATGATTCTGGATGCCATTGGTGACAAGTTTGCTTCGATGAACCACCAGTTCAACAATGCCGTCAAGGTTTCCAAGGCTTACAAGGAATCTCGGAAGGACGATGACACAACGCCAGAGAATTACCTTGCTGAGAAAGATCAAGCGCCGGACTGGGATGACATTGACATCTTCTCTGCCTCTCCCATCAAGACCTCCAGTCCTCGTGATCGCGGTGGAGATCCCGTCTCAGATAACATCTTCCTCTTCAGAAACCTCATCAATGGCCTGAAAAACATTTTCCACCAATTGAAGAATTGCAATCCAGATGATGTTCAGATTGACCCCAATAGTGTCCCTATCAATTGGTCCGAGGTTTCTTATGGATACAATGCCGAAGAAGTTGGAGTCATCAAAAAGCTCTTCCATGAAGGTGCTAGAGTCTTCCGCTACTATGGCGTGGACCAATCTCCCCCCGAAATGAATTACTCCTCCCCATTCGACTTCCTCGCAAGCCAATACACAGCTCCCATGTCTCGAGAAGAGAAAGAGCTTCTGGAGAGTTTTGGCACTGTTTTCCACTGCATCGATACGGCAACCTTCCACGAAGTTTTCCACTCGGAGATTCCATACCTACATGAGCTCATGTTTGAGCATGGAGCTCTCCTTCACCTTCCACAATTTTTCCTGGCTAGTGAGGCGACTTCACCTGCATTCTCTGGTATGGTTTTGCAGTATTTGATGGAACGCATTGACGAGGTTGGAACTTCGGATATGACGAAGGCGAAGATTCTACTGAGAATGTTCAAGCTCTCCTTCATGGCAGTCACGCTGTTTTCCGTTCAGAACGAGCAGGTGCTTCACCCCCATGTGACAAAGATCGTGACGAAGTGCATCGAGCTATCAGTCACAGCCGAAGAACCGATGAATTATTTCCTGCTCTTGCGCTCTCTTTTCCGCAGCATTGGTGGAGGTCGGTTCGAGCTTCTCTACAAGGAGATCCTTCCTCTGCTGGAGATGCTCCTCGAGACGTTTAACAACTTGCTGATGGCCGCTCGAAAGCCCCAAGAGCGGGATCTTTATGTGGAGCTTACTCTCACCGTCCCTGCAAGACTTAGCCATCTGCTCCCCCATCTAAGTTATCTGATGCGTCCTATCGTGGTGGCCTTGCGTGCGGACTCAGACCTGGTTGGGCAAGGGCTGCGGACATTGGAACTCTGCGTGGACAATTTGACAGCCGACTATCTTGACCCCATCATGGCTCCTATCATGGATGAATTAATGACAGCTCTTTGGGATCACCTGCGGCCCCACCCATACAATCATTTCCATGCCCACACCACCATGAGAATTCTTGGAAAGCTTGGTGGACGCAATCGCAAGTTCCTGAACCATCCGCCAGAACTGTCCTTCCAACAGTACTCTGATGACAACCCCAGCTTCGACATTCGTCTCATCGGCCCGGGTGAGAAGCGGCCTTTTCCCGTTGATACCGGCATTGATTTGGCCATCGGCAAGCTAATGGAGGCTCCTAAAACGGATTCCGGCAAAGCTTCTGATCTCTATTACAAGCAGCAGGCTTTCCGCATGCTAAGCTCGCACCTCAAGCTGCAGATTGGATTTGAGAACCTCCCCGATGATCTCGCTTCTCTGATTCGACTCCATGCGAATGACCTCTTCGAAAGCAAAGCCAGTGCTATGGTTGATATTCTTGAGAAATCGGAGAGAGCGGCGTCCATCCCAAAGAAGGTGGGACAAGAAGCCACTGTTAAGAAGCTCCTAAAGGCCTGCATCTTTGCCACAACCATTCCTGACCTTGAGCCCGCTGCATCTGCCTTCGTGGCTGATGTTTGCAAGCACTTCGCCATTGTTGAGGTTGGCCGAGCTCTTTCTCAAGCCCGTCACAACCGTAAACCTTTTGATGTGGCAAATGGAGAAGGCCCTGTCTACCTGGACTCACGAGTCCTGGCTGATGCTATCGTTGAGACCCTTTCTTCCGATAATGTCCACGTCCGGGAAGCTGCTGAGCAGGCTATGCAGGTTGTAAAGGACGCCGCCGGTGTCATTTTTGGTGCTCCCGAGAAGGCATCAAAGCTTCCATTTTTCCAGCATCTTGGCCGCGTGTTCTGCCACAGTTGCTATAGTGAAGAATGGTTCACAAAGGCTGGTGGAAGCTTGGGCATTCAGCTCCTTGCTACCAAGCTGGATCTTGGGGAGTCTTGGCTTTATGAGCGCCATGTTGATTTCTCGCGGGCTCTGATGTATGTCATCAAGGATACGCCTTCAGATCTTCCTGCGGCTACCCGTGTCCAGTCCCAGGAGACAATGACTTTGATCCTTCAGCGGTGTGGAAAGATTATCCCGAAGGATGATTTGAAAAACGAGAAGAGCCGTCTATTTGCTCTTTGCGGTTTCTTTGTCACTGAGCTTGGTCATATGAACAAGCATGTTCGAGAAACATCGCGCCGCTGCTTTGCCACATTGAAGGAAGAACTCGGCTGTGAAGTGCATGAGCTCATCTTTCCTGTGAAGGACCGTCTTCTACAGCCAATTTTCAACAAGCCACTCCGAGCACTACCTTTTGCTACTCAAATTGGCTTCATCGATGCCATCACATACTGCTTGGGCCTGCACAACGACATCGTCACCTTCAATGACCCCTTGAACCGCTTGATGTTGGAGTCTCTTGCTCTGGCTGATGCAGATGATGAATCACTCGCCTCCAAGCCAAATGAATTCAGGAACGCGGATATGATTGTCAATCTGCGCGTTGCTTGTCTGCGGCTTCTATCCATGGCAATGAACTTCCAGGAATTTGCCAACACACCACAGAACACCAGTCGTGCTAGAATCATTTCAGTGTTCTTCAAATCACTTTACTCTCGTTCTCCCGAAGTGATCGAGGCTGCCAATGCTGGTCTGAAGGACGTTCTCACTCAGACCAACAAGCTACCAAAGGACTTACTGCAAAATGGCCTGCGCCCCATTCTGATGAATCTGCAAGATCCCAAGCGTCTAAGTGTTGCTGGTCTTGATGGCTTGGCCCGCCTCTTGACTCTCTTAACCAACTACTTCAAGGTCGAAATTGGCGCTCGTCTTCTGGACCACATGAAGGTCATTGCAGATGACGCTATGTTGCAAAAAGTATCCTTCAGCCTTGTCGAGCAGAATCCTGCCATGAAAATTGTAGCTGCCATTTTCAACATCTTCCATCTTCTCCCCCCAGCTGCCACCTCATTCATGGAACATCTAGTCAACAAAGTCCTCGACCTTGAGAAGAAGCTGCGAAGAACCTCTCACAGCCCCTTCCGCAAGCCTTTGGTTAAATACCTGAATCGCTACCCAAAGGAAAGTTTGACATTTTTCTTTGCACGATTCAAGGACGAGCGATTTGGTCGCTTCTTCGGGCAAATTCTGGCCGACCCTGAGAGTGAAGCACTGCGTAATGCTGTGGTCGCTGACAGTGAAACTTTCCTCTCAACTGCATTCGCACAGGATGCAACAGATGGTAAAAACACAGCTGCCATCAACGGAATCTACGTCGCGCATGCGCTCTGCTCATACGACTCCAGCAAGAGATGGTTGGTTTCTCATCCTGATTCAAGACTGAAACTTTTGGCCTCTGGACGAGACTTGGAGCGAAAGCTCCGCGGCGACATCCTCCCCCCGATGAGCGCCTCAGGGTAGAACAGGCCGAGGACCAGCTAATGGATATTTTCACTACGTACTTGGCTGAGGCTGCGCATGACCTGGACTTCCTGTTCGAAGTCATTGATGGATTGTCTGCAGATGAGCTGAAGCGCACCCTCGCTCTGCCCAAGTTCATCTATCGGCACATTATCACCAACGAGTCGATTGACTACCGACGCTCTGTCATCATGCGTTGTCTCGACCTATACGGCCAGCGGGCTTGCTCGCAGAAGACCAAGACTTATGCATTCCGCAATCTGGTCAACCCAATCCTTGCAATGGATGTACAGACTACGTGGGGTAGCTCCCCAAACACTCCCAAGTTGATGGACAAGAGCATGACGGAGTCCATTCAGAGCCGTGTGTGGAAGCCTCAGTTGGCAGACCTCAGCGAAGAGTCCAATCAAGCTGGAGTTGATCACTCACGTATGGAACTGCTGCAGCTTTCGGCTCTGTTGATCAAGTATCACCACTCTACTGTGCAAGACTCGCGCAAGGATATCATCAAGTTTGCTTGGAATTATATTCGTCTTGAGGACATCATCAACAAGTACGGTGCCTATGTTCTAATCAGTTACTTCATCGCGCACTACGAGACACCCTTCAAGATTGTGATCCAGGTGTATGTTGCCTTGTTAAGAGCCCACCAAAACGAAGGACGAGCCCTTGTCACTCAAGCACTTGATGTTTTGGCTCCTGTGCTCCCTACTCGAACTGCAGGCAACCAAGGACCCGAAGCACGCTATCCCCTGTGGGCCAAATGGCCTCGCCGCATCTTGGCGGAGGAGACCGCCAACTTACAGCAGGTTATGAGCATTTTCCAGTTCCTGGTGCGACAACCTAATCTTTTCTACGAGTCACGCGAGCATTTCGTGCCTCTTATTGTTCCGTCCCTTGTTAAGATTGCTGGTCCGCCAAACACATCCAATGACAGCAAAAAGCTCGCACTGAAACTCATCGGGTTGGTTTGGCACTGGGAAGAAAGGCGAGCGCAAGCGGCAGATGCCAACAGCAGTGGACTTCTGGACTCTCCCAACACGAAGAAGCGGAAGCTCGAAGAAGCGCAGGACACATCCTCCCCTGCGTTGGCGCCTCCACCGAGCCGAGGTGGATCATCTGATTACACCGTTCCCGCTGAACTTCGTGCTGCTCTCATTAAATACCTTATCTCTTTTATCACGACTATCCCCGAACGCTTCGTGGTTCCAGCTGCGGAGATTCGTCAACTGCCATCTTCCAAGCAGACACCGCCCGTTCCTACTGGTGACATGGTCAATAAGGCCGTGAACCTCCTCAGAAACCTTCTTTCGCCGGAATACTGGGGAGACATTGACATTGATCTGTATCAGAAAGTGACAGAACCCATTCTAGCAGGCGAGAAGGCCGATAAACCAGATGAAAAGCATGTTACAGCCATGGTGAACACGCTTCAGGTCCTTCGTGTTCTAATTGCAGCAAAGTCCAATGAGTGGATCGCAGCTCGCCTCCCCGCCATTCAGAAGCTTCTTGAGAAGCCATTGAAATCTGACAACCCGGAGATCCAAGATTGTCTTCATGGCCTGGAAGATGAGATGGATATCTCCCCTAAGCTACCGCCTCCCGTTCGTCGTGTTCTCGAAGCTATACCGGATGACGCACCAGATGACGAGGATGCAATGGACACTGAAAGCACCGCATCCGAGTTTGCTACTTATCTGTCTGCGATCGCTACCGAAACACTTTCCGCTAGCAACTATGTGTCAAGCCTGAACACGCTCTGGACACTTTCAAAGCATAAGCCTGCTGAGATCGATACGCACATTCCTGCTGTGATGAAGGCATTCTCTCAAAAGCTTGCCAAGGAACATGTTGCGGCATCGACTCAACAAAATGGTGCACAGCTCCAGAACGGCGCAGCAAAGCCTGCCGAAGGTGTTCCAGACCAACAGGAGACTGAAATCGGCGTTGACCTTATTTTCAAGACAATCGAATTGATCTCTGTGCGCATGTCTCACCTTGGAGATCAACGACGCCCATTCTTGAGCGTGTTGGCATCAATTGTGGAACGTTCGCAAAACATCAAGCTGTGTAGCAAGGTCTTGGGTATGGCAGAGGAATGGATATTCCACTCGACCGAGTCCTGGCCGACTCTGAAGGAGAAGACCGCAGTCTTGCATAAGATGCTGCTGTTTGAGTCACGGCCTGATCAAACGATGCTGAAGAAGTTCCTTGACCTTGTAATCCGTATTTACGAGGACTCCAAGATTACTCGTACCGAGTTGACCGTCAGGCTTGAACATGCTTTCTTGATCGGAACCAGAGCGCAGGATGTTGAAATGCGTAACCGATTCATGAGCATTTTTGACCGAAGTTTGACTCGCCTGGCCTCCTCACGGTTGAGCTACGTGCTCACTTGTCAAAACTGGGATACCCTTGCGGACTCTTTCTGGCTGGCCCAGGCCTCGCATTTGATTCTTGGATGTGTGGATATGAACGCTACTGCCCGCTTGCATCCAGATGACTTCAAGTTGTATCCCCTGACCTTCCTTTTCGCTGGAGGTGAAAAGGACCCAAGGAAGTCGGATATCATGGTCGACAACCAGCTGGAAACTTTTGTTGCTGAACGCAGGCGTTTCATGTCTGAAGTTGGTGACGTGAAGGTACGCGATTTGATTGAGCCTCTGTGTCAACTGCAGCACACCGACCCTAGCGTCTCTTATAAGCTCTGGACGACGCTGTTTCCTATTTACTGGTCCACATTGTCCAAGGACGACCGCCTGGATCTTGAGAAGGGAATGGTCACATTGCTTACTCGAGAGTACCACCAGAGACAGTTGGACAAGCGCCCTAATGTCGTGCAAGCCCTATTGGAAGGTTGTGTGCGTGCCCGTCCCCGGTTCAAGGTTCCTCCCCATGTTATGAAATACCTCAGCCGTACCTACGATGCCTGGTACACTGCCGCTACCTACCTGGAGGAGAGTGCCATCAATCCTATCATTGACACTGCTACTGTCCGTGAAAGCAACCTCGACGCCTTAGTGGAAGTCTATGCTGGTCTCCAGGAAGACGATTTCTTCTATGGCACGTGGCGACGCCGCTGTAAATTTGTTGAAACCAATGCAGCTCTGTCCTATGAGCAGCAGGGCATGTGGGATAAATCTCAACAGCTCTATGAGAATGCGCAAATCAAAGCCCGCTCCGGAGCTATGCCATTCTCCCAGGGTGAATACTTTGTGTGGGAAGATCACTGGTTGATCTGCGCCCAGAAGCTTCAGCAGTGGGAGATCTTGAGCGATTTTGCCAAGCACGAGAACTTGAATGACCTGTTGCTTGAGGCTGCTTGGAGAAACATTGAAAATTGGCAGAGCGAGGGCAATCGCGAACAGCTAGAATCTTTGATCAAGTCTGTTTCCGATGCTCCTACCCCGCGACGAACATTTTTCCAGGCTTTCATGGCTCTCCTTCAGTACCACACGAAGAAAGAGAATTTGCAAGACTTCAATAGCGTCTGCGATGAATCTATCCAGCTTTCTATTCGGAAGTGGCTGCAATTACCCAAGCGAATCACCAATGCCCACATTCCCATCTTGCAGCACTTCCAGTTGCTCGTTGAGCTGCATGATGCTAGTCATATTTGCGGCAGCTTGGCCCAAACCAATGAGCGCAACTTGGATACCAAGAGCGCTGAGTTGAAGCTTCTTCTGGGGACCTGGCGGGACCGCTTGCCCAATCTATGGGATGACATAAACACTTGGCAGGATCTTGTCACATGGAGACAACACATTTTCCAACTTATCAACGGCACCTACCTCAGTCTTCTTCCCCCCAGACCAACAATGTCGCCAGCAATTCCTATGCCTACCGTGGATACCACGAGACCGCCTGGATTATCAATCGGTTTGCTCACGTCGCCCGCAAGCATCAGATGCCGGAGGTGTGTATCAACCAGCTAAGTCGGATCTACACACTGCCAAACATCGAAATCCAAGAGGCGTTCCTCAAGTTGCGTGAACAGGCCAAATGCCATTACCAGAACCCGAAGGAACTCAACAGTGGATTGGATGTTATCAATAACACCAATCTCAACTACTTCGGGCCTCAGCAAAAGGCTGAGTTCTACACTCTGAAGGGCATGTTCCTTGCGAAACTTGATCATGTCAACGAGGCCAACGAGGCATTCGGTGTTGCTCTCTACTACGATCTTCGTCTTGCAAAGGCCTGGTCTGAGTGGGGACAGTATAGCGACCAGCGTTTCAAGGCAGATCCGACAGACTACGAGCTGGCTAGCAATGCAGTCAGCTGTTATCTGGAGGCAGCTGGTCTTTACAAGAGTGCGAAGTCGCGAAAGCTGCTCAGCCGTATTCTGTGGCTTCTAAGCTTGGACAATGACGAAGGCCAGATCGCAAGCGCTTTCGAGAACTTCAAGGGAGACACGCCAGTTTGGTACTGGATAACATTTATTCCTCAACTTCTTACCAGCTTGTCTCACCGCGAAGCACGCCTATGCAAGGCTGTTCTTGTGAAGATCGCCAAGCTGTATCCGCAAGCACTGTTCTTCTTGCTTCGCACTAACAGGGAGGACATGTTGAGCATCAAGAAGCAGCACGATCAAAAGCAAGAGAAGCTAAACCGTGCCAAACAACAGCAGCAACAGTCCTCCTCCCCGAGTCAGAAGCCTGCTGCAAACGGTGAAGCTTCACCTGCACAGAAACCGCCAACCAGTGTACCGGCGCCCAGTGCCTCTCCAGCCAACCAGGCAGCAAATCTCACAACAGCTCAGTCGCCTGCTCAAAACCAGTCGGCCCAGCAGTCACCTGCTCAACCTCCAAGCCAGCTGCAAGCGTCTCCACTTCAAAATTCGACCCCTGGTCAACCTCAAGCTCTTCAGCCTCAGGGAGCCCAAGGACACTTGCAAGTTCCAGGCCAGAATGGAGCTCAGCAACCTGGCACTTCTACCACCGAGCCGGAGAAAGAGCCTCTCAAGAAGCCTTGGGAGTACTCGGACGAAATCATGTCTGGCCTCAAGACAGCGTTCCCACTGCTTGCTCTGTCCATGGAGACGATGGTTGACCAGATTCATAAGAATTTCAAGTGTCCTCCAGACGAGGATGCTTACCGGCTTATCGTCGCTCTTCTCAACGATGGACTGGCCTATGTTGGACGCATGCCCGTGTCGTACGCCCAGGACTTCAAACTGCCCACTGCGACAGAAGCCAACATTACCCGATTCGCGGAGACAATTCTTCCGGCGCATATCCGCAAGTCGTTCGAGGCAGACTTTGTCGTCAAGAAGCCCACTATGCATGAGTACATCCACAAGCTGCGTCGCTGGCGTGACAAGTTCGAGGAGAAGCTGGACCGCCGACCTCAGTCTGGAAACCTTGAGAATTACTCCCCGCACCTTAGCGAGTTCCGCTTCCTCAAGTTTGACGAGGTTGAAGTTCCTGGACAGTACCTCCTGCTTAAAGACAAGAACCAAGACTTTGTTCGCATTGACCGTTTCCTTCCCGATGTGGACCTGGTACGGGGCATTGGTGTCTGTCACCGTCGTCTTAAGATTCGCGGACACGATGGTAGCATCCATGCTTTCGCTGTTCAGCATCCTGCAGCACGTCACTGCCGACGTGAGGAGCGCATTCTTCAACTTTTCAGAATCTTTAATGGCTTGTTAGCCAAGCGCAAGGAAAGCCGTCGTCGTAACCTGTACTTCCACCTTCCTCTCATGGTGCCTCTGGCTCCGCATATCCGCCTGGTTCGCGACGATTCTTCGTACATCTCCATGCAGGGTATTTATGAGGATTACTGCAGACGTGTTGGCATGAACAAGGACGAGCCGGTGCTCTTCACTATGGACAGAATGCGGTCTGTGCACGAGACGATTAAGAATGTAAGTTTCCTGTCCGATGTTTCCCTGATCCAAGCTAATCCCTGCCAGCGCACTCCCGACCAAGTTCAGGTTGTTCGTACTGAGATCTTGACAGCCATCCAAGACAAATGGGTTCCCAGTACCGTTGTTTTGGAGTATTTCCAGCAGACCTATCCCAACTTTGCCGACTTCTGGTTGTTCCGACGCCAGTTCGCTTACCAGTACGCGGCGGTTGCCTTCATGACCTACATCATGCACATTGGAAACCGTTACCCCAACAAGATCCTAGTCTCTCGCTCGACGGGCGACATCTGGGGCGCCGAATTGATTCCTACCATCAACCCTGCCAAGGCAATCTTCTACAACCCCGAGCAGGTGCCATTCCGCTTCACGCCGAATATTCAAACCTTGCTCGGCCCCATCGCCACCGAGGGTGTGTTTGCCTGTGCTATGATGGCGATTTCGCGCTGCTTGACGGAGCCGCGCCACGAGCTAGAGCAGCAGCTCAGCATTTTTGTGCGCGACGAAATGATGTTCTGGGCCACTGCTCAACACCGCGGTAGCCTGCCTGTGCCCCAGCTCCGTGAGCTGGTGAACAACAACAGTGAGATCATTGTGAACCGTGCTGTTAGCCTTGCCAGTCCTCCTGAGGGTAATCTGCCTGCCAATCAAACCACGATTGATTTGATCTCCAAGGCAGTCAATCCCCAGCACCTGGCTTCGTGCGATGCGTTGTGGATGCCTTACCTCTAGGCGGGCTCTGCGTTTCTGTCTCGATCTTATGAGAATTTGCTTTAGTGGAGGTGAACTATTCTTTTGCATGGAAGCATGGTTATGCGTGGGTTGGGTTCTGATTTTAAGCGTGGCGCTTCAGCGAGGAGACCTAGAGTCTTCTCGCCAGGGTTTGAATTCATTTTGATACCGATTCTTTTTCTTCAATTGTATGTTATAATCTTTGTTTTATGATCGCAAGTCGTGAACACTAGCTTTTAATGGATGATTCACCACAATTCCTTCTCCAAAAGTAGATTCAGCACAAAATCTAAGTGTAATGAACACAGGCTTTCACCATATGGAAGTGTGTACTCCGGTATAATGATCTACATTGTCAATCATTTGCTTTTACATGATGTCTGTACATAAGTAGTGAATGTGCTTAAATATGATTAGGGTAATTAACTGTTTATGGTCATTAAAAAGCCGGGGTATTATTAGCAAAAGGATTGTGGATAGTAAATTTACAGTGTACATTTAGCAGTTCTCAAAACATAATTCCACCGAGACGCCCGCGCCAGCGATATTATAAGTCATTAAACCAAAGACGGCTTCTTCTTAATCCCCAGCTTGTTAACATTGGACTTCTTAGCTTTCTTTACGCGAGCAAAAGAAGTTGTTGACGGGGGCGGCATCTGCATCGACGCAGACTTTGACGACTCAGGTTGCGCAGCCGCGACAACCGGCTCCTCGTCCTCGACAATCCGCTTGATCCTCTCCCCATCCGCTGTCATGAATGCCCTTCGTGCCGCCTCTTCATCTTCCTTCTCCTGCTGCAGCCTGACCTCATCCTGATCCTCCCGCACAATTTCAAGAGCTGTCTCTTCACCCTTCGCCTCGTTGCGCTGAATGCGCGCATTTCGGGTCCGAATTTCGTCAAGGGCATCCGCAATCTGCATCTCCCGCTTGGAATCCTGCATCTTCTCTTCCAGCTCGGCCATCTTGTCGCGTTCTAACTGCTCCTGCTCTGTATTTTCTTCGCGCTCGAGTCGGTCGAGGGTTTCCTCCTGTGTTTCATTGTATTTCCCGTCCTTGGCGTCTCGCCATGCTTCGAAGTTTCGCTTTGCGCCCTTTTCACACTCATAGTCCATGTTTTTTGGGTCTGTTCGGAATGTAATCTCTCCACTGCATCTTGTGCACCGGATATAGAAGCGGTAGATCGGAATAGACAGGTACTTTTCCTCGAGAGTCTGTTTGCGAGCGTTGAACTTGCGCCCGCGGTAGATGTATTCACCGCAGTTCGTGCATTTCATAGGGAATGGGGCCATCAACCGGACTGTGATGACCTTTGGGCCCTTCTGGCGGAGGTGCTTGGGCGTGCGCCCGATCGCCGAGGGATCGAAATCCGGGGGATAGTACTTGGTCAGGACCTTTCGCTCAGACATGTTGACGACGGCTTTGAAGTTTCGTGAGTGAAAAGAGGAAGAAGAAGTGGCGTTAAATGGAAAGTGAAATAGAAAGTCGGATCCAAATGCACGTATCGGCACGTGACATGTCTTTCCAGCATGTTCACGTGACACGATATGTAGATCACCCTACTATATCCAGACACTTCGATGCCAATACACGTCTTTCTGCCTTTTGAATACACCCTGCAGCAAACTACAACCCTAGGAATGTCTTGGTTTTACCTCATCACGACTGGCACTTCGATTTTGAGTCAGTATTATTCGCCCCGCTGAATTGGGTACAGTGCACGGACCACTGTTTGTCCACAATCCGCGACCCGCCCATGCGACCAGGTTGGATTCCAATCTTCGCGGTGCTGCAAATTCCCGGTGGAGTGAGAGCTTCATGGTAGCCTGTCTTCTATAAAGCCCTCTTTTTGCCGCCTGAAGCGTCCGATCTGTGGTCATGGAACAGTACTTGCGATCCTGGCGGCAGGACGCGTTCAATCGCGGCCAGCATGAATCTGCTATCTACATTGGAGACAAGGTTCTAGCACTCACTAGTATGGTTGTCTGTCTGCATTACCTTGAGAGAACAGCTTGATTGATTAATGTGCCAAAGACAGTGACGCGGATGCCTTCTGGCTAGCTCAAGTCCATTTCTCCAACAACAACTACACACGCGCGTTAGCTCTTCTCTCCCGCGGCGACCTTGTTTCACGAAACCCCGCCTGCCGTTACCTTGCAGCCCACTGTTACATAAAACAAAACCAATTCGAACAGGCCCTCAGTATCCTGGGCGAAAATAATCCCACAGACTTGATCCGCAGCAACGATAATAGCCGCCGAAAGATTCAGCATCTCAATGGGCAAAACCACATCACATCGCGCAATGGGAAAACATCAACAAGTCGTGGTGAGCGGGTGGAGGACGAAGAAGGAGATGATGACGGCAATATCAAATTTGAAGCATCTATGTGCTACTTGCGAGGCCTCTGTTTTGCAAAGCAGAATGCATTCGATCGTGCTCGGAGCTGCTACCAGGATGCGGTACGGATCGATGTGCAGTGTTTTGAGGCTTTTGACCAGCTCATGAAAAACTCGCTCATGTCCCCCACCGAGGAGCTTGAGTTTCTTGAGTCTTTAGATTTCGATTCAGTCACCTCGCCGGAACCTTCTATTGCCCAAGAAGCAGCCGACTTCACTAAAATGCTTTACACCACTCGCCTCTCCAAATATTCCTCACCCACAATCCTGTCGAATGCCACCGAAACACTTTCGACACACTACAACCTCGCCCAAAATCCCGACATATTGCTATCTCGTGCTGAGACGCTATACACCCAGTGTCGGTTCACAGAAGCCCTTGAACTGACTTCTTCCATCCTCTCCACCGCCCAGTCGAATGAATTAGCGAATACCAGCAACAACAGTATCCCTGCTCATAATCATCTGGGCCATGCACCCGCAGTGTACCCTTTACATTTGGCTTGTCTCTACGAGACAGGTGCCACCAACGCCCTTTTCTTACTATCACATTTGCTGGCTGATCATGCACCGGAGGAGCCTTACACATACTTGGCTATTGGAGTTTACTATCTCGCGGTTTCTAAAATCGCGGAAGCACGGCGGTTCTTCTCCAAAGCCTCTTTACTCGACCCTCACTCGGCACCGGCCTGGATTGGCTTTGCCCATACCTTCGCTGCCGAGGGCGAGCATGATCAGGCAATTGCGGCTTACAGTACAGCCGCACGACTATTCCAGGGTAGTCACCTGCCACAGCTGTTCCTGGGGATGCAGCATCTCGCCCTGAACAACATGTCCCTAGCCCACGAGTATCTCTGTGCTGCTTTTGCCATGTCAACTGGGTCTGCCCCAGGCACTACTGCTACTCCTGGCAAATCGCCGTTAACGCCCCTGAACGGTGACCCTCTAGTACTTAACGAGCTTGGTGTTGTGTTTTATCATCAGAATAACCTTACACCCGCAGTCGAACTCTTTCGACAAGCACTGAAGTTGGCGGGCTCTCTTCATTGCGAACCAGGCGCCTGGGTCGCGACCCGTGCCAACCTGGGTCATGCATTACGTCGAATGGGCCTTCTGAAGGATGCACTACGTGAGTTCGACGAGTGTCTGCGTGTAGGTGCCGGAGGCAGCAGTATGGGCTACTCCCCATTCCTGGGTGGTGGCGTGGGTGGATCCGCCGCCGTCGCAACCGCCTCTGGTGTTGGGGGCTACGAAGACCGGGGATTGGTTGGGTCGCTTCACACCTCGAGAGGTCTGCTCCTATTGGAGCTCGGACGAACCGGTGAGGCTGTTACAGCCTTGCACGAAGCCGTGCGTGTTTTAGGGGCCAGCGGGGGCGGAGACGCTGCCGGGGGAGCTGGGGTTGCGGGGACGCTACTTTCGCGAGCCTTGGAGCTTTGGTCGTTGGAGGGCCGTGAACAAGATCGCCAAGCCTTGAAGGCGTTGGAAGCAGGGACCCGATCGTCGAACTCGCATTCTTACAATAAAAGTTCGTCATCCCGCTCGCGTGAGACCCGCAGGGAACGTCCGGCACCAGAGCCCCGGCGGCGTGTTCCAGCTGAGGCGTACCAAGAAGAATGGACAAGTGAGGTCACACATGCAGCGACACCTGAACCAGCCGAATCCGGAACTATGGAGCAGCATATTGAGATGGACCTAGATGAGGAGGCTGATGGACTTTTGCGCCGAGCGTTGGGTCGAGTGCGCCCGGGGCGGCGCCGCCCAGCCTTACCCGCCACGCCGGACACAGACATGCATGAGACTCCGCCTCGGAGCCGTCATCGATCTACTCGGAGTGAATCCCGACAATGAAACCCTGCAAATTAGAGATATCTTTGTGGGGGTACTGTGCTGTTACTATTCCTGTATTTTATGCACAAACAGGCGTTATGGGGCGCAAATGGGAGAAAATTGGACGGTTCCCGGAACTTGCAGCATTGGTACTGGTTTCTTGTTAGCATTCATAGACATGACGTTTCCAAGCCTTGACAGACTACAGTACGCAGTTTATTGTATTGGTGTGCACTTATCCTATGGTATAAGGCTATACATGAGTATAGATCCCGCCCTAGTCCGTGGGTACTTCCTATTGTAGTATGTAACGGGTTCATCATTTCGCCCGAGTTGATCTCGTGTTTGGGGCGGTGCATCATCTAAGCCATGCTGATCATGTTCAACCATTCCAACCAAATGCATAGATGGTGAACGTGAAATGTTCCTTGGTTGGCTTCGTTGTCTGTTACACCTGTACACTGCTGGATGTTACAGTATTATTCGTTAGTAGTGGTGGTTACCTAACATCGTGGGGCGCACCAATAGAGTTAGCCCAGATGCGGAACTATTGGACCCTGAATCGACGGTAAGTCTAACCCTGACCCATGAAATCCTTCTGCCCCTAGAGACATGGGAACAATTGGGCAAGTCTTTGGGAACTGTAGAAGGGTAGCATACTTCGTAATGAATGATACCATGGCCCACCAAATTGACACCAACAACGTTGACGCAGTGTACACGCATTGTCCACGCATCAGTGGCCACTTACGTGCAAGTGGGGCCTCATTGCCCAGGCACCCAGCAGTAAACTTTGGACAATGACGCCTCGCGACCCACTTCTCTTCTTCCTGAGCCTCCACTTTAAACCAATCGTATTTTTGTTACGCCGATCACTCTCGAAAGCTTGTAAATCCTCCCCCCAAACGGGGATGTGGAGTGTCAAGTTTCACCCTGCCCTTTCTTTGCGTCCTTTCTCCTTTTCTTTCTCCATCCCACCATCCCACCTCCCACATTTTCCCCAGACAGATTCTTCAAGGGTAGGGTTTCATGTTCAGCATGCCCTGAATGCCCTGAATGCCCTTTCATCTCGCGACATGACCGCGAACTACAACTACCCCTTAATACGGCCGAGGCCGCGACGCGGCCTGTCGCTGCTCTGCGTCATCGCATGCCTTTCATGTAGTTTGATCCTGACCATCTGGTATGGCATGAACTCCGACCGCGACTACATCCACCCCGTCCTCACTCAACTCATCCCTGCCGGCCATTGTGCCTGCCAAACATCCACCACATTTCAATGCTCCACCTGTCTCTCCTGCCCCGAAGCTGGGCTCCAACAACCCACCACTCCTTCCCCCAGCTGGCGATGGGATTACCCCCGCGATGCTCCAAATGAAGCTTTCGACCAGACGCAATGCCAAGCCGCCTTCCCGGGTCTATTCGAGGATGTGGCGCGCGGCGAGCGCCACTGGCGTGCGCATGGCCGCCTTGCCACGGAAGACCTAGACGAGATCCATCTCCAGCAGGGAATGGCGCGCGCCTTTATTTCGCGAGGTCATTTACACGTGGTTGCAGCGCGCGCGAAGGGCGAAGACCATCGTCGCAAGATCTTGGGGGTGCTGAGTTCGATCCACCGTGCGCTGGCCGCAGATCGGGAACGGGTTTCCAAACGCGACATTGAGTTTGTGTTTTCGGTGGAAGATAAGGTAGAGGATGTGACAAGTCCTGATTTACCTGTTTGGGTCTTTGCTCGCACTCCAACAGAGCAGGGAGTGTGGTTGATGCCTGATTTTAGTTTCTGGGCATGGGATAATCCAAATAACTACATTGGACCCTTTGACCAGGTCGTGGACCGGATCCAGCGATTAGATATTCCCTGGGACGATAAAAAGCCCCAGCTGGTGTGGCGTGGAAAACCGAGTTTTGCTCCCAAGTTGCGAAGGGCGCTGATTGAAGCGGCCCGGGATCAAACATGGGGGGATGTGAAACAGGTCGAGTGGGCCACCGGCACTAATGTGCTCAGGATGGAAGAACACTGTCATTATATGTTCATTGCCCATGTTGAAGGTGAGTTTCTGGTGTTTTGGTTTGGGCTTAAGTGCCATTCAGCTTCTGATCAATTGCTGACTTTTCCAGGACGTGCATACTCTGCATCTCTGAAATACCGACAAGCCTGCAACTCAGTTATCGTCGCCCACAAACTCCAATACATCCAACACCACCACTACCTCCTCGTTGCCGACGGGCCTTACCAGAACTACGTCGAAGTGGAACGCGATTTCAGCGACCTCTCTGAGAAAATCGAGCCCCTAGTCCAGAACACGGAAGCTGCACGCCGCATTGCACAGAACAGCGCAAGGACATTCCGCGAGCGATACTTGACACCAGCTGCTGAGGCCTGCTATTGGCGCGCACTGTTCCAGGGGTACAGCAATGTGTGGAACAGTAGCGTGAACCCATGGTCCGAAGACTATGGCAGAGAACGCGGCTTGCGATATGAATCCTTTGTATTGCTCGAGAGCTCGCACATGTACGAATTTCGAGCGGACATTATGCCATATGGCGCTGCATAACGACTCATCCGACCCATACATCTTTCCCGATCACCCGAACTCGACAAATCTCGATTACCCATAGAGCACCACGACCATGATTCCCTACTAATGTTACCTAATTACCCTTATATCCACATTCCTTGGGTTGGGGTGTGTACTAGACGATAAACTGGTTGAATTCTTTCCATCATCAGCAGACGGCGTTTGAGCGCAGGCTTTTGTGATACCACAGCGGACTTGTATCTTTTTTTTACTTTATGGTTTCATCTTGGACAGATAGAATATAGTCACGCCCTCTGTCGTGGCCACCATCCTCAATATTATGACAATTCTCGAGGCACTACATATAGAAATCTCTCTCCTTTCCAAATTTTAGTTTCAAGGATGATGAGATTTCAGGACTGAGGAATCAATCCCTCTTGGGTAGGTCTACTAAATCCTTAGCTTGATCGCATGTGCTTTTGACGTACAGAAATCCCCAGAGCAAAAGTCTGATCATAGACATACATACTTTCTTTATCACTGTTGCGCTTACAAAGTTAGGAAGCACGAAGTTTTCTATCGGTAGCACAATGGAAACACAGCCCACAAACTACAGCTGCCCTGAAGCAGGCACCTGAGGCTAATTGCCGAAAAACGTTCTCAGAGGTTAAGCATATTTTAATGGCAGCCATGTACTTGGATCCTCAAGTGGTGTAACTCAATGCAAGTGGTTACCATTGTGAACATATATGGCTATCGACACGACTCCTTGTACCTATGGCCTCTACAGGTTTATATTTCTAAATTTATTACTAGTAGTAGCCTGCGAGTAACGATTGATTCAAATTACCCTCACATGTGCAATTACCTACAAACCTAAGTCGTATGGATGCGTAAGCTAGACACCATCCCGTTTCTAGTAAACCAAGGAGCCAAGGAACCAAGGAACCTAAGAGCCCCGGAGGGTAAAACACAAAGTATGTGTATCAAACCCGCCTCTTCCAGAGTTTGATTTTCACTCTTCTCGGGCCTTTGTGATTCTCTCAAGGGTCATGGTTTGATGGACCATGGGATCAAAGCCGGGGATGATGCTATCCGGACTCCGGAGCTAGAAGGGTCTAAGGTCAGACAATTGCACTGTTTATACAACAATGACCACTGTCTTTCTTATCGATAGCCCCGGCCTACCTCCGGCTCCAGCGTTTCCTCCGTTAGCTTTCTTTCTCTTCTCTCAACCACGATTGATCCCATCATCGCTGTTCTTTTCCAAACGCGTCCTTTTTGACTTCTAAGCATTATGGAAGCGACAGTCCCTATTGTGATCGAAACGAAAGATGCTGTTAACCAGACCATAGTCACTTCCGATGTGGACTATGTTCAAGAAGATGTCCAGGCACGCGTCTCAAAGCCAATCGTACGTCACGACGTGAGTATCCAATGAATTACGCACTAACGGGTCTACCACCAGTGGCTACTAGTTGTTCTGACTATGTTGTCTTCTACCTTCCTTTTCTCGTTGGACAACACTATCGTTGCTGATGTGCAGTCGCCTATTATCAAGAAGTTTGGCGAGGTCGGAAAGCTGAGTTGGCTGGGAGTTGCCTTTGTTCTTGCATCCTCTGCGACAATGGTTACCTGGTAACCGCTTTCTGCTTTGATTGGCCATGTCCGACTTACTTATACCACTTCTATAGGGGCAAACTCTACGGTATTTTCAGCGCTAAATGGATCTATGTCACATCAGTCGTGCTGTTTGAAGCTGGCAGTGCTGTTTGCGGCGCAGCTCCCAACATGAATGCCTTTATTATCGGCCGTGCTATTGCTGGTCTTGGAGTATGTCCCAAGTACTTATTAATGTCAGGTGTTAGTATGGTTGCTAACTTGTCCAGGGAGCTGGAATGTATCTTGGCTGTCTAACCTTATTGTCAATCACCACTTCCGTTCGCCAGCGACCAACCTACATGGCTCTTACGGGAATCAGTAAGTCAATATCCTGGATGCTCAACAAGCGCATTATTAACAGTCTCATAGCATGGGGAAGTGGTACAGTTCTAGGTCCTGTGTAAGACAACCGATCCATACTGTACTTCCCATTACATATGGACATCATGCTAACTGGACCCTTGACAGAGTCGGCGGTGCATTTGCCCAAAACGTCCACACAACATGGCGATGGGCATTTTACATCAACCTATGCATTGGAGCTGTCTTTGCTCCCGTGTATATCTTCTTTTTGCCCCGTGCTGATCCTCAGGAATGCATTTCGCTGAACCATAAACTTCAGCAGATTGATTATCTCGGCGCTGTCCTCAATGCTGGCGCCTTGGCAGCCCTGGTAATGGCGATCAGTTTCGGAGGCAACCTTTTTGACTGGGAAGCAGGCCGGGAGATTGCGCTGTGGGTTGTGGGTGGTGTTCTGCTCCTCTTGTTCGGCCTGCAGCAGGCATTTAAGATTGGCACGACTAGGGAAGAACGGATTTTCCCTGCGGATTTACTCCGAATGCCTATCATGTGGCTTTTGTTCGCTCTTATGTGTGCTGCATCAACCTGTGTCTTCGTGAGTACTTGTTAAATATCTATGGATGGCTGCGGGAGAATCCAGAGCTAACAGCTACGTTTGTAGATCCCCACCTATTACATCCCGATCTACTGTCAATTTGTCAAAGGAGATTCGCCTCTCACTGCTGCCGTGAGACTTCTCCCTTTTATTGTTCTCATGGTCTTCTCGGGGCTTTCAAATGGTGCCTTGATGTCGAATCTTGGATACTACATGCCATGGTATCTGGCAGGTGGCATTCTTGCTAGTATTGGAGGTGGCCTCATGAGTACGTTCTGTTCCAAAGTCAAAACATATCATATAAGCCAACCAAGGACTGACATAGATAGGCACGATCGACGAGACCAGCCCTATTTCCTATGTTTACGGTTATTCTGCTCTTATCGGCATCGGTGCGGGAATGTTCATTCAGACAGGATTCTCTGTAGCGCAGGCTAAGGTCTCACCCACCCATGCCGCTGATGCTACCTCCTTTATTGCCTTTGCTCAAAACATCGGCATCGTGATCGCGCTCGCTATTTCAGGATCATTGTTCCAGAATCAAGCCCTGGATAGCCTCCAAGATTTATTGCCGGGGATTCCGCGTGAAACCCTACGAGGTGCAATCTCTGGATCCAACAGCGAACTGATCAAGAAGATCCCAGCTGAGGCTCAAGCTGAAGTCCTTCATGCCATTGTGCATGCTATGTCTCACACTTATTATCTGGTGATCGCCGCGGCTGTGATGACCGCGCTTGGCTCTCTCTTTTTCAAGGTAAGATGCAAATCTCAACCAGTTAATATCAGCTAACGCTGACACAATCACAGCGAGAGAGAATCTTTGTCCAAGCTACCACTATGGGCTAAGCCATCCATCCACAGATCAACGTTGTCATGAAAGGTGAAGCATGACGAAAGAAACTAGGTCAAGGTTATCGCTATCGAGGGAAACAAAGCTTAAAACATATCTTGTAGTATCGTCTGAATATCGGCTTAGAATCAGTGTATAATTTATCCACCTCTACCTTTTTCAAAACCGACTCTCGACCTAGAACCCAGTTATAAGCGCATGCGATAACGAAAACCCATACCAGACGGTCGCAACTAGCGCAATAGCATTGAGATGAATAGTCATAGCATGGTTGCGCTTGAAATCCTTATTCACCCGCTGAATCTTCTCGTCCTCTTGATTTTCCTTCTCTACAGCAAAACATTGATTAGCCCAAACCCCAAAGAGCACCCCAGAAAACATACCATGTAGAGCCCGCCGAACGAACGAGACTGTTGTAGTCTTAGGCCCATAGACAAAATAATTCAATGATCCCATCGCTATCACGATAACTAGTGGTGCGGCACTCCATAGATCTGTCCCGAGGGAGACAATACTGTATGGCGGGCGCGTCGCGGCTGTGAGTGCAGCGAGTCCAATCTGACAGGTAAAGTAGACTGGGAAGATGCGCTTGTTTAGACCAAGGAACTCGCGCGCGGGGAGGTGACGATAGCAGATTTTTGTGTTGACGAAGCTCTATGCCATGTTAATACGGCGGTATTGGGGCTGTCAATGTGGGGAAATACCTGGTACAACTCTGTTCCTAGGAGGGCGCCGTACGAAAGCAGGTGGTAGGGGAGGAAATTCCCCACCGTTGTGAGGATGGCGTCCATGATTGGGAAAATTGGGGGCGAGCGTCAAGAGAGAGAGATGCTGTTAGGGAATAGGGAAAGAGGAGAGGTTGCACCGGAGATGACGGAGTTAGTGGATTGAGCGAACTACCTGAACCTTGTCGCGCCATTGGCTTATATTACGGCGTATTATGAGTATGGTGCGGGTAGATCATTGGTCAGGACTATAAGGGATATTCGATCTGATTCATTGAAGCCATGAATATTGTATGATCGACCGATGCATGCTTCGATTCAATATAGTGCTGTTGTCGTAGGATGTGAAACAAAAACCAAAGAAACAGAATCTAAATCCTTCAATCCTTATGACTGGTAGCACTGGGGAAAGGAAACCAACGTCGCACACCGGACGTCCCAGTCGATAGATTAATCAAACCGGTCTCTCCGCCACTTGAAATCTCACATGCATACTCGGAGCAAATGCACTCCGCCTGGCCCACATGGCGCTGGTCATCCAGGGTCCCTGGTGGGGGCCAATTGACCTGTGTTCTTCAAAAGGGCTCATGTACCTCTTTATGATTTCGGATCTATAAAGGGCGTACCGGGTACCACTGCACTTGTCCCTTTGGTTGGGCTCCCGGGGCATATCCAAGTATCGGCAGGTTCTGAACAGCCTGGTTTGGGATCGAGTCCAACACTGCCCCAACAGCTTGCATCTCGTTACTTTTCCGTGGAACTGACTTCCTTGACGAAAGTCTGAATCCTCCTTCCCCAAGTTCCAGTATCAGTCGGTCGTCGTCCAAGGGATGCACTGGTGCAGATAACAATCGGCACGATCGTCTTGATCATCTCGATGACAAATTCCTCGATCAAGACATATATCAGTTACACCAGCAAGCCCCTGCCCAGCCAGAAGTCAACTTCAACTCGCAATCCCCGACTACCCACGGTCTTGAACATGTACATCTTGAACGCAGTACCAGACCGGCCTAAGAACTTTCGAGATTGGAGGTCACACTGATTCCGTCACGCCAAGTGGCTCCAGAAACTGCCATGAAAACACGGTCAAGCCCTCACAGGCTTCATGTGCAACATTTCGCCCAGACCGCTGGTAAGTCCGCCAGTATCGCTCTCCAGGGCAGCGACCCAACGCCCAAAACACGGTCAGTAATCCCTGGCGCTTGCCCTACATCAAACACGCGAGCTGTGCAACGAGCCCATCGCCACTGGAGACAACAAATAAGAAGCCGGGTTGATGACCCAGGAACCCTTCTCCACCATACAGAGAGGGGAAAATGTAAGCGAAGCTGAGAAAGGCTAAGTGGCATGGACCCAGGTCATCACGCGGCTGAATGGCAAGGCCGGGTTCTTTCTTGTTTCCAGACCGACTTGATGGGCTTCGTTGCACAGGTGCGTGTCACGGTGGGATGAGTGATCGAGAACGGACACATGGAGTCGGGGTATTATTAGCAGTGATGGGGACGGAAGTCGTGAGCTTAAAGTCATGTGGAAACACTGATACATCAGAGATCGGACTTAGACAAATCAACCTTCTTCAGCTCCAACGTTCACCAAACGATTATTATGCGAATGGATCCAAAGAGAGAGTCCCCGTCAAGCGACGGATCATCAACTCCGAAGCAGGATCCGCTCGAAAGACGAAGATTGCAAAACCGTCTCTCGCAGCGAAATCACCGTAAGGATTAATCTTCTCAGTCTTGATCTTTGTGCAAAGCTCACCTTGGCAAACACCAGGTCGCAAGATTCGAGACCGCATCGCTAAACTACAAGAGCGCGTTATTGCCAACGAACTACGAGCTGCTGCAGCATTAAATGGCTGGGACCAGACATATTCCCCGCCATTCATGTCTACACACCACTCCCCTCCCTACTACCAGGAAACCGAGTCGATATTCAGTTCAAGAGACCATTCTCCAAAGAGCACGGAGCCATCCACGCCGTTCCTCCCGTCGTACAATTTCCCCGCTCCGACGAATACTGATCACCTCGGTCAATTACCAGAGTTATCGGGGGATCCATCTTATTACTACCTTGAATCGGCATCATTAAACCATGTCAACCAGGGCATCCAGATGAAAAGTGATCAGAATATGGAAAATTTCCTTGATTCATGGGGAAATTCGAGAACAGAAAGTCCAACAGGGGGTTCGGGAGCACCTAATCAGCCCAATATCTACGTTGCAACAGGTAATCTTAACCTCTTCCCTCTCCCTATATGGTCGACCAACTGACCAGATTCTATAGAAAGCTCATTACCACATATCCTTCGCACTTTAAAGACCATATCGTCCCAGTCAAAGATCATCGTTCTCATTTCTCCCGAATCTCTTCCTTCACTCCAGACCGGCCTGGGAACAAACAACACGCCAATGAACTTCTGGTCGACGAACCCATTGAGTGGTAACGAAACTGACAGCATGCCGTCCCCAATGAGTCTGACAAACACGAGCTATCAATGCCAGCCACAAAACGCCTATTCTCTCACACCAGAGGTCATACCTCGAGCCTGGACGTCTCTTGGGCCATATCCACTCTGTGCATTACACAAGACACCAAGTCTACCGGATAATAGCTTTTGTGCGTTGCATATATAATACAGGTACCATCCCAGGGAAGCGGGAGTTAGAGTCCTTTGGCCGCGTTTCGCACAAGGATCTGGGAGCGCAGGGAATCGGTAGACTAAGCTTTTTTGGTGAGATGGTAGATAACGAGATCAAGCAGCGGTGTGGTTTTGGTGATACAAGCACAGCAGGTCTTTTGACTCTAGTTCTGACTACGTGGGATCAGTGCAATATAAGCTCGGGTTTAGTGCGATTGTGCTCAGTCCTGCATCTTTTCCCTGTATATCTGGAACAGAAAAAAAATTTGAATTAAAGCTCGAAGATAGTGAGGTTTTGATTATCTTGTAACACTAGGCTAAATGATGTTGAAAGGTTAATACTCATGGAGAAGGTGGCAGACATGCTGGTGCTACCCACTCCGACAGACGGATGAAACGTCATTCACAACCCGTTCAGATATTTAGGAGTGACGAGATATCAGGAGTGACGACATATCAGGAGTGACGACATATCAGGAGTGACGACATATCAGTATACTACGGTAGGTTTGATACCGATGACTGGAACTTCCCAACTTCTCGCCTTCCCTCTGAAACCACTATCTGCGGGGAGAAACATTTGCCAATGGGACTTCGCGACCGAACAGAGCGGCAATTTAAGTAAATACTCGCACTCTTGATAAATCCGGAGAGATCCAGTATAAAATCAAGAGTAAATGAATAAACGTAGTCACAATTTGATCTTAGGCTATGATAAACAAACGAATGATGGTTCAAAGGAAGAAATATAAAGCTTAACAATAGACAGTCTCCATCCTCATCCTTCTTATATCCAATCAATCAAAATGAATGCGCCAAAGTTCCCGCTCACAATCACTAATATACCCAGTCCGGGTATGAAGCATAGCAGTATTATCACTGATCAGCAGATCCCCCTTCTCCCACTCAAACCTGAAGCAAACTCGGAAATCGTAGATAATCCGGTCAATCACCTGTACCAAACTAGGATCCTCATTCTCAACGGTAACATCGCAAGTAGAGAACTTCGTCTTAGTAGAATCCCACGGCTGATGCCAGCGAACACACGGCAACCCCGAAACAGGGTGTGTAACCGTCAGTGGCAAATTCTTCAGCTTGGCATCCCAGAAACCGTCGTTATCCATCGCCCAAGTCACTTTCTGGAGACGCTCGGCGGTCCAGGGGAGGGGTAGATATCGGAATAGCAGTCTAGAAGCGGCGAAGAGTGTGTAACCGCTTCCTTTCGGTGCTGTTGCCGGGCATGTGAAGAATTGGTAACCGGGTGGACGTTGGACTTTCTTGACCTCGCCCGTTTCTGGATCGGAGACTTCCTCAAATTTGAACATGCCGTCGAAATGCATTGGCATGGCTTCGTTAGAGGTAACGTTGTTGCCAAGTTTATCGGACCGCCCAGCATCGCGGACTTTTTGGATAATGCCGAAACTCCAGGGCAAGATCTTGCCGAGCTCATGCCCTGCTTTTACGTATAGATCTTCGACCAAAGTTTCGGCAAATCCGCGTAGGATGACGGGGGACATGCCGTTGGATAGTTTGCGGACTTTGTGCATGGGGATTGCGCTGATGGAGGGTGGTGGGTTTACATTGTCGATGTCCGTGGGACTGATGATAAGTCCGCAGGGGTATTGATGCTCGAATTTGACAGATAGACCATCAGAAGGCCAGTCAAAGAGGTCTGAGCGTTCGCGGAAGAAATATGGTTGACCGTTTTTGTATACAAGATCGTGTGTTTCACGGACATCTTCTGCGTGGACGGTTCGGTATGAGCCGTCAAGTGCGACCGCGACGGAAGCGTGCCACGGGGTAAAGCCTAATGCTCCACGTTTCTGCGGGATTAGAGAGACTGAGAGTTTCTTTTCGCCGGCGGACTCGTGGATGGATAGACGGACGTAATCCTTGCGATTGGCGCGGATGGCAGCTGCGAACATCTTTCCGCGGATGATCATTTGGCGCGCTGTCTGTGCGATTTGACCTTGTCTGGCACGCTTGGACATGCCAGCTGGATACTCCTGATGAGCCAGATCTTTGGTCAGGAACTTGATGTACCCGCGATATGTCAAACAGGTGTCGTTGTCAGTCTTGATGGCTTCATCGGCATCGAAGGTTGGATCCCCAAAGGCAAACATGAGTTCGCGACGAAGGCAGCGTGCATGAGCCAGGTAATATGACTTAGCGACTTCCGGGCTACTCGCTTTGAACCAGGGGTGTTCAAGCAGCTCGAAAAGACGGATGAATTTCACGCGAGTCAGGCCTTTCTCTACGGCTATCTGTCGCAGGGCTTCTCCGTAGTCCCACACAACCTCATCAGGGACTCCAAGGATATCTGAACAGGTTAGTAGTGTAAACCAAATAAAAAAAGCAGCCTGTGCTCCTCACCATTGTAGACCAAACCATCTGAACTGATGTATACCTCGGCACCAGGTTTGTATACCTGCGCGACGTTCTCGCAAAGTCCATTCAAATGAGCCAAAGCCAACTCCTCTCCAAAGTCAGGCAAGATCCCCAAAACCTTATCGCGTGCATTTGGCGATTTGAATGGGAAAGCGGGCAAGATCATCCGGATCGGCTCTTGTTTTTCCACTTGGGCCATAACAGTGGGGACGAAGGACTCGAGTCCCTTCCACGAGGCACCATTCTTCTCATAGTCAACACCATAACTTTCAATCACTTTGAGAATATCAACAGCCATTTTGCGCTCATTTGAGAAGATTTCGATAATCGCGGGTCTTTCGAGGCTATCAATACTGTTTGTCGGGTGTTGTGTCGAGGTATTTCCGTTTGCGGTAACCATAGGGGGATCGACACTGTCAAGATCGGAAGACGCCAGGTCCGTTGCGTCGATCATGATCGGGCTCTTCTCCACCAGATCGATCTCCGATCGAACAATCCCATTCATCTTCTCCGGATAGAGAGCCGAGGGCGTATCCGCAATAGGGACTAGAGCAACCATTCTTCAGGTCACACCAACTTTGGATTGCAATAACAGCCGAGGAAAGAGCAACCGGAGAGACAAAGTCTTCGCTTTCTGTCCTTGGATTGATCCGGGGACTTGACCTGCCAGATCCATCCTATATACCCCCCTCCGGCTTGAATCGGCGAGATTTCGGCACCCAGTGCTCTCCCAGATGACTGTATCATTCTTTGCGGACTCAGATTTCGGGCATGAACCTAGAGGACATGAGTAGATGATTGCTCTGTACAACTTGGAGTGGAGACGCAGAGATGAGTCTTGAAACGACGGAATACCTGGTGGCTGAGTTCCAGACTGCGTAGGAAGATGGGGAGGGGATCTGATCGATGTGTCAGCAGGTTTGATATAAGGGTCCAGTCACGGAGAGTAAAAAGGTCTCACCCTGTGGACAACGTTGTAAATGTGCCGTGCCATGACTATGTCTGCATTCACGTGTTACCGATGATCTAACCTTGGAACATGTCAGAAACGTCAAGGAAGCTTTCCGGGTCGGCTCGTAGCAGAAACTCTGGATTCACTTCCACCCATGAGGATACTGCGTAGAGTGTAACATCAAGTTTCCCTGAATATTCATGTTGTCTACAGTCTGACCCCTGGAGCCTCTGCTTTGAGGGATCAAGGAGACACAAACCCAGGGGCAAGGCAGATAAAGATTACTCAGTAGCGTGCTCCGCATGACACAGATCTAGATTGGATGGTGGAAGACGGAGCGGTGTAGTAAAAGGCACATATTGAGAGCTGTTTTCTTGACTTACCCCGTTGCGCTACTGCAGACAAACTCAATCCCAGGGTAACAGTACTCAATTGGAAGGTTGCCCAAGCTAAAGTATGCGCTATCAAAGATGACCTCAGTCCTGAAGCTCAGTCCAATCATACTCCATCAACCGAGACACGAATGCAGCCATATCGGCACCCGCCAGCTCACGCACAAGATGGAACGTGGCATCGATCCCCGAGCTCACACCGCCAGCTGTAATCAGAGACACGGCATTTCCAGGCAGATAACCCCCGTCGACGTAGCGTTTATGCACAACAGTAGTCGGAGGATCCTCTTTATCATTGAACCGGGCACATATTTCCCGAAGCACGTCAACCGCACGGTGATGAGTGGTGACGGTCATACCAGGGAGAATTCCTGCCGCACCAAGGAAGAACGCACCAGTACACACCGACATCAGAATCCGCGGTCTCTGAGATGACGGCAGGGGCAGAGTGGCGAATCTGCGGATTACATCCACTTCTGCGGAACCTTCGAGGAGAGGCTGAACGATGGATGGTGGGCCGCCGGGGACTATCAGCATATCGTATTCTGCTAGATCTTTGACCGCGTCTTCGAGGAGGCGATCGACTTTGACTGTCAGACAGCAACATGAACGAATGGTGGGTGTTTGAGCTATAGTTTCGATTTTGAACATTTGATCCGGATCATCCGGGTTCTGATTATGCAGGACGTGAGATAGCACCTCCATGGGTCCTGCGAAATCGAGGAGATCAGCTCCTTCAAAAAGAAGGACCGCTGTTTTGGCGTAATATTTCTCGGGCGTGGAAGACATGCTTGCAGCTAAACTGTTGCTTCGGTGGGATAGAGGCAAGTCAAGGTTGTTGGTGGCGCTGGGATTGCGATTCGACTCGAGAAAAGATAAACCCAAGAATGGGAAATATACTGCTTGAAGTGGCTGGATTTGGGCTTATGCCAAACTGGCGGTATGAGGGATGGTTTGGTTTCACGGTGGGTATCGAGCCCCGCTGACTCCAGTGAATAATAGCTGAACGCTGTATCACACTGGTGCGTCAGTATGCGCCGATTTGAGCATCTTAGTGAGGTTGACAGGGTCAACTTTTGGTAGATGGATCCAGCGGTGTGTAAGTTGGGACAGTTGGTGCAGGGGTCCCCGTTCTCTCAGCATATCGACCATGACAGAAAATTAATAATTCAAATACACAGAAGCCGAAAACGTCACTGCTTGTCGAGATTGCACTCATACGAGTGGTGTTCTCACTTAGGGCTTTTGTGCAGATTCGGGATGTGGACTCCCCGCTTCATTCTCGGGATAGTGGGGGATGCAGCTATGCGCTCGCCATTAAATTGCGAATGCGCCCGTAGAAGTAGCTTTTTGAAATTGAACTCCCTCTGCATTTTTTCACGATGACGTCCCCCGAATACAGCGGTCACTTCTCCATTGCCAACATCCCGTTCGGAGTAGCATCGTCTAATAATCATCGCGAGCCGCAATGCGTCACACGACTAGAGAATAAAGTCATTTTCCTAGGCGCGCTACAGCGCTCTGGTATATTCGCTGAAGTTTCTAGCTTGCCGGAAGGAGTGTTTGACAAGGCAACCCTTAATGAATACGCAGCCCTGCCTAAATCAATTCATCGCGAGGTGCGAAAAGTTCTTCAAGATGTATTGACGGCACCATTGCCGGACAACAGCACGGAAGATATTAGCGCCGTTACGATGCATTTGCCTGTCTCTGTCGGTGGATTCACAGGTAGGTTCGTCATTTTATACTTTTGTGGACATCTAGATCTGATCCGCAGTAGATTTCTCATGCAGTCTTCATCATGTCCGCAATGCGGGCCGAGCGATTCTTAATGATGAATCCCCCCCACCGGGCTTTTTCAATTTCCCAATCGGATATAACGGTCGTGCTAGTACGATTGTTGTCTCCGGGACGCCGGTCGTCAGACCTAACGGCCATTTCTTTGATAAGACAGCTGCGGCTGAAAAAAAGCCCATCATTTACGGTCCGTCAAGGGCGATGGACTGGGAGTTGGAAATTGGTGTCGTTGTCGGACAAGGAGTCCCGCATTTGCAAGGATTGAATGCGAAAGACGCTGATGAGAACATCTTCGGATTTGTCATATTGAATGACTGGAGTGGTAAGTGTTTCCGCGTGATACAGTCACAGACAATTGTTGACGAGTGCTTTCTAGCTCGGGATATCCAAGGCTGCGAAATGATTCCTCTCGGCCCACTAAACGGCAAGGCCTTTGGAACAAGCATTTCGCCTTGGGTGGTTACCTTGGATGCCCTGTCTCCCTTCAAAATGGCAGGACCCAAACCAGAAGTGGCATTGGCACGCCACCTCGAAGACGTAGCCGAATCCGCGTATGCGATTGATATGAAGGTGGAACTGCTTGTCGGGGACCAGGCGACCACCGTGAGCGAATCAAAAGTACAGGACTTGTACTGGAGCGGACGACAGATGTGTGCCCACCTTGCAAGTGTTGGGGCCGATCTTCAGACTGGAGATATCCTGGGTACTGGTACAGTCAGCGGGCCGGATGAAGGGAGCTTGGGATGTCTGCTGGAAATCACCAAGGCTGGCAAGGAGCCGGTGACCTTGAGCGATGGGGCCAAGAGACACTTTTTGCAGGACTGGGATGTTGTTCGTATGACAGCAGTGGCCGGCGGATCAACTTCCGGGGTTGGATTTGGAGAATGTGTGGGCCAGCTGCGACCAGCAAGGGCGCTGTAAAACATATCTCAGGTGCATTTAGAATTGATCTGATTACGTACCGAGCATGGGCATTGCCGTGTAAATAAGCTTCTCAAGCCCTTAGGGATAAAGCAATTAGTGAATTATTAGGAAAGCTATAGGCAGTGTGAAGTCCATGAAATAGATTCAACGAAACGTAAGACCGGAGAAGTTCCCCTTGAAATGAACAGAAACCTGCTAAAACACCATATTTCGCTTATGAATCAAACCAAAACCAACGCCCGAAAGATGCTCTGCCAATACGCCGAATAGTCATGATGGATAATAGATCTTCGTAGTTCCATCAATTATCCCTTATCCCCATAGCGGCGGGTGAATGTACTCTTGGGCACGGTCAAGGATGTTAGGTATGGTCCATTCACCACTTCCTGAACTTTCCGGTGTCGGTGGTGGGAGAGAGCCGACACTCGGGGTCATACTAGCCGAACCAGGGGCAACAAAGACACTCAAATTGGCGGCAGTAGTCGCGCTGGGGTTATGCTGAGATGGAAACGCAGGGCTGCGTCCATTCAGAGGGCGTGCAGTCTGGTTGCCAAAGGCCGCAAGTAGCTTTTGCAAGGCGCGGTGGGTTTTAGCCAGAGACTTGGCCCATTGTGTCTGGGTTTCAGGGGCACCGACGGGGGACGTAGGATCGATGGCGGGTGCAACATAACCCGGCGGATTAGTCGCACCAGTGATTGGATCGTATGTGTTCATAGCCTGTGGCGGTGAAGTCATGCTGGAATCGGCGCCATCGAAAGCCCTCTCATTACTAGCTCGCTGCGCAATGATACCCTCCAGCTGTCGCAGAAGATTCCAGACCTTCGGATCGGATTTGGCCTCTTCAACAACAGCGAGCAAAAACGCGGAACTAATCGCCCGTTGTAATGCAATCCATGATCGGCCGGCATGCGAGCTAATATTGTGCAGTTCAATATAAGCCTCCACGGTAATCATCAGGTTAGCCACGCAGTCAGCGCGCATGCTCGCAGTGCTAGCGTCGGAGGAATTGACCATTGGCTTCAGCGACGGTCGGCAAAGCTCGGACGAAAAGTATGAAGAATGCAGTTTCAGCACAACCCGCTCCAGATGTTCAGTTGGAGTGGAACACCATTTCGCATCGCGTAGATAAAATTTCGCCTCATCCATTATATTCTGGATTCGTTCCTTGTAACCTTGGATGCTCTCGAAACTGATGTGTGCATGAGGGCTAAGCATTCGAATGCGGACGACTTCCAGTGCCAGGGAAATGACGCGACAGAGAGTTTCGAAGTACGAGAGATCGCCTGCTTTAGAGCCCTCTCGGTATGCAATGTCAGGCTGGCTGACTGCTGTAGTAGAAGGGCGATCGTAGGAGAGAGAGAAATGACTGTCCTGCCACGCCATTGACCACCTGTAGACGTTAGTACAGAAAGCTTTGAATTACCCTGAAGTCCAAGCACTTACCAAACATGCCGCCTGCGATATCGTTCAGCTTGTGAAAACCTGCTTGACTCAACATGCAGACCAAGCGCCAACCCCATCCGAAGCGTCATGCCCAGCAGAACATATGAAATACCAGGATTCATATTGTAAGATAAGACATTACCAATTACAAGGAGGGTCTGGATGGCTTCAATTGTTGGCTGGGACAGGAAGTTGGTCATACGAAGGCATTGGTAGGAGCAGCAGACTAGACCATGAGTCAGTTTGGGAAAATTTTGCCCAAATAAGGTAGTATGACATACCATAGACCTGCGAGGTCAATTCCCGTTCTTTGCTACCAAGGTCGGATGATTGGGTCCCAGATGCCAGAACAGAGAACAGCAGGCCCAGGTAAGCAATGCTCACCCCAAATGGGTTTTGCGCCTCATCGGCATCCTCTCGATATACTCCTCCGGAAGCAATTCTGTTTTGCAAGAGAAGCTCCAGATTATTTTCGAAGTCACGGATATCTTCAATGACAGGATAAATCGCCCCTGCGATTTCCTTGTAACAATAGAAAAATCTATTCTCAGGGTTAGGAAGCATAGCGCAAGGTTCCAAGGAGCAAGACTCACTCTCTGCACTGTTGATCTGTGGGAAGCGCACTACAAACTGCGCTAATGTCAAAGGTTGACATATCCGAAGACCACAAGTCGACAAATGGATAAGTTGCAGACTCGTTATCAAGTCCCAACTTCGGCAATATCCCTCCCTCTAACAGGGTCTGGAGTTGATCCGATCCAGTCTTGTTATTGAGAATATACGCTAGGACTGAGCGCGAACCCAGGTGAACGGTGCCTTGGCCGAGCGTGTTGGCAGCATGGATGCCCTCACGCTCTGGCGAAGCGCCCTTGGAACGGGAACCTGCATCTCCACTCTGCACACTCCCGGATTCTACAGTCACGGCGGGCTCTTCTTCAGCCCGCTCGAGCCCCATGCGCAAAGTCGATATGGTTGACTCCATCTCACGCAGTCGGTTGCGCACATTCTCCCATTCATCTCGGGCAATCGACACACGTCCACTTGCAATGGTGGCCCCATTCCGCTGGCTATGAATAGTCTCAGACTTTATATTCGATGGATGATCGTCATAGCTGTAGAAGGCAGGCTGATCCATTGTGGAAGATGCCGATGCGCCCCCCACGGGACTCTCAAGGAAAGCTTGGGAGCGTTTCTTGGAGGGGCGTTCGTAAGAACAGAGATCTGCATGATCGCGCTTGACACAGCCATCACATGGCAAATTCCGGTCACATTTAACCTTGCGCGCATGGCATGGGTAGCAAGCTTTCGGCTCGCGCGCTTTGCGCTTCGTTCGAATGATGGCGTCCACTTGAGACTGTGGCAAGTCCGAAACAGATCTGTTGGGCCCACTAGCCATATCGGATGGTGAGTTTGACGTGAATGGAGGATACGGAGATGTCATGGCGTGTTTTGTATGTTCTTGGGGGTCGATCAATTTTCTGGAGTTTATCGGGCGTCGGCTACGTATGCGCGTCAATGCGACTGATCCACCTGAAAAATCAGACACAACTCGGGAAGCGAAAGTCTAAACAGGCAGCCGTTTGTTATTTGTCGATCAGTAGTTTTGCATACTGTAGCCCATCATTCTGGCTGCAGTCAAACGGTGGATGCAATGTCGAAATTGAAATGGTTGAGAGAGCATCATCGGCGGTGCTTATCTGCCGGTGCACGTGATGTGGGGCACCCATATGCGGAAGGTTGCTCTACATTACAAGACATTGAGGTTGGAATTTAGTAATCATGAAGGTAGTAAAATATTCATATTAAAATTCATATTAGCTCTGTAATGAGTAGCTAGGTTTTTTTCTAGAATAATTATGCCCGGGAGTTGTTCTATCGTATAATCATGTCCCATGCTCACATTTGCAACACAGAAAACAAAAAAACCCATTGTGTAACGCAGTTTGCGAAAAGGGAATCATGAAAAACCAAAAATTAGATAAAAGGATCCAAGTACCCATCCTGTGCATGGAACGATCTTTCAAGCGGCTTGATGTGGGTTCAAGCCTTGATAGCCTTCTCCTCGTCGTCACTGAAGGCATACTTGGAGAATTTGCGAATAGACTCGCCCTTGAAATAGAAGACGTAGGGGATAGCACAGCAAGCGAGAGCAATGAATGCCAGAAGAGAGCTTGCCCATTGGTACCCTAAACGGTCATACATCTGCTCGGTGAACAGGACGGTGGAGGCGCCCCACATTGATCGAAGGAAGGTCTTGGCTGCCAAAGCCGATGCGGCTTGGTGCTGGTAAGTATCAACTAGGCAAGTCAGCATATGGAGAACTCAACTAAATAAAAACGCAAACATACCGAGATAGTTGTTCGCCGAGTTGTACAAGAAAATGAAACCGAAACCGACCGGCCATCCTGCAATACAGGGCCCAAACCAATGGACGGTAGGATATGAAGTCCAGGCAAAGATAAACAGGCCAATGGGAATAAGCCAGCAGGACCACATCATTGGGATCAGACGCTTCTCCGCTGGGGGCTTGCCATCCCATTGCTCTGAGATCTTGAGGTAGTGCTTATTGACGAATGGTGCACATGCGGCACTCATAACAACACCAATTGCTAGTGGGATGAACATCAAACCCGTCATCGAGGCGCTCCAGCCCTTGCCAGCCTGGTAGACAATGGGGTACGCGACGAAGAACATGTACAGAAGACCATAAAGAACCGACATGTAGATAGCAATGAAGAAGACGATTGGCTCCAGGAAGAGTAGCTGGAAAGGGCGGAAGAGAAAGATACGCAGCTTCTGTCCAAGAGGGCGAGGATCAAGCTCAGCCTCGGTTGTATATTTTTCATCATTTTCAGCCTTGCGTTGCTTCGCAGCTCTTTTCTTGAGTAGGATTGGTGCGTATGTCTCGGGGACGGTGAAGGTAATCAGAATCCAGGCGACAAAGGACAAGATGAGCTGCAGCCAGTAAAGCCATCTCCAACCACAGTTGTCAGCGAGAAATCCACCGGCAAGAGGACCGATAGCAGGTCCGATGAAAGGTGCAGCACTGAAGGCTGCCATTGGGACACCTCGCTCTTCGCTTTTCCACATATCAGCCAGAGTACCACCGACCAAAGTCATGGGTGCACTGAAAGCAATGCCGTCGATCAAACGGCAGACGATCAAGGTTCCAATATTTTTAGAAACAGCGCACGGAATAACAAATATCACAGCCATCAGTAAGGTAATGGCATAGACTGGACGCCGTCCAACCATTTCAGACATTGGAGCAAAAACCATGGGGCCTGGAATCGAGTCAGACAGGATGAAATGGCATGCAAGGGAAATCGGAATAGCTTACCAACTCCAAATCCAATAACAAAGACTGTAACAACCACAAAGCTGACCTCGCGAGACACTCCAAAGGCCTCCATGGGTCCTGTCAAGTCGGCCGTGATGACACTGCTAGCGAATGCAACGACAAAGCAAGTGAAAGCAACGACCATGGTGCAGTACCATTTGTACGCCTTCGACCAGTTCTTGGGGTTTTCGGGGTCGTCAATAGTAAAAGTGACCAACTTCCAGTCCTCGATTCGTCCTGTAACATTGGACTTGACAGGCTTGATTATTTCGCCGGTGCGCGTCTCAGTTATGTATTCTCGTAGATCGGCGTCATCGCTGAGTACTCGGACCGGGAGGTCAATATAATCTACTCGCTCGCTGGGGGATTCCGTAGAGGCAGTCCGACTAGTGAGGTCTGTGTAGTTTTGCCCTGCTCGAGAAGTATCCATATTTGATTGTGGTATGTCGAGCCGGTGAGGAAAGTCGAACTATTAGCGTGTGTGTGATTTTGGAGTTTCCTGGTTCAGGCAAATGAGTCCGAGGGGACCTGACGCGGTCTTTATACCCCATTACCACGGGGCCAGCATCCAGATCCCCAAAAAATTCTGACCAGTCGTGACGTTATGCGGCAAGGTTAGCTTCCGTGGGGCGTTATACTACAAAATGGATATGATATCGGGACGGCAGACCCACTTTGATTAAGTTTCCTGATGTGGAAATATGGCGCTAGCCCTATACGGCAAGATGCCGCGAGGAATTCACGATGGTCAGGTCCTTTGATTTTGCAAGAGCTCACTGTATGTATTAGAAAACAGACAAAGGTTTGCTTGAGGTCCACAAGCGTTGATATACATGATCTGCGCCCTGTTATGTTTGAAACAAACACAAGGTTCAATCGATGCACTTTTTGAATTATCAAGGTTGACCTAGTTAGTATAGCCATCTAAAACATAATGCTCCATTAGCCCTAGAAGGAGGGTCCGAGTCATTACCTCCTTATCTCTATGGCCTGTTGTTGTGTTCGTATTCGAACTATGCATGGTCCACTCAGCATTCCGAGTTCCAGCTTGGCGCTATGTATTGCGGGTCTATCTACGCCTATTAGAGAACTATATGGCAAGTTCAATAGAATGAAATTGTTCTTCGATTCTACTAAAGACCACGCATGAGTGCGTGAGTATCATACAGTATATGTGGAGTCAATGAATGTTCCAATATACACCAAGTAACCTCAGGTAGTTTTCCAAATAAGGCAATCAGACTCGCAGGGTCTTTGTCAATGGCCTCATAAACCAGACAGAGAACCTCTAATTAGAGTTGAAAGAGAAAGAAAGAAATCTTGATAGTAAAAGGGAGAAAAAGTCGCAATCAATACTTGGCGCTGTTGGCTTGACGGAGCGTCTTACCATTTAAGGCAGAAATCTCCGCTCCGGATTGGGGAATTCCTGGCGTTCGTCTGTCTGGCCGTACCTTAAGGTCCATGGATCACGCGCCACTCGGGATTTGGATTCTAGATCGCTCTGTTATAGAATGAATTTCATTGTAATTTCGCATTGGACGAATGAAAACATCGTTAAATCAAAGCTTTGGAGCCCATGGCAATGTATGGATGTAAAGCCATCATGCCAATATATGATATAGTAAAAATCGATCTCTCCAGCCTTTCCAGCTCGTAGGTTCGTGTTGAAGATTGATAATGGCAGTAGCGCAAGTCCCCTCCCGAAGAACGCGTATATCCACCATTGTGGAGATCAAGCCCACTCAGAGAGTCAATATTCAGTGTGGGTGAGGAGAATCTTGAATAGTTAAATACACTTTCTCGTATTTGCAGTTTTCAGTTTGACGCTCAGGTAAAGTAAATGTGAGTAAATCTGGAAGTCGCATTGAAGGTATGACCGATGTTGGTATGATTGTATTCATCATAATGGTCACTGATCTTCCTAGGAGTATTCGGCTCCTCCTTCCAAGGAGGTGCATGTGCGTATGAGGCAGGTAAGTGACCTCAGAGGTTATAAATCAACAGCCATCTCCGGTGGTACACGAACGCCTTCAGTATACTCTCTATACCTCAATATATCGTTGTCGTAACAGTAGCGGCTATTCAGAGGCCGTGGTGGTACTTTGTGCTTTGACTCAAAAGTTGTGTTCCAGGTAGATGGCGATCATCCCTAGTCTCTGGGACTTGATAACTTCCCATCCCTTGATCACCAGGTGTCTCTTCAATACTTTCCAAACCGTACTCAGAGTTTACCGACGATTTAGGAGGCTGGTATGGAAATTGAGATTCAGAATACATGGGTATCGACGGATATCCCTTGGTGGATGTATTCTTTGAGGTATCCGTCGCTTTTGTCGCTTTTTCCACCAACCTATTCAGCATCAGCCACCCACCCGATGATTGCAAACTACGGCGAATGGACAAACCAGAAAATTCGATTTCCATATACTCAAGTATTGAGAAGGTTTTGATTCACCGATAATTTCTTTTGTCTAATGCGAAATAATAGTCTATGACAGAGAGATCTAGAACCCAAATCCCGAGTGGCGAGTTATCCATGGACCATAAGGTACTGCCAGACGGACGAATGCCAGGATTTCCCCGATTAATTGTGCAAAGCGCTCTAGAAAAGATTTCTGGATATCGAAACCAAGCACTCAATAAAGTAGAATACCCAAGACCATAGCAAGAGTAGTCCAGCCGGTAACTGGTTGCACGTATCTTAGGTAGCGGCCCATTTCCATTAATATTGTATGCTTCTGAACTCTTCATATTGATATATATCCTACCCGTAGTGTCTTATCTTTAGATATAATACTGTATCTTCCTCAAATAAGATTATCAATTACCGGCAACAGGCTCAGCTCTCTAGAGCTGCAATCCAAAATCTGCTTCAAAATGAGTCTGATGATTCTTTTACAGCAACATTAGGGGAAACTAGCTATGATGCCATGGATATCGCCCAGGTTTTACTGGGATAAATCGGCTCCACAGATCAACGAAACCAATTCGTTCAGGAACTCTTGGTCCTCAAAGAGCCCGCTGGCTGTATCAACAGAACCCGCTTATTTGACTCGCCCGGGTTGGTGGATCCATATTACATAGGCTTCCTACTGGAAGACACATAATTGGCCTCAGACTTACTGGATTCGATATGGAGTCCACTTGTGTGATAGGATAGAAATTATACTGGAGGATATTGGGAACATGTCGTGCAGTCGACCTTTCCGTGCACAATTATATCATTTCAGCAATATCCACTGAAATTGCCAGAGCCCTGATGCACACACGTTATGGACTTGACTTACTTACAGGACAAAGCCACTTCAGGGGTAGCTATCTGACTGTCTTCCTTGGTGAATACGCCCTTGGGCATGCGGCCTATCTCCGCTGCTTAGAGAGACTTCCGCTTTCTTATTATTTTTTTATTCAAGATGAGATGGGTGCATGGACGTTTTCCCATCCCTTCAGATGTTATCTATGCTGCATGAGGATGCAATTCTCATGGAGATATTGTTCTGCGGATCCGAGCTTCCACAGGCATTAGTGTATTAACGTTCTCTATTCTCAGGTAGCTACTCAGTAAACAAGGAATCCAGGCTTACTAGAAAGATCGTTCTTAACGGTGGTTCTGAAACCTTGACCATTGTACGAGATCAAGATTCAGCTTTTAGATTTCAAATCAGATGATACAACTTCTTTTCTTTATCTCAGGGAAAAACACACGGCACCCATATTAATTCCTGGGATATGCACTGTCCATTTGATAGTTTCAAAAACTTTGAGCAATAGCTTAGGGAGACCTAGGCACTCGCATGCAAGCCCAAATTTACGAGGGCATGGGAACAATCATGATTAGCCCAGGCTAGCGGCGGGACTCCCGGAGTCCCGGTAGTTCATCAGCCCGCTTCAAGTACCCAACAACCAAAAAAAGAAAAATTGAGCTGAATAGGCCAAGCACTGCGAAGAGTCCACTGTGTAAACGTAAAGCAGTATTTGACCAAATTTTCTCATTTTCTAAAGGACAACCTTTACGGAGTAATTGAGTTCGAAAAAATCGTATACTAATCAGCACGTGATATACCGATAAGCGCCGTAATCGGATTAGGGCGGGGCCACTCACTTTTTGCAAAAAAGTTTAGAGTCATCGCGGGGTTTTTTCTTTACTCAAGCTAAAACTTGAGAGGCCAATCCTCCTTTATCCCGAGGGAGGGTATTTTCTGATTCAACTTTGAATCGGGGTAAACTTCACCATGACTTCCACCGATTCCTATATCGCCATCCCGGGCTCGGTGGCGTATTCCCGCTCTCGCGGTCATGCCATTGCTGCGAGCTTGGGTGTCAAGGATGTCCGAGCCCAGTGGGTTCACTATGTGCACACCTCGCAGCCCCTCAATGAATCGCAGCGTGCTGTTCTCGAGCAATTGCTGAAATACGGCGACATCACCGATATTCCCCCCACCTTCAACTCCGCCGATGGTCAGTTCGAGACCTTCTACATTTTCCCCCGAACCGGAACTATCTCGCCATGGAGTTCTCAAGCCACCGGTATTGCCCATGTATGTGGCTTGCGTCAATCCGTCGTGCGTATCGAGCGAGGTCTGAAAATCTCCTGCCTTCGCGAGGGAGCTCAAGATTACAAAGAGGGTTACAAGGATCTTCTGCACGACCGCATGACTCAGATCATCAGCGATGAGGAGCCTGACCTGCAATTGATGTTCTCGGAGCACGCTACTCAGCCTCTGAAGACCATCTCCTTGCAGGGCGGTGATAAGTCTCCCAAGCAGATTCTCCAGGAGGCCAACAAGGAATTGGGCCTTGCGCTGGATGACTCTGAGATTGAGTACTTGGCTGAGGCTTATGGCCCGAACGGTGCTATCGCTCGCGATCCTACCGATGTTGAGCTGTTCATGTTCGCCCAGGTTAACTCAGAGCACTGTCGCCACAAGCAATTCAACGCCTCGTGGGTCATTGATGGCGAGCAGATGCCCAACAGCCTCTTTGGCATGATCCGCAACACCCACAAGAAACACCCCGAACACACCGTCAGCGCTTACAGTGACAACTCTGCTGTGCTGGAAGGATCCGAAGCCGCCTTCTGGGCTCCTGACCCAACCACCGGAGAGTGGATGCACACCAAGGAAGTCGTTCACTTCTTGGCCAAGGTCGAAACCCACAACCACCCCACTGCTGTTTCCCCATACCCCGGTGCCGCTACCGGTGCCGGTGGAGAGATTCGTGATGAAGGTGCCACCGGTCGTGGCTCTCGCCCCAAGGCCGGTCTTTCCGGCTTCTGTGTCTCTGACCTCTTGATCCCCGGCTTCCAGCAGCCCTGGGAGATGGACGTCGGCAGGCCGAATCACATTGCAAGCAGCTTAGATATCATGCTAGAGGCTCCTATTGGTAGTGCTGCTTACAATAACGAGTTTGGTCGTCCTTGCACTGGTGGTTACTTCCGCACTCTCCTCACTGAGATTGATGTTGGAAATGGCCAGAAGGAGATCCGTGGATACCACAAGCCCATCATGATTGCTGGTGGTGTCGGTACTGTCCGTCCTCAGCACGCCTTGAAGAACCCCGATATTGTCAAGCCTGGTTCCTTCCTTGTTGTCTTGGGTGGCCCAGCCATGCTGATCGGTCTTGGAGGTGGTGCAGCCTCTAGTATCACTTCTGGCGAGGGTTCCGCAGATCTTGACTTTGCCAGTGTTCAGAGAGGAAACGCCGAGGTCCAGCGTAGAGCTCAGGAGGTCATCAACGCCTGTGTTGCAATGGGCGACCACAACCCCATCAAGTTCATTCACGATGTGGGTGCCGGTGGTTTGTCTAACGCTCTTCCCGAGTTGATTCATGATTCTGGCCTGGGAGCCAAATTCGAGCTGCGTGAGGTCGACAGCACCGACAAGAGCATGAGCCCCATGCAAATCTGGTGCTGTGAAGCTCAGGAGCGCTACGTTCTCGCTGTTGGTGAGGAAAGCATGAACAAGTTCACTGCTATTGCTCAGCGTGAACGCTGCGGTTTCTCTGTTGTTGGCCGTGGCGGCGGTGATTCTGAGGAAGAAAAGAGACTCATTCTTCTTGATCGCGATTCTAAGGAATACCCGTCTCCCATTGATCTGCCCTTGTCTGTACTATTTGGCAAGCCGCCGCGCATGACCAGGACCGTCGACTCGCGCAAGCTGACTTTGCCTGCTGTGGATTCCAGCCTCGTCAAGTACCTGCCTTCGCTCTCTACTAAGGTGGAGTTGGTCAGTGAGGCCGTCAACAGAGTTCTGTCCCTGCCTGCAGTCGGCTCCAAGTCTTTCTTGATCACCATCGGTGACCGTACTGTCGGTGGTCTTACTGCTCGTGACCAGATGGTCGGTCCATGGCAGACTCCCGTTGCCGATGTTTCGGTTACTGCCACCTCTCTGCTCCAGGGTGTGAAGACTGGTGAGGCTATGGCTATGGGTGAGAAGCCTACCCTGGCTCTGATCTCTGCGGCTGCCTCCGCCCGCATGGCCGTTGCTGAGTCCCTGATGAACATTGCTGCCGCTGATCTGGTGGATCGTCTTAGCCAAGTTAAGCTGTCCGCCAACTGGATGTCTGCTAGCAGCCACCCCGGTGAGGGCGCTGCTATCTATGAGGCCGTTGAGGCTATCGGTTTGGACCTCTGCCCCAAGCTCGGTATCAGTATTCCTGTTGGAAAAGACTCGATGTCCATGAAGATGAAGTGGAAGGACGAAGCTTCGAACGAGGCCAAGGAAGTTACAGCACCAATGTCGTGTGTCATCTCTGCCTTCGCTCCTGTGGGTGATTTCCGCAAGACCTGGACCCCCGCTCTTCGCAGCTTTGAGGAGGTTGGAGAGACTGTTCTAATGTTTGTTGACCTTGCCTTCGGTCGCAAGGCACTTGGTGGCTCGGCTCTTGCTCAGGTCTTTGGTGAAGTTGGTGCTGAATGCCCCGACATCCGCAATGTCGAGATCTTCCGTGACTACTTTGATGCTACCCAGCAGCTGCAGGAGTCTGGTATCGTTCTTGCCTACCACGACCGTTCCGATGGTGGCCTCTTGACCACTCTTGCTGAGATGATGTTCGCCGGTCGCTGCGGTGTTGAGATTATGACCGACAACTACGCCGCCTCCTTCCACACCCCGGATGTTGTCGATGCCCTCTTCAACGAGGAGCTTGGTGCCGTCTTCCAGGTTCGCAAGGAGCACGAGATTCAGTTCCGCTCTTGCTTCGCCACCTGCGGCCCCCCTGCCGGCCTGATCCACAAGATCGGTCGTGTCTCTGAGAAGAAGAAGCAGGACCTTGTCATCTACCACAAGGCTTCCCTCATCTACCGCAACACCCGCGCCAACCTGCAGCAGACCTGGGCCAAGACCTCCTACCACATGCAGAAGATCCGTGACAACGCCGAATGTGCTGAGCAGGAGTTTGAGAACATCTTGGACAACACCAACCCCGGTCTGTCCTGGAATCCCTCTTTCGATCCCAAGGACCGCGGCCTGCCCTTCATGACCAGCCTCTCCCAATACTCACCCTTCACCAACAAGCCTCGCGTTGCCATTCTGCGTGAGCAGGGTGTCAACAGTCAGGCCGAGATGGCCTTCGCCTTCCAGACAGCCGGCTTCTCTGCCGTGGACGTCCACATGACCGACATTATCTCCGGCCGTGTCTCCCTAGCCAGCTTCGCCGGTCTCGCCGCCTGCGGTGGTTTCTCATACGGTGACGTTCTGGGTGCCGGTCAAGGTTGGGCCAAGTCCGTCCTCCTGCACGAGAACACCCGCAAGGAGTTCCAGGCCTTCTTCGAGCGCCCTGACACCTTCGCTCTGGGTGTCTGCAACGGTTGTCAGTTCCTGTCTCGTGTGAAGGAGCTGATTCCCGGTACCCGCAACTGGCCCAGCTTCGAGCGTAACACCAGCGAGCAGTACGAGGGCCGTGTCTGCATGGTTCGCATCTCCGACCCTGACCCGTCGCGCCCCAGCGTCTTCTTCCACGGTATGGACGGTTCCTCGCTCCCAATTGCTGTTGCCCACGGTGAGGGACGTGCCTCGTTCGCTGGTACCCCTGGTACCTCTGCCTCCGACTTTGTCCGCGAGGGTCTTGCCCCTGTGCGCTTCGTCGACAATGCCACCCTCAAGCCTACTACCCGCTACCCATTCAACCCCAACGGTAGCCCTGAGGGTATTGCCGGTGTACGTAGCCCCGACGGCCGTGTGCTGGCCATCATGCCTCACCCTGAGCGTACTGTCATGAACGGTATTGCCAGTTACTTGCCCCAGGCCGCTGAGAACTGGGGAGATGTTGGTCCTTGGGGACGTATCTTCTTCAGTGCCAGACGCTGGGTCGGTTAGAGGGCTTATGATAGCCTAGGAAATTCTTTTCTTTCTGAATTTGCGCCATTGTGCTACATTTCTTTGTTGATATTTTGTTTTCGGTACAGGTTATATTGGAGTGGAAGGATTGTTAAAAGCATTAACGAAACAGACAAAACAGGACGCCCGAGATAAGAGGCATTGAAGATGCCGGTCTTTCACAGTAAAGATAGTAAAGATATACCAAAATTTAGCAAAATTTACTCCAATTTACTTTAGACTCATTCTACTAATCACTTAGTTACAGAATAAAGAAAAGGAAGCCTTTTAATATGAATTAGGGTTAGTTCCCTGTTTTCACTGAAGTCATGAAATGTCATAGTCATTGATCATAAGTCATCACAACCTTTTCTAGCGGCCCATGCCAACGCTGAATGCAGATTCTCTGGTATCAAGTTTCGAATTTTCTAGGCCAAACGCTTCCTCCACTCCAGCCTTTCCGCCAAAATGTTCCAGCTTGGCAGACCATCCGCACGAGCAATTCCCTTCAACCCATCCGCAACAAACCCCACCAAATGGTCGAATTGAAGCTTGAGATTCTGCATTTGGAGTTCATACGGCGATTCTCTGAACGAGATCGTCATAGTCTGTTCATGGTCAAGACCATCGTCCTCATCCTCGTCTGAATCGCTATCAAAGGAATTATCGATCCCGTTGCGCCGCGATTTACTCGGGATGAAACGAGAGTCTGACATCCCATCTTCCGAGGCAGCGATCGCATGCGCGTGTACAGCTTGCAAATCTGCAAAGTGGATGCACAAATCCAGAAGGGTGATTATGAGCTCATGGATTGGAGCAAGGTTCTCTGAAAGGAGACACTGGCTTTCGAGAGAGGACATATAGGACTGGTGAGCAGCGATCATGGCGTCCACATCCTCGGTGTTGGAGAGTGTGGAGCGCAATGATTGGTTTGCAGTTGATATCACGAAATAGGTAAGGTGTGAGTAGAGGATGTCTAGGAACCAGAGGAGGTGATGGTGAAGACCATGGACGAGGGTTTGTGCGCTTTCATCGGTAGGAACACGGGCATCTCGTACGCGTTGTCTGACGAGGGCGTATTTTGCACGTCGGATTTGCATAAGGAATCTGGCGATGCTTTGATATGACTGGATCGCGTCTTGAGTGATAATGTTTGCTATGGGCCATGGTAAGACGTAGTCAATGGATACCGATTCAAGGATGTGGACAGATCTGTTCTGATCGTGGTGTGAGGATCCGTCAGATCGGACAATAAGCCTAGATAGATCGATCTCAGGCATGACGCTGAATGCTGTTCGTGTTACTTCGGTGAGCAAGAACTTGTCATCCCAAGCGCGACTTCGGTCCATTAATTCGAAGATCTTAGTGTCGATTGTTCCGAGTATGCTTAGATCTTTTCCAAGGTAAACATGCTCTAGAGCATCGAGGGAGCTCCATAAACCGCATTGTTCGTCAAGTTCGGCTCGTAGAATTCCAGCACTGATGGAGTGGTTGGCATCAACCAGTTTGTCAAAAGTCGACTCCACTAAAGCAGAGAACGGAAGAGATATAAGGGATGGCTCTGAGAATTTATGATGGTCAAATAGTGTTTCCGGGGTTTCAAAAGACTCTGGTCGTTCTGGAAGCGCGTTCAAATGTCGTAAGAAAACCATGCTCTTTCCCGTTGTGAAGACTCTGTTAACGGCAGGCTCTAGGAACTGAGGAATGTTTTGTCGATTGAGACCCTCATCGAGCACATGCCAGTCATGCCACAGATTTCGTAAATCTCTGTTTTCCCGGTTCACCCGCACGAAAAAAGCAGTGTCTAGAGGATCGACTTGTCCAGTCTCCATCCAAAGCTGAATGGATCGAGTATACGTCTTGAAGCACGAAAAGAAGAGCGCACTGAGCCTTTTAGTTGCATTTTCATCACCAACGGCTTCTTGCATGCATACTGAATCATAGAGCAAGTCGAGGCACCGCATTGGTTGTATGTGATCTTGTTTCAATCTGGTAATGAGATCGGCCAGAACCAATAGATGGTGAGAACGCAGGCGGACGTCATCCAATAGCTGGAGAAGGCTGACTGTCGAGCCAGGAGAAAGATATCGACATTGCGTTTGAGAAAGCAGACTGTCGAACTCGAGTAGACGTTCCTCAAGGCACCGGCTGAAGGTCTGCATATAAGGGATAGTCTGCGGGATGTGGGTGAACCGTCGTACGGCATCGATTTTAGCACCAATCTCGGTGAACGAATGCAAAAGTGAGGATAGGGCTTTTCTGGATGAATGTGCAAGAATATAACTGTGATCCATTTCGACATCATCATCCAGGCGCCAGAAGATGGAGGTTGGCAGACCCTGCAGCATGAAGATTGTTTCTCTAGCCAGCTGCAATTCAGTGATGACTCGAGACGGATTTTGGTCCCGTTGAGTGACATGGTGATAGTTTTCTGGTCTCCAAAACTGAACTTTTTCTATAGTGGCGATGAGTTCTTTGTCCTCTCCCGAAACAAAGATTTCGTCTGGAATAACATAGTCCTGTTCTGAGAAACTAGGGGTGCGAGGCGGAGCTCGAGGACGCGACTCTTCGCTGGAGAGGGAAGCTAATTCATCATCTGATGAGTCTGCAGTGAAATCCACCTGCTCCCATATGTCTTCTTCACCGAAGGCACCGCCCAGGCCCTTCTCATACAATGACAATGACTCCTCCTCCGGTACCTGGATTGGCTTGGAAAGATTGTCCAACTTTGATAATGTAGCTGGGCGATCAGATAGTTGCAGGAGTAAGCTCAGGATCTCTGGGGTCCAAGAGCTGCGATAACCCTCTAATTCCACGAGGCGTTCCCGCAGAGCCTCAGCCAATTCATCTCGATTGACGACCTGGAATTTCTCCTGCAGGCCTTCCAGCTGGCGGGCCACCGCAAATTGATCAGTGAGACTATGACCACTTGGGCGTAAAGATCCCTGAACCCGGCGCTTGAGGTTCAAGACGCGTGTGGACTCCTAAACATGACAATGAGCGCCAAGTCCCGCAAGACAACAATGGAATACTTACTTTCTGGTCAGCGGGGAATTTGACCACGGCGGCGATCAATTCATCGGTCAGGGATACCAGGGCTGCAAGACCCATGATGGACCCTGAAACCAGAATATCTAAATCAAGAGTGAGCGCTAAGTGTGGATAAAGATGGTTAAATTGGCCGCGCGGAAAGCCAACTGGATGACGCGGCGGCACCTAGACCTGAAGGAGTAAAGTGGCTCCGGAGTTCCTTAACAGTGTTTCTTCCCCCCCTTTCACATCTTATCACTCACCACCCATCATGGCGATCGCACGTCCGATTCGCATGCTAGGCGCTGCGTGCGTCCTGTTGACTCTATTTCTCATCTTCAATCTACACCAATCCTCTGATCAACCTTCTACTAAATTGACGAATGGAATGACTCGGGATCCCCTTCTAGACCGTTCGTTACTTGCCACATCCCCGTTCACATCTATCCAACAACCACAGCATCACTGACGCTTAAAAATAGCCACGGGAGAACCGGACGGATACTTATGGCGGGCCGACGAAAATGATTATTCTCCCGATAGCGCAAACTCGGCGCGCACCAATGCCGCCCTGATCACGTTGGTGCGCAATGAGGAACTTAACGACCTGCTCAAGACTATGCGCGACCTCGAGCGCACTTGGAACAGCAAGTTCAACTATCCCTATATCTTCTTCAACGATGTTCCTTTCACAGAGGAATTCAAGCAGAAGACTCAGGCTGCCACCAAAGCCGCTGTTCAATATGGTTCGCACCCTCCCCCGAATCTTTCGATTCGTCTGTTCTCCCAATTCCGAAGCTTATCTAACCGTTCGGTCTATAGAATTGGTGCCCAAGGAGCACTGGGAGGTCCCTGACTGGATCAACATGGATCTTTTCCGCGAGTCCGCCCAGATGCTGGAGGAGCAGAACATCCAGTACGCGTCGAAGATCTCCTATCACCAGATGTGTCGCTGGAACAGCGGCATGTTCTACAAGCACCCTGCCCTCGAGAAATACCGCTACTACTGGCGCATTGAGCCCAAGGTCCAATTCTTCTGCGATGTTGACTATGACGTCTTCCGATACATGGAGGATCGCAACAAGACCTATGGCTTCACCATCAACCTCTACGATGCTCCCCAGACAATCGCAACCCTCTGGCCTCAGACTAAGAAGTTTTTGGCTGCCAACCCGTCGTATCTGAGCGAAAACAACATGTGGGACTGGATCACTGATGACCAGGCTCGCCCTGAGCACAATGAGATGGCCAACGGTTACTCCACCTGTCATTTTTGGTCTAACTTTGAGATCGGTGACTTGGATTTCTTCCGTGGTGAAAAGTACGAGGCCTACTTCCAGCACCTCGACCGTGCCGGTGGCTTCTTCTACGAGCGCTGGGGCGATGCGCCCGTCCACTCGCTTGGTATCGGTCTGTTCGCCGACTCTAATAATGTACACTGGTATGCTTCCCTTATTTTAGCCCTCTATACAAACCCCCATTTTAGAACTCCACTAACCTTATACAGGTTCCGTGATATTGGGTACAACCATATCCCCTACTACAACTGCCCCAACTCACCCAAGTGCTCCGGATGCGAGGCCGGCCAGTTCTTCGGTGGTGCCGACTGGCTGTCCAAGGAAGATTGCCGCCCGACCTACTTCAAGTATGTCGGAACACACTAAGTGATAGACGACGGTGATCTACGTTTGAGACCTTGTCATTTTGATGACTTGACCTTGCATTATCTTTCGCATACCTGATGAGTATATTTTCCCCGACACTCGGTGGTTTGGGTACCCGGCGTTTTGAGCGGACACATACCTATTGATGAAACATTGTGCCCTTCCCCATTTGGATTCCCTTTTCCCTTTTTTTCACCAGGGTTTCGTTTTCTCTGTTGCCTCATAAATCGCGTTCTGGACGTGGATGTTGTCTGAGAGTTGAAGCCGATCTGGCCTTCTTTGTACTTATATTGATTGCACATTGCCAAATTTCCTGGATGTGGATTCTTTTTATATGTTGGCTTTGTGCCTTAGTGTCACCGCCTGTTTCGCACCGAAGATATCTGTATGCTCAAAGCACTGAGAATAGATTTGTTCAATGATGAACCGAGCCTTGGGAGATGAGCGTTGTGTAAAGAATAGCCTGCACAACTCATGGAACGTCTACGAGTCATGACCTGACAACACGAGGAACTGAAGAAACACGACAAAGATTAAATAAGCACCAATCATGGTACACAAGACCCTTTTCCAGACAACGGCACTAACAACACAGGAGATCTCTAAAAGTATGTATACAGCTTTCAATCTTCTACCCGATTAGCGTCCCAGCCAACGCGAACGGATGCGCATGATCATAGCCATCGGTGACACGGGGGAAGTTTGTGTGGGTACGGTACGGAGTGAGAAAGAAAATTGATGAGGCGCGGGGGGGTTTGGTGTAAAAACACAAGACAAAATTCAAGACGCTAATTTACTCCTCCTGGGGGAAGAGCTCTTCCCGGAGAGCGACACCAAGCTGCTGGCGCAGACCCTCAAGAGCCTCGAGGTATTGCTTGTACTGTTCCTGGTTCTCGACCTTGGCCTTGATGCCTGTTGAATTGCGTTAGCCATTGGTATGATATAGCGGGGTGGATTCAGGAATGCAATATTGCGTTAATATTGCAATTCGCATCAAAAAGGGGTTTCGCATACCCTCGAAAACGCGGACAGCAGTGGGGTAGTCGTTAACACGGCGAGCGGCGTGCAAAGCCGCAGTGAGGACCTCAACGGAGGGAACGAGATCGTAGGCGAAGCAGTTGTTCAGGTTGCGCTGAGCGAGATAAGATTAGCGATCATCTCTAGGGACAATGGGAAGAAGATCGATAGAAATTGACGATCGGGCAAGATCGGCCACAGATATCGCATTCCGGGGAGGGTGAGTAGATTCAATCTTACCTGAAGCTCGAAAACATCCTGCACACCCTCGAACTCCTTCTCAAATCTGCAATTGAGACACAAAGTCAGCAAGGCCAGTTCTTATCGGACATAGACTAGCACTGATATGGGGTCAGGATAGCGCTTCCAGCGACTCCCGACCCGGTCCCCTCATTCCGAGTTCCACCGATGCTAATGGCGAGATGTATCGTACCGTGCAGAGAACTCCTCGTATGTCTCGTCCTCGTGGCCGGAGGAGAGCTTAGCGGTAGTGCCGAAAGTGCGGGCGCGGGCGGCCATGGTGATGGGGGTCTGCACCCGGGAGCGGACCAGAGGAGCTCGGACGAAGCTGGCAGGGCGGACGGCGCGGGTCGCGACACGGAAGATAGAGAAAGACGACATGGCGGGTCGGTAGATTGGACCGGAGTCAATTGGAGGGAGGTGATGAGGGGAGAGTGGATGGAGACGGGGAAGGGAGGAGGACGAAGTTGTCGTGTACCCGGCTGGATTTTGCGGGTGGTGTGGTGTCGTTGCCTGAGGCTACGCTGAGTCATCACGCCGACATGGCCCGGCGCCGTTTGATCTCAAACACTTTCTTCTGATTGGTGGAGCCATACTTGACAGCTTCAAGTGCGTGTCATATCCGCTACAATTGTATGGGTTTGAGCTAATGGGTGTTAATATACCAATCAATTGATGGGAGATTATTCTTTCAATGTATATCGTGCAAGCTTAAAACATGTCCAAGCCACACTGACAGGATTCTCGGTGAAAACTTATCATCCAATCGGAGTAACGCTAATATATATTTTGTAGCCGCGAATAAACATTAGGAAGTAGAAGGTTAGAGACTTTCATCCGAGGTCTGACATACAAAATCTTGGTTGATACTAGTGAATACTGCTTGAGGAATTTCTCAAATAGGTATGCATTAGGTACATACAGCCTGACGAGCCCAACCAAAGAAGCTACCTGCACTTGATGAATAGTACGGTGGTGGAAAGGATCAAGATCATACGACTGGAACCAAGCCCCATAGATAAGCGAAATATCGCAACCAATCGATCAAGGCTTAGGTCAAAACCAAGACATGCTACTCGTTGTTACACGTAAGGCACCGTTAAACTCAAGAGGTGTATACATAGGCGAAACCCGAGGTTAGTTAGGTCTCTGTTGTCGTCTCTCAATTTAAGATTGACAACCCATCCTATTCTACATTTAATTTTCATATCAAGTGATCAATTTCCCAGAATTTGCCTAGGTCATATCGCTCGACAGAATTTTGTTTTGTGTTTTGTGGTGTGTTTGGGAATATGTACTCTTGGTGCCCATCGCACCAATTGATTCACTCTCGCTTGGTCAGGTTGTATCATTTTTCACAAAAGGAGTCATTTCTATTGGACTTTGACATTATCCCTAGGCTAAAATTGGTATGGATTTGTCTTGCCTAGGGACTGCAAATAACATAGCTATAAAAGCTTTGTTAGTTGACTTCTAGGAATTTGTACTAGAGGCCGATTATCTACATTCCCTAGTGAAAATCCACAGCTAGCGTCTATATCTGTCTACATGGACCTGTCGGGACGCAGCAAATTTAGCTCACGGAATCAAGATTCGATCTGTATTGTTTCAACCTTGGCATTCGACGGGCAAACATCTACTGGGCATATGAACTTACGGTGTCATAAGCCACGTAGGGGATCTCTCTCTAAGTCATATCCTTCATTTCTTCTGTCATTGATCTAGAGACATGGAACAGTACCATTGATCGAATATATTGCGGTCAATGGAGATAGGATGATGGAGGATATCCTTGGAACGAAAGCGAGGCTATTCAACCCTTTTATACCTTCGATGTACCTCGCGACTTGAGAATTGCACTGAATATAGAGCCTTGTCACCTCAAAGCAGCTACCTGGGCAATAGAGCTTCTGAAATAAGCACTACACAGAATATTCAAAGCAAAATGAGGCTTAAAGGGTGTGTAGGGACTTCTTTCACGTAGCTATCCAACCGGGTTGCACACATTGTTGAGTAATGCATATTGTCCCGACAGTCTGCCGAATCAAGGTAATTCTGGTCAATGGAAATATGGCTGTGGATGATCAAAATGCCAACCTTAAAATACGATTTTGAAGTATGATAGAAAATGGATTGCCCAAGGAGCGGAAGTGTAGGTGG